TGTTGTTAATGATGTCGGTGGCTACGGATCGAAACGGCCCAGTCCGGTCATGTTAAATGGGTTATCCTTACCGATAGGTGGGAAACGCACGATAATCACAATGAGTTACTCGTTTTAGTAAATTTAAGGTTCATAGGAAGTATACTTTCCGTAACTCTCTACCGATTATAATCTAAATAGAAAGAGCGTATGTAGTGGCGTTCTTTAAGAATTTAGACTTTCATATACCGCCGGGCGTGTTTTACATCGGCTGTCTAATTCTACTAATTCATTAACTCCTGCATAATACGACGTGCTAAAATATACGCAGGGGATTTTGACCATTTTCAGTTTCATATTTTTTAATTTCCAGAGAGTTTGATAGTTGTTTTAGGTTATCAAGTACCAAAAGAGTCACCCTTATTCTTCAAGGTTGTGTAGAATACTTCAAACTCGAGTGGCGGAAAAATAGTGAGTGTCTTGGCATGCCAAGTGCTATTTAGTAAGAAGGTGCAAGCATCAGATTTGTGTTACTAGTATTTGATTGGCCGGTTTATTATTCTTTACAGTCGTTACAGAATACTGCATTTACTCCCTGTGAACACCAGATATAAACCTTACATATTTTTTGTCGATCAGCGTCTGTTTTCTAGTTGTACTCAGGGACTTAGCAGCCTAATACTGTAAGGTTTGGTACTTTGATTGTTGTTCTATGAATGTCCCTTGTCCCATCTGTCCCTGCCAGACTTGCCTGTGTGCGGAGAAATACTCACGAGGCCTCATTGTAAGATTTGTGAATAAGTAAAGACCCCAAAATCTATCGCTTAAAATTTCCATTATTCGTGAAAGTGGTCTGACGTGTATGACTTAAGTCATTGGTATTGATATACGCCGCATGCGGAAGCTTAGACACTCCATATTGGCTTGAGATAAGGCTAACCTATCGGGCGGCTTCATGTCATTCACCCATGGCTGACTTTGCTTAACCAGCATAACTTAACCTAGCAAAGATATTTCCACGGTTGTCTCAACTAGGAATTAAATAAAGCGTACTAACCCACTGGCGGGTTTAAATCAGTGCTCTGTCCTCTTCAACTATTCAAATCAAAATTCGGTCAGCAAAATACGCAACTAATGACTGTACTGCAACTCAGACTGCATCTTGAGGCCGAAGACACATTTCTCCAGATAAGCTTGAATGGCAGAAGTGGTATGCAACATTTTCAGTCACTTATTGCAGAGAAATCAGTCATACTTCCTGGTTGGTGTCGAATACCACTGCTCCGAAATTAGACTTTTCAGGTATACCATGGGTGAGATCTGGGGATAGTTCCACAAATTCCGAACATGCAAAGATATTCAAACATGTTTACTAATTTTTTTTTCGACAAGCCAGACAATGAATATCAGACTGGAATCATCAAGGTAATCACTTCTTGAAGCCAATCTTTGAAACTAATTTTTGAAACTAATGCCATTATTATGTTTTAAGGTACTATGGGACTCCATGTGGGAAGAAGGGTGGCGAGAATCGGGCGCGCAACATTAACATACATTTCAGTTATGTTCTTACGGCTGGCTTGGTACAAGTACCAGCTGATACTCCTATATCCGTCGTATTATTAAGCGAAATGGAGCTAGCCTAGTCGAACACGAGGTCATGTTGAATTTCACACCGATCAATCTAGACCGATTCATTAACGTCATTTTACAATACTCTGGTGGTATATTTACTCGTTCTTGTCGTCTTAAAGTGAGCTAATTGAAGGAGAAAAGCCGAGCTTAAACACCCACTTTTTAGTACTTTACAAACCAGTCCTATCAAAGATGGTTAGCCTGAAATTTATCGCACTACTTACACTAGGTAGGATGAATGCCTGAATATGAACACGAATCAGAAATGAAATATCTAACTTATCAAAGCCGGCCCTGTTTGTTCACTGCCACAGACTTCCGTGATCAAGCTTGCCGAGTGCACTCAATGGTGTCTTAAAAATTACCCCAATCCAGCCACCACTTGTTTGCTCCCTGCTCTAAGTGCGAAGGGGCCATGTTATGTTTGTGGTCCGTTTAAGACTTCGCCAACACAGCAATTATGCAAAGGAGCTTGCACAGACACGGCCTCCGATAAGAAGAATTGTGGACAGTGCAACAATGCTGTGGGTCAATCTGTTCTCCTTGATTATGGTCTCTCACTAATATATAAGACATCAGTGCACATCACCTCTGACATGTCAGTCTTCGCAATGCTGTGCAGCCATAGGTACCTATGGATGCACCGTAGAGAATTTCATACAGTTCTGTTGTGGCCATGACACGGGATCAATCTACAAGGGATGCCTTTTGAATGGGAACCCGACTGGTACATGCTTTTAATGGCTTTCTCTTATGTAGAATTGGTAGCTTGGTTGATGCGAGTTAAAGCTCATTATTTCTTGGAGTTATTTTATACACAAATCATGATAGCATCATGTTTCTCCATGGGCTATGTACCTTCCTGTGTCATTAATCATCGTTGGTAATATTCTTATTATGAATGGATTTTGTAAATGCTCAGCAAAGAGTGTTTTATTATTACCGTCTAACGGCTATTCGTACGAAAAGAGTATGGGTAATGCTGAATGTGTTTAGTGACAGGTCCTATTCATTGTTCTATATTCTACGATTCAATAATGCTTATGTGATGCCGTGGCTATAATGTCGCGTGGAGACCATGATGTTGCGATTGATAAGTCGCAAAGAGCTGAGGCTTATTTGAAAATTAAAGGAAGACTGGGCAAAGGTAGAGGGCTTGGGGAGCAAGAACACAAACGAAGGAACTTGAAAGCTGGGGGGTACATGCTAGCCGGTGGCTTGCCTGCGACCGGCGGGCTGTGACGTCTGAGGTGTCAATTTCCGGCGCTTCGGATGAAGATTTGTCTTCGACCTCGCTTTGTTGGAGGCCACTGGTTATAGAGGGCGTCAAACATGAGAGGGAGTATACTTCTGAGTCGTTGTCGGCCAACCAAGACCTAAGGGGATCTAGCACTGCTGAATAACCGCGGATTTAAACCGCTACCTTTACCGATTATGAAGTAGAGAGTCTGTTTTTGCTGCATAACGTAGGAACAATCATCTTATGCTACCAGGACTCGGTGTTTTTCGCCATTTTTAATTGGCTTGGAGGACTGCAGTGGTGGGTGGGTAGGTTTCCGATTGCCTAACCTTCTTATACATTATAGGAAGCTTCTCTACCCGGTGACAATGGCGTTGAGTGAAATATGTGAGGACTGGATCGCAATTGGGACCTTCCAAAGGCTTCCTATTTTAGACTTAGGTCTGAAGAGTCTCCTGGGTTCCCTCTGGTTCTCAATAGAATGAGGCTGGGTAAAGACGATAGGCAGGTGTACTCCAGGCAGTGAGCTCTCCTGTACCAAATCCGCCGATTTATATGTGATTCCAACTCACCTTAATATTTTTAGCTAGTTTTCCCTAATCATTTTGATATCGCTCTGATCGCTCGCCATTCCTATTTCCATGAATATGACGAAGGAGGACGACGAATCTTTTGAAAGAAACCCTAGTTTCGAGCACCCCACCGCGGGATAAAACGCCCGCTAAAACTATTTAACGGTAAACCGTGAATTAAAACGTCCTGTTTCGTCATTTCAAGAAGCACATATGTTTCAACCAAGGTCCGCTATTTGCGATTGGCATAAAGATCCATGGATATTGTGTTGAGATTTAAGAGTAGAAGCTCAAACTGAGCTGCCAGCCCCGGAGTGCCATCTACAATTGAGGCGACGTTAGATATCTCGTAGCTCGCTATCCATCTTTTGATAAACCATCCATCGCATTAGAGGCTAATCTAATTCAACCCGAAACGCTGTCGAAGCCGATATCGCCGCTCAAATCTGACCTTGGCATTAGGAATATGCATAAATTATGCATATTGCGGTCTCAGTCTCACAATATTCTCATTCAACTGAAACAAGAAACTGTCCTCTCTCAGTATAGTTTGAGTGAATTCAGGGACTTTTCGATTTCAGAACTTTTTATTGACCTGGCTTTCTATATTGAACTTCACGTTTGCGTTCTTGTAAGGTTTGTCTTACGCGAGTAGTCGTCTCTTCAACCCCATCCCGAGCCATGCGTCCGTCCGAACTCCTGCTCACCATGAACCGATCGCATATCAAAATATTTCACTCCACGTGTGGGGCATCGGCAGAGCCGCTGCCGGTCGGACCAGCTCCGAATGAAAAACTGCCTCGGATCATGATGGACGCCCCACCTCGAAATACGCCCTCATGTATCTTTGCATATAATTTTGTATTGGAGTGTATGAGCTATTCCCAATATAGTAACTCGGAGATAATGAATACTCGGTGCGTCTTGGGTGTGATTTAAAAACACGCTAACAGCTTGGAACTTCTAATTTCATCAGGATGGTGACTAAGAGATACGCTTTTCTACCGCTAGTACTAATACTTGTGAGTCAAGGGGGAGTCAGGCGAGACAAATCCTTTGACAACACCATGGTAAAGCTTGGAACTCGATAATCTCATACTGAGAAGTTGTAGTCATCGATATAGCGAAGTGTAACTGGGAAGATTATCGATTTTACTCTCCTTTCTCTATTTTTAAAGGGTTCGGCTCGCTTGGATGTTCACACCAATGACCCACGTTCGTCAGGGCTGACTCCATAATTTAGTATATGTACTAGTACTACTAGTATACACTAGTATCGGACGGAGATTCAAAGCACAATTCCAAGACGAAATACCCAACGCCACTCGGTCTAAAACTGCGGAGGCACGGATTTTAGTGAATCCTGTTCCCAGATTACGCCCCGTAGACTGTATTTTGATTGTGGTAACAGGGCTTGTTACACATTTCGACCTAAGAGTGTAGCTAGTATTAGGCGGGACTAGTTATTCGTACTAGTGACCATTCCTGTTTAAATATGAAAACGAAGTACTGCCCACGGGTTTGGACCCCCGTGCACGCTTATTCCAAGGTTTTCCTACCCACGCTCGTTAATCATGAAGATCACTCTTTTCTGGGCCTCCATCGCCCTCTCAGCCCTACCAAGGGCTCTAGCAGCTACTGAATCCACAGCGACAACTGCTACGGCCACCACCACCTCTACTTCCACAGCTCATAGCTGTACGGCTTCTCTCGTCACAAAGCTCTGCGACTACCCATCACCTGGCGATGCCTTTGCCGTCGCCGAAGATAGCAGAGCCTCCTGCTGGGACTACTGTAACGCCCACCCTCCTTGCGACTTCCTTATCTTCGATGCCGGAAACCCTTACCTAGGCACCGGCTCATGCTGGCTATACCCGGGACAAACCTTCAATGAGAGCAAAGGTACCACTGGTTGCTCCAATCCCAATCTGTCCGTCTACGACAAGCCCGTATGTGCTAGCCCAACCACTACCGCCACCACCACTGCCAGCGCCTGCACCGCGACCGAGACTCCCACTGCTGTTGCCTCAGTCTGCGGATACCCAACCCCTGATGACAACTGCTTTTCTACTTGCAGCGCTAGCTCGGGCGCAGTGGACTGCTTGAGTCAGTGTGTCAAGGCCGGTTTGTGCAACTATGTCGTCTTCAACCCGCATAACGACGATAACTCACAGTATGCTTCGGGGACTTGCTGGATGTATCCGAACGGCACGTACAATGCTGCGGATGCCACCACTTGCACTGGCGATGCTGAGCAATACGTGTATAAAAACCCGTGCCCGAATCTTGACCTCATGACGAGCTCCGGGTTGGCGCAACTTGCTAGCAGCCTTGTAATCCCAGGCAATACTACAAACGCAACTACTAGCGCTACGGCGGCCGCAACTACCACCAGCAAGAATTCCGCACCCACCGGCCTCTCGCTGTCTGGGCCATTGGCTATCGGCGTAGCTTTGTTGATTGGACAGGCTCTTTGATGATACCCCTGTATGCATTTGTTGTTGGTTCAACGAAGCAAGCTATGGGAAATGATGTACTTTATCTTAATGGAATTTTTATTGTATAACTTTAATTCTCCTCATCTCTTGCTCACTGTTATAGAGGGTACATTATGTTTCCTTGCGATCGGTTGTGATCGACACACTTCTAGTCGGGACTATGCAGTGGAGAACAGGGCTTCATGTCTGCTCGGCCATATTCAAGCCACAGCATAAATTGAGTTGCTTATGACGGCATAAAGATTGGGCTGGCTATGCAACACCCGAGATAATCAACTTTTGTCAAGTTTCTAAAACTCATCGCCCGATGTAACACCCCCACTTTGGTAATAAGAACGCGGGTATTACCGTCTATCCACCAAGTGCCTCGAACACGGTATGTCTGGGGTGGCGCTGGTAGGTTACTCTCAGATGCGGCTCCAAACCCGGAAATTATTTTAGGGAACGCAAAGTCCGAGGATAAGTACCGAAAGAACATAAACACTTTCTCATAGCAGGGACTTCGGGCCTGTGAAGGAGAAATCAGTCCACGCCGTTATATCTGGTTCTTTAATAGTTCAGCTAGCCTTTTATTCGACAGGTATCACCACGATCTCTCATCCGCAGTCACTAACACTACTCCTTGCCCCTCATTTTTCCCGGGGATGTCGGATAAATCCTTTAATGTACTTCGCCCGAAGCCCCGCAGCCGTTCAGGAACGCTCGTGCTAGCGCTGCATTTTGAACGAACTATTGATTTGCGGCTTAAATCCCAGGGTCCGGGACCCTATCTAATTTGACTAATTTAGCCATATTGTATAAGCGAGGATCGATCTGCTCATACGAGTGGACGGAACTATGGAGTGGCCATTCTTGGCCAAGAGTAGTAGCGCCGCTGACGATCTGCCGGGGTAATTTTGGCCGACAGGTGGATACCCTAATCTTAAGGTCTCAGCCTCCGTTCGAGAACACCATACGATAGATGGCTACGAGAGAAGGCATAGACATCTTATAAATTGCCGTTCTGGCTTTCTGAACTAGGAGGAAGTGTTTTGGTTGTGCGCTACCGTCATTCTTTATTCCAGTTGTTACTGGGTCCACTCTTTCTATACTATCAACTCCATACACTCATTTTATCGGGGGTTTATCGATCTTTCACTCTTTAAATTTACTTCAGCCCACTTAATCATCTCATAATAATAATGCAGTGTCAGTTGAACGATTGCTTTCCTGTACTCATATGTACTAATTATTCCTCAGTCAAACAAATGATATGGCAGGCTGCCTTGCCTCTGCTTCTTGCCAGCGGCGCAACAGCCGAGAAAGATGTGACTTGCACCACCAATGAGGTCAATCTGATTCAAAATCCCTCTTTTGAATCAGGTAACCTTTCTGGATGGAAATCTGTTGGGGATAGCATGCATTTGGTCACTGGCCACAAGGCTGCTCATGGTGACTGCCATCTGTAAAGCTCTCTCTCCCGAACGTACGAACATTTCTAATCGCGAATAACTATAGTGAGCGGTCATCAAAGTCCAACGAACCTGTTTCTGGTGTTTACCAAGAAGTCTCCGGGCTGGTAAAGGGTTCTACCTACACTGTCTCGGCTCAATGGCGAATCCAGAAACCAGTTGCTGATGGAAAAGCGGCTTGCGACATTGCTTTTTATATGGTCGGTGACAGAGCGACATCATACATCGGAGGCTACGAAAACCTGCGGGCAACACCTGAAAACACCGCTTGGAGAACCGTTTCGGCGCAGTTTGATGCAAAGAGTACCAAGGGAACCCTATATGTCTACTTGTTTTGCCCGGTGGTGAAGCGTCACCAGGCAAAGGCCGATTTGGATAACATCAAAATGCTGAGTGGAGAAACAACAACTACATGTGTCACTTCGGCCACTTCACCTACGTCTGCACCTGTGGTTTCTGTCCCCGCTCTGCCGTCAATTGACTCGCCCTCAGGCAACCCAGTTATCCCGTCCCAAATTCCCTCCGTCCAGCCTTCTTCCGCACCAACCACTGACTCCGGATCTATCACTTCCTCTCCTCCCGCAAGCTCTATCCCTCACTCGAGCATTCCAACTTCGTCTTCTCTCATCCGAGTGACCATCTCCTCGCGCCCGCCTCCTTCTGCACGCCCTACGGTTCGCCCCATTTCTTCAAGCTCCGTCCCCATCGGCTCGTCAGTGACTATCCCACATGAGACTGCGCCAACAACTGGCACACCGATCGTTCCATCCAGTGGCCCAACCTCCCTTCCTAGCAGTGTGCCTCCGTCGGGCTCTGGCTCTGGCTCTGGCTCTGGCTCGGGCTCGGGCAATGGATCTGGTTCTGGTTCTACTGGTGGTTCCGGTGATAACTCTGACAATGGCTCTGGAAATGGAGGTTCTGGTAACGGGGGCTCTGGCTCAGGCAACGGAGAGTCGGGCTCAGGCAACGGAGAGTCAGGCTCTGGCAGCGGAGGCTCTGAATCTGTCGGAGTGACTACTCCAGCACCCACAGCTCCCCAGCTCACAACTTCCACTGTTTTCACCACTCGCACCTCTACAATCACCGCTTGCGCCGCCACCGTGACCAACTGCCCCGCTCGAAGCACCTATGTGACCACTGAAACTATTCTTGTCTCGACTACCATCTGCCCCGTTGAAGCTAGTACCACCACGAATCCCGGTGGAGCTATCATCACCGGATCCCCTGCTGTCCCCGGAAATAATGGCGGGCACCACTACACTACAGAGACCATTCTGTCCACTCGCACCGTCACCGTCACCGCTTGCCCCTCCACTGTCACAAACTGTCCTGCCCGTGATAAGACCACCTCAGTCGCTACCGAGACTGTCGTTGCTGGAACCACCGTGTATGAAGTTACCCCCACTGCTACTGGAGTGAGTGCAGGTCAAAAGCCTGCTCCGGGTCAAGACAGCAATGGAAATGCTCCCGGGCCCAAGGTGACTGATATTGCGACTGCAAACCCTAATGTTCCCCCTGTGTATGTCACCAGCACTAGAGTTGTGACTGTCCTGGCATGCCCTGTCAAGAAAGACACCCTAGCTTAGATTTGAGATCAACTCCAGTTTTGGAGATTTTCCAATGTTGATTACACTTTTCCTTGTGGCATTATTTACTTTACCTGCCGTTGCATATCTAGAAGCCTGCAGCTTAACTTGAAACATAAATTCTCGAATAAAAAGATGGACAAGGTTCTGAGAAATTATATCTTTACTTCCATTCTTTCGATTACAATTTCCTCGTTGCCCGAAGCCAAAGTTCCAGTGTCTCAGCGGGGTATTGCTCGGGTACAGAAGCGCCCGGCATCGGCTTCCATACTACGAACATAGAGACGCTCTTTCAAACCCCAATCACCATGAATACCCAGATATGCTTAGTTCCATTGGCAGCGTAAGGTGGACTCCAGTTCTGTGACAGCGGTTGGCGGAAAGACGACTGCAGGGGACGACGCGGTTCCTTCACCATTAGTGTTGGCCTTGCCTTTCCCCCAAATAGGATCTTCGCTGCTATCCAGGATGAGTTGCACATCACAACATCGACATGTCGGCCAACCCAGTTGTATCTTTCAGGAGGAATGAACTATGCAATTAGCATCTACGTAAGGTAACGTCCGGCACGTGATTCAGAGCCTCAAGGCATTCAACGCTAAGCGTGGGGGCCAAATTTCGGAAATAAAAACAGATCCAAAGAACGCGAATTCTGCCGTGTGGATAGAACTTTCAACTATGAGCGTCGAATTATCGCGCAATACAACACGAATCAACCCTAGGTCACAATCAGGAGGTGAATATGTGGCTCTTCAGCAGCAACCAAATTTGCTTAGGAAAAGTCCAGATGTCCCAAACATATCATTTCAAAGTAAGGTGAACGAGAAGTGGGTGATTGAGATAGCATGCTGTGTGGGGATGCTGGCGACCTTGGCTTCGATTATTGGATTTCTTCTGGCCTATAATAGAAAGGCCATTCCAGACTGGCCTTACGGCATCACTGTCAACACGGTGCTTTCGGTATTGTCAGTCGTTCTGAATGCCTGTCTCATTGGCGCTGTGGGCGGCTGTATCAGCCAGTGGAAATGGATCTCCTTCAACAGTACACGGAGACCTCTAACGCACATGAATACTTATGACTCCGCGAGTCGAGGGCCTTGGGGTTGCATAATGTTTCTTTTCACGTCCAACCTTAGGTTTGTTCGCGATCATCTTTGTTTCTTGTCACGGTCTGCTAATAATTGGATGTGCAGACAATATGCGACTATCGGCGTGCTTGTTACAATCTTGGCTGCTGGGATCGGACCTTTCGTCCAGCAAATGGTCAAGGTTGAGAACAACCGGATCTTATCTAATGACCTAGCAACATTAGCTCGTGCGCAGTCATACTCATACTCTCCATCTAGCAGTACAGACGGAAATGAACCGCCTACAGGGATGATCGGGTCAATCTATACTTCTGTGTTTAATTGTTTAGACTCGGACTGCTCGATAAACAGCTCCGACGCATCATATTCCACAATCCTTCCTTCTTGTCCAACCGGAGAATGCGATTTCCCTCGGTTCACAACTCTCGCCGTGTGCTCATCGTGCTTTGATATTTCCCATCTACTTTCAAACTCGACAATGTCATGCCAACGACAAACTGAGAAAAGGAGTCTGCCTTTGCATGTCTATTCACTCCCGAACGGCTTGAATACATCTTTCCGCAATAACTGGATGGACTCAACTTTTCTGAGAACCGCAACAGGATCCTCAGCCTCGAAGATGCGGTCAATTGCTCAGCTCCCTAACTACGGCAATTCTACCATGATAGACTTCACGGTCATTAAGACTCATTTTGGCGACGGTGGCGACGGTGCACCAGAGGTGAATGCGACGCAATGTTCTTTGTACTGGTGCACTAAGACTATTTCAGCCCGAATGAGGGAAAACAAACTCGAGGAAACTCATCTCGAGACGCACAAAGACACAAGTGCCAGGTACCGAAGCATCTTTCTCAGGTTGTCTCCACCTAAAGATGACCCTTCCACAGATTCGGACTTCTCAGTTAATAGCATTACTGGGCTTTTCGATACAAATTTGGAACGAGAAGACAATTCGACCAGTTGGCTCGCAAAGAAGCTCAATGTCAACAGTCTCTCGATTATCAATTGCACCGCTGAAGACGACAGTAAAATTTCAGTGACAGACTTCACGGAGACAATGGCATATTTCCCAGTGAACAGGTTTTTCAAAAATCTTGCGGCCGGTATGACGATCTCCGTTCGTCGATCTGGAAGAGCAAGTCAGCAAAACATGCTTAAATTTGCCCAGTATCCTAGCGCGGATTCTGATGGTGAATCCGCATACAAGATAGGATCTGCCTATAATGCCCCCCTGGATGAAGGCCTGGGAGTTGTAAATGGTACCTCATACCGGCTGGAGACCCAAATCGAAGTTCGATGGGCGTGGGTCGCATTTCCCGCAGTTTTGATGATCATGGCTGCGGGATTCCTCGTGGTGACGATCTTACAGACAAGACGAAGTGGTGTTCCCTTGTTCAAATCTTCTTCCATCCCACTTGTCTGCTCCGGACTAGACAATGAAATTCAGGAAAGCCTTCGCCTTGTGAATGATCCTGTTGCGAAAGATGATGCCAGCAGTACTGTGATGGCCAAGTTCGTCAAAAGCGACGATAAGTCATGGCGAATGGACGCCGAGGCAAAGGAGAAAGATCGTCAAATGTGAATAAATTATATTTGTTGTATAATTTATCTCGGCTTAAAAGAACCATCGCAAGTCAAGGATAAGCACGGACATAACGGAAGTTGGGGATGGCGTGTGGATTACCCGGGAGGATCTATTTGACAGGATGAACGGCCAGGTTTACCCCATGCCCAGGTGGCATAGCACGATTCAGATCACGGACATCATATATACTAAATAAATTCATGTAAACCACAACTTTCCAAATGATTCAGCGGCGGTGAAGTATCTTTATGGCAAGAAAGGTGTTACAAGTTTTGATGCGGGTGCATGACGGGCTTAGTTGGAATGTTGCCCTAAGCGGTAAAAACGTTGCTGTATTCGAGAGTTCTTCGCACCTTCGGGGCCAATCTGTTGTATTGAAGTTGTCTCCGGGGCTATTTTTGGGGGGGTTTTATGAAGTATAAAATAAATACTATATTTTTGGAATTCTGAATATGAACTTGAAGTTCCAAGACAGTTTCCAATTCGTGGCAGTTGACGTGAACCCTAAAATCTTGAATTGAGCACATCCTCCGTTTAATATATATCCCTCACTGGGACCATAATCTAAATAGTAGGATTAGAAATTGAATAAATCATACTGTTAGATCAAAAACTTAAAGTTAAAGTTCTTTAATACTTTACCCTGTAGTACCTGTATACCTAGGTAAGGTAGCATTATTTATGGTGGAATTTATTATCTTAAACTGTAGATATTAAACCAGTACATAGAGCTGCTCATATCCTTCCTAAGTAAAACAGCTTCAGGATCATGTAGCATGATGTGAGACCATTACTTCATGAATTGCCTCTATGGTCTAGTTGGCTATGACGTGGGTCTCATATCTTGTCTTATGACGATTCTGGTAACAGAATTGCAATCCCGAGGTCTCCAGTTCGATCCTGGATGGGGGCATTCACTTTTTGTTTTGATACTTGTTTTTGGTATTGAAGCTGCCATGATATATTCACACCGCCTACCTTTTAGGTGACATTGACTGTTATCTAAGCCTTAATTGAGCACGGCACTTATCCAAGGTCATCATGATTCAATAACTTCTTTTTCTATTATTTTCTGCGAGCAATCTTAATTTCTTGCTTGTATTTTTTCTTTTTTTTTTAAAAATAAAATAAAATAAGCTGTGCTAATTTGACATTGCTGACTATGCATATGGTTCGCTGAGAGTTCAGGAAATCCTGGCTTGATTGCTTGCTATTCCAGGGTTGACCATGGTTAATGGGAAGGGAGTTTACAGTGGTAGCTTGAGTTCATTTTTAACCACATTATTTATTTTCCAATCATAACGGCAAAGAATGCACGATCTTTCATCAACCAGCTCGCGTAGCTCAGTTGGTAGAGCGCGGCACTAGTAATGCCGAGGTCTTCAGTTCAAATCTGGACGTGAGCAGTTTCTTTTTGCAGTTTTCTACTATCAACTGCTTGTTTTTTGCGCATCTTACATCGAACTGTCGTGGACAAAATCAGAGCAATGTCCCACTTATACTTTCTGTCTCGAACCTAGAAGATCCAGCATTCAATTCCAAGGTTGGATCGAGAACATGTACCTTTAAGATCTCAATATTCCTGTTTCTACCGCTGTAGCCTTTTCTATACTTGATACATGCCATGTCCTGTTACGGTGGGAAAGCCGCTGGAAAGTAGAATTTCCTATTGGAATGTACTGACCTCCTGTTCTAGTCCATCTCATAGGCCCCAAATCATCGCATTGCTCGTGGACTTCTTCACGAAGATGTCTGCTCGCGACTTGCGTAGATATACCCACTGCCAGCTCAACACAAACCGGCCGGGCCCTGATATGTAGTAGCATCAACAAAGATTGATTAAATTGAGGTGAGAAAGAAGAAGAGAGAGAAGTGACAGAAGGAAAGGAGGAACTAGATACACATGTAGTGGATACCTAAGCAGATGACCAAGGTCTCCACGCAGGCAGCAGTAGTAACAACCTCAGTTCGTTACATCATTGCAGGGTTTGGCTCGAGAACATATGCTTCCGATTCTGCAAAGAAGAAGCCTTCAAGCGTCCAAGATATCATCCAAGACTGCAGATTTATCCAAGATTCAACCCCGGCAACACGAGGGAATGAGATAGTTTCATTTTCAAATGTCTGCAAAGCCATCGAGGAAAGTTTCCGATGCTTCAACGTATTGCACTGTATGCGGTTCCATAATTCAGCTCCCAACCCCTTTCCAGAACATGAAGCTCTAGAAAAATATGATCAAGTATCTGTTTGGAAGTACTACTAGTCTTTTTCATACGAGTAGCCTAAATACTACTCCATAATTACCTATGGACGAGCGTAAATCTTTACCGAAATGCATTCTTACTATCGTACAGACATAAGACTTCCTCCTGTGTATGAGAAGCCTAACATAATGAGATTCGTCAAATTCATTTCTAGATACCACATTGCACATCCATCCGAGCGATACTCTTATGGAATGGTCGTCGGCACAGGACCCGCAGGAATAGCATTGCTAACCGGTGGTACAGCAGCAAGCGACTGCATGCCCAACTCCGCGGGGAAGAAAGGATGAAGCGGATAAATTGGGCCCTGGGATTTCTCTCCGTCAAAGAGAAGCATATTCTGAAGGGGCTGTTCTCTCGCCGACAGAACATTGATTACATCCTGCGCGAGCGAGCCGCCCAAGAATGCGGCCACGGGACTCAACTCGCAGCCCAGGTTCTGCAGGAATAAGCGGAGGAAGGTCGAGTCTAGCGTATTCAGGTCTAATTTGAGTTCCTGGTGGACTTCTCGAGAGAGCTTTGTGAATAGCTCTAGGTCTGCGTGCTGGAATGTTGGGCGGCGGCCGCCAGAGAGCTTTTCGAATTCCCACAGTGCGCGGAGACAGCTGAGCAGAGGGGTGACTTGCTTGCGGCGGCGAGGTAGGCGGGTGAAATCGTCTGGTAGAGGGGAGGTGTTGGCGAGGAGGAGTGGGGAGTATGTCTCGCGCTTGGTGACGAGCTCGATAGTCTTGTCGCCGTCTTTCTTGGTGGTGACCTTGACAATACTGCGGGTCGGTGTTTCTTGCTGCTGCGAAGGTACGTTCGATTTGGAGCGCTCGATAACAAAATCGTGGGAGATCAAGTCGGCAAATACGTAGCCGTAGAACCCATGTAGACCTGCTGCGTAGAAAGGGCGATTAGCCAAACGGCAGGCGGCGTTGACAGTGTTGTTGGTCGCAAAGTCCAGCTCTGTCGCAATTGTCACATCAAACTGGGCGAAGAATTCGGGTTGTTTTGTTCGAACGTCATCGGTATCGATGTGCAGCTTCACGCGGGGATTCATGCGGCGGATTTGAGGACCGGCGATCTCGGCTCGCTGTGTTGGTGTAAGTTTAGTATGGGGTAACGAGGGGGCCGATGCTTCCAATAAAAGAGCCGCACCTTTTTTCCTTCTGCTAGAATGCTCGGGTCCTTATGAGCTTCCTCTAGGAAGAATTGCGCATCCAGGTCGGCTTCCGTGACGGGCTCATGGTCGAGAATCGTCAGAGAGCCGATGCCAGCAAGTACGAGGTTCTTGGCCACTTCGTTGGCGAGAGCTTTCACGGTAATCAAGAGGATATTGGCAGACCGGATCCTTTATTTGTTGGATCAGTCTCACATCTGGTTGCCACTGTATCGGGAAAGGAGGGTTTACTTTTCCTGTGCCTGGACACCCCACAGGCGAATCTGTCGATCATAGAGCGCGATCTCGTCTAGAAGAGTCAGTGTATGGTTTATGAAAATAATAATAATGGGTCATACCAGCGCTTATCTGCTGTCCGTTCTCCGTTTCAGCCATCTTGAGTGGTAGATGAGTGAAATGTGGTTGAAATGTGAGAAGTGAAAGGGAAAGAAGCTCAAGCTCTCCCCGGAGATGATCTAATGCCATCACGTGCACCCCGTAACCAAACAGCAGGCAAGCACCGCATCTTCTCAACTGCCAATCCTTGATTTCTCTTGCTGGCCCGTATGGGCTGTTGCCTTCTGTTCGATTCCATGCCTTCTCGGAATTAGAGTGAAATACACCTGAGATTAGCTTCCAGGTATTATTCTCCCCCCAACACTGTCACACCCCCCGCCCAGTCAACCTCCAGAATGGTACGTTTCCACCGATATTCGGCCCAACGCTCCATATGCCCCGAGCAGCCAGTGGCTCATCGTTGAATAGTCAGGGAATTACGACTACCCACCTGCTTCTTCCCGCCGCCCATCTCGCCCCAGTGGTCCCGAACCGCCTATCCCCGAATCCCTCCCTCAACGTGTCCAACGAATCATCGACGCCCTCAGCGAGCGTGACGACGAACCGGAACTAGACTCGGAACAAAATAACTCGCATGGGGTATTCAGAACGAGTCTGCACCAAATTCTCGATGATCTTGCACCCGACCTCATTGCTCAGAGTATCCATGAGGGTCTAGAGACCCCCGCGCGAAATACATTCTAGTCCACCCCGGCCTTCACGAGATAGTCTACTCTACCTCCGAAATCTGCTACACTCAGAGAGTAACAACTCGAATCCTGATGATACCGATCGTGCACTGCAAACACTGAACCAAGAAATTGAAGAACACCGCCTTGATACAGCGCGCCAACTCACCCACGCCGAACAATCACGGGCCACAGTCCAGCAACAACTTCAACAGTTAGCATCGGACGTGACCAACCCTTCTCGCAGATATACATCCAGTAGAGGAATTTCGGATCGACTCCGTCCCGAGCGAACAACGTCAACTTTGAGCCCCGCCTCGTCAACCCAGGAGCCCCGCTCGACAAACAGACTGATAAGACGCCGCTCGTTCAGAGCTGATTTCCGAGGGATTGACCCGAGCACTCTCACAGCGCCAATTCCCACACCGTCCCTCATGCCGCAGTCCGCACAGACGAGTCGTAGTGGCCGTGATGGCCGGGGGAGGTTGAAGCGACGAAAGTTAGACACCGACGACAACCGCGAGGGAATGCGGGGCTTTAACTACGGACAGTATGGCCAAGTAGTACCAGGAGCACTGAAGATGGAACTTGCCAGCTGTGATGGGGGCATTTATGACCCGGATGGCGACTGCTCATTCCCGGAGAATATTCTACGGAACGACAATTCGGTCTACTGTACCAAGTCCGACCGCTGCAACCTGGTTCTGCGACATCAAGGCGAAGCGCCCTTCTGCTTGAAGAAGCTTGTCATTAAAGCGCCTCGAAATGGATATGATTCTCCGTATGTTTTTCGCAGATCACCCACTCACGCACACTCACTTTGTGACCAAATCATCGCTGACACCAACTAGTATCCAAGAAGGCATGGTTTTTGTCTCGATGACATCAGATGAACTGCTCGCCCGCACAGCCCGATACCAAATCCAATATTCAAGCGTGCACCGCCGTCAACACCGCCGACGCATGCAGGCCTTGCCCTCACAAGAGTACCTAAATTCCTACCGCGCACCCCTACAATCCCTAGAACGCACTGTCCTAACAGGGCCAAATGCCCTCCCCACAAACAACGAAACGCCCGAACCCCTCGCCTCAACCCCACACTCCGAGTTCCGCATCACAACCGACTACAACGAGAGCTCCGAAGACAGCGTCTTCCACGACCAAGACGACTCCAATGAAGACGTCGCCGAACTAGAACGACTGGAAAATGAGGAAGACCCCCTCTGCTCCGACAGCGATGAGAGCTTCAGCGAAGACGGAAACGAAGAAGAGGAAGAAGAGAGAACCGGCTTGACAGATAACAATCGCCGTCTCCGCGAACTATCCCGCCGCGCCGGCTTCATGCGAGGAGGCTGGTCTGGATCCGAACCGCGGCGCCAAGGCCAACCTAGCCTCATCGACCCGATCCCGCCCCCGCCAGTTGGGTCTGGATCTGGATCTGGGTCTGGGGCCGGGCTCGGCGGGGCAAGCGGGGCCGAAGTAATGAAGCCTCATGCACGATTCTTCATTGAGAGGGAGAAGAGTATGGTTAGCATCAAGTTTGATCCTCCACCGTATGTTATTCTGTCCTCCCCCTCGGCCAAGCCAAGGCGGTACTGCAGAGCAGAGCAACGCAGTGCAAGGGGAGCATATTGACTAACCTCTCTGTAATCGCGTAGATCCGGCCGCTTCATCCTAATCAAACTCTGGAGTCCACGCAACGCCGATAACATCGATATCCAAAGTATCATTGCACACGGGTACGCTGGACCACGATTCTTTCCCAGCGGCGGGTTCCGCTAGGTTAGCTGGCTGGCCGGGCTGGGCTAGGCCGGACCTGGTTCTAATTTCATGACCTACTTTGCTCATTACCCCATTGCTTACTTACCTGCACCTTGCTCTCTGCTCTTTTTTTTTTTTGCTTCCGTAAACGGGCCTGCTGCTTCTCGCTTGAGGTAGTCGGCGCTAGCTTTACGACGGAATGTTACGACGGGAATGAAATTACGATCTTAAGAGGGAATTGAATTGAGTTTGAATGGGAGTTTCAACTTTATCCTATTTCTTGGTTCTTTGGTGTTTGTCCTTTTTTTGTCTTCGGCTAGAGATAGGGTAGAGGTTGTTTCGGTTGGTTTTGGTGGGCGTTTGAGTTGAAGTTACTAGTATTCATATACCCTCAACACTGATGATTGGATCGATTGAAAAGTTCCCAGTACTACTATCGTGTAGGGATTTTATAGCTACCTAGGTATAACCACCTGGGCAGTAGATATGATACTAGTAGTAACCATCACGTACTAGTAGTAGATACTACTAACTTGAAGTTGTAGAGCCGTACCATTCCAAGGTGAGTTAGTATAACTTCAAGCACCCATCTAGCTATTCCTAGGAAATTTCTTCATTTCTCCAGCCCTGGAGGGCTCTTCACACTATCATGCACGTCTACGATAACGCTCTAGGTAGATTCAAGATCTATGAAAATCTTCAGATGTGTATATATTCACAAATTATTCAACTGCCCCAACGCCCAGGAAACAATGCAGTAATGGTAGCATGGGAGGAAAATCCACCAACACGCCCTCTCACCCGCCCATCCACACAACAAATTGGGGCGTGATTAGCTAGGTAGCAGAGACGGCTGTAAGAAAGGAAGAGAGAAAAAAAATCAAGTATTAAACACAACCCCTTTTAACGTCCCTCCTTATCACCATCAACCTCATCGTGTTTTCTCTTCGGAGCCACAGACGAACTCGGCTCACGCTCATCTTCCTCATCACTGATAAGACCCTGCAATTCGAAGCCCTCCGCGTCCTGGATGCGCTGGGCCTCGGAGTTGGATCGTGCGCGGCCGTTCGTGTACCCCCCGTTCGCGGTGGTGTACTTGCCGCGACGCTGTGCTTCGGCTTCTTCGGGGTCGATGGCATCTTCTTCTGTGGGCCAGGTGTGGACGGCGTAGATGTGGAGGAGGACGTTGACAACTGGATCGGGTTAGTACTACACATGCAAATGGGGGGTATGGCAAACGTACAGAGAAATAGGATGAATGCAATGCTGTACAAGATCAGGATGTAGGAGACGTGAGTAACACCCGCGTCGTTGAGGAGTTGCATTTGTTCCTCCGTAGCGCCGAGGAAGAGGAAGCCGGAGGCATAGAGCAACTATTCGCCAAGTTAGATGAATGAATGCACGATAGCTAGCTGGGGGAAGAAAAAGAGTACGTACGAATGGAGTCAGGTATTGGAAGCTGTTCGGTTCAGTACCGTTCATGCTAACAGCGCTCTGATCGCGCAAGACAAACGAGATCTCAATAATGCGAGTCAAACCCGCCGCCATGAGCGTGTAGCCGAAGATAGAGTGGATCATGGTGCTGATCATGAGATGCTGCGGATGCGCCGACATAGCGTATCCGGTCATCAGGATGACAATGGCCGGGATGAGATTGCGCTTGGGTCGACCGTAGCGATTGCGACTGAGCCACATGCCCAACAGACCCGCGCACCACCAGACAATTCCCATGGTAGTGTGCTGGAGGTCGTTGTGGCCCCACTCCTGGCCCCAGCGGTGCTCGGTGAAGGTATTCACGCAGCCCCAAGCCGCGATGATGAGCGAGTCGAAGAACTCCTGGCTCCGGCCTGTGCGGCGCAGCCAGAACTGGCCGACGAGAAGGAGGATTGTCAGACAGATTCCGTATCCGATGAAAGCGCTTCCCATAATGAAGTGCGCCAGACATTGTCCCATGTGGTCGTCCTGGCAGAAGCCCAGCGCCGCGATGCCGCCGAAGAGCATCTGGGCCCAGGCAATCACGGGCATGATCTTGCCCAGAATGCCGTGGGCTAGGACGAAGATCCAGCGGATGCGGGCCTGGCCGGCTTTCACGAGGTGCAGTTTGAGATACACGCCCAGCACGACTTGCGCGACTAGGATGAGCATGAGCCAGTTTGCGAAGGAGGCGTGGGCGTTTTTGCCGAATTGGCGGCCATGGTGCGCGTGGCCGAGGAAGTAGGCTAGGACGGCGATGATGGTTCCGACGATTTGGACGGGGACGTGCCAGCGAGAGCGAACGATCTAGGACAGCGGAAACGATTGTGTTAGTCGGATGGAGTGGAGGAGGCGGGCTGTTGCTAGCTGGAAGAAAGAAAGGTAATAACATACACCCAGGACCATGCCAAAGGGGAAGATAATGCCGAAAGAAAAGCCCATAAGAATCATATGAACCCATAGCGTGGAGTCCTGGAGAGCAAACGGGTTGAGTGGTTAGCATGATTCGCGAGAAGTGTAATGATCTATGTGGTCTGTCTCCTGCTTTGTACAGCAGGCAGATAGATAGAGGGACATACAATAGGCTCGAGCGAGATGGCCTCGCCATCGGGGACAGCCTCATGACCGCCGTGGGCCAGGGCAGTCGCCGCAAACAAGGCGACGAGGGATGTCGACCGAAGGAACGACATGATGTGGAAAGGAATGGAGTGGTGAGTTGGAGGAAAGTCCGACTTGAAGTCGAGGGGGAAAAGCGGAAGACGTGGGAGGGTCTGCCCCAATCCGGAGGAGCCGATTACGTGGAGGTCCACAATATTCAGTATACATGTTTATAGAGTAGATTCAGGAGTAAAAGGGGCTATACCTGACTGGTAGATTAATTTGTACCTTTTACTCTGTATTATTTTAGCATTTCCCCTATCTTCTTAAACTATAAAGCATTTGCATAACAATTGTTTTAATTCTCCTTGAGATCCACCTTGACGGCCAGGCACGGCTGATTCAGCGACGTGTCTGATTGGTCCGCCTTACATGCTCTTCATGTATATACACTCCTCCTCACTCATTCCCTCACTCACTCATTCACACCCACCCACTCTCCCTCACGATACTGCACTACATTCCCCAAACATGAACCTACAAGACACTGACATCGAAATGAAACTGAACACCCCAAGTCCAGAGGTGGCCAACAACCACAAACAATCGGCCAAAATAGTAAGTTGAGCCCAGAAACACAACCAGTCCCAGCAATCACTAACAACACATAGACCACCCTCCAGAAATCACTTGCAACCATACAATCCCAGATCGATTCAGTTCAATCTGATATAAATGGAGTCCTTCCCAAGCTACAGTCTGTCTCCCTCCCCAATCTATAAACTCACCAGCATACATCTCCCATCCGTGCACATGGTTGCATACACATAACGAACTGCCAATACTGACACCGAACCTCTACAGAAATGATCCCAACAAGACAGTCAAGCAACACATCCATCTCCTACACTCTTATAACGAGATCAAGGATGCGGCGCAGGGATTGATGGGACTACTGGCCGAGAGTCGGGGGGAGAGACTTGGGGATGTGAGTCGGAGTTTTGGGATGTCGGACAAGGATTAATTCATTGGAGTGATACTTCAATGCATTTCGAAATGGCCAACGGTCAAGGTTTCAAAGTCATATGGGGACTAGTATACAACAGACTTTAGGTGCGCCACTGTACCCCATACTAGACCTGGTGGGGCAATTAAAGGAACCGCCTGGACAGCACCCCCGCCTACATCTATATCGCCTCCTTCTCTACTCATCCCCACTACCTTAGGTATACCCAATTCAAGTTTTAGACAGCTATATCCGTGGGTCACTATATACTTTTCGCCAAATACCTGAATACCTGAAATCCGAACCCTGGGTGGCGGACGACCCATGGAAATACGGACCAATGAATGATCACATGTCACAACTCTCCCCTCGTCCATTTGTGACTTTCCAGCCACACACTCACTTTTCGTCCCTGAGTGTATTTGAAAGCGTCATGCTAAAGGAAGATTGGATAGCTACAGCAGGTTCCTAATACCTCTACATATGCCATTTCCTGTTTTCTTATTCTGCATGACCACACACATGTCGTCACTAGTATGACCGGAGAGATTGCTTAGAACCTCACTTATACTCCGAGATCTACTATAAAATAACTTGATATCCACGTCCAGTCCATTCATCGTAACTGATCTCCCAACCCAGAATTTACCACATTTCAAACCTACTAATCATCATACATCTACGATGTCGAACTTCGTGCACAAAGTCAAAGACGCTATAACAGACCACGACAAACCCGTAACTCGCAGCCAGGCCTCCGAGAACCGTACCCAAAATACAGCAAATCCCTTCACGTCTACCTACAAGGGCCAGAACGCCCCAGCCCCAGGAATGAATAACCCCGATACTGCAACAGAGTCCTACACTAGCACCCAGCCCAGTTCTAACATTCGCAACTCTTCCTCGGCGCCTGATACCTCCTCCAGCGCTAGCTCCCCCGATATCAACGCAGGACCGCATAACTCGAAGATCGCTAATAAAATGGACCCGCGCGTTGATAGCGATCTAGGTACGACCTTAATAGTAGCGAGGAAGCCTCGCCACGAGACGTAATGGCTAACTCATAACCAGACCACCGCGCTCAAGCTCAAGCCCCGATCGGATCTCAGAGGCAAACTGGTACTACCAACATGGGCCGCATGGATCCGAGCAATACAGCTCAGCAGCAGCGCATGAATCCGAATACCATGCCAACTCAACAGCAAGGCATGAATCAAAACGCCATGCCAACTCAACAAGGCCAAGGTCTAGACACCCACAGCTCAAGCGAAGACACATTCAGCAAGTCAACAAAAGAACACCACACCCAGCATCAACCAGGCCAATTCGGCTTCGACAATAGTCCTACCCTCGGCCAGGAACAAACTTTCGATGAAGACTTCAGCTCCTCGACCCAGGAAAATAAGTCTCATAAATCTACTAGCCATGTTGCTCCTTGTACCACCGCGGCTGGTGGGCAGCAGCAAATGGCTCAGAGTAGTAGTGGCCAGCCAATGGCCCAGGGTAGCGGCGGGAACTTTGGCGGAAGTGCAGTTGGTGGTAGTAGTAGTGTGAATGCGGCGCCGGATCAAGTGCAGTATAACCCGCGCCAGAAATTTAGGACTGAGGATGGTCCAGTGCAGGGGAATGTTAGTGACCAGCGTGGGGGATATTAAGTTAGTGTAATTTAAAGTGTCGGGTTGATTGTCGTGCGGTTTCGAGTTTTGGGTAGTATTGATATTAGTATTGGACTGACGACTTTCTGCTTTGAAGTTCTTGGCTGGAGAGATTGGTATTGCTACTATTCGGTTGTGGTTTCTATTAGGGACTTTTATCACTAGTTGCTGCTGATTTAAAATGATATTTGTTTTCATTAAAATTAGAGATTTTCGACGCCACCTGCTCCGTGCGTATGTATCTATGAGAAGAGAACCTAACTGTCGTAGATAGGTAAATGAAGGAGGAGAGGGGGGTAATTTAATACAAAGAGGTGGGATATGTAAATGAAACATGGCTAAGAAATGAAAATGTGCGGGGAGTCAAAGTCCAGGTAAAGTAGCCCAGAAACTTGAAGATCATCATGATCAAGAGAATCAAGACCTTTAATGAGTCTTTCCAAGACTCTGGAGATTAACCAGCTCATAATACCTCCCCTTATTCCTCAACAACTCCGAGTGCGTTCCGCTTTCAACAATACGCCCTTGATCAAAGACGTAAATGATATCCGCCTTCTGGATCGTACTGAGACGATGCGCGACGGCAATCGTCGTCCGTCCCTTCGCCGCTGCATCCAGCGCAGCCTGGACAACTTTCTCGGACTCGGAGTCTAGCGCCGAGGTAGCTTCGTCCAGCAGGAGGATTTTCGGGTTCCGCAGCAGCGCGCGGGCAATTGCTACACGCTGCTTCTGGCCTCCGGATAACATCCCGCCCTTACTTCCGACAATAGTCGCGAAGCCGTCACTGCGAAAATGTTAGCTATTGCTACTGCACCAGGCAGCAAGAAGGGAAGGGGAGGGAAACTCACGGAAGAGACATGATAAAGTCATAAATATTCGCATCCTTGCAAGCCTTAACAAGCAACTCCTCCGCAACATCATCAGCCTCAATACCAAGCAGAATATTATCCTTGATCGAGCCCTGATAAAGCGTCGGCTCCTGCGACACAAGCGCCAAATGCTGCCGATAAGAATTAACATTCAAATTCGCGATGTTCTTCCCATCAACAAACACGCCCCCAGAAAGCGCGTCGTAGAACCGTTCCAAAAGCGCAATAGTCGTACTCTTTCCACACCCACTCGGCCCGACGAGCGCAATGTACTGGCCCGGCGCAACGCTCAGATTCAGCCCGCGCAACACAGGCTGCTCCGGCCGTGTAGGGTATCGGAAATGCACGTCGCGGAATTCGATCGTGCCGTCGCAGTTATCCAGCGCACCGCCTTCCTCAGACCATGTATCGATAACGGGTCTGCGATCGAAGAGTTTTCGAAACTCGTACGCCGCATTCTTGGCTTTACCCATGTCGGGCGAGAAACTGAATACCGTGCCAGCGGACTGGGCGCCGAAGAGAATCTCGCTGAAGCAGACGAAGAATTGGAAGGTTGTGTATTCGTTTTTGCCGAGGAGGGTGCCGCCGTACCAGAAACCCAGCGCGACGCAGAAGAAGACGAGCGCTTGCGACGCGGCGTAGAGCAGGGACGACTTGAAGATGGAGATCAGGCTTGCGCGGCCTTGCGCGTCGAGTTGGCCGTGGTAGATGGTCCAGACGTCTGATTCGCGCGTTAGCGATGCAACGGTTCGGATGGCGGATGTGGCTTCGCAGGCGTAGCTGGCGGATCCTTCGTAGGCTGTCTTTGAGCGCTGCTGGAATGCGGCAAGCATGTAGAAGCGGTAGAAGCCACAGGCCAGGAGGACGGGGACGACGGAGATGCAGACTAGGGCTAGTTTCCAGCCGAAGGAGAGGGAGATGACGATGGCGGCGATAAGGGTGGTGGAGGTCATTAGGATTGTTCCGAGGGTTGTTCCGCTGATGCCAGAGAGGTGCTTCGTTTCGGTGGAGAGGAAGGAAGTCAGGGCGCCGGTGGAGTTCTCTTCCTTGTCGAAGAAATTGATGTCCTGGCGGAGCATGATGCGGAAGGCCTTTGCGCGGGCTTTGCAGATCAGGCGCTCGGAGCAGTAGGCGAATGCGACGCCGTGGATGGAGAGTGTGATGAATTGCGCGATTCCGACAACGAAGAACATCAAGGACCAGAAGTTGGCGTCCTTGCGGAGCTCGGCGTATTGGCTTGCGGGCCTGGATAGAGCGGTGATGGCTTTGGCGTAGAGGAAGGCTTGGGTTGGTTGACCGCCGCCGCCGAGGATGGAGAAGAAAAGACCGATAATGAGGTATTTCCATTCAGCTCTGTTGAAGGAGGCAATGAATTTGATCAAGGTCCAGAGGGAGTACTTTCCTACGCCCTCGGTGCCAGTCTTGGCGAGAACCATGCTGGAGACGGATTTGCGAGTGTCGGCGCGTTGGATGGAGTTATCGTTGGTGAGGGTTCTCGTTGGCACGGCTTCGTCCTTGGGCTTTCCGCTGGATGAGGCGCTGGCGTAGGACTTGATGCGGGCGATTTCTTGCTTCTCGTAGGGTTCGTCGGAGTCTTCGTCATCCTCTTCAGCCAGTGCGTCCGCCTCCTTCTCTTCGTTGATGCGTTGCGCCTCGACGAGCTTGAAGTAGGGGCCGTCCAGCTCCAGGAGGTCGTCGTGAGTTCCTTGTTCGACGATCGATCCATTGACGAAGACAACAATGTTATGCGCGGTCTTGATGGTGGACAAACGGTGAGCAATGACAATGGTGGTGCGGCCTTCAGCAGCACGGTCAAGAGCTGCTTGCACAACACCTTCAGACTTGGTGTCCAGAGCGGAAGTCGCCTCGTCCAGCAGCAGGATCTTCGGGTCGGAAACAACAGCGCGGGCAATGGCAATACGCTGCTTCTGACCACCAGAGAGCAAGAAACCGCGCTGACCAACATTAGTCTCGTAACCCTCGGGCAGAGCCATGACGAAGTCGTGGGCATTAGCCATCTTGGCAGCATCTTCAATCAGATTCCGGATCTTTTCCTCGGATTCATTCTCGAAGCGAGTTCCAATGAGACCGTGGCGGATGTTCTCGTAGATAGTCGTTCCGAAGAGAATAGGCTCCTGGCTAACCAGCGAGATCTGTTGACGCAACCAGCGCAAGTTCAATTCTTGGATATCGTGACCGTCAAGATAGACATTACCGCCGACGGGGAGATAGAAGCGCTCCACAAGGCCGACAATGGTACTCTTTCCCGAACCAGAGGGACCGACCAGCGCAGTGGTCTTACCGGCGGGGATCTTCAGGGAGACATCTTGCATGACAGTCACCTCGGGGCGGGAGGGGTAAATGTGCTTGACGTTGCGGAACTCAATATCACCATCGACATGGTCGAGAGTCAGTCCCTCATCGCTTGTAGGATCCACAGGCGAGACACGGTCAATAGTACCAAAGATCTTCGACGCGGCCGCGACAGCATTGGTGAACGCCTGGCCGTTGGGAGCAACATTACCCAGACTGAAGGAACCGATCAAGATAGCCATCAGGATAGTAAGAACCTGGCCGACATTCACGTCGCCGGCAACGAGATACCGCGATCCCATCCAGAAGCCGAGACCGTAGTTAAGGAACATGATGCCGAACATAGCGCCGACCATGACGCCCAGCGCCATCTGCAGGCGCATACCCCAGCGTTCTGCAACACGAAGGTGCACCTCGTACTGCTTGGCCAATTTATCCTGGGTGCCGAAAGCAGTCGCGTTGCGAATCGAACTGATGACTTCTTCGGCGACGGTACCGCCGGCACCGTAGCTTTCCAGCGAGAGTTTGCTATACTTGATGATGAACCGGGATCCACCGCCCATAACCAGCACCAGGGCGACGATGGTTGAGGTACAGATACCTGCCAGACGGGCATATTTGATGTATGCCACGATAAAGGCCGTGACAAAGGTCGCGAGAGCGGTTAGCGTGAGGCCGACCTTCTCAGAGACACCATCCTGGATGAGATTGGTATCAGCCGTGATGCGGGTCGTGACCTCGCCAGCGCCGAGTTTATCAAAGTAAGCGATATTCTGGCGCAGGATGGCCTGGAGGTAGTGTTCGCGGATTTTCTGGGTGATGTGTTCGCCGGTATAGATGAAGCCGATAGTGCTGACGTAAACGGTGACGAACTCGGCGATACCGAGGTACACAAAGTACAGGACGTTCTTGGTGAGCTCATGGTAGAATTGATCATAAGTGTAATTGCCGATGCCATTGTTGGCCAAAGTAATCTGCTGGAAAGCCGTAGCCAATGCGCCGAAGAGGATGGTGAAGAGAGGCATCGCGGCACCGGCGACAATGGCGCAGAGAGCGCTGACGGCTAGGATGAGTAAATCGTTGCGCGATGCATAGCGGTACAGGCCAAACCAGGAGATCGCAACGGTAGGTGCATGGAGCTGTAATTTCAGGATTTCCTGCTCGTGTGGTGGGAGGTGGGCGAAGAGCGCATCCTCGTCGTCTGCGGTGACGGCGGAACTGGGTGTACCCTTGGAGCCATTGGAACCGCTTTTGGAGCCATTCTTTGAGGTGGAGGTAGTCGAAGCAGCATCATCAAGTGGTTTTTTTTTCTAGGCTGTCTGGTGCGATGACCTGACTGGGGACCTTTTCGACGGCGACCACGCCCTCCTCGGGTTGTTGCATGACTGCAACTAGTTATTTGCGAGGCCCACTATTTTTTTTTGTCTGGTGGAGCTAGCAGCTAGACCATCCAGGAGCCGAACACGAGGTTGGCAGGGGCACGACAATGGTGCAGGTTAGAGCGCAGTTGGAACCGATTGGCGCAAGGATGTAAGGGGTCGGGGGATTAATTCAGTGTCGGATTGATAGATGATAGGAGAGAAAAGAAGAGTGGGCGTAAGGGAGAGAGGTGGGTATAAAATGGAAGAAAAGAAGGAAGAATGAAAGAAGGAAGGAATGGGAGAAACTCGCGAATGAGCAGGTCGGGCTAGCTTGTGAATATATAAAGATCAAGAATATCGGAGCAAATAGTCACCGAGTGGAGGAAACGTCTAGATTTTGCGTATTCGAAGAGCCCAAGCGTATCCAAAAGGGAGAAATGGAATGAAAATGGGGGGTGCTACTAGTCAAAGTGGATCATCGGTGGGCCGGAGATGCCACTCTCCGGTTTTGCATTATTTCTAGTACTCCGTACACAACTACCGAATATGGTAACATGCTAGACTATAGATAGTTATAGGAATGTATTCTGTTATTTAGGTACCTGGATAGTCGGATACCTAGGTATATACTCCGATCCTGATATTATTCCCATGATATTATTCCCATGATATTACCCTGTACAACCACTTTATCTCCTCCGTATAGTCTGTCCGAATTTTAGTCCTGAACCCGATACTAGTACTTTATTCATCTCTCGGGCCCACGCATGCACGCACCCGCGCGCCCGTGGAGTGGCTGCAAGTCGCTGGGAGCCGCTGGAACTCGCCCGTTTCGGTATCTAGCGATGCCTGAATGCGGCTAGATGAGTCCGCGTAATAGAACCACAGATATCGATAGCACTCCCTTTCCATGCTTGGATGCCTAATTCATTATTTATTATCATGTGGGAGTACCCCATATATCCAAGGCAGTCACCTAATGGAAGTGCGTTGTGCTTATGATTGTAATGCGATCGCCTAACTTAGGTAGCCCTAAATCGGTCCCTCCTATGTACTGCATCTAATGTATCTACGGACTCGGAGTTCGGGCTATGCATGAAATGTAGATAACTTGTGTATGCGAAAATACGCAGATCCTGCTGTTCCCAGCGTCCAAGATTTCCCCTTCCAATGAGCCCACCTGACACACACACAGATCGCGTTGGTATGGCCGTGATTGGTGGATCGGGACGGTGGACCGGACTGCTTACCGAATGGAACATGAATGATTCACCCCGTTGTCGTTTAGGATCGGGGTCGGTGACTCAACCTCCGTCATCCGTCGCATAGAGCTCGTGTTCGCGTTGACTCGAATTCGGCTCCAACCTGGTTTTGGATTTGGATCTCCAATACTTGCTTGCGTTCAAGGATCAGGATTCATCCTGCATTTCGGAGATGGCGGTGTGTGGTGTACTTTTCGTAGGGTCTCCAATGTTGGTGGCCTAATCTACTCATCCCGGGTCAGAGTGATTGCCCGGATAGATTGTGCTCCGGGGTTTGCATTGTGAAGCATCTATCTAATCTAGGAACATCGAGTTGCCTTCAAAGTTCCCAAGGGGTTTCCAAGGTTGTGGGTGGCTAATGTGTATCACGTGGCAAGTAAAATTCTGCCTACTACCACCGCCCGATGGTTATACTTGATTACATCATCCACATGACATAATGATCAGAGTCACCTGACGCACAAGCGAAGGGCTTGGCCAAGCCCTGCCGCACACAAATCATCCGCACTCGAGGAATCTTGCCCAACTCATCCAGCTCATCGCGTTCAAGCCTTCAAGATGCCGGTCAGTAACCACCCACCTACACGACAGATCCTACCTGAACCCTTGATCTTTTTCCTCTCGCCACGTTCCCTCGCCATCGCCTCGAATTTTTGAATTTCTCCCGGATAACTAACCCTTTTCGCACCAACAGAGCCACAAGACCTTCCGCACCAAGCAAAAGCTTGCTAAGGCTCAGCGCCAGAACCGCCCCATCCCTCAGTGGATTCGCCTGCGCACTGGCAACACCATCAGGTACGCGCGACCTTGTTCGGATCCGCTCGACTCAGCTCCGATTTCGTTTCGTTCCGTTCCGTCAAGTTCCATGTTCAGTTCAAGTCTCGTCGAAAAATATGCAAACATTAGTGAGGAGGAAAGGAGAAAGGGAACAAGGAAGGAACTCAGCTCCCACAAATCGACCACAATATCGCCGCGCCAACATCCCACCAGAACAAACCAGAGACCGAACAGAACAGAACAGAACGAATGATGAAATCGGAGCAGAGCCGAGTCATGATCATCCGCATCATCCCAAACTAAACTAACAATTCTACCAGATACAACGCCAAGCGTCGCCACTGGCGCAAGTCCTGCCTGAACGTCTAAGTTCAGGTCCCGACTTGGACTGGAGTTGAATTATCCGACCACGCCTCAATCACGACACCGCTACGATGCCTTGTGCTCGATAACATTTGTTTCGAATTCGAATTCGACGTGCCGGCCCCTACCCATACCATCGACTGAATCCTTGGATCGCGATGGCAGACAATTTCTTATGATACGATACTCGGGCACCCGGCCGTCCGGTGAAATGTGCGGCGGGCGGGTTTTTTCTTATTACAAAAATGATGGAATCAATTGATGTCTCCCTTTCTTGCTGATTTTGACTCTTTCGTACTGTACTCTTGACTCGACGATACGATACTCGACTCGACTCGACCCCGTAGCCGGTCGGGTTTGGATCTGTAGCGACTTTGACTGTGTTCTTTCCTGGCACTCATGGGTCTAGGTCGACAGGGTCTGTTTGCCATTCAGTTCTATTGGGGAGAGAACTGGAGCTGTCACGATGTAGACGCCGATCAGATCCCTCGGTGCCGTCGCTTGTCAAACAGTACAAGCTTGCAGATTCACCCGGCTGATGAAGATCAGTGCACCTGGGCATCTAGATCGTATGTCTCTCTTCGCAGCTTGATTGAGGCTGGAATCGTGACCCCGAATCTCCCGTAGGAATGTAGACCTCTCGGACTTGAAAGCCTGCAGTGATGTACTGCGAGTAGTGATATCGAATCAGGGCCGGGCCGTGGTGGTACTGAGTAGTGGCGGGCCGATATATGTTGCCCGCACTCCAGGGCTGGCATGTGGTCATGGGTCCCGACTCGGAGGTCACGGACCGATACGCGTGCCCAGGTGAGCATCCATGGTGTTCAAGTTGGTCTGCCACTTCAGGGCTGCACCGTGACCGTGACCGGGCGTGACCTAGGGAGGTCATGGCTCGGGTCATGCTGCAAATACTAGTATCGTGAAGAACTCCAGTGAAGTATTGATTAATATCAGTAGTACTAATAATAACTAAGGCTCCAGGGTTGAATTGAATTTATATCCCAGATATATAGTACCTAGTTATACTCCAGGGCTAGTTCATAACCTAGGTATGTCCAAGTTCATGTAGGCATTCAGCCCAAAAGGAACTTGAACTTGAAAGTAACTAAATAGTACTACCAAGGGAGAACTAATAGAGCAATAACCCCCCAAAGATATATACAAGAAACCGAGAAAAGAAATATCTCCAAGATCCAACTTCACCAGATCAGACCAGTAAATTAAATTACATCATATCACTAACCGAATTAAACAAGAATGTACTTATGAAGATTAGATATCATTCCACCCAGTCCAGACCCAGCCCAGCCACACTCCAGCCCCGACTCGGACCAAAGTAGAGTTAGAGTAGACGAGAGCAAGAACAGCAAGGCAGAAAGCTCCCACAACGATTTTATTTGCACCTCCGCCGAACAGACCAAACGCCCAACCCCCTCCTCCCAACAACCCGGCCGAGCGTCTCCCGAACCCCGTCCTCGGCGAAATCCATATCGTCAAGGTTAAGGTGTTGGCGATACGACCACAGGCGGTAGAGCTGGAGATCCGCGCTTTCCGCCCCGGACAAGTCGGGGATGTACGCGTCAAGGAACGTTGCCGATACAGGCGCGACCAGATAAACCGGGGACAAAGAGCCACAGCTTGGCACGGACGAGTCGAGGCGTGATATCATCTCCGACCCCGGGATGCCCATGAGATCGAATGTGGAGATTGACGATGTGTTGAGGGCTGCGTCTGCGCCTGCGGGGCCATTTGCATGATCTTCTGCGCCCAGAAGCCAGTGCGGCGGAGAGTATGTTTTCCACCAGAAGACGCTTGCTTCGGGCGCGGATTTGATGCCCTGTGCGGCGGTGTTGGTGGTTATTATTTCGCGCATGGCGAGTTGGGCTGGGACAATTCCGCCTTGGTGGTAGACACCCATTAAGAAGCCCATGGCTGCATTGAAGATGATCCATGTTGCGAGGAAGAGGCGGTTGCGGTGCATGCGTACGCAGCTTAGGAGGAGGGGGACGCAAGGCAGGAGGAAGCGTGGTTCTTGGTGGGGGAAGATTGAGAGGATGAATGTTGCGCTGATGGCCGAGAGGGCGCGGGCGTTTCGCATTGCGAAGGGGATGATTGGTCGGCTGAAGAGGGAGAGGATCATGACTATGTATGCTGGGCCGAGGAGCTGGGTTAAGTTTGCGAGGAAGTGTTGGTGGTGGGGGTGGATGCCATGGAGTGCGAGGTTGCTTTTGTCGGTGTTGTAGAGGATGTTGTTTAGGGGTGTTATTATGGGGTCGCGGATGATGGAGAGGATGGATGCGGTGGGTCGGTAGAAGCTTGTGTCTATGTAGATTGCTGTCAAGGAGAAGAGGAGACCGAAGCCGATGATTGCTGCTAGTGACGCGGGTCTGGATGGTGTTAGAGTGGGATGCTGGTGGGCATGGATATGGCGGGGGAAACTGACTTGCGCTGGAAGTATGGCAGTAATTGAAGACCCGGGAATAAGAGGAAAGCTGGGAAGGTGATACGGTTGAAGACACCGACCACGGCGATGAAGGAGAAGACGGCGTATGAGAAGTAAGAGGAGCGTTGCTGGAGTCTGTCAGTACGTATGGCACGGCGCGGCGCAAAACAAAGTCGCGCAGATTGGTAACATAGCACCAGGATAGGGTGTAGAGGGCAGACGGCACGAACCTTGTTCTCGACAATGCGCCGAATCAGAACCAGTCCCCAGGCTACCAACAGGGTCTCGAGGGAGTTGGAGAAGGTGTGCGTCTGATATGTCCAGGTGACATATGATGAAGCAACCAACACGACCGTCGCGCGCCGGTGACGCGGCGAAGGTACCAACTCATAGATGGCCCAGTCTTCCAGTACAAAGCTGAGCAGGAACATCCCCGCGCGCAGCGCATAATAGACCAACTGTGGCGGCGGGCTTCCCGACCCGATCTCTGTGTAGAACCATTTCAGTAGGCTCATGGGCACCTCGTAAATGGGCCATAGCGGGAAGACGCTGCGGATGGGGAGGGAAGAGGTGAATTCCCATGGTAGCTGCGAGGGGTATGCTAGGACGCGACCTGTAGAGGTGGGAGTTAGCGCAATGTTTGAATCACATTGTGGTGGTGATGCGATTGCGATGGGATGCGCGGATGCGCCGGGGTAGGATGCGACTCGGACGCGATTACGAAGGGGGCAAGCAATGTTGCGCCTTTGAGCGCATAGATTGGCGCGATCAACGCGTCGCAGCGATGATTGAACCGGGGGAAGGTGATGGGGCTGTGGGATGATACCTGCAAAGACCTCTGGACCCTGGAAATGCTCATCGGGGTGGAGGTAGCTTGGCGACAGGGCGAAGTAAACACGGATGAGCAATAAGAGCAAATAGGTTCGTCTCCACATGGTTCATATGGACATGCTGAAAGGATGAAAGGGAATGAAAGGAGGGAGGTCGAGGTGAAAGGGAAAACTTGAAGTGTAGGGTCAAGTGTAAAGTAGTAAGTGAAAAGTTGAAATGTTTGACAAGGGGGGGGAAGTCGGAGGGGAGTGGATGATATCAGCCGCACTTGATAGTTTACACTGTACACAGTGTACTAGTAGACCTGTATATTGTATACAGAGTACTGTATATTCTACTAGTACTAGAATTAGAATTAATCATGTTGTCATGATTAACAGTAGAATAATTATCACTATAGTAACTATAACTATAACCATAACTACCTTAAGGTATATCGTGGTCTATCTATAGGACTACTTATTAGTCATACCACCGCATCGTGTACTACCTGTACTAGTAACTATCAAGTAACTGTGACCTCTAATATAGAATAAGATAAAATATTCTATCATTTGTCTCTTAGATAATATTAACCTTGGAACTACTAACTACAAAGACTTCAGCCTAGTCATAGCGAGGGTCTGCCTATTTCAGTGGGGGCCGCCCTCAATGGAGCTGCGGCGGACTAAAACAAAAGGCGCCCCTCCGTTTTCAACCTCCGACTTCCCTTCCTCTTCACTTTCCAAGGTTCTCACTTCTCACTTCCCATCCACTTTCAAACTTGAACATTCCAAAGTCAGCTTCACCCTAATCTGCAGCTACCAGCTACCAGCTACCATCTGCATCTGCTACTCACCATCCCGCACATCTAACTCTCGCTCCAGACGTCACTGAAACCTCCGCCACTCCACATCACCACTTTCACAATGGCTACTCCCCAGATCACTCTCACCAGCTCCGATGGTGTCGATGTCACCGTTGGTACGTACAAACCTCCATTTCCCATTGACTACGCCACCCACTAACCCCTTCCCCAGAGCGCACCGTCGCTGAGCGATCCGTTCTGATCAAGAACATGCTCGAGGATCTCGGTGACTCCGGCGAAGCCATCCCCATTCCCAACGTAAGTCACTTGCATTCGAAGTTCCCATTAAATCTGCAAAGCAATGCCAGAGAAGACCAGAGCACAGCAGGCCAGAGCACAGACGCGCAAACGAGACCGGTCGCAGACCCAAGCTAACCCAATACCCCACCCCGCAGGTCAACGAGGCTGTCCTCCGCAAGGTCATCGAGTGGTGCGAGCACCACAAGAACGACCCCCCCCACCGCCGGCGACGAGGACGACAACCGTCGCAAGACCAGCGATATCGAAGAGTGGGACCAGAAGTTCATGCAGGTCGACCAGGAGATGCTTTTCGAGATCATTCTGGTGAGTTTCTCCAGGCGCCTGCTTGCTACCGCGCGCCCGCGGTGAAAGTGAAAACCAAACATTCCCAACCATTAACTAACCATTTTCTTTCAATTTTTTCCAGGCCGCCAATTACCTCGACATTAAGGCTTTGCTAGACGTCGGCTGCAAGACCGTCGCCAACATGATCAAGGGCAAGTCCCCCGAGGAAATCCGCAAGACCTTCAACATCCAGAACGACTTCACTCCCGAGGAGGAGGACCAGATCCGCCGTGAGAACGAGTGGGCCGAGGAGTGAGTTTTAGTTCCCTTTCATGCGGCTGTGCTGGACCCTGCTAACCACGTCTTTCTTTCTAGCCGCTAAATCTCAAAAAGCCTTTACGTTATGACCCTCATGTTTCGCTCAAATATCTTGGATCGAATCCCCGCCTATTCCAGATTGGGCGCTAGGCCTGTGCTGGGCTGTGCTGGGCTGTACTGGGCTACGCTGCGCTGTGGCCTGGTAATGTGCGTCCTCTTTGTCTCACGGAGTTCGGTTAGCGGTCGTCCTTTTATTTTCCATTTTCATTTTCTTTCGCTGTTGTTTTTTTCTTTGCTACACCCTCTACGACTGGTCATGGTCAGGTCATGGAAATCTGAAATAAATCTCTTGCTCTGTCTCTTCTCTCTGTACTGTATACTGTGACGTACTGGGCTTTGCTGTGCGTAGGTACATATTGTAGTTAGTAGATGGGCTGCTTGCTTGCTTCTCAATCATTGGTATATTCTCCCCTCTTCTAATTCCTCGATATCCTCTGATGTAAAAGTACAATGTCCTATCGGTCCACTCGTAGATACAGCCCCCCATCTAACGGGTAAGATACTCATATCATACCCAAGATAATCCAAACCAGGCCTGTCTTCTTTGTTGTCTTCGGCTTGGCCCCGGCCTTCATTTGCCAGGCCATCCAAGCCCGTCATATCCTCATCTCGGCGCAATTGGGATTGAGATCGAGATTCAGACACAGCACTAGCGCTCCTCCCTCTTCCACTCCCATCCCCATCCCCATCCTCATCCCTATTAGGATCAAACCCAACCTGACAAGCAGCAGCAATAGCAAAACTACAACTCCCCACAACAGGCATCCCACCCTTAACCCTCCGATCCCCAAGGAAAAGCACAACAAGACACATAACAAGCCCAATAACAATCGAACTAACCGTCGCCACGGCCGAAAACCCACAAGCGATGAAATCCTCCCCAGCCACGCGCTCCATGTCGGCGCTGAATACCTCGATCCCGACCGTGAACAGAGACTCTGATATCAGCCAGTGCAGAACGGCGGATGTGGTTAGTAAGGGCGCGGCGTAGCGGTAGGGGATTGTTAGGAAGTATGTGCTTCGTTGGGAGTAGATGGGGTTGTTTGAGACGCGGAGGCCTTTGCCTTTGCCTGGAGAGGAGGACTGGTAACTGCTCCATTCTTCCGCGCTGCAAATCGAGGTGAGAACGCTGTTTGTGGCGAAGTAGAGGATTGAGTTTATTAATTGGGGCGAGTTGGTGATGAGGACATTTGGGATCAGGCTTTCGGGCCAGTTGCCGAATTTGCCGGTTAGGAGGGTGCCGGTGTTTATGGTGTGGAGGGGGGCTGTCCAGATTGGTGCGTAGCCTAGTTTTGATACCCAGCCTGTTAACCAGACGAAGGCGATGCTGCCCACGGATAGGGTTGTGAACCACCTAAGGTTTTGCCGGGGTGTTAGAGAGGAACTTGAAGGAAGATAGGAATACTATAGTAGGGCGAAGAGGATTGGGAGAGGAGAGTACTATGCTCACTCGACTCACATTACTGCAGTAGAGTGTAGACTTAAAGTAGAAACGGCATTATATCGTCTCATTCGATCTTTTTCAATGGTCTTTTGATACATGAATGTTCCATTCTCGATCTGTTGAGCGAAGGGCCCGATAAGTCGTGCTGCTTCGGATCTGGTTATCAAGCAACATCGTCGAGAGTAGATATCCGGTCGACGTAAGAACGATGCGACTGCATCTCCAATTGTTAATAAAGGTGGATCATCGTGCGGTAAGCCCAGCCATATGTATAGCAGGACCACGCACTTGACCGTATTGAATCCGATAATAATGAACACCAGCGGCAATGAATATTGCAGCTTGCTATGCTGGGGCTCGTTTTGAGCAAGGCAATAGTCGACTTTGTAGTAGCTTTTGCTGATGGTAGGCGCATGGCTAGTACCATTAGTACTAGTAGTGGTAGTGTTGACTGTGACGGTCCAATTATTTCGTCCTCCTTGAGATCGGAGATCAGGTAGGTATTTGCTACAGTCTCTTTCTGATACATACCCCTCACATAACCAAGTATACGGCTCGTTCACCCCTGGATGAAATACTCGTTGATTGGAAATAAGATCGTATGTGCTGTCATTGCTGCCATTCTTCCCCTTGATACTGTCTGTAACTAAGAGGAAAGCCGTATATCCCGATTGAAAGGTCTGCCCTAATGCATTGATGCAATCGACACGGCTGAGATTATGCAGAGAGCCATTCTGGGCAACTTGGTAGAATGCATGTAATGGCGCGTTGTAAGATGAGTTGGTTAGACGGAGGTTTTTGAAATCTCGAGTTGTTTCGAAGGCTTCTCCAGCGAAGACGTTATATGCGGCGACTGATTGTGTGAGGAAGATTGTTGAGTTGTATCTATTCCTGCGGTCAGTACTAGCATAATCTATCGCCATAACTGTTCCAAGGTTTTTAAACCGTGTTTCGTACACTAAATGGAAAGGCAGAGAGGAAACTGCCAGACAAACCCATGATACCAAGCGACGCTTGGATACTTGGAATAAGTTCCGCATGCTGGGTACACCGATGTCGAGCCATTTACCCCTCCGGTGAGCTTGGTCTATATCTTGTCTTGTTGGTGCAACTAGGCATTGCTATGCATGGTTGGTTTGATTAGCTAGAACAGGCGAAAGGAATCTCTTGTACGTACCATTCCAAAATTACTCGCACTTAGCAGAGCCGTACTGAGGAGATTAACAAGGAAGTGAAGACCGACGTTCAAACGGTGAACCTTTTCGTAGTCGCCTTCGTATAATACGCCCTTTTGGTCCTGTTGTTCGTGATGTGCCGCTGTGTAGAGTAAGAAACCCGTGTTGAAAAGGAGGACGACCACGCTTGCTATGAATGCGAGGAATATGGTGAATTTCCATTTCTCAAATTGTGTGCGTTTGATAAGGGGCTTGTTATTGTTCTTCTTTAGATGGATTCCGTCAAGCAGTGCCTGTGTGCTTTCTGAGTTGATGTCTTGGTCATGACTATGGGTGTTGAGTAGCGTCTCTCTGCTTTCATGATGGTGGAATACCGGTAAGAGCTCATCATTTTGCGGAAAGGGGGTCATTCTGCATTTATCTTCTCTTTCCGGGTGATAGGTAGTGGATAGTGCCGGTCTTGATAGTGAGGTAGGAAGCGCTGGGGTGTATATCGAGATAGTGGCTTACGCTGGTTTAATAAGGCATCTATTACACAGAAATGGTAACACAGTCTTCATGGGACTGGCAATCTCACGTCAGTAGATACTGGGATATTCTCTGATATTGTTTAAGAATAGGTCGACTCGCTGGGATGAGTTGAACGAATTCAATGACGATTAAGTACAGGAAGTAGCCGGCTGCTTGCTCCTCCAATTATCGGTAGATCCTCCCTTCTGGTTCCTCGCCATCCCTGGTGTAAACTGCAATGTCCTATAGGTCTACTTGTAGTCACCACTATCGATGCTCATATCATATCCATGACAAGAATCAAAATCGGGTCCGTTTTCTTTGCTATCCCCCTATTAGTCTCTCTTTACCAGGAAGCTCGCCATTTCTCGCGACCGTGCTTCGCCCATGTTTTGCGACATGAAGCTGCGGAAGAAGTACACGTATCATTGTTCCACAAAGAGGAAAAAACCCCGTGCATTCAAAGCAGAAGTGATTTCAGAAGCGTGGCGAGTACTCGGAGCTGGATTGATGGCTGACGGCTGTGGTGCGGGAGCGGTGGTGGTGGTGAGCCTTAGAAGTGGAACTCTGAGCTTCATGAAGTACTGCCAGCTGCCGGTAGCTTGTATCAATGAATGGGAATAGACTGCACACTTTGGCGCGGCGGTCGGTGAATCGCCCTGCTTTTTCAATCTCATTTCTATTGATGGTTGAGTTTCATTGACCTCGGGCTCCACTAGCATTCGAGGTTCAGGTTGATCTTGAGCTTCGGCTTGACCCGAGTCCTGAGATGAAGTCGGTATACGGGCACCAGTCCGGCGACGTAGATGAAATCACCTCTCCTTCCTCGTCGTCACATTCGGTGAGCAATCGTATCCGTAATCGATGCAGCGGTCGCATTTTTGCGAAGGCCAGGTGCGATCGAGAGGAAGGCACTATATCTGATTCTGTTAATTCCATGGCACTCCTCCGCGCTGGGAGAAGAGCGGTGGTTCAAAAAGTAGGGGCTGGTACCTTTTTCTTGTCATTTAGACACTGAATGCACTTGGAATATTGAAATTGTTGAGGCATAGTCACAATGAGGATAGAAATTTGGCATCGAGATAGAGTGATGGGGTTGTTGGAAGAACTGATTCAAGATGGGGTGAAAAGCTTCAAGTGAGATGGTGAGGAGTTATAAAATAGGAAGAAAGGGGGGGTTCATGGCCCTATTTAAATTTTGGCCCCAGTGCCGTGCTAAAAACTTCAAGTTAAACCGTCCAAGCTAGCTAGTCTAAATGTTCAACAGTCCAAGTTAACCTTGGTGATGGCGATCTGGACGTTTGTCTTGGGAACTTGAACATGGACCTCATAAAATGGGGCTGAAAATAGGAATTGTCTTGACGAGTTTAACCAGCACTGCGACTGTGAATGCGACTGTGACTGCGACTACAACTACGACTTTCATCATCCTCCGGGATTAAACAGATCAATCGATTAAAATACCTACTAGATACCTAGGTATAGTTAAACTTTTCCCCCAAAAGGTTATTTGCCTACTGTCAAGGATACGACCAGCAAAGACAACTTGTTTAACACGCCAAAAATATATTTTAGCAAGTGCTGCGACCGGCAAAAAAAGACAGTTTAACTTGGACTGTTCAACCGAGACAATTGAACGCTGTTTGGGCTGGGCTGGGCTGCTGAGCGCTCAGGCCGGTTAGTTTAGATCGTTTCAGTTGGGCTGTTTCCAAATGGCAAAGTGAATATTGTCTCATATATTACGAGTAGTCCTATACATTATAAAGCCTTACTTTAATCTGGAAGAATCATGGGGAAATTTGGTAAATCACCTGGGCATGAAGGGGATTCATTGGTAGGTAGCTCGTCTGTCCGATACTAGTACGCATGCACCAAATGGTACTATCAGGCGCTTGCTTTGCTCTATTAAAACTTGAACCGTCCTTAATTTATTCCTATGTGCGTGAATGGCCAGGATCATTTCCTTTTACTGCGAGTCCCATAATAGAGCAGAAATCAACCTGCTATTCGATAAAGATTGGCGTCGTGGATCTCGAATCTGTTCATTGGGGAGGGCTAACATGACGTAATGCATCATCGACACCTTGTTTAATAGCACAAAGGAAGAGGACCGACAAGTCCAACAGGCTATGGCGAGTCGAAGTATTGAATAGGCTCAAGCCATATTATCCCGAAGAGGCTGGGAAGGCCTTCCAACTTACGACTTGGACTACGCGAAGTCGAGACTTGAATATGGTCGATGTAGAACCCTTCACCTGGACCCACCTAGGGCAAGGCATGGAAGAAATTACTGCGTACTCCACCTGGGCAGCCCTCGAGCTCTGGATACTAAGAAAGCAGCGGGACAGATGCATCATGATAGGAATCTGGAAAAACTACCTGCTACTAGGCAAATACGATAGAGTAGCTATACGACTAACACAATCTAATCCACGGAGGAATTCATTCAGCGAAAACGTCCCATTTTGCCCATTAGAGGTTAAATACATGAAAGTCGTTTCTGAATCGGATCTGTTTCCTCGCTGGTCTAGTCCAGATCGGATCAGATCAGATCAGACCAGGCCAGACCAGACCAGGCGAGATCCAAGTCCAAGGCTAGCTAGCAACTGGAGTCGGGCCTTCGATCCTCGGGCGAACCGAATAGAATAGAGGGGGATGAAGGGAAGGGAACAGAGAAAGGAAATGAGATTGGGTAGAATAGGAGAGGTTAGGGTAGGGTAGGGTAGGAGGGAGGAGCGGAGCTCTGCGAAATATGGAAAATCAACAGGCATGCTTGGTATTCATCAGAACGTAAAAAGAGCAAAGGAAATGAGACGAGAGGTTGGAGGGAGAATCACGGGGTTCGGTTCAGTTCGTGTTGGTGCGTTGTGGTGCGGGCGGAACGATACGATGCGACTCGATTTCGCTGGCTCGCTTATTCTTCCTCCTCGTCGGGTTGGTCGAAGAGGAAGTTCGCCGCCAGCTCTTCGTTCTTGTCGCAGGCGAAGTAAGCCTGGATGACGGAGTCGCGGGGGAAACCGAGACGGCAGAGCTGGAGGGGCGGTTAGTATGTGGCAATGAAGCGTGTGCTTTTTCCTTGACTTACCCTCTCAATGGCATCCCTCTCCTCCTCCGTAACGGAGATGGCTTGTGTACCCGGTGGCAGGGCCGCATCCTCCTCATCGCCCTCCTCACTCAATAGCTGGAGAAACTGTTCAGAGTTCTGACCGATGATCTGGGCAATCTGGGGGTTTCCGGCCGCAACCTGCTGCAGGATGGGCTCGAGCATGTGTGGCTGCTGCTGCACGAGTTGGCGCAGTTGCTGGAAATGGGGGTTTTGGCGGAGGAAATCCAGGTTCGCAAGGGACTCGCCGCCAGCTTGGCCTCCGGACCGAGCACCACCACGACCAGTGCCATCGCCAGCCTGAGCCGCAGCCTCGAACATGTTGAAACCTTCGTCGCCACCCAGAGCGGCAGCGGCAGCAGCGTCTTCGGCAGAGGGGGTGGGGGCTGAAGCAGCGCTCTCCTCTTGTTGCTCTTGTTGCCGCTGTTGTTGTTCCTGTTGGACTTCCTGGGGGATGCCCTAGAAAGAGAAGATTCTCATATTAGTGATTGGCGGGGAAAAAAGGGCAGGGAATGGTGCGGCAGCTGATTCGCAAGACTCACGTTCAAAAGATAATCGACAGCACGGTCAGGGTTGAAGAATGCGGCCCGCATGGCCCGATCGATATCACTTCTAGCAAATCCCATTGCCTCCATCTGAGTGACGGCACCCTCGGCCGCAGAACCCATCGTCAACGCAGAGGGGTCGTTGAAGGTGGGGCCACTCTGGGCACCAGCACCAGCACCGGCACCAGCACCAGCCGGCGAAGGGGTCGCGGGAACAGCAGGAGTCGAGCTAACAGGCGCAGAAGCAGCGGGGGCGGGTGCAGCAGGGGTCGCAATAGGAGCTCTGGGAGCCGGAGTGGCGGGGGCCTGGGCAGAGGCAGAGGCGGAGGAGGCAGCGGGTTTGGGACCCTGTAGACAAAGACGGATTAGACTTGGAAGGAGAGAGGCGAAGCTTGGGATAGCTGGGAATCATCATACCTTGGAAGGCAAGCACACTAGGAAGTCCTTCTCTTGGATGCTGTACGATTCGACGGTCTTGTCATCCTGGAGGATCTTGCCTGCAGGGTTGTTAGTTCCGGACTCATCAGCAGCTCTGGGTTGAAAAAGCTTTGCATCGATAGCCTGCCACCTTGTAAGGTGATGAACCACCGTGACACGACATACCTGAGTAGATAACCTTCATCCGCTCGGCTTCATATTCGCCTTTTTCTTGGGCGATCTTCTGTTTGACTTCGCGGACCTGGGAAAGATGGGTCAGCACCGAGCTGGGGTGGGCTTTGAGGATACAGCTCGAGACTGCACGGGCGCAGCAGGCGAATCTCGATAAAGAAAGATATGGAATGGCATACGGTCTCAGAGGGCTCGACCTCGATCACGAACTTCTCCTGCTTCAGGTCCTGTATGGAGGGGCAAGGTCAGCATGAGCAGATTAGATGGAGGCAGAAAGAAAGACGAACCTTGAAGGTGAGCTTCATCTTGTCGGGAACTGGAGGGATGATGGAGGGGAAGGGGGAGAGTAAGAGAGGAAATATAGAAAAGAGGGCAGTTCCCGAAAAGTCAAGGTCAAGAGGGGCGCTGAAGAGTGACGACGATGGAGAAGCAACCGAGATGCCTCAGGCGAGTAACTCACCGCCTGGAGATGCCTGGCCACGTTACTACAAAGTCATTGACAGCTATATCAGAACATATTTCCATGTATACATCAAGACATTCCATAATTCATATTTATGTTAATCATGTTATTTTCTGTGATATGCACGTTGTCTTATGTTGACTTCTGCAGGTGCTGTGGATTCTGAGCCTCCCAAAGTCTTACTCCCATTCACACCCTCTCCTACCTCCATGAGGCGATCGTGCATATAAACCCTTACCAGATCACCCAGAACAAACAGGACCTGATTGGTTAGTCCAAGCCACACAGGGTACTTCCTTGATCCTGGCAGATACTCCGTATTCGGTCTGTGGATCCACGCAGGTCCTCAACAGAGTACCCCGGAAGTGCACATACTGCTCCGTACTCCGTGTACTCGGTACTATCCACCAGGACTACCTGCATGAACCGCCGGGCCCGAGGAAAAGAAATAATCGAAGCCAACAATCTAATTGACAAATATAAGTGGATCCGAGACTCTCACTCCTCTGCAAGTGATATCTCTAGCGAGTACGGAGTACTTCGTAGATCCAGGTAGATCCACCACACCTCCGGGATAGTTGATATTCACGCTATCCATTTTTTTGAATTGATACGCTAGGGTCACAGAGTGTGGAAATTGAAGCTGGATTAAAAAAGTCTCAGCTGAGCCCTGCTACATACCTGTTCCTGTCCTGAACCTACACTGACAGATCCTGTTCCTGCGGCACTGCAGAATCGACATATCACATCCGCATCGGATCGATCGCCATGCGATCCCGAAAACCAGGAAGGCCAGATCAGTGGCTCGCTCAGTCCTCACAATGATCTGTCACTTAAATAGTTCCATGACTAGCGGTCTGATGGACAGCACTATGAGAGCCGGCGCTGGCCTGGGCTCGTCTTGCCCGGTGCCGCAGTAGTCCTCACCCAGCCCACCGCTGGAAGTAGCAATTGATTGATCCATGAATCTCATGCGCATCGTTCGATGCAACCAATCTAACTTGCCAATTTCTACCCACAGGTCTTCGGCTCCGCGGATACTTCTTCCAGCCGTCCCGTCCCTCCGCACTCTAACCAGCATGCCGGGTGGATGGATCACTTTGATCTCTCAGGTAAATTCGACATGTTGCCTGACCTGCATGCTCCGATATGCTTTGCGAGCCACGCCCCGATCCGTTACACGCGAGAATACTATTTTAAATATGAAGCATCCCCCGTGTCCTCTTGCGTGGACTCGACAGCGCCCTGGACACTTTCCTTGACCTGGGGGTTGCATCAGATTGGATCAGATCAAGCCATTCTTTACTTTTGATCTGATCATTCTTTCATTTATCCTCTTCTATATCGTGACTTTGACCACATTCTTTTCGGTAGCCCACAATGTCTGCAATTCTGCAATATACCTTGGCAGGGGCATCTCTCCTCGCTGCCATGATTGTCACCATCCTCAATGGTCTCGCCTATGCAGCCTTGCAATCAGCACCTCACGCCCCAGCCGCAGGGCTGGCACCAGTCACCCTGGGAGTTCTCACCTGCGCGGCATTAATCGGGCTGAACGTTATCTTACACAAAGATGTCCGAAGTGGCCAACAATGGCCAAAGTGGAAACAATATGTCTTCTACTTCACCGGTGCATACCTCCTCATCGCCGCGGCGTCCATCACCGGAACAATGGCCAAAGATGAGTTGCGATCAACAGCAAATCAACAAGGGCTCTTTATCGCCCGCTCAGTCTTCTGGTCCTTTTCAGTCTTTACGCAGGGTATATACTACGGCTATCTGATTGTAGCCCTACTCCAAAAGAACAAAACAACGTCCACATGGCCACATCCATACTCCCAAGACATGAAGCTGGAGACATTTCCAGATAGTCCAGCGACCCTCACACCACCGAGCCGAATCTGTGACCCAGAAGAATTCAAATTCGACACTCGCCGCTCCTCACTACGAAAGTATCCACGCCGTTCGCACCGGTTCTCGGGAGGAACCCTCTGCCTACAGAAGTCGTTGACCAACACAACTACCACGACCGTGGACACAAATACAAATACAACAACCACCAACGCAAAAGAAGTTCGCCCAAACTCCTTCGAAACAACCTCCTCCCTCTCAACAATAACCCCGCAACCAACCTCAACCTCACCCCCAACCCCAACCCAAGACACCCACCCCTTCCTCCCCACAATCCGCAGCATGCCCAGTCTCCGCCGCGAACAACACATCCACGCATCCCTGAACAGCCTCGTCCGACCCGCCCCTCCCCCAATCTCCCCAGTCTCCCCAACTTGGAGTAGGACATCATCATCACCATACCTCCACCCAGACTCACCCCAGACACCCACCTTCCCCGGCGAGTCCAACATCCACCCCCTCTTCCGCAGCAACAGTCCCTCGCCCTCACCCACGCCGGGACCCGGAACATCAGTCAAGGCATCCCCATCCGCAGGCCAGACGATAACCAAGCAGACATTAACGCGGATGCGCTCTGCACGGTCTCTACGTGACCGGGGTCCGTCTCCTTTGCCCTCGCCGACGGCGTCGTCGTATTCTTTGGCGTCGAGTGCGGGTTTGTCGCCGGAGGAGGAGAGGGAGGAGAGGGTTTTGGCTTTTATGGGCGGGAGTCGGCGGTGGAGGGATGAATTGAACTTGAATGAATCGCCTGATGAGAAATAGTAATTGTGTTGATACTTGTGGGATTTGTATGGATTTGTTTATTTAATCGCTGATGGACTTGTATAAATGGGATGATGGGTAAATTGGTGTCTGTGTTTTGGTTTTGGTTTTGGTTTTAGCGAGTGTTATGGCAGGAATGATTATGATTGAATTGCATTAATTGTCTTTATTTTCTGACTACCAGTACCTAACTACCCAAGTGCTTTTATTGTAAGGGTTGAGGGGATCTAGTAATACTACTAGTATACTTGCCAATGTTGTACATACCTCGACTTACGTCCATACTGTATTGTACATACCCTGGTATTATAATAGTCGAGTGATTATGGTTTGCCTCGCTGTAATTTGTATGATCTGGCAATTGAAGTAGATGAATCGGATAATTTAATTTTAATTTTGAGTATTTAATATTAAATATTCATTGTTAAAATTAAATTATCCTATTCATCTTCAAGATTCCAGCTGTTCTGTTCTGTAATCTCTCTATACTCCCGGCTCCACCTTGGCAGAATCACAGCCGCGCGCCAGGTGTCCTGATCCGCGTTTGAGAAATCTCGGTAATAGCTTGACAAGGTATTATGTCGAGGATTTGATTAATATCTACTCTTTACCTAGAGTACCTAGAGTACCCAGAGTAATAATAATACTGTTACAATAGTCCTAGTATCACTGTACCTATCCTCTGTGTTAAAATTAACAAAACGGACCGGCCGAGCCGCGCGGAAAAACGGCAATCCCTTCCTACTCTTTCACTTTCATCTTTTACTCTAACGCCCTCTACTCTGTTCTGCTCTGCTCTACTCTACCTACTCTACTCTACTCCTACCCACTTCTTCCTACCTAATCATCTCCACTCTCCCCTCTTCTTCCTCTTTACCCTATAATTCCCCATGTTCAGTCCCCCAATCTCTCTCCAGTAGATCCTTCTGCCCCTGGTAAGTCGCGTTCTTCTCTCTTCTCCGCACCCTGCCCTATTCCACTCTACTCTACTCTACTCTACTCTACTTGTACTCTTGGATTTGATCCTGTACTCTTTCTCTGCGAGTCTTCAAGTTTTCATCTGTGCCCTCGTCTTTATCGTTTTGCTTTGTATTTCTACTCACCCAATCTGCCTGCCTCTTTTTTTATCCCCATCCCATCCCATCCCAATCCCATTTCTCTGCTACTTCCATTCCATTGCTTTTCCCCATTATTTCATCTTTCGTCATCTCATCGCATCGTTTATCCTTCAATCTCATCATTGCCCTTCTACCTCATCCTCATCATCGCATTCTCTTCCCCTTCCACTGCTTCTGCTTCTGCTTCTTCTTCATCTCCTTCTCCTTCTCCTTCGCCTATTTTACTCTTCATTTCCCATCTCATCCCACCCGCATCCGTTTTCATCCGTCCCCCTTGACTGCGTGGCAACCAGCCCTCCCTTCAATGCTCTACTTGGTGTTTTGACTTCAAAAGTCTGACGCTACTCCGCTACTCCCTGCTCCACTCCGCCATTCCTGCTTCCGCCCTTACTGACTCCACCAGGGACAATGGTGGGAAGAAGAAAAAATCGTGTCACCGCGCGCATGGTCGCTCCCACCCCGACCCGAGGTCGCGGTATGTATAATCAATTCTCTCTCTACTCGCAATTTCCCGCAATACTAAACAATCCCCAGGTGGTCGCGGTAGTCGCGGTGGCCGCGCTAGAGGAGGCCGATGGGCAAATCACTGGGCCACGAGAACTGCCCCAGCACGCGCAGCGCGCGCTTCGTCGCCAGTAAATGACATTGACGATGAACATAATCTTGACGGCGATAGCGATTCGGAAGAAGTTCCTCGCTCGCGCATCATTACGCTAAGGCTTTCCCCCCCCATCTCTTACGTGCTGCCATACCTGGGCAGGCTGGCCAGGATCATCTCGATACCGCGCAGAGTAGTACTACTATCACTACCGCGCAGCAAAATCCAGAGACGCCCCTGCGGCGGCGCTCAAAACGCGCCCTCGCTGTTCCCGAGTCTTCGCGGACAACGAGGCAATCAGCGCGCCAATCTGTTCCAGGCCGACAATCGTCTCGCCTGAAGCCCGGTGATGCCGGGCTCGAAACGCCTAGTAAGGGCGAATCGGAAGAGGTCAGCGAGCAGGATGATGATTTTGCCGACGACGCCTCGATGCAAAAAGAGGAGGAGGAGGATGAGGACTTTAAACCGCAGCAGCGTCTTAAATTGCAGGTTTCTCAGAGTGCGGAACTGCTCGATCCCGTATCTGCTGCTTCTGCTTCTGCGTCTACCCCTACCCGGCGAACCTCGCCAATCGAGCGCGAAACCCGCCTCGCGACAAAACTCCAAGATAACGAGACTCTGCGTCCCGAGTCTGCGTCAGCGTACTCGGCCTCCGCTCCGACGGCGCCGTTCTCGCAAGATGCTGAAAGCGATAGTCCCAAGCAATCGCAGTCGCAGTCGCAGCCGTTATCGCGCGGAATGTCCTCGCCCCGACCTTCGCGCAAGCGCAAGTCCACCGACAAGGATGAAAGCGCTGACATCGACCGCGCTGTCTCGGAGCCAGCGTCCAAGAAACCTAAAATGGAAGATGAGGAGGAGATGCCACCCGCTCCACTGGCAAATGGGACCGAACTCGGCTCGCAGATTGTCACATCGCCCGACGAAGCGGCAGATCCGGATTCAGCGTCTGCCCCAGCGCCCACGCGTGGGGGGCGCGGGGGTCGGGGTCGTGGAAGTCGCGGTGGGTATCGTGGTCGAGGTCGGGGGCGTGGACGTGGACGCGGTAGCCGCGGCGGCGCAATAGGGCCTATTCGTTCGACGGCTGTTGTCCGGGCTCGTGGTCGGGGACGCGGTCGTGCGCGCGCATCTGCAGCTGCGAAGGGTCGCGGCGGGAAGCGTATCGAAGACGAGATTTGGGATAGTGATAGTCGGCGACGATCGCCGAGTCCGATTCCACAGACGAAACCGATTAAGGATCGGCAGGAGGAACTGGCGCTCCTCTTTAAGAAAGTGGGACAGGCGCAGCAGGTTGCTCTTAGTGTTTTGGCCGATCATTCGATGGCGAAGATTGCTAGGGAGAAGGGGGCTCATATGGAGTGTCCAGAGTTTGGGCTGGTGCAGCGCGAATTGGCGGAGTATGAGCGCAAGGCTTTGACGCGGTTTCGCGATGATTATGATTTGAAGGTTGAGGCGGAGAATAAGGTTTATGCGGGCGAGATTCATCTCATTGAGACGAGGGCGAATGTGGGTTTTTTTCTTGTGCTTTTGGAGGAGAGGATGGATTGTATGCTGACTGCTATTACAGGAACAACTTGAGAATATCCAGGATGAAATGTTCCATGCTGCTAGGGGCAAATATATGGAATTGGTCTTGGGTCGTCGAGCCGCAGAGGACGATGAACATACAGAGGTAAAGAATCGACATCAGCTACCCATCAAATTTATCTACTCAGCAGAATCTAACTCATTACAGACTGACGGATCTGACCCCGACGCCGAGGAACCGCAGTATCTCTTCCGGATTGGAAAAGCCGGCACCCGCGAAGTCGAGCGAGGCTTCTTCGCCGAAGCCGTCCGTGAACCAGATGGTGCAGCCGCCTACGACCGCGGCCGCCGAACATGGGACGACTTTGTGCAAAAAGTCCGACTAGGCGAAGACTTGAACCCGCAGATGCAAGCGCTCGACTCGATCATGGACCCTGCAGTCCAAGACCATGTCACGCGAACACTAACAAACCTCCTCCAAGCGGCGCAAGTCGTCGCAGACGGAGGTCTCGACGGCGCTATTGACTGGCCAACTCCAAAGGCCCTGTCCATGCTAGCGGACACCGCGCTCGCAGAGCCAATGCAAACACACCTGCCCCGAATGGATCCAACCATGTCGCCAGCTAGCAGACATCTTATTCCAACATCTGGCGTCCCTCCACCGACGCTGGGTCATGGCCATGGTCACAGTCATGGGCCTGGGCCTGGGCAAGGGCAAGGCCCTCCCCACGGCCACCCCCATGCTCATGCCCACGGACCAACAGATCCGCGCTCCTTCATCCTCCCCCGTCCAACACCGACACAACAACCGCGCCGCATCCTCCCCGCCCGAGGCCAATTGGGTCTACCAGATCCATTCTCAATGAATGGCCCACCTCAACTCCCGCCCCCGCCTGGCTCTAATTTCCAACGCTTACCCCCGCTCCCGAATTACTTCCCCGGTCCGCCAGGATCAGGACATTCGGGACCGGGACCTGCGCCGGGACCTGCGCCTGGACCGGGTGGACCAGGACCAGGACAGGGACAAGGACCGGGGCCGGGACAGGGACCAGGGCCAGGGCCTGGGATGTATTTCCCATCTCCTCATCATTCTCCGCATGGGGGACCACCACCCCAGCCTCCACGCAGGTACTAATCGAAGCCGAGCCAAAACGAAAAAAGAAAAAAAGAAAGAAAGAAGCAAAACAAAAAGTGTATCATCATAATCATCATCACCTCCGTATGCCATGCCCCCGTCTCCCCTACAGCTTAGACGTGGGTGGCAGTGGCAGCGGCAGCGGATGTATCAACATCAACATCAACGATTCGAATCCGTGTACTTTATCTGTCTTTGAGCGTGGCGTTGACTTACTTCCTTTTTTTTCCTCCTATTCCCCGAGGATCCTTGATTCTGTTTTTCTGATTGTGATTGTGATTGTGGTTTACATGACCCCCTTATTTTATTTCTTGGACTTATTTCTTTTGTTTGATCGAATCAAATTCAAATTCTACTTTAAATTCTACTATCTCTGCCTGTTCCATGGGATAGCCCCTTCCTTTCCTTTCTCACAGTCAAGTCACAGCCAGTCATACCCATGTCTAAGCATACAGTACATAAACTAATCACTGACTCGCCTGCGCCACCGCAATCACTCATTACCTGCAGTAATTAGTCCGTATACGGGCAGTATGAATCACCGTCAAGATGAGACAGGATGACTCAACAGCATAAGTACCGGTACATAAAATACCACCAAGACACTATACATTAGTAAGTACCGATACATACCAATACCAACAGCGCGCCCCCCACCAAGCGGACCCGCCAAGAAAATGCGATTGCAGCTTTGCACTTTTTCTCCTCTGGGTTTCCCTTCATAACGGAGCTTGTATCTCACTTTACATTTGCTCACCTCCTACACTTCCCTCGAGAAAAGCAGTTTGTTCAAGTTTTTCTTTCGCATTTTCGCTTCGACCTTTCTGTGCTTTTTACACAGCGCCATTATTCTCTCTCCGAACACCCCCGCAGATCCTTCACTACCACCCCTCATGGCTGTCCGCGCTCAATTTGAGAACTCCAACGAGTAAGATTGCCCGGGAGGAAATCTGGACGGTCAGGATAGTCACGATAGTTCAGCACTGGGACTAGACTGGACTTGACTGGACTTGGTTCGCAATTCTCATGGTTGAGATCTCGCTAACTTTCTTCTCCGCAGGGTCGGCGTTTTCGCCCGTCTGACCAACTCCTACGCTATCGTCGCTGTCGGTGCTTCGGAGAACTTCTACAGGTGCGTTATGTCTGAGGCGGTATTGCGGGCTGGAGGAATGGATAGGCTGGGCGGACTGGGCTGGGCGAACTGAATTGCCTCAACTGGATTGAACCAGCACCATCAATGGGCCGACATCCCAAATGATGCACACAGCCCAAGTCATGGCAGACCAACCCAACCCGCCCACTCCATTCAATCCACAAGCCTAGCAGCAAAGAAACAGCCCGCCAACCCAACCAACCCCACGCCTAAACAAAACTAACAACCCACCCAGTGTCTTCGAGTCCGAACTCCAGGACGTAATCCCCATCTGCCACGCCACCATCGCCGGAACCCGCATCGTCGGCCGTCTAACCGTCGGCAACAAGAACGGCCTCCTAGTCCCCACAACCACAACGGACCAGGAACTCCAGCACCTCCGCAACACGCTCCCGGACGCCGTAAAAATCCAACGCATAGAAGAGCGCCTCTCCGCTCTCGGAAATGTCATCTGCTGCAATGACCACGTCGCCATCGTCCACCCTGACCTGGAGCGCGAGACTGAAGAGATGTAAGCCTGGCTGCCTCGGCCCCTGCCCCCGAGTGATGTGTTTTGTTTCGTTTTCTAATATAGTGTTTTCTCAGCATCGCCGACGTCCTAGGCGTAGAAGTCTTCCGCCAAACAGTCGCCGACAACGTCCTCACAGGCTCATACATGGCCCTCTCCAACCAAGGCGGCATCGTGCACCCCAAGACCTCGATTCGGGACCAGGACGAGCTGTCCAGTCTGTTGCAGGTGCCCCTTGTGGCGGGTAGTGTGAACCGGGGCTCCCCGGTCGTGGGCGCGGGAATGGTTGTTAATGACTGGCTCGCTGTTACGGGATTGGATACCACTGCTACAGAGTTGAGTGTTATTGAGTCTGTTTTCCGTCTTGGTGAGATGGCACCTGGTGGTGCGGGTGCGGGTCCTAATAAGGAGAGTATCGTTGAGAGCTTTTACTAAGGGCTGGGATTTTGTGAGCTCTTTCTTCGTGCCGCTCTTTTTTTTTGAAAGGGGTGTGCTGGGGAGAGCAGGATGAGATTCGGGCTCGGGTTTCAGGCGATAAAATGGGGTCTGTGGTTTTTTTTTTGGTTATGTTCTCTGTCTAGTTTTTTCACGATGGTGTGCATTTCTTGTTGTGGTTAGAGGAACGTTGTCCTGTCGCAATTATGATTTATGACCGTGATCTGATGATTGTGCTCTGCTGTGCTTGTGTTTGTGCTTTGGTTTTGGTAATCCATACTGTAGACGTAGATGTAGTGATGCGATGAAATAGGAGTGCGGTTCATGATGCAGGTACGCTGGAGATGCAGATGTACTACCCATACCTAGGTACCCTGTGACACTAGATCTGGTTGTGATGCCCAGGCCCATGGTGCTGGGCTGTTGGAGCAGTGGTTCGGTAGTCTGCTAGTATACTTAGCCAAAGTTTATTCTGGTAGGGCTCTGTTTGCTATGTGGGTGGGCCGACCTACATAGATTCAAGTTCATGACTAGATCTATACTGAAACCGGAATGACAGTCATCTCTGCTTATGATTGCCGTTTGTCTCGGTACAAGGCGCGAAGAATTCCATTACCAACTAAGTGTTCAAAGACATTCAACTGAACTAGCTAACCCTCACTCACACTGACTCTAGGATTCTGATAGTGCCATAAATATGAAACCATTCATCTCCTAAGGCCATCTCCTAAGGCTCCTTTTATCTGTTCGTATGCCATATATGCATATTCACATTGTTCGTGATTCAAAGACTCGGAGGAGCGTAACACCCAAAGAACTGGAAATATTACCGCGTTTTTTGACTCTTCTGCCGATGAAAATCAGCTCGGAGATGTTGATCCAGGTTATCTTTCCGATTAAAGGACATGTTGCAGGAATGGCACTTGAACGAACGTGGATCAAGATGCTGGGTATCGACATGGCGTTTCAAAGTTGCCCTATTGGAGAACGGCCCGGGGCGTTTGCAGTTTGACCATTTGCATAGCAACGGAGAATCAGAGGATATTCTTCTTCTTTTCAGATAGTATGCATTAGTACAGGACGAACAAATAGTATCCTTGGCGTGGACTTGTGCTACTTGTACTTACCTGTCCTTGTTCTCACTTTGAACTTTGCTGTCACTATGATGGTTGTATATTTGGTGGGTGTCTCGATTGATTTCTTCAGTGAATTTGTGCAAGTTTGGAGGTATGTTGATTTCAAGTTGGTCCCAAGACGTAGTTGTATCAGATCGAAACCTTTGGAGGAGAAAGTCAAATGTCGGGTCAGAGGTGAAGGGCTCCCGGCCCGCGAAGGAAAAGTCCAACGCAGTGAGGTATTCAGATGTATTGTCTGTGATTCGAGCCATTGTATTGCTTGCTTCCTCGGAGTATTCTTGATTTTGTTCCTCGGAACTCGATGAGTTCGTGCTGTAAAAATGCCAAGACATGCTACTCCAGGTAGTACTACTAGTACTTGTACTACTAGTATGGAGCCTCGGGACAAATGGAAATAATAATAGTCAAAGGAGGATGTATTGTGATGAGAGCGAGAGAGAAAAAATGAGGTGAATTGTTAGAATGTAAAGACGGAAAAGACGAACAATTTATCTAAAAAGCCCACTGCCCAACTCCTTCATTCGACCCTTCATGTTCGATTGGGGTTGCTAGTTGGTACTTTGGTTCTTGCTTCAACCCTCAACCCTCGGGCCATCTTCACGGGCCTAGACCCCCACCGCCGAATTTCGCATAGAAAAATCTTACCCCCGGGTCAGACCGCGTGACGCTACTATAGCGCTCCTAAGTATAGCCAAATTTTCGGCTTGCCTTCTCTGGAACTCCTAACCTTCCACTTCTCTACTCCTTACACTCTTTCCCTTCTCCGCCAATCATGTTGCATTTCATCTACCCCAAGTCCACCCGACCCGATTGCCACGTCTAAGGAAACGTTGGTTACACCTGCATATTTACGAGGTGTCTACTCTCTGGAAGTTCGCGGGTCTCTTCTTGACCAGTGGCTTTGAATCGCATGGGGCAAACATTAATTGTTGTGATGATCCCGGCTACTGGGTAAACTATGACGTCGTCGTGTGCATGGCCAATCATTTGCATATAAAAAATGTGTATGCTACATTACTAAGACTGTTGTTCTAAATCTAGTTAGTAGTTCTTCTAGGAAGAAATGAGCCGATCCTGTCAGACGGCTGAAGAAACAGCGCCTGGTTGGCTCAAAGTGAGATTTGCTGGATGGCCAGGAGTCCCACCTCCCCAGGCCCGATCGGCTAGTCGGTACTAGGTTTATTTGCTTATCGAAAGGTAAACTTAAACACCAGAAAGCCAAATCCAGGTACCAACAGGTATTTGAAAATGAATTATTGGCAGTAGGCGGCTGTATTGTACGAAATGGCATCTAAATACTGCTCTGGAGGTTCTGATACACTTGACCAACTGAATAAGCCTTGGATCATGTGCCTCAGAGTAGATGCTCCACCCTCTATCGATCTCACATGCTCGCTTTACCCAAAATCCATGCATACATGTTCCCATTATCGACATCCAAAAAGAGCATAACACAACTCAAAGAATCACTATACTTATCCCAGTACGCCACATTTTCGTTTTATCCAGTATCCATACATGCATACTCCCGCTGCTAACACCAAAAGAAGAGATAACAAGAGTCAAGGAATTTCTGTACTGCTCAGCTCTTTTTCTTGTCTTCATGAACGCCAGATCGCAGATGCTGGCTCAAATTATCCTTTCGGTTGAAGGTCTCAGCACACTTGTCGCACTCCCACAAACCTGGAGTAACATGCAGAGTTTTGTAATGGCGTTTCAAAGTTGCCTTGCAGGAGAATTCTTCGCGACGCTTGCAGTTTGGCCATGGGCATAGGAAGGGTGGCTTGGAGGGTATCATTTCGCTTTGTAGACAAATACACGTTAGTATGCGATTGGCTATACTTTCTTTTCGAGTAAGGGAGTATGCTGTTTACCTATCGTTGCTCATATGGTTGCTGCTGCAATTGCTTGATTGAATGTTGTTTGGATTGTTTTCTCCACTGGCTGGTTGAAAGTTCAGGGTTGGAGGTGCGTTACCCAGGTTTGAAGATGTAGTAGGTGGACAGTATCGAGAAAGAAAGTCGAGTAGGTGATCGGCAGTGAAAGGCTCCAGGTCCTCGAATAATGGTTCAGATTCTACATATTCCGATATATTGTCGGTGTTTGGGGCAATTCTACCGCTTGCTTCAAGTTCCTCGCCCGGTTCTTGATTCTGTCCTTGCCAGTGGGTAGTTGAAGGGTTCGTGTTGTAGGAATGCCAAGACATGATGGTACTTTGATGTTAAGATCGACAGCAATATGAAATGATATTCTGTAATTGGAGAAAAGAAGAAACTCGAAGGGGATTGTAAGTATTTAAAGCAGCAAATAAGTTTACATCTCATTTATTTGGCGTAGGGTTCAACTTTTGCACCTGGGACCGATCGGCCTTGGGGACTGATGGCTTCGCGCAGCCACACGTGACCCACATAATAGGAAGGTGCGGTCGCGGCCGGCGCCCGCGCGACACTAGTGTCGGAAGCCAAGCTATCGCCATCCTATCACCTATGGTCTGCGTCCCTTTTACCATCCTTTTTCCCATGCACTTTACCAAGCATTTTACCATCCATTTTCCCATCTAATTTACCCCCTTTTTTCCAACCTTGAACCTCTCCGCTCAGTACCTACCCTTCTACCCTTCTGCGAATAGTGTGCATTTCACCCGTACCCACCACCGCTATGGCAGACTCTGTAGGAATTGTAAGTCATTTATGCACCTTTACCACGCGTTTACCTGGAAAAACGCGGGAACTAAGGTTCTTGCCCAATGGCCACATTAAAAAACCTTGAATATATATATCAATATTTAAGGCGGAGTAATACCAGGCAAAAACTGTATGATCGTGCACATGGCCAATCATCGATATCCAATCTTTGGTGTGGTGCATTAGCGTTGTTCTAATTCTGCTCTGCAGCCCTCGAGGGTTCGACCAAGCAGGTGCCAGGACTCTGCCAGTGAGTTGAATATGTCGCAATAGATTATTATAATTGTTGTTCTATATAGAATGGTACCTGTATAATGCCTTCAAATTGTATAGCTCTAGGTGCCATGGAATGGTATTTGGTAATTTATTCCTGTAAGAACTGTAAGAACTGTAAGAACTGTAAGAACTGTAAGAACTGTGAAAACTGTAAGAACTGTGAAAACTGTAAGAACTGTGAAAACTGTAAGAACTGTGAAAACTGTAAGAACTGTGAAAACTGTAAGAACTGTGAAAACTGTAAGAACTGTGAAAACTGGAAATTTGGGAAATCTGTGCTATACCTAGGTATGTACTGGTGACATGTATTTTGTTCGATAGCTTCGCTTTCATAATCTTTATTATTACACGTACCTGTCACTGCCACCAATTTCCAGGGCTATATCATTTTCATTTTCATTCTCATGCATCTCCTCCATCAGGTACCCTCAACAAAAAAATGACTCTAGTTTGTGACCAAGCAACTTAATTCGAGGCAAGGGGAGTTCAAAATCCAAAATGAATGAATGAAAATGAATGAATGAAAATGAAACGATAGGAAAATGAAATGAAAACCATCATGCACCTATTTGACCCCAAATACGAGTCCCTTATTCCTATCGCGCGCTATGTACCCGCTATGCCAACCGCTAAAATCCCTCGGAGTCTTTGAGCATGATAAAGGGAACTCCCACACAAGGGACATGAATTCTCTCAGGTTTTCTTTCCATGAGTATTGGAGCGCAAGTGCTGATCTAGATTGTCCTTCCGATTGAAGTACATGGTACATCCATCGTGAGGGCATTTAAAGGAACGTGGAGCGACATGCTGGGTGTGGATATGTCGTTTGAGGCTTTTTATGAGGGAGAAAGGGCCGGGTCGAGTGCAACCTGGCCAAATGCACAGCAACGGATGGGTAGCTGTGCTGTAGTGAGCCATGATCAGTATCTAATCTGTCAAATCTTAGAAATCAGAATGTGGTATATACCTAATCTCACTCAAGCCGCCATGATTGTTGTCGGGGCGCTGAACATATTCCGTTTGGTTTCCTTGACTGGGGCATTGAAAGCCCGAGGCTACATTTCCCAGTGTTGATGAGGTAGAAAGAGTATTCAACCCAGTATGATACTGAGAAATAGGGTTGAGTTCTTGGCTGGGGGGAAAGAATGGTAGATCTCGGAAAAGATCACCCAGTTCGTCGGATTCTGGAGCACTGCTGAGATTGAGGTTCATTGGAATTTCCTCGGTCCCAGATAAATCGTGAAACTGCTCCTTGAGACCAAAATCCGTATTGTGCCAGTCCATAGTATGGATCCTGACTTGAAGTGTAGCAATAGGTAGAGATAATCTGGCAATGGTATATAGAGAGAACCTTAGGTAGGGAGAACTCTGAGAAATAATTCGCAAAATATTTGAGTCCATGAGAAATACTACTTATAATCTACAGAGGGGGCCAGGGTGAACTTTTCAACTCACTAAATCGTGCACCTGAACTGACAAAATAGGCAAGACAAGCAGGCTGTTCAAACTCCCCATATTCGGCAGGGATCTGCAGTAAATAAGTAATAAACGGGGAGAGCAATTCCATGTTTACTGCACGCAACGATTCTACGAGTATTTCTGCCCCACATTAAAAATTTGGAAACATGATAGGCTTTCGCCGCTTGTCTAGACCTGCAAAAAATGACATGGACCAATAAGCGGAAAGGAAAACATACTTGCGTTCTCCTTTCCGCGAGTCCGGAGTATAGATCACAGGAACGTGTTCGATGGCGTATTTAGCCCCACAGAAAACCGCCATGAACCAATAGTAGAATTACCCTCCCACCTTTCTCTGCAGGGATCTCCGAGGGCTGGGGTGTTCGGATCCACCGAAAAATGTTAACGACCAATCACGTAGACACATTTAGCTCGTTAAGCCCTGGAGTGTCCCGGTCTTTTCGGGGGCAGTTTCATCCAAATATTGATTCGTATGACGGAGAAGTATGTCGTCTAGATTCAAACCCATGATTTCTTTTCGGTGCCTGCATCATTTTCAATCATCTGAGGTATCCACCTGGGCATACTAGTAATGTTGGGGCATACCTTTCCATTCTCTGTTATTTTTTTCGCCAAGCACGCCCCGCAGACATCCCTGTGATAATTTAGAGCTGCTATTGGGAGACGGCACTTGGGCGACACCCAGGCTCCAGGGCTCCGACAAACAGACTCAGCCGCGATCACACCGACAGATCATGTAGGTGCAGACAAGGCTCATTTAATTCTCGGTTGCCCCATCCTTTTCACCCTTTCCATCAACTTGAATATTTCCCATTTCCATAATTTATATGGTCCCTTCTCACCCTCATTTCCATCCACAGTGCTTTTTCAAAATTGGCCCTTCACTCTCGGCATTATTTTGTCATCAACCATGAAGAACTTGAATGAGAGCTGGGAGGCCTACAAGCCAGAAATTACACGTTTGTATATGGCAGAAGGAAAATCCAAAAAGAAGGTCATGCAAATCATGGAATCAACCCATGGATTCGTTGCGTCGTACGTCACATTGATCTTCAATATGTTCTGGATGGCATCATGATTCTAATTTGGGATTCAGAAATTGGCAATACGGAGCTCAATTCGAGAAGTGGCGATTCAAGAAATATCACGGCGGAAGAAGGGCCTGGATCTATATACGAGAAAGGTGCAAAAAAGCACGAATTGAAAAGAAACCCCATCCCAATGTATCCATCAATGGGGTTTTCAAGTCGCCCAGAAGCGTTCAAATTGGCATCCGCCGGCATGCGTACGAGTCAACGATCCAGAGCCTCCATTCAGGTACTGTAACTTCAATTTTTGTGATCCGTAAAATAATTATGACTACTAAATTTATGAGTAGCATCTCTACCATCGACACCAGAAGGAGTCGTTGTATGCTCTCCAGAACCCGCTTGTTGGCCGGGACTACAGTGGCCCTCCGACCTTCCTTGGTTCACATTTTCACGTCAACTCTCGATTCTTGGTAAGAATTCTCGTTTAATTGATTTTTTGACCTAACTGATGATGAACGCAAGATGTCAAATTTGACCCGCCAACTTCCACTACCGAAGAGAGCTTGAAGTTCAAATATCTTGGCTGTGGATATGATATATCTCACCGGACATTAATTCCTCTAACTCCAAGTCCTGCTAATTTAAGTCAAGGACCCGACTCTCTCACGTTTGAAGGCTATACCTCTCGAGTAGTTGAGACACTGAGATGTTTCATGCCAGAAGAGCATGAAGGACAGCACGAAGCCACGGCACAGTCTCTACAAACCGATTCTTCTTTCTTTGAACTTTCTATTTCTCTCTACATGTTCTCAAACGACATTCCACTCATAAATTATTCCAAAAAAAGCCTTCCCACCCCATCTGACAACAGACGGAATGAGTTCATGGTTATTCGCAATATTTTGCGAAAAGCCAAACTCGACGACGCAGAGAATATGAAAAGTCTTCTCGCTTCTCAAGACTTGACAACCGAAGTTATTGCTCATAAAATCTTCAGAGCTTCGGTAGAGATGCGGGACAACGAAATGATGCGCATCATGTTAGAAGCTGGAATGTGGCCAGACGCACCACTTCTCATTGACAAATTTCATGGCACCGCCCTGCAACATATATCTGGAATGCTTCCTCGCGAGGTTGCATGTGGTCTGGCTAGAATACTACTCTCACATGGGGCATCTACCGACCCCAAGAATGCTGGAGAGCCTCCTCTTGCGAGAGCTATCGACTCTGACAATACCGCGTTATTTAATCTGCTGGTCGCCCATGGAGCAAAACCCTCCCCACAGGCTCTCCGTATGGCGGTCAGCCGCAAAAGTTGGGTGAAAATCATTATCCCTTATTTTCAGATGCTTTATGACGCCGGTGTAGACCTTAAAAGCACCACTGTCGATGGAAAAACACTTCTTGGCATCGCAAAAGACGATGTACTCACCAAATGGCTTGTCGATCACGGCTGTGATGTGAATGCCCCACAAATTTGCGAGCTACAAAACGACTCTTATGAGTGGGTCAATCATATTACCAGTCCACTCGGAATTGCTGCGGCGGATGGAAAATTGGCAGTTATGCGCGTCTTGCTGGAAGCTGGTGCCAATATAAATTCACCTCCTGGGGCGAATGTTTCTGTTTCTCCGTTGTTCCTGGCGGTGTATAGCAGCGAAATAAACTCGGTCCGGTTTCTTATCCAGGCTGGGGCAAACATCGAATCCGCTGATCAATTCAAGATGCTTCATGAAGCCACGCGAAAGACACTGATAGAACGAGCATGGCATAGACAAGACCTTTGTCTGGCACTCCTACGCTCAGGTGCATATGCCAGTTCCAACGAGAAAATGAATATACTTCATTTTCCCATGATAATGGCTGTTAGAGCTCGTGATTCAACTCTGGCGCGTGACTTGCTCTCTCTTGGTGCACCGATCAACCCTTTTGACAGAAGATCTTCAATTACAGCTATTGCCTTGGCAATAATGAATGGAGATATTGAGATGATCTCATTGTTAAAAGATTCAGGTGCCTCAATCGGTGGACTAGAGATACCTTCAGTACATGATGTCCGGACGGCTGAATACCTGGAATCCGTAGGCTGGCTTCCTGAAATCTTGTCATGGAATAGGGCTCAAATTCTGGCCTCCGCTATAGGACGATATGATGAGACTCTCGTCTCTTTCCTTCTTCAAGTTGGCAAAGATCGTTTTACTTCTGTGATGACCGCTGCTGATTTAACAGAAAGGGAATCTCCTCCTTTGGAATCTGGTTCTCTTGGGCTTGATTCTTCTGTATCTCATCCTTTAAAATCTGGCTCTCTTGGGTCCGATTCCGCTAGATTTCAATCTTCTGAATCTGACTCTCTCGAGTCTGCAATACAAAATAACGATATTACACTAGCAAGATTCCTGATTTCCCAGGGCACCCATGTCAATGAGTCGGACATAAGTATGATCGTCTTGAAAGCCGGGCGTGGAAATGATGAATCCGGCTTTTTGGATCTGCTGAGAATGGCACCACGTTGTCATACTGTCATACCCACGGCTTTCGGTATGGCTATACTGTTCGATAATTGCTCGGTTGTTGATCGTCTTTTGGAATTCCAGTTTTCTCCAAAGGGGCGGCCAATAGTACTCTTCGATTCGAATGAAAGGCGGATAATAACCTCCAGAGCTGAAAATTTTGTCTCAATGTACGGAAGGATTTCACAGTGGAGAGAGACCAACCGTTCTTTTGGGGGTAGTGTGAAGCTGTTAAATCTCGATTCAGTGCTTGAAATAGCGACCCTGATTGGCAATCGGGCCATTTTACAGACTTTGCTACACTTGGATGTATGGACATCCCAAGAGAAGGGCCTTGCATTGTTGGAAGTACGCTACTCGAATCCTATCGACCACGGGAAAATTACGATTTTTGAGGATATGGTAAGGTCTGGAGCAGATATCAATCAGACAATCAAGAGCTGTAGATGCACGACCTATAAAAAAAGCACTTTTCCATGTACAAGGCCATTATTTTACAGAGAGCCCTTGTATTTTCATTGCATGGGAAAGTGTCCGTCTCTCAATGCTCTCGTGATAGCGATGGATCGTGGCTCTATCGAGTTCTCCAGACGCCTCATCGATATGGGGTGTGATGTCAATGCAAAACTTGGCGAGGGAGTATCGCCGCTTCTATTTTCGACCTTTCATCCCAACTCGGACCTTACAAAGCTCCTTTTACGGAGTGGTGCGGTCGAGGCACCATCGGGGAATGACTCTGCCCTATTACGTGCGGTCATCAAACATGACAAGGAGCTCGTGAACCTCTTTTTGAATCCTGAAATTTTCAGCAAAATGGCTCACTTCTACACTGGAAGACGTGGCGAACGAGTACTTCTTGGAGCAATAAAATCAAATGACTTTGAGCTTGTGGATCTGCTCCTCAAGGCAGAAATCGGTCTCCGCCTTTGGCCAAAGCCAGCACTACCTTCTCTGCCCGACGACGCTCTTTCCATTGCAACCAATGGAGGTAACTATCAAATAATCTCTGCTCTTCTTAGGATAGCGGATGCAGATGTCAAAAGACGATCATATCTGTATGGAAGAGCCTTGCCCGTCGCCATCCGAAAGAAGAACTGTTTCCTCACAGAAGCCCTCATTGAGAAAGGTGCAGATGTCAATGTTGGATCCGTATTTCATGAGAGGGCCTTGACTCTTGCCGTTTACCAAAAAGACTGTCCACTGGTAAAGATATTGGTTGAAAAGGGAGCGGAGGTCAATCTGCAATCAAACTTTCATGAGACGGTCCTGCATCGTGCTGTTCTTGATGAAAACTCCCCCATTGTAGAGTTGTTGATCAAAAACGGCGCAGACGTCAACATAAGATCGGATTTCTGTGATACAGCCTTTCATATTGCTATCAACAGACGAAATTATTCGGTTGCAAAGTTGTTAATTGCAGGTGGGGCCAATACCAACATGCGATCCGACTTTGGTGGGACGGTCTTGCAGATGGCCGTGAAGGAGAAAGACCATCGTCTCGTTAGGTTCTTGATTGAAAATGGAACAGATGTCAATTTACAATCTGTCAACGGCAGGACGGCGCTGCAGGAAGCGGCCGCCCGGAAGGACTATGTTCTCGTAGGACTCTTGATTGAAAATGGCGCGGATGTTGATCTTCAATCGGATCGTGATGGAACACTCCTGCAGTTTGCCTTTAAGCAACAGGACTATCGCCTTGCAAATATCCTGATCAAAGACGGTGCGTATCTTCATGATCCTCCGAGCCCAGTATTTGGAAACTCGGCTTTACAAATGGCTTCTGAACAAGGGCAAACTGACTTGGTGAGCCTCCTTCTTGAGAAAGGGGCTGATCCCAACCAGAGCCCCTTATATGACTCAGGGGCAACAGCATTGCAATTTGCCGCAATTATGGGAGTTCCTGAAATTGTGCGCAAGCTTATTGAGGCTGGAGCCGCAGTTGATGCGCCGGGCTCTATTCTCTACGGAAGAACGGCAATTGAAGGTGCAGCGGAGTGGGGTCAAATCAACATATTATATTTTCTTGTCAAGAAGGGATCATCTCCTACTGGCTCAAACCGAAGGCAATATCTCAGAGCTGTGAAGCTGGCTGAGACCCAGGGACATTATCCCGTAGCGAGATTCTTGAGAGACTGGATCAGGTGGACGGACTTTGATGAACTCAACTATGCAATGGAGGTTTTTGATGACGAGGAAGCAAGTCTTATCAAGTCTGAGGAGGAGCAAGACTTTGAATACTATGAGGACCTCATGTGGAGCTAGCTTTAGTGTTGGGACAAATCAAATGCCGAGAAGTCGCTGAATATCATCTTGCTTTTCACCAAGGGAAAATTTGCCAAAAGCTTTGAACGGATTCGACCTATTTTCCGGTGTATGTGATCTAGCGAGAAATTTTATCACTTATGATTGATTAAATTTCTTCATAAGGAACTAGATAATAATCTCGACTGCCATATTTTTGAGCTTCAACAGGCCATTTCAACGGGGCTTTGATGTAATGTCCACAATCAGGCCTCTGATACTTTCATATGCCGTACGGGGGCTCAAAGTTCACTCGATCAAGTAGATTCATGCTTGCGTGGGCCTTATAAGCCACTGTTGGGCGCCGTTATAAGAATAGTTGAATCCAGCAAACTCATCGGATTGCCTTCCAAGGTTCCTTTTAGAATATAGAGCTAGCAAAAAAGGACATTGAGATGATGTCACTTACATTTTGATCTTCAAGCTTCCCTCCTCGCCCGCGGGTCTTCCATGTTGACGTGAGTATTGTTGAATCAGGGTAGCGCGCTCGTGTCGTGTCTTAAATACTTGGGCAAGTCTGGCTTGTACATTTTCCAGAGACTGTCGACTTTCTATATCACCGAAAAATGCACCCAGTACCTCCTGAAACTTATAGATTTGTTAACTCAGCATAATATGTGGAGCGTGATATTTTAATCACATACCGCGTCTTACACGGCTTGGCTCGCGCCTTGTCATTGAGTAGGCAGCATAGCATGTGCAGCATCATGATCGCCCACCAAAATAGCTCGACCGTTGAACCATGTTTCCAGAGGATCTAGATCACGAAGCTACCACAGACCCATAGATGTAATTTTTCTAAGCAGAGTTAGCGGTGTACATTCGAAGCGTGAGGTGGCCGTTCGATTATCCGGTCTCCGGTTTCTGTGTGGGGGATGTGGATTCTAACCCCGACCTCTAAGGGTTTCGAAAAACAATGTCAAGTTGGCCATGTGAATCGACACGTTTGCAGAAACGACGATAGCATCTGATTCCAGTATTATTAAATCAACGAATCAAGCTTGGTGACATGTCTCAGTGAAATCAAGCACCACGTCAACAATGAACGTCAAAATAAAAGAGACACACTCTGACCTTTTTGGCCCAAGACGGAGCCAAATATGGTGACTGGCGCGATGGGTTCTTCAAAAACGGCTATACAATCATCAAAGGAGTCATTACCCTGGAAAAAGCGGAGTATTATCGGCAAGCGCACTTCAAGTGGCTGAAGTCATTTGGCCTTGGTTTTGATAAGAATGACGAATCTACTTCATACAACGACCATCTACCAGCTGCGTTCAAGGGTGGCATGTATCTAGTCTACTCCGCTGCTCATGAAAAATTCATGTGGGAAGGTCGACTGTACGCACACTTGCTTCCTCCCTGCTTCCTTGGCTTAATCACTGACACCTCTTATGGAACCGGCTATCCAGAAGATATTCGCTGATATATGGGACACGAGCGAGCTACTGGCCTCATTTGATGATTTTAATATGACACCTCCCCGTCTCCGAGGCACGGAGTGGAAGCCCTGGCCACACTGTAACCAGCACCCTCTCCGCCGCGGAGCCTGATTTGAGTGCTCTGATTTGCTCTCTGAGCATGGAATGGTTACTAAGTTATTAGGCTAGAGACCTGTAACTAGGCAAGGATATCGGATAGTAGAGATCAGATTATTGATGGAAATTCGGACTAGGCACGGGTACGCTTCAGGTCAGGTTGAAATACACTCGGACTGGCCATTACTGCGTGCTTATGACTAGTTATTTCCCTTTCAACGAGGACATACCTAGACTTTTGTTACGCCCTGATTTGCACCGGGTATATCGAAATACTGGGAGAGGAAGATCGCGCATCGGCGAAAGCGATCGAGCTATCTCTGCTTGATCTTGATTTGACAGCGCTGTAAATTATGAAATCACTTCGGCCCATATATTCGCCGCATGTTCCTCTCCATTCTGTAGTGATGCAGCTGGCCAGGCTGTTTTCGCTAGGACAGATTTCACGTTTTTCCAAGTAGTGATTTTGGTGACCAAGCTCCAAGCTCTAGCGCGGTTGCAAAACCACTCGTGGAGCCACTTCAGATCTACTGTACACGAGCCTGTCACACAGTGTCTGGCAGGATGTGTGCCGATGGCTATTTGATTGTGCTGGATTCCAGTCAGAGCCAAAACCCCTGTAAAAACCTTCAAGAACCAGAGAGACTGGTACAGAAGTCCATGATCTCCGCTCAGATGGTCGTTAGTTTGGTCGATGTCTTGCTTCATCAAGGAAAGAATGTGAGAAAGAAGCCGGCACTCGATTGGTTCACCCCCGTTGGTTATATTGAGTACGCTGTGCATATATAGTTGCACTGTTGCAGCGATGCCACTCCACGAGGATCGAAGAGGAGGTTGCGATGGTTGTCCTTTGCCTGGAGAGCCTTCGGTCCCTTTGTCTTTGGTAAAAGACGATATATGAGAAGTAACCAGTACCAGCATAAGCTTTGTAGGGCCGCCATTGTTCCAAATTCGGTCAAGGTTCTCGGCTGTGGGATTAGTGCGAAATTGATCTACAGCCTCTGTAATGACTTTGAGACTGTCAATTATAGGCAAAGCATCAATCATGTTGGGCAAAGAAATAACCCGGGGGATGCTAAAGAAGTGTGGGAAGAGGCGCATAGCTTTCAATCTGGTATCAAGGCCTCTGTGCTCCATCCCATGCCATAACTTCATTAGTTTCAAGGCCTCGGACGATGACCTGCTGTTGTCGTATTTGATGCCTTGCGCCGCGCGAAGAAGTATAAAGCCTTCAAGGCGGCTCCGCAAGGCGAAAACAAAAGAAGATGTCCTGCATAGTTGGACATTGGCATATTAGTAGAAAATAATATTTCAGCTTGTCCGAATACTCACAGAAGAAGGTAGCGGTTGGTAAGCTCCACTTCAACATCGTTGAGGTTGCCCCAAGCGTCGAGGGAATGTTCACGAGAATCCAAAATTGACATAATACCGTTAAGGTGAGTCTCTGCAGTGCGAAGGTTGCCAAAACAAGCCTATCAAACGAAAGCTTAGAATTTATATTTCAATGTGATGATAAAATCACTCCTCACCTCAGCCAGACATATCGTCAAGATTTGTCTAACATAAACAAATGGTTGGGAGTTGGAAGCTTCAAGCCACGTGTTGATGGAGCGAATGCTCTCGATCTTGTGGAAAAGAAAGGTGGAATCATAAGCTTGTAAGTTCCCGGCGTTCCAGCAATAATGTATGCCAGCAATCAGTACGGTGCTTCGAAGGGCGTATTCATCCAGATTTGCCAGAGCAATGCTTGATATTTCATTTAGTATGTGTCAACTGCAGCGGATTTAATCTTGCTCAAATAGGAGAATCAAAACGTACCAGTCATCCTTTGGATCTGTCGAAGCCACGGCAAAGGCTGCTCCACTTTGATAATCTACAGTGGATCGGGTCAGTAATGTGCAATGCCTAGAACCCCGGGCATGAACAAACAGTAGTGATATAGCTCTTGTGATTTGAATGGCATTTTTATTGGGAGCGTGTCGAAAGGGTCCATGGCCGTGCTTGCCATCAACCCTAAATCAATAATAGGAGAAGCATTTGTCAATTCCCAGGGAGCTTGCTGGCCCGGTGGGGTCGCATTTCTTTGCAACACCCTTCGATCCCGAAGTGGGATGTTGAAGGGTGCATATTTACATGATCGTTGAGTACTGAGACATTTTTGGCTGCCGAAATGACCGTTAGCAAAGCACCGCTATGGCCCATCAAGCCACTCCAGTGGTCTTTGGCCGTTCCCTCCCCTAATTCCCTGCCTGCTGACTTCAACTAATCGTTCCAACATTTATCAAATAAGTCCACATACCAAGATGGGCGTTTTTCGTCACACCGGATATGGCGTTGCCTGCACGTCAGACATCCTGTCCTGCTTCGAGTATTCATTCCGTGCTGCATTCTTGGTTTGTGAATAACTCGTTATGTTTAGGTGGTGTGGTGCCTGCAGATCACCTAGCCTTGTCAGCGATGACACGTGACGAAGTAACCAATCAACTAGACGTCGCCAAAATGGCGGGTTGGCAAAACCCGCCAAGAGATGAGATATATGTAATATATACCCAATTACATCAGGTTATATGGTGTTGTTATTTGTATTTCAACGACAATATTGTAATATACAGGGTAATGTGTTCTCCGGGGGTTCGCGGATATCCGCTGGGTACCCAAAAAGCAATATGGCAAGGTCTACCAATTAGATTAACTAGCGAACCGTGATGGAATCATGTGATTACAGTAATGGATCACAAGCTTTCTCTTTTCCACCTTTTCATCCCGATGAATATCAGTGAATTTCTAATAGCGAGCGTGTGTTGATACGGCCAAGGCCGTTCTGTGTCGATTATTGCCCAATTCGGACGACATCGAATCCTAGATTGGCCCTCATATCACTATCAATACCTGACCTGTGGTATTTTGGCCCCCAACCGCGGACTCCCAGCTCACAAAATATTTCCGAATACTGTCCCGACTAAGAAATATCCTGGAATTGATGAGTCCCTACCAGATCAATCATTTTTCACAATGATGACTCATACTTTTTTTCATCGGACATATTTCCCGACAGTCGGAAATTTGTCTATATCCAAACTCGCTACAATGTTTTGCGAAGCGGCAAGTGGGTAGTGGGGGGCAGATATGGGTTGTAGGGGTCACGAAAACCATTCAATTTTTTGGCTATTATAAATCAAATTGGAGCAACAGTATCTCCTGGCTTCACGCCAGCTCTCATTGCCAGATTGTCTATAATGGAGGGTGAGTGAATAACACGAAGCAATTTAATTTAGAGCGACCTGAATTGTTTTTGAAGTTGTGCGGTGGTTTATAGATGCTTTGTTGATGCAATTCTTGCCTAGCATGGTATATTTTTCGAAGCTAAACTACAGTATCTGACCAGCTACCTACCTGTTCACTAACTGTTGTGCCTAAATGAACGTGATATTGTACATTTCGTGGCCAGGGAAGTTGCGGGGACTATCTGTCATTTGACCAGGTGGAGCGAGTTTCTGACAGGACAAGAGAAATCGATTGGTTGGCTGATTAATGAGGTGGGGCTAACCAGCACGCGAGCCTTTCCTTTCTGGGACGAATACTCGAGCTCGGCGATCAGACAGCCAAATTTCGACTTACGGATGAGCTATAAAGGCCATCTCACCTACTAACATTGTGACTGATCAGACATTTCCTTCCTGCATTTTCCCACGGCCATTTCAATTCCATACTTCTTTTGTTTCCGTGTAATAACCGCATCCCACCATGAGTGAAGAATTCCCGCCACTAGCGGCTCTTCCAAGCCTCACTTTGCACCCATCTGTGAAGCCAGAACATCTCAATGCGGCCAAAATTGTGGATGATTGGCTTTTGTCTTTCATGAAAAGTCTAAAAGACAGCTGTGTGGGCGACATGCTTGAACATTTTCTCGAAGAGGAGTCGTGGTGGAGAGATTTCGTTTCTCTCACATGGGATATCGCGTGTCATAATGGATCTGTAGCCATATGCAAATATCTTAGCACCTCCACATCTGGGTTCACAGAGGCTAAAGCAGAACAGCTAGGCGCACTGCAGCCACACTTGGAAAATTTAGGAGGACTGAGGTTCATTCAATCCGGGTTTACTTTCAAGACCAATTTTGGCACCGGGAGAGGTGTTCTTAGGCTGGCCAATGTTGGGGTAGACCAGTGGAAGGCATGGACGGTATTCACAGTGCTTGAGAATTTGAATGAGGAGGAATACCTTGAGCTACGAAAGACAAAGGAGTCGGAAATAAAGCGCAGTGTTTCCGACGATGATCTGCAAGTCTTGGTAGTTGGAGCAGGTGCGAACGCAAAAAAATTCATTAGTCGACGCAAACAGTTAACCCCGCTACTAGGTCAATCTGGACTTGCAATTGCAGCGCATTTGCAAGAGCTAGGCATCAAGTATCTTGTCGTGGACAAAGCGTCTAAACCTGGTGACTCCTGGCGAGCAAGATATGAATCGATCAAATTGCACACGCCTATATATTCGGATCACTACCCATTCATGAAGTACCCGACCAACTGGCCCCGCTACCTTGACCAGGAACATATTGCAAAATGGATGGAGCACTACGGACATGTGATGGCTCTCAATATCAGGCATGATACCCTCGCGAGGAAGATCGAGTACAATGAATCGATGCAACGGTGGTCAATTGAGTTACAGAGCAAGGATGGCACGAAGACTATCATTCCTAAGCACGTTGTGCTAGCCACCGGGCTATTGAGCGATTTCCCTGTTCGCCCCACGTTCTCTGGTGAAGATATATTTAACGGCAAGGTCTATCACACAGTGGCACATAAATCGGCAGCTTTGGTACCGGAATTACGAAGCAAGAAAATCGCAATCATCGGATCTGGGACCAGTGCGCATGATGTAGCCCAGGACTTCGTCAACCATGGGGCTGAGACTGTAACAATGGTGCAACGTGGCCCCATTTATGTGGTATCTCTTGGTTCGCTGGAAGATATGCAGCTTCGGCTGTGGAACACTCCAGGATTAAGCACTGAGGATGCTGATCTTTTGGGTAACTCCCTGCCAACGGCTGTTGTTCGTACTCTGAGTGTGGGAGCGTCCCAAATGATGTCGGCAAATGACGAAGTCATGTTAGATGGGCTGGAAAAGGCTGGACTGGCATTGAAAAGGGGAAATGAAGGAGATAGTCTGGTCGATTATCAGCTCATCAAGGCAGGTCATTTCTATATTGACCAAGGTGCATGTCAAATGATCATCGACGGTCGGATCCAGGTACGGAGATGTGAACAAGGCGTCCAGGAGTATTACTCAGACGGGATCATTCTCGGTGACGGTACCAAGATCGAGTCCGACATTGTCGTTTTAGCAACGGGTTTCGAACGTAATATCAAGCAGGTTGAGGCGCTCATGGGGAATGAGGTGATGGATAAGGTCGGAGATCTCTGCGGTTTGGATGACAGCCAAGAAAGAATCGGTGTAAGTTTTCATCACGTTTAGTCTCTTCGGGCCGCAGATCGCTAACATCATCAATAGGTGTGGAGACCGACCGGTATGCCGGGTTTCTGGTTCATGACCGGTAGCTTTATGTGGTCGAGGCAGTTTGCTCCAATCCTCGCTCTGCAGATTGCTGCCGTAGAGCGAGGGCTGCAAAATTATCACACCTCGCTATAGAATAGGTAAATGTTGCTCAAATCGTTGAGCTTTAGGCAATAAATAAAGACCCTAAGTCCAATTCTGAATATTTGTATTCCTTGAACACGATCACTTTAAAGGCTCAGCCTAACTTCCTTCCTTCGCTTGATTACACCCAATCAATCCATTGATACGCAATAACCTTGACAGAACATTCTTCGTAAAATACATTGAACAGGTTGTGCTAATATGTCAACTGGGGTCTGCATCTATCTAAAGGCGAAAACGAAAAATAATATAAAAATTAGCCAGAGACAAGACTTCAACTAATATCAACGACGTTGAGAACACATGTATTTACAATCAAACGAAAATCAAACTAGATAGCAAAATCATTCAACAAAGCCCCAGGATTCTCAACCAAGCGTGAAATTGAATCGCATAGGACCCGCATAACCTTATTCGCATGACTTGAACTCCGAAAAGTGTTCGGTGCTCCGAGGAAAGTCTCAATATTAGCCATTATTTTACCCAAGCCTTGTGCGTCTGTGGAAATTCATGGCTCTATAGGAAATCCGCTACCTAGGTATTCCGCAATAAGCGAAGTAAAACAGCCGGAGCCCCAGCCCCAAAGGGAATCATCCTAAGAAATAAGCAAGCATACCTGAAACAAAAATCGGAAAAATCCAATTCTTAGAAAAAAAGGAAAGAAAAGAAAGGATCCAACTCCGTATTGACTATGATCGGGGTATTGCCAAATACATCCTGAAACTGAACTGCAAAAAAAAGGGGATGATGGTGATAAAAACACAACAAAGAATCGAATATCGCCTCGCCTGGCCCTCGAGGCGTCTCCGTCCCACCGGCCTACCCTCACGCATGACCACTATTCTTTTTTTACAAAAACATTCAACCACGAAAATCAAGAGAAAATTGCACTCGACACTTAAGACCCGCTGCATGCCGACTCCGCTTGAATCCCCCTCTCCCGCGATGCATTGCAAGCCATGGCATAGCATAACGGAGTCAACCAGTCCTCTCCTCAGCTATCCTTTTCGATTCAAGAAAACCCCTCATTTACTCAATTCGACAATAGGGTAAGGAGAGAGGGAAAAGAGATAGAAGAAGAAATAAGCCCCAAATTGAAAGAGAAAAAAGAAAACGAAAAGGGAAATATTGATCCCACATAAAAAATAATAATAGAGAAATTATTGGCAAAGCAAGTGCTATACCCGCTGCACCCCAACACCATTCTGTTGTTGCTGAACGCCCTCCATCTCGGTGGGATATTCGTCCGGAGAATTCGAATGCTCGTCCTTTGGCGGCGGGGGCGGAGGTGGAGGCGGAGCAGATTCATCATCACCTTCATCGTCATCAAGTTTCGGCGTCTCATCACCAAGGTCGACATCGCCGTCGGCATCGGCATCAGGGGGCGGAGGAGGTGGTGGCGGAGGTGTGGATTTCTGTCGTTTGGAGGGAGAAGCTGAGCCGGCATCTCCAGCAGAACCATTTACCAGGTTCTCGGCATCGATTTCCTCGGGACGTTTACGCTTCAATGAGGCTGAGGCTGAGGTGTCGTCGTCCATTGGTGAAGTCGATGTGGTAGCATCACCACCTGCTTCGTCGTCGGAGAGTTTTGTGGTGTCCTCGTCTGCGTCTGCGGGGGTGGAATCTGCTTCTGCTTCAGTGTGTCGGATGGGGAATGTTGTTGTTTTTGTTGTGGCTGGTGTGCTGGTGGCACTGGAGGCGCGAGATTTGTGCTTTCTTTCCATGCGCTCTTTGTGCTTTTTGTAGGCTTTGTCGAAGTAATCTTTGCAGAAGCTTTTGACTTTTTGTTGGTGTTTATCAGTGATTTTTGTGGGATCCGTGACGCGGTTGGCTTTATAGTCGCTATTCACGAGTTTGGTGGCCGTCTAGAATCATGGTTAGCGGGTTATACGGGGCGCCAGGATTGGGGTCATTGGGAGATTGGTGGAAGAGCGTACCTCTTTGGCAAAGCGCTTGAGATCGTCCTTTGGGATCTTATTTTTGTATTTATCGACGAATGGCTTGATGTGGGGGAATAGCTAGGAAAGTCAGTTAGCCAAGGTCCGGGATTTTGGTTGGGATATTGGACATACAGTGTTCTCGTAGAGCTTTTTCTGCTTCTCTATAGGAAGCTTCCTCCATCCTTTATCCTCCCGCTTCTTCTCTTGATGATCAGATGCCGGTTGCGGGGTGCCTGGGGTATCACTCTTGTGCTCGGAGGTTGGGGTCTTTTCTTGCGAATTGACAATGCCGTCAATGATGCTTTGCAAAGCCAAATTCTTCTTCTGTGCCGTTGGTGCCGCAGGAGTCGCAGGGGCCGTCGGCTTCTGCCATGTAGTTTTTCCGTCGGCAGTGTAGTAGTAGAAGCGACCTGACTCGTTCTCTGCCTGGAACCATCCATCTGGAAGCTGACGATCCGGGACCTGGCGCCGACGATTGGGTCGAGGCCGCTGATTCTGTTGATGCTGAATTCTCTCTCGCCGTGGTTGAGTTGGGCGTTGTCGGGCCTCGTATGAAGGCGAAGGGGATCGTGTGACAGAACGTTGACGCTGCTCGCGGCCAGATTCCCGGCGCTCGAATTGATTGACTGCTTTCTTGGCTTGCTCATCCCGCTTCATACGCGGAATGCGGTATCCCACCTTCAAGTCTGCCCAGTCGGCCAACAAGACGATGGCTTTCTGTGCGACACGTTCGTCGCCGCAGGTGGTGAGAGGCTGTATATTCGTTTCGATCTTGGAGTCGATGATCTTGTTGCGGGTCATTCGCGGGAACTTGTCAAGAATGTCCAAGATCTGCAGCACGACATTATAGTCCTCTTTCCATTGCGCGAGCTGGGAGTTCAGAATCTGGTAACCGTGCATCTTAACCACCCTGTTGGACACCCTCTCATCCTCACAACGCTGGATACGGCCCAAAAGCTTAACAGCAATCCATTTCTCCTGGCATTGCATGAGGGCAGCCATGACCTTGGTGACGCCATCCTCCTGAAGAGACTTGGGCTGTACGCTGTCCACATATTCCTCGTCGTTCTCCTCCGTCTTCTTCTTCTTGGGCCTCCGGGCAACCACGGTATCCCAAGCGTCCTCTTCATCGATACCAAGAGCTTCGATTGTCGCATTCGAGAGCTTGGTGGCTTGCTCAGTCTGGGTACGACCACCGATAAATCCTGTACAGTTCGGCTCTGCACAGTAGCAAGGTTGGGGATCGGCACCGTAACGATCGACGTTGTAGTTGAAGACTAACTCCTCGCCTGCTTCCACAGCTCGCTCGGCGAAAATTCCCATACGTAATTTCTCGCCCACCACCCACTTATCGACATAGCAGTTGGGGTTACAAGAATGGTTGCAGAATCGACCGAGGTTACCACGTTTTGTCGCGTCCACGAATTCGCCCTTGTTGAGGGACATGAAGTAGAAATGCTTGATGCCCTCCTCGTCATATTGTCTCATGCGGCGGCGGAATTGGGCCTCGCCTACGACTTCGCCGACATACTCGAATATCAGCTGGTGTGGTTCGAGGTTTGACTCGGCGCGTAACCCGAAGCCCTTCTTCTCTGTCTTGATGACCGAGACCTGCGAGTATTGTTTTTTCTGGAATCGTTGATTGCGGCAGTCGGGGCCGCAACCACAGTCGCCCACGCATTCGATTTTGGTTGCTCGGTTGATGCAGTCGGAGTCTTCGCCACAGGCTTGATTCTGGCCGTGTTTCGCATCTGAGGGGAAAGTAATCAGTATGACGATCAACATAATCTAGAAAATGGAACCAGGAGGTCCAACGGAGATCCGAGTCACGTCCAACTCGGCAGCAATGTTCAAAGTACGTCGGATTCCTCTCACTAGCAGACGCAGGGATCAAACTTACCCCACTCCTCAGAGCAGTCACACTCCATTGCATGTTCCGTGTAGCCCATGTATTTATTCGCGTACCAACAGGCCTCGATCTGCTCGAAAGTCGCGAGAGCATCTTGAGTGCTATCAGGGAGGTGGTCGAAGAGCTGCGGTGGACGCGAAACGACCTTTTGCGAGGAGCTACGCGACAGCTTGGGAGGCTGACCGGGCTCCTGTTTGAGGAGGATGTCGCCGCCGACCGTCTCCTCGTCGGAGGGACTGGCCTTCATGTTGTGGTGTGCTTCTGTGTTTGATTGATCGGAGGTTGCGGAGGTGACGGCAGCAGGAGAGGCTGAAGCTGAAGCAGAAATAGAGACCTTCGTGTCGCCAGACTCAGATTTGACATTCGTCGCATCTGGGGCGGAATTGGCGTTGTCATTCGCGGAGGGCGTGGATATTGCCATCGCGTCGGGGGAGATGGACTTGCCATTTCTCAGGCCATTGGGGGAGTCCATGGTCAGTGTCTGGTCATGAGATTCGGACCCTTGGGCAGTCGTCACGACCTAGACGCGAAGTGATGGGAGATAGGGAGATTAATTTGGTCCATCGAGGATATCTCGCGCTCACCGCCTGCGGCGAGCGGAGATACACGATGAGCAGGGAGTCGAGGTTAGGAAAGCTACCTCGGTTATATTTGAGAAATGATCTGCTGGAAATAGTTTACTGCGGTTTGCACTATCTTCAGCGCCACTGGTCCTGTAGATATGCTGTTGTAGATGTTATAGAGTGTTGATGTCGCGAGATCTTCTAGTTGAGTCAGCGAGATCGGAGTGTCACGTGCAAGTATACAAACGTGCACAAACAGAAGCAGCATAACAGTTATCAGTCAGGTACGGAATATTGATATTGATATTGGTCTTGACATGTATATTGGCATTGATATTCGCAATTGATCATTAGCTAGTCGTTACCAAGCCTACAGTATACATTAGTATACAACTTAATGTTGTTTGTATAAGTATAGCACAGACACTATCTTACTGATACCTCGGCCTCGGAGTAAACACCCAATCATTTTGTGAAGCAATGTGCAAAGCATAATGACAAGACAGCGAATCAGCGGCAGACGCCAACTTTTGCTCATCGCCAATCGATCTGATGTGCAGTACAATGATTTGCAGTGACCGTGTTAGCGTGGCGTATTTATTGATATTTTCCAGACAACTTGATTACTTAGTACCCCACTGTTCTACTTTAGCATAAATTCTTCATCAACTAGTATCTCATTCATGGATGGAATAATTTGCTATCTCCGGGCCGTAGTTGGCAAGATGGATATCAGCGAATAGTGTACACTGACTTGTAAGCCTGCACAGCCCGGGTTGAAGGGACTAGCAAGTACCACTAACATGTACATCATGTACATCATGCATGTATCCTTTTGACTTTGAGTGTAATTAAATATTAACCTTGGAAACCTTCTAGTTGGAAGCCCCGACGGTCAATCCTTTGTCCCAGCCAACTATTTACCCAGCTACCTGGTACTATTACCTATGTGTTGAAACTACCACACTTACACTTCTTCCTTACCGCTAACGTATCGCGCGTACTAGTAACCTTAGTACACTCGACAATGAGAAAAAAAAAGTACCCAGAAGACTCGTGTTTCACCCCGGCGGGGCAAACCATTAGTGGGTCAGTTTAAACCGCGATTTGAGAATTGGGTCCAACCATTCCTACCGTTGGGCTCCGCTTTTCACGCTGGCATCCTGCTGCAGACAGCATTGCAGTAGTGTCCTGTTTGCCCCTCTAGGTTTGGAGCTTTTGTTCTGGAAGATGAAACCCTTCTGCTTGCCCCCCTTTTCTCTTCTAAAGTATCCTAGCCACTCCTTTTCCTGCAGCTGCCCTGTCCTGTGCGATTCCGAACCAATCCTTTCCTCGGCGGACTCTTTGCCTGCGTTCTTTTCTGTTCTTGTCGACTTTTCTGTGGCTGTCGTTTCTTCTTCACTTTCGTCCCTCGCTTGGTTCCGTTCTGATCTGCTCTGATCTGCTTCTTCTCTGCTTTCTGTTCTGCTTTCCTCAACTGAGCAGTGCATTCTATTGTGTTTCATTTCTCTTCTTCACTCTCGTTCGCTCATTTTTTTCTTAGCCTCCTATCACTCTTGTCAGTCGCGTGGAAATGACTTAATTCCCACCGTTTATTGTTGTTTTTTTTCCTTTATTTTTTGTTCTATTTTCATTCCTGTTTGATTTCTTCCAAGGGTTTCCTTTTTATGTCCTGATTTTTCCCTCGCTTTTCGCATTTGCGCATTGGCTTTCTTCTTCATCGATCTCTCGATTCAACTCGTACCGGAGGCAGTTTGTTTTTCGTTCCCATGATTGGATATGTCGAATCAACCCGAGAGGCCCTGGTCGGAGGACGAGAAGGTATTTTAGTCCAGAACACCCTCCTAGACGGACTCTATACCTATTAGTAGGTATTCCGAATCTTCCGAATCTTGTAGCTAATACTTCTTTCCAGTATGCTCTACTCTCCGAGATTCTCAAGAAAGCCGGTATCCCATCCAGTTATCTCGTCCGCATTATCAATGAGTATCGCATCGAACCCAATTGGAATGATATCCCTCTCCCACACGGTATCAAGAACCCTTGGAACTACTAGTATACTAGTACCAATCATTCAAATTCAACTTTACTTACTTGAACCAGGACGCTCACTCAATTCCTGCAAAATGGCCCTTTTCCATATGACCCAGCCGCATGCGCCCGGAGGTCCAGGTCCAGGAACAGGAACAGGAACAGGAACAGGACGAAGTTCAGGCTCGGGCCCAGCGTTGAATCCATCACCGACACTGGCATCAACATCAACGTCGGCCTCAGTATCAGCATCAACCATTGGTTCAGCTTCAGTACCACCACCAGCCCCAACACCGCCAATGACCACCACAACACCTCGCCCACCTCAACAAGCTTTACCCTCACAGCATCCACCATCCCTCCATGACCCCCGCAAACGCCCTCTCGACTCTCATCCGCACCATTCTCATTCTCACTCACACTCTCACTCCCATGTCCATCCGAAACCCCCGCAGCCAGCCCCCCCGCTTAATCCAACCCAAACCACCTGCTAGCAACGCTTCCTACAGCAGCGAAAGTCCCGCCCCGCTCTCCCCGCGCTGGTCAGCCATCGGACCAGGCGGCGAGCCCCCGCGCAAACGCGGCCGCCCCAGCAAAGCCGAAACTGAACGCCGTCGCGCCGCCGCTCAAGCCCGCGGCGAAACGTATCCTCCCCCGCGTCGCCCAATCAGTCGCGCCAGACCTGTCGACGTCCATTTCAGCATCCCCCCTTCACCAACAAGTCCCGGAGCCTCAACTTTCTCTCCAGCTCCTGGTCCCGTGCCTGGGCCATCGGCCGCTGTCTCTGTTGCCATGGGTGGATATGGCCACACGCCATCATCCGCCCCACCACCAGGCCTAATGCCTGCCTCTGTACCGTACGATATGCAAGTATCGCGCGCAATGCCGGGAGTTGGTGCTGGTGCTGGTGTTGGTGTTGGTTCTGGCATTGGTGGTGGTGTGGGGATTGGAGGCTCTTTATCCAGTCCCGTCCCCATCCATGGTTCAGTCACATCTTCAGGTTCCGGCCCGCACAACCCGCGGCCCAATCGCGCAATGAGTTTACGCGAGTTACCCCGACCATTAGAGATGACTCCGACTCACACTGCATTACCCTCGCCTCATGCTTTGCAGCTTGGACCACCAGACTCGTTTCGGCCACGGTTGAATAGTGCCGGGGAGAGGATGTTTGGGCCTGGACATGCTTTATCGAGTCCTGGGCCCGGGTCTATTTCGGGGGGTCCTTCGGATCGCTTTTCGCCGGATAGGCGCGGGTCAGGCGCGAGTGTTAGTACGCCTGTTGCTGGATTAAGGGATCGTGAGATGGGCTCTGTGTCTGGTCCTGGTGCGGGTGCTGGTGCTGGTGCGGGCTATTCGGATTTGAGGAATAGTTCGACGCCTGGTGAGCCGCGGTAGTGGTGAGATAGGGGGTGGTATCCATTCAACTGGTGGCGATCTTTATGGTGATGGTGGTGTTCGTCGAGATGAGAGAATTTTTACGACTCATGAACTAGACCGCTTCGCTTGATATTCGTCTTCGTCTGCGCTTTCATCTTTGTCCGGACCAATTGGTTCATGTTCATGTTCATGCGCTAACGCCAAAACAACAACGACATATACAGTCCGGCTTTTATTTACTTCGTTCAGCATGCAACACGCACGCGCAACGCTTTGACTCGACTCGTTTGCTCTGATTTTAGTGACCTCACGTCTGTTTGCCTTTCAATGATTGCTCTGCTCTACTCTGATTTGTTATGCTTTACTTTGCGCTGCAATACTCTTTTTTCTTGATGATGGCTACGACTAAGAAATGAATGCACGTCTGCATCTATCTACATCAGCTCGGTTCTGCCGGCCTGTTCTGTGAATGTTTCTTATCGTTCATTAATTCTTGACTTCGACTTCCGAATTGTCCCTCGCCTTTTATTTTCAGTCATTTTCAGCTGAGCTCCTCGCCTCGCCTCGCCTCTGTCTCCCTCTTTCAAATATTTTTTTGAGAATTCTTACCGATTTGGACCTCCGTCCCACTCTTCACCCAGCGTGACGCGATACGACACGCACTCATGAAACCGGCCCTTAGCATTTCCAATTACCGTCCACGCGGCCCACGACTGAACTGAACCGATCTGATCTGATCCGAACTGAACTGCACTTCTGGTTTCCTGTACATTTAATAAACCTTTTCCTTCCTTTGATTCTTCGATCCTTCATATTTCTTCTTTCCACCCTTCCAACCTTGCCAATGGCAAAGAAATGGTTCGGCAACGCTTCATGACTTGACTTGATTTTATTTTATCTACTTTTTGCTTATCTGCTTTTCAAATCCTCTGCCTGTTTTTTTCTTCTTATTCTTGGGTTCACTTCTTTCCAACTTACCAGCTATTCACTCAACTCCGGACTCTGCCTCGAATATCCCCAGTTTATTCACCTCGGCCAGTCCACACGAGTCACGACTACATCCCACCGCGGGAAAATCCTGGTGCTGGCATTTGCCTTTTTTTACTCTTCCTCTCGTTATTGCTATGATATGTACGATTAGGATATATATTTAATGTACAGAGTTTACAACGCTATCACACATGGCAGAGTAGTACTACACGGCGTATTGTTAAAGAGTAGTTATATCTACTAGGTAAGTAATTCATGGGTGGTATACTCTGCAGCCATACTCGCCGGGATAACTTCGGGAGTTTGATGAATCAGTGGCAATTACCGATAGATCGACAGGAGCCTCTCGTACGGCATTTCCATTCATGCCGTCTGCGGGTACTATCAGGATCATTCAAGGTTCGAGATTCTCGGAGATCCCCCCCGGAACCTCTCCGAATACCCAAATACAGCAACTAACTATATCACCGCAAACCTTTGTCTCCACTATACTGAGTTCCTTCGAGCGCGGGGAATGGTCACAGAGTGAAACTAGGGTATCTCAACCCCAATGTTAATATACATCAGGTAACTAGTCATACCGATCAATTACTACCGGTACTTCGAACTCTTTCATGACTCGTATCCCCAGCCGCGGACCCGCGCGCGATTATTGAAGCTCAAACATAAGCAAGACAGGCTCAAACGCTGGTAAGACTTGGATATAAGGTTAGGGCAATTAGCCTGAAACCGGGATTTTGCTCGTATGGCCCCTGGTCTATTAATATCTTATCGGACCAACTTTTTTAAGTGTTTGGCGAGTAAGCAGTATTTAGCAAAAGTACCCTCTATCTCCAGGTGTTTGAAATACTAGTATGCACTACTGTAGTAGTAACATTAAGAATGTCCGTAACTACTAGTAGTAACAAGTAGGCCCAGTTCAGCCTACTAGGTAGCCCTATCACAACCCATCATAAGTAACAACAGAGCTATTCTCCCAGTCCAACATTCTTGGCTGTCTGATCATACATCCGTTTGCACGTCACTCTGAAGAAGACAAATGATGCTGAGACTTTTGCTTGGGTCTTTTCTTCGATGAGGTCTGTCCGGGTCGTGGGTATATCAGATTGCTTCCGCAAGACAGGATTGACTCGGAATTCTTTCGAAGGGAGGAGTGCCAGAAGCAGGGTGAACTTTGCAAACAGGTTGCGAATTATATTCTGCTTCAAGCTGCAAGTCTTCTGCTCTTTTGTGAACATGGTACGGATCAGTCAGGGCAAGCGACTGAATTTCTCTCAATCTATCCACCCTCTCTTTCTTGTTCCTCCCATTGTTATTATGCTTTGTGAAAACCATGGAGTCTTCTGTGCGCTTTCCCTCGCTCGGGGAGTGGTGGCCCCATGGAAGAACAGTCCGGCTACGAAGACCACCGGGTCGTCATGTAACTAGTAGGTACATTCACTCTTACTTCTTTTCTTCTATCGAAGGATTTGATGTGATACTATGTCTGCCATTCTGTAAGATATGCTTTTTCCCTATCCTTGCCATCACGTTGAACATTCGCTCAAAGCCCCGGGGCCCTCGAGGGGAGGATTTTGCGAAAAACCAGGAGGGATCTATTCAGGCCCCGATTCCACCATTCAATACCACATACTTCAAGTCCAAACAAGCTAATGAATCATAATATCGCCAATCATATAAATCCCCAAATCCGAAGCCTTGACGACCTTTCTACGAGGAAACCTTAATCCAAAGCGGAGAAAAGCTTGGCATTGCATTCCTTGGTTCGGCGGGACCTGGCTGAAAAACGGATATTGTTTAGTATCCAATAGGATGGTCGCTGTAGATTCGCCAGTTAGGCTAGTATACCCTAGACTCGAATGAGCCCCCTGGAGGTGGTGCCTTAGGCAGTTTGTCAGTGTAGTCGTTCGCAGGAACTTTCGGTATCGGGTACAGTAAATAAAATTTGATATGGACAGTGAAATGAAAAGCTAAATGTAAGACGAGGTGAGGTATAACAAGGAAAAGGAAACTCAAAAGAGAATTAATATGGGAAAGTAGGACACGACGTGATGCGATGCGATGCGCTGCAATGCACAAATGGATGCATAGTAACTACATACCATCCTCTCACCTCCCTCCGCTCCCCTCCATTCCACTCCACCCCTCGCCTCGTTTGCATCCGGGGTATGTACTATGGATGCCGAAATCTCAGCCCAACTAAATCATTCCCCGGATTTATCCCGTACCCTATTAAGAAGCCGCCTCAAGTGGGCCGTGGAGTCAGTCACCGGCACATCTGTGTGTGTACCCGTTGCCTCGAGGGCGGAGGGTTCGGGCTCAGGTATAGAGGCAGACGAATACGGATGCGAGCCCCGTCTTTCCTGCCGCTGGGCTTGGACCTGGGCCTGATCTTGATTGTGCTGTGAAGCCTGCTTCTGCTCTTCACGCGTCGTTTGTTCTTTCTGCTGCTGAATCTGATTGCGAAGCATACTCACCGCAGCACCGAATGCCGTCGATGGCCCGCGCATCGGCGAGCTGAACCTCTGCCCGACTTGTATGTTCAGGGTTTTGTCTTTCACAAACTTCATCACTTCGTCTTTACCTTCCACGCGGCGTGTGAGGTAGACTTTCGGGCCGGGGATTGCATCTTCATCTTCACCGGTGCCTGCGCCAGCGCCAGCGCTGAGTGCGGTGGTTTCTGATCGGATACGCTCTAGTTCTTTGCTGTATGCAGTTTCGTAGATGTCGAAGTCTGCTGCGCCGGGTGATTCGCTGACAACTACGGGTTCGTCGCCGGGTAGGTCGATGTCTTCTGCGCTGTCCGGCTCTGCGAATATCGGGACTGGATCGCTGCCGGTGAGCTTTTCTTCCTGCGATGTCCCGGTGTATGTTGACGGTCCAATGGATAGATATGACCAGTTTTCTTCCAATGGGTCTCGAGCGTGTCCTCTTGTTCCCTCCATGCTGCGCTTTGTGGTGGCTGAGCTGGCTCTGGAGAGAGGAAGTTTTGGAGACTGGGATCGTTCATCGGCTCTACCTGTTGATCGACCGCTGCGTATAGAGCCGGACTCTCGACGCTCTGGTTCGAACACCCCGCTGGGCAGCCGGCTACTCGCAGGACTGTGCTCTGGTAGGGAAGACATACTAGCTGAGTCGCTGGCCCCGGGCCTGGGGCCGGAGTGATCTCGGCGCAAGGCAGACATGGGAGATCTACCTAAGAACCTTCGCAAGCCTGTGTTCAAAGCATGGCTGCCATGACCCTGACCGAGTCCAACTTCTGGGAAATCTTCACTCTCGTCCATTTCCATAGGTGGGGCAACGAACTGGGCATCGCCACCGAGAATACTTTGCATGGCCGGCCCTGCTCCTCCCTTTGCTGGGTCGACAAGCCGCTTGAAATTCTTGACTGCTTTCATCTGCTTGAATTAGGGTTTGTTTGAAAGGGTTTTTGGGGTTCACTCGCACTCACGACTGTCATAAGGCGACCAAAGTTTCCTGTGATAGCCATGTTCATTTCCTCTTCTGTTGGGGGTTCAATCATTTGGGCGGTGTTCTCCTCCTTTGAGAGAAGAGGATTGGTGCCATTCAAGGTGACCCAGGGATGTGTCTATATTCAAAGACTCATAAGCATTTGCAATTACGCCAATCCTGGGGCTACTCACCCGTAAGTCCCTCATTCTGATGCGTTTCGCCGGATCTTTTTCCAAGAGTCGGGCCATCAAATCCTTGAACTGATCATCTTGTTCATCCTCACATACCACCTCGTCACTGCGAATACTCTCATACAGTTCGAAAATACTCTGCTGCTCAAACGGCAAGCGCCCATACCGAAGACAGTACAGAGTTACTCCCATGGACCAGATATCCGCTGCCTTGCCCGAGACATCGCCATGCTTTACAACACACAGCTCTGGTGGAAGAAAAGCGGGCGATCCGGCAGACTTAGCCGTGAACATGTCGGACTCCTTAGCGAACATTTCCGACACGCCGAAATCGACGACCTTGAGTACATCATCGCTAGTGACCAAGCAATTATCGGGTTTGATATCGCGATGCACAATTCCCTGCGCATGAAGATACTCAATACCCAGCATTAAGTCACGAAACCAACAGCGGCAATGCTCATCGTCGTATGGGTCAGCTCGCTCTTCCAACCCCACTTTCATAACGACGCCCTTCTTACACATTTCCATGACCATGTATAACGAGTCCTCGGTCGGATCATCCAGTACCTCGATCAGCGATACCAAGTTATTGTGATTCAATTTCTTCATGATGGCAATCTCTTCTTTGATCAGGTAGAGCGGGTTCTTCGCGTTCTCATTATCATCCTCGGACGGATGGCGATGAAGCGGCGAGTTGAATCCCGTGCCCGGACGACGTGGTCCTCGAGGCCGTCGCAGAAGATGCGATTGTGCGCGTTTCCGCAGTCGGGACTTTGAAAATTCTTTCACGGCCTGGTGATAGTCATTAGTTTTTGAACTATTCGAGCCATATTCCGTTTCCTCGGGGAGTGATCTCGCACATATTCATTGCCAAATTGGTCCGCGGCGAGGTGGACAGCTCCAAAAGACCCTCGGCCAATCTCTTGTCTGATTATATACTGGTTGATTCGATGCTCCGCGGTACCATCGTCCTGACTGGTGGTATATTCGGAGCGGGCGTCCAGTGTTTCCTAGCCGTATGGTCAGTCGGGATTCATGACGAACGGCAGAGGAATGCTACCTTCACCGGACGCCGTGCTCGGGGATTCCGTTGTCGGTGTCGCTGAGGGTTGTCGAAGGAGCCAAACGAACTGAAGGGTTAGGATAGTATGTGTCAGCCATGTCCATATCCAATGGCTTAAGCCATATAGAAGACTTGATCTTACGCGACAGCGGGCCGCGAAAGGCCAGTACTCTCTAAAGAGTCGATCGAGTTGTTTTTTGAAACATCGGAAGGATTTTCGACTGAGTCTTCCATTGGATAAGAGGGAAAGACCCTTTGGAATAGGAACGTTGGACGGTGTGGGGTAGAGGGGAGGGGGGGAAAGAAAGAGGAGGAGCGGGGGAGATCACGCAGCGCAGTTGGGGCCGTCAGCCTTACGAGAAAAAAAAATAGCTTCTTTTTCCCCTGCACGGACGATCCAATCTGCGCGATGTCAGTCGCAGTTAGTTTCACGATTCACGACTTGGCCTAGGCAGCCTGATTCTGGATTTCCTTTTTGGGTCAACGTTTATCGTTATCGTCTTCACCGCCTTAATTGCTTTCACCGCCTGCCTCCACTCCAAGGTAGACTGGACTGGACTGCCATTGCTCCTGAAATCAACATCGGGTTTCCCCAAGCCTCTCACTTACCACCCCCACCACCATAATGCCTGTTTATTCCTTCTATATCTTTGACCGTCATGGTATGTCTATCCCGTATTCTCTTATCTCACCGTCCCCACTAACCCCATCTAGCGGAGTGCATCTACAAACGCCGCTGGCTTCCTCGCCCAACCTCTATCGTGGGGAAGTCCTCACGCGCCACGGACGCCCAAGCGGGCCCGACAGGACTAGGCCAGACCGTCAATGCGAGCGACGATGATGCGAAATTAGTATTTGGCACAGTCTTCTCCTTGAGAAATATGGTGCGCAATTTGGGGGGTGAAGAGGACAAGTACGACTCGATAGTCAGCCGGCCAAATATACCTTGACATGAACTGACCTCGATTCTAGCTTCGTGTCCTACTCCACCAGCCAGTATAAGCTTCACTACTACGAGACACCGACAAACATCAAATTCGTAATGTTGACCGACCTGAAGAGTCCCAGCATGCGCATCGCCCTGCAACAGATCTATATCAACTTATTTGTGGAATACGGTATGTCCACGGTCGCATATCATAGTTTGCCTTTGCCTTTGCTCTGGCTTTGGCACTTCCATTCTTTTCTAACATCATCACCGTATAGTCGTGAAAAACCCGCTCTCCCCGATCGAACATCCGGGCGGCGTGGGCGTCAACAACGAGCTCTTCGAAGAGTCATTGGAACAGTTCGTGGTATGCTTTTTTCTCTAGTGCTGGCTCGCCCCTTTTTGTTGACTTGTTTTCTGATGTGGCAGCAGACTCGCGTTCTTGCGTGATACAACAAAGTAATGAAGCAACCGAGCAAACCATGTCCACACATCACTCAGCATTACAAATGCCCAAGCCCTTCCTACACAACACCCAGCCAGAAGACCCACCATAACTAGCCAGATCGAACCGACTAGTACACCGCAACCCCGACCGGTGGCGCCGGGGTATATGTACTTCAGCGCCTCCGGCCCTAGGATCCTCGATACCGCCTTTTCAGCCGGCTGCCACTCACCGGTGCCGGCGTCCCACGTGGCGTGAATGTTGGTTTGAGCAGGGTCGCTTCGGTAAGCTGCCGAGAACCAATTCGGCAGTCTGCAGATTTTGCATCAATAGCACCGTCAACATACAAGCAAGGGCCAGGCTTGGCAATATGCTTTTCAGCGGGCGAAGTCGGATCAGGGTGGTGACGGAATTGGTGCAGTTCATAGGTGGCTACCCTATACTTGATACTGCGGAGAGATCCCAGCGTTCTGGCTAGCAGTGGGTTCTTAACAGCGGCCCGCCGGGTAGTCAGCGGCATGCAGCGGTTATCCCGAGGTCACGCCGATCTGTTACCCCGTGCTCGTGGGCAGTTATGATATCCGACATTGTCGAATAGAACAGATGCAGGATACCTGTATCTGATACTAGCTAGTAAAGCTCCAATTGCAAATTCGGGTATCATATACATGTCCATGTACCTACTCCCAACCACTAATTCCAAGGTTACACTGGCTGTGATTTGACTCGACTCAACTCGACTCAACTCAACTCAACTCCCTTGCCTCGTAATGAACCTGCATCAGCCAATCCATACCGATCGCACGTTATACGCACAACCTGCAGAATGACCAATCACACCTGCAAGGCCAAACATGAATCTACAGATAAGGCGGGTTCGTGCAGCAGGGCTGAGCTCGGGGAGATGTTTGCTTTTTTGGCCGCACATAAGATCTACGCACCAGTCTTCAATTGCTATAAAAGGTTCACGGTCGAGATGGAATGAGTAGCAGGATCTATCTATGCCCGTCCATCGGCTCCAAATACGATATAATCCTGAAGCTTAAATTGAGACGGTCAGCAGTTGGGGCTGTCCACCTGCCCCATTAGGCATATGTCCCTTTAGTCAGTCTACCTAGTTGAGTATGTACTCCGCACATGGTATGGTATGAATCCAGACTGCGGACTGCCCTAAGCAAGGGTTCTTCACATTGCAAACTCTGATTTTTAATCCGAAATAGAAGTTCTCCTTGGTCGGCGGGTATCATTTCAAATCTTCACTTGCCTCTCAGCCCTAAACATCAGCATCAGCACCGTACCGCACCGCATCGCACCGCATCAGCATCGCATCAGCCTCAGCCTCAATCTCAGCCTCGCAGTCACGAATTAAATACTACGCAATACATTGAAAAAAACGTAGCCTTGTACGGCAGAATTGTAAACTTGAAGACCTAACATACACCATACATACAATACAGTCTCCAAAACAACCCACTTACCAACTCGAGCGGATGAATATTGAATGGCCCTAACAAATCCCGCACATCCAATATCTCCCAGGGAGCTATTAGTATAACATAACAGCAATGCCAGCAGGAGTCTCCGCAAAAGCAAACATCACACACCACAGTGTCGAAGAAAATCATCTGGCCGTGGAATACTAGTATCTATGGCTCTAACAAATCCCGCACACCAGGTCGCCATTATAACAACTTGCCCAGGTGAACATCCAGCCTTGGAAAGATCCCCAGCAAAAGCAAAACATCTGCACATCTGACGTGTCGGTCGAAAGCAAAGCAAAGAAACAAAACCTGAACAAAACTCACGGCGCCTTCGCCTTCGCCAAGTTCAAGGTAAACTTCCAAGGTTGACTCCGATCCGATCCGCCACTCCACTCCACCGTGGATTCCCAAGCAAAGCTGTGATTGATGAAGTGCCAGGCACCCGGGTCCGAGCTTCTGCACGCCGAGCTCAGCTCTTGGCAGAGCCACAGCTTATCTCGTGGTGGCTCCATCCCATCTGTGCGACCTGGTTGCACTGTATGTACCTCTGGTATATGTACCTTCAAGTTCATTAGGGCTTGGTGTGCCGCTTGAGACCGCACCTACCTAGATGGGTACTGTATACAGGGTAGATGGGTGACAGTATTCCCGGGAACGATACTCCGTAAAGATCTAATCGCGAAGATCCAACCCACACCGGACACATTACTCCGTTAGTATGTACAGAAGTGCAGTTAGCTTCAGCTCGGACCAGCTACATTCAACCCAACCTCGTCTCGTGCATCCCACGCCACAGCACACAACCCCATCCAATTCTACAGTACAGTACGGAGTACAGTAACCCTCATGCCAAACGGCGGTCAACTCGTACCAGCCCGCCCAGGAAGCTTTTACTGATCTGCCGCCTGCGCGTGTCACCCGCGCTTGTGGGGCAGAGAAGGGAGGGGTAATTGCATTTGCATATGATTCCAAGAGCTTGAGGAAATGCTGGACCACCAACCATAATCATTGGATGCGTGCAGAAAACGCAACGAAGAGAGAGCTGGGTAATGGTTTGTCCGCATGAATTGGACGACATGTGGCCCTGCACTGGGTTCATTCAAGTTTCGATTTTGCGGAGTCCCGTTGTGCTTGGTGATTGGTTCGATGAAAATGCCTCGTAGTGAGGGAGGGCCGTCCATACAGAACACTCCAGGGCTAGGGTAGCCGTAGCCCGTAGCCCGTAGCCCGTAGCCCGTACCCCGGGAGCCGGTGGGATATTCGTTCCGAGGAGCAACGGTTTTTGCAGTTTGGTTTTTGTACATGTCGTATCGTATTATTTCGGTTTCCATTTCGATTTCGATTTTCATTTCTGAGAGACTGCTTTTGCTTTTGCTTGCTTGTTCTTTGCTATTTACCGTCCATGCTACAATCCTCCGACGAACTTCCGCCTAAAATTTACAGTATTAGTAATTTTTTTAACTAACTAGTTGCTAGGAAGAAACAGTACACATGTCTCCGATGCCAAACCGAGGTCAACATCGACCTGAACCCAAACCAAACCAAACCAGATACAGCCATCGTTAGCCACACACGGCACCATCACACTAGGGGCTGTGCTCGTCCCAAAGAGCAGTGGCAGAGCAGATTAAACTTCTCGCTACAATGCCGATATTCGCAATTGTAAGCACAGTCGCAATCCGGGGTAGGTCGCTTTTGGCATGGCATGGCCGGAGCAGAGCGGGATGGGATGGGATGTGTGCGATGAGACCCGGGATGTGGACGAGTATGGTTCAAATTTTCAACAGTACTGCGGCCGGATTCAACTTGGACTCAAGATACCATACCAGACCTGCTGGGACAAGCTGGACTTTCTTTCTCCGTCAAGATTACTGTAATCAGTAGTAGGCAACCCAACTCGATACTTTCGACGAGATGAGATGGATTACCACGAGCTCATACATGGCCCCACCGAGTATACCCGTAGTGTGTGCATTAGCCCGTGTCTACCTTCGCATCTACCCCAGTACAGTAGTCCGTAGCCCGTAGTCCGCAATCCACAGTCCGGTCCTAGTCCTTTACTAGTAGTTTAGCATACCAAGAAAGACGGTGAGCTGTGCCGAATCATAGAGGATGGGAAATAGTTGTGGAGGGGAAGTTGGACTCCCCGCTGCCCGCTCGTGACGAACTGATAGGCCGTAGTTTAATCGCTCAGGCTTGATCATGATCTACTGTAGAGGTCTGAGTCTGAGTCTGAGTCTCTTGTATTCTCCCTTCTGTCCGACTCTCTTCTGTGCTGGCCAGAGATAGGACGTCATATCAGCAGCTAGCGGATGACCCCATCGCACAAAGACCCCACGCCGGACCGGACTCCACGACCATCCAAATGGGGTGATGTGCATGATTGTCTTGACTCCTCGATCGGCCGGCAGTGGTGAGAGGGAGTAGGCACTCGGGGGGGGGGGAGGAGTGGGAGTGCCAGTGGGAGTGGGAGATGAGCATTTCCGGGACGTCGAGGCGATACGAGGGAGAGCAAGGCGTAGGTTCAAGTCCAAACTCACGGAACCGCAAGCAAATACGTAGGATAGAATAGACAGAATATAACAATTCATATGCTAATAGTAATATCCTGAAGAAAATCTTCATATTACTATTGTACTACTGCACAGAGTAACTACATTTTACACTGTGGAGCGGAGAGTTCCGCGATTTCTTACTCGTACCTAGTGGGGGGGGCATCGAGGGGCATGGAACAGTATGCCAGTGGATGTACATGTGTCCCTCGGATAGGCCTCCCCAACTCATTTCCTTTACTGAACAAAGTAATGAGGCACGGTTGAGCGGGGCCCGCGGCCACGCACTGTCCCACGGGGAGGGCCATCGGGAGATGCCAGGACTGGTACCAGGACCAGATGGGATACCCCTCAGGCGCCACACGAGACCAGCGCGTCGGCTCTCGGTCTGCGGGGCACGAATCAGGAGGGAAGTGAGCACAGCCTCGAGGGTGGCGGAAGTATATGTACAATACTGCCAGTGTGAGAGTACCGTGACCTAGGTAAGTGTAGTGTAGTGGGAATGTTGAAATGGTGAGAGTCGACGTCAGAGAGAAAGACCGGCTACGTGTCCCTGGACGTCATTGATCGTCCCTGTAATTTGGGGGGAGAGAATTGCTTGTTGCACGGAAGAGGGAAGATCCAGCGCCGGTTTAGTGGGCAGTGGGCAGTTTAGTCAGTCTCTTTCAGTTCCAGTTCCAGTTCCAGTTCCAGGGCTCCAATAAATCACTCACTCCACTGGTATTATACATGTATTGTGGCATGATCAGATAGTTTGATAGAATAGTATATATAAAGCATTTAGATAATACTATTAGTATACCTAGCTATAATTGAATTAGGGTTCTATATGTAATGTCAGCATAGAGAATGCCCTGGAAACACTACGTAGTACTCCGTGCAAATGTCAATGTAACTAAATGCAAAGGGTAGGTATTTAATACCGTACTGTAATACCTCCGTATGGCACCTTACAAATACGCACATTTTTGCAGAGTGGTAGACCAAATCTCGTCAGAGTATACTAACTAGTGCCAGTATCTTCTCTGATGGCAGCCTTAATAATACATCCGTAATTATTCCCGTCAGTGTAGCGTAAGCCCCCCCCGACTACCTAGTAGGTATTCGCTGTGGTATTTGTCCCCTCGATATCGCCAATTTTACCCTCACTTTTTCTCTTCTTTTTCTCTCTCCCTTATTTATATTGTCCATTCCCCATTCCGGCGCGCTCCGTCCACTTGCTCCTTCTCTGATTCTTTCTGTTATTTTTTTGAGCACTCTTCTACACCTGGGCACCTAGTACCTAGGTTACTACCTCATCTTCATCTTCTCTAGCCTTTCGTCAGCGAGTCGTCTTTGCTGCCTCAGGCCATCCATCCACCACCTTTTTTTTTTCCGCGCCACCTTTTCTCCTCCCAATTCTCAATCCTCCTCAACATATACGTGTGAACTCTTTACAATACCGTAGCTATTCAGCTTCGTGTGAGCTCTTTGCTCCTCCCCCATTTTTACGGGGGCGACGTGTGATCTTTTTCTCTTCTTCTTTGCTCTGCTCTGCTCTGCACGGCGCACTGCACTGCAGTCTCTCTTCCCCCCCACACCACCACATCTCTCCAATCTACCGCACATGACTCCGCTTTCGCCCTCACCTGCTCCGTCCGCACTCTCCTCCGCCGCAAACTCTCAACATTCGCATGACCGGGATGGAGACCCTTCGGTAACACGCGCCTTTGCGGGCATGAACCTGTCCGCGCCGAACGGGGAGCTTCTCCCTGGAACGGCCTCCCCAGTTCCCCAACGACCAAAGGTCGCCAATATGGCCACCCGCATTTCCCGAATGTTCATTCCTGGAAAGCAAACCCTCAACAAAGAACACGATATCAACCGTGACCTATCCGACAGTAGCTTGGAGAGCGTCCAAGCCAATGCCCAGAATATGCACCCCAACCTCACCAACGGCAAAGACAAGCCCTCCTCCACCAAAGAGAAATCTACTTCAAAGCCCTCCTCAAGGGCAAACTCCAGACCCCCTTCCCGAACTCCCTCACGCCAAGCTTCATTAAAAAATGAGCCGATCGATGGACCCAAGAAGAAGCCCGGCAGCAACAAAGAATCTAAAGATGGCGTCCCCCCGCACAAGCGCTTCGAGGTTCTTCCCGAAGGCACTGGCACCCACTCCCATAATCTCCGCAGCGCCAGACGACAGGAGAAACTGACCGACCTCCTCCGAGACATGCTAGGCGGCAGCAGGAAAAAGGGCGATGACCACCAGGTCGACGAGACCCAGCTCTCTCTCATGTCAACCTGGATCGACCAGTTCAAGAACGAGCGTGACAAGCTCGCTCTCGACAAAAAGGGTGGTCCCAACGCCACCGCATCCCTCGTCGACAAATACGGCAAGTGCCAGGAGATTGTCGGCCGCGGCGCCTTCGGCATAGTCCGAATCTCGCACAAAGTCGACCCCGCAGACTCCAAATGCGAACAACTCTACGCCGTTAAAGAATTCCGCCGCCGGCCGCAAGAAACCGCAAAAAAGTACCAGAAGCGCCTAACCTCCGAGTTCTGCATCTCCTCCTCCCTCCGCCACCCGAACGTCATCCACACCCTTGACCTCCTCCAAGACGCCAAGGGCGACTACTGCGAAGTAATGGAATACTGCGCCGGCGGCGATCTCTATACCCTCGTCCTCGCGGCCGGCAAACTCGAAGTCGCCGAGGCAGACTGCTTCTTCAAACAGCTCATGCGCGGCGTGGAGTACATGCATGAGATGGGCGTTGCGCACCGCGACCTGAAGCCCGAGAACCTCCTCCTGACGACACACGGCGCGCTGAAGATCACCGACTTTGGCAACGGCGAGTGTTTCCGCATGGCGTGGGAGAAAGAAGCGCACATGACGGCGGGTCTGTGTGGGTCGGCCCCTTACATTGCGCCGGAGGAATATACGGAGAAGGAATTCGATCCTCGGGCTGTGGATCTCTGGGCTACCGGCGTGATCTACATGGCTATGCGGACGGGGCGGCATCTGTGGCGCGTCGCGCGTAAGGACGAGGATGAGTTTTATCAGCGGTATCTGCAGGGGCGCAAGCATGAGGATGGTTATGCGCCTATTGAGACGTTGCATCGGGTAAGTTGTGGTCCACTATCACTATGGCCATCATCGACAAAGACTAAATTAACTGTTTGCCAGGCCCGCTGTCGCAATGTGATATACTCGATCTTGGATCCCAACGCCTCCCGCCGAATCAATGCCTCGCAGGTCCTCAAGTCTGAGTGGGTGCGACAGATCAAATTGTGCAAGGCTGGCGAGGAGGGATTATGATAAAAGCTGTAACGCGGGCGTGGTTGTGAATTGCCGAATGGGTCTAAAGTGAAAGTGAAAGTGTCAGTATTGGTGTCGATGTTACCCCCATCACCCATCACGCCTATGTCAACTGTATCTTACGGCTTCGGTCTGTCTCTTTCTATTCGGTTTATATTCCACTCCTCTCCACTCCACCCCCAGCAACACGGCATTGGATTTGGCGGGAGGGTCATTTTGTATTGAATCAAATTCTCTCCCTTATACACAATCGGGCGGCTTTACCCTGTTCTAGACACCGTTCAGGAGGCGCACTTGTTTTTTTCCCCAGCTCAGCTCTGCTCAGCTCAGTTCCGATCTCCCATTCCATTTTTCCATCTATTCTCTGGTCTTTCTGAGTTTCAACGATCTCTTACTATTCCTTGAATGCAAGCGAGGTCCTTTGCTGCTCTTTGGTTTGGCTTTTTCCATCTTGTGGTTTTCTTTTTGTCCGGCGCCATTGTCATATCATATCATATCATATCCTTTTTTTTGCCGTCACTAGCTTTCGACGTCAATCTCATGTGTCACGTCAATGCAACGAAGAGTCATGCCTTGCCTTTGCCGCCGTGCTATACATTCTCTTCCTGCTCTGCTCCGCTCCGCTCTGCTATCCGCTCTCTACTGGACGCATTTGCATTAAGGGTTCCCAAGCATTCGCATTCCCCGCCCTACTTTGTCCTACCCTACCTGACCTTAACTTCCTTTCTCCAGCCTACCATTCCGATCCTCCATTCATCACACCCACCCTACTCACGACCACAACGATAATGACAACGACACGAGACCACTGAATAATGGCGGCTACGGCTTTCCTTTCCTTTGTACCATATGCGGGATCATGAGCTGGGCGTAGGAGGACGCTTACTTTTCGTTGCCCCGCGCTACTACACTCACTTCCTTCTATCCCCGGTATCATGTACATAGTTCTACGAATAACGAATCAATCTGCCTTGGAATCAATATATTCAACTCGTAACGGTCATCACAGAAGTTTCTACCGTACTGTGTCCTATCGAATTGATTTCAAATCCACTGGATAAAGTTGATGACATCAGCCGCCACTGCCCGCCGATGTCATAGTCTTGGTGCTCTGCTTGAGCAGCCGCCTCTGCTTACATTTGACTTTGGCTGCAGGGTGATGTTATGGCGATCGACTGGGGCGTTTTTGGGTTTGAGGTCTGGTTTGTGGCTGGATGGGGCTGAAGTGTTCGTTTACTCGTAGCTTTGTTTGGGTTCGTCCTGATGACGAGATGATGGTGGACTGTGCGTGCTAGAGGTCACCAGGGCTGGGCAAAGGGTAGCTTTGGAGCTTGGTTACGGAGTGAATACGTAGATGGAATAGAGGTGGGGGTCAGTTTTGAGTAAGTTGAAATAAAACTTGATGTTGACTTTGTGCTGTTCCAAGTTCTACTAGTCTATTGTATGGGGGATACGGATATACCGTGATGGAGAAGGGCCCCGAAATTTGTCGGTTCAAGTTAGTACTCCGTGACTATTAGTCCACTGTGGCTAATTTCTCCACAGTGAACTTAGTAGGGGAGAGACGGAGACCTTCCTTATGGGTATACTGTACGGAGTACCTAGTATCTGCAGTGTTTACTGCTTGCAAGGGATATCATGATGATCTACTACTGTATACATCCCATACCCGCATCTGCATATTCATCTGCATCTATATCTACATCTACTACTAGTAGTATAGTATGCCCATACCTCAACAGCCACACCTACGGTAACTTCAACGGAATATTAAAACTTGAACCATCCCCCTCCTTTCCGTACAAAGTATTCCATTCCCGCAACACCGGCATGAACTAAAGGCCTTGGCACATACCGTCAAACAGATCATTAGGCACCTGCATTCCACACCATCCCACTCCAGCCTTGGAGGAAGCCCTTACCAACACGATCTGATTGGACATACGCGACATTCTACTGGACACACATGGCCTGCCCTATGCCCTATCGCTACCTGCCCCCATTTCCTGGGCCCAATTTTTAGTAAAGGGTTTGCAGTATGAAGGGCTTCCGAGCCGGGCGGAACGGTTCTGCTAAGTTCCGATCCCGGTTCGACCGGCCGAGCCTGCTTGAGTCTAGTGTGGTCTACTCTGTACTCCGCGCTTCGCCCTCTCTAGGGCAATGCAGTGTAGTTTAGTTCGTGCAGTGCAGTGCAGTGCAGGGTGAACCAGCCCCAGCCCCAGCCCAGTCTAGTCCAGTCCAGTCCATGCCAGAAGTGAATCCACCAGCCACAATTCGGATGCCTAGCAGCGGAGCCAAGTAGGGTAATTACAGCAGTACGAGTAGGAAGTGCAAAAATGTCGAGTTAAATGGAAATCTACTAGATTTGCAAAATGTAACGCCGATGACCTGCCTGAATTGAATTGAATTACCAGTACTGCTGGTACAGAGTATGCAGAGTACAGAGTAGCGTACTAGTTAGTATACAGTATGTATACATAACTACTCTGTACTCTGTACATGTAACTTATGTCTGAAATTTCAGACTCTCCCCATCATGATTCAATAAAACCTCGCCCTCACACTCCAAGTCCAATCATTCAACGTAAAATGTAATTTCTCCCAGAGTCGTGACTCCATAAAATGTCCTCGATGCAATGCAACACCAGTGACGTAGCCGCATCCGGAAAGTGGCTGAGTCATCGCACCGCCACAGTCGGGCGTTAAGGCTGACTTGGCGGGAGAAAGTGGCTACTGCCTTGCTTTGCTTTGCTGCCCTGCTCTGTTCTACTCTACTGCTGTCCTTGCGCGTACACAACCACACCCAGATCAAATCGGATTGAACCATCTCCACGAGATCGAACTTTGAAACCCGCCAGAATGTCGTGGGCTGGTGCGTCCTTTCCCCGTCCCCGATCCGATTTCCTTTCCGCCTTTTGCTGCCCATTGCGGATCAGTCCGACCGACCGAGTAGTGTCGAGTTGATATGCGGCGCGCGCGATGCCATGCCGTGCAATATAATGCTGATACACGCTTCTAGGCTTTAAGAAAAATGTCGGCCGCGCTACGACGCAGGTTATGATGAAGACTGGTGAGTTCCGGAATGCTAGCTACCCCGCAACTCCGGGTGGCTTGATGGGCTGAGTTGCCTCGTGCTGGGAAATTCCATTTCCTCCATGTTAATCTAACCTAATCTTCTGCCGGGCAGGTCATGTTGAAAAGACGAGTGATCGCGATTATGAAATTGAAGAACGGTATGCTTGCTGCGGCGCCGATAATTGCGGAAACCGAGACCGAACCCGAAGCAGGACAGGGCTGATTGAGACGCAGACGATACCGGACTATGGAGGCCGCGGCCAATCGACTACAGAAAGAAGCAAAGGGGTACCTGGATTCGCTACGAGGTAGGTATCAGCAGTGCAGAGTTGTGTGGACAAGCCAGTTGACGAGGATTACAGCGATGACGGCGTCACAAATGCGCATTGCGGAGACGATTGATGCCTTTTACGGCGACGCGGGCACTAAGGATGGCGTTAGCCGGAGCTATAAGCAAGCAGTCGAGGACCTGGACGCGGAAACGATCAAGGCCTTAGACGGTCCATACCGGTAGGATTCACTGCTCGCACATCCAAAGCAAAGCAAAGCACACAGCTCACTAACACCGTCAGGGCAACCGTCCTGGACCCCATCTCCCGCTTCTGCGCCTACTTCCCAGACGTAAACGAGTGCATCAAGAAGCGCAACCACAAACTCCTCGACTACGATGCCATGCGCGCAAAAGTCAAGCGCCTCGTCGAGAAACCCGACAAGGACGCAACGAAATTGCCGCGCACGGAGCGCGAGGCCGAAATCGCAAAGCAAGCATACGAACAACTCAACGAGCAACTCTTTAACGAACTGCCGCAGCTTATCGACCTGCGCGTGCCATATCTGGATCCTAGCTTCGAGGCGCTGGTCAAGATTCAGCTGCGCTTTTGCGCGGAGGCGTATTCGCGGATGGCGCAGGTTCAGCAGTATCTTGATGCGGAGACGAGGGATCAGTATGCGCGTGGTGATTTGGATAATCGGGTTGAGGAGGTGTTGCAGGAGATTCGCGATTTGAGTATTGCCGGGACGGTCTAGAGGGGAGCGGTTTAATTTATGCTGGCTAGCATGGCCTGGTCTGGCATTGGCTGGGCTTCTTTTTTCCTCTTTCATTCTTCCATTTCATTATTTCTAATTGTTCGCGATGCTTTGCTTTTCTGCATTCATGAAGACTACATGACTTTTTTTCCCTTGGTTCATATTCATCGCTTGTACGCGGTTGGTTCTTTCTCTCTGTCATGCTCAAAAGGAGTTCTTCATTCAGATGGGGTATCAATCAATCACAAGCCTATCGTACAGCAAAAACTTGACCCATCACCCGCTCACTGGACGGGTGTTCTCAAGTCTGACCCTATATGCCAAATACCTATACAATCTATACCCAGCCCTACCCAACGCTACCTTGGAATTAAAGCAATAGCACAATATCATCCCCAGCTTAACCAGGACCATGATCACAAAATCACCCCTCAAAACCAACCTCCTCCTCCAAAACACCCACAACATGACCCGCCGCCCTCTTCACAGCCTCCATCTCCCGCGCATCCATCTCCGTCAAAACATAATCAGCAACAGCATTCTTCCCCCGACTCTCCGGCCTCCCAATCCCAACACCAACCCTAAGAATCGACAAATCCCGCCTCACACCTTTCCCCTTGGCGCCCCCATTCGCAGGATATAACCCCTTCCCCCTCAAACTCTCACAAACACTAATCAACCCCCGATGACCCCTCAAACTCGACGCTTCTGGTCCGCCGCGCTTCACGCGTACTTTGCCGAGTGGTTGTTCGAGTTCGTCGTGTAGAATGACTAGTGTAGCGGGCGTGCCAGCGCTCGCAGCAGTAGGTGTAGCAGGTGTATTTCCCAACGGCAACGCAACCCCAGACGAAGAAATCCACCCCGAGCCCTGGCCGTCGAGTTTCTCAAACCACCTCTGTAACTGGCGGATGAGTTTTGGGCCGGACTCGTTCATGAATGAGGGGCTGTACCAGGTTGTGTATGTGGTTGGGGGCAGGGCGGCGGGGAGGAGGGGTGTTAGGGCGTCGAGGAGGATGTGGCCTGCGCTGTGGCGGGTTGAGCGGTAGGGTTTTTGGTTGCCGATTGAGGCTATGAAGAGGGCGCGGCGGGGGGTCATGGTTGTGGTTGTGGTTGTGTGTGGTTGTGGCTCTGGGTGCAGAGATTGCGTTTGCGCTGGGTGTGGTGGGTGGGTTTCTGGTGTGGTTGTCATTAATTGGTGGTGTGTTTGATTGGAGGTGGTGTAGTGTTTGTCAAGTTGGAGAATGTGAGTAGTGTGGATGGGATTGAGGTTGTTGCGCAATGTGGAGTGAATTTCAAATTCTTATGTTAATGCAGATTGAATGCAAGGATAGTCGGAGTCGGAGTTTGGATCAGGAACGGGAGATCGCCTCGTGACGGCCACTCGGAGGTGTGGATTATCATTTCCTCTTTGGGATTTGGACCCAGTGTGTCGGGTCGGGTTAGTCATCTTGAGTCAGGAGTTAACAGAAGATTAGGGGATGTACTATAGTGTATAGTGGATAGTATGTAAGGCATGTTTATTTGAGATTGGGATAATCTAAGTATAGTATAGTATATAGTATGTATAGCATATAGTATATATAGCCTACGGAGTACTCCGACTAGCATGGCATGACAGCCCGAGTGGGTAGATCCCGATAATGTAATGCATCGAACAAAGTACGTATGGACCCGGGCTGCTGGATGCCAGTGCGCTGTACGAGCTGACTGGTATCTATGTACCTGGGTTACATGCCAGTATACAGGCATACATTTTAGCCGACTTTAGGAATAATTTCTGGTGCAGTATACTATTAAAGGATCATCAATATCTCTGATTCTAGTTTACACTCATACCTACCCTAAGGTAACACTCTAATTCTATAATTATGCCCGTATACTAATGTATACTACCGTGGTATACTCCTGTATAGTACTCCTGTATATAACTGTGCCCAGGTGTATACTTACTCCACCGTCCCAAGCTCTCGGACCCTCCTTGTCAAACCCCCTGCTCCACCCCGGCTCTCCCGTTCTGCCGGGTTCAACTTATATTATCGATTTCTATTATCCTGATTGTCGGGTTTTCTTGCTTTTTCAAGTTCACTTTGCCTCTCACAGATTTGCCTCTGCTGTTTCCTATTATATCCTAGGTTATGTGTCTCCAGGTTTTGCTACCTAGTTATCTATGTACTTTATCAGACCTGTTCTTCTTCCTCTCCCCCTCGGGTTCCACTCTTTTCCCGTCAAAAACTTTGCTTGCGCTCGGTTGCTTCATCTCACCCGAGCTGATCGGCTCCTTTTTCTCCTCATTTCTCCTCAATTGACCCGCAGCTCTCCCTTACCCACTCTAAATCCTGCCTTTTCAAAAGCCAAAAAAGCCCTAGACCCGCGTATCCAGGTCTAGTCTACCTACCCTCCAGGGCTCCCATTTACATCTATTCCTCTCCATGTACTAAATTAACGAAGTACAATCCATCCCCTCTTCCAACTCAACCTCAGACATTCAAGTTTTCTTGATTCCGAGTCCAGTCCCTGCGACTACAACCGCGACTGCCACTCCTCCCCACACATCGTCATGTCATGGAAGACACATATATCCAGCCAGCGGACCCCCGCTCTAGCTCCGAGCCAGAGGAAAGCTCCGACAGCGAAGCTTCAATGTGAGCAAAAGACCCATCACCCTCGAATAGATATCAAAGTATTATTTCCCTATGGAAATAACTTGAAAATACCAGAACCCCCACTAACTTAAACCTTGTAACACCACTTCCAGAAAATCCACCCGCTCCTACATCCTCTCCCCAATCCACGAAAACGGCCGCCGCTACTGCGACACAACCTACTTCATGCCCAACGACGAAACAGAACTCACAAGGCTTAACATCCTCCACCAAATCTACTTAATCCTCCTAGACGGCCACCTAACAACAGCCCCCTTCCGCACCAATGCGCTCTCCGCCCCGCGAATCCTGGACATCGGCACCGGGCCCGGCGACTGGGCCATCGAAATGAGCGCCGAGTTCCCAAACGCCGAAATCATTGCGTCGGATATTGGCGTCTTTGACTCGGGGCTTGGCCAGCTTTCATTGCCGAATGTCGAGTTTCAGCTTGCGGATGCGCAGGATGAGTGGACTTATCATGAGCCATTTGATCTTGTGCATGTACGCGGGTTGAGTGGGGCTTTTCGCGATTGGGGGGAGGGTTTATGCGCAGGCTTTTGCGCATTTGAAGCCTGGGGGGTTTATTGAGGTTGCGGATGCGGATCCGGCGGGGGATACTATTTGTTTGAGGGGGCAGGGTGATGAGGCGGGTCGAGGTCAAGATCTAGAGGATGAACTTGAAGATGAAGATGGCTCGGATGAGGATCCAGAGCCTGAAGAGTCAGAGTCCGAGTCCGAGTCGGAAACGCACTGCCAGCCAAATTCAAGTGACGGTCACGGTCCAACCTCGACTCCGTCCAATCTCCAAAGATATGCCGCTGCACTTCGCGCCGCTGCTAATGAAGCTGGGTATCCCAGGGACCTGGAACATCTCCGCACAACGGCCCTCGCTGCGGCGGGTTTCGTCGATATCCGCGTTATAGAAAGGAGTATTCCGATTGGACTGTGGCCAAGTGACATGCACGAAAAGACGCTGGGCAAAATGACGCTGATCGCGCTGTTGGAGGGTTTGGAAGCGTATGCTTTGAGGCCGCTGACGGCGTCGGGGAAATGGAGTCTGGACGAGGCGCGGGCGCTTTGTGAATCGGTGAAAGAGGAGGTTCTTGACGCGGAGGGGTTGAGGGTTAGGGTGAGAGTTGTGACGGGGAGGAAGCCTGTTTCGTTTGCGCAGAAGAGGAAGGATGTTCTTGCCAGGGCGAGGGATCGGGCGAAGTTTTTTAGGGAGAAGGGGATGGTGCCGGGCGATGGGGAAGGTGTTGATTGGGGGTTTGAGGAGAAGGATGGTAATGGGTGATGTGATGGACGATATTCAAGTTGGAAGAGACTTGAAGAGACATGGTTGGTGTTTTTGGTTGCTTTTTTCTTCTTCTTGTCTTGTATTATATGCATGCAGCTGGATTGGCCTGGTTGTTGAGCGTTTTGAAAAGCTGATATCCCATTTCTTTTATTGAATGCATTGCACATTTTCATATTCTGAAGGTCATACTAGGGCTAGGTTCCTCTGTAGGAAGGTTCAAGGCTACTGTCTTCAGGTATAGCTTTTTTATAGTAGTAAGTTGAACTCAGATTGAGAATTTGAAGATATTCTATACGGCCAGCCAGATGATTGCAAGGTTAACCACCTGGGCAAACAATTGAAGCTGATCACTGGACAGCAAGGATACCTCGAGTTTCCAGTCCTAAGTATAGTTAAACCTATGAATACGCCTACCAGAGGCAATGCTGAAACCTTCCAAAGGTTCAAGTTGAGTAGACATGGTCTATATTCATCAATAGGTAAGTACTAGTAATATGTGATCCGATAATACATGTGACAGCTTTTAAGACTCCCAACCCCATGCAAGCAAAATGAAAAGAGAAAAACTAAAGCTGGAACTTGGTCCTCGACTTCTCCATTCCTCCCTTCCACTCCCACTCCTGTCCACTCGCCCGCTGAATCCCCTTATCAACACGGCGCAACTTCAACGTAAAGCGAGGGCCCAGCTCTTGCAAACCTGTGCGAATACCTTCCGCACCCTCCATCTCCTTGCCATTCGCATCAACAACCGCCTTCTCCGTATCCCGCTTCTCACGGAAGACGTAACGATGCCGACGAACAAAGATGTAATCGCGCTGGTTGTGCAGCGTAACGACCTGTCGTCCCTCAAACTCCGGCTGCGGCGGGAACAGCTTCTTGAATAGATGTGCCGTGAGCATACCCAGCGGTGTACGGAAGTTGTTCAAGATCAGCTCGGGCCAGTGCTCGGTCGCCCGTCCGTGTCCCGGTAGCCTCTTGCCCTCGATCCAGTTGCTGATGGTGAAGTGGAAAGTTGGGCCAACGGGGAGGTGCACCATAGTCAAGCCGCTGGGCTTCTTCTGGTCCTCGTTGAGCACGAGCAGGGTGGTAAAGTTGCGGTTCGAGGCGAACTTGGAGATCTCGCGGATGGAAAACTTATGCGCGTGTCGGTGCGCTGCGCGGCGGATGTACACACTGTTCGGGAACAGGTCTGTCAAGATATCGGCCTGGTCGTGCAGTGTTGAGTGCAGGCCAGTTGTAATGAGCACCTTGGGCGGCTTGTCCGACTCTGGGGAGAAGAGCGAGGGGAACTTTTCAGCCAGGGCTTCGGGCGCCAGGCTCAGGTTTGTACTGCGGGTTGATTGTGAAGGGCTGGTGGCTCGCTCGGTGGCTGTAGGGAGGGAGGAGTTTTTGCGTCCACGGCCGGAATATTCGTCGTCTTTTCCCTCGTCCTCTTCGTCGCTGGACTCCATCATACTGTCAATTGACTCGTTATCGGATTCCGGTTCGTCGCTGTCGTCCTCGCCTTCTTCCAAGGGTCGGTTGAGCTCATCGTCTTCTTCTTTCTTGGCTCTCTTGATACGCTCGACGTCGACACTCCAGCCGAGTCCAGTTTCCTCGGTATCATTGTCGGGCTCGTCCCAGACACGCTTTCGGTCGAGGGTCAGAGGGATATTGCGACGCAGACGTTCTTCCTTCAACTTGGGGTTCTTGGCTTCATCCTTCTTGAATCCGTATCGGCGCTTGAGACCTTGCTCGGTCTTCTCTCTCTTCCGCTTGATGTGAAGGAATTTGCGACGCATTTTGTTGGCGGGCTTTTGATCATTTGTAGCCCCTGGTGGGGGTCTTCCCAAGCCTTTGACACCCATGATGGCTGTAATTTATTGCAGAATATCAACCGCAAAGTAACTTGAAGTGCAACTGCGCCGTCTGAGCTTGCGGCGAGAAATAAAAAAATGGCGGAGGAAGGTTAATCCGGGTCGCAAGGCCAGTGTTGATCACCCGTGCGTTTTCAAGGGGAAATCTCAAGTTTGAAAAGGCGGAAGAACTATTTAAAAGCCTAAAACCAATCGGTCCACGCTCGTTTCATCTCTTGTATTAACCATTGACCCCTAGCTGCGTGCGGGTTTGTCGTGGTGTTGCGCCGGGGCTGATGAGTCAATTCCTACCACGAATTCTCCCCCGCTCTCGTTCCCTTCTCACTCCCCCACTACCTTCCTACTTCTCCTTCAGGCAATTCACCTGCTCTTCCGCCCTTCAGAAGAAAGCGAAAGCCCACCGGAACCCCAAGATGGCCACCGTCAGCACCAAGACCGGCCAGGAGGTCGACCGCCTCACTCTCGACTCCATGCTCCGTCGCCGCATGTTCTACACCCCCTCCTTCGAAATTTATGGTGGTGTCTCCGGTCTCTATGACTATGGCCCTCCCGGAACTGCCCTGATCGCCAACATGACCGATGCCTGGCGCAAGCACTTCGTGCTCGAGGAGGATATGCTCGAGGTCGACTGCACCATGCTCACACCGCATGAGATCCTCAAGACCAGTGGTCATGTCGACAAGTTCGCCGATTGGATGTGCAAGGACCCCAAGACTGGCGAGATCTTCCGTGCCGATCACTTGGTGGAGGAGGTGCTGGAGAACCGCCTGAAGGGTGACAAGGAGGCCCGTGGCCAGAAGGTCGAGGTCGACGCTGAGAAGGAGGCCAAGAAGAAGAAGAAGTCCAAGGCCGCCCAGGCTGTCAAGCTGGACGATGCTCTCGTCAAGGAGTACGAGGAGACTCTGGCTAAGATTGACAACTTCGATGGTCCCGATCTGGAAGAAATTATCAAGAAGTACAACATCCGCAACCCCGCTACCGATGGCGAGGTCCAACCCCCCGTCGCCTTCAACCTCATGTTCCAGACTTCTATCGGTCCCAGCAGCAACATGCCCGGTTACCTTCGTCCTGAGACTGCCCAGGGTCAGTTCCTGAACTTCCAGAAGCTGCTCGAATACAACCAGCAGGCCATGCCCTTCGCCTCTGCCTCCATTGGAAAGTCCTTCCGTAACGAGATCTCCCCCCCGTGCTGGTCTGTTGCGTGTGCGTGAGTTCCTCATGGCTGAGATTGAGCACTACGTCGACCCTGAGGGTGGCAAGAAGCACCCCCGCTTCGTTGAGGTCAAGGATGTTGAGATGTCCCTGCTGGACCGCAACGTCCAGCTGTCTGGTAGCACCCAGACCACCAAGATGACCATCGGCCAGGCAGTCGAGACTGGCCTCGTCGACAACGAGACTCTGGGTTACTTCCTGGCCCGTATCCAGCTTTTCCTGACCAAGATTGGTGTTGACCTGACCAAGCTGCGTTTCCGTCAGCACATGGCCAACGAGATGGCTCACTACGCCGCTGACTGCTGGGATGCCGAGCTGCAGACCAGCTACGGCTGGATTGAGTGTGTCGGCTGTGCTGACCGCAGCGCCTACGATTTGACCGTGCACAAGAACAAGACCGGCGCCCCTCTTGTGGTGCGCGAGACTCGTCCCGAGCCTCTCCGCATCGAGGAGTGGCAGATTGACCTCGAGAAGAAGAAGTTCGGTCCCCGCTTCAAGAAGGACGCCAAGACCGTCGAGAATGCCGTCGAGGCTCTGACTCAGGAGCTGCGCGAGAAGCTTTCTCTGGATCTGGAGCAGCAGGGCAAGATCGAGATCGATGTCGAGGGCGTTGGCTCCGGCAAGGTTGAGCTCGACAAGGAGTTGATCAAGATTGAGAAGCGTACCCGCGTCGAGAACATCCGCGAGTACACTCCCAACGTTATCGAGCCCTCTTTCGGTATTGGCCGTATCATGTACAGCATGATCGAGCACGTCTACTGGTCCCGTGCTGGTGACGAGGCCCGTGGTGTATGTTTTCCTCCTTTCTTGTCTTCATTTGCTTCGTTCGTGTGATTCTAACTATATACCAGGTCCTTTCTTTCCCTCCTGCTATCGCCCCCACTAAGGTTCTGCTGGTCCCTCTCTCGACCAACCCTGCCTTCAAGCCTCTGACACAGAGCCTGACCACCAAGCTGCGCCGTCTCGGTGTCTCTACCCGTGTGGATGACTCGTCCGCCAGTATTGGTAAGCGTTACGCTCGTAACGATGAGTTGGGCACTCCCTTCGGTATCACCGTCGACTTCCAGTCCGTCAAGGACAACACCTTCACCCTCCGCGACCGTGACTCCACCAAGCAGGTCCGTGCCAGCGAGGACGACATCCTCCAGGCTATCAAGTCTCTCACTGATGGCGAGGAGTCCTGGGAGGACATTGCCAAGCGTCTTCCTGAGTTCACTGGCCAGGAGGTTGAGTAGATTTGTGAGTAGCATGGTGAAGGAGAGCAGTGGTCTTAGTCTTGTTGTGCATCTCAGACTATCTGTAACTCTCTATCCAAAATAAAATATACACCCTTTCTTTTCTGTTCAACATCTTCCATAAACCCATAAACTCCTTCCTTCTCAGTTGCCCCGTAGTTCTATCATAGTTAAGTGCGGCCCGCAGTTTACCTCCGCGGCCTCACCCAATCCGGCTACGCCAAGAATCCGGGGCAACTCCCATCCGCCTCGGTTTCAAACTGTCCTCTTCCTCTCGCGAGATACAGTCTAACCAACATGGCGCCCAACGTCTACGCCGCGAAAATCACACTCTCGTGTCCGCTCTTCGCAGCCGATTTCGACCCGCGCGACAATGGCCGTCTGTTTGTCGGCGGCGGGGGCGGCGAAGGCCGCAGCGGCGTCGGGAACAAGATCGTAAGTGGCGCGTTCTAGCTGAGCCTTGGCTATTCATTATTCTGACTCCATATCGTCGATATAGTCCCTTCTTGACACGTCGCGTCGAGATGAGATCACCGAGGTTGTCGAACTGAATCTGTCGCGCGATGAAGACTCCGTGACGTCGTTGGCCGCGGCGCCGCAGAACGACGATGACGACGATTCTCTTATTGCTCTGGCTGGTATCAACAGCTCCCTCGCAGAGCAGAAGAAGAATAACAATCAGCATATGCGTTCCTTCCGGTTCAAGGCACCGCGGAAGGTACAGACAGACCAGGCCGTGACCAGCGCGGGCGCGAGCGGCCAGCAAACAACCGAGGATAACAAGGAGGAAGAAGAGAAGAAAAAGGTGGAAATTATTCCTGGGTCATCGGAAGCCGTTTCTCGTGCTTCTATCTTCCGTACCAAGGGGCCCGGCTCAGATGATACATACCAGCGCATCATGAGACTGTCGCCGTGGAAGAGGCCCGCGGGCGAGGACACTGACAAGAAGAGCAAGGATACCCGTGTAGGAGCTATCGCAACGGGAATGGCCTCATCTGGCGAGATTGTCTTCTTCCGCGCGACTGGTTCTCCCAGCGAGTCCGATGTGATTGGCCGTATTCGCCTCGGCTCCAACGAGGAAGCTGAGGATGTGGATTTCGCAGACCTCGAGCTTGACCCAGAGCAGAAGGATGCCGTTGGGAAGTATCGTATGGCGTACACCAATGGAGTGGATGTGATGCTTGGAGAGATCTCATCATCTACCCGCTCCAACGCTGCCCCCGATGTCCGCAGTATCTACACAATTCCTCTTCCCAGCAGCGGTGCCAAAGCCATGCGGCCCAAGATCCGCGCGTTGCGCTTCATCTCAACAAACACAATCCTGCTCCTTCAAAACGCCCCCGACCGCGGCGGAAGTGAACTCGTCCTCATAAGCGTTCCTGCGGACAAGAACCACACCTCAGCTATCATCCGTCGGCGCAAACTCCCCCGAAGCGTGAAGATCGGACTGGGCCTCGACGTCTGCCCGCTCGGCACAAACCCAGTCGGCCAACAACAGACCATCGTCGCAGCCAGCGGCAGCGACAACTCAATCAACATCTGGACTCTAGAAAACGGACCCATGAAAGGATGGTCCCGATTCAGACCCTACACAACCCTCACCGAAGTCCACCCCTTCTCAATGACGAAACTCGTCTTCTCAACCTTCACCCCACCGGCGCACCCCATAACGCCAGAAGTCCTCCCCCAAAGAGTCAAACTCGCCTCAATAAGTATGGGCAACACAGTCGTCGTTCACACCCTACCCCTCTCCCCATTCCCCCCATCCTCCAGAACAGCCCGCTACGTCCTCGTTCTCCCCGGCCCCGCCGAATTCTGGGAACTTATGTACTTCACAACAATGTGTATGATCTCCTTCCTCGCAATCATGACCGCACTATACGCCTACGCCGAAATCCGCGGCGGCGTCCCGCCTTTCCTAGGCTCAACGGACTGGCTACCAGTATCCTGGCAAAACTCCATCGCAAACGAATACATCCTCCCACCACTCGAGCAGCGCTCCTTCTTGGACAACTTCTTCATTTCCGATTCGCCGGCGTTGGAAAACGCGGTCCCGCAAGCGCAAATCACCCCCGAAGAAGAATCCCAACTCGAGCACGAACTCTCAAGTCTAAAAGATATTCTTGACCGAGTTCACTCATCTGGCGCCGCACCTGCCGATATTGAATCCATTGACTCGCACGAAGTCTCCGTCATTGTCCGCTGTACCGAGCACAACGATGTGGAGACGAGTGTTCTCGTTGAAACGGCTTCGTCCACGCATGCGGAGAAGGTTTCTGAGATGGAGAAGTTGCGCGCTTGGAAGGAGTTGAGTGAGGCTGACCGCGATCTTTGGAAGAAGAAACTTACGGATGCGGGGAGGTGGACGGTTCATCAGGGGGAGAGTGTGCTTAAGGGTGTTTTGTTTGGGGAGATTTGTGGTAGTCTTGGACGGGCTGTTAGGGATAGTTTATAGTAGATTGGATTGGATTTGGGAGAGGTCTGGAGGTTGGTTTGATGTTTCTTTTATTTTTCTATATATGATTATGTATTTATTGATTTATTGAGGGTATACTATTGTGGATGTAGCGAATAAATAAATGAATAAGAATTTGGATGGGTTTAATAGTGCTCGAATGTTGTGCTTTTCTGGCTGCCTAATATCTAGAAGAATCGCAAGTATGTGCTCACACGGCTAAATTTGAACTTCCGACCGCAATCCTACCGGTGCTACTATCGAATAACTAAGCACCACCGTGACATACAATGAATGCATTGAAGAAAAATTGCAGAATATTAGGAGCACAATAAATTTAATAACTACTGAAATAAGAACCTAGAGAGGCCCATCGGGAGCCTTGGAGGTTACAAAGTACTCCGATACTCCGATACTCCGAACATGCTGTTTAAAGTAGCCAAATACTCCGCCAATAATTTTTTTTTCTGGCTATACTTGCAGCGGGATGAAAACTACTGCTTTTAATAATAAGGAAAACCGCTTCTATTTCCCTGAAGTAATTGATTTTTTGGGTGGGAGTTTGCCCCTGGTCTGTGTTGAACCCAGACCCTAAACCTTTTTCTTGGCAGCGCTTTCGCATAAGTCTATATGTAATGTGTTATTGTCTGGTAATAAAACATTCAGATCAGAATTAATCTCATACTATGACCAAGAAAGAAGAATAAACGCGGCTTGATGTTGGGATATTGTAAAAAAAAAAAAACGAGTTTTTTACACCTCTGAAGGTCCCGAAGGGTCCCAGACGGACAAACCTGACCATCCAGACGCATAAAAAAAGATGGAACGTTCGCGATATGACGCAAAAAGATTGTTTGGAGTTTTGCACACTCCGCGGGGGGGGTCGAACCCCCAACCTTCCGATACTCTTCGTGTGTAAAAGTCGGACGCTCTAGCCAATTGAGCTAGCGGAGTTACTTTCCACTCGACCATACGGTCTTGGTTGAAATAATTAGCGTTCAGAATGGACCCATATAGCCGCAGACTTAGTGCCGTTCCCGCTTTTTCTCAGTTCAACCAATCAGAACCCGCTTAGATTATCTCCGCCTGCGGGGTCGCTGGTTTTCTGCCATCCCGCCACCCCATCAAAATTCCTTGCCCTAAGTTACTACTAGCAGCTTACATTCCATCTTTAGTTCAAGTTTCTGTCGTATATCTCGATTTTTTATTACCTGGGGGAATATGGTGATATGGATGAGAGAGAGAGAAAAGCTATCTAGACATTGCAGGCACGCACCCTCAACATCATCTACTCTATTATTATATGCCATTTTCATGACGTGCTCTCATGCGCCTGAAATTTGACAGTCTGCTTCTATGTACAGCGGAAGCGCCCGAGTTGGCACATATCTAAGTCTCTTTCTTAAATATATCAATCTATAGCTTTATCAAGTTTTGCTTTTTATCGACATCCTGGCCTAGTGCGTCTATGTATATGCTCCAGACTTAGAGGCTCTAGGTGTAGAAATATTTTGAGGCCATGCAAGACAACTTCAAACTGGAACCCTAGTATAGAGCCTTCAATTTGTTATTGCGAAGCATCCATCGGGTCCGAGCTATACTTTCATTTATGCACCCCCCCTCCCCTTTTTGGGAGGGGGCTTTTGGCGTGTCGGTATTGTATCACATATTCGGGCTCGATAAAGATAGAATCTCATATAGGGTAGGCTACCTAGGTACGCAATGGTGGAGATCTATACTACAGATATCTAGATAAGTACAAATGCGAATGCGAATATCTCGAAAAAGTGTCAATAATTTATTCGTGATGAACCCTACATATTCCAAGTTGCGTTGTAAATTCTTCCAAGGTTTATTGTTCATGTATAACCACCCAGCAAGCTAGGAGGCTTATATTATGTTTATTGATCCTCTGGCTGGCCTGCCATAATACAAATAGGATAGCCATTAGTTAAGAATTCACCAGTTAAGAATCCACCAGCCTTGTTAGAAACCCGCTGAAGCCGGGACAACACACACGTGATGCAACAGTCCCTCTGAATAATGCGGAGACACTGTTCTGGTTTCTCCGCCGGTTGCCACTGCAAGGCGAGCCATTGCCCTAGGGTATTTCCACTCACTTGCTGGTAAGAAATACAAATTTGCTCATCGAAGAAACTTTCGCTCCGTGACTCCACATCATCCACCAGGAGGCCTTCATATAAATCCTTCACTAGATGCGCTGATGTACCGGTTAGGATTTCCTCACTGTAGTATCCATGTTCGCAGGGGGTTGTGACAAGAAAATCAGGCAGGAAGGAAGCAGCTAAACTACCGTTTCCAACAAGGCAGATACCCGGGCTTGGAAACACTTCCAAGCGAACAAAAATTGTGTCACTACGGGTTGCGAGAAGGCACCGAGAGTGAATCTTGGGATATGCATTCCGAGGGCCCAACGTCGGCCTAGTGAGTTTGTGACCGCTCTTTAGCACCAAATTATGACCCAGAGTATCAATTTGATCAGTTCTGATTTTAGAGAATTGCTGACTTTCGTACGAAATCCCCCCCCGGCGGAAGCCCAGGAATGCGCCGTTCATATTGGTTGGACAGACTGGCAACGCGGCGTTACGAATAATAATGATCCCGTCAATGTCCAGCCCGATCCAGTCCTCGGACCAGAGGTGCTGTTCAATGTTCTTTATTGGCGTCCCGTCGCAACAGAGCGAGATGGCTTCCGCAATGTGGCCCTCAAACTTTGTTACCATTGACCGCTCAGGGATTTCTTTGTATGAGAAAGCACGGACAGACATTGTCCGTAGGCTTTGGTCCCAATCTGTGAAGGCCAGCCTTGATGCAAAATGGACCGCTGTCTGAATGGTCTGAGTCAGCTCTGCAAGGTTTAGTGAGCTACCTCGTAAGTCCTCCTGCAGCGTGTCACTGGTTGGGTCATCGAGGTAATATCGCAGACGCTTAGTCTCCGCATCGCTTTCGAATTGAATTCCTCCGTATTCAATATACTGCCCCCGCCGGCTTTTGAAAGTTCTTCTCCCTCTGTCTCGCTTCTTCCGGAATCGACGAGCGAATGATTTAAAGCCCCCTCCGAGGAATCCGCTATCATGATCTGAGTCCTCACCATACGACTGCTCACTGTCATCCTCCTCTCCCTCCAAATACTCTTCCTCTGTAGGTTTCGGGTCGCTATCATGGCCCGTGCAGTGAAGACGGGCTGCTACTTGGGACTTTTGAAAGTGATAACCCTCATCAGGGGGCCGAAACCCCAGAATCTTAAGGATACGAAATCCCCGGGCCTGGATCTTTTGAAGGACTGATATCGTGTATGACTGCAAACCCACACTCCGGCCGAAACGAGATCTGTAGCGAGTCGAGTCCGTATAAGGATGATCAAATGAGGCACTCAGATCGGCAAGGGTATTGAGGAGATCTATTGCAGCAAATGTAGATAGGCGTGTAAATGTATCGGGCCTTGACATCCTCAAGTCCGGATGGTGAATATTGAAAAAGTCGACAATCGAACAATCCACTCTCCATCCGGAGGAGTTGTCGATAGCCCGACGGTCCAGGGAGATCAAATCTAGGACTTCCCCCTCCAAATACAGTCCGCCATTCTGCTCCGTTGAAGAGACATCAAAAATGATCTGAGCTGCATCATAGTTGCTCGTTATAGGTACTGAGCGTTCGTCGGCATCCAGCGCACATGTCGGAAGTCCCAGAATGTAAGATGTATAGGCCGCGATCCATGCAGCCCCGCGTATGCCTTTGAATATTATGACCTGTCTAGCTCCAGATGTACTAAGCTTGTGAATTAACTGCACGATTCGGGGGATATCGTGAGAGGTCGGGATAGCATCGTATGGAACTATGCTATCGGTTGGTGGCGCGTGTTGTTTGTGTTGTTTCTTCAGCAACGACGAGAAGAAGTAGTGATAATTTATCACCTTCTCTCCCATTCCGGCTTTACAGGCCAGTGGTACAAGGCTGCGTCGGATATTTTGTAGCTGGGTAAGACCTGGAGTGTTATCCAAGGACACCTTGGCTGCCTCAAATAGAGAAAGGAGCACCGTAACGCAGCTCTTTTCATCCATAAAAGGGGCTACAGCGGACAGCAGGGCAACGACATTTTCTCCCGCCCGGGTTTTGAGCATCTGATCGGCCAGGAAGTTGATTGACGTGCCGATTTCGATCATCTTGTAAAGCCATATTCGCTCTGTCCGCTGATACTCTCGGGTCTTATTCAGCTTAGACCGGAAATCTGGACACGCTGGAGTATACTCAGCAATCATCAGCATGCACCCGATAGTATGGGGGTCGACGCCAGCTAGGGCCAGCTGCTTCAATCCATAAGCTCCAACGTTGAGAACGAGCTGCGATAAACCCGGGATATCGATCTGCCATTGTGGTTGAGCCATGATGAACTTGCCGAATCAAGCTAGGTATACTTGCACCAGCGAGTGATCAAGAGTCATCAAGTTTTCGTAACCTAACGAGATGTTGCGGTCGCAGGGTTTGGAGGTTTCAGACGACAGAGGATATGGGGACTCATCGCAACTTCCCGCGAAGATAAAACAATATGACCAATATAAATGGATTGTCTAGCGCTTCGTGAGCCTCAGCTGGGGCGGGGGTGGCTTAGGCCAAGAAGATACCTAGGTACCAGTAACGAGCTTGACACAGCCTCCCAGTTCCTTCTTCAATCAATGTGGCCCCTTTATGAGCTCTGAAATGATCACAGAACGGAAGATCATAATTCCTGATATCTGTTAAAGCTTGGTTTGGTGCGTGGTTCCGGGAGGTCTTCCTCATCACGCTCCGAGATGGATTCTTGCGGCCAAGACCCCAAAGATCCCAAAGATCCCAAAGGCGAAGACCGCGCGACAGGTGCTGAAACCAATCTTGTTGAGGCCGGTGTTTACCTATACATGGGGTATATCTGGATCTCCCACCCATTCTCCGTGCAGTTTGAACCCCGGAACTCTAACAAACACTTTTTCGTTCCAGAGCGACTGTCCGGACGTCCAACCAAACCTGAACGTGCCACGATGCACGATTTTCCCTGATTCAGACGGCCGACGAAAAAGCATCGGGCTGTCAGGGGAAACATCGCGCGAAGCCGACGGATTCAAATGTGGACCTTTACGTGGGGGAGGGAATATGGTCGAGAATGAGATGATCGAAATGGAGACGGTCGCCGTGCCCAAGAAGTCCCGCTAATATGAAGTGCCCTTGTTCAAAGGAAACCTGGTCCTCACTCGTCGTATCCCTCAGTCTCTTATTCAGGCTTTTGTCTCTTGCAAAAGACATGAAGATCCAGAATTTGCCACAATGAGATATTCCGCATTCACCTCTTCCCCTAGAATTGCACAGCAGGAGCAATTCACTCTACGCCAAATGTTGTATTCCAAACCTCGTCCCACTGAGATTGTTATTGTTGTTCCTGTCTCATCTTCTCAAGAGGATGAATATCTTGCTGAAACTCTGAAACCGTTGTTTAAATGTATAAATTACATGTCGCAAGAGTCGGGACGATTCTTGGAAGGGTAAAGGATGGAAGAAAATCGTTATTTGCATCCTCATAGACGGACGTGTCAACATATCCAAGAGCAGACAGGTTCTATCTTTGCTCGGTATCTTCCAAAACGGGCTGATGGTTGGAAAGTTCCAGGGAAAGGATGTCCACGCTCATATTTTCGAGTACACAACGCAGGTATGCCTGGATCCTCTTGTTGATCCGGCTTCATCTGCAGGTTCACTCGAGACTCCGGTTCAGATGCTCTTCTGCATCAAGGAGAAAAATGAAGGACGTGAGGAGTCGCATCGGTGGCTTTCCCAGGCTATATTTCCCGCCTTACAGCCCCAAATGTTCATGTTCATTCTCCCTGGCCTGCATCCTCGCAGAGATGCCATTTATCGCATGTTGCGGGAAATCGACTCACATCAAAGCTGTGGGGAGGCGATCGGACAAATCACCCCTAACGGGTCGTCGTTAGACTGGTTGCGATATCCTTTGGCTGCTGTGAGTGCTCTAGAGCAGAGATTAATCTACACATTTGACAAGCCCATTGAATCCGGCCTTGGTCAGCGGTAGCTCTTCCGACAACATTTTCGGCCTTTCGACACTTATCTCCACAACAGATGAAAGACTGTAGCAAAGGGTCTAGCTTCTGTGATGACAACATACCAGTGGATGATCCATATACAATACGTTCAATGCCACGCGATGACACTGTATGCTACTTGTCAGAGAACCGACAATGGGCCATGAAGTTTCTGGCTCAGTATCAACTCGGATGGTCTTTGGTCTATGTGCCGAAGGTCAAGGCTGATATCCCTCTACGGATGATAAATGATCGTTCAAGCCCGACGCTGGATATCCACATACCAACCTCGATATCTGAGTACAGTGAAGCGCAACGGCGATCTTTCCAAAACAAAGTAACTTTCTTTCGGCACTGCGTTTCCCATTTCCGCCAATTGAAATCCGTCAAGTATCAATACTTTCGAAAGCTCGGCTTGGTAATTTTGCATATACACTATTCATTTGAGTTTTTAATCAGCTGGTTTGCGATAGTAAGGGCCTTAACGAGTTTTGGATTTCTCTGGGGCTTTCAGATCAGATCTGCTGACATATAGTATTGACTAGGGCAACGTGTTTCTGTTATTTGATGACTTGGGGCACCCTAAAAATGCCTTTGCAGAATCAGATATCGCTTATCTCCTCGCAGCTCAGCATGACTTTAATCTTTCGATTATCCCGCGTTAGAAGTATCGTCGTACATCGTTTGCACTAGGTATTTCTTTGATAATTGGGGATTTATTTACAACGGGTACGTGCTAGAGAGCAAAGTAATGATATTGCTTTGTTTACAACGTCTTCTAGTCATTTTTGGGAATCTTCCATCACTTTACCTGCCTGAGGGATTCTTGCTGGTCCAACTGTCGGGGTTTTCTCCGCGATTGGGATCTGAAAACTCACACTACGGAACTGAGAGCTCGCGCCTGGAATCTGAACTTCGCGCATAGGTGAAGGTTTTGCTGAAAATACTGTCGTGGTGTATCGGGCCGGGCTCGGTTTTCTGTTCTTCTTTGATTTCGTGTCCACTTTGATGCTGGCTTTTCGCCCTTAAGGCTGAATTTTTTGAGTGAAGGTCCTCAACAAGGTATTCATCATCTATTCTATTGTGAAGACTCGATACTCTTCAACTCTTTCTTCCATTATTATCTTCTTGGTAATTAGTATATATGTCTTCTTTCAGTAGGTGCAAGCGTTTTATGCAAGGATTTTTAACCTCAATATTTGCTGTCATCGAGAGGACTGCCACGACCACGACCACGATCACGATCACGAACAAACTGTGGATAACATAGCCCAATTATGAAGCGCCTGACCCCCGGCCTTGGAGTTACTCGGAGTTACTGGCTGCCTAGCTAGGTAGCAGAGGCATATATTCTGAATATGTCTGAGAGGGTCAGGCACATGGCATACAATAACTATCTATTGTCCTGGTAGGCAGAAGAACCATGGCCATATGACTACCAGTACCTAGAGAATCATATGCCCAAGTCTAATTGACAGACAAAAAAAACTTCTCAATTGAACTAACGCTTTTGGTGCAAAGCATGAATACATAGTGTCAAATCGCCAGGCCGTAAGAATAGAAAACAAAGCAATAGAAGAGAAGACAGCCAGAACATCGTAATAAAGGACAAAAAGAGAAATAGGAACATAAACAAAGGACGAGGAGCCTCAGTTCTAGTCATGATCAACTGTTCTTCGGTTCAAGTTGGTTCACACCACTTCTTGATAGGCTTGATATTCCCCTTCAAGTTTGTGAGGGTCAAGTCAGGTCCACATCGAGCCTCTTCACTTTTGGCTTTTGGCTCGAGGGAGCGCAAATCTACCTCCAGCATCGCCGTCGGTCTCTTGGGATAAAGGGATACAGAAGAAATGACAACCTTGGAAGTCGACGGAGACTCAGACCAGCCAGGTAAACTGAATACTTGCATCCAGTGCCAATGCATATTCCGAACCAAACTTCCAACAGCCCTGGAGGGTGCTAGTTGCTGGCTTCCAAGGTTTGCGCCGGATTAAAGACACCACAAACAAAATGATAAAAATAAATAAAGAGAAAAGACTCTTAATGAAGAACCGTGACCCCGAGATCACGCTCTGTGGAAAGAGCAAGAAAAATAACACCTCCCCGAGGGCAATTTGACTCAGGCCCGGAACTCGATTAATTTTGGAAGTCACTGAGAATTGACTTGACACATTCAGTTCTCGATTCATTTCGGTATGTATTGAATTTTGATTTTGATTTTGATTCGGGATAGGTAAGTAGGACTTGAAATTCATGTTCATGCTCATGATTATGGACCATAGCCCTATGCAGGATTGGCGTTCGTGAAAAAAGGGGGTGTTTTGCGGAAAAGTAGCGTTAAACAGAAGAGAGAAGAATGAAAAGGAAAAGGAAAAAGAAAAACAAAGCATAAGGCAAAAAAGGCAAGAAGACAAGACAAGGCAGGCAGGCATGGCAAAGCGAAGAATTTCTACCGGCGTTTAATAAAATCCCATATGTTCGTCGTTTTGCGGCCGGAATGTTCAGCTCCAAGTTTTTGAATGGATGGCAGAGGCGATGACGATGGCGAAAGAGGCTAAGTTCGAGTTAAGGACGGGACAGGACAGGACGGAATATGTGGGTTGGGTATGGTGTGGTATTTGGCAGAGTAGAGCAGAGCAGACCGAAGCGGAAGAATGTTACGATCGCTTGGCTGATATCGGACGAATGATTAATTACTGGCCATTGGCCTTCTTCCATCTAAGGAGTTCGGCTAGACTGGCGAGGCTGCAGCCAGTCTGCAAGAATTCGTGGGCGAGGAGTTCGTCCGCAGTAGCACGGCTGCGGACGTCGACGCAGAGACAGACGCTGAGGAAAGCCTTGAGCTCCTTGCTAAGTTTCTCAGGCTTCTTCAGACGGGGGGTGCCGTTTGTTGCGATTAGGTAGAGAGCCTTCAGGGGCTCTTCGTTCAGGTAAGGCGGCTCGGACTCGATCATCTCAATGGCCATGATACCCAGAGACCAACAGTCAACCTTGGGGCCGTACTCCTTTTGCTTGACGACCTCTGGTGCCATCCAGTATGGTGTGCCGACCATTGTGGCGCGCTTGCTCTTGGACTCGGTGAGTTTGGCACAGAAACCGAAATCGGTGATCTTGACGTGGCCGACTCGGTCGAGGAGCACGTTGTCACTCTTGATATCTCGGTGGATGATGTTCTGGCTGTGCAGGTGGGCCAGCCCCTTGCAAGTCTCAGAGCAGATGGTGGCGATTTGGTTCTCGGAAATCACTTGGTTGTTGTCGATCACATCTGTCAACGCTCCACCCTCCATAAATTCCATCACCACCCACAGCTCGTTGCTCGATTCTTGCAGGAAGGAATCCAGGAAGTTGACAATGTTGGGGTGTTGGCTGTCCTTCATGACGATAATCTCGTTGACGATCAGCTCCTTTCGGGGCTGGCTGCGGAGATCCATCTGCTTGATAGCAACCTGGCAGCGTGCGCCATACTGTCTGTACAGCTCATGAGCCACAGGCGATGGGGCATGTTCCTTGACCCGCGCCACGTAGACTGATCCGGAGGCACCCTGACCAATCTTGCGCTGCTTGCTGTACGATTCGTTGGGGTTGTCCTTGGATACAACAGCTCTCAATCGATCCATCACTTCATTCTCTGACATCGCCGACATACGCACTTCCTTTTGTCGCGGCTCAGGCTTCTTAGTAAGTGCAGCCTCCGCCTGACGAACTCCATCAGGAACGGCTTGTTTGTTAGTGGTCTGCTTGTTGGCAATGTTCAGTGGCTTCACGGCCTGAACTGGAGCGGGAAGACGAGTAGGAGGGGGACCCTGAGCTTGCTGGCCCTTGCTACCACCATTCTGAGGACGGGCAGCCTGAGAGCGAGGATCATTGGCGGGATAGCGGTTAGGCGAGCCTTGATCTTCGCTGCGGGAGCCACCGGGCGTACGGGGAGCGCCTTGTCCATAGGGGCTCTGTGATGGAGGAGCGGGGGCGGGTCGCTGTGCGGTGAGTTGGCGAGGGTCTTGTCCTGGCGCCCGGGCACCAGCACCAGGGGCCTGGGGGGGCAGGACGACTGGGTTGGTAGCGGCTGTTCATCGGGGTAGGTTCTCCACCATAGCCTCCAAGCTCTTGCTTGGCCATTGGAGTTCGTGACTGGGGCAGGGAGGCGTTGTATGCTTCGTCGTCCTTGCGGCGTTGTTCCTCCTCCACCCGGCGACGTTCCTGGTCTGCCATCTCTTTCATACGCTCCAATTGTTGCTGCTGCTCCATGGCACGATCCCCACCCTGTGATTGTCCAGGAGAAGATGTGTTTGAACGCATGGAGCTATCCATTGAAGCCTTAGATTGTCCGCTGTCGAGACGTTGCAGAGGGCCTGGTGGCGGAGGTCGAGGAGGAGCAATGGAACTTCCTACGTTGTTGCTGCCGAGGGGCTTGGGCTGCGAACCAGCTGGTCCATTCATACCACCATAGTACTGAGGATTCTGCTCGCGCATCTTGATATCGGAGTAGAACTCCAAGACCTCGATGACCGCTTGGGGGTTCTTCTTGTAGTCTTCCTTGGTAATGGCCGAGGCCGTGAGCAGTTTCTCCCACTCTGGCGGTAATCCTACGAAAGCGCCGGTTTGCGGATCAAAGCCGACATGGACGCGGTGGCTGAAGTTGGTTGGGTTACTGACACCACCCATACCGGGGCAGCGCTCGTAGATTTTGTCGATCCACTCATAGATCTCGTCATCGGATCTCACCTCACAGGTGATCGTCTTCGTCGCCACATCTCGGGTAATCATTGCGGTCTTGGAGTTCGCATCCTTCGGGTTGGCCAGGCGAGTGATTTCAAAGGCCATCTTGGTATCTTCGGAACGGGAAACAGCGGTCACGGTGGTCAAGGGGAAGTTGGTGACAATCTTTCCGGACTCATTTTTCATAAATTCGATGCGAGATTCGCGTAGGATCAAGTAACGCTGGTTCCAGGTGGCTAAGAACTTGTCCTCCTTACACCGCACGAATCCTTCTTTGACGATTGCGACCCCGCCCTGGCCACCGGTCTGGCTCCGGCTCAGAGATGGGGTGCTGGTGTTGGGGAACAGCGAGAGGTTGCCGGCGCCGGGGGTGATGGGCGAATTGAGGGACATTTGGTTGAAGGAGGTGGCCACATTGTTATTGGCATTATTGGTGGGGAGAGTCAATTTTGGGCGATCGTTAGGGGGGGCGGGGAGCCGGCCCCGGATTCATGAACTGCTCCGGCGAGTACATGGGCCTAGACAGGGTGAATATGAGGACATTCTGAAGGGAATTTGAGATAAGTGCTCACTTTCCATTCTGATAGGAAGCCATTCTGGCGAGGGATATGGTCGTAAAGACAAGAAGCGAAGGGTGCGCCGAGACCTCCTGAGGCCCCTCAAGGCTAGACTGAACTGGGTCCGGTCAGTGTTTCGTTCAGGGAAAGCATGTGGGGGTCAAAGAGCACAGAGGAGAGATCAATAATCATACCTAGATATCAAGAGCAGACCTCGCACTGCGAGGATAGCTCAGAAAAAAAAAGCAACGCGATTCGGGGGGGGGGGATGGATGAAAGGATAACAAAGATAGTGGGGGGAAGGGAAAGGGAAAGGGGTGGTCAAGCAAAAGAACGGACTCCCGCCAAGGCGTTCCGGGGGTCGAGCCAGGAACTGGGAACTTTAGCAATTTACAGAAAACACTGTGGGGCTGTAGTCTAGATTAATTAGGTTGGTACTTAGGTAGCATTATGGATTATTCTATTGATTGTGGTTGCGTTCACTATTGTGTTGATTGTTTGGTTATTGTTGTCACTATTGTACAGGTCATATCTGAATACCCAGGTAGGCACTGGCATGATATGAGATATGATAGATACACTGCGTATACTGCTGTTCACAGCTGCACACCGTTGGCTGTTGACTGTCACTCCCCAAATGGATAATTAAACTTCAACAGCCCATTCAGCCCACCAACCCATCCCTCGTGCGCCTCACCCCCCATACTTCTCCGCATTACACTCGGCACGCCACCCTGCCATTCGTTCTTCCCATGCCGCATCTCCTCATTCCACACTCGCACCTCCATACCAACCGCCATCCCTTGTCCAAGATTCACACCGTCAAGACTAACTTCCAACTCACGCCCGCGGTTCTTCTCGCTCAGCCGCAGCGTAATAGGCGTACTCAACGGTAATACCAGGGGTCGGAAACTGAGACTGCGCGCACAGATCGGAGTCAGGAGGATCGAGGGTACCAAGGGATGCACAATACTACCCCCGCTGCTGAGACTGTATGCTGTACTTCCGGTCGGGGTCGAAATGATGATTCCATCCACCACCGCCTCTGTTAAGAATCGCCCGCCGACAAAGATGTCCACGACCGCTAGATGAGGTTCTTTGCCGCGGTGAATGAGTAGCTCGTTCATCACGTACACCCCTTCGCCTTGGTCGGACTTGCCCCGGATCGGGGTCGTTTCTTCGCCGTCGCCGGTGAATAGTCCGACTTTGAGCCGGTTGCGCATTAGGATGGGTGCGCCGCGGGTACAGCCCATTGATTTGCCTCGGACGGAGGACCAGCCTGTTGGGCCCATTACTGATGAGGCGGGCGCGTTTGCTGTGGTGGCTGTGGTCGCGGGAGGTTGGGGCTCTTCGAGAACGGGCGTGCGGTCTCCTGCCCCAGCGCCGGACATGTAGACTTCGCGGAAGGCTCTTTTAAATTCGGAGAATTTCCATTCGCTTAGGAAGCCTAGGGTGCCCATGCTGAATGAGAGGACTGGGGGTACGTTTGAGCATGTAGCGAAGAGTGATGATGCGTGTAGGATGGTGCCATCTCCGCCGAGTGTGACAGTCAGGTCGACCTTGTCATGGAACGCAGTGGGTGTCTCGTCAAGCGAGGCTGAATAAACGGGATATGAAAGGGTTGAGTGGACTTCTTCGGCGGTTCTTGACTCGAGGACGACGGAGACGGAGGGATATGTTGAGGTGATGTGACTAGGAGAGAGGGGGTCAGCACTGAGGCACCGAGGACCAACAAGGCTGTAGAGAGAGGATGTACTTGGCAAATTCGACCAGTGAGTCAGTCACGGCTGGCGCGCAGTTCTTGCGGACCAGCAGAATGTTTCGTGGAGCTGCTGGCCATTGGAGAGAAAGCAGTTCGCCCTGGGATTCTGGCAGGAGTCAGCCTTGTCTTTGTGCACTAGCACCAGCACCAGCACCAGCATCCATACCAACGTGGCGTACCTTGGTATTTGGGAATCAGCCGCTGTGAAAGAGAGGCAACATCGCGAATCTCGTGACGTGTTGCGGAGGAGGAGAAAGTTCGTAGGAACGACTGGCCGGGGATGCGACGGAGACACTGCATGATGTTGAGAGGAGATGACCTCAGTCATGTGTCGTAGACTATCACATCCATAAGCCTTGTCGATAGTGACGGGTGTGAGCACGAAATTGTTGAGGCTGTATGGAGGATGGAGTACGGAGTTGTAAATAAAAGAGGAGCCCCACTGATCTCTCAACTCTGACGTTATCCTAGTTAATTAACTAATTAGGGTAGACTGCTTAACTAGGAGTATTGAGTTTGAATGGTTCACGAGACCCCGCGTTCTTTGTTTCTCTAACTTTACTCTGACTCAGTCCTCTTCCTCCTTCTATCATTACTATCATTACTCCTCCTCCTCCATCCGAGTAGCTGTGACGTGAAGCTCTTCAGAGCTCTTCCAACTGGGCAGCCGAGGCCGCACTGTCGATCCTCCCATCCGCCACATCCCGCGCACCTTGACTTCTCATTCCACCAGTACTGGACCTGCTGGTGCTGGTGATTCCTAATAGTTACACTCACTCTCCCTCGGGGAAGACCACCCTCCAGCTTCCAACAGCTTGAATCCCCCTCCAAACCTGCCCGGGGCCCCTCCCCTCCCCCCCAGTCCACCATGGATCCCGAGGTTCGCCAACGCAAGCCCACCGCCACATCACCCACCTCACAAGACATCGCCGAACTCCAAAAACACTCAACCAAACCTGCCACCGACCCAGGCCTTAAACATGGCATCTCCATGCAAATCATCCGCTCCCTCCTGTTGGCAGCCTGGTTCGAATGCTGCATCTTCGCCATTTTCGCAACCCAACTCATCGGCTCCCCGCTCTACCTCCTCAACAAAGACTACTACTACACCTACATGGCCTACACAAAGCAATGTTTCGGTCTAGCAATCACAGCCCTAACACAATGGGCCGCACCAACTCTCTTCCGCGTCAGCGGCGACGCAAGCGTAAGAGGCCAACTCCATCTCACAGACGACGGCCTCCTCCGCACGCAATTCCCAGAACGACTGGTCATGATCGCCAACCACCAGGTCTACACCGACTGGATTTATCTGTGGTGGTTTGCCTATACTAACTCCATGCATGGCCGTCTATTCATTATTCTCAAGGAGAGTCTCAAGTATATCCCTGTCGTGGGTCAGGGCATGATGTTCTACGGCTTCATCTTCATGGCCAGAAAATGGGTCTCTGATAAACCGCGACTGCAGTATCGATTGGAGAAATTGAAGTCCAGACATCAGGGCTCGCAGTCTGGACAGCCCAAGTTTGATCCGATGTGGTTGCTTATTTTTCCCGAGGGGACGAATCTTTCGAATAATACTAAGCGCAAGAGTGACGAGTTTGGCGCCAAGTCGGGTTATCCTTCTTTTAGGCATCAGATTTTGCCGAGGTCGACGGGGTTATTCTTTTGTTTGCAGCAGTTGCGTGGGACGGTGGATTGGGTTTATGATAGTACTATTGCTTATGAGGGGCCGCCGTATGTTGATTCCTTCCTGGTTGTGTTTCTATTGGGAAATTGGCTGAGTTCGGTTTACTGATGCGTTCTCTACAGAAAGGGCAGCTACCCTGATAAATACTTCACCCTTCGCTCAACGTATCTCCAAGGAAGACCGCCAACCTCGGTGAATGTGCACTGGCGACGATTCGCCGTGGCAGATATCCCCCTCGAAGATCAGAAGGAGTTCGACGCCTGGCTTCGAGACAGATGGGCTGAGAAGGACGAGTTGATGGATCAGTATTTCGAGACTGGGAGATTCCCATCTGAGCTGGCTGGTACGATTGAAGCTAAGAATCCCACCGCTGAGCAGAAAGTGGCTCTCGAGGCGGGATTTGTGGAATCTCATGTTCGCTTGCACCACTGGGTCGAACTTGGGTTGATCTTTATGGTGCTGGTTGGTGCAGCGTTGCTTTGCCGCGTTGCTCTTGGGTTAGTGGGGATAGTGTGACTTTGTTGAGTTGAGTGACTGGGTGGACCATTGGTTATTGATTATTGAGCGTTGATGTTAGTTCTGGTTTCGGACGGAGGGATGGATGGATGGATGGGATGAGATATGACGACAAGACCTAGAGATACTTCTTCCATTAGATATGGCATGTCATGAATACAAATATAAATATTCGACAGAGTATTGTATTCGACAGAGAGATGTGATTCTACAAGTGATGCTTCAAGCGATGCTTTATACTGCCGTGGCGCAGGTGGCTCACCGCACCGCCACATCCCAATTCTCTCCAAATCGAACACCGCGACCTCCGCCTCCCCGAGTCACTGCCGCGTCTTTTTCGACCTTGGGCTTTATCGACGCCTCACTTATCCGGCGCAAGCTCATCACTATCACAGACTTTGATGGGTCTAGCTCGATCATGAGTTGAAGCTGTCAACGATTCCTCATCAAGTCGCATCCCGACCTCGCTTTACCTCCTCTCTTTATCTCTTCCCCCAGGTGCAGTCGCAATAATGGCGCCTCTCGAAAACGGCCATGCCAATGGCTTAAACGGCGATTCTCTACCATCTACAAGCTCCCTACCTAACCTACGTTTCTCCGATATCCCCGATGCCATCGATATTCCCGCCTCCAGTTTCGACAGCGAAGTCGAAGTCAGTCTCCTCGACCTCCCCGAAGACCCAACCGAGCTCTGCACCCTCTTGGAAAATGAACGGGCGGCCAAGAACTTCTGGGTCATCATCGCATTGGCCTACGCCAAGCGAAAGCAGATCGACCATGCCATCGATATCCTGAACAAGGGTCTGGCCTCCGTCGCCCACGGAGCTACCAAAGAGAAACTCGGCCTTCTGGGCTGGATCTGCTGGTTGCTCATGCTGAAGAGTCGCCAGGCTCCTCGCGTCGCGCCAGAGGGAGAGCTCTACTCAGAAGCCAAGACCAAGGACCACTACCTGCAGCTGGCGACGTCCACTCTGAACGAGGCATCGCGTTTGAATCCCGCGTACCCGCCTCTTTTCCTGGCCCGTGGCGTCTTGTGTCTACTTCGTGCCTCTCTGTACCCCCCCGCGTGCTGTTCGACCCGGTGCCATCGACACGTCGGAGCGGGTGGAAGCCCTCCGGCAAGCGCTGAAATGCTTCGACGAGTCCTCCAAGGCCTTTGGCGGTCGTAACATTATGGCTATTCTGGGCCGTGCCCGCGCACTCTACATGCTGGGAAGATACGCAGAGGCTCTCGAGGGCTATCAAAAGGTCCTGATGAAGGTGCCTAACCTGACCGATCCTGATCCCCGCATCGGTCTGGGATGCTGTCTCTGGCAGCTCGGCTTCAAGGACCAAGCGAAGGTAGCATGGGAGAGATCACTGGCCTTGGTAAGTTAGAACCGCTAGAATTTGTCTACTCATTCCTTTGAAAACATCGACTAACCACGCATCACGCTATAGAACCCCAAGTCCAAAGTCGCGAACATCCTCCTCGCAGTATACTACCTTTACGACAGCTCCCGCCGCTCTACTACCGATCCGATGTTCGGCTCCTTGTACAAAATGGCCATGACCCAATACACACAGAAAGCCTTCAAGCTGGATAAAGAATACCCCATGACCTGCGCCTCGTTCGGAAGCTACTTCCTTCTCCGCAAACAGTATCCGACCGTCGAGACACTCGCCCGCAAGGCGATTGAAAAAACGGATGTCATGCCCATTGCTAGTGATGGGTGGTATCTGCTTGGTCGAAAGGCACACTACGAGGGCGATGGTGCACGCGCTACAGAGTACTACAACAAATCCGACCAGGCTCGTGGTGGTGGTGAAAAGGGCTTCTTGCCTGCCAAATTCGGTGCTGTGCAAATGTCCGTCTCGAACAAGGACTTTGATGGTGCCAAGTTCCGCCTGGAGAAGATTGTCCAGCAATCAAAGAACGCCGAGGCGATGATTCTGCTCGCGGCGCTGCATGCTGAAGATGTCTTCGCTTCACAAAAGGCCGGTCTCAAGGATGATAAGTCGAATGAGACGAAGCGTGCTATCCATCTGCTGGAGTCTGTGCGTTCCATGTGGAAGGACGAAAAGCAAAAGCTGACTCCAGATGAATCTGTCCTGGTCTATCTGGCTCGTCTCTACGAGACCATTTCCCCGGAAAAGTGCATGCAGTGCTTGACCCAATTAGAGGAGCTGCAAATTTCCGGTATTCCTGAGAGTTCTCGGCCTGATATTGACGATCCGGAGGATCTGAAGGCTGCTCTTCGCGAGAGCCTTCCTCCCCAGCTGCTCAACAATATGGGATGCTTCCTCTACCAGAACGAGAAGATTGCCCTGGCGCGTGGCATGTTCCAATCCGCGCTCAACGCTTGCGTACACTCGCAGGAGAGAAAGGATGGTTCCGATAACGATGCCCTCGTCACAACTATCAGCTACAATCTTGGTCGCACATACGAGGCAGCAGACATGTGGGATGAAGCCAAGAAGGTCTACGACGGACTCCTCGAACGACACAGCGACTACACCGAAGCTAGTGCACGCTTGACCTATATCGCCCTCCGCCAGAGCCCAACGGAAGAAGGCCCCAAGAAGATGTCCAAGCTCTACGAAACCGATTCCTCGAACCTGGAAGTCCGATCCCTCTTCGGCTGGTATCTCAGCAAGTCCAAAAAGCGCGTGTCCAACCTGGCCGAGGACTCCGAACAGCGCCATCACAAGCACACACTCCAATACTACGACAAGCACGACCGCTACGCCCTCACCGGAATGGGCAACGTGCATCTCCACGCCGCGCGTGATATGCGCCGCGACACCGAAGCCGACAAAGAAAAGCGCCGCAAGGTCTACCAACGCGCCGTCGAGTTCTTCGACAAAGCCCTACAGTTAGATCCCAAGAACGCATACGCCGCCCAAGGAATCGCCATCGCCCTAGTCGACGATAAGAAGAACTACAGCACCGCCGTAACATTCTTCTCCAAGATCCGCGACACACTCAAAGACCCGAGCGTCTACCTAAACCTAGGCCACGTCTACGCCGAACTGCGCCAATACACGCGCTCAATCGAGCACTACGAAGCAGCCCTCGCGAAAGACCGTGCCCGCGACGTGCAGATCCTCGCCTGCCTAGGCCGCGTCTGGTGGCTAAAAGGCAAGCAAGAAATGAACCTAATCGCCATGAAGACAGCGCTAGACTACGCCCTGCGCGCCCGCGACGTCTCGCCCGACCAGCTCCACCTCCAATTCAACGTCGCATTTGTGCAAAACCAAATCGCCTCCCTGGCCTACAGCCTGCAACCGACGCAAAAGACGCTCCAAGATGTCCTCGAAGCCGCGGACGGCTTGAAAGAAGCCATCGAGACCTTTGAGAAACTTTCCAAGGAAAAGAACCCGCCTTACCCGGCGCAGGCCCTCGAGCAGCGCGCTAACATGGGCCGCACGATTAGCAAGCAGCTTGATCGTGCGATGCAGAGCCAGAAGGAGTATGAGGAGAAGAATGCGGCGAAATTGCAGCAGGCGCGTGAGGCGCGCGAGGCGGCGCAAGCTAAGCGTGAAGAAGAATTGCGCAAGGCCCAGGAAATTGAGATCGAGCGGAAGAGGAAGATTGCTGAGGAGCGGGCGCAGATGGTTGAGGAGACGCAGCGGAGTGCGGCTCGGCGGGCGGAGGCCGATCGTGCGCGTGAAGAGGCGGAACTTACGGATGGCAGTCAGGGGGAGAGAGTTAAGAGGAAGAAGAAGACTACGTCTAAGCGGAAGAAGAAGGGCGGCGATGACTTTATTGCTGATGATGAGGAGGGTCTTGGTGGGGAGGGAGATTTGGAGCGCAGTGGTGGTGAGGGCGAGGGGGATAGTGAGGGTGAGGCTGCGCCTAAGAAACGGCGTCGTTTGGAAAGGAGGTCTGGTGGGAAGGTTGCTAGCAAGGCTTCTAGCAAGTATAAGAGTGATGAGCGGATTGTTGATTCTGATGATGAGGAGGAGGAAGGGGAGGAGGCTGCGCCGGGTACGCCTGGTGATGATGAGAAGGAAGATCTTTTTGGCGATGAGCAAATACAGGAAGATGTCGCTCCTCGTCGTCGGGGGAAGGCGCGTCATATCGCTGATGATGATGACGAGGATGAGGACGAGGGAGAAGGTCAGGCCGATGTTGAAGCTGAAGCTGAAGCCCCGGCTAAAGTGAACGAGGACAATGATGACGATGACCTCTTCGGGGATGAGGAGAAGACGCAGACTCAGACTCAGGATACGGAGATGCAGGACTGAGTTGAGTCGAGTCTGATTTGCCATATTACCTCTCTTTTTCTTGTTCGTTCGGCGTCTGGGACATAGGCTTAGATTTTGCAATTGCGGCAGCAGATTGTTTTGCAAAACAAAATTAGGATTTCCAAGGTTCGTTTTGAATCCTTTTGTGTAATTAGCCTTCTATAGTCATCAATTAGGTATCGTCCTGTTTATCTGGATATACGAAATGTTTGCTCAATCAATTCCAAGTTGAAGTTGTGCTAATAGTTCTTGGTCTGCGACATGAGACTAGAACTCATGATATGCTTGGCATTAAGGTACTCCGTAATAATTTACTCCAGGGCTGCCTATTCAATTTCGATCTCATCTTTGTACACCTGGGCAGCAAATAGCAGGCTAACATGTAACCATGCCCTCTGCTTCTCCGATCGATCATCTGCCCCGGCCAACTCCAATTGAACCCTGCTAGTCAAGATCACGTTCAGATCCACTGGCATTAAACCCTCGATCTGACAAAAGTACCCCGACCTCCCCGAAACAACCGCCCCCAAAAACGGCCGGCACGAAAAAAAAATAAAAATTTAATAGCCCCTGGCAGCCTTCTAGCCTAGCCCGTGCCTAAGCTATACTATCCAAGTTGGTCGGACCCCTACTCACAATACTAATCCGCCACGGGGTTTATGGACAATGTAGATGGTACACTATCCTCATCCGTAACAGATACCTCTCATCTCATCTCTTGGTAGCGAAAGCCATAACTAATATACTAGTACTAGTGTAAGCGCGAGATATGGTCATTTAGTATACCCTAAACCTGCAACACTCCACGTTCCAGTATCGAGAGATCTGTCGCATCGAGGCTGACTCAAACCCTGGATCATCATGTTAATCTAGACAAGAAGGGCGATATCGCCGAGGTATTTTTCTAAAATTAACCGTTGCCCTAACACCTGCGCATCCACCTGCCGAGGACCTGACATGCCATGGCATGAGCTAACAACTTAGTAACTATATTACTAGTTAGTCTGTTGGCCCCAGTAACGAGATCAGACCTCTCTCTTCGACTCCGACTCCGACTCCGTAGCTGGTAGGGTCTAGAATCAATTCATCAATCTAATTAATTTCCGAACCTGCACCACGCACAATGCCACAGTGACCACTACTATGTACCTCGTTCTCGCTCCGCCTTACCTCGCACCAGACAATGAAGCTAAAAAGAGGGACCAAAAAGAAAAATCTCCGACGCATATGAGCCCGTTTTTTTCTCTTTCTTTTCGCTTTTCGCTTATTCTCCTATAGGCTATGTTCCTCCCATCCATCTCATCTCATCTCCACTTTAATTTGAACCGCAGGGCCAGGCGAGGCATGCGCCCCCGCCCCCTCCCTTGTCTAAGTAAATAAGCAGGCGAGGGGTAAAAATTTCCATCGAGCAGGAAAAAGTACGTAGTCCCTGGCCGAATGATTCTGGGCTGAATACGGAGTACGCGTATCGTATCTGCGTCTGTCTCGGCGTCTACCCTCCCCGATCGGCCCTAGCAATGCACGATCCGTCCCGAGCTGAGCTGACCTTACCTGGGGGCCTTGCATCTGCACGAACGGAGAACATGCAGCGACGTGCAGCTAGGAGGGGCTGTATTTGTGGTAATTGGGGTAATTTAATGTACTGCTGGTTGAGTAGTGGGGTGGATGTGTATTGCCTTTGTCTGAGATGGTAGGTGGTCACACTACAGCGTGAGAATTCTTTTATGTGATTTTGGTCGGTGTTGCTGACGCTATGATGATTGGCGGACTTGAATTTTAGATGTTATGTACTTATGTAGTTGAATTGGCTAGGTATGGGGTGTATCTGTAGGAGAAATTGACGACTAACTTGAATTGTAGCAACGTGAAGAAAATAGTGGTTGATGATCTTGGGAGAGTCTGTTTGCTTTTCTCTATCCCATTGTAGCAATTGATAGCATATACCTTCCCTACTAGTGTATCTGTGCGAGGGAATTGGGGTTCTTATTGATTTTCTAACCTTGGTATACAAGAGATCTGTAAAGAGATCGGAGCGCATGGCTAATTCCAATTCCGATTCTTTATGCGGCGTATTTATACGTCATTATATTCTGGTGCCAATGAAAACTTGCGGATTCTTGTACATAGTAGTAGTACTAGTATATCTGAAAACATAATTTTTTGTCGGGTATGGAAGGATAATCATCATACTGGTAGATATATGCAGCTTGAACATATCTTACCTGGGTAGCTTACCTCATAAAACTAGCAACTACTAGTATTAGTAGCTTTCCATTTAACATCAATCCATGTTCCGCCAAAATCCAACAATGAATTCAGAATTGAATTTACAAACCGCTCCTAATTCCTGCTGTATTGTGTAGTATTCATTTCTATCTTCTTTGTCCCTTTCTGTTCTTGCTGCATGTCCTGTCCAAGAATGTGATCCGAATGTCTCACGCATACAACCCACCACCACCATCACCACCAAACCCAAAGCAAGGAAAACCAAACATAGAAAAGAAAGTTACCACAACATATGCTGAAATTATTTGCGTTCCAGTTTTCTTGTACATATGCGAAAATTCTTATGCTTGTTCCTGTTGCTTGTTCCAACCTAGAGCCACAAGTGAGGAGGGTGGGTTCGCCGCACACGGAAGTCGTCCAAAGATCGGCACTCCAACGACCCAACCCCGGCAAGACAACAGGGCCTTCGGTGAAGAAGCACTTGATCCTAGGACTTGATGACATGGCCCTGTAGCAGTAAAGAAAAAGGGACCAGAGTATGAAAAAAAAGTCAAGCTTTTGGATTTGTCCCAAGGTGGAGAGATCTACATCGAACAAGCTTCTTCCGTCCGAACCGCTCAAGACTCTCTATACACTCGTGGGGCGATTATCGCGAAATCTCGCAGGATGTAACCTTATGGATTTTTCAAGGAGCTGGCGGATCGCTTTCAACTCTATTTGAGTTAAGAGGGCTGGCGCTCACTTGGCATGAGGCTTGGTGGCGTTTAATTGAGGATATCAGAATGGGTTCAATTGTATACTAGTAGTACTTCGGACTTTGGATATCGAAATGAGAATATGATAGAAATTGACTACTTTAGCCTCATAATCCAATGACCTACCTGGCTAGTACTGAATAGACCTTGACCTGCACATCACTCTCCCACCCCCGCCGATCGGAACATATTTAGCCAACGTCCCATTGACATATCGAGCCAGCACCGAAGACTTGAAGGGAAACCTTCAAGTTGGAATAAAAGTGATGATATCACCGACCTACGTCGTCAACTACGACCTGATCCCCTGTCCTGAGTTAGTACAGATCGTCAACAAACCCACTCACGCTCCCATGGACCCTCGCTACTCTACTCTATAAATTCCCGAACCGTTAATCCATCAGACCGGGTCAGGGTAGTTCTCCACATCAATCTAAGCCTTTCCACGCCCATTTGCTCTAATTGGGTATCCATGCGGCTCTAACCTTAACTTAAGATGTCATCGACCTGGAATCCGTGGCTGCTTTGCTCGGTGCCGGGGTGTCCCTCGTACATGCGTGACTGGGCGCAGGGCTGGAGGAAATGGGATGAAACGTCATGGTGGAAATGACTAGGTGGCTGATGGGTCGACAACTGCTTGTCAGGTACTTAAAGGTCTGACACGGACTCTGGAGCACTTCCTTCCTTTTTCTCGTTGCTCTTTTTCAATCCTGGTTGAACCATTGCTCCTACTGTAAGTGATAATTGCAACATTGGCTTGGATGCTGTGAGATCCGGTGCATGTAGTGAATACACCTCTGTCTCTGATCTCAGTCATTCATCCCCTCTCACCAAAGCAGAAGTAGACGAAAGACAATGTTGAAAAGAATACGGGCTAATACTCACCAGTCTCGATTCTCATCTACCCTCACGATGCGTTACACATACACATTTCCCGCCCTTTTCGCGGCAGCAGTCATCGCCGCCCCTCTCGAGAACGCGAAGCGCAGCGACGAGAGCCTGATTGGCACCAATGGATATGGATATGAATACTACGAGGACGGCCATCTGGTTGACCTCGGTGATGTCGGTCTCTTGAAGCGCGATGATGAGAGCCTGATCGGTGGCGCTAGTATTGGCGGTATCTTGAAGCGTTCAGAGGAAGACCCCATTGATGACTATGGTGATTACGCCGAAGATGTTGCTGGTTACGAGGACGACGTGCTCGGTCTCTTGAAGCGCGATGACGAGATTCTGGGTGGTCTTCTCGGCGGTGGAAGTAGCAGTGGGGGTGGGAGTCTTCTATTGAAGCGCGATGATGAGAGTCTGATTGGTAGTGATGGTGATCACTACTACTATGATGATGGACACCTGGTTGATGTCGGTGATGTCGGTCTGCTGAAACGCAATGATGAAGTGCTCATTGGTAACGATGGATATCACGATGATGGAGACCTTGCTGGCCTTGGCGATGTCGGACTCCTCGATGATTCTGAGGATCTTGATCGGGCCGGTGATGCTGGTGTCAAGAACAAGCGTGAGGAGGAGCTTCTTTCAACTGATCTGATTGGCTTTGCCAACATCTTGAAGGCTCGCTCTGAGGACCTCGGTATTGATGAGACAAATGTCATTACTGGTGCTGGTGTGGCAGATGACGCTCAGATCGCGACGCCTATCCTTGCTGTTGCCAATCCTCTGTAAGATTGTGCATGCTAAAAGTTGATTGCCCATGTACATCTCTGGGAGATTATTCGGGGAGCTTGTGCATGATTTCAACTTCCGGATAACTACTACTATTCTACCTGAATATGTATGTTCAAGAAATGCAGTGCGACACCGGGCGATTTGAAACTTGAAGGGAAATGTTCTTATTCAAGTTTCTCCATTTCCTTTCCCCCTTTGTTTTCTTATGGCTGGCGTTTGGGAGGACTTAATTAGTACTTAATGTAATACGTTAATCTTAATTGATAGGGGTTTCCCCTATATCTGTTAGACCTATCTATATGCCCAAGTTTGACATCTTACAAACCAATTAAACACTAGACTGTATTCGAATAATACCACACATGCGAGTTCTCACGAGAGAGCACGAGGGTACAGAGTACTGCATACAACAAAGAAACTTTGAAATAGATTAATCGTTCACGAGAGAGATGGGATAAACATGTGCAATCTCCTTTGTATGCTCCTTATACCCCGTACATACTAAATCCCACATGACCGATTCCGACCCAACCATCGATGCAGATCTCCCACCAGACTGGGTATGGGGAGCAGACTAGTCGCTAATGGCAATGGGACCATTGTCGCTCCAGCTCCAGCGATTTTCAACTAGCGGCCACGATGGCGGCCACGGCGGGACTCGACCAGTCCTATTTTAGTGGGTAGCCCGTTGCCCGTTGATTACCCGTCATTATTGCCCTTCGTCCTGTGAATTGCTTTTTTTTTCTCTCTTTTTCATTCTCTTATTCGGGGCGGCGTGCCCTTTCTCCCTTTCACTGATGCCTAACACCCACAAGTGGATGTCCAGGTCGGTTAAAAAAAGAAAGGTGGGAAAAAAAGGACGCGCAGCTTGCGCTCCCTTATTAGCCCTAAGCTTTTGACACAGGCTACGCGCGGAAAGGGGAATACGCATAGCTGTCAGTGGGTAATTTAGTCTAGTCCAGTCCCAGTCTCAGTTCCCAGTCCCATTTCGAGTCCCACTGGGGCCAACGGTTCTAGGGTTGCACTCGTCACGCTGACAGTGCCATTGACGTTGACTGACCGAGACTAAGACTGACACCGAGCCTAAGACAACCTCGGGAGGCGTTACCGCGTACAGTAATCCGTAAGTGGAAAGCAAGCAAGGCAAGTAAGCAAAAACAATGACGCCAGAGGATGAGCACGAAAGAAGCGCCAAAAACAAACCATAATATCCGTAGGGATCAAAGCTCTGGGGCTCAGCAGATTACGCTGTGCGATCGATGGGGTACCACCTGGGCATTGTGTGTGTCTGGGCCGGTGTTCGTGAGGCCGATCGCAACCAGATGTGTGCAAAAGGAATTGGGAGTGGTTCGGTTCGGTTCGATGGTTCGAGCGGGTTTGGTAAATTAATTGAACCAGTGTGTGCGCGGGCCCGGGGGGGGGGGAAGGGAGCGAGAAGGAGAGCTCTCTCTCTTCTGTTGCTCCGCGTTGTAATTGGGAATTGGAGACACGGTTGCAATCTCCTGGTTCGATTAGACTTGATCCAACTCAAGCTGATTCAATTCAATTGGATTCCATTCGGCTTGGATGGAGCTTCGATTGGAGTGAGAAGCTGCGTTGGCTTGGCGAACGGGGCGCTGCCAGAACCAAAACTACAACCAACATCTCTTCCTAGGTTATGTTTGGTAGGCTAGGATCCCTAGACTAGATGTTCGTACTCCGTGCAGGGGGCGGCACGGAACAGAACAAGCTATTGAAGGAACATGGATTCATGCGTATTGCTCCCGCATGGGCCGTTTCGGTTCGCGTCAGGGGTTGCATGGGATGGGATGCTGCCCCTGATTATCAGGTACCGCGATAAGTTGATGCGCTGGGGACTGCCCCTTGGGACCCGAGGGGAAAGGGGCGGTTGAGATAGGTATTTCCCCCTCCCTGATAATCGAGGTCGTGGTCGTGGCCGTGGTTGTGGCTGTGAGCAACGGGAACTCTTGCATAGGATGCGGAATCCGTCCGGGGCGGCCCATGGTGCTTCAAGCGGCTTGCTGGCTGCAATTGACTTGGCCCCCATGGGGGAGGTTGGTTATTCCCGATGAAAGATTGGAGGGGCAATTTTCCCGAATCCTTCAGCTAAGTGGTTGCATCATCACAAGGAAGCTGCAGAATATTGAGTTATACGGAGTGCGTAGTATGTATACGGACGGGCCTGGGGCTGGAGACTGGAGATTTCACAGGTGAGGCTGTGGTCTCTGGCCTCTCAGGGCAACTCAACTCACACGGCCTGCAGTTTCCACGGCCTGCACCTACGGCATGTGGACAAGACACGGCCGAGCATTTCTGGACCAGCCATGACGATGTGTAGTGGAGTTGTTACGGAGTTTCTCAAAAAAAGTTCAGGTCTTTTGCGATCCAGAACTGCGATCGGCCAGAGTCCACTCTGGTTCACGCTTGTGGACTGGAGGATAGATCGTCAGGAGTCCGCATTTTGAAGATTACGGTGGATATCGGAGTGATACCAAACGGGTGCGGGATTCATGATGGGGTCCCTCCGGGCTCCGGAGGGGTGGTTGGGTTGGGCAGAGATGTGGCATGGAAATGGATGATGATCCCTCGTGTGTGTATGTGCTGTGAACCATGGTGTTTGTGCTATGTATTTTTTTCCCTTGCCCTTTTCCCTCGTGCTGATCGGTGATAGAGTTTCCGATGAGACGCTGGCGTCTTCCGGCATGCATTGAGTTTGAAGATTCTCCGTTTCTTTTTCTTTTTTCTTTCCATTGGGGTTCTTCGCCCTTGTTTTTGAAACTTAGCTGCAACTTACAGGCGGATCCACCGCGGCTTTTCTGCTTCCTGCAGCAGGTCTTGCCTTGGATGGCCCGGCTGGTCCTACATTTGCACCGCTGTTTGGTGCTGTGGTGCTGCTGCGCCAGTGTTCTCGGGTGTCTGCCGGAAGGCTCCTCCCCACTGTATCTTACTGATCATATACCGAAGCTAGCAAGTAAAATCCATGGCTCCCCAATTCCCCCAAGCCCTCCGGGAGGGGCGTCAAGTGAGGGGTCAAGCCCTAAACTCAAGGACGCACGATAGAGACGGGAGAGATTGGCCCGGGGACCATGGAACAGGAACCCAAGCAGCAGGGGTAAAAAAAAAAAACACCAACCAAACCCAACAGAATCCCTAAAAAAAAATATGGGTAACTATTAACCCCTGTTCCCTGCGAGCGAGAGCGAGAATCGTTCACGCAAACCTCCGTTGCGGTGGATTCCGGTGGATGATTCCGGATGGAACAACCGGAAGAAACTGGCGCAGGATGGTCCGTACTGGGGGAGCACCAGGAAGACACGGCCGACTCCGTGTGAATTGAATCGAATCAGAAGGTTGGAGTTTTGATGTGCTTAAGATTTAGTGTTAGTGTTCGGGTCCAAAAAAAAGCGTCAAATTTGGCATGAGATAGTACAGTACGGAATAGTGCCAGAGCCTAGTAAAAGCCCGTCAGATCAAAATTAATTGCCTAGGCTCTATCAGATAAATTTAGGAAGTGCCGAGCACATGTCCCATCGGATGGCTTAGTCTAACAGTCGCCTAGTCGATTAATTACAGTGCGATCAGCTCCACACGATCGCAAAGCCCTACGCACCATTCCCAGAGAGGGGGGGAGGGGGGTAGAATTGATTAATACCGACGAAAACCGTTGGAAGCCCGAGGCTGCGCTAGTGACGCGGGGAAATTCTCAAAATCGCGTGCCTCAGGAATTTTCCATCCTCGGGCGAATCGGGGAGATGCGAGGCGTGAGACTTGCACCTGCACCTACACCTGCGGGGACATGCGCATTCCATCCCTCGGAAGTATGTGAGGGCGATGCTGCGGTGTGACTGTAGATGTACAATCAGAAGCAAAGACAAGCAGAAGCAAAGGGAGAATCAAATAAGATAAAATAATGCGATGCAATAAACCTTGGAGATAACTATAATAATGCCATGTCGTGAACCATGAACCATAAAGGGTAATGGATACTAGTACGGAGGGATTAAGAGATAAAAAATAGATTACATTATAGAATAAAATTGAGAATATCCATACCTAGGTACTCCGTACTTAAGGTAGGTAAAGTAAAGTAAAATAAAATAAAATAAAATAAAATAGATCCAGTTATGATACAATACGGACATGCTGATACCTTCCTGGAACAGTTAGGTCGGCTCCATCACGTTCAGAGCGCACTAGGACAATCCTTGGTTTCGGCTCCGTGTTGCTGGGACGAGAAGAGGACAGAGTAGAATAAGTGGATAGGTATTACTGGTAGACATAGACATAGGATAGGATAGATGCATAGAATTGATCCATGGTATAGACCTGTAGATATTGAAGCAAACTCAACACAGGACAGTAGCAAATAGCAAATAAGATAGCAAATAAAATAGCAAATAAATCAAAATAAATAAATAGGATACTCTTAAAACTGAACCGAATCCCCAAAATAACCATATGTACGTATCTGTGCAACACCCCTGAGTCCACCGGTATAATACACGACCCACACTGCATCTGCCATACAACATCAATACGATACACTCCACCACTGGCAGTACTTACAGTATCCTCTTCCATTCTACTCCGTACTCTTCTTCTAAATATGTCCTCATTCTCTAACATCTAACCTCCAACCTCCAACCTCTAACCCTCGTTTCGCGCTTATTCCTCCTACCATGAAACACCCCCAATCGCTATAGTTACTAGCCTCATTATTTGGGGCGTTTTCGCTTCAAAATGTTTCCCCAGGCCTCCCCGGCTTGGGACGACGAAGGTCACAGTGATCCTCCGTCCACTCGCTCCTCCAACGATCCTCCTGAGCATATGGCTCACATTCGTTCTCGTTCTACGGCCCACGCTCATTCTCCGAAGCGTTTATCAGTCTTCAGTGGCCGCTCCAGAAGCAACACAACTACCTCTACTTCCTCGCGTCTTTCCCCCGGTTCCTCTATGACTTCAGTCGATAGCTCAGTGCCCTCTCAGGACGAACGCACTTCTTCCTCTTTGGGCATGCGCGAGAAGCCAGACCGCTCTTCTCGATCATTTCTCGCTCGCGGGAGCCGCATTCTTCGCCGTCAAGGTAGCAAGATCAATATCGTCGCCACGCTGGACGAGGAAGACGAGATGGATAAGTCCTCCCGAGCAGATGGAACTGGCAATGGAAATGCCAATGGTGGTATGTTTGGACGTCGTGCCAGACATCAGGAGAACCGTAAGTTTTATTTCTTCCAAGTTGAATATCCTCGTGGCCCCCTGGGTGTTGAGGGTGGTCCGTGAACCCGTGACCTCGTGGGCGGGAAGCATCTTGCATTGTTGTGATGCAAACACCAACGCAACCTTAGCAACCAACTTGCTAACTTCACTCTTAGAGGACCGCCTGAAAAGCATCATTTCCGACCCCTTCGATTTCCATCATCTCACCCATACTAGCCCCGCACAATTCCAATCCATCGACCAGACCCGCGAAAATGATCTTGTCACCGAGTTCTCCGTCATTCGCGCCTCTCAGCGACCTGAGGCCGTCTTGAAAGGCATTCGCGCCGACGACATTCACTTCCAAAATTTCTCCGCTGATGATCTGCCATTGCGGGCTCTTGGTACCGCGACCACCGTGGATGAGTCTATACCGAGCCCCCCCAGGTTCGCCCGTCGCCGGGGGGTTCGAGCCCCAAGGGTCATACTCGACAGGGATCTCGTGCCCATGAGAACTTCTCGCGACCTGTGTCGAGATATCCTCGTTCTTGCCCCACCACCCCACCACCTCCAATGGCCCCCGAGGTTCCCCTCGAAGGGGAGCCTGCGCCTCGTGCCATTGACGAGATCCTCGGACTTTCGTCGCAAAAGACGTACCCTGAATATATTGAATCAAGCTCGGCGACACAGCGCCGCTTCAGCGCCGATCCAGCCGAGACCATGACAATGCGAACCGGGACCTCCTCTATGAGCAGCCATAGCCACTATGATTTGGAAGATGTGCCAGAAGAGGAGGAAGCCACTCGCATGTGGGACAGCCCCCCAGCGAGTATTGGATATGGTCGCTCTCGTTCGACCTCTCAAGTTAGCCCGGGCACTATCGTGGAGCCCTCTGGTGTCCCCGTTCCCAAGGGACCTCCCAATGGCCTGTCAATCTTTGTGGCCGAGCAGCTCTCGAGGAAATTCTCCGAAGCGTTGGGCTCACCAACCCTGCCACAAAACATGCCTAATGCCTCGCCCAAGGAAGAAGCCGAATTTGACGCAACACCTCCGTCAGTTCACAGTGTGCGTCAGTTTTCTGTCGAAGACGAGCTATATGATTCATGGGATGCAGACATCGACTACTGCTACGAGCATGCGGCCGAGTCCACCTCCAACTTTGACTGGTCGCGCACTTCTCTGGATGAGCAGCGGCCCCAAATCGGAATTGCCTGCAGTGACGAGAGTTGGGGTCTTTCTGCGCCCAAGCAGCGACACCTGCAGCCCAGTCCACTGAGCACCTCCACCCTCCCCACACCAGACCTGGACCCCAGTCCAGCTCGGTCGACAGCAGCCCACTCGGCAGCCACGCCATCTACAACCGACTACGAACGGGATTTTGTGGTGCGCAGCGCGGGGGACTACTTCCAACCTGTCAGTTCGTCGATCCTGCCATCTGCACTGGGCAAGCAGATCAACCAGGAGACACTGTACGAGGAGTACCTGACCACTGATGCCGAGTCCGACCGGCATTACCCCTTCGTTGCGCAGGGCATGATGTCCGAGAACAACCCGGTCTCCCCTCGTAGCAGCTTTTCCCCCATCAGCAAGTGCAACTCGCAAGAAAGCTTGATGCTCTCACGCGCCGCTTCCATCGCCCGGAAACACCGCTCCTCTGTCTCAACGGCGAGCGTCCCCGAGCTGATCTACAGCCTCTCCAACAGCCGTGAGCTCATGCCAACAGACCGTCTGACAGCTGCCGAGGCCCTGGCTGCAGGCTCAATCAGCCGCCCGCCTTCTTCCTCTCAGCACCGCCAGACCAAGAGTCTTGAGACATCCTTCATGTTCCAGCGCTGTGGTAGCAGCACCAGCCTGGTCAGTGCAGACTCAGCAACCGCCCCTTCTACTCTCATCCATGACCGTGCCAAGTCCGTCTCCGAAGTAGACTCGCGTCACAAGGCCGAACCGCCTCTTCCTCCTCTCCCGCCCATGAACCCTAACCGGAAAAAGTCCCGGAACCCTTCTTACTCTCTCTTCCCCACCGCTGCATAAGCGTCGCTTTCTCTTTCTCTCCCTCTCACTCTCACTCTCACTCTCTATACCACCATGACCCACACTCATCCTCACATCCTTTTAACATCTGGTTTTGATATAAACCGCCATCTCCTTGTCTGCAATACCTCTCTCGCTGTCTCCATTTCCTCGCTTGTTTCGTTCCAAGGAAGACGAAATATGTTTTGCATATAGGATCTTCTGGTGTCTTTCGCTCGGATAGAATTTCTTTGTCTCTTTTCTTGTTGTCTCACCGTGTCAACCGTTTTGTCATTTTTTATATGAGTCACGACCTGTTTCTTTTACCCCATCTCTCTGTTTTCACTGTGTCCAGATGTTTATCATTGTCTTTTATGTTTTCTTTTTGGTTATTTGGATTGGATCGGATTGGATCGGATCGGCCTCTTTTGACATGTTCAATCGTTTTTCATGCATTTCTCAGCGATTGGGTTGGTGTCTGGAGGGAACTTTGGAAAATGAAAAAGTATAGGTTTGGATCCTCGCTTGGATTGAATGGGTTCCGGGCGGTCGCGTGGGTTTTCCTAAGGGTTTGTCTGGTTAGACTGGGTTGAATCGTTAGGAATCATTCGCAATATACTTTATTTTTCTTGACTCTGGTCCCGTTTCTACATGGGCATGTTCTATATCTTCTGCTCTGCGTTTTGTTCTACATTCTATAATTTCTCAAGTATGCGATCATCTATCATGCCCTGGCGACGCACTAAACTTGAATCTTCTTAATATCATCCTCCAACCAATTCCTCCACCCCTGATCGGCCAGAATAGACCTCACCCTTGCTTCAAGCCACTTCGTATTGCCCCAAAACCCCCAAGACGCCTGGAACCGGCACCAATCCACCAAGGCAGTCTCCCAATGCCTCACAAGCAAGTCCCAATCATAAAATCCTTCGCCTTTACCCCGCAACAATGACGCACGATATCGCTCTAGCAGGATCTTCTCACCGGCACACATATCCAAGGAATCAGGTAGATCTCGATAGTCCCCGGACCGCGACTCTCCACCCAAAAGCATGTCCACCGGCACAGAACAAGTAAACAACTTCGCCAGATCGCAAACCCCAAGCCCAAGACCCACATACTGGAAATCAAAAAAGGCCACATCGTCCCCGGACTCCGACGTGAAAAGATTCTCAGACTTCACGTCGCCGTGGATAAGCGACTCCATTGCCCGGCCCCGCGGAGCCAGACACAAGGCTGCCAATTCGGCCGTTGATGACGGACCTGACGATGCGAATGGACTGCAGAACGCCGCCGACCATTCGGAAGAATCGTCTTCGACCAGCGAGTCGTATTCCTTCCGCCTTGTCGCGAGATATGTGTATCCACCATTGAGCCATACATTGGCATGGCTTTGACTTGCGCCTTCAAGTTCAAGTTTCTCAGCCCCACGGCGAGAATACTCCTCCAACGGCGGAAGAATATACTGTCCCTCCCGCACAGAAACCAGTCCCAACCCCCAAGACCGCGCATGAAAAGAAGCCAACCACGCCAACGAGCCGAAGACCTGAGCAGAAGACAGAACACCCCTCTTCTCCCCGGAAACGGGATACATAGCCCGCAAATCAGCCATGAGAATCGCCATACAGCCACTCAGTTGGTCCGAGTCATCATCGGGATCATCCGAGTCGGACCCAGACGTCGAGGCAAGACACTTCGCAACGCCCAACCCGTCCAGTCTAGGAACAATATGCCCGTAAAAGAACTGCTCAACCTCGTAGCTAAACATTTTGCGCAGGTGGCCTTCGTCGGGCCTTCCTCTTCCTGCTGCCGAACTTGACCCTTTCGGCGCAGAGATCAGTTTGAGAATTAATTGGAACGAGTCTCCTGCTTTGGCGCTTGATTTGGAATTTGCTTTTGAGTGGCATAGTGAGTGTAAATGCGTTGCTGCTGCGTCACTGTTCGCTCGCGCGGTCACACTGCATATCTGACCGTAGCCGGCCCAGAGTCGTTGGATTGTTTTGCAGGAGATCAGGGTGCTGTCGTGTTGGGATAGAAGGATGCTGGCGACCCGCGCTGGGTCGTGGGGGATTGTCATTATAATGTAATGGTGGTGGGGTTCAAGTTCTTTTTGGGGGAAGACTTTTAATGCGATGTCATGTGGTTTGGTGGAGAGAATCCACTGTATTATTGTGTCCCTTTATCTGCCTTTTTAATTTTTGTCCTGCGGTGTCGAGAGCCACGCGAGGATTGGATTGGAGATATTGGATGAGGGATGTTGAGTGGGACTGTTCTGATAGGTTGGAATGCTTCATCCGATATAGTCACGTGATATGGGTTTAAGAGAAGTTTAAGGAACTGGGGATTTCCGTGTGGATCCATGGATGTGGGTGTGAAGAGAAATGAGATCCATTATGCCATATTAATTCTAATTTTTCATTCAGTTGCTTAGGCATGTAGTACTATGAGGACTCGGAGATTATGAAATGCCTTGTACTATACTAGTACCTGGGTATTGCTCCGAGTCCCGCATCTATTCCGAGAAAGTTTAATCGATCTAGCCAAAAACCTTGGGGAATATGCTTTTTTCAAAAAGTTCTTTGCGAACCAAGTGCGAAACTCTATCTATGTAGAGATAACGATATACTTTGCACCAGCTTCGGGGAAATTCTTCTGGGGCGGAAAAAGATAAAGTGGAACTCGGGGAGAACAGGAACGCCACCCGATCTCTTAACCGGCCCGACATCAATTTCAACATGGATCGAATATTTCGCATCTACGTTCTCCATATAATCATTTCAACTGGTATAATAGTGTCTAAAACACGATAAAAAACAACTGAAGGGATTTCGACACTTTGGCGATCCCGTACGAGTTATACCGGCTCATAGAATGCCGTCCTATTGCCCGGTGATAATCCAGTCAAGGTAATCAATTATTTGAACCTTCTTCGACCAAGCAAGCTTGAACCATAATGAGTGGTGATCAATATCCCGTTACGGGACAGGAACTGTCACCTACAAAGATGGCAGTCCAATCATCTGCCGGAGGAAAGGTCCCTGTCGAGAAAGACGCAGTCTCTCGAAATGAATCAAATGCCAGAGAAGAACCCAATGCTTCCCAAACATCCGCTTCGTCTTCCGGTACTTCTTTGCTCGCTACATTATGGTCCCCTTTCAGTTCATTATTGAAGGGTACGCCAGACCAGAATGAGAATCAAATGCCCGCTACCGACCAGAAACCAGATCAAAATGGGCAAATCTCGGAAAATCAAAGTCCAGAGGTACCACTTGTTGATACTTCCGAAGGGAATACGATGGCGAAAAAGGCAGCCAAAACCGGTAACAAAGATGCGAAAAAAGCAATTCGGGCTGCAACTCCCCCCGGAGGAAAAGACAGCTCCACTGGAGGCATACTACGCGCCAAATGAAGTGCCACTGTTCAAGAAACTTCAAAAGAAGCGACTATCAGGAACCCGCACGAAACAACTCCTCCGTGCCGCGTCGCGCGCTCATGACGATCCTCCACCCCCGCCGGAGCTGGGAACTTGCTGCGGAAGCTCCTGCGACCCGTGCGTGAATGATATATGGAAGGAAGAGAGGGACGTCTGGAGAGAAAGGTGGGGCGATAGAGCAGTGGAGGGAGATGGAAAGAGGAAAGAATTAGAGTGGTAACTCATTCCATTCTTTTAGACTCGGTCTATGTGCCTGTATTTGTCATGGCGAGGAAAGTCTTAAAAAGACGTTGTACATATTACCTTGCAGATAGAAATAGAGACATTATATTGAATCATGATGGTGAACGAACATAATATGAGACCCAAAAGATCATATTCCCCCTTAGGTCTTCACTGAATCCCCCTTTGCTCTCGAATCTGGCAAATCCGCGAACAATTTCGAGTTTTTCATATCATCTGGACTCTTAGAAATCTCCCTCAAAGCCTTCTTCTCATCCCGTGCAGTCGAGTCCTCCGGGCCGTGAATCTTGCTATCCACACCTGTTTTCTCCGAAACAACAATTCCCGTTTCAATCTCTTCCTCGCGCAGTCTTTGCAAAGCTTGTTCCTGTTCCTGCTCATTCTTATCCGTTCGCCGCGTGACCTTACGCGTACGAATGCACCACGCAACACCAAGAACAGTCGTCAAAAGCCACAAAAGCATATTGATGAAACCAATCCACACTGCCGCCCGCATCCGAGTAACCGATTGAGTAACCTGAACGTACGGCTGCTGGATATCCGAATCATGGCGCATGTAAATATTTCCAAATACACCCACTTGCGCCATCCAAAGAATGAACAACACAGTATCCCAGGTTACCCATGCCACATGGACAATAGTCACAAAGCAATGCACGGCGCAGGTTATGGCAGAAAAGACCACGACAAGCTCAGCGTATATCCACTCAGTTTGGCCATGTTGATTGGTTTTGCTTGCGTGTGCTAGATCCACGCCGTATAGAGCGGCGATAACGATGGCGAAGACGAATTGGAGGGTGCGTAGGGTAGCGCGGGTGAATACACCAAAGGGGCCTTTTCGGTGCCAGTATTGTTCGATTGCTTGGTATTTTCTTTTCGCCATGATTTCGGCGTGGAGTGGTAGGTGGAAGGATGGGTACGGAGCAGAGTGGGAAAATGTCTACTCATTGAAGCTTGGGTTTAAGCTTATATTTAAGTGCTAGTGGCCGGTAGTGAAATATTTAAAGATAGAAATTTATTCCAGGAATAGAAACAATACCGGAGTTTGCCCGTTGGAGATCCATGATTCTTGCTACGAGTACGATGAAATTTCCTAAAAGGGAAATCTTGCGCGTATTCGTACCCGAGGTATGAATGGATGGCCAATGAGCATGCGGCAACGCTTAAAATCGAATGAATCTAAGCACACAAGAGTGCGAGAAACAATGGCTCAAAAATTGAGACGTAGCTCGTGTATTGTTTATCCATGGATGTACATAGTTAACTTCCAGCTTCGATCAGTCATTTCAGGGCAAGATCGCCCACATCAGTCATTCTTTCCCACTCTTTTCATGAAATTCCATCGCATTCGTTTTGTTGCCCCACCTGTTCAAGAAGAATGATACATAATCTTCATCGGCACCCATACGCCAGCATATACCGTATGGGTGTTCGTCCGGGAACATGAAATAAGGAGGCGGGGCTGCTCCATAGTATTGGGCGACCAGCTCTGCAACTTTCTCCTTGGAGCCTGTCGATTTTTCCATTTTGGTTGTCGCTGGGTGTGATTTAGTTTGTGTCTTATGACCGAGGGCAAACAGACATCTGATGATATAGCAGTCAGCTTGCTGTTTTGATAGTGACTGAAGTTTCCTGGTTGGCTATCTCTTTTGAGTTCTTGTATTTCTAGAAAGGATATACTTCAAGCTTGAAGACTCAAAAGCAGGTCCTTGGAGATAGTTTCCAAGGTTTGAGATCAATTTAGATATGCTGTACTACTACTATATTACGTGATGCACTAGTCGTACTTGATATATAGTATCTGTTGATATTAAAGTTGTTTAATTTCATGCCCACCTGGGCAGGTAATTGAGCTGCACTGCCCAGGTGGTAAAATCCAATTCTGTACTACTTAATCTATCCATTGTTTGACTGATGTAGTAGCCATGATCCTTTAAAATATGACATCTCGAGGCAGAGTTCCAAGGTTTTATCAGAAAAAACTCCCCATCTGTCTAGAAAAACCATCTAAAGCCCAGGACCACGTATCGTGGACGAACTTACTTCCATCCTGCGCACCGATAGATATGTACCCCGTAGCCACAACAGCAACAAGACAACCTAGTACGAGATATCTTTTCACAGATCTCTTCTCACTTTTGCGTAGTCTGAAGTCAGACCATCGAGGGAAAATAGTGCGAAGCCAATATTTGTACATTGGATCAGGGTAGATGAAAGTATTCTTCTTGCTCACCGGGTTCATCCACCAGCTTTGACAACCACTGTTAAAGACCAGATGTTGCAGCTTTTCATGAACCCAAGAGAGGTCGCGCTTCTGTGCTTCGTGTTTGACCATAATTGAGTCAGTGTTGCCTTTGAGCACGGGGCGCAACAGACGGCACGAGTAGTTGATTTGACACTCGGAGTGGAATATCACAGAGTGTTGTCCACTCGCGGCGTTAGGCCCATAGAGAATGAAAAAGTTGGGAAAGTCAGATACGACAGTTCCTTTATAGGCTTCAGCTCCCCCTGCTGCGTCCCACACATCATGAATATCCTTTCCATCAACACCTTTGATTTTCATGGGGAACAACCACTTCTGCGTTTGGAATCCAGTGGCGTAGATAATCGCATCTGCGGGGAGCTTTTCTCCTCTATTTGTCTCCACATAGCCTGGGCCAATTTTGACAATTGCATCCTTAGTGAGCTGCATTTGTGGAGAGTGCAGGCATTTCAGATAGGTGGCAGTGTTGACTCGACGCTTGCAGCCGGGTTCGTAATCTGGCTTGAGGATTTCCCGGTACCTAGCTGGGGCCTCCTCTTCGATGTAAGAATAGGTAGCCTCCCTAATCTTTTGTCGCATAGCTGCACCATTGCTGTCCATGTAGAACGAGAAGAAAATGCTTTCAAGCTGCCAGGCCAAGACAAAACGGTAGAGGCGCGCGGCTAGCGGTACATACTTCAATGTGAGCTTGAACGCTTCTGAGTATGTAGGATTTCCCTGCAGCATATTGTTAGAATAATGATGGTGACCAACATTTAGAATATAACTTACCCGCTTTGTCCACCAGTGAGAGCTCCGAGCATGCTGGGTAACCCTTCCCTTGGGTCCAACTGATTTTACAAGCTCGGGAACAAACTGTGTAGCTGACGCGCCATTTCCCACGACGGTGATTCTCTTCCCACTGGGCTTGAAATTGCCATCCCACTCAGCGCTGTGGAATGTCTCCCCTTGGAAAGAATCGGCGCCTTCAATCGAAGGAACCGATGGGCGATCAAGGGTCCCGATTGCACTAACGACAACAGGAGCCGTGCGTTTGAAGGTCTCACCAGAGTTGGTGTCTTGAAAAGTGACGACCCACAGAGAGCGTGTATCGTCCCATGTCATATCAATACACATGGCATTGAAGCGACAATGCGGTAGAATGTTGAATTTTTCTGCAACAGAAAAGAAATCTGAATCCTCATTAGCGATACAATTCATCTTCGGTGATGGGTAATGTCCTCACAAGCGTGGAGCTCATCTCTACCCGGGTACATGGTAGTCCAGTCATGCTTCAACGCAAAACTATACGAGTAGAAGTGACTCGGGATATCACACGCACAAGCAGGATAGCGATTGTGCCACCAAGTCCCTCCGATATTGTCCGATTTTTCATAGATAGTGAAGTTATTGTGTCCAAGGAGACGTTTCAACTGAACTGCCATTCCAAGACCAGAAACGCCCCCTCCGATGATGATAACTTCTTTCGATCGATCCATAATAGCGACTTGAATATCCCTAGAGTTCAAGAATAATTCCAATGACTGGTCGAATCACCTGTATGCTCTCACTGGTTTCAAATTTGTGCGCGGGATGAACGAGGTATTTAAGTCCATATTGTTCTTCATACGTATGAAGTGAATGCAGTACAGTGCGGTTAAAACTTCCACTTATTTTCTTCTATTTGCTATTTGCCTCATTACCCCCGATTCCTGAGTGTGGTATCACTAGATGAAGTGTCATCTCTACTGATAAACTATAACCTTTCGGTTCACATTCTAGCTGAGTGAACTGAGGTGCAATCTGAAAGTGGCAAAACTGGGACCCACATCGTCAATTAAGATACGGCGCTTGCGCTTGCACTTGCACCCCAGCAGACTCGGTTGCCCCGCTTGTAATTTTGAAATCAATCGAATTGATTTCTGGCGTACCAAAGGAGGCAGGGCCTGGGACAATCATGGGGTGCGATGTAGGATCCACACTGTGACCCGTCGGATATGCACGTATTTGTTGCTCAAAACCTGACGTCGAAGAATATATTCAGACTACCCGGCTTCTTCAAGACCTAAAATACAACTACGCAAGCGCAACCGCCGTTCCAAAAGCCACATTTGGATCCTCATAAACGAGGCAGGTATGGGTGAAGAATGACGGTAAATTTGATTCAAAAGAGCCGGACGACCAGGTCAAAGTCAGAGAATAAACGAATCTTCTTTTAGTATTTTGAAAGTCTTTGACATCAGATTCCCCAGCTTTTTTGAAGTGTGCGAATCTTCGGACTTTTCTTTACTGTCCAATATGTCACCCAAATCACCTATCACACTGGCCCAATTGAAATTCAACGTCCCCGTGCCCTATAAGCTGCACGTAGACCGAGAGCTGCTTGATATCACCAAGCAGAAACTGGCGTTGTCGCGTTACCCCGAAGAGCAATCTGACTTTGGCGAAAACAACTGGGCTCAAGGGGCTAAGGTGTCCCGCGTGAAACAGCTTGCGGAGCACTGGTACAACAACTATGACTGGGAAAAACATGAGGTAAGAAGTGACCCCCACGGTAGTTATATGAAGTCCTTTCCGAGGCTAAAGCGTGATTCACTAGAACATGCTCAATGATGCATTTAATCACTTTATTGTGAAACTTGATGTTCCTGGATATGGCTCTTTAGTGCTCCACTATACTCATACGCAGGCATCCAATTCGAAGGCAGTCCCTCTCCTATTCTCGCATGGGTGGCCAGGGTCATTTGTGGAGGCAATCCGGATTGTTGAACCTTTGACCAACCCAGAAAATGCCGAAAGCCAGGCATTTCATGTTGTCGCCCCTTCGATCCCTGGGTTTGGTTTCTCCCCGGCGCCTATGAAGTCCGGTGTCGGACCGAATGTGGTCGCTCGCGCCTACAAGATCTTGATGACAGAAGTTTTAGGCTATCCAAAGTTTGTGACCCAAGGAGGGGATTTTGGATCATTCATTACTCGCTCTATTGCTATCCAGTATCCAGAGGTAGTCGCAGCTCAACATTTGAATATGTTCCCTGTACCTCCACCTACCATTTTCTCAGCCCCAGTCGCATATTTGCGCTGGTGTTTTTCTGCGTTCACATATTCGACTTTCGAGCATAAGGCCCTCAAGGTGCGAAGAAATTTTGAACATGACCAGAGCGGTTACCTGGAACAGCAGAAGACGAGGCCACAGACTCTTGGCTTTGCTTTGGGTGATTCGCCGGTCGGTTTGCTCGCCTGGTTCGTGGAGAAGATCCATGACTGGGCCGACGTGCATGATGCGTTTAGTGACGATGATATGATCACATTGGTCATGATGCACTGGATTCAGGGAGCGACCCCCGCTCTACGATTTTATAGAGAGGCATTTGGCCGCGACATGCGCGAAGCTGAAAAGACGTTCGAGTCATATGTCTCTGCTCCAACAGGCGTTAGCATGTATGCGAAAGAGCAGCTCCATGTGAGAAAACACCCACATGTCGTTTTTTCTGGACAATATTTTAACTATTTTTGCAGTGTCCACGCGATTGGGCTGATCAGGTCGCTAACATTCAGTTTTGGCGTGAATATGAGAGCGGTGGTCACTTCTCATCTTTGGAGCGTCCAGATGCTTTCGTCAAAGATGTTCGTGATTTCTTTTCATCCGACGCTGTTCTTAAATCATTGGGTCGGTCATAAACCCGGAATTGCTGAGTCAATACTCAGAGAAAAAGAAACGTGATTATTTCAGCGATGTGACAAGTATTAAAGATCTTGGGTAGAAGTTCCTCGGAGCAGACACTCAATTGGCCCATTAGAGAGGACTTTCCATCTGAAAGAGTTAACTTCGCATGAGAAACTTGGTATAAGTTAAACTTGACAGAAGCTCAGGACCGTCGGAGCGGAAATGCGTGCGAGTGACTATAGACCAGCAACTTGAACGAAGGCTATATTGGTTCCCTAGGGCATTCATCCCTAAAAATATTTTATCTAATCAATTGATTCTTATAGCAATTAAATTGTTAGAAACCTCACACTGCGAGTCAAAAAAAGTATCTCCAACAAAATCTCGCGGTTGATAGTTACGATGCGGGGGGGGGGGGGCACTGACTAATCAAGAAGCGCTTCCACTTTCCTAATTCGTACAGCGGGTTCCCCATCCGTAATCCCTCTTCTTTCATTAAAGCGTACCCTTGATCGTCCGCAAAGTCACTTCTGACCGTTAGCGTAATAGCATTGTTCGAAAATGTTGTACTTTCGCGGTAATGGCGATATTGTGGAAGCAAACAGTTGCTCTGTTCGAACGAGAACTAGATCCGGATGGTGAGGCATATCCCCGCGAATTCATGACCAAGATGGGACCAGGATATTGACATATCTTCATAGTCTTCAGTGCCGTGGCCGCCGCAGAAAGTGTAAGCATTGATTGACTCAAATGTTACTGACCGTGGAGAGCGAGGCTGATGCATACTAGGCGATGGGAGGCACCCGCGGTGCCGTGGCTGTGAAGCCCGGAACCTGACCTGTCTCTGGGGTCTCAAGGCCTCGTTTCACCCGTCGCGAAACACTAGTTTGTCACGCCGCGAAGCCAGTGTATTAAATGGTGTTGAAGAAGGTCGAAGGCGAAGATCAAGTCGGAGCAGGAATCATCGATTCATAGATGAGACGAAAGAGATTGTCAATGAATATCGAACAGCTAGGCGTTCGTCAGAGGGCCTTGAGTTTACAGATGGAGAGGAACAGGAAAACTCATCTCCTCATTTATACAACTCACCCCAGCCAGTGAATTCAGGAGATATAGGTATCGCGGATGTTTTCACCCAGTATAATCAACGGGCTTCCGAGATCCCAGCAGGCCCTCGGAGAACAGACAATATTTCTTCTACTCCCGAGCCGCGGCATTTTAACATAGTCTCTACGTTCGCAGAATCAGTGGAAAACAATTATGGCCATTCGTTTCCAATTTCACGAGGAAGCTCAAACTATGAGACTCCACAGCCAACGCCGCAACTTCCAGTCACCTCAAGGGAAAAAATACGACTTATTTCCGCCTATCTGCGAGACACCGGTACATGGTGTGAGACAACAGATTCTCAAATGCATTTCACCGTGAAAAGCGTCCATAAAATGATGAAATCACCGCCATTTGCCGCTGCTGCCATATCGCTCGCCTCGCGCCAATTGGATTATCTCCAGGGGCAGCACCGGCCCGTGACACTGGAATTGTATCAGTTTACCATTCAGTCTCTTCTTTGTCACAATCCTGCAGAAGCCGACGCGTGTATTTTGGCTACTTGCACCCTACTTTCCGTTTACGAGATGATGGCATCACCAGTGGAGGAGTGGAGACGGCACTTAAGAGGCTGTGCAGGTTTTCTTCGCAATAAAAGGTGGAATGGATCAAGTGATGGTATTGTGAAGGCGAGCTTTTGGGCTTTTGCTCGAATTGGTGAGTGCAACTCTGTGCTTTTCTAACACTGTTTAACAATTGTATCATTCTAGACATATGGGCTGCATTCAATAGTGGCAAAGCTACGTTGATTCCGACCGAGTCCTGGGTAGATGATGATTGTATCCATTCAGTGTATGCAAAGGGAGACTTGGATGACTATTGTAATCTCGCGATATTGATATTCGCTAAAATTGTGAATCTTCTTTCCACTACTCGGGGACTCAAGGGAAGAGCAAGAGCCACTTCATTGAAGTCTTCTCTTTGCTCCCTTTGGGAAGAAATGCAGGATTGGCGCCTACAACGACCAAGAGAAGCCTATCCGCTACTGAGAGACACTGAGCCTTCGAAACCTTTCCCAGAAGTGTTGTACTCGAGATCTTCCCCCAGTGAGTCTTGATTTCATCCATGGCTATTCGTATCTGACCTTCTAGACTGTGGGAACACATTTTATCACGCTGGCTGTATGCTGCTTCTGCAGGACAGTCTCGTGAAACAGGGGTCGAAATTTGAATATGCCTCAGCTCGGGGGGAAGATATTGTAAGTTGAATCTAAATGTTCCTGGACTTTTTCTGACCTAACGACCCTCAGGGGGACGCAATTTGGCATGCCCGCGAATTAATGGGGATTTCTATTTCAAATCAGAGCCAGTGAGTTGAAACCACTTAGTATGTATGTTTTGAATTTTCAAGGACACTGGTTAATTTCGAGATCGACCATAAAGTGCCAATTGGGTAAACCAACTTCAACCGTTATTCATCGCCGGAACACTATTCGGAACCTCAGAACTGGTTGTTCAGGATTTTGAAACGTCTGTATCTCTAGTCGGTGAGCTCGACAGTCTAGAAAGCCCTGATTCAGATAAATTTTGCGCTGAAAAGATCATACTATTGAAGCATCTCGCCAAGATTGAGCGCGAGACAGGCTGGAAAACATCTGATCGGGCTGCTGAGCTGAGATCACTTTGGGGCTTTGCATAATCCAAATTATTAAGTCATTCAGTTTAGGTAGTCCGGAGTTTTCAAGCGCCAACCCCCAAGGACAGTGAATGAAGCTAGGGATATAATCGGACAGCTGGCAATGTACTTGGAAAAATAGACTGCCTTGTTTCAATTTCATGATTGAAGCACTGCCTAGTAGTATATAGAGCATCATGATGTTATCTACCATCCAGAACCTGGGTATGCCATCGACTCCTGTCCTAGAATCATTCCTGTTTCTTAGGTCCCAGCGAATTCCAACAAAATCAGCAAATTCCGGCGGGTCACAATGCGTATTCATGCCTTGATACCTATTAGGTAGTAGTTTGTGGGGGACACGCATCTTCAAGTAATCCGACTGAAAAAGATGAAGCAAATATCATAGGAGGGACTGCCTCTGGTTCTCAAGTTGCATTCTTCGTGACTGAGTTCCTTTTGAGGAACAGCCCGCGCAATTGAAAAAAAAAAAATCGTCTGGACCGAGAGACCAAGTCCCAATCTATTCACCCGTCGATTGTTGCTCGGCTTTTGAGATATTGCCGCATGTTTCATGGTAGGGATAGAATTTCACATATGGCGTTTGTGGAAAACACCATGCATTCATTATCAGCATAATAGAGCGTATACTGACCACGAATTGAAAGAGCCATATTATCTAGCTTCGTCGCGTTTAGAGAAGACATAAATGCGGCATGCACCTTATCTTCATATGACCTTTGCCATTCAATGGCCATTTCCTTTGCCGCTTGCTCCTTTTGAAAGACACTTTTCGATCTTCACGCAATTCATTAAGTTCGTAGAAAACCCTAGTTTGTGATCCAGCATCATCCTTCTTGACAATTAATTCATGTCCATAATGAGGGTCCGGTTTCTCCTCGTCGTCATACTCAAGAAGATAGGTCCTCGTCGAATTCTCCAATATCAAGATCGAGAGAATCGATTCCATCATGTTCCACCCACCATTCGTGACATAAGCGGTGAAACCAGTCCGGAAAGGGGCCTCTTCATCCCATTCGGGTTCTTCTTTTGTGCGCTTTCCTCGATTCATATTTCGATGGCGTGATTCACCGTCGCCCGGCGTTCGTGTAAGTGAGTTGTCGACCGAGAGGGCGGCCGAAAATTTATTCCAGTGACGCTTCCTGCCCTTAGGCATTCTCATGGCTTTTTTTGTTGCGTGCTCAAGTATTTGGAGAGTCAAGATATTAAAAAGACACCGCGTCGAACGATCACCTAGTTTGATTAGGCAATCTGTATTTTCGTCGACATGATCCGAAATGGAATAACCTTCTGTCTTTGTATGCATGGACTTTCGGAGTAGTTCATTACTACGAAGAAATTCAACTTTCAAAGGATGCAAATTTTTACTCCGTAGGTTTAATCAGGCAATGCAATAGTAAGATGCTAGCTTACGATTTCCGAACTTGGATCACTTGAGCTATTGGAAGAATGGGGATATTGTTAAATTATGTGATTCGATGGATGGATCACTCCAATTTGAGGCCAAATTTCCAAGACTACCTATATACTATGCATTAGTAGACATAGCGAAAATGCAAGAGTTCCTTGTCAGTCTTGTCCAAAAGAGCCGCATTCAGGTCCTCGATAGAATCTCCAATATTCCCTTGGTCCAAGCGATCCCGGCGCCTATTTTCCCAAATAAGATAGAAACGCAGAGCGATGGGAATACAAAAGGTGATTCCAAAGCATATCAGCATGGCGAGAAACCCCGATGGGTATGAAGGTGCTTCGTGATCGAAGAATAGATGCGGGCCGATGATATTTCCAGCGCAGTATCCGATGAAGATCTAGTAGTGTATTAGTTTTCCTGCCTCAGATCTTCCGATAAAATTTAAACTAAAAGAGGTTGTGCTTACCATCGCATTCACAGTCGTCTTCTTGGTGAAACCGCCAATATTACCCGTTGACATGGCTAGTGTTAAGGGAAAGTTCACAGAATAGGCATTCGCGAGACAGTAGCCGAAAAACCGAGCCCAGACGTTATTTGGGGATATTTGTCGAGCCATTGCGGCTCCGATTATTGAGAGGCCCGCATTCCACACCATCCACCATGTTCGGCTATTCTCGAACCAAGAACATCCTGCAGTGGAGAGGTAAACGAGAAGACCTTGGAACACATATGTTATAATCTGAACGAGTAATGTGTTCAGGGTACTGAAGCCGAAGCCTTCGATGATGATAGAGCCGAACTATTAATTGCATTGTTAGTTACCTTAATCGGCCCGCGTGAATACCGATTGTGACGCCTTACATTAGACACTCCGCCGTTGGGAATGGAGCATGTCAGTTGAATGAACACAAGTGCCCAGCATTTCAAGTCGAGCAGAGCCTCTATAAACTGTTGCATCTTGAACTCGTTGCTTTTTATGCCGGTCATGTTCTCTTGGACTCTGCGGATAGCCTTGTATCTGTCTTCCTCGCTGAGAAAGCGTGCATTTGTTGGCGTATCCGGAAGCCAATAGAAAAGAACAAAAGACCAGACAATTGTGATTGCCCCAAAGATGAGAAAGACAGCCTAGGATAATCATTCAGAGGGATTCCAATTTTGGAGAATCAAGTGAAAGTTCAAAGGTCGGTGTAAATAGAACTCTGCCTTCTTACCTTCCATGGAGCAATGCTTTCTACATGCCCGATGCCATATGCCAAGAGGCCACCAAATATTCCCGCAATTGTAATCCCCTGAAACCAAATGCCATGACGGAATGGCTGTTCGTCCCTCTTATACCACATAGAAACGACAATTCCCAGACCAGGTGCAATTGCAGCTTCAGTCGCACCTAAGAAGAATCGAACGGCGATGAGACCTTTGTCGTTGAATGCCGTTGCCATAAGCATCAGCACAACACCCCAGACAATACTAAAAGAGATAATCAGCACGCTGTTACACAACCCTGGAGAATGGATCGATTGGTTTCAACTTACATGGACGTGGAAATCATCTTGCCAACAGGGAAGTGAACCAACAGGAGAGCCGCAACGTATGATGCAGCCAAATAGCCAAAATAGTAAATGCTGCTCGCCCAAGAATAGTCTTCACCCTGAAGATTCAGATCATCCTGCAAGCCTAAAATAGCTGTGAAACTCATAGCGGATTTGTCTAGGAACTGGAACATGTAAGATACAGCCATGATTGGCATAAGACTGGATCTGTTGTCAGTAGTTGCGAGACAATACACTCATCCATGGATGGTACTTTGATACTACATACTAAAGATCGATACGACGTAAAAGTCGCTTATCTTCCTCCGGCGTAAGAGGGATACCAACATCGCGCTGGGCGGGATCCTTGATGGGCTCATCCTCGGTTTGTCCTTGGAGTTCAATAGCGTGTTTATCAACCATGGCGAGGAGATTTGTGGGGTCGGTGAACCCTGAGATGTTTGAATGGCGGTATAAGCACCGAACTTAGTTTCAACAAAAGATTTTGAAAAACCGTGGAAGGAATCGTATCCGGCACAAGGCTTGAACGCAAGACGCAATTTTATCGCAGAAGCTCCGACTAAAGACTCAAAAATAAATGCGTGAGATTCGCCTTTATACCCTTTCCCCGCAACCAAGCTTCGAACAAGACACGAGGGTAGCGTTACATGCCAAGCACCTAGCCTACAATGCACATCCTATGAGACGCTGGACGCCTTGTCAAAACAAACCGCCAAGCCCTTAGCAATGCAATTTCTTGCAAGGATAATGACAAAGATAAGGTGGTCCTTGGCGCGGTAAGGGCTCGGAGAAGATAAGAGTCACGCTGAAGATTTCCCATTTGCTATGTGAGGAGTTGATATGAATAGTATGCAGTGAAGAAAGAAAGAAGTATGACGTTCGAGTACTATTTGTCTTTTATGTAGATCTCAATAAAAATCGGTCATAAATTGGCAGGCAATTCCTCGCCAGCAACTCGACCAAAGCGGGCCGCTGTTAATCAAAATGCCCGCCGAAAAAAGGATTCAAAACGCCCCGGATGATCATCGAGATCTCCGAACCAGGCATGCATGTAGTCCGCACACCCAAACCGATCGCAATCGAGAGGGGGGGTTGTAAGTCTGTACAAGTATGCGCTTTAAACTTTCAGAGGGCCCACCAGATTCCCCACATTGCGGAAAGCAGATAGACGCTACCCCAAACTCCAGCCCTTGAGGCTACACTCAGGTAGTACGCAGCGCCCAGGTAACTGCAAGTAACCAGACCTCTTGAATCGCGATAACCATAGGACTCATTCATATATTTCCCCTCCGGACACGCGAACCCAAGAGCCGCGGGACAATTCCGCACGAGATCATGGCAGATGTCCTGGCACGGTAGAACCTCTTTGTAAGGCCCCGGCTTGATCTTCTCGTCGATCAATGCGTTGCGCGAATTATTCGTTGACACCGACTTCCGATAAGGGCTATCGGCTGGTAATGAAGTACCATTGATGAAGGCCTGTCCGGCATTGCGAACCTTGAGGTAGGAAGCGTCATTGCTGAAATCCTCGCACCGTGGGATGGTGACGCTGCAAAGCCATTGTTTATATGACTTGGCACATTTATCGCAATCCGTGGCCATGGAGAACATTGATTCTTGGGAGGTGTTGCATTGAATCTGCTGGAGAGACTTTTGGAAATTTCCCCAGTATTTGTAGGCGTAATCATCGTAGATGTCTCTCAAGGCACTGACGTTCATGCTTGGACGGGACGGGACGGCGTATGCGACTTCGTCACAGAAGCTGAGGTTGAATAAGACCGCACAGTTGTCATCTAGGGAGGTTAGGATAGCACGAGGAAAGACAGAGTCGCGGATATTGTGTGATATACGAACCTATCTTGGTCGTGAAATTCATAGCGGCGTAAACTTGACCTCCACCGCCGACGACGCCTGTGCCCGATTTGGTACCATTGCCATCCATTGCTAGGATTCCGTTATAGATAGAGTTAGAAGACAGGCCGTCGAGATAGAACTGTTCCTTGGGAAAGTTTCCAAGGCCTCGGCTTGTCATGCCAACCTCGGTCGAGTTGCTGATGCGGCCGACTTGCGACAGATCGTTCAATGCACAGTATGATCTTTCCAATCCGACAAGTGCAGTATTGTCAGTTTTGTGAGCGAACAGAATGAATGGCGGCTTGATGTTCATCCACTGTTGATAATTCGTACTGCTTTTGTTGGACTCCGTTAGATTGTTCGTTACCAGAAGTGCGGTAGACTGGTCGGCATCGACGAAGAGTAGATTATTGTCCACTTGAACAGAATGAAATAATTCATCAACCGAGGCTGCAAGCTGATAGGAGTACTTTCCAGACCATTGCGATGAGTTAGATGCTGATACCGCGAGGTAGATGTCGCTTTCTGTGTATAGAGTTGTGTTGAGATAACCCCCGACTGCGGCGATGGGATCGTTCGAGTTATTTTTTTCCCGGACCCGGCTCTGTCAGACTGTCTGAAAGTGAATACCAGAGCTGCAGCTGGGGGAATGATCCAGGGTCGCTTGTCCCATTTGAATCGGGTTTGCCGCATGTCGTGAGAGACAGGAAAATAGGATTTGTGTCACGTTTCCGAAGCTCTTGATGCGCCGGGATAGAAGATTCCTCGTAGCCCCGAGAATTGATAAAAGCGGGCAGTCCTTTTCCCTTGTATGATGATTGCAAATTGACCACCTCCTTGGTAATGTAATAGTACTGAACCTCTCCAACCGATATCTCGACATTTTGGAGTTCATTGTTGCCGAGAGCTTTGGCATTGGTCGGATATTTGCGTCTAAACAAGTCCAACTCGCCATCCTCCGCGGCATTATCACGGACCTCAAGTCCGCTGAAAGAACCCAATGCGACCGGGAAGCCAGTTCCGTCGTCGATGGCTTGTTCGCCTAGGCTGGGCTGGCTCGCCACTTCGGGGCCATGGCTGCGACTTTCCGCAGCATTGGCGAGAGATACACCGTCAAATGCAAGGAGGAAGACGGCGATCGTTGCAGTCAAACAGTACTGCAATAGTGTGGATTGGGGTCGCATGGAAGATCGGTATGGGGGGCGGTCGCGACGAGGATCATGGATATTGGGTCGGAGATGGTCGAAATCGAGGATCAAGGACGGGCAGCGGTATTACACACCAGCTGGAGACCTTTTCCTGGGAGCAGAATCATCGACGGCATGTAGTCGGCCAGAGAGTTATTTGAGGGGAGGTTGTGGAAGGTGAGAGATGAAAGGTGGCTATCGCGGGAAATTCGGCCTTATCAATTGTTGCTGCCTTACTGCCTTGGCGGGACGCGTTGGCTGGTCCCGAAGTAGTAAGTATAAGTATAGTAAGTAATACTTCATATCACTGGTTGATAGTTGACTTGAGCGTAGGAAGATTACTTCTGTACTCTTTGGCTAGGAAATCTGAGCTCCTAACAGCATACCCAATCAAATCAATCACCTTGTTATGAATAACCATACAACTCGAGAGTCATTGGAGGAAAGTGTAGATTCGAAACTAAAAATTAGGTCGTTCCTAGATGAAGTCTACAAAAATCTTCTGCTCAGAAATAGGAGGGCCGACTTGAATTTGACAAAAAGTCTTTGAGATATTACTAGTACTAGTGCAAAATGGGAAATTCTAGCCTGTAGTCTGCGCAAATAAGAGGCACACAAACACCATCTCTCAAAGGATTCTTGTCTCGACATTGGATTTGACGGCTTTGGCACGTACGAACTGTAGGCATGTACCCCATCGCTCAGGTGGAAAGATCCAGCCACTTCGCCAGACTCGATATCAACGATTGAGGCACCACAAATGACATCGAATATAGGCTTACTCTCGTTACCGAAAACACGATACATGATTCCGGTGTTCCCTATGTGAAATGGATTTCGGGTGACAAATCGGGCCGTGGGCGCATTGTACGACATATCTCCTTCGTCAAACTGAACAATCAATCCCGAGGTCATTCCATCCACTTCGCTCCACGACCTGGCGGATACTTGGAAGCCTTCTAGGAGATGGATTGTGGGAGCGGCTTGGAAGTAGCAGGAGTTGGTAAAACTGGCCGAGGCGTTGAAAATCTCTGTTTGGTATTTTCGAAGCCGGTCCGGGAGCTGGGGACCTTCTTGTTGACAGCCTTACTCTCTTCAGTGCTGACTCGGTGTGGAGGCGGTGGAACTAAGAGGGTTGAGGCAAAGGTCGCAGAAAATCTGATAACAAGGAGATCAGGATCTTAAATTCCTGCCTGGCAAGCAAAAGTTTGAAAATCGTGGAAACCCCAAGACTCAAGAGCTACTCGAATCTCTGCTTGAGGAGCGACAATCTTGATCCCTAGACTGGCCCTGATATCGAAATAGAGAGTTCATACTCTAAGTTCCAGCTATTGGTCACTGTTGCGGCAAAACTTGCATACCCTGAGTAGATGAAAGTTCGGAGTGTATCTTTTCCAGAACTTCGTCGTGACCCAAAAATAAGACACTCTAACTGGAACTCTTGAAGAAACAGGGCGGGTGTCAAGAAAGCTGTGATAATCCAGCCGAACAAGCATCTTCCAAGTTCATTATCCAACTTGAAGTCTCTGACGTAGTCATCCATGACCCCAGCTATATAACCGATTGACGCATCCGACCAACATCTCCAAGTTGAAGCAGACGGTGAAGTTGAATCTAAACTTCCTGCACATCTCCTTGTAACAGCGGGTCCAAACGAAGCCAGACTGTTCGGGGCTGGGCTGACGTCGAAATGGGTACGCCGCCCGCCAAATCAGCTGCTTGTGTATCCCGAAGCGTTCGATGCGCTCATTCGACCACTGGACGTCCAGCATTCACGTTAATACATGCGTATGAAGCCGTGAGAAGCTTCCGTTGAGCAACTGCGGCGAAAACTTCGAAGCGGCGTTCAAGTACTTCGTACCATCTGGTCAATGGGGCTTCTTGATTTCAGTGTCATCGCTGATGTGAACATCACGCTTCTCATAGTCGATACTGGTAGCTTCGGTTTCGAAAATTGAAGTATGAGCGGATCGACTTAGTAGAGTGCGATGCCAGGACACGAGCTCCAGTTTTTCCATCCATATGCTTTGACATCGTTTTCACAGGGAGAGCTCGTATCGCAACTTGAAAAGGCCGGTTTCAGTGCCGACAGAGCTCAACGCACAGTCGATGGATCGATCTACTAATGCAACAGAAGTGTTGAGTCGAACGCTGGCAAGCGATAGGAAAGACGTTGAGTTGTCACGGCAGCGACATACTGTCGGGTAGGAGCGTCCTATGTTTACATCACATGTTAAACAACAATAAAGCTCCCGGTTTGTATTAGTATGATTCGATCAGAGTCGCTATTTATTTAAACTGCGTCTCCAACATATCATGGAGCAGCTCGTTGTATATAACATCTGGGCACGGGTAGAAGTAGTAGAGTGGAAGCGAGGGCAGGCAGGTCACGTACTAGTACTAGTATACTGGTGGCATTTAAATATTTCGGCCCGGGCGCCAGGAAACTGACCCGAAAGACTGCTCTGGACCTAAGAACCAGTCTCTGATTCCTGCCTGTCAAGCTTGAAGGTTTAAGTATCTTTTGAATTTGATATGTACCAATGATAACGGCAGCTGCTACTAAAGGAGATGGAAGAATTCTCAAAGATGTGTGGATTCTGAGACAAAGGAGGGAGGCTGATGTAGGCGATCTTGACAAACCTGAGGCATCAACGGCTCCTGCCGGCCTCAACAACAAAACTGGAAGATGATGTGTAATCTAAATGTGGCCGCCATAAACCTCATCCTTGCTTAAGTATTTCACTTTTCCATCTATCCCAAACCCAGCAAGCTTAGGTTCTTCGGTTTCTCTCCCATGTAAACGTCCCCCCTATATCCATTTCGGCCCAGGATGGGCTATCCAGCTCCCCGAATCTCACCTTCAATTTTTTCAACTCAGAGGACCAATTATCCTCGCTACCCAAGCAACAGGATCTTGCTACCCTATCAACTTCTTCACACCCTCTCGTTGTTGTAAGAACTTGCAAAAATCCTCCATCTGCTGCTACCACTCCATTCCGATTCAATGCCCACGCGCCTAGTAATAATACACCCAGTGCAGATACTAGCATTGTCGTGTATGGGAGTATGAGATTGAGCGGCCGTGAGAGCGTGTACACATTCACTGTCGTTGTGCGGTTTTGGTCTACCTTCGTGTACCAGCGCTTGTAAAATGGAATGGCGGATATAGTAATGTTTGCAAGTATATTGTTCAGAGCGGTGGCGTTGATTGTCAAGATTGGGTCCGTTGACGGGCAAGTATCGTATAATTCTCCGTAGGAGACAGCTTTGGAAGTGGAAGAGAAATATCGTCCAATGGTGAAAAGGGTCTCCTGGGTAGTATCATCTATCATGTGACACCATTATGGTTAGTACAATTATGCATCGATAGAAGAGGAGTGTGGTAAACTCTACTGAGGTAACTGATATAATCGTCTCCGGAGCTGCACGCATCGAAGTACTGGTAGTCTTGGCTAGTGTTATTGAGGCGAAATTCGTGGTCTTCGGCATAAACAATAGCATTCAATGTCTCTTTGAGCTTGCCGGCCATTGCAAATATGATGGTGGCTAGGTTGGCATCTTCCCAAAATGTTAAGGCCGTTGAGTTCAATTCCCCCGGGTTATAGTAATATCCCAAGTCCCCAGGGCGTGTCGTATGCTCACCGGCGACTGAGACTAGCGAGCGAACCGACTTGGGGTTTGTTGATACAGAAATATGTCGAATGTTGTCACGATACATTATCTGAACTGTATAGTCAATCTTTGATTGTATACAATCCAGGCAGGTCTCAATGACATCAACCTTATATCGCCGGTCTGATAATTCGGATCCATTATCACTAGTATAGGTACGAAGCACTTGAATGGCTGGACTACTTCTCGGTCTAGCAGTCGTAAAATAGTGATGCGATTGTGATCGGGAATTGAAATCCTTGATAAGCCCAGTCATCGAAGAGCTGTTGTATAGCATAAAGTTGACTGCGCCCGGAATGGATCCGGAAGGCTCAGTTCGATCCTGCTGAATTCTCCTGAAAGCATCTCGGCTTTCGCACTGGAGGTAAGGGCCAGTAAATCTCATTGTATAGGTGCAATTCAGCCCACATGGTGATGGCATATCCCATACCGCACCAGAGTTAAGAATGCGACTGGTGAGGTATTTGATATCAGCCGGCATCTCAGGCGTTATCTCCGGGCTTTTTCCAAAGCAGACACTTGTGCCAAGTATGCTGGTACCAAACCTGGTATATTTATCGTTTGCCGTTTCGTTATTACCAAAGGGTGTCATTCCGTAACAGACATTTATCATACTTTCGTTGCCGGGTGTATACTGAATAGATATTGGCGCAATTCTGTGCGTATCAATTGCGGCATAGGATTGATTTCCAAACTTCAACTTTCATGTTAGATATCAATCATACTTTGTGACTTATGTATGTTAAGATTCAGCTCTGGGGCACATACGTCAGTCGCATTGAATGTAGGAACGACTACATCCTTTAATATCTCTTCATGAAGCGACGAAATCACAGTGAGAGACCCAGGCGGAAAGCTCATAGCGATAGGAATTGACCACAATATTATTGTAGTCAGAGCCAGTGGCCACGAATTCCAAATACCACATGCACTGAAAAAGGATAGAGGGTTTGACCGCATAGTAAACAGAGCTTCAATTTTGGATAATTCCAGCGTGTTCAAACGGAGGATTCGCCAGAGATACTGTGTAAAGGAAGCATTCAAGCTTGCTCGCAGAGATAGTCCGAAAATACTGACTAGTATCATCGACCCGGTTGTCACATAGGACTGTCGGAAAATTGCGGATGGGCCTTCGGTAGGCTTGCCGTTCAGATAGTAGAATAGGCTTCCGTGGATGGCGGCAATGGTGAATGCTGTACTATATTAAAGATGTGCCCATGGAAATAATTCCTGCTAAAGATATACCTAGCAAGTATGAAGTGACCATATAAGTCGGTGTCTGCCAGCCGATAGCCCATCGACATGGCGAGACTTTGTCGGGGATCGCACTGGTCATTCTTTCTGTATATCACAGTAAAATAGTCACCAATATTACTAGTAGTATTTTGCGTTGCGGAATATCTTGCTGGGGACCACTGAGGTTATTTTGTTGTCAAATCGCTGCTGCGGCTGAATTATATGAAATCTCTGCTTGTGGTACCTAGGTAGTAGACCCCTTGTGGCAGTCTCAGTGGTCTAATTAGAGCCACGTTCAAGGTCTTGGGGACTTTGGCTATTAAACCCAAAAAATTGCCTTCGGTTATTTTGAATTTTTCATGAAATTGAACATGTACAATAGATCGTAATGCAAGGCCAATGTATCATATATCACTCCCCTGTGATGCGTGCCTAAATAAAATATTAGCTTATGCCCAGGTTGGCATGGCACATTTATTAGCACTTTTTGGAGAAGGCGTCCATTGAATTAGGCAGTGCAACAGGACTCGGACCTCGGGAGGGAATACTGACCAATTAGACCTCGGGAGGATATTTATTATATTACATTCAAAATCATGGACTAGGCCAAACTGAAGTATTCAGTGTAACTCTAGTGCCTAATCTCATCTCACTTCAAGTTCAGCCATTGAGTAAGCACCAGGGATGGTATTAGTTAAGAAAAACGTATTGACCAGAAGGGACCCAGGATACGACTTTCAGAAAAAAAAACATTACTATGTCGACTCATCGGTAATACTAGAGCTCGGCATAAGATAATCCCCACGACAAGCAATGTTATACCTTGGTATATGTGACGATTTGAGAAGTTTGAGACTCGCAAATATGATAGGCTATCATTGTCCCAATTCCCTAGGGGGAAAAAGAAATATTCAAATAGCCCTCCTTTTTGGTCAATCATTTGGTATGGCGCTGCAGTTCTGATGGGGAGAAGACCGAACTCGGTCATTTTCTAACAAGGAAAGGACTCGAAGGAGAGAGAGAGAAAATCAGCCTACCAGTTAGTTTCATGACATGGAATCGGTCATCATGGGGAAATGTAGCATTGTATGGAAAATGATATCAGTTTGCTCAATTTAGAATACCTCAGGAAAACTATTTAACAAAAGATTACGATGACAAAGCATGTTAATCAGCAATGCCAGGTAATTGGATGGTGAAATCGAATAGTAAGGTTACGCTCAGTCGCGATAGAACACAAGTATGTGTATTTCTCATGGAAGCCGATTTCGAATCCCTGTTTAAGCGTGAGAACGAGCAACTAATACTACTGAGCAAACGGCGAAACTGTAGCAGCATCCTAGGATGCCTGAGGCGGCGCATACCAGCCTCAACAGGTCATGATACGGATGGCATGAGACAGCGTCCTGTTCTCGTCGATATTTATCCTTTGGATATTAATTTCGGTGCTACCTTCTAATATTGCCATCGGTAACTAAGCGAGCGAATATCCGGCAGATAATACTCAAATCGAAGGGACTGACTGTATTCGACATATCGAAACCTACATATTACCAACCTTGGAATCCATGGGCTGTATACAACGTGAAGACCAGGAATAAAGTTCACTATCGCCATCCAAAAGACCAATATCCGCACCTGGCCAGAGCAGCACCCCAAGTTCATCTTTTAACCTCTGTGCCATTTCAGTTGAGAGCCACATGTATGTCTCCACCATTCCCGCACTCGCTAGCCCGCCTCCATATGTACCTGGAGTTTCTTCGAATTCATTTGCACCGGGATATTGCCCATACCCGAGTTCCATGTCATAGTAGCTGACAGTGTGACCGGTGACAGAATCTCTAGGCTCCAGATCAGTCTGTAAGCCTGGTGCAATGCGATCAAAGTCCTTGAAGTCGTGAAAGTCCGGGGGGGGTTATATCGTGCTCCTTTATGATTTCCTCAAGGTATTGGAGGTAGAATGGATTTTCACTTCGCCTGGCAGCCACATACAATGATTTGGTGTAGGGGGGGCTTCAAACTCCGGAACATTCCTTCGTAATCACACATTATAAACGTGATCGCAATTTGGTGTCCCATAGATGGACACTTTCGAACCAGATCACCTAAAGTTGTCGCAGAGGGCTTCACGGGCAGCCATATAACCCACGGGAGGCAGTCCGAGTCATCGTCGATACCAGAGATATCATTGTTCATTATCATGCGGGCATTAATCGCAGTGCGAATCTCTCTGCACTCCCGTTTATTGCCTTGGCTGAGCAGTTTACCTGGGAGAATAGCCCGTCCAGGGTTTGTTTCTAGCTGATAGGCCCACCATCTGGCGAAGGTTGTACTGTGATAAATGCCACGAAGAATACAATTGTATTCAATTTTGGTTCTTAGCCTGCGTGGGTGCATTAGTCGACTGTATCGATCCACATTACCCTCCCACGCAGCCATCTGTGTCTGGAGACGCTTTTCGAGAACTGGGAGATCAGGCGGAAGAGGCATCCACAATTGATCGGACTGGCCTGGGCCCAGTTTCGCGTAGTCCTCGCTAATATCCTCCAAGCTGATATCTTGTAAGCCGATAAATCCATCTTCCTCGATGTCAATATCATCAGCAGTCGTTTCTGGTAAATTTTTACCAGGGTCAACTCGCTGCCCCTTCAGGCCTACCAAAGCCCATTGGGGCTTCACTCGCTGCCCCAAAGCCCATCGGGGCTTCATATCTCCATTCAGAAACGCAGGTGTTCGTGGGGTTTCAAGATGAACGGTTCGAGAGAAATCTTCCATGACAACATATCGTTGGGGGGCGGACATGATAATTTTGTAGATTGCGGCATCTTTGTCAGCTTCGCGGGATTCTTCCGCAATAGAAACATCAGGCAAAAGGTCCAGTTCTTTGTAAAGATCTGTATAGCATGCTACAGCACACGCTCGGCCTACTTGATACCGCAAAGACGGATACTGACGGGCAACTTCGCGATATGTTTCTTCTGATGCAAGCTCGGGATACCATATACAGTACGGCTGGGTGGCAGGATTTTGCATGTCAGGGATTATATCACTCATTATCAGGCGAGCATTGCGGGCGCGGGAAAATCGATGGGCCTGATCATCGTCGCCGGAGCATAGCTCAATAATTGCCGGGCTTGTTGCAAATTGAAGTGAATCACGAATTCCACGAATGACTGCTCTGCGATGCCAAAAGGAGCTTAGATCGACGGGGATATCCTCCCCCTTTATCGCCCAAGCACATTGATCGGGATCGCATGCAGGTATAGGTTTGCCGGAAGAGTCAAATGCCTGCCTTTTCGGTAAAACGATATTGTATTGGCTCATAAGGCTGGGACCGGAATGTTCGGTAGCCGCCATTAGGAAATAGTATGGGCAGTGGTGCCAGGAGGGGTGCTGGTGCTGCGTGCAGTGACAAGTGGGGGAAATGAAGTTCAGTGTTGAGGGAAAGGAAGGGGGGGAAGTCAACTTTTATTCTATTTTTTCTTCTCATTTGAAGTTTCCACTCAGCCTTGACATTCATTTGCCCCTCCTAGGCTGGTGCAGTGGTGCCCCACCACATGCGACGGGAACCTTTGGAACTTACAAGCTCATACACAGACTGGGCTGTATATGTATTATGAACCCGTGGACAAGCTAAGTACGTCGCACTGATTCTTATTCGAAACTATTACTAGCAATACCATTCCAAACCCCGAATCCTTTCGAAATTTTTTCAAAATTAAATTCTCCCAAAACAATTTTTTTTTTTTAAAAAAAAAATGGCTACTCTCGATAGATGCCCCTGACTCCAAACAGAAATCGCGGTTTCCAGAGAGTGAGATTCCATGCTGGCCATCACTACAGATTTTGGATAATATTTAATGAAATGTTCACAATAGCTTCAAAATTATACTCATCTGCACCTCTTGGGTCTTAATAACTCAGGTATCATAAGGAAGGGACTAAAAGGGCAGTTGAATAATCTGCTACTATAGCCACTCTTAAGTCTTAGACAATCTGATTCCCTAGTATATACCATTGTAATAGTGATCAAGGTACTAGATAAATATAAGGGAGATAATGATAACTGGCTTATACTCTACCTTCTGCTATAACAAATACTTTATATATACGAGTGTTTCTAACTATTGGACCTAAACTGCTAGTTTTTCTAGGCTTCTTCAAGATCATAATTTAAGACTATAAGGACATTATTCTGTATAAAACCCTAGAGGAGATGATTAAGTATAATGTATCACTATTCCTATATTAGCGGCTATCAGAAATAAGGAGTGACTTCTCTCTTTCTGATAACTGGTTGTAACAGCAAGAGCCTGCGATCACGTGCTATTCAAATATTTCAAAAGGACCATCAATATTGAAGCTCTTGCTTTGATATTCGTAGGTACCACTATATATAATAAGGTAGGTATGAATAAGCTTCTTTGTAATGGCCTATCCTGTTACGCTGGTCTAGGGAGAAAGAATTAGAGGAACTAGCAGGATTGTCTATTTCACTATTTATTTTTACTGCCACTCTCTGTTGTATATTCAAGGACACTAATTAGGACCTAATTTTAACGGGGAAAACCTCAGATCATGTTGAGATAGGTTAGATCCGATATGAATTAGTAGTATTGATCACAGAGCATACTATTCTGATTTCCCTACTTTGTAAGAGATAGGAATCAGGCTTGAAGGGGATATGAAATCTTTGTGATATAGAATTCTTAAGGTTCTTTGAGATTTAGTTTTGATTCGATACTGATTTGATATCGAATATACCGTCTACTTTTGCCGTGCCATTCTTGCCTTGCATAGTCGACATCTTAACTGATATAATCTACCTAGATAGTTCTCCTGGATTAGGTATATATTAACAGAATAAAGAATACTCCTAGAAGTACTAAATCTTGATTGGTTCAACTGTTCATCGAAATAAAATTAATCAGGTATATTCTATTTGCAAAAAGAAAAATCACCAGTCAGTGGCAACGCTAATTCTTATACAGCGGTCAAGCTAGTGTATTATGTTTTAACAAGGTCACTTACTCAGGCCACCTAAGTTGGAAAAGCTTAGTAAGTAACCTTAGGTCAGGCTCAGTGAGTGACCAGTCAGTTTGATTACATAATGATCACTCATCAGCTCTCAGGCCGGTCAGGGGCGTGCTCAATTCTACTCAGTGAGTAAGGCGGAAGGGAAAGCCAAGAGTTGCCATACATTATCCTAGAGCTGTTAACGATACGATATCGGCACTGTTTTCCCATATCGTCAATCGGCATCGTCAACTTCGAAGTCTGCCGATATCGTATCGGCAATCGCGATCGACAGTTTAAGAAATTGTCGATACGATATCGGCAAATTATATTATCGTCGGCGATATATCGCCACCGGTAATTGGACAATAAGAGAATATTTCCTGGTCCTAGATATAGAAGACTTTGCTATAAAGAGAATGTTAGCTTAGATACTCGTTAATTAGGGCAATTCGCTCCCGTTATGTAGTCCTACGTCGTGTTGTTGCCGTGCTATGTGGCTGGATATTTATATATTTTACGTTGCTCTGCCGTCATATCAACTAACTCTGTATCTGCAAAGTATATATCTAATCCTTTGTAAGTTGCTTCCATTCCTCTGCGCATACATATACATATATATATCTATGTTATAGGCTTCTCCGTCCCAGCATACCATCATATTACCTGTTCTATTCTATGGCTACGCTTTGCTTCTTCCATTATGCTATATGGCAGATTATCCAGAGGTCATAAGGGTTCAATCCTATTTTATGGTTCACCTCTATTTAGACGCGACGCGTCTGAAAGACTGGGACGCGTACCCCGACCTCTTCTTGGTTGACAGTGACCTGCTCTTCCAGACACTAACCAGCTCTATACATGACTCTTCAACCCTGGTTCTACTGAACCACTGGGCCCATATCAACAGCGAGCTGCGATCAGCAAGTCGTATTCATCCGCACTGCGCCAGTGGGCTGGTGTATCCAACACAAAATGCGTACGCGGCAGAAACGCCTCAACTACCGAGTTCTGAATGATGAGAGCGATGAAGAGTCTTTGCCTGAGGATCAAATTGACCAATCAAGCGAATCAAGCGAGCCACCGAGCAATCTCCCACGTACTCTCCCAACCTGTTAAAAAGATGTGGCAATCCTCTCCAACATACCAGATTGTGAGCTCCTACCTTCTGAGTCTGTGTCACAAGTGCTAGTATCGCAAGAGAGCCCAACAGATGCTGGTACTTCAATCACAAGCCACATATCCTCTTAATGGTGCAAACGACCAGCGCCGGCTACAGAGTGGATCTGGGGGTACTTCGAGACTACAGCTGTTGATTGTCCATAGGTTATCAAGAGGACCAACAAAAGACGGCTGGTCGACCGAAAGATTTGCTGTATCCATGTAGATAAAAAAACGGGAATACGCTGTGACTGGCATACGTCGGATTCCTAAAGGCAAAACACAACCAGCAATATGAAGATGTACTTGGCAAAGCATGGCATTTATTGCCCGACCTCCACTATACCGCCAGGGAAGAAAGGACCTGACATTCGGATTTTTATGGGTGGTAAACAGAGTCTTACTCATCAAGAGGTCTTGGAAATGAATGCCATTCGCTGGATTGTGACTGATATAAAAGCCTTCACTACTGTTGAGTCTCCAGAGTTTTAGCAGATGTTCCGAGATATTCCTGGGATTGAGCCTCCATTCACTTCTCGCCACACCTTGCGGGATTGAATCATGCAAGAGTTTGTCATATAGTGTACCAACCTGAAAAGTGAGCTGGCTTTGACTTGCAAAACCATTGCCTTATTACTGGACATCTGGACAAGCCAGAATAATCTTCCTATTTTAGGGATAATTGGTTATTGGCTGACTGGTGAATTTGAGTACTGCGAGAGATTACTCGAGTTCACTGAGCTCTAAGGTATTTATAGTGGCGAAAATCTGGCGATTGCAGTGGAAAATATGCTTATTGAGTTGAGTCTCGAGGATAAGCTTATTTCTATTACAGGCGACAACGCCAGTAATAATGAGTCTATGGCATCTGAGTTATACTTCTCTCTTTCTGACCGACCTAGGGTGGAAGACACTATGCCAGCACCACTCGATCGAGGTCTTGACAGCTATATCCGCTGCCTGGCTCATGTCCTCAATCTGATTGTGAAAGATATACTCCGTAAATTGGGGTCGGGGACGATGGAACAAGCGTAAGTTGCCTGTGACTGTTTGCGGACTAGTAATTTGATTACAGATCACTCAGCAATAGGGAGATTACGAGTCCTCGCTCTTTGGATTAACAGAAGTCCTCAGTGCCGACAGAAATGGAAGGAGATTTGTAGACTCAATAATCTTCCCGACAAATTTGTTGTATACGATGTTATGACACGATGGAACTCGACATTTCGCATGATCGATGATGGCTTAAAGTCAAGACAATAAGTCAACAAGTTCCTGAGCCTTCAGGAGGAGCTCCTACCTTTCACTCTCCAAGATTGGTCACGGCTGGAACAGATCTACAAAGTACTCCACAAGTTTAATGAGCTTACTTTGTTCATTTCGAAACGCAATCCACAAATCAGCCTTGCAGTTCCGATCTACTATGAGCTACACGAATTGCTTGATGACGTGACGGAGGGCAATGGTGACTTCACAACACTGGATTGAGATATCATAGCTGCAGTGAAAGAAGGAATGAAGAAATACAAAAAGTACTATTCTATTATGGATGACTGTGATACCTATTACACTGCCTTGTCTTGGATCCCCGAGTCAAAGGTGAAATGGTCTTACGGGAACTTTAAGATAGCAATGCCGGGACAATGATTCTGGAGACGATCCGCACCAATCTATATCAGGTCTACACAGCTAGTAAACCGGAGTATGATGCCGCTGTATCAAGATTGTCTTCCTTGCAGCATAGTGATGTGGAGTCTAGAATGCTGAAGAAGTTGCAGGCACGAGACCCACCGCTCTCAGATATTGATAAGTACTTTGACACCCCTCTGATCAGCGTCGCAGATACTACTGGCCAGAACTGGCTCTGCAATTGGTGGAAGATGCACAAGGGCGAGTATCCGCGGATGGCAGCAGCAGCCAGGGACTATCTAGCGATTCCAGCCTCTGAAGTTGCTGTTGAGAGAGTGTTTAGTATAGCGAGGGATGTGCTAGGCATCCGGAGATATTCTTTGAAAGGGGATACCATTAGAATGCTGATGTTGATTCGCGATGGGTATAAGTGGTAGCGGCCAGGGGTGGAGGTTGGTTAAATTAATATTCCGGTTCTGCATTCATAAACTGTCAAATAAAATTGCGTTCGCTCTTTAGATGATTCTAAAAGAGAATTGTGCCGATGCCGATACGATATCACGATATCGTGAGTGGCGATATCGTCAAGTTTGAAGCCTACCGATATCGTACCGGCAATCGGCATCGGCAAATTCAAAAGCAGCCGATATCGTATCGCCTGTCGATATCGTATCGTCAATATCGGTATATCGGCAATATCGTCAACAGCCCTACATTATCCGGTTTATGCAAAAGGAGGCCTTGCAGATTCATTATTTGTATTTATACTGATTAGTGAGTCATGTTTGGTATCCTGGTGACGTTAGATGAGGCTGAACCCGCCAACCCAAGCCCCTGGGAACTAGCCGCAGCCGTCATAGCGCGTCAGGCAACCCAATCTCCAGAATTTACCGAGTATCCATGCTCCGTTGGGATTTGCAGGCAACTGCAGACTAGCAGCAGGGCAAGATCCGATGAAGGCAATTTCATTCAGATGCCTTGCTCAACGAGATCTTTGTTTCAGGATACACCGCCAAATCTGGACCATATAAAAAGCTTCCAAGATAAACCTGGGCAGTCAAGCCTCAAAATTCAATTTTTGTTTTTGTTTCATTTAGAGATGCTATCAGTTTTACTGGAAATACCTTGTGAGATCCTTATTCTCATTATCGAATACGTTCTACAAGACCAACTGCTTCCGCCACTCAAGCCATGTGAGACCAACCGAGTCGTATTCCAAGATATGCGCAGTCACGCATGGCAAGGCGGCTCTGGAAAGATATACCATGAACAGCATTATACACACGGGCTTTCAGGTCGTCTACCCCTGCTTTTGACGAATCGTCATCTTTCCACTATTACAAAGTGGGTCTGGGAGCGGCTTGATAGGGACCACGTCCTAGACATTGCTCTTCGCGATGATTCAGACCTTTTCCCGACCTGGTTATGCATTCCAGCGTCAATGAAACGGATCAATGTGCTAAAAGTAGACATTCGTCTATTTGGCCATATCATTTCTCCGGAAGGCGCAAGGAGACAAACCATGCGCGATAAATCAGTGGGATTTCATTGGAGGTTTTACAGACTTCTAGAAAGGTTCCTGCGTTATGGTCCTGTTTGTGATCTAGGAGCCCCTGAAGTGCAATCTGACAACACAACCTTTTCATCTATTTCCTTTCCGAAAACTTATCTGAAAGCGACTTTCGAGGATCGCGATATCACTGTACAAACACTCCTCATTGATGTTACGTCTGCGGCCACAGAATTTCAATTTCCACCAGACGACCCTGACAATACATGGAATTTGAGATGGTTTCATCAACATAAGGGCGAGATTTATGATGGACTGGATGGTTACGCGACACGGCCTGAGTGGGTGGCGGGAAAGCTTGCCAGGGAGCTTTCCCAAATTCTTCAAATGACCAACCAGGAAGCTCAGCATGGACAGATTATATATGAACGCGTTAGAAGGATTCATATTCTTGTCAATGGTGGAGTGAGGTGGGAGTTCGATCTTTCAAAGAAGCTTCGCGAGATGCACTTTGAGAACCCTGGCGAAACATTTGGGAATCTAGAAACGCGGGACAGGATTGGATTTTTAAGGGGATGGAAAGAGGATACAATCCAACGATGGCAGAGCTTGGGATTCTCGGATTAGTGAAAGCAAGGACCAATATGGTCGAGAATAGTTTCAGGTGTGACCAGCGGCCATCCGTCCACAAATTCCATCGGTGCCGGAGGCCAAAGGGCCCCCCCGGGCTTCAGGCGCCACTGCGACGCCTAAGCATAGGTACACCACGGTCCCAACCTTGGGAGGGTAAAACTTCTAAACCCCTGCGCGAATAAACACACACACTCGGCATAGAGACAGCGAAGGATGCCAATGCATGAGAACCATACTCTATAATAAGCCCTATCCCCTTCCCGGTACTGGGCTTGTACCTAGCGAAACCTTCCCCCGCCGTGGTCATACCCCCCCAATTGGCCAGCAAATAACGGGCATTTGATGCTACTTGGTTCGAAGGAGCGGCATCGTGTAAAAGCTTGAAGATAGAATTGTTGTAATAGTCGGCTGTAGTGCACAAAACCATGGAATCGATACGATTGGCCACGGTTGCGGCCGCGGTAGGTGAGTTTTTAAGCGATAGCTTATGAGAAGAAGATAGAGGGGAGGGATGGTGAGGGAAGAAGGTCGAAGAGAGGGAAGAATGGTGAGGTGAGTCCGGACAGACTTAATTAAACACAATCACACCCGTAAATTTGTGAATGTATTGTGCGTAGGCTGAACGGAAGATGGAGAGTGTGTAGAGAGTTGTATTGGGTGAGCTATATAATAGAGGGATCAGAACAATTACTAGGCTGAATGTATGCTAGTAGCAGAATACCAGAGATTAGGCTAGAAATAGTTAGTACATATCAGGTAACTTCTCACAAAATATGTGGGAAGATACATAGCAATTACACAGATTTCCCGCCCCTAAGCTGCATGTTTCAAATTAGGCCTTCGCCGCTTCTGACAACATGTATGATGAAGTGAAGAATTGTAGTATAATACGCGCGACTGAAACTAGACTAGTGGACTTAATTTTATACATATCAACTAGTAGACGCTCTTATAAATCATCAAGCTCTAAAAAGCTAGGAAAGCAAAATTGTTCAATCTACTGGTATGACGTCCCCGCTCCTTGTTGATTATGAATATCACGACTGGGTAGGTTTGTCGCTAGTTCCACATTGATGACCAAGAAGTAAATGATTCGCTAAGCTCCATAAAGGTTATTCCCCATCATAAGCAATTTTTGTTTGCATCATATTTTGTGCTGTTTGTGTTGAACCGAGGACCAATCATCGTGCCTTGGCGAGCCCCAGGCTGGCTAACTGCGTAATCCGTTGTTTGTCTCGATAACTATCAAAGTCCTATTTAGCACTAATGAAAAGCTCAAGAGAATCAACGGTGTAAATTACCAAGCGTTCGGTCTTCTCGGATCCCGAACTGAATAATTCCTATTAACAGGTTTCTAGGTTCCTTACATTGGAGTATACTGAAATATTTAAGCAAGCAAAGCCTCGATGCTTTTCTGTTTTCCAGTATCAAACACCCTCTACCGAAATCAATTATAATTCACTCGCCATGTCTCTCAAACCTCTCAATCTCTGGACCCTCCAGGGCCACGCCGGCACGCCAAACCCCTGGAAAGTCCTCATGGTCCTGGAAGAACTCAAACTCCCCTACGAAACCAAGTTAGTCAATCTCACCGACCTAAAGAAAGAACCCTACGAGTCCATCAACCCAAATGGCCGCGTTCCCGCCCTCGAAGACCCAAACACCGGAATAACCATCTGGGAATCCGGCGCCATCCTAGAATATCTAGTGGACACATACGACAAACAACACACCATCAGCTTCACCGCCGGCTCAAAGGAGTACTACGAAAGCAAGCAGTGGCTTCACTACCAGGTTTCCGGCCAGGGACCGTATTTCGGGCAGGCTGCCTGGTTTACGGTCTACCATCCTGAAAAGGTACCCAGTGCGGTTGAGCGCTATGTTAATGAGATCCGTCGTGTTGCGGGCGTGCTTGATCGGTCGCTTCATAGTGGGTACCTTGTTGGTAGCAGGTATAGCTATGTTGATGCTGCTTTCTTGCCGTGGTTTGAGGTTGCGAAGCTTTTTTGGGAGGAGGAGATGGATCTGGAGAAAGACTTTCCGCGTGTTAAGGCGTGGCTGGGGCGTGTTAAGGCTCGGCCGGCTATTGCTAGGACTATTGATGATTACTTGAAGGCAAAGGCTGATGCGGAGGAGAAATGACCTTCCAACTTTCAAGGTTGAATTTGAACCTTCAAGTTGGTGTTCGGGATGGAGAGCCAATTGAAGAGTATGAGTAGTCGCTCTATTTTAGTGGCATGATGTAGGTGAAATTATCGACAGAATGTTTTGGTTCATATTTGCCACTCTAAATTTATACGTTTTTTTCCCCCTCTGTACGACATAGGATTTGCACGATGGAGCGGCAGAAGCAGACGCGGATATTATTACTGTGTCTAGTTCTGCTGCTACTAGTACCTTGAGCTAAAGATTAGCTTTGTCTCTTTTCTTCAGTTCATGATGCCATAAACCCTGACTACTCTTCATCAAAGGCAGTTTGGCCGAGTGGTCTAAGGCGATTGACTAGAAATCAATTCTCTTCGGAGGCGGCGGTTCAAATCCGCCAGCTGTCGCATAATTTGAATTTTTGCTCTGATTCATATCAATTGATATTATTTTTGACGAAGAAAGGTGGAGAGAGAAAAAAGTAAGGGTCACAGTATCATGATCGTACGATGGTATTGATAGTTGAAGTCGTTGATTTCCCAAAAAGAAATTTCATGGATAAGATTGTATTTAAGTAGGTATGCGAATGCTGCGCTACATTAAGCTTAACACAATAGCAACTCTCAAAATGCCTAACCCAACTACACTAGCAAGATACTCTCGATCATAACTAGCCCAAAACAGCAAAGAAAATAAGAATTCACAGACGAATCGAAAGCCGAAAAGGCGACGTGGTAAGGGAGCCAGCAGCGCAACAACGACCAGCGCAAGCGCTAGCCAGCAGAAAACAAAACAAAGAAACAAGAAGGGAAAGTAACAGCTACAGCAGCAGACTGCGCTTCTCTGCAAGAGCTGGGCACCAATCAAACCAGCTTCTGCCACCTCGCCAAAGCAATACTAACAACAACAATGGCTCCCATTACACCCAGGATACCAAAGAACCATTCCAAGCCCTTGTGGTTCTGGCCGGGGACTTCGATGTTCATACCAAAGAGACCGCAGATCAAATTCATCGGGACCAGAATCGTCGCGATGAGAGTGACTTTGCTGAGAACCTTGTTGACATGGTTACCAAGGACCAGGTTCGTGACGTTAAGCTGGGCGAGGTAGTTCGTATGCGAACGACTGAGCATCTTCTCAAAATGAGACAGGTTGGACATCATGGTAACAACGTGATCCTGAATATCACCCAAGTACAGCCCGATATCACCCCGCGGCGTGACGGAATACTGTTCATTACAGCGTTTCGAGAATCCCCGGATAACATCCGCCTTGCCGCCGAGCAGACGCATGAGCGACATGACCTTCTTGCGCAAGCCACCGATGCGCGGGAGGAACGATTCGAAGTCGTCGACTCGCGCGATAAAGACGTGGTCTTCAATTGCTTCAGATTCAAGCTCCACGTCGCGGATAACGGGGCCGAAACTATCGACGATGTCGTCGATCATGGCGTAGCAGATCCAGTCGCTCGATAGCGAGACGTAGTCACGGAGTTTGCCAATACGCTTGCGCACGTTCGAGGCGTGCGGGTTGTCGACGAAGGAGAATGTTAATACCCCGTCGCGGAAAACGACCATGTAGTAGTTGACCGGCTCCATGAATTCCTCGCTCGTCTTGTCCATTTGATAAAAGGTGCGGAAACAGACGAAGTAGTACTGCTTGAAGAGTTCGACCTTCTCGCGGGCTTCCTGGGTCAAAATATCCTCGGTCGTCAAAGGGTGAATTGAGAAAGCGCGAGAGATGGCTCCAAGCTCGTCCTCCGTCGGGTTGACTACGTCGAGCCACCACACACCTCCGTCGGGACCGAGCTGAAACAGGTCACGGAATGTGTCTCCTGGGAAAACCAAATCTCCCAGCTCGGCCGCGTGCACGGTAGTTTGGGACTCGGAGGAGAAGAATCCGAAGCGGGTGGGCTCGTTGATATTGGGGAGCGTTTCCACTAGCTCCTGCTCATCTAGCACGGTGCTGATGCGCTTTAGCGCATTTTCGTCAACCTCGCAGGTGTCGGATGAATCGGTCGAGTCCGACTTCTTGAATTCCTCCACGCTGGCTCCCTTGGCACCTTGACGGAGATCGTAGAAGATCCGAGGCTTCTTGCTCTGCGAACTCAAGCTGTGCTTGCGGCGGTTGCCAGCAGCTTTGCTTTTTTGGTTCAAAGCTACAAACTCCTCGAGTTCTTCGTAGTCGATCACCGGGATACGGCCGGGTTCTTCGTATGTGTGCACGGCGACATCTTCGTTCGAATCGAGCGGCACATCGCCAAGTTGAGGTCGAATGGCACTGGCGTTGCTGAACGTAGGACGCCGGGGGTGGGTACCACCTGAGACGGTCCGCTGCAGCATGGCCTCCAGGTCAGGCGGGCCATGGCTGTCCAAGGTGTTTGCACGTTCCCGACGGCGCGGATCGGCAAAGGCCTCAACCGAGTTTGGCGGGGACGAAGACCGGGCGGACGGGGATGAAGATCGGGAAACGTTGGCGATATCCTTCTGAGTGCAGCTGATACGGCGAGGGGTGTGGAAATTGGCATTGGGGTCTACCGAGAAACGGCGGCCCATGCCCGCCATTTCATTGACGGTTCGCTCGTCGTCGACGATGGCTTGTTCGAAGTCTCGGAAGACGGGACCTGCGTGGGGGTCTTGCGGTTGAAGGAAATCGGATCGGCCGGGGGTCATGGTCTCTCCCTTTGGGCCGAGGTTGGCGGTATCCTGCCGAGTCAACGGTTCCTCCATCGGAGCATCGATTCGGGGGGGGTGTCCATTTGGTGATGGCGGTGGTCATCAAGCTCCGGTACCGGGGTGCTGTACCGGGTGAGGCACAGCTCCTTTTCGGAACGAGGAGTGTCAGACATTTTGAATAGGGGGGAGATTGAAATGGATCAAGCCGATTGTTGGAAAGTACCAGACTAGCTGGAAGCGGTCTTTTTTTTGCGTTATTTGTTTGGAGTAGTTGTTCCGCGGGAAATTGTTGGTGTACCTTGAGGTACAATAGATGATATGGTCAAATGCTTACTGGCAGCAGCACGACATCTGCAGACGCAAGCCGGCAAAAGAGGGACGATCTAAGGTCGACGGCCCTCCATCCACGAGTCAGACCCTTCACGAGGGTCTGAAGTTACCGACACACGTCTGGCTGCCACGGTTTTGTAAGTGGGAGTAGGCACAATTAGGGGGGGGGGTCTGGTGTCGCCCCCGCAGAAGACCCGGAACTTGGGGCCTGCAAGAGGGTTGGGGAGAGAGGACTGAGTGTAGCGAAGTCCCGCCAACTTGAATGAGATGAGACGGAGGGGAGCGCGTTTGCTCCAGGGCTGCTGAGTTCGAGCGAGGCGAGCTAGTCGCGGAGAGAAAAGGACCGCAGAATCTTCACGGAAGAGACTGGGAGGGAATTCTCAAGAAAGTTGAGAGGGATAGTCTTTGAAAAGAGAATAACCACGGAGAAAATCGTGGGTTTGAGTGTGTATGTGTGTAAAAAGAAAAAAAGGAAGGGAGAGAAGAGAGGAGAGGAAAAGTGGTGGGTTATCACGACGACAGGTTGTGGCGAGGTTGGAAAATGGACTAGCGGGTGATGCTTGCGGGTCCCGCACATTTCCACTTTAATTCAAGGAGGACACCCTTGGGCTATTACGGAGTAAAGGTATGGGAGTTATTAATACAGAGATAATGAAAAGATAGAGATAACTATAGACTAAGTAATACTATAAAACACGATACAATAATGCTATGCCATATCGCAGTACTTGAGAATACCCTCCTCTATACTCCAGGGCTGTCAATCAAGTCTAAAAAGTCTGCACGATGGGACGGCGTTCACCGGTCAAAGTTAGCTTACCCTCAGGCATCATCCATGAGGCATTTATTACCAAGTCGCATCGGCACATTAAGAACCACAATGCTAGTGCGATTCCAATGCGCTATCTCTGATTTGTCCTTACCCAACTTCAAGGGCAAAGTCATCTGCCATGACCATGACTAGTATGACATCTGCCCTAAGGCTAAGGGTGACATGCATGTGCAGACCGATCTCAGTCAAACTCAAAATAAAAATCAGAATTAGTATTAATTAGTATTAATAGGGAATACTGTACTATAAATCCCATCCAATCACTCTACCCAATCACCACCTCCACTATCTTCCCCGGTGTCGGACGGTAATTTTCCTGGACGCCAAGATCTCCGAGATCCTCCCGCATCGAGTCATCAGTCATCCATCCCACTTCCATTCTCCCCAGTACTCCGGACTTCCTGTTGGACTGCTCTCCTCCAGTCCAATCCACCATGTCATCCTTTGCCATTCGAGTCCCTTGCTCCTCGGCCAACATTGGCCCCGGATTTGATGTCATTGGCCTGGCCCTCTCCCTCCACCTCGAACTGCGCGTCACAATCGATGACTCCAAGTCCTCCTCCGAGCTGCCATTGAACTGCGCCATTACCTACGAGGACCAAAGCGGCAGCACCGAGTCCATCTCTCTCGATCCTGAAGTCAACCTCATCACCCGTGTCGCCCTTTATGTTCTGCGATGCCACAATCAGCGCGCCTTCCCCATCGAGACCAAGGTTCACATCGTCAACCCCATCCCACTGAGTCGAGGTCTGGGATCATCGGGTACCGCTGTTGTCGCTGGTGTCATGCTGGGCAATGAGGTCGGCAAACTGGGTTTAAGCAAGGATCGTTTGCTAGACTATTGCTTGATGATTGGTACGTGAAGCTATTTCCCTGCCCTGCCCTTCTGCCCCTCCATGGGTCCCGCCATAAAATTGCTTGAATATACCCACCCATACTCATACCCGCCCAATTACCCCCGTCTTGCATCAAACTAACGCATTCTGTAGAACGACACCCCGATAACGTGGCTGCCTCGTTGTTCGGAGGTTTTGTGGGTACCTATCTGAACGAGCTGAAGCCCGAGGATGTTGCCCGGAAAGAGATCCCTCTTAGTGAGGTCTTGCCCTCTCCCGCCGGTGGCATTGACACTGGAATGAAGCCCCCCCGAGCCCCCTCTTGGAATCGGTCACTACAGAAAGTTCGACTGGGCCCCAGAAATCAAGGCCATTGCCATTATCCCAGACTTCGTCGTGCCCACCGCCGATGCCCGTAACGTTCTTCCTCAGCAATACAGCCGAGCCGATGTGGTATGTCGATTCCTTAAAGCAGCAACTCCTCCACGCCGTGTATGATACACTTACTCACTCTATCCCAGGTCTTCAACCTCCAACGCGCGGCCCTCCTCCCCGCCGCCCTGGGAACCTCCCCACCAGACCCTGAGATGATCTTCCTCGCCATGCAGGATAAGGTCCACCAGCCCTACCGCAAAGGCTTGATCCCCGGTCTGACCGAGATTCTCCAATCAATGACGCCTGCCACCCAGCCCGGTCTTCTGGGTATCTGTCTTTCCGGCGCTGGACCAACCATCCTCGCCCTTGCGACGGATCGCTTCACCGAGATCGCTGACCGCATCATCGCACGGTTCGCTACGAACAACATTACCTGCCAATGGAAGCTGCTTGAGCCCGCGCAGGAAGGAACTACCGTGACCCCGGTCTAAGTCTGCATTTGCATTTTCCTTTTCTTTGTCTCTGCACTGCACTGCACTGCTCTGCAATACAGCTGCGTCATTCTCGCCCCTCCTTTTCCCACCACTACCTTCCAACATCCGGGCACCGTGGCCTGGCCGCATGACGCGCGCGAAGTCTGAAGCACACCAATCGCTTCCTCCAGACCTAGTTTCAGGATGGACTGGCATAGAAACTGGATCCGGTTTCGTTCCGGCTCTCTTTGTTCTTGCGGAAGAGGCCCGTGTCTCGTCTCGGCGTCGGCTTTTTTCTTCACCGCTGCTTTTCACTGCAGCATGCATGCAGCTGAGACACGGGAGGTATTTGTTCACGGGAAGTTGAAACGAACTTGGGCTGGAGCAGTGCTCCTTTTGGGAAGCACTTGGCATTGCATTGACCGGTGACCGTTGGTAGTTACGGGGAGTATAAAATAGTCAACTTAGAATATAGATGAATCATGAGCCATTACGTATCCACCTACTTCAATCTTTAAAAAACAATCTCTAGAATATACTTGAATATCAGTGAATCCCCACCGTCTTCCTATCGTAACCCAATGACCAAAATTCGTGGTAGCCCGTACAATTATCCATACTAGTTGCCCAGCCATGGAAGTGAAAGCTGAGGCCGAGGCGGAAGAGACAGGCAAATGACAACATCACGATAAGCTCTCCGCCCTCCACTTCCGCCCTCCGCTAGAGGCCCAGCCCGAACCCGCGATCAACAATCCAATCCACCTCACAAACCCAACACCATGGACGAAATCCTCGCCCCTCTACAAGATGCCTTTGAAGGCCAGATCGTGCGTCTCTTCACTCCTCTGCTCCGCGCGCACGGCCAGCTTGTCCAGCTCGCGCCAGCGCATCCCATCCCATCGCATTATCTAACTACAACAGGACTTCCACGGCCAACGCCTAGCAGAGATCCTCAGCACAGCACTGCTAATCATTTTCGGCGTACGTTTTGTCCCACAGCTTCCTCGGTATACCCACGCCATACTTACTAACTGACTGATTACTTCACAGGCTATCAGCTTCGTCGTCGGATACATCTACAAGGACATCCACCTGACGCTCTGGATTGGGCTGGGCGGAACGGTTTTCACGGGGTTGGCTGTTATACCCGCTTGGCCTTGGTTTAATCGGAATCCGGAGAAGTGGTTGGCTTCATCTGGGGCTGGGAATTCGGGTGGGCCAAGGGTCTTGGTTGATGGGGTTAAGGTTCATTGAGGAGGGAAGGGATGTTTTGTTTTCGAGGTATTGGAAGGAGGGAGATCCATGCTCTGCTCTGCTTCTAGGAAGGGAGGAAGGGAGCTTTGTACTTGTTTGGGAGGATAACTATAGTGTTATTTTCCCTGGACTACGCTGCATCGCGGCTTTTTTAAGAATTCAAGTTCTCTATCGGCTTTCCATTGTTTCTTTGAATTTCTTCGTAACTGGACTGAGTGAAGTGAATGGAATGGAATGGAATGAAATGAAATGGGGACCCTTGTCAAGTCCCTGAACGCCAGTAAGTCATATCCTTGTCGTGAGGACCGGGTGTAGCGATTGCACGCACGGTTGTGCATGGCTGGTCATCACCGTAAAGTAGGTAGGTGGGTGGGTGAGAAGCAAATGGGCAGCAGTCTGATAGCTAGTAGATGAGCTGACCCTCGATTGGGCTGGGCTATGCTCAACTCCACTCAAATGTAGGCTCCTTGTTTGAAAGTATTCCGTGGCGTCCAGCGCTTTACCGTCCGTATTTCTGGAACTCCCAGTCCCGGTTATCCAGTGGGCAGACTTGGCGGGTCTTGAGCCATCTCGAGATGCAGTGGAAGTGGAATGCGTGCTGGGATGGAGTGGTTAGAGGACTATCGAGTGAAGACGGGAGCTCTGACTCACGTTACAGATACCCCAGGCCACGGTGCACTCTTCTGTTGTTGATGAGCCTTGGTTGGCTTGGCATTCGATACCTGTGTTGTGTTAGTCGTGGGTTGGCAGCTCAGGCTCAAGCTCAAGCTCAAGCTGGAGCTAGAGCTAGAGATGAGAGCGGGGGCACGTACACAAATCCATGATGTGGTTTCGGCAGATGGCGCAGTTGTCGACGACGATGTCCCAGGCCCAAAGGGCGACGGCGTTCCACTGATGATGTTAGTATTTGTATTTGCATTTGCATCCGCATCACCGCTCCTGCTCATCGTGGGGAGCTCACCTTCTTAACCTCGAACTTCTTCTTATCGCTGTCAGAGACCTTGGCGACGGCCTTGCCCTTGGAGGAGCTCGCAGCAGAATCTTTCATCTCCACGTCCGCCATGGTGTTGGGTATGTGGGGAGGTGTATCGGGTTGGGGGTGATGTTCGGAGGAGATTGAAGTTGAATGGAAGAGAGTTTAAGATTAGGTAGAGGACGTAGAGGACCCTGGTGACAAAGGGTGAGATTGAGAATGGAACAAGAGGTGATACTTGGCAACCTTGGTGGGTAAAGGTGTAATGATTGTGCTTTGAGGCTCCTCAGATCAACCTTAGGAACTGATAATGACAAGATCCCCCGCCTGTGCTGGTGGCGGCCTTTTCTTAGTCATTCTCCCCGCCAAAGGGCGCTTCCGTCATTTTCCTATGACTCTCTTCTCTCCTCTTCTCCTCCCCTTCCTCCTACGCACTTCACTTCACTTCAACCCTTTACTCTCCCCCTTCATGTCTCGCTTTTGTTAATTCTCGCCCTTTAGAAGGCATTCTCTTTGTGCGCGTTCATTTCGCAGTTCTCCACTTCGCGCATACCCGTTTCTCGCCGTTTCCGGTGTTAGAATCTCTAATATTGTCGACAGCTGCTGAGCAGTGAATCTTGGACTGGTTTCCTCGATTTCTTGATCCTTGACTTGTCGCTTGAGCCCTGAATTTCTCTCTCTTTCTTTTTTTTCCTTCTGTTCTATCGGCTGCCTATTTTTTAAGCCACCCGTCGCCATGTCGACCCAATCACCTCACCCTCCTACGCCCAAGGGCCCTCGCAACGGCAATCCCAATCACCACAATAACAACGCCAACGCCAATAACAACCGAAGATCTTCTAAGAAAAACACAAACACAAATTCTACTCCCCACGTTCAGAAGGTTGCCATGCTCAGCACTCCACCCTCATCGCCCCCACGGAATATCAGCCCAGGTGTCGCGACCGATTCGTCCGCCAACATGCACTCCAAGAAGAAGCAGCCGCCGCGCTCAGTGAAGAAACTGCCCAACGGCAATCGCGCTTCACCTGCGCCCAATGGTGGGAATGGTCATCAGCGCCAAGTATCTCAGCCAAGCAATACCCCCGCTAAGGATGCCGCCTACGCTGGTCCAACTTTTCATGCATCCCCCGCCCCGTCGGCTCTACCGATGCCGAGCTTCTTTTCCAAGTCCTATCCCGAATCCGATCTCCCGACTACCCTTGAGACCGATAGTGAAGAGAACGAGCCAGTCTCGGAGACTACTCCGTCGAAACCTCGCGCTGCTCGCCCCCAACCGCAACAGCAACCGCAACCCCAGACTCAGTCCCAGCCTGCGGCCCAGCACATACCTTCACCCATTGATTTCCTCTTCGAAGCCGCCAAACGAGCACGCAACCCTGACTCAAACCCACTGGCCAGTCCTGAGGCGGCAGCCGCTCGCTTACGTTCCCCGCAGACGGACTCCAAGGCCCTCCATGGCAACAACAACACCGGTGGCGGCATGTTCGCCTTTGAGATGGGGTCTCCCGAGCGTTCGAAAATCGGCCCATCATTCGCCCCGTCTTACCAAGACCGAATGAATGCTCTGCGCGCATCCAGTTCCCCTCTCTCATACACAGTCCCAGCCCGCATTGAACACCATGGAAGATCAACGCCGGCTGAAGACTGAGGAACTGAAACACCTGCTGCTCAACCCGCGACCACAGAAGCCACCATCGTCGCTGTCTCCTCCGCATGAAAGACAAAGTCCCGGGCCTAGACCCCACACCAGCGCCAATGTTCCTCATTACGCAACACCTATGCGAACCACCTCCGGCCCACCCTCCACCATGTCTCATGGTCCCTCGCAGCCTCCACCCATGCCAGGCAACTATGCGTACGGACAGCATCTGAACAACTCGCAGCCGAACTTCCGCAACACGAACTCGCCGCTGCGCCGTGAGCTCCCGCATAACTCGGCTGGCTCCTCGCCAGCTCCGTATGCGCATTATTACAATGCGCCGGCCCCGCAGCATGCAAGCTACGTCTCTCCTCAGCCGCAGTACACGAATGCCGCATTCCCCATGCCTACGCATTCGCCTTCGCCTACCAAGTCCCTGGAGACGAAGCAGATCGAGGATGATCTGCGCCGCGTGTTGAAGATCGGTGGGCCTGGGATACCGTCCGGTGGGATGCAGAGTTCTTTTGCGGCTTAATTCGATCGATTCGTTCAATTCAAAGGGGTATGCGTTTCTTTTTCTCTCCGGGGGCTAGGTCGCAATGGAACTCAACGTCCAACTCCGTCTCTGCATGCTCTTTGCATGGCAGCTTCTGCTTGTGTTATCTACTCTACTATCTACCGTTCTCTATTTGTTTTTGATCTCCTTATTACGTGATTGTCTCCCCTCTCTCCTTTCGCTCTCGCTTTCTATTTCCCTGCCCCGTCTTCCCTCTTCCCGTTACCTACGGGACCCGACTTCTTCTCCACCTCCTTCACCACATCTTAACCATACAATGATCAACTTCTCCCGCGGCCCGCCCGCTTTCTTTCCATGTCTCAATATCCTTCACGATCGTCTTGCGTTTTCAGCTGGTCTCGAGCACTCCCGGACTGGGTCCGGGTTCTAGTTCTGTGACTTACTTACCTCTATCACGATCCCCTACTTCTTCTCCCTACCACCCTCTTTCTCTTCTCTCTCTCATGAATTGAAGCACCCGTCTGTTTCAAGTTGTCGTTACGTTCTTACGAGGGTCCTTGATTTGGTGTTTGCGATACCGGGAGCATTTCACTTCGGTTCGGTACATTGATGCGGTCTCCATCACGCGCTCTGCTGGTTTCAGGCCGTTCTTTTTGCATCGTTGGAGTCGGTATGGTTCGCGGATTCGATTCGTTCGGTTCTTTCTCGTTTCGGCTTGCATTGGACTGGACTGGACTGCACTGGATTTGATTCGATTCTTTCCTCGTACCTGGGTTGTTGGTTCGGTTCGTTCGTTTCGGTTCAGTGATGGTTGTGGCCGTGGCTCTTTACGTCATCTGTCTACTCTCGCTGGTTTTCTTTGTTGCGTTACGTTTTGTTTCTTTTGGTAGAGTGAGCTGGTCACTTGTCCAATCATTTTGCAATTTATGTTTTCTTTTCTCCTCTGTTCCTCTTCGGTTGGATTGTGTTGGGAGATGATGCTATGCTTCGTTTTCTTTATACGATTGACTGGGGTGGGATTCTCTCTCTTTCCCACTTGGGTTTTACCCGCAATACACTCCTTGAATCTCGACGATGACTATAGTAGCAGCAGCAGCAGTAGTAGTAATAGCACCTGCCTAAATCTGGGTAGTACAAGTATTTTGCCCTGGTAACACGCATTGCCCTGAACCCTGAGACCCATGGATGCCGTTAGAACCTAAAACTAACTACTAGATTTATTTTTGTCGCTCTATCAAAACTCTACATTGATTCAATTAATCCACAATTTGAGGGAGTTCCATGACGGTGAAGTACTTGTATCACTACTACTAGTAGTGTTCGTTACTACCAGCTTCGCAGAGACACTAGGGAGTACTCCGTACATACCTTATAGCCGTGTCAACTTGAAGTGCAAGCGAGCAGCCACGTTCACATTCAAACTTTGTTTACTAGTAAAATTGGAACTGGGTCGAGAACTCCGTACACTAGACGCTAGCCACTCAACGGTGGCCGCGAATGAAATGCAAGTTTGATGGAGCCGAGCGGTCGTGCCGATCTTAATTACGATAGGGTCCAGGGTTCACAGTACGGAGTACAGAGTAGATTTGTGGTCTTTGTACTCCGTAGTCAAATAGTTAACTACTGTAGTCATGTAAGACAACATATACTTAACTGCCACCTGGGGAGTGTGTGTACATCACTGTACCTGTACACACTGTGTGTAACTTCCAGTACAGCAGTACGTGGACAGTACTCCGTACCACCACCACACCCCTTAATCTGGTCGCAACGCCACTTGCATTCCCCACTTTTTCACGCCGGGCCCTCTGCTAATTTTATCTTTAATCGGAGAGAAATGAATGGAAACTGGGAAGTCGGAACTTGGTGGATTCAAGTTGCTGGCTCTGCACTTGGTTCTTTCTCCTGGAGTTCTCGAAATCGAGTCAAGCTTTCTGGTCTGTTTCGCTTTTGATATCCCCTTGGTGAATTTCCCTGGGTAATACGTTATAGTATTATCATTGTCTCCTTTGCTCTGCTCGACTGCCGTCCCCGGAGATCCTCGTCGATCTTGTCTCGGTCTTGATGAAGTTTAATTCGGCAGAGGAGGATGTACGCCACGGGCTGGTGGCTGAAGTCAAGGCCGAGTTGACCAGTCTTAGCCAGTGTTTGAACGGAGTATCGAGTGGCTTGTTGTTCTATAGGTGTACATTAGAAAAGGTAAAAATGATGGCTGCATTGGGCTGTTGTGTAAACAGGTACCATGCGATGCGTCGAGTCTTTTCCCCGTTTCCCTCCCCCCCTTCCACGATTCCAGAATGAATTAGTATTCCATAGGGTACTTTCGTAACCCATGTAATCGATGTAGACAGCTGGCTATGGCTATACCAGGTATGCACACCGTCATGATCTGCATGCCCATGCTGGATGCGGCCAGGGGGTTGCGGAACCTGCAATCAACCAAATCACGGGGAAGTTCTATCGCTCCGAAAAATATGCTCGGGCTCCTTCCTTCTACTCCTCCACTTCACACTTCACTCTATCACTCTCTCACTCTGAACTACTTACTACGAGAGTATTCTTGCCCGACTTCTCTCTTTATCTTCGCCCTGTCATGCTCCTGGCTCTTGTCTAATCCTTTCTCCCGACACCATGGCGAATGCGTACGTCTCCCTGTCCCTGTTCCCCCTCCGGCCACCACTCCCTTCAATATACACGATTTACTCGTTTCCTGTCTTTCTTCATACCTTGCTAACTATATCTTCAGTTTCGGTGATGCATGGCGCTCTTTTTGGCATACCATGACCTCCTATGACCGTCATGCCTCCCACGATTCCCCCTACCGCACCGGCCGACACGTCCCCCTCAGTCAAAGTCGCCATGACCCTCTCACATCCATTGCTACCAGCGCGATCGAGTCTCGGGCCGACCTATCTAACCCTTACGATGATGAAGCCTCCAAGGGAATGACAACCGTCATGGCCAACGAATTAGACGGTTCCCCGACCGACGTCGGCTCCCCGGGCCGCCCTTACTCGCCCGGCATGAGATCGTTCACATCGCAACAACGGAGATCAAACGACCAGGATGGTCCCGGCGAGATTCAAATGCAGAGCTTCCATGACGGCGCGCCTCCACCTCCTCCCGTCGCTCACTCGTGGAGGAAGATCGAGCGCTGGCTCGAACACAACTATGAGGAATTGTTGGATCAGCTTGGCGAGGGATGCACCCAGAACGACATTAACGAATTAGAACACGAGCTCGACTGCTCTCTACCTTTGGAAGTGCGCGAGTCTCTCATGATCCACGATGGTCAAGAGCGCCCCGGTCTGCCGACGGGTCTTCTTTTCAGCTGCATGCTCCTGGATTGCGAGGAGATCGTACAAGAGCGCACCAACTGGAAGACCGTCAACGAGGAATATCTCAGCTCAGCCCAGGTCAACAACGCCCCCATCTCCAGCTCCGCCGCCGGCCCCTCTTCCTCCGCCGCCCAGCCACCCACAGCCTGGCGAAACGACCTCCTCGACCGCCAAGACTCACAACCCCCAGGCGCCGTGCAAAAGGCCTACGCCCACCCAGCCTGGATTCCCCTGGCCCGCGATTGGGGCGGCAACCACCTCGCCATCGATCTGGCGCCCGGCCCCGCCGGTAAATGGGGCCAGGTCATCATCTTCGGCCGCGACTACGACTGCAAATACGTGGTCGCGCGGTCCTGGGCGGCCTTCCTGGCCGTTTTCGCCGACGACCTCTGCAGCGGGAAGACCCTGGTCGACGAGGAGACCAACGAGCTGAAATTGAAGGAATTCAAGTCCCAAAACGTCGAACCCCCATACCTGGAGATTTTGCGCTGGAGGACCGACCAGAAGTACGGCCGTCGCCAACAACGCCGTCGTGGGCCCGGCCTCGGCACGAATGCGTCTGGAAAGAGCGCCAGTTCCAAGGATTCGCCGTACGGTAGCCCGACACGCGCTGAAGAGCGCGGCCGCTCACCGCACCGTTTCCCGAACCGTGGCCCGGCGCAAAGTCCTAAGACTCCGTTCGGTGTGTCGAGCCCGTTGGCCCGTGTTACGGAGACGGAGGAGTCTTCTAGCCCTGTCACCACCGCCGGCCCGACCATCTCAGAGGATCCCAAGGAAAATGGCAAAGAGAAGCAGACACAGCAGCAAACAGAGGATTTGATGGAGGTTGCTACGCCGCAGATTTCCAATAAGGAGAATGAGGGGTTCCCCGGCAAGGCCGAGTCGAGCGCGAAGTCGGAGGGCGAGAAGATCGAAAAGGAGGGCGGGGATGAGGCTGGTTCGGCTGTTGATTCGGAGGTCCTGGGGGAAATGAAGAATGTGGCTATTTAAGAAAGAAAAGAATCGATGTTCTCTTCTCGCTGCATTTCTTCTCTTCCCCTCTCCCCTCCTTGGATATCAGCCTTGTTTCTCTGCCTCTCCCTCCTCCTCTTCCCTAACCCCCCTAACCTTTTCATATCCACCCGGCTAGGACACTAAGGCGGCAATGACGATTTGGATCTATGTGACACTCTTCTTTCTGTTTCTCCCTGCTTTGCCCTCTTCTGTTCCCTTGTATAGAATTTTGTCCCCCTTGCCCTTTTTGACTCGTCCAATTTCCGCGTCTTGTCCTCTTTTGGCCTCTTGTCCTGGTTTTGTGGCATTTGTTGTAACTCTAGGAGCTCTGAATTGTTTTACTTCCTCCTCTTTTCTGCTTCCTTTTTTTTTGTGCTGGCTCGCTTACGGTCTGGTCTTTGTTAAGGTCTTCTTTGTTCACTTGCCCCATTGTCTGCCTGTAATTCTATGATGATGCAGTTTTAGTTCAGGTCTTCATGTTCTTATTGGAGATGAAATTCATTCTGGTTTGATGTTTATGGGTTTTACTCTGGGTCTGTTGTGTTTGTATCTTTTCTTTTATCTGGTATTGCAAGGTTCCGGGGTTTGGTGTTGGAATCGGTTGTGGTTTGTTTGGGCTGTAGGATTGTCTGAGGACTTCGTTGGGGGTAAACTTTGTATTGGTTCTGGTAGACTGTACTTTGCGGTCTTGACAGACTTGATATTCTAAGGTTGTACTGGTTAGGGTGTTACTGCTAAGACTCTTGGAACTCTACCTTTGCCACGATGCTAGATGTTCGACTGTTTGTCGGTTGCTAGTGCTCGGCTCTATCCTCTGCTGCAGTGGGTTTCAATGTATGATTCAACTTATTCTAGTACAGTAAACTGCCATCACTTGGCAGGGCTGCAACATGAAGAGCAACCTTGGAAGTCGGTTGGAATAAGCACTGGCATATTTCAAAGATGACTGCCCCTGTGCTATTAACCATTGTACTACTACGCCCGAACAATGTGTTCAGCAGTATCTCGAACGAAAGAATAATATTCGTTTTGTATCTTTACTAGTATCCAATTGCTTCCAAGTTTGATACTGATATGTAGAAATCTCTCAGTACTACGTGTATACCTAGGTATATTATTGACGATCGGGATGCGGCAAATCTTCGAGACACACTTGCCGACCTGTCCGTTCGTACCTTCCATTTTTATAGTTGTTATTCAAGACGGTGCTCTTGCCTGCCATGCTCATTCCAAAGAGAAATCTGCTCCAAAATTCCTGCTTCTTTTACAATTTCCCCTGGTCATCAACGCCGTATCCACGCTGGCCTTCTTTGGCGGGATGCATCGAGATACGGAGGCAAGCCACGCGAGGAGCATGCCGTTTATGGGCACCCGGGCTGGGAAGCGAACCATGTCTGCCCTTCAGGAAAGCTGTTGGAATGAAAACAATTTCGGCTCGACAGATCACCAAAGTTAACTCAGGTAATCATTCTGCATCCACTCACTCTGTTCCAAATGGGCGTTTTCCCTTCAAGGTGTATGCTCATACGGGATATAGAACTCGTCTTACCGATTCGTGGCGAACGATAAGCCTGCTAGGGCTATCTCGAGACCCGGAGATTGCAATTACGAGGCTGCCTCAAACACCAGAGGAAAGAAAGAAAGCACATGTGCGGATCAAGTCAAGAAACGCCTCTGCTCGGGACATAGGTTCAAATCATCACCCTGTCAAAGACAAATCCGAGCCCCGCCGCTGTACCGACAGATAGATCGCCCAGATGCTGGGAGCTGAACGTGAGCTGAAGCATTCAATCAAATGTTGGTTGATATTCTAACCTGGTTTCCTCTTAGCCGGCAGATATGCGAATACTGTGAAGCTGAATCCAAAGTATCATAAAGCCAGATTGCATTGGGACGAAAGGTCCTTTTTCCGATGGATCTGCCGCCGACTAGTTTACGGGCAGGAATCTGCCGGCATACGCCAGCATCGGTGAGATCTTGTCTGGCTCAATATCTGGTTCAAGATCCGGTCCCAGATCAAGTTCAAGTACTTTGTCCTCCAAGTTTCAAAATGGAGAGCGTCATGATCACCATGATCACCACCTTCACCACTCCACCCTCACCGCTACAGGACTCAATGCTTTCTGTAGGCAGCGGATTGGGAGTTTGCTGGATGGGATGGGGTTTGCTAGAGTTTTCTTTGTCTGGATGACATTACTGCACTTCAGGACACTGCCACTTATGAAGAACTGGTTCTCATTCGCATTCGCTCATGCAATAACTTTTGATTGAATCCCCCATACTTCTGAAGGTCCCAGAACTGGAGCAACCTTTGAATGGCAGTGAGTCTCAACCACCAAAATTCAAGTGGATTCGAACCTTTGCAGTAGCCGGAAACGATTATATAATTAATTGGGGCTTCTTGGTACCGGTCCTAGGATAAGTCAACCACTGTACCCGAACAGATCTCAAAGACTTATATTATTCCGTGATCATGCGGAAAATCAGGTTCGACCCCAGTCACACGCTCAACAACATGTCCAACGGCATGATTCTACGAGACTGGATACATACCATATTAAGGGGTTTCCGGTTTGCTATCAAGTTCTGAGTTCACAAATCACCAACTTGAACATTCAATTTAAAAGTCAACATGGTCATACTCTTCAAGATCCGCAGATCGCCTGAGCACAAGTCGTGTTGATAAGGTCTTGAGAAAATCTGAAGAACTGGATGTTTGGGCTTTCAATGGAAGTACAAATATAGAAGAGCTGCTGACAAGCCGCTTATCATCACTTAATCTCAACATCAGGGAGTGATCCGGTTCTGACTCCAAGGTTCCAAGGCACCGGCAAAACGCACTCTGAAGGAACAAGCAAATTCCTCGGAAATTATCTGACCAGCAATCTAGCTTGGACTCCGGAGTTCAAGCTACCGGGAAAGCACGTTGAGCCCAAGGAGCGCCTCATTTCGAACGCTCGCCTCATTTCTGCGCTTGCCTGTCGCTACAGTCATCCTGTTTCTGCGCTCGCCTTTATACTTGTCTCTATACTCGCCTCTGCGCTAGTCTCTGGCATTTCACGGGATAAACATGCTAGTATCAGTCACGGATTATCCGCTTAGAGGAACTGCACCAATCGTTTGGCAGTGTTTAGCATCAAGTCCGAGCTGCAAAGATATCTGCAGTTGCCATTTGATCGCCGGACACCTTCTCTCAACCGACAAAACCCCTTATTCAACGACCGTATCAGATAGAAACTGCACACCCCTGGGTACCAAGAAATCCAAGATGGAGCACGATCAGCAGGGCTGATTCACTCTGCAAAGGCTATGCTCAGAATCACAATCACTAAACTCACCAAGTTATGGCCATATTGGGGATCTACAGTCAGAAATGATGGAACCGATCTGCCATATGAACACCAGATGTCGGGGACAGTTGGGTGCTAGTCACCTGACTGACTACTAAATTATAGTAGTCCCTTAGATAGTCTCGAATAGGATCATCATCATCTTCTCACCGTCAGTCTCCCTCCGTACACCTCTATCCGTCGGGTTCCCGACACCAAACTGAAGTATAGCGGAATCTCCAATACTATGTGGCCCCACCGAGAAGTTACTAGTTACGAAACGAGGATGATTATATTGATCTTGCCAAATAACAGGTACTGATCCCTGTGAATTTTCTATTGGAACAATTCGTGGAAGGAGCAGTCGACCGCGGAAATCTTCTACCAGGAATGCGCATAATCCAAGTCAATGAGTATATGCCTTCCAAGTCATCACCATCAGCTCCGCATTCTAAGATTACTCCAACAACTAGTTTCGAGGCTAGAGGTCAACAGGAAGTGTTACAGGGACAATCCGACCAGGAGAATATACCACCAGAATCATTAACATCATCAGCATGATCACCATCGCCCGAAGATTCCCAACTTAGTTCTGAGGCTGGTCCAGAGAATACAAGTTCATCAGAAGAGCCACAGAGACAACCAAATCGGATTATACCGCAGAACCGTGTACCAAGTACCCCAGATGTTATTTATTCGAAGGATCGACGTCGCCAAGAGCGAAGTAGTCAGAAGGTTATCACTCACATAAAGACTTACGAGTGGATGTTGCATGGTTACTGGAATGGGATGGTATGCCTTCCAAGGTTGAGGGCGTGATAAGGACGTGGTAGTGGCTCTTTTAGATTTTAAAAGGGCCAATGTACCCACTTATTGCTTCTGATTTCACGCATGCATGTACTTAGGTACTAGTATCTACTACCTAGGTAGTGGTTTCTTCTATTTTCATCTCATCATAAAACGTACACCGTCCACGGGTGGTAGTATCATTCCATGCACCCACCTGCCAGTGGGCACTTGTAGAAAACGAATCCTCACCAGCCAGCCCTATCCTCTGACATCGGCTCTGTATACCCTTGTCTATTTGCCCGTTGTAATACCCTCTCACGAGCCTTTTTGATCGCTGGCCCATCATATCCCATGGTATATTATTTTCATGTACATATTAGGCAGATCCACCGCCCATTCGAATAGTCCTTTATTCCCAATCATCGTCATCATCGCCCCCACGAATCCTCCCACTGCGAATAGTCTTGTTCTTCTTAACTCTCGGCCCCCTCCTAACCTCCTCATCATCACTCCCACTCTCCTCATCCTCATCATTATCATCATCCGAGAACTTCGCCTGAAGAAGAACATCCTTGCCCAACAAGCGTTTCTCAAGAACCTTCACGCTAAAGCTTTCCCCAGCATCATTCCCCGAAGCCCCAAGGCCCTCAAACCCAACAACGCGCGTAACACCAACCCCATCCTTAAACCCAATCACACAAGGCAAGACGCGAATGCCCAATTTCTCCGTCAAGAACGGCGTGCTCCGCACATCCACCCGCGCGAACGAAACCTCGTAGTGTCGCGCCGCAAGCTCTGATAACCGCGCATCCATCACCATGCACCGGGCAAAGTCGTCGTGGGCAAAGTGCACGATACACCGCGTGCTGCGCGTTGTGAAGTCCAGCACGGCTTGGTCGCCGGAGATGGAGGGGTAGTTGGTTGTGGTGTTGGCGGTTGCGGCGTTCTTGGCGTCGCGGTTTGTCTTTTTGGAGGCGTATTCGGCGTTTAGTTGTTGGATGCGGTGGTCGCGGTAGCCTGTGTCTTCTTCGTTCTCGAGCGCGGCGAAGAGGGCTTCGTCGTCGGATTCGGTTGTTGCGTGGGCGGACATTTTGGGTGTGTTTGTGCCCTTGGGGGGGAGTTTGTGAGGAGTTATGGGTATATGTTGGATTCGATTACTCAATTGGAGTCATTGAGGGTAGGACTCTCGGGGTTGAGTTGTGGTGTGGGTGTGGTTGTGGTTGTGTTGGTGGGCTGAATACGGTTCTGCGGTGCGGCGTATAGTCGGGTTCGGATCACCGTTTATCAGGGGGTGATCTCCCGTTTGGATAATTTATTCGGCAATTGTGGTGGATACAAATGAACAATTGGATATTTACGGGTCTATTCGACACTTGGGATTCTTTTTAACCTATCTGCCCACTAGTTATACCTAATACTGAGCAGTTATACTTGATACTCGTGGATAAATTAAAATTAGAATGTAATTATAGGGCTGACTCAGCCCCCTATCTGCTGACATAATCTCCAAAAGTTCCTCTCGCGGCGTTTCTCTTGCGCGTCGTGTACTTTGAATACTTCGAATACTTCCACCCTGTCCAGTTTGTTCCACTTTTCCGTCGTTCGCTTCGTCTGCGTTCGTTGTCTCTTCTCGACTCTAGAACTTCGGTCTTCGACTTCTCCTCCCTCCCTTCCCGTTTACTTCGCCCACCCGGACCCTCCGCCATGGCTGACGATAAGAAGACCGACAACTACACTATCGAGATGGACAAACTCGACAAGGGCAACAAGGAGTTTGAGGCGGCGCCGTCGCCTCTGCCCCGTGTTACCCCTCCCAGCCCGGTTGCGGGCCACCCTGCCCTGCCTGTCCTGGCTTACTGTGGTGCCTCCATTCTGATGACCGTCATGAACAAGTATGTTTTGTCGGGTCTGGACTTCAACCTCAACTTCCTTCTGCTCATGGTTCAGGTATGTTTGTTGTGGAAGAAAAACCGCCGCGACTGCCCAATACTAATATATCCAGTCCCTTGTCTGCATTACTGCCATCCAAACTTGCAAGTCCATGGGTCTCATCACCTATCGTGACTTCAACACCGATGAGGCGAAGAAGTGTAAGTCACCTCTGATTGATCAAGGGTTGTCGCTTGGATCTAACGTATAATCTTCTTTTCAGGGTTCCCCATCACTCTTCTTTTGATCGGCATGATCTACACCGGCTCCAAGGCCCTCCAGTTCCTCTCCATCCCCGTCTACACCATCTTTAAGAACCTGACCATCATCCTGATCGCTTACGGCGAGGTCCTCTGGTTCGGTGGCTCGGTTACTGCCATGACTCTCTTCTCCTTCGGCCTCATGGTGTTCAGCTCCCTCATTGCCGCCTGGGCTGATATCAAGCACGCCGTGGAGAGCAGCGGCGACACCTCCAGCGCGGTCTCCACCCTTAATGCCGGTTATCTCTGGATGCTGATCAACTGCCTTTGCACCTCGTCGTATGTCCTGGGCATGCGCAAGCGCATCAAGCTTACCAACTTCAAGGACTTTGACAGTATGTCTCCTTCCAATTTTTTTTTCGCCCCCAACCCACTAACCCACCTCAGCCATGTTCTACAACAACCTGCTCTCTATCCCCGTTCTGCTGGTCGCCACCCTCCTCCTCGAAGACTGGTCTTCTGCCAACCTGGCCCGCAACTTCCCCGAGGCCAACCGTAACGGTATCATGATCGCCATGATCCTGTCCGGTGCCTCTACCGTCTTCATCTCCTACGCCTCTGCCTGGTGCGTGCGTGTCACCTCGTCCACCACCTACTCCATGGTCGGCGCTCTGAACAAGCTTCCCATTGCTCTGTCTGGCCTTATCTTCTTCGACGCCCCATGCACTTTCCCCAGTGTCTCTGCCATCTGCGTCGGCTTTGTCTCCGGAATCGTCTATGCCGTGGCCAAGATCAAGCAGAACGCCAAGCCCAAGATCGGCATCCTCCCCACCTCCAACCCTTTGGTCAGCGCCAGCAGCCAGAGCATGCGCGACTCTCTGCGCTCTTAAAATAAACCACCATGATCTTATTATTTTTAAAAAAAGGGGGAGAAGAACGCCAACTCAACCAACCTCTCCCCCCAATTCCTCATCCTTTCCTGGTTTCACCAATTGGCGAGGCAAGGCAAGGAATTTTCACAACCCCCCTTCATCTGTCATGATGCGACCCGGGGGAGCATTTATTGCATTTGTATGACTCACGTTTCATTGCAGCCCGTCGATGCACTCTGCAACTCGATACTGTATCCTTTTTCTGTTTTGTCTCTTTCTCTCTCCGGTGTTGGTGGCTTCTACTTTCTTGTCTTCCTTCATCTAGGGAAAGGGCTTTCCATCTTGGTTTGCAGTATGATATAGTAATTTTTCCGTTTCTTTTCTCTTTCGTCTGCCCCTTTTCCCTCACTTCATGCGGGCATAGCCTGGTTTTCCCCCTCTCATGTTCGATGTATATAGGTCTGCTTGGAGTAAAGCAATAGAGTGTGCTTTCGAGATATGTTTTTGCTGTCTTTTATTCATAGGTATCTAATATAGGGTTTGTTGTTTCGAGTTTTTCCTGATATTAGGATCACACTCATCCTGTGGAGAGCTCTTCGGGTAGTAAATGGCAGTTAAATTGAAACTTGAAACTTGAACAAGTACTAGTATCATGGACGCCTGGGAACTATTACTCTCTAGTACTCAGGCTCTCAACTTCATGGCCCTTTCTTGCTCTAAGAACCTTACTAGTACGCTTGCTACTACTAGTAGTCCAAATAGAATGGTAATTTCTCTTACCAAGCATTCTTTTAGCATTCTCTTCCCTGTCTTGTTCTCGTTGTCTTTTCAATCAAAGATAATATTGCTCTAGATCTATTTGACTTTGAGTATAAGTCAAATTTTGCTGATCGCCGTTTTGGGAATTGATTGGACCGGATTCGTCCCGTCGGGGCTTGACAATGGAAGTATTCGCAGTAATGCCATTTAACAGTAGATTCCCTATTCTTTCTAAGTATTCTCTGAATAGATTCCGAAGTAAAATGACATCAATTCGAAAATAAAACCTACATATTAATTCGGTAGTCTTACTACGCTGTTTATCTACAGTAGTTACTAAGGTAGCAACTACAGATACGCAGTCCCGTCCGGAACTTTGATTGGCCGACATGATTTTCAACCTCAACCTCAACTTTCACAATACTCCAAGGTTCAAGGCTAACACCCACCCACGTCCCAATCTATACATCGAATACGCTATATCGCATATAAAACTACACCCAATACCAAGAAACACATCGCCATGCCCCGCAAGAAGCAAAAGGGTCCCCCTCCCCGCGCCAATCGTCCCGGCGGTCCTAAACAGGACCAGGGCGCTGGTCAAGGAAAAGGGAAAACTGCGCCCGCCTCTGCTCAGCAGAAGGGTGGAAAACAGAATCCGGCCCAAGGCTCTGGGGCCGGAAATGGAAGTGGACCGCAGAAGTTGCAGGTTTTGCAGCAGAATCAGAGGCCTATTGTGCCGTTTTTACGGGGGGGATCGGATTTTGTTGATTGGAGAGGGTGAGTGGTTGCTTCTTTTTCTTTTCTGGGGGACTTTGCGGGTTGCTGTTTTTTTTTTTTTTGCTTTACGCAATTGGGGTTTTATTTGTATTTGGCTGGTTTGGGGTATATCTCCATGTTTCATACCGCATACACGAGTAAACGCGATGATTGATCCAATTTTTGGAAGTGCATGCTGTTAGAAATGGCATCGGCATTGGCAGACAGAGATACAATTGGATGAAATAAGGAAACCATGCTAATTTCAATCACAGGTGATTTTTCTTTTGCCCGATCTCTGGCAAAGCAATACAAATGCCGCAAACTCTGCGCCACATGCTACGATGACAAGGAAACACTCTACAACAAATACCCGCAAGTGGATTCGCACATTCAAGAAATCCTCTCTGCAAAATCCAGCTCCACTGAAACGGACAAGGAGAAGCAAGAAAGCGCCGAAGACTCAACGCAACAATCTTTCTCAAAATCCGGTCCCAAGATCCTCTTCTCCATAGACGCACGCAAACTCGGCGCCCAAGGCGGCGGAGGCAAAGAACTCACAAAAGGCTTCTCCCGCCGCGAACCCAAAACACCCGCCTGGAAACTCCACCAACAGCAGCACCAGCAGCAACAAAAGCAAGAGCAGCAGGAAGCCGCCCGACAAGATGCTCAGAACGGCGGTCAGGCGTATGCCGCCAGGATGAAAATGCAACCGACTACGCCGAAACCGACGACGACGAGCGGGCCTTGGGATGTGATTTGTTTCAATTTCCCGCATGTGGGTGGTCTCTCGACGGATGTTAATCGGCAAGTTAGAGCCAACCAGGAACTTCTCGTTTCGTTTTTCAAGGCGTGTGTTCCTCTTCTCTCCGCAGCGCCGGAACAGGCTGGCTCGGATGATGAGTGGGAGTCTGGTGATGAGGATGAGGAGGAGTTTTCTGATGACGAGGACGCTGGACAGGGCGAGGCTGTCGTTGCGGACATCCAAACTACCGGTAAAACAACCCGGACTGGACCGGGTCAGATTCTCGTCTCGCTTTTTGAAGCGGAGCCGTATACGCTTTGGAATATTAAGGATTTGGCGCGGCATGCGGGGTTGCAGGTTGTTACTAGTTTCCGATTTCCTTGGTCCTCGTATGAGGGGTACTCGCATGCGCGGACTTTGGGGGAGGTTGAAGGGAAGGATGGGCAGCGGGCTGGATGGCGTGGGGAAGATCGTAATGCGAGGATGTATGTTTTTGAGGTGAAGAAAGAGGGTGATAAGGGCGAGAAGAAGATTCCGAAGAAGAAGGTGGAGACTACTAAAGGTGGAAAGACGAAGAGAGTGAGAGATGACTCGAGTGATAGCGAGTAATTGGGCTTGAAACCCAGCGCTGGAGTGGCGAAGTCCAAGGTTCATCAAGGCTCTACATATTTATCAGAAATGGTTTCGAAGGAAACAGCTAGATACTAAGAATAAGTTGTATTGATATTGAAATGTTCGGATCCTGCCCGAATGAGATTCATTGAGTTCAAGTTTGCGTTCATTATACTCCCTTCCTTCACAGTATATACACCTTCTTCATATCACTTTCCGGGAAAACTTCGCCCGTTGTCGGATCCTTCACCATCCCTTCTTCGACAGAGCCTACTTGCCTGCTTATATCCAGCAAACGAGACTTACTGTACACCCGGCCGTTGGGCAGCACAACCGAGTCGCCTTCAACGTAACTTTTGGAATGATGCGCGTAGGGCATCTTACGTGCCAAGTCGTTCAGTTCTGTTGAGCATATCGGGCAGACGGAGGTCGCTGTGGATGCTGAGTTGCAGCTCGATGTGGTGTAGGCCGAGTGGCAAAGTGGTGTCTTCAGCGCAGACAGTCCAGCCGACAAAGCAATATGTAACAATGGCTGCGATGGCAAGGAAAGCAGCTCATGGTGAGTCTTTATGAAGAGGTCCGACAAGTACTTCCAACGGTCTTTTGAAAACAGGGTCTGCTAAACGTTAAATCTTATGCACTCGGTTCCTCGGGTCAGATAACTGACCTTATACGGCTCCGATCGGGTATCCGGGGTGATCACAAGCATTCCTGCTGCCCGCATGATTTCTTTATTCTGTGTCTCTTGATTTGTGACCAAATATCTCTTCGCATGAGCAATGGCCTCGATTTTCTTTGTTTGATCGCGTGATCGGACGAGCTCGATGTACTGCTGCAAGCGCAGTTCAAATTCCAAATTATGCTGAATCAAACAAATTAGTATAGCCGCCCAATATCCTTGAGTATCGGCGGGTTCCCTTACCTGGCTTTTCTTCAACGCGGCTTTATTCTCACCGCACCACTGGAGCGCCTCTTTCGTCTCTCCTTGGCGAAGACACTCGACAATCCGCTGACACTGCGTAAAAACACCCAAATCGACGAGTTCTTCAATATCCCGCTCTTGCGCTAGCTGCTTCGCACTTTCTGAATATCCCGACCGTAGCATATGATCCACTAGTAACCGATCCAGTCGCACCCGAGACCACTGATCATATTTCACATCCGCCAAGCTCGGAATCTTATGCAGGGCCTCTAAATGCTGGATACGTTTCCGTGACTGGTTGTGGATTTTCTTCTCTTCCTCCTGTAAGCTCTGCATTTTGCGTTTCAGGCCCTGCATGCGGGCGAGCATCGCATCGAGAGCGGCTAGCGTCTGGTCCGGGGTTTGGGTGTTGGATAGGGAGGCGTTGGCCGCTTCTTTAAGGGCTGGGATGACATATTCCTTCTCTCGTTCGACGGATCTTTGAACGGACTTGAAGTTTCGTCGTGCTAGGTCATTGGGGAGGCGGAGGAGTGGTTGGTCCTGTTCAAGCAGTAGTTAGCTTCCGGTTCCGGTTTCGGCGCTCTTTGAGATACGCTGCTACCCACTAAGATGATATGACTCTCGGGGTTGAGCTTGATAGAAGTGAGCTCTGCTGCCATGCTGGTTCTGAGCGAGGCTGTCTTGGCTGTATCTGCCTTTGGTGTTCTGTTCTTGAGGTGAGGAGAAGATGCGGTGATGACGGAGGGGAATGCGGAGAGTGGAGACCGGAACACGGTGCACGGGCACGGAGGTCACGAGATCGTCATGCAATCAGCAGCCAGTGAGGTGGTGGAAATGCAGAATACTTAAAAAATAACGACTGTTTACTAGCAAACATTTTAGAAGTGGGATTAAGATCTGGGATTTTAGTTCCTCGGTTTTCTTTCGGTGGCTTAGTAATAGCCTGAGTAGTATAGACCTTCTAAAATTGTCAAATAATCATTTTCTTTAGTGAGTAGTACCTACTAGGTAGAGCTCTCTAATTCCATAAATATTTAGGCAAGGACCGTGACGACATGCAGGTGCTAAAACACTACGGGACAACTTATAGTACTAGTACAGTCGCAGCTTGGAGGAGTACGACTAGTAGTACTCATGATTAGGGCTTTATATGGTCTGCCTGTCTATCAGGTGAACACTCAATTCAAGTTAGTGTACGGAGTACCTTTGTCTATTACGCACCTGGGCACTTATTCCAATCATTGCCATGCTTTACATGAATCTGCTATGTTGAGTTTCTGGTACATACGACCATAGGGTGTGGAGAACAGGGCTTCCCGTCCGCTCAGCCGTACTTAAGCCACACGCCGGCAGGTTAGTAGTATGGTGGGTGACCACATGCGAATCCCTGCTGTTGTATGTTTATGATTTTGCTTATTTTTTATGGTCTAGCTCTTATATCCTGCCTGCACCACAGAATTTCTACTAAATCTCTTAGTATAGCAACTTATAACGTAATTCCCGGTTGACCTACGCACCCGGTTGACCTGCGCACCCCACCAGAAATCACATCCTTCTACCAACCCTTCGAATTCAACCACCTACCATACCACCAATTCGAACTAAATCTAGCCATAAATTGGCCAATCAAGAGGGTAAGATCTTATTAGCCCTTTCCGATTTAAAAGAAGGCCAAATTCAATCTCTTCGCACAGCGGCTAAGTTATATAAGATACCAGAGAGTACACTACATACCCGCGCGTCTAGTACACAATCTCACGTTGACCAGCGCCCAAACCACCATAAGCTTACCCAATTTAAAAAGGATTCGCTTACTGAATAGATAATCTCTATGGATACACATAGGGCAGCTCCTAGGCCCTCTACAGTACGAGATATAGCTAATATCCTACTAGCTACGCATAGTAACCAACCACTAACTACCGTTGGTAAGAATTAGTCATCAACCTTCATCAAACGCCGCCCTAAGCTTCATACACGCTTCTCACAAAGATACGATTACCAAAAAGCTCTAAACAAAGATCCAAAATCGCTTCAGGAGTGGTTTGCAACCGTACAACATACAATCAATAAGAAGAGTATACAGCCAGAGGATATCTACAATTTCAATAAGACTGACTTTACAATAGGCCTAATCTCTACACAGAAGGTAGTTACTAGAGCAGAATACTATAGACAAAGATCTATCCTACAACCAGGGAATCGTAAATAGATTACTACAATTAAGACTATATATACAGATAGCTATTCACTTCCGCCATATATTATCTTTCAGACTAAGGTCTATATAACTAGTTAGTTTGATAATCTACCTAAAGATTGGCAATTTAAGATCTCTACCAACAGTTAGACTACCAATAAGATTAGTCTACATTAGTTACAGAAGATCTTTATACCATACACTAATACCCGCGTACATAGTAGATACCGTCTATTGATTCTTGATGGTTATAGTAGCTACCTTACACCCCAATTCAACAGAATCTGTACAGAAAACGATATTATACCACTCTATATACCTGCACACTCATCACATCTTTTACAACCTCTAGATATTAGCTATTTTACGGTACTAAAGCGTACATATAGTCACTTTATAAGCGATCTTGCCTATATAGGATATAACCATATCGACAAACTTAATTTCCTAGCGGATTACCAACACACACAATTAGAAGCCTTTATACCGAGTACTATTTAAAACAGCTTCATCACTACTAGTATAAATCCAATTGACCCAGAGAAGGTCCTTTTAAGGCTGAATATCTCTCTACAAACACCTACACCACCAAACAGCAGACCAAGCAGCAGATCTAGCCAATTTACACCAAAAACACCTAGAACCGTCACTCAGCTATTCAAACAAACTTCTCTATTAAAAGACCTACTAGACCGGCAATCACATACCCCTCCAAGCCCAACTAAGACAGTAGTAGACCAGTTAATTAAGGGTAGTTATCTATCCTTACATAGCACTGCACTACTCACGCAAGAGAACGCCAATCTACACACAGCGAACGAGAAGAAGCGCCAAAAACGCAACCGGTCGCATAGGCAGATACCCCATAAGGGTGGTCTATCGGTCGAAGAAGGTCTACTACTAGTAGAACAGCTAGTTCAGGAGGAAAAAGCTAATAGGGTAGTATTACATACACTAGGCGAATTGCCTATTCAGACAGATCCCCCACGAACTAGGGCACCTCCTAGGTATAGTAAGTGTAGGGAAATTGGTCACAGGATTAATATATATAAAAATCGCTTTATCTAGTTAAATTAATACGTGTTGGTTGAGATAATTGATTTTGAAATTCTACACTGGGGTGGGGTACGCAGGTCAACCGGGTGCGCAGGTCAACCGGGAATTACGTTAGTCAGAACGCCATTATACATAACTTGAATGAAGTCCGAGCAGATGACCACTGTCCAAGGGCAACAACTAGCAAGAATTCCGGTCCAAGAAGACCAGTAAAGAAGAGATTCATCTTGCCAACACCTCGCTTAAATGCAATACCCGATCTTGGAGGAATATTAGGATAAAAGAAGACCAGCAGCAAAGAATGATAGTCAAAATGCAGTTTGAGAGGATAGCCAATGTCCCTCGCCTGTCGGGCTCGTCGACCCAGCCAACATTGTTCGCTGTACTTGTTGACATTGTTCAGAGGCATATAAAATCTGGAGCGTTTACAGTGGCGTTCTAAAGGTTTAAAACACCCTGTGCGACCGCCTTCCACTATATTAGTACATCGCCCCCTATTCTACTACGCGACATGCGTTGTATATAGCATATTATACACATTCCACGCGTTATATTGAGCTATTTGGGCCTTTAGAATGCCACCGATTCGTCAAAATGCTCTGCAATTGGTGCAAAACTAATATGATACACCGTCACAGCATCCAAATATGACACAACGCTCACGCCGGTGTCAATTAGCACCACATGAAGTTCGACTTGTTGAATTAAAAGCTATTGGATGGTCATATACTGAGATCCATGAACGCTATCCTTATATTTCTACTGGAACAATCAGAACTACAGTTGCTTGGGCAGAAAAATGAGGCCTAACTCAGGCTATATTACCTTATTCTAGTACACTAAAAAAGTTGGATAAAATAGATCGATTGAGGATACTTTACTTGAAGTAATATTAGAGAACCTACGAATTAAGTATAATACTCTACTAGCTTTAATTAACTTTAAATACGGTCGAGTGACTATTTGGTAACTTCTCCAAGGTAAAAATAAACGGAAATAGCTTCAACTTTAATAACCTGAGTTAACTGACTAATAGGCTTACCAGAGACTAGCTTAGGTATATTTAGTCTAAAATTATAACTCTTAAAAATAGAAAAGGATATATTGATCAAATAAAATAACTAACAAAAAAGGAAAGGAGGACAGCAAGAGTGGACTTTTACACTACAAAATCACCAGATTACAGAATAAGATATTCAATAGGTCCCATATTATAAAAGTATTGAGTAAATACTTTAGGCTATCTTTTCGGGGACAGGTTATTGATCCGGACTTATTCCACTCTTTAGAGATCCAAATTCTCCTAATAGAGGAGTGAGCTAATTTATTATCTTGAAATTATATCAGCGTATACTTCTAACTTTGCTAAGTGGAGTTAAAGGTGCTATGTTTCAATAAGACAATACTTCAGTTTATACTAAATTTATTGTTCGTGATTGGATTACTGATTAGGACTATAAGATTATGAAATAGCCTTCATATTCGCTAGATCTAAGTCTGATTGAGAATTTATGGTCGTTACTAAAGAGAAAGATATATGAATTACACCCTGAGATTAGGGGTATACCAAACAATAACGATACTCTACAGTTTATTATTAGGGTAGCACAGATAGCGTGATCTATGATTGACATAGCGATACTAGAAAATTTAGCTATTACTATGCCACACCGTGTATAGCAAGTTATTGAAAACAATGGCTGGTATACTAGTTATTAGCAATTGTCAATACATGAGGTTTTTATTTTGTGCCGGTCGCGAGGTTTTAGTGCGGCAGAAAAAGCGGCAGAAAAATCGGGAGTGTTTCAAACTTTTGGAACGCCACTGTAGCCATCAGACACAGGAAGATGGATGTGCCTATTTAAGATAATTCGAGCTAGGCAGCCACTGTATTCAAATTCTGAGGCTGGTTCCCCGCTAGAGAGCGTGAATCTGGCCCAGCCTATCACAGCCCATCCCGTAGCGCCGATCTATTTTCGGTCGGTGACTGAGAGAAATGTGGCATTCTATTCTTAGGAACCCATACTTACTCTCCGGCGGTTTGGAGATTTTGTTCTTGCTAAATATTACTAATATAAACTTCGAGCTAGTACGGAGTACCTTGACGGGAGCGGCCCGCAGCTTTAAAGTGTCAAAGTGTTATTAGCTACGTCGGGTAAGAAACAATAATTCATCTTGATGGAAGTAGCAATACCCTGGTGGTAAAACCATGGCCTTTAAAAAAAAGCCTACACACGATTATTGAGGGGTTGTAACCGCTGACCATTGGCGCAAAGGGCATTTTGACTTTGACACATAAAATACTATCCTCCTTGATCTGGAGGCACTGGAGAAATTCTCCTGTACCGGAGCGCAGCTGATGTATGGCCAAGTGTGAGAAGGGTGGGTGCCGGGCAATTATCACACTGCATGGGCGCCTCGGCATAGGGCGCGAGCTGGGTACCCGCTTCATCCTGCAACCAAACATAGAGCTCCTTCGGGAAAACCCAGCCCCAGGGCTAGCTTGCAAGGTGAACTGGGTAAGCTTGATTGGGGAGGTTCTGGTCCGCGTGAAAACTCCTAGTCTCTTGGCATCTGCACATAGCCACCCAAGCTAGGGACTGAACTTGTCGAAGCAGGTAGTGTCTATGCAGGGGTGATGTCGCGGGCACAGGGCAGACTCAACAATTACTGAATCTAGGTCAATCTGGTACTTATTTCTAGGCTCCTGCATATCTGTTAGTCCTAGGGGCGTGTAATCAAACCACTGGCAGAGTGCCAAAATGATATTTCGAGCTTCTTGCATCGGAGACTAGCTTAAAACGACGCTAGCGCTACATCAACTTAATCGCTATTATATTAGGTTTCCCCTAACTCTTGCCAACATCTATTTCAATGATATGTCAATGATGAACATCACTCGCACGAATACCCGTGACTGGGTTTCTGAGCCCGACGGAAGAGGAACATGGGGCATTCTATCTACTTGCGTTCTCACAATCATTCTCTGTTGCTGGACGTCCGTATCCCCGAATCTGCCCGCCCAGCCCGACGGTGCGTTCAGGAGATGGAGATACAAGTTCGATCTTGCTTTTATTACGCTGTTAGGATCCGAATTTTTATTGATGCTAGCTCTGGGCCAATGGTCATCTGCACGCCGTTCAGTTCATGTTGGTGATAATTTACCCTCCAGTCGGTTTGATGTCGAAGCTAATAACTCAGGATTTCCACGAGGCTGGATATAAGGGCTGGACTATTACGCACGCATTCTTTGCCGATATGGGAGGCTTTCAGATTGAACCACCAGATATAGACCTCTTACCGTCGTTCCCTTTAGACGCTAAGCAGCTCTATATCCTCGTTAAGGAGGGATATATTGAATATCCACGTTTGGAAGAGGATGAAATCAAAGATAAGAGTAAAACAGATGGAGTGGCCAAGTAATTTATCCGAATTGCACTTTTCTTTATCTATCATACTGACCTAGGAAGATTGATTACAGTAGCCCAAGCACTCTGGTTCTCTTTGAACTGTATTACTCGTTTCGCTCAAGGACTTGTTGTTACCACCCTTGAGATTACTACTCTCTCCTTTATCCTGGTTTTTCTTGTGACATCCTACTGCTGGTATCACAAGCCTATGGATGTCAACATACCGATCATTTTGAAGCCTAAGAAATCTGTGGCTATAATTCGGAGCAATTTTAATCAAAATTATGAATCAAAGTGGTATGAAACACCGCTCGAGTTCCTCTCGCGGGATGAATGGTTTTATTCTCGATTTTGGAGATATTACATTCAAATCCTACACTATATGCATATACCGTTATTTACTCTACCTGAGCGACAACCATACGATCGCATTCCAAGTTTTTCTATCCCAAGAGTGAATATTCAGGCGGAGATAATCTGTGCTCCAACAATCCTTCTATTCAGCTCTATATTCCTCTTTGCGTGGAATTCTGAGTTCCCTTCCGCGACAGAGAAATTACTTTGGCGTCTCGCTAGTGTGTATACCCTAACCTATGGGTTGCTTGGAGGCCTTCTTTCGCTATATCTCCATAAGAAAATTTTTCAGCCGGGGTTAACAAAAGCAATGCCACAGGCCAATGTGAAGCGGAAACTAGGGACTGAAAACAAATGGACCAGCCGTTTTGCTGAGAGGTTTAGGAATATTGACCCTAATCAAGATCCCAACTTGGAAATCCCCCTTCGAGCTTTGGTTCCAGTCACTATTTTTTGTGCCTTTTATTGTGTGGGTCGAGGTATAATCTTAACTGAAGACTTGATTGGACTAAGATTCTTGCCGGAGAGCGCTTATCAAACTGTCTCATGGTCAAAATATGTACCGCATTGGTAATTAGTCGCGGTTGGAATTTTTGTGAATAAGTGCTTAACAAGGACGAGGCGGTGAAAAGCCGGATATGTATAGATGCGCAGATGCTTATTTAGTGTTTTACCTAGAGCCCCTGACGACATGATATCCTCCATATTGTAATTGGTTCCCTCTTTCTTTTTTCCTTCATCCTGTTTGCCTAAGTCCTCTCAAGACAAAAGTTGTGCTTCTAACCTAGAGAACGGAGACTTGATAGACTACATATTGTTTTCGTTCCTTGGGACCCTTGAATCCTCTCCCTACTGCCATTCTACTCGCTCAAGGCGTTTGCTGACTGCTAGTGCGCATGTAAGCCGACACAAATTCCAGAGCTTCGACTAGGAGCAGTATTCATGAAAAAGCTTTGTTAAACGTTTAATATCTCTTGGCCTATGAATTCCAAAGCTTGAGGGGCACTGTTTTTTGGCATGATCATCCTATACAGCCAGAATTACGGCGTGAGACTAAATTGGAAAAGCAGGGCAAAAGACTAGCGATATAAAACGAGAGGGGGATCAGCCCCGACCTTTGTTTCCCAATCAATATTCAATTCCTTCCAGTCTCATCCCTTCTAAGCCGTCTTAATCTTTTATCCTCTACTTTTCGGATCCCGATCTACCCCAGATCCATCAATATGCTCCTACTAATGATAACCGAAAGTATCTGTGCTGTGGAAGCTATAATTAACTATGCGTTATATGATGATCTCTTCTTGTGAAGGGCCTGGAGGCTGCCGGTGCTACTATGGCCAGCTAGACAATAAGCGACTTGCGCTTACAGGGGACGCTACCCTAGGGCTTATTCTTTATGAGATTGTACTAGTATATGAAGACGAAGCCTCCGTTTGTGATACCCCGTAATGTTTATATTTCCGTTCTGTATTTAGGTAATAACCAGAAGATCTGTATAAATATATGAGTATGCCTATTTGCAAATCGGCCCAAGTGTTGGCATGCCCAAATCCGGGGCATACTTTTGAGATCAGGTGATTTGCATATATTCATAAATGTTAAGCAAAACCTTGGCCATATTGCTATTGCATTGAAGTATGCGGTGGGGTGGGGGGAAGGGGGGCATGGAGTAATATTAAAGGAGTGTTGCGTTAGTGTTAGAACTAAAGGAGCGGTGTGCTAGGTAATTTGATATTCTGGAGACGTTTCCTATCTTACTATCTTGCTATGCTAGAACATTAAGGTTGTGAGGAGCTCAGGTACTCACAGAGGTCAGGATACGGCGTAGCGCAGCAAGCAAAGGAAGTAGTAGCGTTCGACGAAAGTAATAGCTCGAGGAAAATAAGAAGGAAGCTAAGATGGAAGGCTAGATATACAGGTGTAGGTGTGGATGCCTAGAGTGGTGCCGTAGGCATGAGGCACCCACGAATGGTAAAAATACCAGTCCGTTGCAAAGGTAGAGTTGATATATCAGGAAAATTCAGAATACTAAGCATTTTATGATTGTTAATAATATTCCAAAGGCCAACTTGCTTATCATTATTATTGATGTTTGGAGTATTAACTCATTTAGCATTAGTGATATCTCCTGTTCTACTGCCTTATGATGGCCCTTTTCTACATGTTCAAAGCTGGAACCTTGACTATAGATTTATTATTTAGTCTCTATGATTATCATAAAACCTATGGATACTACTTATAAGTAAACTTATCGGAATCTTTAATTAGCCAAGTAGCTGCTAGCTCTGTAAATATCATGACGGGCGATTAGGCAAGAAGGTTGGATGTACGGAACGGGCTAGATCCTGCTTCGACTAGAGATATTGAAAAGCTGATGCGCGAAGAAAATTGAAGGAATCAAGGTATCTCCCTAAGGCCATTATCCTTTGCAAAGCTCACATGGCTATCTAGCGTATTTCCAATGAGGGGGCAGGGTATCGCATTACGGTATTCTGTCCTTTGATGATATGATTCCTCTTTTAGCCGTGATCGGGTAATAAGCCCTACATTCCCCGTTCTTATAATAGAGACTAGAAAAGAAATACCTAAGTATGAATTACTTGTAGTAGCTAGATAAATATAATTATAGGCCAATCAAGAGAAGAAAATCTATCTATTTTATCTGCTTGGGTATACTTTAGCGTCTTGCTATTTATATACCCTACTAAAATATTCGAATGCGGCTTTCAGATGCCAAATTGAGCTCTTTAGGCGATGGGCTGAAGGGCGCCTAATAGGGTGGCGAGCCGCCTAGAAAATAATCGTGGGCGCTTGGTTACCACTGACATACAATATCTTTTGTATGTTTTGTTTTTGTTTTAATATTTTTGCTTAAACTTTTTTTTATTATTTGTTGAGCTACGCTTATCGCTTCATTCTTCAGTCTATTCAGCCCTTAACCTGACACTGAACGGATGAAATTGTCGCTTGGCTGAACCTGCCGCGTTCTTTATCATCACATACCATCCCTATCACATTGCCTCGTTCCTGGGATAGGATAATGTAGCTTACGACCCTCTGAAATTCTCAATCAGAATATGCTACCGGCGTATCTTCTTCAAAAAGGGCCTCAATATACGTGAATGTCGTGGATGTCGTGAAGCAGTACTATTCGAGCTTATATCGCCCCAAGAGAAAATGAGAAAAACGGTGGCTATGTGTCTGGTTTAGCCTGCAATTAATAAAGACCTCCAGGGCTCTTGAACTCTAATCTTAGGGGGCCGCAAAGCTTAAATAATTCAATTCGCTCACTCTCTGGTCAGGGAAGTACCGATTTTAGCTATGACAGCTTTTTGATAATTTATTACAAGTTAAAAACACGCTATGATCTAAGAGGACGAATATGGTAATCAAGATTAGATCATTATAATATTCATGACCTACAAGGGAGAAAATGAAATGAAAATGCCAACGTTTGTTCATTTAGTCGATATTGACCATCACTCATTCCTGTTCAAAAGCCTGGGCAGCCTGGAGGTTATCCGAATTCTCGTTGCCATAATCGAGAAGCGCCTTGAGTGTCATGGGAAATCCACTGATCGCGGCTCTGTAGGGCTCGTGAAAGTCCACGTCAATTCGAACAGGGCCATCTATGCTCTCCTTGGATGCATGGATGAGGACGCTAGGTTTGAAGGGGGTTGTTTTTCCTTCTGGCCATAATTTGGACAATGGTAGTAACTGCTCATCGTTCACGTAGAAGCCCCTTGTCATCTTGATAAGGGCTTTGAATCCCGGGTTGTCAGGAGGTAATCGGCAGCATATCCATCCCCGAATGACGACTGATCCCTGTTCATCTTCCATGTATATCATTTTGAAGAAAAACAGGCTCGCCCGCAACCGAACTGCGAGACACTGCAGTGTGTCATTTGGTGCCTGACCTAGAATCGGTTCAAAAATTGAAGATGAAGATTTCGACTCGCTGTAGAATTCGTGACCCGCCGCAACCTGTTGCATCTCGTGGATTTTCCCAATGTCGTCCAATTTTGGCTGCTCAGAAAGCTTCACATTCAACCTTGTAGCTCGGCCTAATAATCTATCGTCGGCCGTCTTCCCGAATGTGTTCCACGCTGCTTGGCCGTCCATCGTGCTGAAAAGAGTCCTTACGAGATTGACAAGGGACTCTGGAACAAGGTGCCAAGAATTTGGTTGTTTAGCAGGTCCATCTGCTTTCCCGCATCCGACAGACAGAAGTAAATCGAAGTTGATATTCTTGCCCCAGATGGTTTTGGACTCACTCACAGCATCCTGAATCGGGTTATTCGCCTTTAACCCACCATCCCAATAGACGTCATCCGACTGCAAAGCTCCTTCGAAATACATTGGTGCGGCCGAAGTACAACGGGCCCTGGATTTGTTAATTGCCTGATTTGATGTACTTTGGTGAAGGGGGCCAGTGAATGAAGACTTACGCTCTCCAGTCATCCATACGCGAATCGACATAATGTCCAGTGCCTCCAGGGTGATAGTTGGCGATAAGCTTGAGATCAACACCGACGGTTGTGGTAACAGCGACTCGACAGGGGTGCCGTAGCCCATAAAGCTGAGTAGACTCGCAACCGGGGCCTGGTGCGAATACGCTGCGAAGAGCGGATTCAAGTTGCTCGGTGTGATATATGGAGCCTCGAAACCACCTAGCTACCCAGCTAACGCCACGAGCCTTCGTCCAGGTCTTGTGGCAAAACCCATTTCGGACAAATAGATAGAAGCGACGCCTGCATTCCTTCACTTCAAGACTCTCGACACCAAGACCAAGAGCGATGATGCCACCTGTGCTGCATGAGTATTATTTAGGTGCGGATAGACACAGATACTACGTACCGGCACTAGTACCAATTATGAAGTCAAAAAGTTGGCTTAGAGGAATCCCCAAGCCTACTTGGCTCTCGAGTCGAAGGAGAGTGGTAATTTCAACAATTCCACGGACACCACCACCATCTAAGGATAGTACTCGCACCCCAGCCAGATCGGGTTTGATTTGAGCTTTGTATGGCCACTTGTCGTTGGTCGCTTGGCAGATGATGCAGCTATGATGAACAAACCAGCCAGGATAGCGCTTGTCCATAGGAGTGTCGTCAAAGTCCTGGACACAGTACTCACAGATGACATGGTCACACGGGAGCCGGTACTCTGGCCGCCCGAAGAAGCAACCATAGCAGACATTTGTCTGTCTGATATCTTGCATAATAGAGCCGTCAATGATACGCGGGAAGCCATTCAGCAACCGAAGCTCCTCTAAGTGTCCCCGATGGATTTCAGCTGCATAACTGCGCCATTGGCTTCGGCTTGACGGCGCCTTAGAGTGGATATCTGACATTACTTGATGAACCGCGGCCTCAACAGTAGCAAGGAAGCTCTTTGAATCAAAACCGGGACTCATGAACAATCCTTCTTTGAGCAATCCGCCAGATTTGCTTTGATGGCCCTGTGCGTGACCAATTTGAGTGTTTACGCACCTTTGGCCACTCTCTGGGTCAACAAAGGCACATTGGACGTTCTGCTGGAGAAAATGGGAAACGGCTCTGCTGCAAAGAGACTGGATATCCTTATTGAATACGACAGAGGGGAGTAACACCGCGTCTAGTAGTAAATTTAGTTTAAAGAAGGGCCCTCTCGCTCATAAATCATTATACGAAAAAGAGTGACAAAAGAGGAGGAAGGAAGGCAGATAAAACAAAAGCAAAGGGAGATGAACTAACTCTTCTTCTCCTCCTTAATTGTTTGTCTTAGTAGATTCGAGGCCAAAACTTTCCCAGCGGCTTGGAACTTTTCCGCTATATGACCTTCCAGGCAGTAGCTAAGAGCCTCTGAAAAGTGCTCTTCTGTGGATTCAGGGATAGATACTTGTTGCCTACACTGGCCGAAATCGAATGGGTCGGTGTTGCCGGATGCTAGATGAGTGAAGGCGTAATGGCCAATCAAGGATAGCTGTCGGGTGTCGAACCTGGTCCAGGAATCGGCTCTCATTGACTGTACACGTTGTGAATCCTTACGAATTCGGTGCGCAAGCTTCTTGGTCTGCCTTATTACAGAGTCAGTTGTTCCTGACTTGTATCCTTCGAGCGGCACATAATGCACGTAGACACTCGAGAAGCTTCGGCTAAAGAGCTTTTTCATCGTCTTCTGCTCGTACTATTTACGTGGCACTGGATTTAGCTATATAAATATGAAGGAACAGGTAGAATACTCACCTTGTTTGCTAGATTTCGCAAGTAGTTGTTTTCACTAATTTCCTTCTCGATAGCGGAGAAAAAGTCCTCTGTGGCAGCGTCGGGATGCCCAGAGAGCCATTCTTCATTTTCCAATGTCGGTCCATTTAAGATAATGATTAGGGCCGGAAGTGCATGTTGGTTGATGGTGTTTTGTGCGCCAATCATGGACCACTCAAGCAGTCGGAGGGCAGAGTCCGCCCAGGTTTTATGATTTCTTGTAACGTAGCAAACGACATCGCTGAAGATGTACAGGAACCGAGGATAGAGACTCTGGACAGCAGTACGACGATCCATGTATTTACCGTCCTTCGCAGCAACAGGATATCTTTTCCCCTGTCTTGCCCACTCTTTCTGATGTTGGGCCGCGAGCGGCTCGGTCCCCATCATCCCCTCGCAGTCCGCGTAGAAGGTTGGTGCCTCAGTCCCGAAAGTAGTAGGGTCAAAGTAGAGGTTGACCTCCCCGGTTGTTGAGAAGATGGCAGAGTTTCCATTCACAGCTCCAGGCACTGGTGCTTCGAGGGGGCGGAATTTTTCAGCTTCTTTGGAGCCATGGATCATGGACCGGACTACGGTGCATGACAACAGGATAGTGAGTTAGTGTGGGTCCATATAAAGACTATCGATGGTCGCAGGGCAGTGGCATACTCAGTGTGGATTTTCCTGCACCAGTCTCTCCAACAAAGGATGTGATGCTAGGAAACTGGCGTTTTGGACTGCTCTCACGGTAATGGAGAGATATTGTCATGAGCTCCTGAAGACGTTTGGTTTCGACGATTGATGTGAGACGGTCTCTCTGTCGGTTGGTCTCTACACAGAGACCAAACCATTTGGTGGCTTCGTCGTCCTTAAATTGAGTTTGGGGTGTGCTGGTCAGATGAGCAAGCTTCCCGGAGATCCAGTTCCAGGCGTCCTCTGCCATTCGGTTGCTTCTTTTATGCGTCCTTTTTCTATTGAGGTGCCCCTGGAAGCATTCCTCGCAATATTCATTACCGCAGGAGCAAAGGACAGTCCATGGCATCGCTTCACACTTTTCGCATAGTTCGATTGAACTGGCCATCGTAAAAACGTATCAATATAAACTTTATCTATCTGAGAGAAGATGTCGGTAGTTCAGGGAACATTCAGCTTTCAAGAATTTCATGCAATAGGGAAACACATAGGGTCTTATACTCATCAATAGTTACTCGGTGGCGTTCATGTAGAGATAAAATACCTAGGTATATTGTCCCGGAATAAGTTCCAAGGATGAAAGTGCCTGCCCCGGGTGGGTAAAAGTGAGAAAGGGACCCGTCTAGTAGCGCCCGGGCGAGGAGGGGGCTGATCAGCCTTTGGCGGTTTTGCGGCTCATTGGATGACGCTTTGCCTTTTATAGAACAGAAAATGGTACAAGCGTGAGATAAAGATGCCCATCATCTGCATTCTCCGCTCCACCTAAGCGTCCCCACTAGCTGATGACTCTCAGTGGAAATAGGACAACACGAGCCTTTGGCAAGCCCTGGCAGATAGCCCGATTGGATGTTATATGCAAGGCCTTCGGGGCTCCCGAGCAGCCTTATTCGCCAGAGACGGCTAATCCCGAAGTCTGTACCCACCGGCACTTTCTGAACCTGTCCTGGGCAACACAAGGGGTCATCGCCCCTTTTCTCAACTAGCGCTCCAGCTAGTCCACATCTATCTAGTAGGTTATTCGTGCAAAAATATGGCGTGCTTTAGTCCGTCTACATGTCACCTGGGCATGGGGATAATATATCCCTTGGTGGCTCTATTCAATAACCGAATCGCTGCAAAATAAAAATAGATTTAACCACTAAACCTAAAGCGAATCCGTTCTCGATCTATTGGGTGAGGCTTTCAAGTTTATGAGCCCCCTCCCGTAAACATTGGAAACCAGACTGGGGACATGTACGAAAAATGAATCCGCTCACAGTCTGTTGGCGAGATTTACGATCAACTTCCGGCGAAGGGTCAGTGTAAAAGATCGTTTATACCTACTACTACCACCACCAGTGTAGCCGAGGCTTCGAGACTGCAAGATCAGGAGATAATCATCCTATTAGGAGAGTCCAAATCGCCCTTTCGACCGGCTCATGATAATGCCCAGGAGTCTTCGCGAGTTTACCACCCTTTTGCTTTTGTCGACTGGGGATCTGGGTGAGAATAGCCCTGAGTCATGATAGGGTCGCATTGACCTGCCCAAATAAATTGAATCCCATGATTATTGAATCGAAGCATTCCGCCCAGAGGCTTCTCGTATCTGCACATAGCCACCTTTCCTGTGCGTGGCATTACAGGTGCCAAAAGATTATCTCGCTGCTACGGAGGGGCCATTTAGCACCAACTAATTTATGCCTCACAGCTGATTCCCTGAGAAGTTTAGTGGGCCCGTCAAATCGAGGTAGATGAGACGATTAATCTCATATTGTATGGCATATTCAAGTTTACAGCGCTAAAGCTGTACCAATTTAACATCTAGATTTTCGACAAGAACCCCCACCTTGGACCTTTCGACATTGTAGGAATTCGAAATGATGGAATACCGCATAGTATTAGACGGAAGTTCAAGATACAGGGGCTGGATGGGATGAGAGATGGTGATCGATAGATGCTATGGAAGCCATCTGCTAACTACATGCTGTGGTGACGGAATGGCTAAGCCTGGTATAGGTCCTAAAAGCCAGATACCTCAGGTTCCAGCAGGAAGTGATAAAGCTGTAGAAAGGAAGAAGAGAAAGAAGCTCTCAGACTAAGGCCATGCATCAAATGGGGACCTGGTCTACGTGACCCAGTCATGCCACGTTCGTTACATTATCCCCTCCTCCGAAAGCCTGATCCACAGGCTTTAATTATGAGATTGATGAATTCTTGATGTAGCCATAACCTACTTCCTGCTCTGGACAGCTTACTTTGTAGCTGAATTGTTATCATTGTCATCTTCTTTAAATTTCTTGTCCTCGGGTGTCCTTAGCTAGATTGATAGTTATATTGGAGGACCTGGCTTTTCGGAATACCGGTTATAGATTGCTGAGTCTTTTCAGATGTTTTCTTATAATCGCATGTCGAACACTAATTTGAGTCTTTACTAGTTTACGCTCTAAGATATTGTAGCCTCCTCTAATGTAGTCATTTAATCTCGTATCTGCGTTATAGTACCTTGTCAATCCTTTCCTGTCAGAATTTACAAAGACGACTTTTGTAGGTCAGTTTCGGCCTCTCAGGTAAAAGGGCTAAAGAGGCTCCTAATAGCTAGTAGGGGACAAGCCGCCGAAGACAAAATCGTGGGCACTAGGTGACCATCAACAGACAATATCTGTTGTATGTTTTTTCTCTTTTATTTTTGCTGGTTTCTTTGGTTAAGATCATCTGTTCCGGCTCTTGTTTATCTCAATATGTTGATTTGGGCTTAATTGGGCTTGGATGGGATCACCAGCCCCATGCCGAATCCTCAACGACTTAAGGACGGTCTAGAATAGACTATATTTGGCTCTCGGGCACGTAGTGTGTGTGCGTGTGTTAATGCTTTTTCGAAGAACGACTGAAAGTGAACATTCGCTTCAGCTGTTGGTCTGCCGCTGCCAGGGTTCGTGGAGGTGGGTCAGCAGGCACCAGTAACTTCTCATCATTCTTGAGATATGTGCTAACATCTAGTATCCGAGTGGTACTAGTGATAAGCAGTTTGACAAGCCTCTTGACGAATTTCTTCATTTTGTCGCAAAGATTCTGTGTTTCGTAGTAATTGAACCCGTCGATGATGATGAAAATTGGCTGACGCCGGGCCAAAGCTTTCACCATCTTTGAAACTATTGAGAAGAGGAAATCTTCAGTCATAATTGACCCAAAAATTTTAAAGGCCTGCACGTCATCTGAACTGAGACATTCGAATGTCCCTACTTTCCACTGCATGGCGAGTTGATATACTAGTGTTTTGATTATTGCCGAGGCGCCCGGCTCTTTGTTCTCGAATAAATTATCAGTCGTTTGCAATCCACAAAAGTGATGTATGACGATGATACTCTTCAGGCTTTGCAAGCTTTGGATCAGCAGAGCGCAGAAAAACGAAAGTGGGCTTATTCGCTGGACAGCGCAATTGCCGTTTATTACGAGCGCGCGTGATCTTCGTGATTTGAACCTTTCGTACACTTTGGGATCAGACATTGCCCACGTGGCCCGGTGCTGGTCCTCATCTGCCATAGAAAATCCGGCTTGTAGGACTTGCTGGAGAAGATGGGAGGGTCCCTCACCCGAGGACGTCAAAAGCGATGGTGTATCCCCCCCCCAAGTATTTTAGGATTTCCTTCGTGGTGATACATGGTCGCGGGTCTAGCGATTGGACGATCAAGGGCTGTTAGTTTCTGTAGCCAAGTTTCTCGGAACCCTGTGGTTATGCAAACTCAGCGGTCGTTTCGAAGTTGCCGCACACGGACCCTTACGCACATTTTGTATTCATATATTGAAACGCAAAGAACTGTTTAAGCTCCTTTTGAATTCATACATCATGGCCAGTGATCCTTTGACCCCATCTGCCACCTGCGCTAATCTTTTTTGATTGCACAATTGAATCGTCCGCTCCATATTTTCCGATGCCTTCCTCAAATTGTCAAGCTCAGCCCGTAGCGGCATATATGAGCTCTGGAGGAAGAGTGGCTTGAGAAACTCGACTGAGAGATTTGTCAGTAAGGAAATCCATTGTATCTCCATAAAGGACGCCCTGCATGACCGGTCTTTCGTCCAGAATTCAATTATACTTTCCATTGTAGTCAACACTTTGACGTCAAGCTGACATGTGGCCACCTGCAGAATCGACTCTAAGCTGTAGAGTTCTGCATACTGAGTGACACCGTCAATCCTTTTTAGATCGATGGATCACGGTTCCCGCTTGCGCTCAAGAGGTAGCTAGGCTGTCCACTTACTTCCAAGGTTACCACTGCTCGAAGCACCCGCGTCACCCTGTTCCCCGCTCGAGGCCAAACACAGAATGCCCAGGTGTTGTCCGACCTCGGGACAATGAATCTCGAAAAAAGTGTTTATGCTCATTAAGCCTCTATAACCAGCTTCCACGGTTTTTTTTTTCACTTCGCACCATTATTGCGTAGCAGTTCTCTGTGTACTTCGCATCGAGTAGCAGCACGGGATCTAATATTTGACGAAAAGCATTAACAGTTGGAAATTGCCAAGAAAGATAAAACCATTGTTCACTTAAGGTTAATGGATGGAAAGTTTGTGATATCCCGAGAGCAGGAAGTGTTCCTGCATAATATATACTAGGAGACTTTATGTCTGGCAAGGGCCTTTTTGGCCCGAGGCTATACGCAAACAGTAGTAACAATGTGGTCAACGAAAATAAACTATGTACGACGGGATAGCTTCACTTCGATCCCAGTCTGTCGCACGAAGAAGCTATTGTGGGTCGACCATTCCTTAGTCGGATCGACAAAACTTATATCATAGCGAGAAATAAGGGTTGCAAGAACCTTATACACCTCCACAAGACCCAGGTGCTTGCCGATACAAATACGGCTCCCGCCTCCGAATGCTAGATCAGTATTGTTCATTAGTCGAAGGCGTTCCTGGAATTCGTCTTCAGTCTCCCGTTTCTCGTCGCGAAGCCATCGCTCAGGACGGAATGTCTCAGCATCCTCCCCAAATACTGACTCATTCCGCCCGACAACGTAGGGATTCATTCCAACTACGCAATTGGCCGGAACATGACGTCCATCGGGGAGGTTAAGACCTCCATTTGGTACGTATCGTTCAAGAATCATGGCAACGCCCGGATGGCATCTCAAAGCCTCGCGGACAACAGCATTCAAGTATGGGAACGTCCTAGAATCCTTGTAGGACGTCGTTGAGGATGAATTAGAATCGTGGACGGGAATTTCTGACCTGAGCCGCTGCCAAACACTTGGTTGTTTTAATGAGTAGTATAATGCCGCATTGAGGGTGATGGCCGTGGTGTCCGCTCCAGCAATCATAATGACCATTAACCAAGAAATGATCAGCGTATCATCCACAACGTCTGGGAAATTTTCCTTTGCCTCGATGAATTTATCTAAGAAGTCCGGCTTCTCTGAGTCATGGTATGAGGCATCGGCGCCTGCAGACGGTCAACCAAATGTTGGACCGAGATATTGGTTATGGTGCCGAAAGAAGGCGGCCCAAGCTTATAAATTGGGTTCTTGTCCAGTAGATGATCCAGTATTGGCATCTGTCCGACTAAGGTGAAATAATCCATAGCAATATTGGCCGTGCCCAGTGTGCCATCAAAGTCGTAGCCTTTTTCTAGGTATCCGATGGGTTGACTAAACGTAGCTTGGCCAACAACGTCCCAGGTATCTATACCCGGTGAGTTTCAATAAATCATGGCATTGGTCAAGTTGTAGAATTAGATAGCGTGAATAGACTTACAGTAAGTTATCCATTCTCCTAGGTCGCATATTTGAGTAGAGTTAGGCCCATCCACAAATTTCTCGTCTAAGCGTTGACAAAAATACTGAATAATGTTGTCGATATGGGGCTCGAGGGTGAGAATCCCATTCAGAGAAAAGTACTTAGAGACGGGTCTTTTCTGCGCTGAATGTACCTCTGGCTTGCATTCGCTGAATAGATTGTAGATGATCTTGCCGTTATTCACAGCACTGCTACCGTGGTAAAACTCCGTCTAGAAAATAGAGCATTAGCTCTATCCCGTAAATGAGTTTTGAGAAGAGTTCTTCCATCGAAGTACTAGAATATATCTACCTTGACATAGTTCTCTTTAGTGTTGTAGATGGTCTTTATCAACTCAGGGATATCAAGATCCAAGATGTTGGGCGCTATTCGCACCACAGGGCCATACTTTTGATGCAACTTTTGAATCACCAAATGATAATTTCCTCGCCGGACATGGAACATTCGCCACAAATTAGTCCATCCTTGAGAGATAAATTTGTCAGATATAACGACTTTAATATATATTTTTGAGGTAGGTACCTAGGTACAAGTAACATACCAGCAAGAAATGGGCCAGGAAACTGGCGCAGGGGAGAAATTAGGTACGATCCAAATAACCACAGGGGCAGAATCGCCGCAAAAATATATGCAGCCCCTGTGGTATGGCTTATTGTGCTAGGCTCTAGCATTATTGCCCATGTAATTTCACGGAAGTTATTTTTCAAGGTTGCTGAATTAATCAAAGTTGAATTGCCAGTATGAAAATTGCTGATTTATGGAAATAATGTGAGTAATTCCAGAATATCAGTAGATGCGATTTCAAGTTGATAGCTTCAAGTTCGAAAACTACTAGGCGAAGACACGGGACGTCAAACTTTATATACCGTCCTTTTACAAGCGGGGCTGCAAGTGAGAACCTTGGAATGCCTGGGAGGAAAATTGCATGTCGCTTACGGCGCTGTCGATCTGGACCCAAATTTCACCTCGTATGCATCTCAAGTTACACAAGCTATCAAAGCTCGAGATATGGCTCGCCCTTCTGCATGGCTTAGCCCTGGAGATTTGTCACGGACCCCCGTATTTCGGTGGCAACGGTTATCCGGGCCAATGAGAAGGGGTGTAAACAGAGTGTAAGCGAGGCGGATGGGGAAGAACAATTTGGTTCCCCTGCGAGGGCGTCCACCAGATGACACCTGACATGTCGACTCATAGCTCTCGATTATAAAATATTCTCGTGCCGATCACGACCAATGTCACACAAAGCCAAGCCCAATGAGGTCATTAAGGTTCTCGCAGAGCGGTTCCCCCCCAACATAGGTTTACTGCAGTGAACCTTACAGCTCCTTTTACGAGTCCTCACAGTCCAGCGTGCGTGATTATGTAGTAGCCTCTGTCTCGCGTGCAGGTGAACATGCAACTAGCAGTGTGATGACGCTTGAACTCGTACTAGAACTGCGCAGTCTGTACCGGGAGAACTTGTTAGTTGCTAGTGGGCAATGATCCCTACAATTTGCAAATACGTATACATAGTCCGAATTGGGATCGGTGCTCAAATTGCTAAGAAAATGGAACGTAGAATGTAAAACCAAGAAGATAGTGAAATTGGAGGCCCAAGTAGAAGTATTGGCTCCGAGTCCGAGGCCCTCCGCTGTAAGCTGCTAAGGCCCGGCCCGGGCGCCCGGTCTGGCCGCGTTTCCCCACTTCTACCTCAGCTTCCCCGCCACAAATAGTTGAATCGGACCCATAAAAATTGGCTGTAGTTGATAGTCTGAGTAAACAAGACTGAAAAAGATCTTCGGAAGCATGAACTTGAGGGATCACAATTCGGCGCTACGAGTGGGGGTTAATTGAGGATCAATTACCGCAGCTCACTGGCCAAAAGTTCGAACAACACTAACATCCCTGGGATTCGAGCAAATTGATGGGCGGCGGAGACCAGTATATATAAAAAAGCCCTGTAGGACAGCAAGGAAATTTTTCCACATGGGCATGGCTTCCGGGTCAGCAGGACTAGGAATCGTAGCTCAACACTCCCTCAACACGATATGTTGTCAGTATTGATTAGTGGGAAGCCTGGGGCTGGGAAGTCTACCATTATGAATTTCGCATACTTGGATATGAAAATTTGATCTCGCAAAACCCGAAACGAGGTTATTATGAGAGATTTTATCGATAATAGAGCTACTAGTCAGTACATAAGATTATTCTAAGCTATATCTAGTACATACGACCATAGGGTGTGGAGAACAGGGCTTCCCGTCCGCTCAGCCGTACTTAAGCCACACGCCGGCAGGTTAGTAGTATGGTGGGTGACCACATGCGAATCCCTGCTGTTGTATGTTTTTGTTCCACAATGTTTTGATTGATCTACTGGGAGAGTGCCCTTGCCGCTTCAGCGCTTCACCTGAACAGATGACGCGGCCCCTTGCCTAAGCCTGCTTGCTGTCTTGAAGAAGCAATGATACTTTGAGCACAAGTGATTGAGAGCGAAGGAGATCAATTTGGGCTAAAGCACCCGCGAACGCTTTTGAGCATGAGAATCTTTGTATCCGAAATGCAAAGCATATTTCTGCCTGGAGAAGTAATGTTGCCAATAGACAAAGTATTCGAAAGATAGAAGATTATCCTTGGACTAGATAGACTATATGGAAATAACTTACACTCTAACTCTAATGGTTGACTTTCTTTAAAGAAATGATGAACTAGAAACTGCTGCATCTCTAGCGGAAAGCTTAATAAGTGTTCTTGATCGGATTCTTACTTTGCCCTTGTATGTTTAGATATGCTTGGATCTATACATCTTACATAAATTTAAGAAGAGAAGGTAAAAAGTTTTATGACGAAATTACTTGGAAGAAAGATGAAACTTTACGGGGAGGAGTATGTTGAAGTGTTTGACATCTAATTTGGTTTGGTATTGTTGTACAGAGAGTAAGGCTAACTTTGTGAGGCTAATACTCTCTATTGGTATATCTACTATGTTTACTAATAAACTCTAAGTATTAAATACCTAGATATGCTTTAGTTCCTTTAGAGTTTTGTAGATCTCTATTAAGTATGTAATGATCTAGTTAGTTCTAAGATATCATTGTTAATACTGCCTTGAATCTCTAGTTTAAGAGAAGTATTTATTAGTAGGGAGGATCCTTAGATACTTCAAAACTTATCGGAACTGTTAATAGAATATTGTTTATAGAAAAATCTGGTTGGTGCTGCTGTTTTATAACAGAAAATTCTTGAGATCTGTTTTCGGAAATCTAGGAATAGATTTAATGAGCTGCCACGGACGTATTGGTCCTTACCTAGGAAAGGCTTGGCTGTGATGAGGATGCTGAATTCTTGGAACAACTTTTTGATAATATTGATTTGGACGACGTATCCCCTGAGAAAATTGTAACTGTACTAGATTCTTTGGAAACTTTGGCAGGCATTTTGGAGAGGTCATCCTTAGTTGCGCAAGCACCAGGGGGAGGAGATTCATCCTGAAAATAAGTTTCATGTATTCTAATCTCCAAAATCTATTCTATATTCCGTACATTTTGTTCTTGGGTCGGGATATAGGAAATAACTAAATATGTGGCTCGAAACAATTGCAAGGGTCGTTCGCCGAGCGGATGCAAATTGATATATGTTTGAGCATCAGTGATTTTCCTGTCTCTCGGGATCCTATGATATCGTATAGACAGGAATTCTCAGGTGTCTCTTTCTAATCTAAGCCCTACATAGATAATAGTGGACTATGATCTCCCTATAAAAACCTTGAAAGTTCTGCGGATGGACCCATCTGTGGACATTCAGATGATTCGTTCGCCATCAGTCTCTTAGTAAAGTGAAATGATTTCATGGCCAATTCCTTCTCAAGCCTGACATGAATCCCATACTATCTAAGTTCTATTCAATTCCCTTGCCTGACTATAGGTTCCAATACAACAACTTCGAAAATAATTATATTTATCTATTCCTCTATAACGACATAAGATAATTTCTATTTTTTCCTACTTGAGTAAAGAATTTAGAGTACAATAGTTAGTATAGAAAGATAGGATATCATATCCTACGGAATAAAAAGGTCTTCGAAGGGAGTAGTAACTTAATAGAATGAGTATTGAGACATATATAGAGTCTGGGTAGATTGGATTTTTCGCAGTACTAACCATACCTTGTGAAGAATCTCCTTAAAAAGTGCTAGAGAATATCTTTCCTTTAAAGTTACATGTCTATAGCTTGCTTCTGCCAGATAGATTGTGATTTCTTCTCAATCAAAGCCAAGATACTATATTTCATCACTCTAGTATATTTTGACGCCGCAGCGAATTTTGTTCTGTCGGATTCTTGAATACGAATTCCGGATGCGAGTTTTGGCTCTTCGGGTAAAGGTTTGAACGGGGGCTGAAAATAGTGGACAAGCCACCTGGAATAAAATCGCGGGCACTAGGTAACCTCCAACATACAGTATCTGTGATATTGATATGTTCTTATTTTTGCTTCTTCAGTTTCGGTTGAATTAAGTGAGCGCATTTGTCGCACTACTTCACTACTCTCAGCCCAAGGCCCTGGATCCTACCGAAGCGCTGACGTGTTCCATCGTGTAAAATTTCCCTCCCAACTTCCCACCCCACTTCACGCCCATGTCCAAGTCTCAAATTTTCTTTGTACTTTTCCCAGTAGCCTGAACTGATTCTGATCGAATCTGACCACGTCAAAAGAAATCACTGTGGCTGCTGCAACTATCTCGCCTGGTCTTGGTCATCTTGTATTCAAGCACGTAGTGAAAATTATGACCAATTGAGTGACTTGAAGTGTCAATTTCCTTTTCGTATTTAACGATGGGCCGCCATATACGGCACAGGTCTTCACACTTGCGAAAGATCAAGTTCATGAGAGCGAAGTGAAGCCTATAGTTTTTAATTTCATGAAAAATACCTAAGTTGAAAAAGAATACAGTATTTGGTACGAAGATCGGATAACGAGTTCGAGTTATAGGAATAAACGATGCTAATAGAAGCAACCAAGAAAAAAGAATCGAAAACTATTCAGTAGCGAGGGCAACAGGGCTTGTATAATTCATCAATTCAATAAATCTTTCCCAAATCAATCGGACCAAGGATCATATTCCTCCGGCCATCCAAGATCTTCTGCAAGATCAGACCATAAAAAATTATCGGAATAATCGTCATATTTAGCACCATATTCCCAAGCTCGAGTAGACTGGGAGGCAGGCAATTTGCTTTTGGATTTCCCCTTGTGATGCCTTTGTAGGCGTTTTCTGAGCTTACACTCTTCCTCCCGACGTCGAGCATTTTCTGCCCACAATTTCAGTTCCTCTGGATTTCTGATACACCAGATGGCGATATCTCGTGCTGCATACGTGTCTTCTAAAGCAATATGCCCACAATTGCTGTTCTGTATATCCAAGCTCAAGAAATCCTTCGCAAGACTCTTCAAGCTCCACATACGAGGTAACGGCTTGGTGGAGATAATGGAAGGGAAGACAGTCTCGGCAGTCAAGATTGCAGTGTCAACAATCTTCGCATGACATATACCTAGGACTTCGAGATCATAGTTGAGAGACTGACCTACTAATATAGTCGAGTCGTCCATAAACTCCCATAATTTATTGCGCGCTTCTCGCCAGCTTTTAAACGCTGCACCAGAGTAGATGGCACTGGTCATGATATCTTCCGTTATTCCACTGAACTTTGACCTCCAGTCAACCACTTTCTCTGATGGTACAACGTAGCGACTTATAAGCACTTTTCCCGTTAAAAAGTCAACAGCACTGAGAAAAGCGAGTGCTTGGAGGCCATTTCTCACTCCGACCATCTCACAGTCAATAGCGATGGCCTGACAGAACCCCGTTGCTTGTCGATCTACATGAGGTGTCCCTCGAAATTCATGGGTCTGAATGGAGCCCTTGGATGGTAGTTGTTTATTTCTTATGGAACCAGGTCCGAAAACGTATTTTTCGGTCCGAAGACGATCCCATGAATGGCACTTGGAACGCAGATATCTCAAAATGAGACTTTGCTCCAAAGGGTCTAGAACGGCTGGGTGACTAGGGAATCCAATTCCCACGTCTGGCAAAGAATCTGTTGCATCTAATGTAAGCCTTGAATCAGCCGGTGGTTATGTTTTAGGCCAAGTACCTAGGGCTGGGCTTCCTTCGAAAGCCATTGGTGGTACAGAATCCAGGAAACTGGATGAACCATGATCATCGGAAATCTCTATTATATGTCCAAAAGGTTTTACCACTTCCTCAGGAGATTTTGTTTGGACATATCTCGAGGGTAAATTGGATGGGGATATCGGTTGAGCGTTGTTTGGTGTGTTTGTTGAAGCGCACTTAGAATTTTGATAATGCTGTATAACACCCAGCTCGTCTTTGAAGACTCTTTGACATATGGGACATTTTAAAGGGTGAAATTTAATTATGAAGTGATTTTTGACCTCAATCAAACTGCGAAAGTTCTTTCTCTTGCATCCAGGACAGGAAAAACGAGCTGAAGCTGCCATATTCAAAACCGAGAATTTGAGCCGAATTCCAAGTTTGATATGACTGACATCCAGACAAAAGTCTCCAGCTGAATGAAATTTAGGATCCATCACTCTTCTTATCTTTCTTTCCAATACTTTGGCTGGTACCCAAGGCGTACACGTAGTCCTTGGCATGCATCACGCCGCGGGAGGGTATTGGTAGGTACAAGGATTTCAAAGCCACACGCGTGCGATACGCCGCCTCACTTTCAGCTTTGCAGTCTACTCTGCGGAGAGACAAACTTGATCTTTGGCACGGGTGAGCGCTCGAAAATTAGATTTCTGGTCAGTAAAAACGATGTGGTTGTCTAGATGAACGCGCTAGATGGCCCTTGTCTAGGTACATAGACGTAGTGAGTTAGCCCTTGGCATGACCAGCCGACAATGGATCTGAGCCTAGACATCACCTGCGCCAATGTATTCTACGCAATCCTGCGGGCTTTCACAGGCTATCGTGCGTGTCAATGAACTGTGCAATTAATAGATACTGCCCTACTCCGTATATTCATCTGCATTCAAGCTGTTACTGAAGAAGCAGCTTGGTACACGCTAGTAGGAGCGGACCGGGCCGTGTGACCCAATCCTGCTTTTGTTTCGGTGTTAGTGCTTACGCGACCCAGCCTCCTTTTTTCCGTCGTTCATAATTGGTGAGAAAGTGTGCGTGTGTTTAACTATAAGCAATCTTCTGCCTGCAATGGAACTCTCAGAATTGACAAATGAGAGGATCTCTATCAATTCACCCTATTATTATGTATATTCGTTTGCTGAATCTTTCACGGCGGATATTCTAAAAGCTCGTGTGTTACGGACCTTGTGACGTAAGGGACCGCAACCCAGATGGTCCACCCCGGAAGCCAGGACCAGGAATATGTAGGTAAAGGTATTATAAGCAGCCTCTTCCCCATAGGGCCCCACTTTAAGGTCGGAACACCAAGGCTAGTAGGAACAACGTGTAATAGAGGTCATGTTGAGAGGAATAAAGTACATTTAATGCGCGATACTAAGTGTGAGGAAGAGAGGAAACAGGAAGATGAGGCTCTAAGAATACGCCGCGAGAGCTGCGCTATGCACGAATAGGCAACAGAGTCTGGTCCGGATCATTATATAACATAGGAACTGGCTTCTTTAATCAACATCTATACTATGCTATAATTACAATAAACAATAAATCTGGCAAGAGAGAACGTGACTACAGCTGGTAGGTGGGTACCACGATTGATGAGTAAATCATGCCAAGCTCTTTCTACTATCTTACTCTCTACCACCGATACCATTAAGGAGGAATGCACATATCAGAGATTATCTATTTGCGCACATCTATTCAGTTATTCACAGTCTTTCAATCTAAGTTACTGCAGGATGAACTTCGGGTTGTTCTTTATTCAGTTTTATCTTTCAAGACAAAGAGAGATTAAGCAATTCTGATAGGATAGCAGCTTAAGCTTAAGTTAGATTGAACACAAGCTAGCAAGTTGTATACAGAAATAAGACACAGTAACTGTCACTGGTCTTTTTAGCAAACTGATATTTATTCAACTCCAGCCCTAGCTAATCGCTTTTCTAGACTTTCGAGTACCTTTGATCAGTGTAGTTGTAATTATGACAAAGTTTGGCCTAAAAATAGTCCACTTTTTCCTCCTATGTGTGGTGGTCTCACATATGTAGCCTTAGGCCTCGGGCCGTTGGCAGGGATCCATGAAACTCAGACCTCTTTTTACGCAAAGCTTCTCTCTTTCCTTATCCATGTGTAGTATTCTTTCATAATGCCCCTATGTTTGTTGGTTTATCTTTGTAATGTACCTAGGCTGTTGCACTGAGTAAGAGATCAATGGCAGCAGTCTTGTATATATAGACTACTTAAGGATAGTAAAAACCATTCGTTTTATTTCTCAGCTTCATCTTAGCACCTCGGTCAAATAATTCCCTGCTAAAGTTCACCAATCCGACTTTGACAAGTAAGTTTCGGCTCTTCGGGTGAACAGCCGTTAGGGTGGCGAGCCGCTCAGGACAAAATCGTAGGCGCCAGGTGACTACCGCCATTCAATATCTGTTTTTATGTTTTTGCCTTTCGTTTCTTTTTGGTTTGCGACTTTGCTTTCCAAACATGCGGTCCGGTAGGCCCATTTTAGACTACGCAATAAATTCCGTCGTTTCGGAAGGAGAGTACTAGTACTCGCATCATGATAATCTTGCTCCTAGGGACGCCCTGTCTAGAACCTTGGACTTATCAATAGGTGCAGAAGAAACCTCCATGATCGTCCTGGAAGTTGTATATGATCACAGTCTAATTATTGATCCTTGAATACTTTGGAATATTGCATATATGGTTTTCCAATCTCGAATACTGTCTTTCTATCGCTGTTGATCCATTCACCAATGTGAAACACAATAGTACACTGCAGATTCAAACTCCAAGATTTGAGCTATGTTGTATAGAAGAAGTCTGTGAATGAGAGTTCAGCAAATGGCACGTCAGCAATATAAGTCAACGATAGTGGATTACCCGGATGTTTGTCCCCTAGCTCTTCTAGACCTTTTCGTCGCTGAGAGCAGGCATGCTCCGAGTACTGTTCGACAGCCTTTGTTTTATTGATGGTAGTGAAATACCATCGGAGACCCAATGAAAGTGCCAGCAAAACACAGGATAGCCCTAAGGCTGACGCATTTCCTTTCCTGTCTGTTTACAGGAAGAGGTTTAGGTCCGATCATTGCGGTATAGCAAAGCTTAACTTACAATATGGCGGGTCGCTGTAGGCCTGTGTTCCGCAGATGGCGAAAATTTGGGAGAATATGTTAGTGAATGCCAACGAAGACCCCCTGTTCAATCTCGAATTAGCAGTGACTTTCAAGGTTCGCAATGCTGCTAGATTCGAGTTCACCTTCGCGTATAGCCGATAAAGCTCATGGCCGCCCAGGAAAGCTGGAGAACCACACTTGGGTACACTGAGAAAGCGACGAGACAGGTTGCGCCAAATCTAGCTTTCTCATTCTCTAGTCCGAGGAGTAATGAATAGCCCACGATCGCTCCGCAAGTTGATGCTGCCATTGTTAGACCTCGAGCGTTTGTTCGGTCAGCTACCTTGGCCCAGAATAATACTCCAACACAAGCACAGGCGTATACTATGACCGAAAATAGCTGAGTATTGATTGAACTGTATCCGAAACCCTGTAAAACTGTGAGAAATCGATGCAGCCTTAGTAGGAAATCGGAGCACCGCACCTGGATAATTGCCGGAAGAAAGTTGGAAATCGAACCGACGCAGAAATGACCACAGCAAGCAATGCCAAGAAGGAGCCAGAAATGTATACTGAGTAGTACCAATGGAATCTTCCTTATTTCGAGCTTCGCCTCCGAGGTGTTATGGGCGCGACGACTTCGACGTACAACCAATGCCTTTTCCTCTGCTGTAAAGCCGAATTGTAGGGTCTCGGGGCTGTCGGGAAGTAGAAATAAAACACAGAATGCCGCTACACAAGGCATAGCTCCTTCAATTAGAAATATCCAGCGCCAAGCTCTCCAGCCATGAAGGCCATCCATATCCTTGTCGATACCGTAGGCGATCAAGCCGTTGAAAGCACCTGCCAACGTGCTCATAGAGTAGAAGATAGCTCCACGTGTGGCAAGCTCGCTATACTGATACCAGAAAGACAGGTCTAAGCCGGAGATATTCCAAAGTTAGTGGGCTGGTTATAATGAGGTTAAGATATGGGTAACAAACAAAATACTCCTCCTTGGACGAATGCCTCAGCTGCTCCGATCATAAAGCGCAAGGCAAGGAGCTCGCCTTTGTTGTGGATGGCAACTGTCGACGCCGTAATTGCACCCCACTGTTTTTTTTTTTTAAAAAAAAAAATTAGCCAATATAGTCGTGGTACGAGAAAAGACTTAAATTCTTACGGTGATCATGGCTCCTGCAAACTGCCTCGCCGACCCAATCTGTTTGAGCAACAGCGTGCCTGGTAGCTGGAAAACAATGTAGGCTACCAATAGAATAGTTGCCGCATTTGAATAATCCCGAGGAGAGAGTTTCAACTCATCTGAGAGTCCTGCCACTTTCGCGTTGGCGAGGTCTGATCTTCCCTGCAATTAGCGACAGGTCAGCATTCCATGGTGTATAAAATCATGGCATGTTAAGAGGCGTACCATTTGCGCAAAGAAATAAACAATCGATATTAGTGGTAGAATAAAAAGGTTCAGCTTTAATTTCACTCGAGAAAGTATTTTCGGGGATAAGTCATCATCGGAGTGTAGCTCTTCGTGGGAAAAGGCAACTTGGATCTCGTCAGCATGTTTGGAGGCGTCGGTGCTATTTGATGGCATCTTGGGATGAATCTCCAGGGCTTTTTTCTCCCTCGTGGCGATATTCAAGTTCAGGTTGGTCTTTCGGTGATATAAGTATCATTTTGTGTCGGTATTTCTATATTTATAAGAAGCGACAGACTCAGAGGACTCGATGCGCCCCTTGTGGATGCCTGCTAACTCAAGTCTGGGGTAGAGGCCCACAATGGCAAGCGAAATTCGGCGAAGGAAGCGAAGAATCGTCAAAGTATGACCTTGCCCTGGCAGATCGACGTTGGCTTAAAGATTCGCTCTGTTGCCAATGCTAACGCATGGGCCGAATTTCGGCAAGCGAAGCGAATCTCGCTTCACCACCAAAGTACATATTCCGCCAGAGTTTTGACAATAATGGTGGCACAGCCTCCGAACTGAAACATTCAATGCAGCCTGAGCGCTCATGCTAAAATGGAAAGACCTTTGACGACGAGCAATGTTCCGAAGAAATTTCTCAAAGCCTGTTTGATGGTGGGCCATGTTCCACTGAAGGCCTTGGCCTGCGATCCACGCGTTTCCTACGCGCTCTACATACCTCCGACCCGATACGATGCCGATCCCAACCCGACCAAGCTCCCCTTGCTCGTCTGGGTTCATGGCACAGGCAGAAAATGGAACACACTCTACGAAGATGGAATGGTTTCTTTTGCCGATCGCATGCCATGTGCGATTCTCGCCCCGTTGTTTCCTGCCGGTTTGGATGGTCCAAATGATTTGGATTCCTACAAAATGTTGCACTCATCCTCGCTTCAATCAGATCAGGCCCTACTGGAGATACTTGACGAGGTTTCAGTTCGCTGGCCAGGGATCCATACAGACAATTTTTTTCTTCACGGTTTCTCTGGGGGTGGCCAATTCGCTCACAGGTTTCTTTACCTCTATCCGGAACGCCTAGCTGCTGTCAGTGTTGGAGCGCCGGGCAGGGTTACCGCGTTGAATTTTTCGAAAAATTGGCCGGAGGGTATAGCAGATACGAATATTTTGTTTGGTCGGGAAGTGGTTCCTGGCAACATCCGCAAGGTCCCGATTCAATTGGTCGTTGGCTCGGAGGACAATAAGGTGCACGGGGGCGAAGCATTCTGGACTTGGTTAGAGAAATTCGAAAATAAGAAGGAAGAAAAAAAGTTAGAGAGTACAGGTCTATCTCACATGGAAATCGGGCGATTGCAGACTTTGGAAGAGCTTCATAGATCATGGAAAACCGTTGGAATAGACAGCCAGCTGAATATAGTTCCAGGCGTTGCACACGATGCAGGTCGGATTCGCCCTGCTATGTTACGTTTCATGGAGCCATTGATCCGAACTGACATTGAGAAATGAATAAATATACTGGGTAATATGCCACAGGATATACCATATAAGGATCTCGGATAGACCAATGTAAAAAGTGTAGCCTTGGAGAAAATCGCGGTTGTCATCACCATCGCCGCCAGTGCCAAGACCCCCACAACGACGTCGTTTGCTGGTCAGCATTCCTATCTCATCAACACCCATTCACCCGCTACACACCGACCCACAGCTATCATCTGCAGCTCCAACCAAAGTGCCACGCGTGTAGCAATGAGCGAAGCCACTCGAGGTCAAGGTCGACGGAAGGCCCCCATTAAGCGTACCTCGATGGCGTGTACGGCGTGTCGTCAAGTCAAGGTGCGCGATCCATGGCCCCACGCTGGTTGGATACGACAGGTTAACATTCTCTACCCCTAGCTGAGGTGCAATGCCATGGATTGCTTTCCAGCGCCCTGTACTCGATGTACGAAGCAGAAAATAAATTGCAAATTTGACCCGAAGTTCAAACGCGAGCCTGTTCGCGGGTAGGAATCGCCAATCCTACTTTGTCTACATCTCGCTGATTATCCTAGGTCACTGCAGAAGATTGCGAGAGAAAACGAAAGGCTGCGAAGCTTGGTGAATGAAGCAGAAATATCACCTTCCCATTCACCTACAGAGGCAGCCTTGAAGGCAGTTTGTACCGATAATGGAGCTTCAACTTTTCAACAGGAAGCCTCGCCCATCGACAAAACGAAGTCCAAGTTACCCACCCCCAGGGAAATCGAAGGTGTTCGCCTCGATGCAATTACAATTTTGGCACTCTTTGAGCAGTAAGTTTCGGCTCATTAGTTACTAAGTGTCGAGAATATGGAACATTAACGCTCTCATAAGCTTCGCCGCTCACTACCTGCATCATCTGCCGATTCTCGATCTCACGAAATCAATTGACTTAATATGGAGTGAGAACTTACTTCTATTTTGGACAATTGTCATAACATCAGCCAGCAAGCACCCCCAGCACTCGAGCTACTTTGGGCCTCTCCAAGTACCATTCAAAAATCTTCTCTCGGAATATCTAGTCAGCTCTATTCGCTGCATATACACAGTCCAGGCTTTGTTGATTCTATCTCTTTGGCCTTTCCCGGTTGCCAAGCAGCAGGACGACCCGAGCTGGGAGTACATTGGCTTGGCCATTGCAGCAAATTTGAAACTGACGTCCGTTGATTCCCAGACGAACTGGCCCGGATCAAATCCATTATTGATTGATGAGAGTGAGCGACAGCAGACTTGGCTGGGCTGTTTTGCAGTCAGCACCGAGTAAACTTACCATATTTAATCCATGTTTGTTTAGTACATGCTGATGATCCTCAGAATTTCTGCAGCTCTTGCTTTGCCGCCTCCCATGGGAATGGTATCCCAGAGTATGCCCAAAATTAGACATGCAGTCCGATCTAGCTTGTCCAGTGATTTCTCAGCTCTTCTAGATATCCAGGACTATGCGACTAGGGAAGCGGCACTCCTTAACAACCCGTCCGCGACCCAGGCCCAGAGGTCTTTCATCGAGCTGCTGGAAAGGGATTTGGCTGCAATAGAAGCTCGCATGCCAGACAAACCCCACCCGAAAATTCGGATCGGATGTCTTGCTGCTCGTCTTCGTTTATATGCTCTGCCCTTACTATCTCAACTATCATCGGACGGTCAAAAGCGAAAAGCCATCGGCATGTCAAAGGCTTTCTGGTATATGGGATTTCACTCGGCAATCGAAATCACGAACATTTTCGGCCACTCCGAGTATACGATTGTAGACATGTCCAGAAGCTCTACCGAACAGAGAGTCGATGAATTCTTTCCAAAGTATTACTTCCAAATTTTGATCATGGCCGGCATGTATTTGATCAATATTCTGGCCTTTGACAACGAAATGTCTGCTGAAGACAAGAATTTGGCACGGAATCACATCAAGAAGGTCTATGAAACACTTACGAGCTGGTCACGAGAACCCAGAGACGAAGCGGCACGCGTCGCGAGAGTGATTGACCTGCTCTCTCGCCACGTGCAAACATCCGATTTGTCTTCCGAGCTACAGCCAACCGCCCATTTAACGCCCCCAGCTAGTACGATAACCAGTGGAATGTGGATGGCGGGTCAATTACGGAGCAAGTTCTTCTCTTCCTGGTTGCAACCTACTGAGCCGACTCCCGTCTGGGCAAACGAGTCATCCGAGTTTCCGACTGGCCTTGAACCAGAAATGTTTGAGGATGATTTACTAGAATGGAATACCTGGCTGGCAAACCTGGATAGCATTCTCGCAAACCCCTCAGCAATGGCAGATTTTGGAGCAGATTAGTTGCTCCGAGGGCGAAGTCGGATGCTGGAGCGAACTTCGCTTACCGGGCCGAAGCTTCGGCTATATTTGAGCCAGCAGCCCTCCAGGGCTTCTTTATAAGAATGTATCATGTGTACGAGGGAAAATGCTGATCATTATCGAAGCATTACGTTATCGGTTATTTCTATCTTGAATTTACTAACGCACCTGGGCATTCGACATTCGCGACCGCAGGGCCTTGAATTTTGACAAGCTGGCAATGCCCCAGCCACTATGCCACATTGTTACACCGATCGGTATGCTGGGTTATGGCTTCAGCACCCCAGATCTGGAGAAGGGTCTTGAGATAGCTTCACAATCTGGTTCACCGACCGCAATCATTCTTGATTCTGGGTCGACTGATTCAGGTCCCGCAAAGTTGGCCTTGGGGTCAATGACATGTCCTCGTTCCGCCTACGAGCGAGACTTGCGGCAGTTGATTTGCGCTGTTAGGAAATACCGTGTTCCGCTGCTTATCGGCTCTGCTGGTGGAGATGGGAGTGATGCGCATGTCAAGGAATTTCTTGATATTATTCGGGAAACTATGCAGGCACCCGATCGAGGGTGAGCTCCTTTCTCTTCCCTGGAGGGGAATTTCCACTTCACGCTTTTGCTTAACCAAGCTAACTTTTCAATTTCTCAAGCGATTCCAGATCTCTGAAAATACTCGCAATCTATAGCGCAGCCCGTCATGAACTCTTACTAGAAAAACTGGCGACCGGGAAGATCACTGGATGCGGGCCATGTGTCCCCGAATTGACCGAAAAAGACATCAAGCAGTCGCCCTGCATGGTCGGACAGATCGGCCCCGAGCCCTTCGTGCAAGCCATGAACGCCAATCCTGATTTTGATATCCTCATCGCGGGAAGGGCATACGACCCAAGCCCCTACGTCGCATTCTGCGCCTTCAATGCACTCCGCCGGACAACTGGCGATTTATCTAGCTTGATACCAACAGTACTTGGTGGGTTTACCCATATGGGGAAAATAATGGAGTGTGGAGGAGCATGCGCTACTCCTAAAAGTGCAAGCTCAATGTCCACTGTGTACGATGATGGGTCTTTTGACATTCGACCGTTGGCCGCGGAGTCGCGATGCACGCCGACCAGTGTGGCAGCGCATGCTCTGTATGAGAAGTCTCGACCTGATATATTGCATGGACCTGGGGGATATCTTGATCTAACCACTGCCACATACACATCGCTCTCTGATGATATCAGTGTGAGAGCATACGGTTCCAAGTTTGTCTCGTCCAGAAGCCGAGGCCTGCCCTATACAATCAAATTCGAAGCTGCCAGGGTAACCGGTTACAGAAGCATTTTCATGGGGTCTTTTTGCGATCCCATTCTTATCAGACAGCTGCCGTCTTTACTTGACCGTGCAAAGGCCTACATTAAACAGAAGCATGTACATTCCCAAGGAAGTTGGGAACTTGACTTCCACGTGTATGGCTATGACCTTGACAGGAAAGAAAGAACTTCAACAGGAGATGTATTCATTGTTGGAGAGGCACTTGCGGAAACACAAGATCTAGCAACTAGCCTTACATCATCCGCCCGTGTGGCATGCGTCCATGCTCCTTACGAAGAGCAGAAGGCAAACAGCGGAAATTTTGGCATGGGAATAGGTGGCAAGCTGGAAGTCGAGATGGGGGCTTGCGCCGAGTTTTCAATATACCACTTAGTGGAGATGGAAGATGGGGAAGAAGAGGTGACAGAGATCAGTCTGCTTTCCACTGGTGGGCGAGATGAGGGTAATAGATTGAAGAGCTTCACGCGTTGGGAAGCACTCCTTTTAGGGACTGGTCCCCGTATCGATCGCCAAGATGTCCATTACTCAACTAATGCCGGCGGTTGTGCCGCAAAGCGTGACCATCCTTCGACTCATTTTCCAAAATTCGAGCCTCCTATACAGATAGCAGGCACCTTCACTTTGGGGAAAATCGCCAAAGTTATTCGCTCGAAGAATGCCGGACCATTTGAGATCACTCTAGACGTTATGTTTGATGATGTTACAGTCTATGAACAAATCAAAGAGTCTGGGAGCCTCACGCCAGCGAGGATCGCAGAGATCTATGAAATCTCTATTGATAGTATTGTGTGGTGTGGCTTTTTTGATCAAGCGCTTGCTTTCAAAGCAACCATCCCCAGGTGCAGAAACGGGAAGCCGAATGCTTCAGGAGGGTTCATGGAGAATGATGTCCATGGGTCTCAGAAATATCTGCCTTTGTTTAATTTGGCAATTACATTGCGCAGCTGAGCCTAAGCTAATTTATTATTATGTGTACGTTGATTCTAACTTGAATTCTTTTTACTTGATTCTCGACCCTTTAGGCAGTGAATTAGACCCATGCACTCAGCCAATAACTATCTCTAGCACCTAGCACGAAGTCTCCCGAGGTCGTAATGATCCACTTTAGACGGAATACCTAAGTTTTAGAATCCATGATTGCCCGAACAACGCGAATGCCCTCGGCCTGGCAGCCCTGGAGGTGTAATGCTGGGTAATATCATGATGGGCTTCGGAGGGGCCACAACCAAGTTCAGGTTTGTAAATACAGCGCTGCACCTGGGTTACAGCCAAGGCCCTGGGGCCTGAATAGCCTTGTACCATACTGAGTCATGGTGACGATCACTCCAATCAAAACGGCGTTCAAATATCTGCGCTTCTAACTTATAATGCGCAGAAATATTATACAAAAAAAAGGGAATTGATTCTTGGCTTCATACCAAAAAAACTATTCTACATAACTCTACTCTAAGCAATTTCTAGTACATACGACCATAGGGTGTGGAGAACAGGGCTTCCCGTCCGCTCAGCCGTACTTAAGCCACACGCCGGCAGGTTAGTAGTATGGTGGGTGACCACATGCGAATCCCTGCTGTTGTATGTTTTTGATTTTGCTTTTTTTTCTTTCTTATCATTCTTATAATATGTCCAGATCCGAAGATAAGCCTGCCAAAGGGGTTAAGGACACTAAATACAAGGAAGAAGACAATTGTCCTGGAATGCCTGGTCTGAATGCCCAATCACCAATGGATGGCCCCTGAGGCGGGAGGTCAGCCCCACTTCTCCGCCCCTCTCCTACGTACTCCTGAATATGTAGCTCCATACTCATTCTCTGAACTTGACTTTTAGAATATCTTTGACTTTCCACGTTGAAGCATTAATTTGGCGTAGAGTATCCAGCTTCGGACCTTCATCACTATAAACCACTGCATATTGTGTAAAAGTGCTTGCAAATAGTCCCGAAGAGAATAACATGATCTTGGAAACTAGAGATTTTAGCGTGCGACACCGAATCTCTTGAGAAGGGGATCATTCAGCAGCCGATCTAAACAACTCTCTTCAACGCCGACTAAAATCTCTATGCCACCATCTGGTAGGACGGGGAAGACAACTTGGAGCCCATTGATGCAGCCAACATGGGGTGTCCTGATGGCGTCGATCGTTCCCAGCAGTGGTCCCCAGGTCAAGTCATATATTTTGAAATTGATCCAAGAGGTCAAAATGCAATTATTCCCAGGGACGTCCAAGAACGCAGTAGGAACCAGCCTGTCAACATCCTCAACCTTCTCCACAAGGCTCACAATATCATCGCTAAATTGATCATCAGCCCGAAGAATAGCTTTGCGGATCTGTACCGCAAGATCGGCAAGATTTGTAGAGCTAAGCATTTCACGAATAGGTGCCGATACTGCGATATACTCTAGAAAGCATCCCAGTGTATCTGGATGTATTGGTGGGCTTGTTCGCAGCCGTCCGTCAATCGCAATATTGAAAAGAGAGACAGGGTCTCCTTCCAAAGATTCCAATGGGGACTGTGCTGCCATCACTGTACGCCAGAGTAGCGCAGAGAGAGCATCATTGGTAGATATCCATTTTTGGCCCGATGGCTTAGTAGCATTACTTGGAGAAGCCTCTGCCTTGAGGGATATCAGAGATTCCCGGGAGAAGTAGAAAACCTGCCCCCGATGATTGGGCGACACCATTTTAGGTGGCGCTCCGGGTGGCGTAAAGGGCAGGAGAGTCCACTCTGGGTGATCTTCAATTTTTCCCTCGTTCTGACCCGAAGATTTCATCACTGATTCGCGGTCTTTGCAGATAGCATCCGGAAGCTCCACTGGTTGAGAAATCTCAAGTCCCTGAGCACGACGACATTCCTCGGCCCAAACCTTAGTCCATATATGAAAAGATGTTCCATCGCCTGCCATGTGCAAGATGGACCACGAAAGTATCAAGCCTCCCTGAATGAAGTTGGCTTGAACCAAGGATATGGGGAGTCTTTCTCCAGGCGAGGGCCACACCGATCTCGAACAAAACGTATCGGCATCGAACGAGGCGACGGGGAAAGACTGCGACTTCAATTCTCCATACGTAGGTTGATAAGACTTGCGTAAATCCTTAACAGCTATACGCGTGTCACTGCCTTTCTCCATCAGGTGGAATTTCATTACCCCCTTTTGCTTTGTATCGGTATCGGGAATGGCTTCGCAAGCAACTTCTGGTATCCTCCGGGAAAGGGCATCGTAGCCAACCTGGAGAACTCGAGCAACTCCATCAAGGTCGTAGTTGGCTTCTAGTTGGAAAGGGAAAATATAGCGAAGGTAGCCTTTGGGACCAATCCTCTCCAGCTGAGTCAACTGAAAGACTTCTCGTGTATCGGGAATAATTTTGATAGATCCCATCATTTGAAATTGTTTGCTGCGAAGAAGTGGTCAGAGAGTATGGAGTAGAATAGAAGATAAATTGACTGAGTTCCCCGCTCCAGTTCCCAGGGGGGGACTTGTCAACTATTATCCTGTTTTCGGAGTGACAGGCCCACGTTGGCACCTTTCTAGTCTCGGGATTTGGTTGAGGATACATAAATGTGATAACAAATTCTCGGCAATACATTTTGTACCTCTGTTCCAATTATTTATGCAGCAGATTCTGGCTATAATAGGATCATTCTCCGTTTATTTCAAAGGAATTGTTGCATTGTTTTCCGGCAGGAGGCGAAGGATGCACTAACTAGGTTTTCAAGAAGATCGTTCCTTGAACTTGTGCTAGTTTTCAGCCACGAAAGTCACTTAACGGCCACTAGAAGTCCACCGTTGTGTCAGTGAGCTCCTAGCGGCTTGGCGTGCTTTAGCTTCCTTCCTTCGCTGTGGGGCCACTAGGATCTTCATCCTTCTCGCCCATTGAAAGCCGATTGTTTTCAACATACATGATCCTTCACAGCAGTCAGTAGTCGGCGTATTACATAGTGCACTTAGGCTGCGAGTGAGGACACCCGCTTACCCCCTGATCTGGCGGCTGTCAAAAAAAACTGTAATTAAGACCGGCCGGGATTCCGGCTGGCGCTTCTATTTTAAACAAGATTTAACGGCAAATTTCTCTGCTACAAGTTTCAAATTCATCGTATACTTTTCTTTGTTGCGGGCAAGCTCCCATTATAATGGCAGTCGACCCTGCGATTCTTGCTGTCTTCGGGGCCGGTCCCCGCAGGCGTGGACCTTGCTGAAAGTCATGTTTCTGTGAATAATGGAGCTGTCATTGCAATGCTCTGTTTATCTACGGTCGCTGTTATTCTACGATTTGTAGCTCGAGTAACCCTTCGGAATGCGCTCATGGCTGATGACTGGGCAATCATAATAGCATTGGTGGGTTCCGACGTTATGTCTTCAACTTGAACTTTATCAAATATATTTGCTAACTAGGAGCTGCTTTCAAAAGGCTTGCATAGGTGCCACGACGGGTATCAGTGTTGCAGGTGAGAGTGCAATTACCTACAATATGGTTGCTCATTTACTAAAATGTTGGGGTCTAGGGAGTGGTACCGGTTCGGGACGACATATCTGGGCTGTCAGCTTGGATGAATTGATGGAATTATACAAAGTAAGTTTCAAGTTGCTGATATGACATCCACAAAAAATGTATCTTGGACTGAAGAGCTTGAACTTGAACTTAATTTTCATCTAATTCAGCTTCTTTTCTCGTATACCTTCCTCTATGCATCCTCGTGCACTTGGACCAGAATATCGATTCTCTTCTTCTACAAACGCGTCTTTTCGCCTCTGGAGATGTACTTGAAAGTGGCATTAGCGATTGCTGGATTTCTCACAATCTCATATCCGATCGTCATCTGGGTCACTATGAGCACGGCCTGTAAGCCCGCGTCTCATTTCTGGACACAGTTCAGCGGCACGGAGGGGAAGTGTATCGAAGTGAACAAGTTTTTCCTTGCCCTGGGGATTATAAATATGATGAATGATATTATCATCTTGGTAATTCCATTTCCTCGAATAATTCGACTGCAGATGAGTGTAAGGAAAAAGATTGCAATTTGTGCAATTATGGCTGTCGGGATCTTGTGAGTGATACTATGTCTCTTTCTCTACCAATTAATCGAGAATGGTTAAAAGATTTTGAGCTAATAAATTTTCAAAGCGCTTGCGTCGCTAGTATAGTGCGGATTTACTATCTCCATGTGTTCACAAACGCTATTGATGTCACTTGGCTTATGGGCCCTGTGTTCATATGGTCTACTATCGAGCCATCGGTTGCAATGGTTTGTGCTTGTCTTCCACATCTTGCTCCGCTTGCTCGCCTTGCTCGACAAACAATCTTTACCAGCCTTCATTCGCAAAAATCAAAGACTGGGGACTCAGGTCGACCCCACCACACTTTCGACAGATCAGGCCAAGAGCCTCAAAGAAAGCTCATCTTTGGAAGTGCCGGAGCAAAATTCGACTATGGACTGGCCCAGATGAAGAAAGATGCAAATGACGATGAGATCGGGCTCACAAATTACGTGACCACCAACCCTAACCATACCAAGAACTCCTCTGTTGAATCCGTGTCCGATTACTATCATCGTGACCATACAATCAGAGTACAATCAAGCTTTGCTCAGGCAGCAACTTCAAGACCGCATTCCTGAAGAAGCCATTTGTCAGATCACTACCTGAAAAAAGCCGCTCTCATTTTATCAACTTTTCAAGTTCCTTACATTTCTTGAACACACAGTGAATTTTCCTGTAAAAATCTTAGATCATATTGGATACTACGCCTAGTAACGAGATAGTAACCTGAGTTATGCAAGGACTCGGAGTCGTCGGTGCTACGCTGAAAATTCGAAGATACGAGGTCTTTTCAACCTTGGAAGCTCTTTTCCCCAAGATTAATCTATACGCATGCAAATATACTACTATTATATAAAAGTGGGTGTGCATACTCCAGGGCCATGCACGGTGCTGAATTAGATATATAGGTACCTAGGTAGGATATTTCCAAGCGATGACTTCGGGGAACATTGAGTCAGCCCTAGAGAGTACTATACATGTGACTTTATCCAACAGGGTTTGCTTAAGGCTTTGACATCTTTGATGTCCTAGGCATCCATCTCCACAAACCAGAGTCAATCAGTCTCAACACACTAAAGATTTGCATGGATATCTCACGGGCGTAAATGAAAGTACAAAGTGAAGTGAAAAGACTAGTTAGTATCTCTCATAATTTGAAAGGCAGTTTGTAGCGAGGCTATGCAAGCCTGCGTCGGGTTTAAGGGTCTGCTCCATCAGTGGGTCGTCCCGCCAAGGATATATGTGGATTTTCGATGTTGCAGTACTTAATCCGTGTGCAGAAACAACGGCGATCACCTACCCAGGTACGTGACACCGAAATATTTCATTTATTTAGTTGATGTAATCGGTTCGTGGGGTGATCCATGTGGGTCCATATGCCTGTCTGTCCGAACTTCTAGTGAGTAGCACTTTGGCTCGCGCGGCGAAACGAATTCGCAAGGTGAAGAATATCGAATGAAAGCCACATGTGAGCAATGAAGCAAATACTGAAACATTCGGCAATTATCGAAGTCTTGTCCTTTAATTTCATTTTATCGATTGCTCGTTGTTCTTTTCTTACTTCCTTTTTCAAATCATATTAAAAACCCGATAATTCATGATGTAATTCTTCTTAATATCCATTATCCATTTCCAGCCTAGCTAAACATGATATTTCTTCACAAGTAAGACAAGGAAATTATTTGCTACGTGACATAATCCACTGCAGATCGCAAAAACAAAGCTAACCTTACTAGGAATGTGGCCGGTCCCCCGAAATCCACCAGGACCCGCCTGGCGGAAATCTGACAGAAGAAACAAGGACCTCGAACAGGGACAGCCTAAATTTGAGATATAATCATGATGTCCGATAGCTTACGTTGCTGAATCCTTCTCGATGGCACCCCCTCATCGTCTCGACTTCAAGACCCCGTGCTGCCAACATGGCCAATGAAAAGTGGCCAATCTATTTTTTTCGCCCCGGCCCCCAATTTTCCAGCAACACGGCTGCGACAATTTCGCCCCATAATGTGAATTGCATGCAGAAAATGGGGCTGCAGGATTACTTTCTGATGAAAACAGTATAGGAATGTGATTATTTCGGCCGCCCCGGGACCTAGAACTGGGGCAGACTTACCGTGTCGCTTGCAACATCTTTCAGCCTTGAGCCATATATTATCATTGGCCCCAGTCCAGGATTTCCGTGATGACACCGCACAGATGGTCAGTGAGAACACAGACCTGGCATGAAAGATCTAACCGTTGAAGATGTACTGGGTCCACCGCCGGTCGGCATGGACCTAGCTGAGAACCGAGCTGCTAAGGATAATGCAGTTGTTATCACTCTATGTGTTGTCGCGGTGATCAGTGTAGCTTTGAGATTCATTGTCAGATTAAGAGGACCCAGGCCTCGACCTGAGTTGGATGACTGGCTGATTGCGATTGCTATTGTTGGTCCTTTTTCTCCCAAACATGGACTGATATAGTAACTGACTTGTCTAAACAGATTCCTTTGATGGCTCTTCTCGCTGCATCAGTTTTGGCATCAAGATGGGGAATGGGAAAACACATCTGGGCGGCAAGTATTCAAAGAATAGTGGAAATGAAGAGGGTAGGTTTCTATCCTCAACCACTTCGATTTGTTTGTATGCTAATTCGTTTCGGGTAGCTATTATTTGCTTGGATATTCGTGTACATTTTCGAATTATTCATTATCAAAACTTCGATCTTAATGTTTTACCGACGCATCTTTGGAATGAACTGGATGATTTGGACATGTCTTATACTTTCGATGCTCTGGGTTCTTGGAAGTATGATTGCACTTCTCGCCTGCCCAGACCCGATTCCCTATTTTTGGGACGAGACCCTTGATCCCACAGCTGGAAGGTTTCGATACAACTTTCATAATTACTATATCGGGAATGCAGCAGGGAATGTTGCCAGCGATGTTCTAATCCTTCTCGTGCCCTTCCCGATAGTCTGGCGGTTAAAGATGCGAGTCACTCAAAAGATTATGGTATCCAGTGTGCTCCTACTCGGTATCTTGTAAGTCCCAACTCAAATTTTGTCGCGAGGTCATTGCTAATATTCACAGTGTCTGTGCGGCTAGTGCGGTGCGCCTGCATTTTGTCATGTATCTCAACTCACCGGATCTAACATGGGCCATGAGCGATGTTTATGTCTGGTCTGATGTCGAGCCTTGTCTTGGTATAATCTGTGCCAGTCTTCCGGCCGTGCAGCCGCTCGTTCGATCCGTGATGAAAATGGAAAAGTTTCTTTTCTTGCGCCAAAAGCTGCATATCGGAAAGCCACCATCTCATAGCCGAATGGGTAGTAGCCACAGGCTCCAAAAGCGAAGCAGCTGTAGCAGCAATACAAGCAGCCACTTAACGCATGTGGATAGCTTGGATGGAAAAGGGGAGCTGGTTATGCGACCGGAGAATGATGAGACGAGATTGACAACTGTCATCACCCATATCGAATCCGAGCCCCGACAAAGGGCGAACCTGGATGAACTCTTAGGTCCGGGTTTCATTCGAGTTCAACATGAAGTTGAGATTAGCGTGGCATAGTATAGGAGCTGAAATTATAGATAGGCTATCTCAATGCAGTTGTTCGTTCATCTATGTCAAGAATCTTAATCAAACATGGTCTTAGGCATTGAAAATATCCTCCGCCTGGTTTCCACGATCTGGCACTTAATATGCTTATTTATGGGTGTGTTTCGCTTTCTTGAGCCATTGGTGTTGTATCTAAATAGCGAAACTAGGCGGTGGTCCAAGATAACTTTCCCGAACTCCCCCAAGATCCAGCACGACTTTCTCTAATAGAAGGTTCGGGTGATTCAATCGCAAGCGCAGGATGTGGCTCCCACTCTCCAGATTTTGAACATCATGGTTCCTTCGCCAGACACAATCCATGACAGAGTCAAGCCAACCCTCGGCCGGCAATTTATTCGGTACCGGGAAGTCCGGAAGAAGAAAATGTGATTTAGTTTGTTGATTGTCGATGCCAATATCGTAAGACATTCGGCGAGCCGGGTCGATCTCAAGGGTCATGTTGAAATAAAGAGTAAGGGTGGCTTTCGTGGAACGCGAGAAGATAAAAATTGGATACTCGAGAAAGGGAATGTTGTCATCGATTGAAGCTGAATTGCCAATTGTGACAGCTCCTTCATTCCCTCGACCGAGCTCTGGGTGGTGTTGGTATGGATCCTTGATTCCCGAGCTCGAAGCAGGAATTGAGATGCAGCCATCTGATTCAACAAAGCCGTGGAAATATTCTGGCACCAGCCAACCATGAATTGGAATGTGAACATGTTCAAAATCTCCTTCTTTTGATGACACGCTGATCAAGACCTCATCATCGAATTCGGTTGGTACTTGCTCCCAATCAATCGTAATCGAGATGCGGTAGTCGTCACCGTCGGGGTTGAGGACTCCATCAATTTGCGAAAGATGAACCCAGGTGTACGGCACTGAGCAGCTCCAGTGAATAGTTTGCGTGCCTCGAGTGAATATGTCGAACCACCCTTTTGTGGGTCCATATCGGCTCATCGGGGGAAGAGTAAGACCCGGAACTAGATCGCGCCGACTAGGATGCGTGCGTTCGCTCTCTTCGTTAATTCGTCCAGGCCGAATGCCTTCATGTCCCTCCACGGCTACTCCCATCTGACCGACAATGATGTTGCTGTTTTGACCACGCTGTACGTATGCTAAACCGAAAATAGCATCGCGAGATGGAGCGTGCCAGGTATCACCATAGCCCATATGCGCTTGGCACATCATATGATTCCACTTTCCATCTAGAAGAGAGTGAAATTCCTGGGATAGAATGAAATCTGCATCAAAAAGGTCCAATGCTTGTCGCAGAAGTTTATTGGCTGTGTTGCGTCGCTGGCGGGCGTGGAGCTGGTTACGGGCTTGGACGACACGCAGCTGGGTGAAGATAGAGCTGGCTTTGACAGGATGAACCACAAGTTCCCAAATTGCCGCCTTATGCTCTTCCGAAACTATTTTATAAAGACTTTCTGAGGCTGACTCTAGCTCTTGCCACCGTGCCGAAATGTCGCCAGCTTCATTATAGTGAAGCAGAGAAAACGTTTCTGGGCCGATGTGCTCGTGTTTGCGGAGGCGGACAAGACGATCGTACTCATGCCAAATAGGGACAATAGATTTGCTCAAATCCTCACTGAAGCAATCCGTAGCAAAATTCTCTAGGAATTGAGGAATTTTGTCGCGACGCACGGAGTTGATATTCCACGCCATCGACATTGCGAATGTCAATGGCACTTCGATCGGCTTTATGTCGCCGACGTTGAACACCCATATTTTCCGTGCATTGCGCTCGTGAGCCTCGTTCAATTGATGATAGATTTTTCCCTGTTATAATACATTGTCAGAAAATCCGCGTGTGGTTTCCATAACTGTCTTCAGTTAAAGGTACCAGTGAGTTTGAGTTGATCCACTTGTAGCTTCGAGGCGCTCCGACATATTCGAAATGATAATATATCTGTTTTATAGGTTAGAAAGGCCCACAAGTTCTGATAACCTTGGAATTGAGATAAATCAGTAAGACTCACTCCTGCACCTCCAGCTCTTGACTTCTCAGATCCAGAAGGCAGACGTCGAAGGGTTCCAAAGTTGTCGTCCGCAAACAAAAGTGTCACATCATCGGGGACCTTAAATTCACCTGCTTGATATAAGTCCTGAACTTCCTTGTATAGAGCGAGAACCTGAGGAACGGCGTCCTCTCTCCCGTGCACCTTCTTAAATAGTGACCGTTGTTGTTCGAGCACATCTCGGAGAACAGCACCGGGATCTTTTGTAACCATGCCCTTGTCGTATTCCCCTCTAATTCCCATTGTGAAGTATGATTCAAGACCTTTTGCGCGTGTAACCCCTTTGCGAAAGAATTCGATTATTTCTTCTCTGTGGGTTGTCCAATTCCACGTGCCATCCGAGCGACCCTCTTCGAACCACTCTGTCGTAGCTCGCTGCATTGGTTCGTGATGGGAGGTCGAGATACAGATGCCATATTCGTCCGCAAGGCGTTGGTTCTCCGGATCGTCGAGAAAGAAGACTGCTCCCGGGTTTGGATACCCAGGCCACATAGCGGGCCACATGAAGTTTGCCTTAAGCCGAAGCAGCAACTCGTAGACAGTCTTGTAAAAATTCGAATTGTACCCGCCGAACTTCTCCAAAACCCATCCGGTAAGTGCTGGAGCCTCGTCATTGATAAATATGCCACGGTATTGAATGCTTGGCTCGCCTTGGGTGGTGTGGATGGGAAGGGCAAAGATATCGGGGTGGAAATTTGGGGGAACATCTGCCCACCAATACCATCTTCATCGATATTCACAATCAGCAATTTTCCGTAGAATTCAAAAATAAAATATTGAATGTTCGCAACTCACGGAGAAACTCCGATCTGACTTGACAGTGTGTATGCGCCGAAAATGGCACCTCGCTTGTCGCTTCCAGCAATTACCAGCGACCTTTCACAACCAGGAAAGGGGCTCTCGACGACTGCGGTGATGAAAGACTCCCATTTTCCACGAATAGAACTGGTATTCAGCTTTCCAGAGTTCTCAAGCTCTTTCAACATCCAACACGAATCAATCGATCCAACAATAATGGCACTTGACCCCGTGAGCTCAAGAATTTCGGCCTGACCATCGTCCACGACTTGGAAGGGATTGGGATCGCCCTTGGTGACTCGGCCAAAGTCTTCAGCAAGATTCCGAGCTGCATGGTGGACTCCCTTGAAATCGTTGGAGTCGATGAGGATCGTCGCTCCAACAAGCCCGACGAGCTCTGGTGAGCTATCAAAAGTGACCAACGGTTCCTTAAACATGATCTGATGTCAACACGCGACAAGCACCGGTTAGTGACGATGGCAGAGGATTGTGCCTATTCACCAGGACCCCGCGTATCCCCGCGTAGACATCATTATTCCGAGCGGCCGACTTGCTAACCATCATCCTGCAGCTTACAGGAACTAGACGTGGGATGATGCGTCTCTCGGTCCTTGCTCGCCCGAGCAGACCCCGTAGTGGATCCCAGCCCCGGGACCATACGGCCATCTCCTTTGCCGGTCCATCAATCAGCGGTCCTCTAGCTTTGCCGATTTCGCCCAATAGCCTTGATCTCCCTGCTTACTTGCTCGCTTAACCAACCAAACAGCCTCAACCCACCAAAGCCATACCCGCTACGTACGATGGGCGTGGGGGCAGAACCCCATGAGGGATGGGTTGATGAAGCCCCGAGCAGCGGAGATTGCCGAGCCATCCCCGCATTCCGAGACGCCCAAGCTGCATATTTGCCGGTGGAGATATAGGGGCTTCTGGCTCTCCCCTTTGGCGAGATCTTTTCGAGAAGATATTCAATTCATCTTTCTACCATGCCGGACAAAACAGAAAACCAAGAAATCGAAAATGCTGTCGGCGTCGGCATCCTCGATGAAGCCCCCGACAAGAATCTCACCAACTACAACTTGGTCGATAGGGAGGTTGCCAAGTACGCCACCGATGGAGCTATCGAGATCGATGAAGCCACAAATAAGCGCCTGAAGAAAATGATCGATAAGCGCATTTTGGTGGTGATGATGATTACATACCTGATCCAGACACTCGACAAGGGCGCACTGGCCTTTTCGTCAATAATGGGAATCAAAGAGGATGCACATTTGCAGGGGAATCAAGTTCGTCCATCGGGTTATATCCAGTAATTGCGACTGAATTTCTGACAGCCAGTAGTATCAATGGTTGACAACAATCGTCTACCTGGTGATTCTTTGCGTCGAGTTTCCGGTATGACTGCCACAATCGAAACGAAAGCTGGATACTTATCGGAAATAGGAAAACTGGATCATCCAGCGGGTACCAATTGCCAAATGGCTGTCCTTGAACATTTTGTTATGGGGTATATGTATCGCGCTGATCTCAGCCATGCGGAGCTTTACTGGCCTAATCATCTTGCGTGCTTTCATGGGTGCTTTTGAAGCGGCATGCCAACCAACATTTGTGATTTTAAGTTCAACATGGTACAAGCGCGAAGAGCAAGGAAGCGTCATCAATCTCTGGTTAGTCAATTATCCTAGTGCCGACGAGAAGGAGACAATCGCTGATAATTCTAGGTTCATGATGAACGGTATCCAGAACATCGTTGGTGGTCTTTTAGCCTTTGCATTTTCCTTCGTCCCATCGAACTCGCCGGTGAAGTCATGGGAAGCTCTTTTCATGACTTATGGTATTATCACTGTTTTATGGGCAGCCTTTGTGTTCTTTTGGATGCCCGATTCCCCCATGCGCGCGAAGTGCTGGTCGGAAGAGGATAAGCAACTGATGGTTGAGAGGGTACGACAAAACCAGACCGGTCTGCAGAACCGTATATTCCGAAAGGAACAGGTCTGGGATGCACTGACAGATCCCCAGCGTATGCAATATAACATTACTCTCTTGAGCGAACTCTGCTAACTGTGTTTAGTCTACGCTTTCGCTGTCATTCAAATAGTCAGTGCCCTTCCTAGTGGGGGAATTGGGGCCTACGTCAATATAATTATCAACTCATTCGGATACAGTACTTGGGAGAGCCAGCTTCTGACTATGGTCGTCGGTGCTGTTCTCGCAATTGCCATGATGACATCGGCATATCTTGATCGCCGCTTTGGAAACACAATCATCATCATGATATCCTCCGTGATCCCGTCAATTATCGGCGTATCCATTCTGATTGGGGTTCCCTTTTCCCCGATAAGCGAGTCGGCATGCTCATCGCTTATTGGCTATTCTACTCATTTTTTGCCGTGTCCTCCCTTTCTCTGGCCCTTCTTTCTCGAAATGTGGCCGGACAAACCAAGAAGTCTATCGTCATTGCTTCTAACTTTGTCTGCTGGGCCGCGGGAAACTCAATTGGACCACAGGTCTTCCGAGACAAAGATGCACCGCGGTATTATCTTGCGTTCTCGGTTCTCCTTGGATGCTTTGGGGTAATGATCATTACTCTATGCCTCTTGCGATTGTGGTACTCGATTCAAAACCGGAAGCGGGATGCGAAGATTGCCTCCGGGGAGGTGCTTCCCGATGTTAGCTTCGCACATGGATTTGAGGATATCACGGATCGAGAAAACCCACATTTCAGATATTCTTACTAAATGCCAAAGCTGCATGTAGTTTTGGTCAATTTTAACGGAAGCGAAATTTTAAATAGAACGGATTGAAACAGGCCACTGAAAGACAATTATTAAATAAACGGTTACTAGTTTACCTCGATTCAGAAAGTGAGAAGATTGACCATTTTTCTGCATCTCTATAATACCTTTCACGGTTATACGCTTTTGTAATGAGTTTTAATTATGTACTGGCTAAACTCCAAGGTCTTCTAGATACTTCAATTTTTGAGGTACCGCCCGCGTGCGATCGACTGGCAGGAATGGGAGAAGCATCGAGTCTATATCGCCTGTGTGACGAATGACGGGAAAATTTGTTGAACAAAACTTCTAACCAATAACTACCGAGGGTTTCTATCACCAATTTTATGCTATTCTCAAGGGTTTTTTTTTCGAAAGTTTGTCTACAAACGGGTTATTTTCAAGGTTTGAGTATTTTATTTGCCGATCTCGGGTGTGACATCTGGGATATCTCAATAATCAATTCGAGTTCAACTGGATGCTATGGGGATTTTTTATGGAGTGACGAAGGCTAAGTATCCGAAGAAGAATGTTATTGAGGCTCAATCAGAGCAGCTGGCTCCGTGGTAGCCACTTGGCATAGTACATTCATGCTGATTTTGCTTACACTTTCAAAGTCAGCGTAGGACAAACTTATTTCCTCATTCAAGAAGAAATCTCACAAGATGCGGTGGCAGACATCGTTGAACTTCCCAATGCCCACTTCTACTAGTAAAAGAATAGCAGGCCTGCGTTCGAGTCAAGCAATTCTGAAAAAGACGAAGTACCCAGTCAGAACTATCACATTTTCCCACGATCAACATTTGGAAGTGTTTGCAATAGCGGATTTTGTCATACTCCGTGATATATCTTTTCACTTCCTGGACTTTGATCACGCTCGACATTCGGTTCTATTGGAGAAGCATTCATAGCAACCAAGAAGAGATTAAGTGCGATCCAGGCAGTGAATTTCATTTTGAAACACTCCCTGTAGCAGGATTCTCAGTACAGAGAAGAATTCAGAAGGTGATAGTCCCACGCTATCCAGGTAGATGCTAGCTGGATATTTATAATTCTGTCTATGTGGCTTCGAAAACAAGTGGACAAGATGGCGAGGGACACGTTGGGATAATGACGGAGTTGCAATGAAATACCCCGCCACCGGGAGTTTAAAGACCGCCGTCGTACTGTTTACACAAGCCCAAATCAAATGGAAGCTTTGATCACTCATCTCCACCCAGTGAGCGGGAAAATTTAGCTCTTCATCATACTGCGAGAATGGGCAACAGTGGGTCCTAGTATCACAAATCCTTTCCGTGAGATGAATTGAAGCTAGGCATCGGTGCCTGCAGAGTTAACTGCATGAGGCTGCGAAAAATGCGCGGTCAGTTTCCTGCCTGTGACGGACCTACGCCGAGGAACTAACTTCCAGGTAGAAGAATACACCGATAGAACAGTGTCTTTTTATTGGACGAAACCTTATGGCATTCTTCGTTAAGACCGAAAATGACTACATTGGGGATAAACAGTTCAAATATCAGGAAAGAAAAGGCTAATTCGAATTATAAATTGTCGCATTGTCTATAGTACAAATTGATAGATTTTATTGTTGAAAATGGCGTAATTGCATTATTCCTACCTTCTTCATCGGTGAGAACAGTAGTATAAACAATATCATATGTATGGCTTCTCCTTTCTAGAAAAATAACAAATCTCACAAAATAATTAGGAACACACCATATCGTGAAATTTCAAGAAAACAAAAGTTTAAGCAAGAACGATAGGAAGTTCATAGGTTCCGTCATACTTGCAAAGCTTCGAAGGATACTCAGCCCCGGTGTTGTGGCACTTCCACTTGTCACCGTTGATCTCGCCAAGAGCGAAGGCTTTGGAATTGACAATTGAAACGTTCAACTTGATGTCTTCAATGTCCGTAAGAGACGGGAAGTTGACTTGGTAGTCGGTGTTGGAGCAGTTGAATTTGTAAGCACCAGACATGCCGCCAGACCTGCGGATAAATCAGTCTCAGAGTTTATCTTGAACAACCGTTCATGAGGCCCATATCATTCAACAGGCATTAGTAGCGTCAACATACCAGGCAGAAGAGCAAGACGTGTCGATGTTGTTATTCGGGTCATTCAACTTGAAATTGACGATGCGATATGCCGGTAGTGCTTGGTCGTAAAGGCCCGCATTCAGTTCAGTGAGCTGGAAGGGCTTCAGGTCGCGCTCGACATTGGCTGGAGCAGCAATAGCGGTACCAGCGATAGCAAGGAAGGTGATGGCTGTGCTTGAAGTCTTCATCTTGATTTTTGGGGAGTGTTTTCAAAGAGAATATCACAGAGTTTCATATAATTGATTATGCAGATGTGCAATGCAATTGTCTTTGTGAGGCTGATGGGTTGAAGTATTTAGCGAGGTATTCCTGCCTCTTTTATACTCAAAAAAACATCTCTATTTTCGCACCAAGCTCTCAGTTATTTGGCAGTGGCTTGCCTAGAAGGATCATGCGGAGAAGACTAACTCATCAGGCGCTCCATGGAACTGAAACAGAGAAGCCAGTTGTGTCCAAGGAAAGGCAGTCCACCAAGAGGGACTTGAAAAGCTTGGCCGGTCGCCTTATGTGATCGCCGGATAGAGCTGAAAGTTGAATCAGAAATCATTGGTTGGTATTTTAGGTACTACCTCAGAGCGCCGATTCATTTCGTTTTCTTTCCGAATCCAAGTTCCGCGTCCATGATAATGGAGCAGTTTAGGAGGCGCTCCACATGTCTCTCAGGCGTCCAGTCGTACACTGCCCGGCCCTCATTCTTAAGTCTTCCCACCGGTAGCCTGAATAGCGATCGTCGATTATATTTTTTCCTTGAATTTGCTTGCAGGTCTTAAGAAAGAAGTATTCAGATACCGGGGCAATTCATCAGCGTTATCCGCGTGTTTATACTAACATCAAAGATTCAATCAACTCTGACCCCTCCCCCAAGGACCACCTAGGCAATCGAGGGAGGAAATACGGTTTACCACCCTTAGCCTTTGCGTTCGAGTCTCTGCATCCATTTCAAGTTGGTCGCTACGTACTTGGGAGCTCACGTGTCGCGGTAGATGTGACCATGGGCTTAATTCTTGAGGGCTTTTGGATCTCGGTGGTGTTCGATTTGAATTGGCTTTGGCAAACCGGAATTATTGTACAATTAACTCCCATTCAATCTCACTTGGCTCCTTCCAATAGTCCGTCCCACTATTTACAAAGCCAAGTTTTTCCAGCAGTCTGGCACTGCGCTTGTTATCTCGCTCTGTTTCGGCAATGAATCTTTTCACGCCTCTCCTTTCAACAGACCAGCGCATGACGGCTTCGGCGGCCTCCTTTGCCATTCCTTTGCCCCAGAATTTGGGCGAAACACCATATCTGATTTCCACCATTTCCTGCCATGGTGGAAGGGCAGGATCCCCCGCCTCTCGGGGCGGAAGGGACGTGGTCGACGCGTCGCGAATACCGGCGTAGCCAACCCATTCAATACCGGCAAAATGTTCCAAATTTGAGCCGGCTAAAGCGTCGAAGTTCTCTCCTTCAATAATGTAACTTTGGCTTGGGGCTTGATCGGATTGAACTGGCCCACGCAGGCCCACCGCAAAGTCGCCGATTGCATATCTCCGCCATGACCGACCGATGTCGCGCGTCTCGATTACGTCGCGCGTTTCATCATCGGTCCAATTTCTTACGGGAAAGTGACTCCCAAAACCCATTTCACAGAAGCTTGCATCTGCGTGTAGCTCAGCGTAAAGTTGGCGGTAAGGCTTTACTGACACGGCGATCGGCGTGGGTACAATGATCAATCTGGGCGTTGTAATGGCGAAGGGCTGAATAACCTCATTTGAGTTTGTCGAAGCCATTTTTAGTGACGATACTGGATTCATTTCCTTGCGATTGGTAGCTGGACAGTACTAGGAAAAAGAGATGAATCATTGGGAGACTCGGACATTATGAGGTCGAGGTTGATTCTAAAATTTCCGGCGGGGTCCGTAAGCGGATTAGTGCCAATCTTCCCATGGCGAATTCTTGAGTGACGTTGGATTGAATCTCTCTAGTTTTGTGCACCCTTTTTGTGATTGAGAATGGAAGTATAATTTTTCAAAGATTATGAGGAGAAGAAAATATTATATGACAAGAAATGGAGGAAAATAAACCCAAAGTGCAAGCCTACGCAGCATCAGCGATGATCACCTCGGCCGCTTTTTCACTGATCATGTAAATTGGGAGAGCAATATAGTAACCTGGGATTTTGGGAAAGACGGAGGCATCGACGACCCGCAGGCCATCAACTCCTCGAACACGGAAATCCGCATCAAGCACGGCTTGGGGGTCCCCATCTTCACCAATAGCAGCAGTGCAGCAGGCATGGTGTCCCCAGGCCTCCTGCCGGATGAAATCCTTCATATCAGCCTCGGAGGTGACATTGGCACCGGGCCAGACTTCATCAAAGCTCCCATCGAGAGGGATCAAGTCATCGAAAATTGTGCGGGAAAACTGCATGGCCTCATAGACTGCCTGGACGTCCTTTTCATCGGCGTCATTGGCGGTTACGCCAGAATCAAACGAATTGAAATTGATGATAGGCATGTCGCGAGGATCAGTCGATCTTAGCTCGACCGTACCAGCATTATTGCGGCTCCGGGCCTTCAAGGTAATCCAGGTCCAATGTTGAGCGTCTTTGAGACCTTCGTAAGAGTAGTTTGGATAATAGCCGGGGAAGTTCACAGGAGCTCCTGATATCAAAAGATCAGGTTCATCATCAGCAACAGACGATTTGCGGATAATTGCGATCGCGATTCCGTTGGTGGTATATGTGCCTTTGAATAGAGGATCGTTCTCCCACTGTTCCAGACAAGGGTCCGGCATGGTATACATGAAGGTGCACTTGGAGGTAAGAACGAAATCCGTCGGCGACTTTCCAACAACACCAGTCTCGTACCTATCCTGCATGTTGGAGCCAACGCCTGGAAGGTCGACAAGTGTCTTGATACCGAATTTCGATAGTTCGTCCCGAGGACCAATACCACTCAGCTTCAACAACTGTGGGGTGTTGAAAGAGCCTGCGGATAGAATGACTTCGCGCTTGGCATCAACGCTACCAGGCTTACCTTCGGAGCCAGTCGGAGAAGCGCGAGGGTCTGCACGGTAAAGACTCTGTCCAAGGAGATAATCAACTCCGACAGCTCGCGGCTTGGCACCATCAGTATCAAATCGGACGTTGGTCACCAGTGTGTTTAATTGAATGTCAAGATGATACTTGCGAGAGCCATCATCATTCACAGCGTTGACAGTTGTCATCAAAAACTCCCGTGGACCTGTTCGCTTGTACTCGGGAACGTCAACGGCCAAAGGAACTTGATAAGGACCTTCGTCATAATCCCGGGTAGGGGAAGGGTTGTTCAGGTCGCGAAGGAGGACACCCGCAAGACCGGTGACTGTGGTGATCAGCTTGCCCAGCAAAGACTGGCCCGCAGCGGTCGCGCCGGCAAGAATAAGAGAAAGAAGTTTCTGATCTTCAATCACAAGTCGCAAGTCAGTGAGACTTGTTGTGAGCCATCCATCAAATCCGTGTCCCACCAGACTGCTAGGGAGATATCGATTACGCTCAAGCCTGGTGAAATATTGTCGCATATTTGATGCAGACCAAGAATCGTTGCCAGTGAGACTTGCCAGTTGCTCCCAGTCATTCTCGTACGGATAAATTGTTCTAGCATAATATGAATAAGCATGAATTCCTTCGTAGGTCCAGGTACAATATTTGTTTCCAGACTCACATCATTGCATTATGAGCAGAGCAGCCACCCAAAGTGCCAGCTCGAGGGTACAAGATTCCCAAGGGGTCTGATCCGCTTGGAGGATTAGGACCGACATGAAGTTCCCCAGAAGGAGTTCGGTAAGTCATCTTGGAATCTTCCTCCTGGCGTGTCAGATTTGAATAGTGATTGACAAAGTAATCCCACTTCATGGGTTCGTATTCTGTTGACTGGAGCTGCAAAGCAGGCACCATTTGCCTGGTAGCGTTTCCTTGATCATCTCCTGCATCCAGAAGAAGGACCTTGTACCCAGCAATGGCTAATCTTGCTGCAAGGGGACCGCCACCAGGGCCGGATCCAACAACAACATAGTCATATTCAGAAGAGGCTCCGTTAGATGCTGTTTGGTTTGTTGATCGTCTCTCGCTGCCATGAGATCGGTGGCTCGGTCTATGAGTACTATTTGTGTGTATTAGCCTTGCTGTCTGATATAGTCACAATTTGATTGAGGTTCTCATCACAGTACATACGAAGCCTTGACAGCTGACAGGGCTGATAATAGTCCTAGGACCAAGGAGAGACGCATGGCCGGCAACAAACACAGAAAGAAAGAAAAGGGCAAAGAGTAGGACAAAAATGAAATGAATTAAAGAGTGAATTGCAATGAGAAACTTGGAACAAAACGAATGTGACAGGGGATTTAGGTTTATATGACTATATTTGAAAGCCCTGACACATCTCCTTGTAAACCTCCTATGGGGGTTTCAACGGCTTTCCCACATGCTTTCGACCTTTGCAGTATTGATCGACATTCAAATTATGCTTGACATGATCTCTTCAATACCTAATGATCCAAGGGAAAGGATAACTCCGTAAAAAACTGCAGAACAGTCCTAGTGTCCCTTTAACCGAGCAACTGGGCGCAAGGTCCCGGTTCTATCGCACTGACCTATGGAGCAGTTTTTCAAGTGTCGGCAGAGTAGACGACAAGCTACGGAACATAGGCGACAAAGCCCGGGGCTGTCATGTCAGTAGCCGTTTAAGGGGCTCCAATTTGAATAGAAATTGCTTTTGTCATGAGTATGCCGTGATGATTTGACTACGCTAAGGCCATTCGACAACCGTTTGACGCTGATCACACTGCTTCTGGCGCCACTAAATTAACAGTGGGCCCAACGCATTCATATTATACACATACTTTCCACGCTGTTGATCAAGCTCCTTTTAAGGACGTCGTTGAAAGACCAGGTCCGCTGATTTAGGTATAGCTAGTAGCTCTTAGTGCAATGGAGACCCTTATGCTTTGGAAGGATTTTCTGAGTTGAGACAGGTGGGTACGAATAGTGGGGTATTTGGCCGGTTGTTTACCACGTTCATCCCCGGCCAAGAGGCTCCTGCCATGCAAAGGGGTGGATACCTAAGCCACAGGCTGAGACGGGACGCGGGTTCCGGTGCTTTCAGACGCCTTGGGTCTTACTATATCCAGTCGGGAAAAGGAAAGTACCATTCCCACCCAAGGGGCGCGAGTGCGACTCATCCCTTTCGCCTGGCCCCTCCCTTTTCAGCAAAGCAAGGACTGAATTTCAGGCTGTTGATTTTTTTTTGTGAGATTGAGGAAATTGTAATTTTGAATAATTCATAGTATTTTGGTATTGATGATATAACATGGCTCCAGAGAGTCCTTTTGTGAGCTGTTTGAGAAAAGAAATAGTATATCAATATGTGCCGGTGAAATGAGCGTCGCTTCTGCCCAGGTGACTGGAATAACGGACTTGAGAACCTTGGAATAAACGATTCAAAAAAAAGAAAGTAGAAGGGAATATAAATGGGTGGAATACTAGCAATAACGATGCTCACTTTCATCCAAGAAAATAGAATATGTTCACCAATGACCTCGGGATCAGGAATGACGATCATGGTGTAAATTGGCTTGGCTGGAACTTTCCATATCATCAAGTGGATAGAAGTTTCGAGAGTCACTTTTGCTCTGGACCTGAAAGCTGTTCTGAACATGAATTGAATTTTCGAATCGAGAGCCAGTTCCCCGTGAATGAGAATTCATGCCGTATGACTTTGCCTGTTCCGTATCTCCGAAGAGCTTCGGTGAAACACGCCGCAATAAAGAGCGAATGGCGGGCAGACAGGCGCAAATGACACCAACATCGCATTCAATTGTGCTCCAATACCCGATGGCCACATAATCCCCTAGTATTTCATCAATATCTTTCTGTAAACTCATAATTTATACTCTGGTACTCACATGTTAGGTTCTCGGTCGAAGCAAAATGAATGAGAGAGTTCAAACGAAGAATACTGACGAGCGTAACACTGAGAATGAGAGTTAGCATTTGCACGATTATATGATGGGCTGAATGAAACTTACAAGATACCAAGACTGAACATGCACATGACATAGGCCTTCTTTCTCAGGGAAAGATTCAAGCCCCAGAGTTGCCGCAGCGGCAAAACCATAACGATCACGTCGAAAATCATGTTGATTGCCGCCGCCGCCCAGCCTTGCGCATTGATGTGGTTGCACTTATAATCACCTTCGCCATCCCAATGGAGCCACGCACCGGGCAATGGGCTGCACTGGAATACTGAAATCAAAACGAATGCAATCATGTAACAGACATTAAGTCCGATCACGACATAGGTCACATTCCGGAATTGCCGTTCAGGAAAAATGCGCAGATAAAAGCAGCAAATCGAAATCTTGGTCATGGGCAATATACTGAGATAGATCAACTCATCCCAGAAATAAAGCTGGAGTACTTGGTCAGAACCTCTGAGGAAGTGAGCATATTATAATAGAGCCTGAAGAACTTACATAAAGAATGTGGGTGATATTTTCGAAAGGGAGTGTCCACATATCCCTCCCGAGCCCAGTGTCTGCCACTTGAAAAGAGTCAGCAAATGAATTAATGCAGCAAGTCAAGAAACAGAAATCTTACAGACAGCCGAAAGTGCTGATAGTGGGATGACGAGCGCCTGGGGATTGTTAGCCAAGATGACGCATAAATATGGACAGGAGTGGAGATCCACCACACCATTGTTAAAGCCATAGTCCAGTCATCCCAGCCAAAAGTACCACCGCAACATCGCAAACGTGCTATCATGCGAAGTATAAAAGCAACGAGAGCGATTATGCCACCTGCAACTCCAGCATATGAAACAACTTTCGTTCGATCTCGTATGGGGGCGTCGCATGCCATCGTAGTGACATTTTTGGTAGCTGAGATAATATCAGCATCCTTGTCTCAACATCCAGGAATTGACTTACTCAATGATTGCCGAATAGTGCAACTAGCGACGACACAACTCTCTAAAGCAGCTGTGTATGTAGCGTCTGTGCATAGACATTTCTGATCCGTAGGTGCACATGAGGCTTCAGACAAAGAAGATTTCATGCAGAGCAGCTTTTGAATGTCAGTTCTACCAACAGGGCCAAATATCGCGAGGGGGAACTTTTCCTACCGCACATGGTGGTAGAATGGCCGTCAATTGCGCTGCACTGGATGCGCTGGCTGCGCTGGCGATCACAGTGGTGGGCAGAATAGCCGCAGCCAGGAGAATACCACCTAGAAAACGCATGTTAAGGATTAGGAGATAATATTCATTTGTGAAACAAGGCTGATGCGGAGAGTACGGCTTTGAGAAGAACACTGAGGAAAGGAAGACTAGTCTTGCCTCCTGTCACCCCTTAGTCAGGACAGGGGTTCTACTGTGAAAACACTTATTCAGAGTCTTTACTAGTTCAAAATCATGGCAAAATAGCCTGCAGCGATTTTCAACTGGAGATTAGTTCTCCGTTCATGCAGGCTAGGCGTGTTCGAGCCAGCTGCGCGGGATTCCTTGCTGGTGTATCTCTGTCGATCATTTCAAATTGCAGCAGAAAAAAAATGGACTCACAACCTACAGTTTAGAGTCTAGAGGTTCAAGTGACCGCACAGACAGCCTCGCCGATGTTGACAAGTTACTAGGGTAATTTTCCGTTCGATGGTTGGTTCATGAATCAATTAAGATCTGCATCTATCACGGATCCTCTTCGTTCTGGTCCCTGTCCTGTTTCATGTGCCTGGAGTTTACGGACATGTGCCGCTCTCAAATTGCAGAAGAGGGAAAAAATAAACCTAGACGCGGCTCCACGAGTAAGCCAAAAGTTTAATGAGCCGCGATCTGCACTCGGGATTTTTGACACTGCGCTCCACTTTGAAAAAGGTACTTGCCGGGAATACGAGACCCCTTTGTCAATCTCAACAAGCGCCACCAAGCTGGAACAAATCCAATGACTATCAAGTACCGAGCCGTTGGGGCTCGAACCTTGAATCTCCGCTTATTTCTCCACAGATTGGGATTCCAGATATCTTCCTTCCTCTCCGAGGCATGATCGCTTTCACAATGGCTCTTCTGCCTTTTCCTCTGCAAAAATCAAAAAGGGAGGATGATCAGCGCTGCCATGCCGTTTAAGTGCCCGCAAGGGTAGTCCCGGGGTTCCCCGGCCGGTCCTAGCTGTCAAAATAATGGCCTCGTTGTCCAATTTACTAGCAGGAAAGACAATTCACCCTCCACGACCTCGGGATGAATATAGATACTATATATTTCATCGCAACTTCCACGAGACCCTTGTAAGACCATCCCCAGGGGAGAATTCCTTAGTGCGATATGTCATATTTCTCTGCCCAAAGAAGCAATTGGTTGCCGGCGTTAAGTGGGGCAGCTATTTACCCGAGATGTCTGTGACGCCTGCCAGTGTAAATTATCTATTTACATATGGGTGATGGGGTTTATGCATAATTTCGCCATGTTAGCATGTGGAAGAACATGTTCTTGAAGTCCATTCAGGGGTTAGCAATTAATCATCCACTGTTTAATTTACAGCCGGGAAAATCGTGATTTTGTATCTAAGCGGCTGTTCCGCATTTTTTGAACGATCCCCTATTGCAACCTTTTCGCTGTCATCTTTACTTGCTTGCATTGAGTAATTGACCAGCCAAATATATTCATTATGCGAATTTTCACTCTAGGGCAGTTGCTCTGGCAATCATCGCTCATTACTGCTGTGGTCGGATTTCCTGACCTTCATGGTGCTTCCTCCGGCCACCAAGGGCTGCATAAAAAGTGTCCATTCGCAGAAATCCCACAAGGTGCTGCAGCTAAACATAACAAGAGATTTTTGTTTGATTCTATGAAGTCGCCTATTGATAGTAAGTGTCAGGGAAACCGGCAGCATGATCATAAATTTAACTCTATGAAATTAGTCACTGGTGATCACGAGTTTCAGCCGCCTAACTTCGAGAACGGTGACCAGCGCGGACCTTGTCCGGGACTAAATGCGCTTGCAAACCATGCCTACATTCCTAGAAGTGGAGTAGTCTCAGTAAGTTTGATCCTTCCATTGTGACTAGGATCATCTTTTGCTAAGTGCATCGAAGTTCGGAAATGTGATTGCAGCAATCAATGAAGGTAAATGACAAGCGCTACCGATGTTCGTTTAGGTCAAACTGACATCAAATTTACAGTGTACGGTATGGGTGTTGATCTGGCTACTATTCTCGCGATCATGGGCACCGTTTGGACTGGAGACCCACTGTCGCTGGACCCTAGCTTTTCAATTGGCGGTCGCGACACTGGGGTCAACAATTTGCTAAACAATCTTGGCGGCCTTCTCGGTATGTGTTACTTGAAATGGAACCGCTTGACAATGAAGCTCATCAAAAATGTCTCTAGGTGATCCTCAAGGTCTAATCGGCTCACACAACTTTATCGAAGCCGACTCCTCTAATACACGAGACGATCTTTACGTCACCGGCAACAGCCATACACTAAATATGGACAAGTTCATGACCTGGTACAACATGTCTACGGATGGTACCTTTGACATGGATCTAATGGCAGAGCGCGCAAAGAACCGCTTCCATGAAAGTATTGAGACAAACCCCAACTTTTACTATGGACCCGTTACGGGACTCATTGCACGGAACGCTGGTTATCTTTTCTCTGCGCGCATGTTCCGCAATCATTCCCGTGAAAATCCGCAGGGAGTTCTGAGTAAGTGCATTCTTTCCAGTGTTGATCTTTGGGTGTCTTCGAAAGCTTCCTAACTCTGTACTAGCCAAGAGCCATGTCCGCAACTTCTATGCGATCTATGGCGATGAAGGCAATCTTACATACCGTGAAGGGTGGGAGCGGATTCCCGAGAATTGGTACAAAACGCCTGTAGATTATGGTCTGGTTCAACTTAACCTGGATACAATTGCATGGATTGCCAAATATCCCGAGCTTGGAAGGTAAGACTCCCACTGAAGTCTTTTTGTCCAGGCTAAAACTAAATTTGGTATTTTATAGTATTGGCGGAAACCTTGGCAAGATTAACAGCTTTGCTGGTGTTGATCCGGCAGATTTGACTGGGGGTGTTTTCAACCTGGCTAATCTCTTAGAGGGCAACAACCTACTGTGCTTCGTTTTTGAAGTGCTGAAGTTTGCTAGTCCAAATGCACTGTCTGGACTGTACAAGACGCTAGCAGAACCATTGGAGTGGGTCACCAATGTTGTTGCTGAACCCTTGCTCAACATGACATGCCCAGCATTCGAGGACCTTCAGATGGGCGGCAAACCAATTTGGGAGGCGCTGAAAGATGATTTCCCGGGTGCGATGAAAGGCGATGGCGCTTTCTAAGTGCATTTTTCATTCCACATGGTGTTCGGGTATCTTTACTTGCGAATACGATCCTCGAAACCTTTCCTTTGCAACCTCTTATGTTTTTATAAGTCATGTTCCCTTGCAAGAAATAACATAATACTAGTATACAATGATAGTGCCTGCCCCCACTCATCGCCTTAGACATCCAGGCACCAAGGCCGCCATGCCATGTCCCGATAGCTTCACTGCCTTCTCTCTTCACATGCCAACTCCTTTCAATCCCGTTCATCCATTAATATCAATATCAAGCATATATGACTACGAAGAGCGATCCCTGGAAGGCTGAAACTTATGTATAGGCCATTTTGCCTCCCCACAAATATAGACTATAGAGCGCCAGTCAAACCGTCTAAGGGTTTATGGTCGACAATGTGAAATTGGCGCTAGTTAATGAACGTTAAGTTGTCAATGCTTCTAGCCCCCAGATGAGATAAGAGGTCTTCAAGTATGTAGATACGGATTTTATGCTTGACATGGCCATCTTAGACCTAGGCAAGTCACCCTCCAAGTTCAAGGTCCTCTCATTTCCATCTCAATCTTCGACATCACTAAATCATCCTTGACAGATTGCTCCCATGCGTATGCAACTTGCAAGATCCTCAATTCATCGTGCCACTTGCCCACAATCTGCATGCTAGTCGGCAATTTCACACTCGGATTCTCCTGGGCAGGAACAAATCCAATCGGAATTGCAAGTGCCGGATGCCCTGTAGCATTGAAGGCACATGTGTTGTTTATCATTCCTTGTGCCGCTTCGGGTTGGACAATTGGTGTTGCATCCACGCTGGGCAGTCGGCTTGCGCATGATAGAGTGGTGGGCATCACAATTACATCGACAGAAGAGAATGTCTCGTCGTACTTGTCTTTCAGCTTGCGCAATATGTTGACAGCCTTTGGGTAGACGGTTGAGTGGTGCTTCCAGGCAAACTCGCCACTGAGAAGACCCTCTTTGCACATCACGCTCATCTGGGTAAGAGTTAGAGATAATTATGATCAAATTTTGATGCCAAACCTACTTTGCTCACGGCTTCAGATGTATAGGGAAGGCCTTTCTTTTCGAAAAGATCCGTTAACATCACCTGTCGTCGACCCGTTGCCTGGCCCATCATTCCCATATGATTCCCCATCTTGCTGAGTACGCTGTACAAGCTTTGCGCATGCGAGTGTAGAGGAATGCTAATATCCTGCACTTGAGCTCCGAACTTTTCAAATGAATTAACGGCATCCCTGAACTTCGTCAAAACATCCGGATTTATCTCAGTCGGCATGCCTTCTCTCAGCACCCCAATTCGAACGCCTTGGAGAGAAAAATCACCCTGTTTGAGCACATCCGAATAAGGGGGCACGTCTCTTTGAAGTGGAATTCCAGGCCCTGATCGATCATCCATACCATCTGCCCCAGCAATAGCTTCTAGCAGGCACGCAGTGTCCAGAAGCGAATTCGCGATCGGCCCAACATAATCCAAACTAGCATCATTGCTCGCGATACCAGTATACGGCACGAGCCCCATCGTCGGCTTAAACCCATACAATCCCGTCAAAGCCGCCGGAATCCGTATACTACCCCCTTGATCACATCCGATCCCCATATCTGCCCCGCCGCTCGCCACAATAGCGGCCGTGCCTGAACTGCTGCCACCGACCGAATACCCCCGCGCGTATGGATTGTGCACTGGGCCTGTCGCAGCGGTTGCACTGACTGCCCCGCGCGACAAATTCTCGCACACGGCTTTGCCAGTGATGACCCCGCCAGCGTCGATGATGCGTGATACGACAGTCGCGTCTGTATGTGGGACCCAGTCGCGAAATGTGTCTGTGCCGAGCAAACATGGTACGCCGGCAACGCAGATATTATCTTTTAAACAGACTGTTTTGCCTTTTAAGATGTTCAAAGTTGGGGAATCGGACGAAAGCTCGAATCGCCAGGCCCATGCTCCAAGGGTGTTGTCTTCGGGTTTGGGGAAGCGGATATTTCGTCTGGGATGCTTGGTCGTGTCAGGTTCAGGCTGGTAGTCTGGTTGGTTCTCTTGTTAGTCAAATGTGAACACTGGCAGTCGAGAATGCGGGGGAGATCTCGGCCTTGCCTTCCATTGCTTCAATAGCTTGTATTGTCTTCTCTGTGCGTAACAGAAACGTCTCATAATCTGCTATCTCATCCTCGGGAATATCCATGGACAGTTTATTTGCTAGCGAGAGCATTTCCGCCTGGGTTGCCATAATTGGAGTCGAATTGTGGCTACTCTGAGTAGATTTTAATTTTCCTAGAACTTTTCTTGATCGATTTTGGTGCGTCGTTGCTTCATTTATACAGACCCCTCGGACAGATTCGGCACCGGCCGATGGCTCATTTAGGATATCAGAACTGCTGTTGATTAATTAGTACTGTATACCCCGCACTAGCCTCCAGATTCGCCGTGGCAAAAGACCCTCCGAGTTGGTTCAAATGCTGACTTGCCGATGACCCCAAGAACAACTTTGGGGTACTTAAAGCGGGGCCTGCAGGAATGATCCAATCGCCAAGCCCACTCGTGAAGATTACTGGTGGAGGAAGCATAGTGACAGAGTTCAAATTAAATCGCAGAAAGAATAATAAAGATACTGAATTGGATAGTAGAAAATAAATTGAACAAGGTGAAACCACCAAAGCAAGAAGTGAGGCTATCTAGACAACATACTAGTAGGTAGAAATGACAAACTTGGAATAGAGAATTTAAAACGACACAGTTGTATGCAGAAAATATAAATTTGGAGTAATACAAGCATACTCTGGCAAACTAAATCCCTAAAAGAAAATTCCAAGAGAGAACAACTTCTACCTTGGTGAAAGCTCACCCCCTTTGTCCGCACATACACCCAAGTATAATAGCCCAAAGTCCCAACGACCCCGATGAGCGACATGAGTGTAAGTGAAACACCAGTAATAATACCCTGCTCAAAGTAGCCAATCTTGAAACCAGCTTTTTGGTTCGTCGAAGGAAGCGGGGAGATAGCCTGGCGCCAGAGAGCATCTGATTTGAGCGTGGCATTGTTTTCCAGGATCGTTTGGGTGGTGTATGCGCTTGCGGGGGCGTTTATTAGTTGTGGGCGGGGTTTTTGGAAGGATGTCGGAGAATAACGTGTTTGAGGGCTGTAGGATGTGCCCCGAGGGAGGGCAGGACCGACTTAAGTTTATTGTTAGTATCATATATATTCTGAGCTATGAAGGGAGAGTAGTGAGTAGGATGTTAGGCGTACTTAGCATGTGGCTGGGAACGTGGTTGACCCAAGAAATATCAGCATCGATAAATTGTGTCAGATATTTGGCTGAAGCTGGGGCTGCGAAGGCATAGGTTGCTGCGAGTGTTTCAGATCTAATTTTACGTTAGTATCTATTTCTTTTGCTTTCTCTCAAGCTTGAAACGTACGCGTTGATGTCGATGGCATCATCGAGACTCGTCACAGGGTGTACCAGCAAAACTTTTTCATCAACCTTCTTCTTGAGCAATGGGGATTTCCTGGTCGGTCAGCTTTTTGAATCTTCATATAGCTGTGTTGCAGTGTCGTTTCTTACCGATTTTGAACCTCAACCACGCCCCAGTTGCTTCCAGATACAAGAATACGTGCACTGCGCTCTTTGTGAATGGAGTCTAGGAGCGCTGATCGTCGCGGTGATGATTGCTGCTGTCTAGTCTCGCCGTTTTCACCTGCAAGATAGCGAGAGGCATGCTGAATAACAGCTTCGACGAATGGCTTCATCGCGAACTCATTTACGAGAACCACATCCGGAGCGTAGGGCGAACGTCCACCAAATGCAAACCGCGCAGCCACCAGTGCTTGAGCAGCTTCATTGATTTTGGCAGTGCGGTCAACAACAGCCACCGTTCTGGACGATGCGGGCGAAAGAAGCCCACTGGGAGCATCGGATGGGATTTGAGAAACAAGCAAGGCTTTCTTCATGAATGACGAGTCTGGTCTCTGTGAGACAATTGTAAAGGTATCGTGGTCCAGCGCATCTGGGAGGATCTTTCGCAACAGGCCAGGGAGGGTCATTGTAGTTTGGGGTAGCTTTGAAAGTCAGTATTAGTCCTTGTTTTTTGAGACCATTCAGATTCAATCAACTTACCTCCAGAACGATACAATTTCCAGCTGCCAGCGCGGTTGTCAGAGCAGAAATCACCGAATAGAAAAGCGTATGCGTCGTCGGGGTGATGTACACAATGCCCACCCCGCGTGAAGCATCAGGGCTATCCTTTCCATTCTTGATGCGATATTCAGCTTCAAGATCCTTGGTCAGACTGAGTGATACGTAATGCGCCCGAAGCTCTTGCAAGGCCAGTACGACCTCTGCGCGCACCTCCTGGCGCGTATTACCCGAGTCTGAGACGAATGGCATCTTGGATCTCGGCGATATTCTCAACCAACTTAGATTGTAGACGGTGAAATTGTGATTGGCGATACCGGGTATTTTCAGCGCGGCCATCGATGTTGGCAGCGACGATGCGCGGAAGGTCCATCTTGATGATAATGATGGAGAGGGCTAGAAAAGCAAAGAGGCACAAAAAATATTTAGAAATTAGAGCAAAAAAATGAAAATCAATAGAGAGAGAAACAGATAAAGAAGATACAATTTACCCCGGTACTTTTAGCTCCGCCCGCAGTCGTCGCCTCGGAGCTCCATCCAACTTGCATTCGGGATGTGGGGGAGAAAGGGGGCGCGTGGGGGATTACGCCGCTATAATCAGCTTGAGATGATCGGTCAGCGGAGGTAATACTTTCCGTTGCGCGACGCATAATAATTTTGAACCGGATCTTCTCTAGGGGACCCCTACTTCCCTCAAATCCATCCATTCTCGCAATACCCTACGCTTCGAGTCTACTCATTGTCCATCATGTCGAGAACCACCACCGCCACCACAACCATAACCTCCGCCAACACGCTGGCCGTCTTGGCCGATTATGAAGTGCACCATAGCGGATCTCAACAGCCTCCTCAACAAGCTGAGCAAACTGAGCCAGTAAATTCTTCTCAACCGGCCGACTGGCCAACAGATCACCGTCGCGTGCCAGCATATCGTCCTGTGCAACAGAATCTGAGCTACGTCGAGCGTCCAGCGGGGAACGGTCACCCTGCGGAATATGCTTTCATTCAAATCATGCTACACGGTGTCTGGTTAAATGCGGTAAGTAGTGATCTTTTACAAAGTCAAAGATTTACATACTGATCGGGAGTAGTCCGTCGCGCGACTCTGGCGCTTCACTGGGGGGAAAATCAATGATAAAATCTTCCATTACGATGTGGGCGGGGAGTGGTAGATATAGTCAATGTGGTTATAGCATCAAGTTCAATTTCCAGGGCTTTCATTCAAGTTTTTGTGGTTATATGCGAATTTGGACTAATTTCTTGTCTCTTATGGTTCTTCTTTTCTTTCCAACCTATTCGCATTTATTCAGAATATCATTGCATTTTATTCATTCAAGTTTATGAGAAACACATTTCTAAATTGTAAAGCCCTCTATGAGAAAATTACCTTGTAAGAAGTACTAAGCAACAACCACTCAAAGACAACCCACTCTCATAGACTTAAGTGCTAGCCCGAACACCAATACCATCAACAACCTCCCCAAGATCCAACCCACCAATCTTCATCGGCTGAGCCGGCGAAAGAACATACAACATCCTTCCCCACTGTGGAACCTTCTCCCCATCAACAACAAGATCAGGCGTAACATTTCTCCAAGCATGATTCGTGCCCCGCTGCACCGCAACATCCCCGCGCTTAAGCAATCTCGTCTCGCCAGAGTCCAGAACAAGCTCGACCTCACCCTCCAAAACGACTCCATAGTCCAGCGACACGGTGCGGTGCATCGGGCTCAGGGCTCCGGGCGGCATGTCAACGATTCGACACACGTTGCCGGTTGAGATGGTTATTCCGGGTGGACTGGTTAGGTAGGCGTTGTACTCGGCTAGATCAGTGTTGTTGGATAGTTGGGCCGGGAAGTGCGAGGATGTGTAGGCTAGACTGAAGTCTGCGCCGTCGGCGACGGATTGTACGGGCATTTCTTCGGAGAGGTCGTCTGTGAAGATTGCTTTGCCGGAATCATCGTGGGTTGTGATGAAGCGGCTAAGTGGGCGGAGGTTTTTGGGGGTTGGAGATGCCATTGTGGGTGGATTTTGCCCTGGTAGATGGTTCAGGTTTTGCAATTGGATGTTGAAATTGACAATAGGGGCCAGTGATGGTATCAAGAGTAGTGACAACTTTGGTGATAGAGGGTTTTCATCCCTCCTGGTACATCTATATCCTTGACCCCTCATCTCGGGACCACTTTCGACCACATCGGGTTCTATGGAGTCGTAGATTCGGAGTTAGGAAGCTCGGGGCTTCAGGTCTCGGGTTTATCATGCAGGGTCGCATGACACGACCGAATTTTGTGGGGTAGAGCCGAGTGGACGAGGGTGATGTTCACTAGTACGTGTTTGCTCTCGACCAGCTGTAGGGATAGGGATACGAGTACGAGTCAAGGTTGGTAGTACAGTATGCCAAGCGCAAACTTTGAACTTGAACAAAGCTTGAGCTTAAATGATTAACAAACTTCAAGTTCAAACACAGCTACATACCTATCCAGGAAGAACTCCTCAATCAAGGTACGAGTAGAAAAAAAAAAATCTAGAACGTAAAATTTCAATTTCATCGAATCTATGAACTCATATCTATAACTAACATCCACCCTCCTCCCTAAGGAATAATAGGCAGAGTAACATAATTCTCCCCCAGTCCAAAATGAATATGATTCTGGCCCGCAAATCTCTCCACAGACCGATCAACCGGCGAATTATGCAAAAAGATCCCAGACCCCTGCGTATCACCCGACGAAACCTCCAGAACAATCTTCCCACCCTCCTCAACAACAACATTCGTAGGCCAGACCTCCACATCAACGGGATAAACCTCACCGGGCAGAACAGGCAACACGTCCGTAGAACAGTAATCGCGATGCGGGAGGTATTCCCGGTTACGCGCGTGCTTCTCATTCACCTTTCGCATACTAACACGCAACCAGCCCTTGCAAAGAGGAACAGGATCACCGGCCGTACCCGTGTAAAAGACCTCCTTACCAGCCGGCGAGATGTGACGCAGCGTAACGAAGAGATCTAGATCCTGGGGCGTGGCGGAGCCAGCATTCGGACTCATAGATACATTCAGGTGTGTAACGATGTGGCCCGTGATTTCAGTTTCCTTTTCAAAGGGGGCAGTTGTGAACTGGACGACGGAGGGATTCTCGATCGTGCCCAGCGCCGCGTATGAGATCTTGGTGCTCTTTTTCTCGGCCGGGGCGTGCGTGCTCAGCTCGCGGGACGAAGTGAGGTGAAACTTCGTATACTGGGTTCGAGCAATGGGCCACTCGTGCTCGATGCGGCGCGGGAATGTCTTCTCTGCGACGGCGTTGTTGAAGCCTACGTCGCCTTTACGGAGGAGTATGTCGACTTTTGGCGCTTTGCCTGTTGACCAGCCGGCGCGGTCGTCGTTCTTGAGGAAGGCGTCCAGGAAACTGCGCTGGATCTCGACTTCTTCGGAGTAGTAGAAGGGTAGGTCGTGGCGGCCGGCGATGAAGCGGAGGTATTTTAGCTCGGAGCCTGCTTGGGTCCAGCCCTCGACGTTGCCGCGGAGGTGGAGGAGGATGCCGCCCCAGTTCGCGACTGATAGGAGGGGTACTTTGATGTCGGACATGCTATATTCCTTGGATGCGTAGTATAGATCGTCGCGGAACTTGTTCTCTGCGTTGTCGATTGTCTGGTCTTGGCGATTTGCAATGAGCTCTTCCTCGGAGAGGTCGCCTTCGATTGTATCAGGGCCCCAGTTTCGCGCTGCTCGGCCGGGGAGACCGTACTGGTTGCTCACGACCTGGCGATCCCACCAGAACTTGATGAAGGAGTTGGCCAGGATTCCGCCGTGGCGGCATCGATCGCGGTAATAGTCTGACATGCCTTCCCAAGGAATGATGCAAGAGAGACCCTTTGGTTGACGAGCTGCAACACGCCATTGACTACCGGCGTAGTAACTGATTCCCAGAAGACCGACCTTTCCAGAAGACCAGGGCTGCTCAGCGGCCCATTCGACCACGTCGAAGAAGGCTTCGCTTGTGCCTCGGGACATGGTGTCGAGCTTGCCCATCGACTGCCCGGTACCGCGTTCATCGGCACGGACGACTGCATAGCCCTGGCTGGTCCAGTACTTTGGGTCCGGTGTTTCCCAGGATGAATGCTCAGAGCGTTGCTCGGGGTTGACCTCGCTGTAGCTCTGAGGGTGGAAGTCCTTGTAAGGAATATCCTTTCCATAAGGTCCGTATGTTACCAAGACCGGGACCTTTTCTGAACCCTTGGGGCGGTAGACATTGACACGGACAATGCCCGACTCGTCTTTCAGAGAAATGGAGACATTTTGCTCGTAGATGTATGGGAAGGACGATTCGTCGCGGGTGGTGATGTCTTTGATTTCGTTCGGCATGATGGTGTGTGTACCTATTGAACTTGAAAACGACTGACAAAATAGGCGAACGGAAAATCTAATTGAGAAAAATAGCCTGTCTCATATACGCAAAAAAAAGATGGAGCTACTAGGAGTAGTACGTACCTGCTCGCCCCCGCTCGGGGACGTATTGGACTCCCCGCGCATGTGGAGCCGAAATGGTATCCGAAGCATCACCGGACATTCAAGCGACCGCGAACCCGAGGGATGAAGAGGGGGAGATGGGGCACGCGGCAAGAACGGAAGAATTGAAGAGAAAATGGAACAAGGGCTCATACATAAATAAATAAATCTCTCTTCCGGTGTGGGCAAGCGACAAATTCCACCCATCTAGCAGATCGAAATGGCCGGACGAAACGAAAACCCAGGACTGCGTGTGCTGATTGTCGGTGCTGGCATCGGCGGTTTGACAGCTGCAGTTGCCCTACGACAGCAAGGACATCATGTTGAGGTTTGTTCTTCCAAGTCTCTTACAGAGCGTTGCCAGTGGTGCAATAAGTGTATCTAGCTACGGGATACTGATTGCATATCTCAGATCTTTGAGCGCTCCCGCTTTGCGAATGAAGTTGGTGCTGCGATTCACATATGCCCAAATGCCAATGGCGTTCTCAAGCGACTGGGAATTCATGCGGAAAAGTTTGGTGGAGTAGAGACCGAGCTGGTAAGTCAAGTTAAATCCTTGCTGGAGAAAAGGGACTCCGCGCTGACTATGTAGCTTCGCGAATATACTCCATCTGGCGAGGCGGTCCACATCACAAATGTGAAGGAGCAAGCGGGCTTCTGGAGACACGTAAGTCAATTCCTTCCAAGGTTATTCATCCAGAGCTAAACGAATAATGTACAGAGCTGGCTCCTGGTTCATCGCGCACAATTCCACGACGGCCTCAAAGCAGCAGCACAAGCCCCCGGGCCCGAAAATCCAGCTATCCTACACACCGCAAGCAAAGTCGTCGACGTTGACCCGCACAAGGCGACCGTGACCCTTGAGAATGGCGACGTGCACACGGGAGACGTGGTCATCGGTGCAGATGGTGTACACTCTCTCACACGAACCAAGCTCCCACAGGCAAAAGGCATCAAGCCGGCGAGCTCGGGTAAGAATGCTTTCCGCTTCTTGATGGCACGTCAGCAGGCTCTAGATGACCCCGAGACAAACGTCATCGCAAGAGACATGGGCGCGGTTGACATGTGGGATGGAGCGGATCGACGGGTAGTCATTTATCCATGTGCAAACAACGAGATGCTCAACTTCGTCTGTATTCACCCAGAATCCCTGACGACGATTGAGGCCGGCGGTGATGAGTACAATCAGCAGATTAGCAAGAACGCTCTTCTGGAGGTATACAAGGATTTCAGCCCTCAGGTTCTCCGGTTACTGGAGAAGGCGGATCCAGCTACGCTGAAGTTGTGGCCACTGCTGGATATGCCCACTATACCTGAGTGGGTGGAGGGTCGATTGGCCGGGCTGGGCGATGCGGTTCACCCTTTCCTACCATATCGCGCATCGGGCGGTGCAATGGCCATTGAAGATGCGGTCTCGCTCAGTGTGATGTTGCCTCGTGGTATCGCGGCCGCCGATGTACCCGAGAGACTGAAGATCTATGAGAAGGCTCGCCACAGCCGTGTGACTACCATCCAAGAAATGACGCGCCAATCAGTCAATATTCTGCCGGCCAATAAAAGTGAGTATTCCATCAGTTCCTATATGAATGACCTTTGCTGACTCAATAGCCATCATGATGGTCGGCTACATCTACGGGCATGACGAATTCGACCACTCCGCTCAGGTCTTGCGCAAGTATCTCTGGTCCAAGAACCCACACATGTACTGGCGCCAGCCGATCGTCTTTGGCCCCATGCCTGGCCCCCGACAGGACTGGTACGGGAATGACCGCGCGATCCAGTCCTTGCAGTCAACCTTCCAGACGGCCTCGATCAAATTCAAGACCAGTCGCACACTTCTGCAGAATCTCTTCCCGAATGACCGCTACAGCTTCATTTCACCCAGCACAGTTGCCCGAGCCAGTTTCTCGCAGACCACACTGAACGGCATGGACTGGTTGGGCGGTGGTGGATACCGACACATCGGACTGTATATCCATGGTGTGCAGTATAAGAAGGAGAATGGCGAGGTGCTCAAGGGAACGTATATGCCTATTTTATTCGAGAGTCTGGCGGACCCCATCGTCTCGGGTCGTGAGGAGCTCGGTATGCCGAAGCTATACACAGCGATTGATATACATGAGCGGAATAGTTCTTACCGTCTGCAAACCAGCTGGCAAGGTGCAGTGTGGGGCCACTTCGAGCTGGAGGACCTAGAAGATCAGGATCTGGGTGCAGACAAAGGTACAATTGGAGGGGAAGACGATGACGGAATCTTGGTATATAGGTATATGCCCAAGGTTGGCCGGGATACCAAGGGTGAGGCAGCAGAGGAGTATCCCGTCTTTGTCCCGCATGCGCAGGAGTCCAAGGTCGTGCCATCCAAGGTCACACGGGTGCGCCGGAGTAAGAGTGCCAAGGTGAACATCAACGAGCTGAATTGGGATGCCCTACCCACGCTGCACCATGTTGTATCTCGACTTGCGGAGATTCCTATCGATGAAGTGATCGAAGCGAAGATTACCGAGGGGTTCGGGGTGCCGGATGTGTCAAGCGCACAGCGCATTGAGTAGTTCTGTTGTAGGCAGTGCGGAATTCGCTATGATAGAACATGTATTTCACTTATTCTGAATGGGACGATGCCTTGGCCTGAGTGTTAGTATTAGAGTTCAATAAGACCATCCCTTCATGTAGGATGGTGTCTCAAAATGCTTGGTTCTCGTCCTTTTGCAGACTGTCACTCTTGGCATGGCCGTTTCTTGCGGCGTGCCTCCTCAATAGGGGCAACTAGTGCTCAACGGCAACGAGGACATGGCTAAATTAGGTGAACTGCAGCGAACCCATGTTGGCATTTCAGCAGGTGGATGCTTTCGGAGTCTTCGCCAGCAAAGCAGTTAAATCAGCGGAGCGTTTAGATCCGAGCTACGCGTGGGCTGAGCATGAATGTGCGCATGAGACAGCAGGGATGCGGTGATTTAGGGACTCGACTCGCGCATGTGAACTACATTCTCCAATACCGCATGAGTCTCCAGTAGGAGCCTCTGTCAGAGTGCAGGAACAGATTTGTTTGTCTGGAAGATTTAGCCGCATCCCCCACCGGTACTCGGCGATGGGCCGATGATCGAGGGGTATCTCAGCCACGCAGCCACGCCGCCACGCAGTCATCCCGCCACGGGAGACCGTTGTGAGGCTGTCGACGCATCTCGTCGATCCGTGCGGGAAAGGCCGTAGACGAGTTGATCCACACGGTCAGCATTGGACGATGAATGGGCCACTCAAAGGAGGAGAGTGGAGGATTAGGCCAGTGCGGGGTGTAGTTGCCATTTATCAGTGGTCGCCCCTCCTGATACATAGTCCTCGTGGATCATCTCGTGGTGTGGAGATATTGCGAGTGGGAGTGAGTAGGAGTGAGTGCAAGCGAGTACAGATCAAGTGGGTATCAAGTGGACTGTTAGTATTTAAGGAACCAGTTGAAGTGAGTAATTGGGGCCAGTTCGGCATTTCAGTGAATCGCCAGCTCGATTCACAGTGGAGAATTGGTTTGTTTGGAGTATGAATGCTGATCATTGAGTGTACAAATGCTAGAGGGAATCATCTTGTTGGACAGTGGATGTTGGCGGGCAGACGTTGCGCTAGTACGATAAGCCGGCGAACTTTGGTGAAACCGGAGGACCCACGGCTGCCTTGGAGCTGCAGGTGAGTCTAGAACTGGTAATCTCGGGATGGTAGTGTAGGGTGGTGGTGGGTGGAGGTGGCGGGTGGTGGAGAAGAGGAGAGGAGAGGAGAGGAGAGGAGAGAAGTTGGCAGGAGAGAAGGAAAGAGGGAGAGGAAGTTGATGACTGTGATGACTGTTGAGAGAGAGGAGATGTAAGGAAGGAGCAACCCCGACGCACCTTCGCACCTTCGCACCTTCGCTTTTCGCACCTTCCTCTTTCTTCTTCCATCACCTTCACTCTTTCACTTCTCATCACTTTCGCTTTCTTCTTAAGCATCTCCTCTCTCTTCTTTCTTCCTCGCATTTATACTTACCCTGACATCTACTTTCTCTGAAATTCCCTCCCCTCCATCTCTTCCCCTCCATTCCACCCTCCCCGCACCGAGAGGGATTCCATTCACCATGTGCGTCCCCGAGCCTCATGAGCTCCCAGCGCTCAGCTCCCAGCTCCCATCCCCTTCCACAGCTCGCTAACCTCTCCTAGGCGGATCACCGTAAGTGTTATCCGCCCTGAGCAGGCCGACTCCGACATCATTACCCTCGAAGTCGGTGGTGACATGTCCATCGAGCTCCTCAAAGCCATCGTCGAAAGCGAAACCGCCGTCCCCCCCGAAGCTCAACAACTCGTCTATAACAACCAGCTCCTGCAGAGCCCCTCGCAAACCCTTGACCAGATCGGCATCGGCGAAGGTGATATGCTCGGCGTCCACGTCACCCTCCGCGGCGCAGGTCCCAGTGCGGGCCGCCCTCCTCAGCCTGCCACAGCTCCCTCTGCCGGTCCAAGTTCCTCCATGGCCCCGCGCCAGGCACCACCGCGACCCGGCATGCCTGATCCGGAGACAATCCGCCTCCATATTCTTGGTGACCCGCGCGTACGTGAGGCAGTTCGGAGACAAAACCCAGACCTCGCCGCCGCGGCAGATAACGCGGCGCGTTTCCGGGAGGTCCTTCTGTCACAGCAGCAAAGTGAGGCTCGGCAAGAAGCGGAGAAGGAGGCGAGGATTGCAATGTTGAACTCAGATCCGTTCAATCCGGAGAATCAGCGAGAGATTGAGGAAATCATCCGCCAGAACGCGGTGACAGAGAACTTGCATAATGCCATGGAGCACCACCCAGAGTGTATGTGATCCGGTCTCTATCTCACCCTCACTCTCAAACCACCCATCCCCTCCCCCCCCACTCTTATTGCGTTATCTAAATCTGCCCTACGTCTTACGGGATCTCCCGGGATCGACAAGGATCCAAGATTATGCCATGCCCTGCCACGCAATGCAAGAGCTAACAAAACAACTGCAGCCTTCGGCCGTGTCACCATGCTCTACATCCCCGTCGAAGTCAACGGCCACCGTCTCAACGCATTTGTCGACTCCGGTGCCCAGGTCACAATCATGTCCCCCGAGTGCGCGGTCGCTTGCAACATCATGCGCCTCGTCGACCGCCGCTACGGCGGTATCGCCAAGGGCGTAGGAACCGCCCCGATCCTGGGTCGAGTGCACTCGGCTCAGATCAAGATCGGCGAGATGTTCCTGCCATGCTCCTTCACCGTGATGGAGGGTAAGCAGATCGACCTGCTCCTCGGATTGGACATGTTGCGCCGCCACCAAGCCTGTATCGACCTCCAACGTGGCGCCCTTATCATCCAAGACCAGGCCGTCCCGTTCCTCGGCGAGGGCGATATCCCCAAGCACCTCACAGAGGAATTCGAAGACGAACCGACGGTCAAGGGCGCCGATGGTGCAGAAGTCGGCGCTCGCACGGGTGCGGTGACGCATCAGGCGGGTCGTGAGGGTGGAGGCGCTTCTGCGTCTGCTTCTGCTTCTGCGTCTGCGTCGACGCCTGCACCTGCAGCTGCGTCATCATCTGCTCCTGCGCCACGGATCAATATCCGGCCTGCGGCGTCACGCTGGCCGGCAGACTCGATTGCAAAGATTACCGAGTTGGGATTCACGCGGGAGGAAGCTATGCGTGCGCTGGACGCCGCAAATGGGGACCTGGATGGCGCCATTGGATTCTTGATTTGATTTGATTTGAACTGATGTGATGCAGCGCAGTGCAGTGCAGCATGGCGTTCGGATCAGATCTAATCCTTATCTCTAGTCTTTATCAAGGTATCCCTTAGGTGTCCTATAGGATGGGATGGGATAGGATGGTCCTAGTATATTGCCCCCGGGTTATATACCAGGCCAGAATGATGGGCTGAGCTGAGCTGGGCTCGGCTCGGCTGGACTCGGCATTTCTTTCATTGGCGTTGGTGGATGAATTGTGATTTAGCGGGATTTCGTGGCCATTGCACGTAACGTGTACGATAGGTGTCTATCTGAACCGATTCACATTGCTTACAGGACCTGATCAGGTGTGGGCGTGGCTGTTTGCCGCCTTTTGTAATTGAGAAATACATGGTGGTACATTTTAGTTTTAGATTATGCGACACCGGCGTGCTCAGGTGGGGTGTGGTCTATCACTCCTGCTTAACCTGGGTCCGGGTCTGGGTCTGGGCCTGGTTCGCAGGCATGAGTTTCGCCCGCAACCTCAGAATGGAATCAATAGCCATATACGCGCCTATAGTAGTCAGCATACACCATCCAATGAAACTGCAATGAGCTTGTTCGACATACCCAATGCAACATACGGCCCATAAAGCGCCGTGATATTCTGCTTCTCCGCCACACTCCGATCCTCCCACGCCCAAACCTCAACCAAACAAGTCAGCGACGTGATGAAGGCCTGGATGCCGAAGACGAGCAGGTGCACCGGGATGAGGGGGTGTTCTATCGAAACAAAATTGGTTAGCTGGTTGGATAAGGTAGCAGCAAGCTGTTGTTCGCAGCGCAGCGCAGCCAAGCTGTATGTATGTATCACATAGATAGGTAGACTCACCCTTTAGCAACCCCCACACCGCCCATAAACTAGCCGGCACGTGGTAAAGCACCTCCATCCAGATAAATGTGGTGAACCATGGTGGGGCGGGGGAGTCGAAGAATTTGTCGCGGTAGGTGTTGACGTAGAATTCGCGGAGGGTGGTTGAGAGGGGTGAGATGGCCCAGGAGGGTTGGAGGGGGGCTGTGTCGATTAGATAGATTATCGGGATGTGGGTTGTGAAGAAGAGGAGGTATGCTATGTCTGTTTTGCGGAGCATTGTGGTGGTGTGGTGGGTGGTGTGGCTTGGTTGGAATGGGAGGGGAGGGGAGTGAGGAGGAGGAGGGAAGCTCTGAGGGTGAAGGAGTGGGGAGCGGTCAGGTGGGCGGGGCGGCGATCGGGGTATGTTTGCTTTTTCGAATCGATAGCTTATTTTAGTGGATCGATAGTCCTGGTCCTGGTCCTGGTCCTGGTACCTGTATACAATACTCTATACAGATTACGGGGGACTCTGTTAATTGTGAGATATCAAAGTTCACTTTAGTACACAGTTAACTACTGATAGGGTACTAGAGTGCTGTATAGGCTGTATTCTACGGGTTACCCAAAATGGGGAACCAGCGGAGAACGGGCCGGACCTTGGCTAGAACCACGGTTGCTTCTATCAGAGTATACGGAGACGGAGTATACGGAGTATACCCTATGGAGTACTCCGTACTACAGAATATGGATACACGAGGTACTCTGTATCCAGTATCCTGGATCTCATACTCCGTCCTGCAACCACTGCACAGTGAGTACCTTGTGAACAGAGTAGTCTTCCACCCCTTCAACTTCACCCCCACCTACACATTCACCTTCACCTTCACCTCCTACACCTCCACCACGGAATACCCAATTACATCATACGACGCACTCCTATCGGCTCCTCTGCAACCGAGTTCGTACAACGCAGCATCGAGGATCAGGGCAGACCGCATCTTTGACGTCGGTCCAATGATGATCTCTCCACAAGCAAGTATTGGCATGGGATGGCATTGGCATTTTAGGAACAAACCTGCCGGGTTGGACCTGGCTGACTCGCTGTATCCACTTAATCCACTTTAGGAGAGACCGTTTCTTCCATTTCTGTTCCATCTTTTTTTTGACATTTTCCCACCACTCTGGCTAGGAACCCAAGGGTTAGGCTAGGAACTAGGAACTCGGTCCGATTCGTTGGCCCACTCTTCGATCACGGCAGATAATGCAATTGCCATTCCACCTGCCTGATACCTGCATGCTTCTTCCCAGTTCATTCGGACTGATGCGCCCAATTCCGCTCTGCAATAGAGCGGTGTGTGTGTCGCCAATGTGGCAATCCACTATCGAGCCTATCGAGTGTATCCAGATATCCAGATATCCAGGTATCTAGGTATCCAAGGGGGTGGAGGGGTAACCCCTCTTGCCCCTGAAATTGGGCAAATTTGGGCAAATTTGGGATGCACACTCCGTACTCCGTCCTCGGTAGTGGTCAATTGGGTGGAAATTAGCGCATCGGAAAGGATTGGATCATGTATCCATATTATGTATCCATATGATGTCTCCATCCTCCGTATTCCGCACTCCCGTACTTGTACTAGTAAACGATGATGCAGCTCTCTCCCCACCAGAGAACGGAACACACCGGGATGTCAGTGGTGTTAATCATGAATCGCCTTGATCTCATTTTCAGAGCACGTTTTTTTTTTCCTTTCTTTTTGATTTGATTTTCTTGGAGGGGCCCCGCTGACCGCTCCTCTTGCAACAAACGGCCCCTAGTGGTCCGAATGTCTCCAATGCTCCACCCCTGTCCAGAAGGTATCTACCTAGGTACACACCTTCTCTCGGGCGACCACTCGGAGATGAAAGGGCATAAGCTAGTGTTTGAAGGATGCAGCTAGAACCTTGCGAGCTTCGATATCGGGCCCTGTCCTTACGCTATCTGACGCGATCTCCATGAGTTTGTCCGGTTACTCAGGACTCTATATAAGACGAACTGCTGTCGGATCAGATAACTGTTGGTCTCCATTTTATTTTTGCTTTTTCTACTCCACTGCCTAGGCACAGCTTGCATTCAGGTTACATTACTCTTTGTACAGCTGCAACATAGCCAAAGCATCATAAAATGCCCTCCTCGGCCCCCCTCATCCGTGCCAACAAAACAAACGCACACAAACCCGAAATCCCAATCAGCTACGACATCAACATCCCCTACGTTGACGTCGAAAAAACAATCCAAGATCAAAACCCCATACCCTCAATACCTCCCAACCTGGGACCCAATCTGGTTCGACCCCCTCCCACCATTCGAATACAACGACCCAGCCCTCCGCGCCTGCAAACACAAACCAAACCTCCTCCCCCCATCCAACCCCTCCATAAAGATAACCCACATCCAACCCAACATCGGCACAACAATCGAAGGCCTCCAACTAAACACCCTCACCGACGCCGCCAAAGATGAACTCGCCCTCCTCATCTCCGAGCGCAAAGTCCTCGCCTTCCCCGACCAAAACCTCATAGACGACGGCCCCGACGCCCAAGAGTCCTTCATGCGCTACTTCGGCAAACCAAATTACCAGCCCGTCTCAGGCTCAATTCGAAACCACCCAGCCTTCCACGTCATCCACCGCGACGGCAACCGCGACGAAATCGCCCGCTTCCTCGAAGCCCGCACCACAACAACCCTCTGGCACCAGGACGTCAGCTACGAGATCCAGCCCCCCCGGCTACGTCATGCTGGGTCTACTGCAGGGCCCCGAGGTCGGCGGCGACACCGTCTTCAGCGCGACGGATATGGCGTATAAGCGACTTAGTCCGACGCTGAGGTCGTTCCTGGATACGCTGAAGGCAGTCCATTCGTCGGCGAAAATGATTCATCATACCCGGTTGACGGGCGGGCTGGTGCGCAAGGATCCGGTTGATAGTGTGCACCCGCTTGTGCGTGTTCACCCTGTTACGGGTGAGAAGTGTTTATTCCTGAATCAGGAATTTATCACGAAGATTCCGGGGCTGAAGGAGCCCGAGACGAAGTGGATGTTGGACTTTTTGATGAATCATATTATCACGGGCCATGATTTTCAGGCTAGGGTTAGGTGGCAGCCGAGGACTATTGTTATGTTTGATAATCGGTCGACGACTCGTGAGTGGCACTCCTTTTCTTCTGTTCTATTGTGGTTCTGGTGTCAATTGCTAACTGCTGCTCTGCTAGACTCGGCTATTGTGGATTATCTGGATGATGAGTATGGTGCCAAGGCGAGGCATATCTTCCGCCTTGCTGCGTTGGGCGAGAAGCCGATTCCCGTTTATGATGAGTTTGACGAGTAGTGGAAAAGTTCTTCGCTGTTCTGGTCTGCGTTGTTTCTAGATGGGGTTTTTTGGGGGTCTTTAGATTGCGTGCTGTTGTTTCGGTTATACTTAATTTTATCTCTCTCTTCGTCCTGAGTACCTGGGCTTCTCTCACCGTACACACACGGCCATATTGGTAAATTATGGATCATCGAATGGCTGGATACTACTAGTACGCACCACACTGTGGACACAACTATCCACTCCATTTTTATCAGATGGCCCACTTGGCCACGCTGCATTTCTGAAATCCTTGGCTTGGCAGTAGGTGGATGCCGCTGATGCACGCGGACTCGGATATTGATTCGCGTTGATTTCCTTTTCTCAGCAATGATCGGCCTGAGAGCTCGGCCTGGAACTTGAATATGCAAGACCTTCCGGGAGAAGAGTTGGATAGGATCTATTTTCCGTACCACTAGTATACACCTGCCGAGGTGCCTAATCTGCGCCTAGCACGGATGGCACTAGTACTACGGTACTCTATTCCGTAGCTACAGCACACTGAAGTGAACTCGAAACCGATGGATATACACTCTCATATTACCATGAAAATCTTTTTGTAGCCGTAAAAAGCCAGCGAATTGAAGAAAAAAAGGGGGTGAATCGCAATGCCTATTACCGTCCAACAACGCCCGGTCCGGGGCACTAGAATACAAAACATGCGCAGGACCACCAACAACCAAACCATACATAAAAAGAAGGGGACTATCGTCAAAATTCCATTTCCTACACCCCGTCCAGCCCAGCCAGCCCAGTCTAGGGCCATCACTCGTGACGTGACGAGACAAGACGAGGCGAGACAAGACAAACCCACCGCATCACAGCACATCGGCTAGCTTCGCTTCTCATCACCACGATCACTTTCCGCAACCAACCCCTGCAGCACTAGCGTGGGGGCCAGACAAAGCGAAGAGAAAGTACTCTGCATTGGGGTGAACCCGACTAGACCAGTCTGGGTCTAATCGAATCTGCCCTAAGCCAGAATATGCGAAATGTCCACGCGCAACTTCTCGCTCCAGTCGCGGACCTCGGCAGTATTGTGCGCACCCTGCTGCACGAGCAACAAAGTCTCCGACACGCGCTCGGCCGCGGCCTCGGATCCGAATACCATCCCACCCAGCTGCGCGCTATCGTTGAACCACCCTTGCAACAAGTACACCAGGTCGGCCGCGATGTAGCGGCGATTAGCGCCTTGGAAGGGCGCTTCTTCTGTATAGTACATTGCTTCGAGAACGGCGTAGAGGGACTCAAATGCGACGCCCAGGTCGAGGAATAGGTCGATGACCCAGTGGCTGGTCGGACCATAGGAGGATTTGGTGGAGGTTGTGGTGCCGCGTTGGTGTTCGAGGGAGTAGCGTTCTAGAATTGGGAGGAGTTCGCGGACTGGGAAGACCGTTTCGGACATTCGGAGGCGGGAGCCTAGACTGCGGATTTTTTCGATTATGGCTTCGTAGGGCTGTGGTGAGCCGGCTTGTAGGGTGTTTGCGTGCAGGTCTTGGATTAGGTGTTGCCAGGTGGCTTTGATGTCGGCTGCGTTGCGGTGGTCTGCTAGATAGAAGATCTGCAGGCAGATGTCATAGTAGCTGGCGGAGTCGGCGTATTGGTTGAAGAGCTGGATTTAATGGGGCGGACGGTTAGTGACTGAACTGCCGAAGGAAAGATACAGACGAGCGAGTGGTCTGGACTCGTGCTGGTGGGGTTGTTACTTACCGTACTAATATCCATCACCGGGCCGTCCACGTCCTGTAGGACTTCCGCCTTACGATCGCCCGCAATCCGGGTGTCATCCTTTAGTCTTTGCAAAAGATCGTCTTGAATGTTGGCCACGTCGATCAGGTTGCCGATCTCCTGCAGCAGACGCTGTCGAGACTGGCGACCGACATCGGGGGTAAAGGTTGATGCATTCGCTCGGGCGCGGCCGAGATACTCAATCCGCTTGCTCAGAGGCAAATTAAACGCACTCTGAGCTAATTGGAATTGAACCTTGGCGGCCTCGAAGAACCGTTGTGACTGGGCGTAGTAGCGCCACAACAGATCGGCATGGGCGATGTCGTCGGTAGATTTGCGCTCGAGATATGTCACCACGAACGCAGACTGAGTCTGCAGCAAGCGGTCGCTCCAGCCCTGTTCTAAATACCAGTCGTACAAGCTGGTCAGGAAGACTTCGTCTTGAGAGCCGGAAATCACGCCATAAGCCTCGTTCTTCCGTTTGGCGATCTGGGTTAGTTGGCCGTCGATGAAGCCGGGATCGTTGGCGGTAAGCGTGTCGACGGCTACCATCACCTTCGACACGAGGTCGTAACATTGCTTGCGGAAGTAGAAGTGTTCCCTGCGAGGGTCCTGTGGGGATGTGAGCGGGTGTACACCGAAGGTTCTCGGGGGCATAGGCACCTGTGCGGGACGGCCGTCCATGATCCAAGAGAGCGCGAGATTGGCTTTATCGGAGACGCCGGCGACGTTGAGACATAGTTGGATTGCACCTGTTTGGGTTAGCGTTAGCATGAGCACAGCAACGATCTTGGATCAAACCTACCAGCAAAGAATTCATTATTGATATAGATATCCACGGCCGAGACCAAGTAATCCATGGGGAGGTTTTCGGCCACCTCTAGGAAAAGCTTGAGACTCTCATTCAAGAGGTTTCGGCCCAAGTCCGAGTTAGCTCCAGCCTCCGACGCGCGCTTGAGCAGCTCTTGCGCCTTGAAAATCACCACGTCCTCGGTGCTGCAGAAGCTGCCACAGCGGCGTCGAAGCGCGTCCGCAATGGTCTCAACATTGGAACCCTTGGCAATGTTGCGGTTCACAATACCCTTGACCAGCTCCTTGGCGATCTCGTGGCCCTTGCCGGTGCTGAACAGCTCCTCGAAGGTGAGTTTCAGGAATCGATCCTTCGACTCGGCGGGAAGCGTGGCAACGATCTCTTCAACACGCTCATCAAAAAGAACCTGGACAAAGGAAAGGCCTTCGATAGTGTGTGAGACCAGCTGCACAAGCGAGTGAACGGCACGATGCTCGGCCTGCAGTTCAATCACCGCGGCCTTGGACTCCGCCCGAGCAAGTGCGTCAGGACCGCTCAGACCCTCAATGAAGCTGCGGTTGACCTTGAAGAATTCCTGCAGCGATGATAGGCTTTGCTGGACTGTCTGAAGCTTGGCATTTGGCACAGAGGCGGAAACTGTGATAGCGCCGTTGGAGGCTTTGCCAACCTTGGCAATCTCCTTCTTCCATATCGACCGGAGGAGACGCGAGATGTAGAGAGCAATACCCTGGTGGCGGGGCGAAGGTGTCACGTCGTCGATGGTAAGAGCTGTGTTGTCGCTGATATCCTGGTTTGGTGTGGGCTTGCCACCGAATCCGACAAAGATCTTGCGAGCGAATTCCAGCACGTCTGGATCACTGATCGTTGTCAGACGCTGATCGGATGAAATCTCCATTCCCTGTCCACATGCCACTGCCAGAGCTGTCGCGAGAGTCTCGGCTCGACCAAATCCGAGGCTAAATTGCTTCAGAACCTCGTCCAGGCCATCATGGCTGAGACTGCCGCTCCGTGCCAGCGAGGCAAAGATATCCACTGGTCGTCGTCGGCGGATGACAAAGATTCCGGTATTAGTTAAGATTGCAACTTCGGCAGCGGGATAGTCGAACTGAACGGCCATCTCGTTACCGAATCCGCCGGCTGTGGCTGGAAGAGGCGCCGAGCAGAGTCCTATATCCTCAGCTCTGCCACCGAGGCTCATCCAGATAGCCGACTCGGGTGCTTGGGCTGCAGTCGAGCTTTCATGAGGGCGGGCGAGTCTGCCAGAATCAGGCGTGGAGATAAACAAGGTGTCCTCCTTTTGCGTGGCATCCTTGCAGGTGAAACAGAAGAAGTAGCCCGGGGGGAATCTAGTCGCCATGCGAGTAGGTGTGAGGGATTGAATTGCTCCACGGGTAGCGGGAGTCTGGATTCGGTTGCCGTTGGCATCTCTTGAAATCGTGGTTATATCCACTGGCGGAGTCTTAATATGCTGCGCCTGCATGCTGGTCGGAGCATTGGTTCCAGTCGGCTCATTCCAAGAGTACGCACTAGTGGCACTGAGGAAGATGCGGTAACCAGTAGCCGTAGTCGCAACCAAGTGGTATCGAGATGCCTCCGCAGCAGGAACAGGGCTGATAGCGACGATCTTCACCTTGGGGTTCAGAGTCTCGTGGGATGCGATTGTGTGTCCGATGTTGGCGTAAATATCCACTGCCTTCTTGGTGATAGCAAGCTTCAGGGTACCATCGGCTTTCATGTGAAGCACACGAATAGTCGATTCCGAAGAGAGTGTGTACAGCAATTTCCGACCTTCGTCCACGACCATCTGCTCCATGTGCTCGTGGGAAACGATGTGCGCTAGGTTGGATAAGCTTGCCGAGGGGGCGAAAGCTGATAATCGGGATAGCGTGCGGTTGACCTTTGCGCAGCGGCTCTGGAACCAGCGTTCCTCTTGCTGATAGGTGAGTTCGTACACGTGGTTGTCAGAGGTTCCTCCAAAGAAAATACGGCCATCCGAGTCAGACGAGGTGATCACATTGACATCCATGCCGCGAATGGAAACCGACATCTTCGTCTCGAAGAGGGACACTGTGGATGCTCCGCTTGGTGTCTTCTCACAGCTCATGCCCAGCAAAATCATCTCGGCGGTCGTCGACACCACCAGCAGGTGAGTAACTCCCGGCAAGAAAACACCTGGGCGCGGTTTAACCAGCTTGACCGCATTGATGCTGTTCGGTTGCTCCTCAAATCCGACCAAGGAAGGGTTCGGGTGTGTGAAATCCCAAAGGTAAAGCGCGTGGTCGATAGCCACCCACGCGTGGTTGATCTCGGCGAACAACCCCATGCTTGTCGAGACCTGGGCGCGATTGTATTGATCGAAGATCATATCGGGGATGTTGTATGTTTTTACTTTCTGGAAGGGGGCCCATGATGGGGTGCCGGGGATATCATAATCGGATGAGAATCCCTCTGTTCAAGTTAGCTGGGATAGATCGGAAAGCATAGCGGTGGAAAGAGGGCAGAGCAAAGGTCTGACTTACGCGACAGATAGCTGTCCAAGTCCGGATACCGAGCTTCTTGGGCCAATGTGTTGTTGATCGTATGCGCCCCGCGCTCTTCAACGGTCAAGGCCCGGTTTGATATCTGGGTGACCGCCGGAGCCATCCTGGGCAATGGGGTCTGGGTCTGTGCAGGGACCGGTCGAGATGGCGGAGCTGGTGTTACATTTTGAGGAGGAGCTGGAGTCTGAAGGAAAGCTCCAGGAAGGGGCCTCTGGGGTGTCCCCGGAGGGAGGAGGTTCGATCGAAGGTTCGGATACGACATGATACAGCTAGGGAGCTGAGCAGGGAGGAGGGAGAGCTCCCCGATAGAAGGAAAAAAATAGGAAGCTTCCTTTATGAAAGAAACCGAGCTCCCTCAGGTGTAGATGGTGTGGAAGTCGTGGGTGGGGAGAAGGGAGGATGATTGCGGCGGAGGAGGGAATTGAGGCAGTCTTTTGCGAAAAGCGCGAATCAACAATTGAAGGTGCACGGACCACGAGGGATCTTCCGCCTTCACATTCAATTCACTTCAATTAACTTTACATTTACACCTTCACTTTAATTTATATTCACCCACACTCTGAAACAATGTCTCTTCAATTTGCCCGTCTATCTGCGCGACCTCTGCGCTCCATGCGCTTTGTGCGCTGGAACTCCACCGCCAGCCCTGCCACGCCGCCACTGATGGTTACTCTACGAACGGATCTGAAGACTGCCATGAGAGCCAAGGATACTTCCAGGTGAGACTTTCTGCTATCTGTGTTGTGAGAGAGGAAAGCAGGAAGAGAAACAGAACTTCTTACTGACCATCACCACCTTTTCCAGACTCAATGTCCTCCGTGCCGTCATCTCCGAATACAACAACAGTCAAAAGACCTCTTCCCCCATCTCAACAGACATCCAATTACTCTCGCTCCTCCAAAAACGCGCGACCGCTTCCAAAGAAGCTGCTCAAGAATTCCTCGCTGCCGAGAGACTCGATCTCAAGGAGAAGGAGGACGCGCAGGTAGCCGTTCTGGAGGAGTATGCTAGTCAGGTTGAGACCTTGTCCGCGGAGGAAATGCAAGCCATTGTGACCAAGGAGATTGCTACCATCAAGGAATCTGGAGCCAAGTTGAACAAGGGATTGATCCTGAAGGCCCTCTTTGCCCCCAGTGGACCTCTGGACGGCAAGCCTGTCAACCGCAATGAAGTTGCCAAGCTGGTCAACGAGGCGATTTCCGCCTAGGTTTCCCTTGGATTGGGTGGATTGCGATGTACAATAGTGTTACCATAAAGTGTTACAATAGTCTTATCATTAAATAGATATCCCCTCTCAATACTACTTATGTGGTTGATTTAATCAGAGAAATGCAATTAAGGCTGGATAGGATATTATGGATATTCCAGTTAGATAGACACTCAAGAAAAGAAGAAAGCGGCACCACCGAGCGACGTCGCCAGCACGCCAAACCACCACCAATGATTCGGATTAATCAATTCTTCCTTGATCACGAGGTGAAGGTCGGGACTGGACAGATCTCGCTTCTTATTCTTGCCAGATGCTGTCGGCATGGGGTTGAGGGTGTTGGTAGGTAGCATCTTTGGGGGACGGTATGCCAGGAACATAGGATGCATGATAGTCCCACTGGACTGAGTCAGGTCGAGTCGGGGGACTTTATGGTAGGCATCGACGGAAACGGAGAAGGACTGTGTCTTGTGTTAGAATCATTCTATTTATTGGAGTGGTGCCAGTGGTGATTACCTTGATATGTTCAGTGTTGTTGTATCGAGTATAGCTGGCGGTGTTTTTTAAGCAGGGCTCGGAGAGTAACTGTCGACCATCGCTGGCAATCGGATGAAGTATCATGGAACCATCGGCTGAAACAGAGTAGCTTCCATGTTGGAATTGCATGATTCCCGAGGGACAGGATGGGTCGGTGGCTAGGAGTGTTAGCAGGCACCTTAAGCTATCAAGTATGAAGTATACTCACGATTCGCAATAGCGCGGTAGAAAGCCTGTTCATAGTGACCTTTGCCGTCAAAAGAGTACGAGATGCCGGTCAAGTTGGGCTCCAGAAATTTGTCGTTAATGGGATCGTAGAAACCCTAGATTTGTCAGAGGTGTTTGTGTGATTGTTGTTGTTGTTCAAGTCATACCGGTCCAGTTAAGACTTGCTTCGATTTGGTTGTCCACGTCCCCACCAAATCTTCCGCATTCAACGCCGCCACCGTACACACTAGAAGCGCCCACAGGAAAATCATTGTCGTTATTTTACTACCTTTGGTTCACGAAGAAGAGAAGAAACACATTTCACTGAGAGTATCCATCCCTTCTTCACGGGATCAACAAGGGACTCCAGGCATGCCAGTCCCAGTCACCCTACCTTAGTCCCACTCTTATCAATTATCAGGAATCTACCCTAAACCACCTTGGGCCAAACCCTGGAGTAATCCTCACCCCTCCCTTCCCTTTCCCGCGGCAATTGAATCATATCATATCTCTTGAGGCATGGCTCTCCAAACAGCAAAGAGGGATCTGCGTAAGCGGATGCGCGGGGTCTTTGATAATCTCTCTTCCGCTTCCATTATTCAGCAATGTAAGTCTTTTTACTCAGAGGCACGGATAAGTTGAGGTGATGTTGCTTGACTCACACTCCGACACAGCTGTCTCGGCCACAACCAAGTTTCTATCCCTGGCCGAGTACCAAAATGCAAAGAGTATAGCCGTTTATCTGTCCATGCCAGCCGGTGAGCTGTCGACCCGCAATATCGTTCAAGATGCGTTACAAAACGGAAAGAACGTATACATCCCATACATCCACAAAGTCGACCAGCTGTCGATCATGGATATGCTAGCTCTGAACTCCATGGCCGAGTTTGAATCCCTCCAGCCCGACAAATGGGGCATCCCTTCACTACAGGCTACGCAAATCCCCGGACGCCGCAATTGTTTCGAGGCCACCGGGTTAGATCTCATTGTCATGCCGGGCATGGCCTTTGATCAAGGATTTCGTCGATTGGGTCATGGGAAAGGGTATTATGATCATTTTCTAACACGGTATTCTAAATGGAGCAACAAGATGCCGTTCCTCGGTAAGAGACCCCTCCAAGAGACCCCTCCAACAACTCAAGGCCATGATGGGGGAGAAAAAAAATAAGAAGCCCCCGAATTTTTGTGTCCCCGCGAAGAAAAGTGAAGCTTAAATAAAACTTGAAATACTGAAAACTGAAACTCCGCTAGTTGCCCTGTCTCTCCAGGAGCAGTTGCTCGCCGAGGAAATTCCCGTCGTGGATCATGACTGGTTGATCGATGCGGTCGTGGTGGGTGATGGGCGGTATCTGGACCGCAGGTCGTAATCAGGCAAGTGGTACGGATAAAGGAAGTGAGGTGATGGACGGCATCAAACGGCCTGGATCAGCGACACATTGTCACCCTTGAGCAGGATTTGACCTGGAAATTGAAAATATTAGCATGACTAAAATAATTACTGCAGTAGCAGTAGCAGTAGCAGTTAAAGCTGCATTGCGGAATGAGCATGGTGTGCATACCAAGCGGCCTCCGCTTCTCCTCCTCTGTCTTTGTAGCCTGGCGCACCTCGACCGCGTCGTCGATGACGAGGTTCATAAACTCATCAAAACCCTAGATAACGCGCATTAGTCACAAAGCTCAATGCGGGTACTTGAAAGCTCCTTCTTATCACCAGGTCCAGGTGCACATACCCGAATCTTGCCCTCAATGCGGAAGGCCAACTGCTCATACAGCCAGATTGAAACTGTATTGCGCTTCTGCAGCAAGCTGAAAATAAAGTGGATAGGCGCCAAAAGCGTCTTGCGGGGAGGCATGATTGCGAGTGAAGGGAGGAATGAATCAGTCGCAGTTAAGTCGCGCGTGGGCAAGTCCGACTTGAGAGCGCCCGTAAAACTCAGGGCACGTGATATCTCAGATGATGTGGTATCTGATTGGCTGTGTCATCTGACCGCCCTAGAGTATTCATGCCTGACTTATCGGGCACTCAGGCACTAAGGTTACACATCACGGGCTATCACCAACCATCCCACCTTCCCTTCCCTCTTTGCGAATTAATTCTCCTTTGACCACCCTTCCACCTTTCCCTTCTTTTCTTTTTTTTTCAGGTCTGGGCTTACAATTATCACCGTCTGATACACGCCCGCGCCCTTTTTTCCTCCTCCCCCCCCTTCCCTCCATCATGGCCGACAAGGAAAGTGGGCAGGCATTTGCCCCGGTCCTAGCGGCCGTCGCGACCATGCAAGGGAATGTGGCTAGGTCCGAGAAGACCCAAGCCCACGAATTCCTTGAGAAGTTCCAGAAATCTGTATGCTCAATCTCAAACCAATCATCTAGCCACCATATTTGCCCCTCTCAATGCTAATCTTCACGCGTCACAGATCGAGGCCTGGCAAACAACCCACTCCCTATTACAGTCCCCCGATGTCCCCGTCGAAGCTAAATTGTTCGCCGCAACAACATTGAAAGGAAAGGTGAGGCAACCAAACAGAAGAAAGCAGCCGGGGAGAGAAAATATGATACTGCTGATAAGGTTACCAGCTATGCGCGGGGCTAACTTAGAAGCTAGATCGTTTTTGACCTTGACCAACTTCCCCCCGATGCCGTCGTCGCCCTCCGAGATTCCGTGCTCAACCTCCTGGTGGCTTTTGCTTCCGGTCCACGCCCAATTCAGACTCAGCTATGCGTATGTTTGGCAAGCTTGGCGATCCAGATGCTCGCATGGAAGGATGTCCTGGCCACTGTGGGCTCAGCTTTGGGCAGCAGTGCGGGGGACTGTGTGTTGGAGTTTCTGAAGATCCTGCCGGAAGAAGTGACCGAGGGCCGCAAGATCAATCTCAGCGAGGATGATCTCATTCAGAGAACTAAGGAATTGCTAGAGGACAATGCCGAACAGGTTATGCAGTTGTTGATCGGATACTCACAGTCCTCGCCAACGGCCGCCACGAACCCGCGCCTGCTCGATTGCATCACTTCATGGTTGCGCGAAATCCCCGCTTCCCAGGTTGTCGAGTCACCGCTCATGGATGTCATTTTGAAAGCATTGGACAATGACGTGTCTTTCGATGCTGGCGTCGACTGCATGTGCACTCTCTACCGTGATACCCGCGATGTCAACGAATCACTTCCCATAATCCAGGCCCTGTACCCCCGCCTCATGGCCCTGCGACCGAAGATTGCTGAGACCGCTGAGGCGGAGGATCTCGAGGCGTTCAAGGGTATCACGAGAATGTTTTCCGAGGCTGGTGAGGCTTGGGCGGTTCTCATTGCGCGTCTTCCTGGTGAGTTCCGTGGCTTGGTCGAGGCAGTTTTGGAGTGCGCTGCGCGTGATTGGGAGCGCGATGCGATTTCTTTGACCTTTATCTTTTGGTATGAGTTGAAGCAGTACATCACGCTTGATCGTTATCCTGAGGCTAGAGTCAGCCTGCAAGATATCTTTTCCCAATTGGTGGACATCATGGTGAAGCATTTGGAGTTCCCCCAACCGGAGGATGATGAGACCGATCTGTTTGGAGGTGATCGTGAGCAAGAAGAAAAGTTCCGTCAATTCCGTCATCAAATGGGCGATGTTCTGAAGGACTGCTGCGCCGTCGTCGGCGTGCCCGACTGCCTGGGCAAGATCTACCAGCTCATTCAACAATGGGTGGCCAATTATGCCTCGCAGGCTAGCGACAACCACGTTCCTCATTGGCAGGCGCTCGAGGCACCACTCTTCGGCCTGCGGGCTATGGGCCGTATGGTAGACCCCGAGGAAAACACTGTGTTGGGCCAGCTGGTTCCATTGATCGTGCAGATTCCCAACCAGGAGAAGATCCGGTTCCAGGCCATCATGGCCCTTGCTCGTTACACCGAGTGGACAGCGCTGCACCCCGAGACCCTCGAGGCTCAACTCAACTACGTTATCTCTGGGTTCAACCACAGTTCCGCAGAGGTTATCCAGGCCTCAGCACTGGCATTCAAGTTCCTGGGCACGGATTGTCAAAAGCTCCTTGGCGGCCACATCAACCAGCTCCACACATTCTTCGAGTCGGTGCTGGATAAGCTCAAGCCTACAAGCCAGGAAGAGGTTACCGAGGGTGTCGCAGCCGTTGTGTCCGTACAGCCCAAGGAGAAGATCTACGAGTCGTTCAAGATGTTCTGTGACCCAATTATGGCTCGCATCATGAACCTTGCCAACAACGCTCAGGATGAAGAAGGCCAACGTGCAGTTGCGGATCATTTGCAGCTGATCACCATCTTTGTGCAGGTGGTGACGCCAATCTGTGCCCCCGGTGAGGAGAACCCTGCCGTGAAGTACTGCGGCGAAATCCTCCCCATCATGACTACGATCGTTATGAACTTCACCTCCTCTACCCCGATTTTGGAACGTGTTTGCCGATGCTGGCGCTACATGGTCATCTCTTACCGCACCGCCATGACTCCGCTACTGCCTACTCTCGCTCAAAGTATCGCCAGTGGCTTTGAGGCGTCTCGCGAGGGATGCTTCTTGTGGGCCACCGATGCCGTGGTGCGCGAATTCTCTGATGGTGCCGAGTTTGTCGACCAAGCAACCAGCAATGCTGTCTACCAGTTCTACGAGCAGCAAGCAGTGGCATTCCTCCGAATTATGAACGACCTGCCACCAGATAATCTCCCTGACGGTAGGCACTCGCCCCTTGTCTCTTCCTGATAAACATTTTCTGACCTAACCCTGCTAGTTATTGAGGATTTCTTCCGACTGTCCTCCGACGCCGTCCGCTACTACCCCAAAATGTACATTGGCTCAAACCTTGCCGTCCCCACCTTCTCCGCAGCTCTCAGTGCTCTCACTCTCCAGCAGACGGAGCCTCTTATCGCCACACTTCACTATTACCGAGACCTCTTCGGCTTCGCCTTTGAGAAGCCAATGGTTTCTGGATTCACCAGCCCCGAGGGCGAACCCTACCAAACTCCACCAGAGGTTATGGAAGCCGTCAAAAATCTTCTTATCTCCCACGGCGAGTTGCTCTCCCAGCGAATTCTGACAGGCATGATGTTCACATTCCCTGGCGACTGCTTCCCCGATGCATCGGGCATCATGATGACCATGTTCCAATTGCTGCCCCATGAGACAGGTGCCTGGTTACAGTCTACCTTGCAGATGCTACCAGCCGGTTCCATGAAGGGAGGTGAGGCCGAGCGTTTGCTTAAGAGTATCGCCGATAAGGTTCAATCTGGCGAGACCCGCAAGATCCGCGTTCTCCTTCAGGGTAAGTTTCTTTCTTTGTCATTTAGGATTTCCATTCGACTAACATCCTTTAGACTTCACCAACTCTTACCGCCGCCGCAACGTTGCACCCCGTGACGGACTGGGCCGTCTAGAGGCGACCCGCTTCCGATTCAGCGGATGAGGATAACCCCTCTGTATATTTCTTCTTCTCTTCTTCCCTTCTCCTCCTTTGTGTTTCAGGGTGTCGTCTCATGTCGTCTCGCCTCGTCTCGTCTCGCCTGAAGACACAACCAAAAAAGGAACCCACCCCCTTCCTCCGAGCATTTGCACATCGGTGTTATGTTATTCCCATTTTCCTCTTTCTCTAACGCGCCATGTTCATATGATGGCAACGACTTCCGGTGGTCTAGTGATGATGATTTATGACCCGACGCCGATGCGCAGTGCCAAGCCGGCTATTGGCTGCCAGGTGAAATCGAATTGGATTGGATCGGGTTGGACTGGTCTGGACTGGTCTGGTCTGGTCTGGTCTGATCGGGTTTCATCATGATGGGACTAGTCTGGTCTGGTATGGCTCGGCGCGACTGCCCAGGTGCGGGATTCCTCGAGAATCGAATCCCAATTATCGTCTAGTTACGCACTACGCACCGTGATGATAGAGAATATCTTGACGTGAATCGTCAATGTTTATGTTTATGTGGACTTGCAATTTGTCTCTGTAGTGGTACTTAGTACGAAATCTAAGAGCCCTGGAGTGTAGCTTGTAGTTTAGGGATGTGACTGGATGTTTGTCGAGCTGTGCTGGCCACCGCACTAATGCATACTCGGACCGCTGGTAGTACATTCAATCTTCGATATCAAAACCACGCTTTAAATCATTCAAGCATCAATACCGGCAATCTAGTCTACCTAGTTACACAACCGAGCAATTATAACCTTACTATACTATATACAACCCCCTCCACCCAATCCAACTCAAAAAATGGGCATAGTAACCTTCTTCCCATAATCAACATTCCCCTCCAGACTCTCAATCCTCTCCCCACACGTCCCAAAAACCCGATCCCAAATCCTCGTCTGCTTCCCATAATTCATACTCCTCCTCCACCCATTCCGATGATGCAAATCATGATCCTCAATAACAAGATCCATCCCAAACCACCTCATAACTTCCGCCAACGGATTCGGAACAGTAGCATGAATCCTCAACCCACTATGCCCCGCAACCTCCGCAAAGAGAACATACAACTGACAAACATGCCACTCATAAAACCCCATCGGAAACCCGCCAAGCTTCATCGTACCCCACGCCAGCAGCGGAATCCCCGCAATATCAAAAAACTCCTGCACCGAGTCGGCGTATATCGTCAACAGCGGGTTCGGATGCTTGGTCAAATGGTGCGTGCGGTGGTATTTCCACAACGGCGAGACATCGTGCATCAGTCTGTGATAAATGTAGAACCAAAAGTCCACCGCGATACTGTACAGTGCTATTTCAAAGAAGACCCGCGTAGGATGTTGGAGCAGGCTGTAGAGCGGTTCTTCTGTGGTCGTATATGTGAGCCATGTCGTCAGCACGGGTCTCACAAACCCCGCCAGAAATACCGATAGAAGCGTTTTGCCGACGCCGACGTCGGGCACGCCGTCGCGGTCGTGCTTGTCGCCGTCTAGGTAGCCGTATTGATGACCCAATTCGCGCATGGAGCGCAGTTGGCGGAAGGCGAAGAAGCGCGAGGCTTGGTAGTAGAATATAAACGCTATTATGGGGTGGAAGGGGGTCGAGGTGAAGTGGAGCCAGATCTGGTGGAGGGCTAGGGGGATGCTGGCGTGGAGGAGGATCCAGCGGTGGGATTGCCAGTCTGGGAGATGGGGGAGTTTGTCGGTTTTGGCGTGGATGGGGATTGGGCGGGTGAGGTCTGAGTGGAAGACGTTGGCGTGGTTGAGGATTTTGTGCGGGATGCCCCATTGGCTTTTGTCTGTTCGCCAGGTTGATTTCATTGAGTCTTTTGGGTTGCGGTTGCTCATGGTGGTGAAAGTGGTGGGTTGTTACCCAATTTCCCTTAGAGCCCGAAGTATAGATTGTAGATGGACAATGGGAGGCGAAGGTACTAGCCCGTGGGGTAGAGCCTGAAGTAGAGGGGTCATCTTTTATAATAAATCTACTAATAATACTTTGCCTGTTGGAAGATGAAAATTGGGGATTCGGCACGTTGGCGTGGGGCGGGGAGACCTCGGTTCATGTGTGTAGGAGTGGCTCGTTTTTGAGGTTCTTGAGGCTCATGGTCGACAGGGCTGGCAGTCCTCCTATTGGTTAATCGCAGAGGTTACTGTTTATGAATTAGACTGAGATCTCAATTTGGGTGTGATCTACACCGTACATGCCGAACTCTGCGGATCGCTGGGGATGCAGGTAACCTTAAGCCTGGCGCAGTAGATCTGATATCAGTAATCAGAATAATTAGGATACTGTAAGTGGCCTATATTTTTTAGAATGGAATTTTGGAATAGTACTTGCCCAGGTGTGCTAGGTAATATGGTGGGAATTTCTCGGTTTTGTATAGGTGGTATTATGTATGCTTGGTTGGTTTATGAAGTGTGATTTTGATATCGAAGGTTCCAAGGTTGAATATCATACCGGTCTGTGATCTCAAGTTCGGCCGGATTCATCACCGTGGTCCGGTTTTCGTAAGTGTTCATCGACTTGAGGTCCCTCTACCTCTGGCCGAAAAGGCCCCGACAGTCCAGCACGGAGATCTCTAGGTTCCCCTCTATCAGACACCGAAGATGAGGATGGCTCCACATTGCTCGGTCTTCTCTGCCCTCCATTTTCCTCTTGGCTAGTAGACGTATCGTCTAGTTCGTGAGTATGTCGTGATGGCCCCGGCACTGGTAGTTCATGTGTATGGGTTCCAGGACCTGCGTATAACTCGCCATAATTGTCGTTGGGAGTGGGCAATTCTCGTATAGGTTCCGTTGCGGGGACTTCTAATATACCTCCAGAGCTAGACAATTCCGCTACCTCGGGATGCCCGCCTCTATCTGCCTGTTTCCCTTTCTCGGCTTTGCTTTTTCGCCGAGGACGGTAGAGGAACCAGAAGCCTGCCACTGAAATCAAAATCAAGACCACTGTGACGCCGACGGCGATGCCGGCAATTGCACCGGCTGATAGCCCCGAGCTGCTCGAACTTGAATAAGCGGTGGGGCCAGAGATGTTGTTCAAATTTGATGTTGTGGTCGATGTGGCTGTGGCCGAGGCTCGTTTTACTGTAGCAATGTCAAGACCGGCAATTGTTGGCAATGAAGCACTGGGGTCAAGTGTCCAATAGGAGGTGCTCGATGAAGGACAAGCTGTTCTTGAGAAGGTCATAGGAGTGGTTGTATTGATGGTACACGAGGCCCACTCCGTACTCAGTGACGAATAATCGCTCAAGATTGACGGGGTTTGCGCGGCAGCAGAATTAGTCCCGGTGGAAGTGTAATTGACCAGACCATAATCATTACCACTAAAGGATCATCAAGTTAATCTCAATACCACGCGTGGAGAGCAAAATGGAATAGTTATCTAGGAGGCCAAGCATACCTTTCATGCCATTCATAGACAACCGCGCCACTCCAGTAAGCAGACATTTTAGACCCGAAAATAACTGGCTGGTCCGAAAATTTGCGCGAATTGATATTGCATCCCGTTTCCGAAATAAACACGGGAACTCCCAGATCTCCAAATTCTGAATTTAATTTGGAATATCCGGACTCTATGAACGAAGAATCTCCACACCATGAGTAGAGATTATGCCCATAGAAGTCGATTGCTTCACTGCTATTCCCGCAGGCCAGGTAAGAAGCTACTGCCTCGCGTATCATGGCAAGATCGTTGCCAAAATACCCAATTGGAATAGTGCGATAGCCTCGTGCGGCAGTATACGCTTTCATATCGCGGGCTGCTGCTTTTAGAGATGGGGCTATGCTAGTCTCGTTGTCTATTGCAGGAAGTCAGTTAGGCCGGGAATCGAGTGCACGAGGATAACTTTTGATCATACCATTGGTAGAACTGCCATAACTGATAGACTCTAATCCGATAAGAAGACCTAGGAGGTTGCTGTATTCGGCCATGGCGTCCACAACACCGGCGGAGCGCGTGTATTGTGTCATATTCCACCCCTCATTGGACTTTAACGAGACCCAGTATCAGTTTCAGGTTCTGTATATCATGTATGGGTTTTTCAAACAAATCGCACCTGATCTATGAGGTTAGGCATGGCCGCGATCACATAAATTCCATTATCCTCGAAGCTTTGCATGCAAGCATCGTGATTCTTTGAAGGGTCGATATAATATGCGGTAATGGTGTTTGCGCCCAGCTCTTTTATCAGAGGCGCGTCGATTGCGCACTGATCGCCTTCGGTTAATGGATCAGATTGGCTTCTCTCGAATGCAGCGCCAGCATATGTAACTCCTATGATATTTGAGACGGATTAGTTTTCGGTCAAATCGCGTCTTTTGGTTCACGAGAACCTCTCACCTTTTATTTGCCATCGGTCTCCAGACTTGAGAAACCCACTACCAGAGGTTTTGATCACTGGTAGACCCATAGCTCGGATGGGTACAGAGCTATTGTGCTCTGTGTCGTCACGTCAACATATGAGGAGAGAAGTTGGAGGGGATGTGAAACCCCCCGCAAGGGAAAAGGGGCCACTCGAGAAACAGACTGCTTTACTTTCCCTCGCAGTAGCTCGCTCCACTTCAATACCACTCCGTACGAGTGTGCTCATTTTGGCCCCCAGATGGTGGTGGGTCTTGGCGCTATCTTAGGGAGGTGGAGTGCCGGTCAGTGTTTGAGAGTTGAAGTGATTTGGGCTTTGACGGGACGGACGACCCGCTGAAGAACAAAATAATCTGTCATTGGTTGATTTTTATCCATAAATTACGGTGGTTGGCCCGCACAATGCCAACTAAATAATTGTAAAGCTTGAGTGACCTTTTTCGCTAGATATCCGCATCTTCACAGCTGAACCTGGGACTCAATTCCTCATGCTAACGAGAGTTTTGATCAATTGTCAGCATAATAGAGACACTCATATCTATGAATTAGACTGAGATCTCAATCTGGAGTGATCTACTCTGTACATACTGAACTGGGCGGATCGTTGAGGATGCAGGTAACCTTAAGCCTGCAGTAGATCAGATATTAGCAATTGCCTACCCAGGTAGGTATCTAGGTACTAGGGGATCTTTAATAGTAATTCCAAGGTTATTAAGTAATTAACTAGTACTGTCTGTAGATACTTGTACGTATTCCTCTTCCTCTAGTTCTAGATCTAGTAAAGATCGACGTTGCAGCCCTAGTTCGCCTGAATTCTCAGGTGTCCATCACCACACCTCAACTTGAAGTTGAGACCCTATAGATTTTAGTGTTTATGGAGCATGAATACGGAGATAGATCAAATATAAGTCATCAAGCAGGTACTACTAGTAGTACTAAACTCGTTAAATTTGAAGCTGGCCATCCCTCCAGAGCTCCAGGTCTCCAGTGTACTATTGGCAGAGACCCCGAGGTCTCTTCCAAGGTTATATATACCTAGCCTAGAACCCGCCCTGCTATTACCACCAGGTCTAACCTCAGGCCAACCGTGACGTGTTCAAGCAATTTGAAATTGAATTACATGGCTTGAACCACCTGCTCCTTTAACTGGAATTTAGCAACCTTAGAGGCACAGGAAGTACTGCTACATAAAATGGGGAAATAAAATAATACCGTGACCTAGTATAACAGTGGTGACTGTCACTGGATATCCCCAGACTCAACCCCACCTGCGCGTCTCCGCACTCCCCGGAGAACTTTGTTCGCGCTCACACCTTACTACCTCACCTCAGCACCTCCCTCTCTCACCCCAACTTGCTACCACCTGGGCACTAGTGGTAGTGACAGCCCTAGCGACTATATCCAAGAATCCACCGCGACCTCTCCCCATTACCCCCGTCAGGTGGTCGGGCTATGGCACCCAATGGTGACGTCCGTTAACCTTGACCTCATGGAGGACGATCAACTTGAACCCTCCAAGCGGCGCCGTCGCAGCCGTCGCGCCCCTTCAGATCGCAAGTTCGAATGCACTCATGAAGGTTGCGGCAAGAGTTACTCCCGCGCCGAACATCTGTATCGGCATCAGCTCAACCGTATGTCGCAAACCTCCGTCTCTCCCCTCTTCACTGCCAGTGCTGACCACCCCAGACACACCCAAGCAGATCTTCCGCTGCGATTTTCCCAACTGCTACCGCTCTTTCGTTCGACAAGATCTCTGCGTTCGTCATCGCGAGCGTCACACCACTCGCGGCTCCCAACTGCAAAAGCGCGACTCCTTCGCCGATAGCCATGATGAGCCCTCCAAAGGCCTCATCCCGACCTCCTCCCCTCGTCGCCCTCAATGACGCCCGCAGATTACCCTTTCATGACCGAGCCACCCACCACAAATTCCAAATCCCCACCAACATCTACCTCCTACCCGCTCTCCACTGGCATCGATACGGCCGGCATCCCGGTCTCGGATTACACAGATTTCGCCGGTGTCATCAACCAGTCAGACACGATGCTCGAGTTCGAGTCCATGTCAAACTCATACCCGATCTTCGGCGGCGAGACATACAACCGCTCGCCTTTCGCCATGGCAGATGATTTCGCAGCGTGGCTATTCAGTGAACCAATGGCCCCATTAGGCTACGGCATGATGCCCTTCGTTCAAAACCAGCACCAAAACCAATTCTACATCAACGAACCCAACTACAATAATTTCTGCACCGTCATTCCACAGCACCCGATGAGCGTGACCTCCATCTTAGACTCCAACTCCTTACCCGCTATCATCTCCGAAGAAAAGCGTCAGGAACTACTCCACCTCATGGCAACCCGCTTCAACGAAGCCGCCTACTCCGCCGACACAAAGCGCAAAGACGCCCTAATGGACGGCGATCTCAACAGCGACCGCCACGTCCTCAGCCTCCGAATGATGCAAGCCTACATCGGCTCATACTGGTACCATTTCCACGCCCAAATGCCAATCCTGCACCAACCGACCTTCGCTGCAGACCGCACTCCAAACCTCCTCTTACTAGTCATCATGGCCATCGGCGCCGCATCTCTAGACAAAAACCACGGCCAAGCCACGACCGAAACGGCCGCCGAACTGGCCAGTTTCATCGCGTGGCATTTACGCTGGGAAATCTTCATGGACGCGGATTTCCGCCCGCCAGCGCGACTGTGGGTCTTCCAGGCCCTTCTTTTACTGGAAGTTTTTGAAAAGACGTTTTCTACGCGCGCCCTTCATGAACGCGCGCATATTCATCACGATACGACGCTTACGCTTATGCGGCGGGGTAGTTCGCTGATTGGGCGGGCCTCGTTTGATTCGCCGGATACGAAGGAGGAGGATGAGTCTTGGGCTCATTGGATTAAAGCGGAGGCTACGCGGCGTGTGGCTTTTGCTGCGTTCGTGCTCGACTCTACCCATGCGACTATGTTCGGGCACTCGGCTAAAATGGTTGCGCATGAGTTGAGGCTTCCGCTTCCGTGTGACGAGGCGCTCTGGGCGGCAACTAGTGCTGCGGAAGTCGCGAGGGTTCAGTCGAGCTTACAGTCTCACGGCGTCAGGCCGGTTATGTTTCTTGACGGTCTGAAGAGGACGTTGAATGGGCAGGCTGTGCGGACGAACTCGTTCGGGAGGATTATTCTTATGGCTGGGCTTTTGAGCGTGAGCTGGCATTTGAATCAGAGGGATTTGCAGGTTAGTTCGCTGGGCGTTGGGCAGACGCTTGGTGGTCGGGATAAATGGCGGACGTCCCTTCTTCGAGCCTTTGATAATTGGCGTCGGGATTTTGACGAGGCGCTTGGTCCGGCGACGTCGACTGAGTCTGAGACGAGGGATGTATTGCATGGGTTGGCGCATATGGCTTCGCATGTGGATATTGTTGATCTTCAGATCTTTGCTGGCGCGGGTCGATTGATGGGGAGATCTATTACGGCGCGCGATTATAGCACTGCGCGTGAGAAGACGGAGCGTTGGGCTACCAAGGCTTCGGCTCGTGATGCCACTTTCTACGCGTTGAAGTTCTTGCATGCTTGTTTTTCGTCGAATCCGGATCCTGCGCTGCGGTCTGGGGAATATGTTGCCCGCGATGATTATTTACTTAATCGGCCTTGGGTGATGTATTTTGCTGCGCTGGTGGTGTGGACGTATGGGTTTGCGTTGGACGGGCCGTTACGTCCACCGCCGGTGCTGGTCACTCCTGGTGATTGTCGGGCTGATATGCAGACTTTCTTGGCGAGGGTTGGTGCTGTTCGCGAACCGAATGATCTTGAGGGGATGGAAGGGAGGAATCGGTGTTTGGGATTGTTGATGGTGTTGCGGGATTCGTTTGTGAGGCCGCGGTGGGAATTGCTAGGGGAGGCGGCGGCGCTGCTGGACAGCTGCATTGTGAAATTGAGGTCTTAGGGAAGAGTGTATGGAGTATATAATTAAATCACTACCCTCAGGTACTATGTATACCCATACCTATGCCTATACCTATGACGGGGTCTCGACAGTGTGGACACTTTGTATACGCTAGTTGTTGCCCGCGCAACGGGCGATCGTCTCCCTCTCACCCACATCACTCTCATCTTCATTCACCTTCCCCCATTCCAATCGACCATCTAGTCTCATCGTCCGGAATTAACCGTTACATCCTTTCATCACATCATGGTGAGTTGTTGACGCATTGCCCCTTCGGCCGACTTCCCCGCCCCCAACCAACTTTACCAAACTTCATCCCTGGATTGGTCCCTTCGCCCTTGATCCCCTCACTCACAACACACTGTTCTGCATTCAACTCTCCTCCTCACCACACCACACATACACAAACACAATGGCTAACAGAAACGAGGCCTCCACAAACTACAAAGAGGCTTTCTCCCTCTTCGACCGCCGCGGAACCGGCCAAGTCGCCAAGGACCTGCTCGGCGACCTCCTGCGCGCCTGCGGCCAGAATCCCACCAAGGCTGAGATTGGCGATTTGGAAGAGTCTATCGGAGGTGACTGTACGTTCTGCTTTGCTCTACCAACACCGCGGCTGGCTGTAGCTGGCTGTAGCTAGCTACCCCTGACTGCCTGCCGATGCCACGCCACGCCACAACAAGACGAGAATCATTACTGACGTTTTATTTCTTCCAGTCGACTTTGACTCCTTCCTAAAGGTCCTCAACCGCCCCGGCGGCTTCCGTGACCCCGGCGAGCCTGAGGAATACTGCGAGGGTTTCAAGGTGTTTGACAAGGAGTTGACCGGCGAAATTGGCCAGGGACAGTTGAAATACAGTGAGTTCCACACGTCTGCCGCGGAATGAAGCGAATCGAATCAGTCAAACAGGAAGAAGCATTCTAACAACCTCCCCTCTTCAGTCCTGACAAACCTCGGCGAACCCCTCACCGAAGCCGAATTCGAGGAACTGGCCAAGGCCACGAATATGGGCGAGAAGGTCCAGTATGAGGATCTCGTCAAGACCATTCTGGCCAACTAGGTTACCCTAGTTAGCTAGCTTGATGCCGGTTTTCTCTGATCCTCGATACCCTGACTTTACCTTGCGCTGCCCTGCGCCGTGTCGCGTTGCGCAGCGGCTCTTCTCTTCTCTGTGCCTACGCTTTTACCCACACATTGTTCCCTTTTATTTCCCTTTCACGAGTTACGCATGGATATGGATTGTGATTGTTTTCTTTCTGGCGTCGCGGTCTTTTGATCTGCCCTTGTCTTGTCTTATCTTATCCTGTATTGATAAATGTGATGCGCGAGGCAATAAGATCGGTTTATATCTAGATCCAGCCCCGATGGTCGGGTCCGAGTCTCTGGTCTCTCTATAGGGTAATGGGTATATTGTATTCAATCCTGCTCCCACGAATCTAATCTACTCCCCCCAAACCCTCCACTCCATCTCCCCAACCCCCGCACTCTTCTCCCCCATCTCATCCGTCTCAACAACAGACCCAGGCAGAAGATACACAGCCGGCGGCCTCTCTTCCTCCGCGTCTTCCTCCTCCGCGTCCCCTTCTGCTTTGGGTTTAGCTTTGCTATCCGCGCCCCAGTGCACTTTATCAAGATAATAGCCCACAACAACACGGCACCGTCCGCAGCGGAGGAGAATGCGCTTTTCGATCCCGTCTTCGCGGCGTATTAGCGTTGCGCGGCGGTCCGGCACTGTTGTTGAGAGGAGCACGGTTGTGTGTTTTGTTGAGGAGTCTGAGGGCTCGGATTGGGTCTTTGGTTCTAGGGGTAGGATTATGGCTTTGTCTTTTGATTCGCCGGTTCGGCGGGGGAGGGACGGTAGGTTGCGGGTTGTTGCTAGTAAGAGGTGGTTGCAGAAGCGGCAGTGTTGGGTGAGGATTTTGTAGCGCGGGTTGGACTCGGTGGTTGAGGTGGACATTGTGGGTGGGATGTGATGAAAGGTATGCTTGTTTCGAGCTTGAGGGGGGTTCGGCGTCGAGCTTTTGGTGCTGTTGGAGCTTGTGGAGGTTGAGGTGAGGTTGAGCTTTGCGCTTTGCGCTTGGGTGTGGCGGTGCGCTGCGGAGGTACAGTGATCTGGATGAATTGCTCTGAGCTTGTGGATTTCGGGTTCCTTCCAAGGTTTGCGTACGATATTGCTCAGAGGGATGAAAAGGCCCTGTTGGAATGGGTGAATGGGATTGGGGTGGAGGTGAGTTTCAGTGGTGAGCAGTTCAATTGAGAGACGAGAGCGGTGACAGTATACAAATTCAAACATGCGATATAATCTCAACGTAGAACTTGAATTTGCAGAGTACACTGCCATCAATTGACAATCTAGTTACTACTAGTACTTCCAATCCTTATGAGAATTTCTATAATAGCGAGGCTTTTACTGATTTTCCATGGACATCTGCTGTATTTCATTTTCTGAGCTTTAAGTTGTCGTATAGGATTTGGCACGAATACTTTCTGTGATTTATTGTAAAATCCCGGAGATTCAACATTAAAATGATGGTACTACCTGGTAATTAGATACGATTAAGGTACTAATAGGTCCTGAAGTCCTTGAAAAATGGCTCGTGATCGATTCGAAGTCACATTGAGGACTCAAGTGAGTAGGAAGGCTGAAGAGACATTCTGTGCCTAGACACTTAGCCCCAGTGCCAATCCCTCCGCTTATTTAAAGTGCCTGAAGCTGCGATGCCTCCATGTAAAATTGCAGCAGTACCGCAGAGTATTGCTGGTCGAATTGTTGCCGCGGAGTAGGCTCATAATTGCGTCCACCCCCGCTGAGAAAGTCCAAATGTCCTGCCGGCATATTATTTCTGGAAGGACTCCTGATCGTCGGTAGGGATTATTGAGAGATAAACCGACTAACCCATTCGAGTTAACGGTCGCGAGCCTGTGTTCCTGTTGAAGAATTTTGTCATCGACCTGCCTCCTTTGTTCAAGTTTGCTCGTAGGCGTCTGAGCTGTTCGACGGGAGAGGTCTCAATTATAAGGAAAATACAAATGCAAGCAAAATTTAAATCGTGCTTCGTAGCGCTTCTGCCAAGTGTTTTTGTCTCGCTCTTCGATACTCCGTATTAAGTATCCATTTACGCTGGATACGAGGCCCATTTTTGGGTGTTGCAATGACACCTCGATCGATGCTTTGACACCAGGCTAGACCCATATATTTCAAGTTGATAGTAATGGCAACGCATTGTTCCAAGTCTAGGATATGCAGAATATTCTACGGAGCCTTGATGAGTGTATTCCAAGGTTTCTTTTGGTTTATGGTTCAGAGTCCTGGAGTATTGCGACCGCGGTTCTGTATATCGTTAACGCCCACTTTCAAGCCTTTTGATGATTTCCCAGCTAGCCTGCAGCGGAAGGATTGCCCCTGCATCGTGCTTATTTTACGAAGGCCACGCTAAGACCGCACCCAGGCGCATCCGGCTAGATAGGCGTCAGACCAACGAAGGGGTGCGTTCCGCGACTCAATTTTGAGATCATCTAACCGAATCACCGAGACCCACCATCAATGGCCTGTGTTATGTAAAATAGGCGCCTCCAGATTGAAGACGTTCATTTTGACGACGGTGATCGGAGACTAGTCTTGAAAGCCATTGACCTCTCAATAATGAGATTGATGCTTGTGTTTTTGCCGTATTCAATACGATGGTTTGCTCGGGATATCAAAGGAGTGGCCTGGCAATCGGCGGTTCATCGCGCTCGTGGTTGGAACTTTAATCAGGTCAGCAAATGTGAAAGTTCATGGCGGTATTCTCTAGACGACAATACTGGTTAGACCCTTAAGTTAAGGCAGGTCTCGGCACGAGACAATGGGCTATGTAAGCTTATCCTGATCTGCATCTTAGCGTTGTGGCGAAGAACAATGCCTTGGCTTGCCCAGCGGGGGTAGTTAATAAAATTACGAATAGTCTTTTAGGGTCTCTTATTGGAGAGGTTTTAGCATCTGTCCATATATTTTCATGCCTATAGGTCTGATCTAATGGTGCTAGAAGAATACTAGATTGCCCCACGTTATGGGGTGTATAGTTTCAAAACATGTGCACAAATCCTGAACTAAACCCAATAACCTCCTCTTCAATCAGAAGCCGCGAGTTTGGTAGCGAGCTGGCTAGTTCAAGTCAAGATTCCTATATATCAAGGGGACCTAGAAGTCTGCATGAAGTCAGCGTGAATTCGCAGGAGATAGGAGAGCCTCGACAACTTCCGTCATCATGGGTATCACGTACAACATCAGCCCCTCGGACATCCAAGGGCCAGTCATTGCAGCCACGGTCTTCGGTATTGTGGCGACTTTGACGACTGTTCTTCGTTTATATGCTATGAGCCTTAAGGGTATACGACTTGGGCTCTCCGAATACATTTTGTTGGTTGGAACGGTATTATTTGGCCCCAATGATGAAAAACAAATCCAATGTGAATATCGAATGACAATTTTGGCAGCTATTGATGTATGGCGCATTATCAACCATATGGATTAGTATGTTAAATGCCTACAAGAAATCACTCGAGCCACAGAGCAAGCTAACAAATCTGCAGTGACTGTTCACGGAGGCATGGGCCGGCACGTGGGAGAAGTTGACCCGTCTTCTATTATAATAACAATGAAGGTCAGTGGTTGCATATTGAAAGATGTTTGAGTCGTTACTGAAAAGTCTGCAGACTTTATTATCTTTAGAAGTGACATACGGCACTTGTTTGGGTCTCGTCAAGACATCAATCGCCCTCTTTTTTGTCCGCATCTTCGGCGCCAAGCGCAGCTTCAACATCAGTGTGGTCGTCGTCTTGTTCTTCGTTTGGGTCTGGGTAATCAGCATCGTCTTGGAAGCCTTCCTCCTCTGTCGACCATTTGCATACAATTGGGATAAATCAGTCGGAGGCTCATGTGGTAACCGAAATGCAGCATTTATTGTTGCAGGTGTCATGAACGTTGTCACGGACTTCATGGTCATGGCTCTCCCACTACCACACGTGTGGACTCTGAAAATGAACTGGCAAAAGAAGATGGGTCTTACCTCTGTGTTCTGTGTCGGCGCTGTGTATGTCTTACCCCTATGCACGCTCTCAATATTGCCGAGAGCATACTAACCCTATATTTCAGCATCTCCGCTATCAGTATCCTGAGACTGATATCCCTCGCGAAACTTGACTTTGACGACCCAACACACTCGCTACTCTATGTTGTCTTGTGGTCGATCCTCGAGCCCCAACTAGCAATCATATGCGCGAACATGCCCTTCCTCAAGACGATTGTGGCGGCGTGGGCCCCAGGACTTGGGTCATCCATTGATCGCAAGTACGGCGCTTCATCAAACAAGACGTTTGAGAACCTTGGAACAAATGGAGAGAGCAGCCACCGCATGGATAATCTTGAAGCGACGCATACGTACAAAGTTGGGCATGATGGTGATTCCTCTACAGGACCTACTTTGTACGCGGACTCGGTCAGCTCCGATGAGCAGCGTTTGGCTAGTAATCCCAGCCCTTATGGGATTAGTGTTACTAAGAATTTTGATGTGCGTTACGACTAGGTGAGAGAGGATGGAAATGAAAAGTGGGGATGCGGTTGGTCAGTATTGATGTCTTCACTGAGGTTGCTAAGTTTGTCTTGCCCTGCTTTGTACTAGTATAATCTTTAATTCAATACCCCATGATAATTCTTGATTTAAATGAACAGGTAGCTAATTTTGAAGAACACAATTAACAATTTGAATTATCGGCATTGGTACTAGTGGTAAATTGAGATAACGGCGAGCTAACTTGAAAAACTTGATGATACTTAGAACATGCACGATGTTTAATCCGAACTACCTAATAGTAGGTAATCAATTGTTTTTCTTTCGAGGTTGGTAAAGTTTGAAGTCGAAAATGCAAGAGTGAATGAGAAGGGAGGCACCATATAAACAGCGGGAATTCCAGGTAAAAATTTGTTATCTCGGAACGGCGCATGGGAGTTCCGAGTAGGGCGTACCTAAGGCTCTTTGGGCGAGGCGTGTGCCCCACTCGCCGATAAGCTCCCCCGCAAGAGCCCCCCCAACTTGGAGACCCTCATCCCCGGAACACGCCGTCAGTTCGCTTCCCCGCACAGACGCCACACGTTGCATCGCTTCGGCCATGAGATGTAAGATTTTTCCTAGCTTGCTCATCATTCTGCTAGGCTAGCCACTGATGTCTTCACAAACCACTAATGGGAGCTTCTTGCCAGCCGGTAGGACCGGCCATGCTTGTGTGCAATGCCGACAGAGGTGCGTGTCCTGAATACAGGAACAACTTGTTCATTCACTCATATGTCCAAAAGGAAGCAAAAATGTGGAGGCTTCACCTATGGAATTAAGTGTCGACCATGCACTACTCGCAAAGTTAAATGCAGCTTCGATGAAGAGGTCAAGGATCCACGACACTACCCATATCTCCGTCTACGATCGTCTAAATCACCCCCTATTCGACGAGAGAGGACCTTTGCAGAGAATGAGCCCGAAGACGTTGGGTTGATGGGCCAGATATCGTCACCCTTAAGCCCCTTACAGGGTGAACCGATATCCATATCATTACCGGCGGGCCTTGCCAGAGAGCCGACTTCCTCAAACGATGACGGGCTGCCGCAGCAAGTGGAAATGCTGAAATCACGGTAAGCGGTCCATGGAGAGAGCTTGAATCCTGTGCTAACCGCTATTATAGGCTTGCAGATCTAGAGAAACGTTTTACTAACACTCAACACGACCGTTCTGACAGCATAAACACCCCGCGGTCTCTGGCTGCCGCCTCCCTTCAAAGACCTTCTGAGCTTTCTGAGTCACATGGGAATTATCGGTCGTCTCCTACAAATTATATCAACGTGGGATCCTTCTCCAATTCTGATAGCCACAGCTTGTGTAGCCCACAAGCTCCTGCTATCACCGATGGACCCTTGAAAACACTCAATAACTTCCAAGAGGATGAAACGGTCGAGGTCGAGTCGCATGACCCTATTACGAGATCGATTATAACGGAAGGGGAGGCATATGTAATTTTGAGACTGCAAGTATACCAAATATGCTGATTGCAAAGGAAGAGGCTTACCCTGACAGCTATTTTTCGAGCTGTCATCCGAATGCGCCATTCCTCGATATTGGCTTCGATTCGGATGTTGAAAGACTTCGTTCCGACAGTACGCTGCTCTTCCTTGCTATACTATCTATCGGCGCACGTTTCTGGAGTGCCTCGTCCAAGTATTGAATCTTACGCAACGGATATAAGCTTTGGCTAATACAATTCAGGACCATGTGCTGGCTACACCCTCGATATGCCGACACCGTTCGTCTTCTTGATGCGGAGCTGATGCGAGTCACATTGCGACCCAGACCGGACGACCAGAAGTTAGAAACCGTTCAAGCACTTCTTCTCTGCGCACACTGGATGCCATTTGATGTCTATGATACGGGAAGACGATACAGATCTAGATTTTCCGAAATGGGTGCATGGCAATGTCTGGGGTTAGCAATTAGATGGGCCACATCCTTGGCACTGGAAAGAAGCTGCTATTTGAGCTTCCAGCAACCACAGACAGCGACTCGACTCGACGTCCGGCGCTTTCGAACAATGCTGTATCTTGTTGAAAGTGATCATTAGTGAGCAGTCTGCCAGATGAATTTTTCAATTTGGCTAATTTTTCAACAGCCTCGCACTATCTGCCCGACGGCCATCTTACCTTAATCCTACTCCACTGAAAGAAGTACTGGAGAATTTCCTACATGCCGATTTTGTTCAGGCTACAGACATTCGGCTGGCATCTCTTTTCAAAGTGGCCTGTGGTGCCCACTCCACCGGGTGCCGACCATCAACTATCGAGAGCGTGGAGGCGTTTGACAAAGACGTGCAATTGATTGAGCAACAATTCCTGTTGAATCTAGGAAACAGGTCAATAGATACCCTGAGCCAACATTTTCCATTCACCTCACTACGATGGTATCGGCTCTCATACGTTTGCGCATTCCTCGACGCTACCGATATAACTCAACGAACAGGGGAAGCCTTGACTTGGGCAATTGAGTGGGCTAGCCAGATTCTTTTCCACCTATCAAGACCGCGCTATACGAGGGTCGATAACGAACTGCCGGATAATATTCAATTGGAGCCTGATCCAAGTGTCGTTGACGTGATGTCTTTTGCGATTGATCATTACTTCGTTGTTATTGCCTATGCCTCATTTGTGCTGGTGAATAGCTGGCTGAGTAACTTGATGGACTGTAAGTAGTTCCCATGATGTGAGTGGAGATGGGCGAGTGACTGATACATCTACGCAGTCAATCTCCGACCACATGTTACCAGATCAGATGGGGCCTTAAGTGAAACGGCCTCAACGTCTCTGCTCTACCGTCTTGTTGACGTCGCAGCTCGTACCCTCGAAGCAGCCAGTCCCCCCGAAGGCCATCTTGCCCGCCGATATGTCCCCCTGCTACACGGAATGGCGGGAATAATCTCTTCTAGCGAAACACAGATACATAATCCCAATTGCGAGAGTGTGAGCATGGGTACCGGCAGTCTGGATCTATCGGAGCCACTGCAAAGTAATTTGGGGGGAGACTTATGGGAAATGTGGCAACAAGCGGGGCTAGAACCTATTATCTGGCCGGGGCCCCTGGATGGGGTTTACGACGCACGAGCATGACAATGTAATAATAGTTTGAACCTTATGTACAGCATATCAGCGGTGCCAGCCGCCAGATTCTTCCATAATTGGGCATAGATATCAGTGCGGGGACTATGGAATGCGGGGAGAGCGGTCATATCCCATTCCGATATCGCCGGGTCGCATCGGGGAAGCCGACGGGCTATCACTAGAGTTCATGGGGTGTTTTGGCCCATTTCCTAGAGACACAGAAGGTGAAGAGTATGATTCAGCGAGACAAAGATAACAAGCTTGGCCAAATTCTCATATTACGTCATAATCAAAATGAGAGAAGGTTAATGGATTTCAGGCCTATCTATACACAACTGGCATCTATATGGAGGACAACAACCCACCACTATAAGAAATTTGGTACACGTGGACACATTTGCTGGCAAGCCCCTACTTTCTACCAGCTTCAACCAACTCGCCAAGCTTGAGCTGCGTGAGCAATGAGAGCTCATCATAAACGTTCCACTCATCCACAATCTTTCCGTTGCGATAATGGTAATGTGTCATGCCCATGACTTGCAAACGCTGTCCAGCAGGCTTTCCGAGCTCACTCAGAATGCCGAATCCCAAATGATGACCCTCCATTATCCACCGGACGGCAACCTTTACTCCGCCCTCTTCGCACGGGGTGGATAAGATATGCTGGGGCATATAGGCAGCATCGGGAATAGAGCCAACAAGACCGAGATGCTGGTGCAAGACGGCCGCAGGACCGTATAGCTCACTCATCTTGGGACCGTGATACTGTGCGTTCGGAGCATAAACCTTCTCAATACGCCCGAACATGCGGCAATTGAAGACATCATGCAACCACTCCAAAGTCTCCTTTTCAATCTCGTTGTTGGCGATCGAGGTGTCGCATTTCGTCTCCGGAGGCTGTTGTCCAAGGATACGACGGTTCTCGCCAATATCGATGTTCTCGAGACCCTTGTCGAAAAGGGCCTTGGCAGCTTCGTATGCGAAGGTGTGCGGGTCTAGTCCGAGCTGCTTGATGATTGCCATATTATCGGCAACAACCCACTCGCGGTAGATTTTGTTGCGGTAAATCATGCAATCGGCAATAGTGCGCGAGACAAAAGTCTTGCCTGTTGCGGGGCCGAAGTGCCCATATTGAGTGTGTCGACCGGCTCCGGTGACCAGGTGAGAGGTGTAGAATCCTTCCTTGTCGTCGCCGTTCCAGAGGACCTGTGTTGCCATGCCGCGGCGCTCAGGTAGAGAGACAAGTCGTTGAATGGTATCGCGGACGACGGATTCGCGATCATAGACTGTGCCCATCGTTCCGTATAGCACGCAATTATGAGTGTAGTGAGTGTAGATGAGACCAATATCCCGCTCATCCCAGATGCGATGCGTGCAACGAACGATGTAGTCAACGATGTCGGTGTAAATGTCGTCGAAGCCCTCCATGGAATGGGCGCGTTGTCGCTTAGTCGGTGCAAGGTCGGGGTAGTCATGACGTTCTACCTGGAGAGCTGAGAAATCTTGCTTGGATTGTTTGGATTGGGAGTCTTGATGGAAGCCATTGTTGAGGGGTGACTCGCCCTCTGCGATGGTGGATGGAGCCATGGTGATAATGAAAAGCCGTTTGATTGTGGGAGATTGTATGTTGGAAGGAAGATTTGGTGCCTCTTTATGACCACACAGTAACAATGAGTAATTCAAAGAGTGTGGGGTAATTATCGATCTTGTGATAATGCAAGACGTGTTTATTGAATGCAACTCTGGTCCATCGGGTTCGCCGTCGGTGATATCGGTGACGCCCCGGAAAACCCGAAGGCTTGAGCGCGTCACCCTAATCTGCGATCAAGAAAACCTACCCATATGTCAGCCTGGAGAAAGAAAACCCGATAATAACCCGTGAAATCCTTTTGGCAAACAGCCTGACCCGAGAAATCAAATCATGTCTTTAAAGCCGACATGATAATGACTACCAATCACTGGCAGCTTTATGGGGTTCCTTATTACTCGGACATCAATACAAAATAAATCAAACCAAACCAGAATAGTAACTTGAAGACAAAGAAGATCGAAAGTGTGACATATCACCAGGTGCACTATTTATCAATAAGGCATCCTCGGAAACCTCATGATTCAGTACGATCTCGTAACTTGATTATTCACCGCTGCATAATTTTGTCCGTACTTGAATTGTATGAATGAAGCCTTCCAAGGCTCCCGATTTAAATCATGCCTCGATCGGACGTTTCTGCAGTATCCTATACATGAGAAGAATCCCTGGCGTTGCGAGAAACATTCTTTGAGCCATCTGAAAACGAGGCATTATCATCCGAGGATGTCTCCGCACCCTTAAATTGAATTCCAACTTCCTCTATGGGCACAACAGAACGGCCAGCTGCATCATGCGTAGCATCCCATTCGGCAACTTGATCGATCGGAACCTTTCTGAGCTGATTGCTTTGAGCTCCGTCATCGAAATGGATGAGCTCCTGTCGCAATTGATAGCCCTGCCATTTTGGAAGTAGGAAGGCCCACAACCAGTAATAAGCGCCACACGCAAGGAGACTATACCGTTTTGTTAGTTTCAAGGATCTCAAAGGGTCGCGTCAATTTCAGGTCACTTGACTTACATTGCTATTCCGACCACTGCGTATGTTGCATACCAAAAGCTGACGTCTCCGGCATATTGACCTCCCGACGGCGGATACCAAGGCATCACCAGAAGGTATAGCTGAACGAGAATATTGAAAAATATAACAATATTCCAGGCTTTGAACTCGGGTTCAGGGAGATTTGCCTTCTTTCGGCGCCAGCGAATAACGTAGATACCAAGAGCCATGGCCAAATTAAAGGCAGCATTGGGGATGATATTCAAATCATTAACTGGTATGAAATTAGTTCTGTCACGAAGTATGATCGGCTTCGATGGCTCGGAGGTTCAACGGTTCAAACATACCAAATGTAAAAGCGTCTCCAGAAGGGATGGCTAGGATCAGCAGACAAGTCAACCCCCAAATAACAGCGTAAGGGCCCAGGGGAGTGCCGAAAGGCTTGGTTGAAACCCAAAAAGAGGTCCAGGGTAGAACTCCCTGCCGGCCACATTCTCTGAGTCGTCGGGAAATGCCGATTATCACGGCTATCATATTCCCGAACGAGGCCAGGGCAATGAGGAAATTGAGACCACGAACTGCTCCACTATCGCCGAAAACTTTCGAGAAAAACAAGCTGGCAGTGGTCAAATCGGAGTTTTCTAGCTCGAGCTTTGGAACTAAATCGTAAATCCTCAATTAGTGACACGCCTAGAAAAAAAACAATAAGCTTGCCACTTACCAGCAGCAAAAAAAGCGACATTTGCGAACATGTAAAGAACATAAACAATTGTTAAAGCAGCCGTTGCGTATATCTTGAGGGACCTGACGGGGTTCTTTCCATCCATCATGTTAGCTTCTGCCAAACAGCCTCGAAAACTCCAAGCCATCATACCTTGACTTCATTGGCAACATTGAATGCATTATTGTAACCACCATAGGAAAAGATGACGCGATACAAGGCCGTTGTAAATCCATATGCTGTAGCCGTAGAGCTTCCAGAAAACGCATTCTGAAAATTCGCCGTTGGGTTCTCGACCCTGGTCTTTCCTCCCAAGACAACAAAGCCGGTGACGATAATAAAGAGAATGGTGCAAACTTTGACAATCCCGACCGCATTCGAGAACCAGTAGGCATATTTTGTATTGAAAACCAGTGCTAAGCGATGTCAGTTTCAGTCCGATGAATCAAATGGACTAGGGAAACATACTTAAGGTGGCAAGGCTGTAGCAGGCCAGTGCTGTGCCTTTGACCTGCCAGTTAGTGCCGGTGTGCCCGGAAATAGCGATTAGATATTTAGCCATAACTGTTAAAAACTATAAGTTAGTGGAATGTCTTAGATCCCGTCTACTGACAGATCAACTTACCTGTAGCATTGGCACTTCCAAACGAAAGAATGACACTCTGTACCGCGAAGGTGGTTGGGAAAAGCCATTTTGGACTTGGGTACGCTTGCTCCAGGAAAACGACTTCTGAGCCCGATCGACTAGGAAAGTACGCTGTAAATTCGAGATACACGGCCCCCAAGGTCAGACATAGCTATGGCACAAAAAGGAAATTTGTTAGTCGACAAGTTTGTCAATTGTTGTATGAGACATACCAAGTAACCTAAAGTCCACCAAATCAAACTGACGCCGACTGATCCTGTTCCGGATAGGATCGACGATGCTGGGCCATGTTAGTCAAATTGTATGCGGATTGAATGTTTGTGTCACACGAACGTGTTGAATAGATACCAGCGCCAATCATCATTGTGATATTGAGTAATGTGATTGTCACTGGGCCGACAGAGTATCCCAGTGGTGACTGGCTTTCGACTGGAGCGCCAGAAGCATCTTGATATGTGGGCGGCGCATTATTGCCTCCTACTTCGCTGATAAACTGGCCTGCGGCAGTTGAGACACGTTCACTTTGCCCTTCAGTCACGCTGCCATCTCCCGATGGACGCTTACTAAAGGGTTGTCGCCAGGCCATCGCAGTTGATGATCATGAGATCGTGGAGACGAGTGTAGTCCAATCGTGCAGTACGACAAACGTTAGGCAGGAGAGGAGGAAGCAAACGAATTGGAAGCTGGAATTGTCCGAGTCCGAATTAGTCTTGAAGAAAGTTGAAAACTGGTCGCAGTGCGACTTAAAATACACCTAGGTATTCAAGTTATTTCACACCACCAGCGAGTCTATATTGCCGACCTCGGGACTTGACCGTGTATCTATTTATGTAGCCCCCTAGGTCTTCCGACGGTAGTTCAGAGGTGGTTCTCTCATTTAATTTGATTTTTGAGCATTTTTGGCTATTCCTCATTTTAAGTAGTACATACGCCTTACCTGAATCCAAAACGGAGGTTTTCTGACGAACAAGCATTCCATCATTGGAGAGGCCGATGATACAACCACGACAGTGGACTTAGTGGGCCCGATTGGCCCCAGCCATTCTCAAAAGTCATGCATGTAGTAACTACGGACTAACTAAATAGGATATATCATTTGTCATCTTGAATTAAATCTGAGATTAGCTCTCAAAGAGCGTCCTTTGTGAAGTTGTTGTGCTACAAATGTGGACTTAATGGCGCAATTCTGGATTGTGCATTAGAAGTCAGGAAGGGATAGCAAAATGATTTTTGAAATGCGTCCACGCCAACAGGACTTTCTAGCCGACCCATATCTCAAAATTGAATTGCTATGTGTGATGGATATCACAAGACTGGTCCCTATGAGGAACAGATGTGCGTAAGATCGAGAGAGCGGAAAAAGAAAATTCACTGCGCAGACAGTTGTAGCAAAAGTACATGCGCCAAGTGGGCTGAGTGCCAGAAATGTCATTTGTAGCAATAATGGTGTCTTAATCAAGTTGGGGATGCTTTGTATTTCAGGTAAGGCTAGTTATAGAATTAGTTAGCTTCATGAGATTATGATTCTATCCGAAATAGTCCGACCGGGGTGAGAAAAGGTCTCGTATGATTTGGCCCAGGAGTATCCATCAATGAAGGGATAACCGCTACTGTGATATGCGACCGGTCGGATCTTCTAAATCATTGAACTAATCCACCTATATGGCCATTCGTTTCATCTTTGACAAGGTGATTATTTGAAAATGTGGTATTGAATAAATACTAGTTGTCACCAGGCTATCTCGAAAATTGTAATATCACATCCATGGATCTGCTGCTGGAATTTTATCTCAGTAGGGATTGATGGTACACAAAAGACCTGTCGTACTTTCAAACAAAATTTCGAGAAATGGACATATATACACAGATCGTACCATTTGATCGAAGAGAAATAGCGCAAATCTCTTTACCTGGCGAAATATCCGGGCGACAGAGTCCAGCTCTTTGCGTGAGATCTTGGGAGTCAACGGTTTACAATGTGTAGATAAAGTCGTGATTTTCAATATCAGTCAGGTCCAAGAATCTGCACGATTTGATTAGCTCCTTGACAAGAGCAACTCGGACATATTGCGGACAATGGAAACATGTAGACTTACTCCTGACCCTCCAGTCTGACATAGCCGGGCGCAGATCGAATATTATCCTTGCGTCGGTTCTCTCTTTGGTACCACCACCAGATGAACAGCAGAATAAAGAGACAAGCTCCCCAGCATGCGATGATGGTAATCTCTGCCGAAACGTATCTGGGAGCATCCTCAGGTCGGAATGTGAGAGGGCCTGCCAGGATTAGAATAAGCGCCACCAATGCAATCGCGAGACAATTATGAACATACCGATGATATTGCCGACGCAGTAGCCAATGAGATACAGCGCCGCAACTGTAGTCTTCTTGGTATAGCCAGCGACATTGGATGAAATCAATGACAACAGGGCTACGAAAGAAGTCGGGAAGGCTTGCGTCAAGTAGTATCCGACCAGGCGACCAACATTGTTCTCAAGCGGGAGAGCAACAATAAGAATGACTCCCAATGTTGCGGTAAAAAGACCGCCAAGACTAGTGAGAATTCGTTGACCTGTCTTGTCGCCGATATAACCGTTCAGAAGCAGTGCCACGATTTCCACCGCACCAGCAGGTGTGCCATAGAGCAGACTCTGCTCTTTGCTATACCCAAAGCTAGTGATCTAAAAGAAAAGGAGTAAACTGTCAGCCATACCCGAAGAAATCGAAGAGAGAGCACAGGAAACGCTGGTAATGGAAAAGACATACCAGTTGGCTGAAAAAGTTCGTGATTCCGCCATTCGGAATGTCCGCAATGAGGGCAAAGAAGAAGAAAGCCCAGGTCATTGGGTCCATGAGAGCTTCTTTAACCTGATACCATTTGAAGTTCTTGTTACCAATACCTTGTTGGTTGATGCGGACACGGGCAACCGCTAAAATGCGATCCTCCTTCGACAACCAACGGGCATTGAGCTGACTGTCTGGGACGATCCAGAGGAATAGAAAACCCAAGGAGACGGTGAGACATCCGGTGAACAAGAAAACGATTTTCCAAGGTTCAATTGAGGAGCCATGCTTGGCCGTGCCAACAGCGATTCCGTAGGCGACGAGGCCTCCCAGAATCTGGCCCCAACCGTTGAAGCTGTACCAGAGGTTCACTCGTCTGCCTTGTTCGTTACGGGTATACCACTATTTCTATTTAGTATCAAAGAGCTCCCAATTCAATAGCAGGTAGGTTTGAAGGGGATGTGTACCTGAGAGGTCAAAAGCGCAAACCCTGGGGTCACTGCCGCTTCAAATACACCGAGGAAGAAACGGATAGCAACGGCGCCGGGGTAGTTCTTTGCTGCCGCAAAACAGCTGAGAATAGCTCCCCATATCACGATGCAAGAGCCGGCATATTTTCCGAGTGGTAAGCGTTGTAGTAGCCGACTCGTAGGATACTCCCAAGCAAGATATCCTGACGTTTTGTCAGCATGGAAAAGTCACCATAGGTAACCGAATTGGAGGATTCTTACCAAAATAGAAAAGACTGCCGAGCCAGGAGTACTGGTCTCCAACCAGACCTAGGTCCTCCTTTAGACCCATGATGCTCGCATATGACAAAGTGGTTTCTGACACCCCGTTAGCTGTGGATATCATATGCACGGACCAACTGCGTCACTCACTATCGAGGAAATTCATTCCATAGACACAGCACATCACCGGCATGATATGCCAGTCAATTGTTCGCAATAAACGACGGTTGGTGGCTTCATCAAGCTCAATTGCCTCGCCTTGCAGATGTTCAAAGACCTTCATGGCCTCATCCGCGTCATTGGCATGCTTGATGAGCGTAGGGTCAACATTTTTCATGGATAGCTCAATGTCCACGCCAGTGGAATCGGCTCGAGTGTCATCTTCCCTTGCCATAGTGAATTGGCACCTCTAGGAAGGTAAAGGGAAACTTGAAGGCAGAAGATGAAATTCTTGCTGGGGAAATCTCATGGAAATCGTCGGAAGGGGTCAAGATATATTACTACTAATATCCCAGACCTCGGATATGTGCAAGGATTAACATCAAGCTAACTCAAGTGGGATTGCACGAAAAGGACATACGGTGAGAGTAACTTAGGGCCTCGGATGAGGGGGCGAGTCTCATATCGCGGGGTGGTCCATTAGCATGACAAGATCGCTGGTGGAGCACGGCTTCATTGAATGTACCGTGGGTCCACGATAGTTTGCTGGCAGGATCGAGCCGATGGGCCGTCGTTTGCAGGGTATACTTGATAAGAGATCCAATTAAAAGCAAGATTTCCCGGGGAAAATTATTGGAACGTTCGATCAGGGAATCAGTGGCCAATTCGAGGGCTGGGATGATTTAGGCTCGGTCGCATGGTGGTTATCAAATTGTCATGGAGTTGACGACCACGGGTCAATTAGGCTTGTTTCCCCGCCACATCGATTGGGGGCCCCCACATTACTCCTCATAACCTGAAAATCCCCCTTTTCTATGAGTCATTTAATCATATAATTGCATCTTATCGTAGTGATTGATACGTTCACTTTATCTGATTGAGAAAGCAGACACTACACTCTTAACTGAACAAGATATCGGTATGAAATGAACGGATAAGACTAACTGCAGATACTTTTGTGCGAGGCTTCCCCGGAATCTGTCCGAAGAACTAGGTTTTGATTGGCACGAAATGCCGAGAGGCTCATTTTTGGAAATTGAGTGTCCTGGGGTTCCCGAGGCACAAGCATATTTGCTCCAATAAGCACCTGTTCGTGTTGAATGGAAGTGGGAGGAATGCGGGGAAGGGATCCTTCGTTGGCTTGCCAAGCTACTAGCTGAGCCTCTCCACAGCTTGGCTTCGAATCGCTCTACTCCAGGGCTGAGACCCGTGCCCAGGTGGTGTACATCACATAAGGTCCAAACTAGCTTCCCTCGTAACTTTGGATTCACCGCGGGAAACTTGTTAACTGGGATGAAATCCACTCCAGATGCATCTTTTCTTGCTATCAATGAATGCTTTAAATGAAAGCCAAGGAATTTAATATTCTAATATGCGGTCTTTATTTGGGCTAGACCTGGTGTTTTCAACTCAATTGTAGAGTCCCCTGCGATGAAGAAAGTCACAGCCATATAGCGATAATGAATTCACGTTTATTCAAGTCTATCAATCTTATCTGCAACACGCCAAGTTCCGAAGATGATGGATCAGATGTCACACCGTGACCTAGGCAGCTAGTACATCTGTCTGTTCCTCATTTCAATAGGAAGGAAACACATCAGGAAAGACGAGAGCCAGATACCACCCGCTCCAAGCCAAAGGACACCGGACCTGCCCTCGGCGATATACTTCTGCCCAGCAAACGGAGCCACGATTCCGGCAATCCGGCCAAGACAAGACAACATGCCACTCGCACTAGCACGATACGAGGTGTCGAACATTTCTGGCGCGGAGGCGTAAAGGACGGCGTTGAAATACTACGATTGGTTAGCCTGCAGACGGCATGATGAGGTGGGAACTTACACTTTGCATGATGTATTCTAACGCGTTTAGGCCGACATAACCAGGGGTGTCTTTGACCTGCGTGTACATCGCCATGGAGACACCTTGAAGTGCTGCAGAGATCACAAGCGACCATTTTCGACCGATGAGGGGGAGTTGAACGGAAAACAGAGCAAGGACGGCTCCGATCACACCGGGAAGGTAAATGTAGACGTATTCCCGGTATGTTTCGGTGACATTGCTTGCACCGCTGTCGACATTATTGTTTAGCAAAACAATGGGAAGAAAGTAGCCTGCCAAATTGAAGGACCAATAATTTCCCTGCTAGTGATTAGTAAATGAAATAGTGGTTCGGACTGAATAACCAACCATGTAGGCAAGGGCGAGAAGGATAAAAGTAAAACACTCAAGCTTCTTCATGAACAATCCACGAAGGAAGCCAAGACTCTTGAACATGCCCATAACAACGCCCTTTGCATCTGTGGAGGTGCTTTCTTCATTTGGATCCATGCCTGTCTCGCGGTCAATCCGCATGAAGTCATCAAGTGTCAATGTGGGCCTCGGAGCCCCATTAAATTTGGCAATCTTGTCGAGCACATCGATAGCATCCTGCAGGCGACCCTTGCCAAGAAGAAACTTTGGCGATTCGTAAAATCTGAAGAACAGGAATCGAGCGCCAAATAGAGCAAATGTCATTGCCCCAATCACGATCACCTCGTATCTCCAACCCATATTGCTGGCCACAGTGCAGCATGCCTCGCCGGGGCTGACGGCATTGCAGGCGGGAAGACCCACGTCGCATCGATACTTCGCAGCGGTACCGTAGGCGATGGCGGACGCCACAACCACTCCGATCGGTTGCCACATTCCAAGTAAGAAAACCAGGTATCGGCGGTTCTGCGGGAGAAATTCAAGGGCAATTGTCGCGTCGATGGGGATGTTACCGCCGAGGCCGATGCAGCAAAGGAAGTAGATTCCGCAAATGGCACCATAATTGAATTTGCTTGCAGCCTGAAGGTGTGAGCGAGGGATGATTCCTCAAGGCGAGACGAATTCACATACCAAAAGCATTCCAAAAACAGATGTAATGAGGCATGAAAGGTTGAACGCCCATTTGCGACCGATGATGTCGGTGATGATTCCAAATCCGAGAGCACCAATTCTATGCCCTGTCAACTGAATTGTCCGAATTCTGGCTAGGGGATACTCACGCTAGACCAACATTAGAGCAGGTGAATATGAGACCTTGCTGTCCCGCTGGAACGCCCATTTCCTGACTGCAAGTGAATGTGAGTGGCTGTGTCTTTCGGAGAAGTGATCCAACTTACAAAATTGCAGTAGCCAACAAACCAACACCCTGGGCCCAGGCCAAGTCGACAAAATAGCCAAAGCCACAGAGAAGCCAAATACATTTCTGGTATTTTCCGAAGCCGAATTTGTCAATCTCTCTACTTTCATCAGCATGTTTCCGAGTCTACCATGAAGTATGATCGCGACGACTGACGCATTGATCAACGCAGCCTTGCGTTCAAAAGGAGTGAGCTGCTGAGCAGCAGTGCCAGCTATCATATCACCCACAGAGATGTGAGTGATCCCTTGGGGTTCATTCTCTTTCTCGGAATGATTCTCCCCACCAAGGGCGTTTTTCTCTGAAACATGATCTGAAGTAGACATGATGAAGACGGATGCTATTTCCAGAATTCTGGACACAGCAGCTATCAAATATTGTCAGATATCTCAAGTCCAGCTCGAGTACATCAAGTTTTACTATAGACAAGGTATCTACTGAGGGGTTGCCTCATCGCGACTGATGACACCCGTCGGCAAACCCTATCTCCATCGGCTTCGCCGAAACTATCGCATGGCCATAAAATTCGACCTATTGTGGAGCCATGGCTTTAACAGCGGTAATGGCGGGGTTGGAACGTGTTGAGATTGTTGATAGATGCAGTAACATGCAGTAACAATCTTACTTCGTTGCTTGGTATTATTATGTGCTCAACGGCCCAGCGCGCTTACTTCCCTAACTTGAGACGACGACAAAGTGTATCCCACCAAGCAACACAACATGACGAAGATACCGAAAATCCAAGAGAGACCACAATGGGAGAGAATCGCTTGTGATAAAAAAGCGAGTCGCGATGCCAAAATTCCGCTAGACTGGAAATTGAAGCCAGGGCAGGTTCCGGACGATCAGCTCAATGTCATCAATGTTCCCTATGAATGTGGAATTTTGACATTTAAAGAGCAGGAGATCACGGATTTGAGTGCTAAAAGCCTGGTAGAGAGGATTTTGAGTCGCGAGTATACTTCATTTGAGGTTTGTTCTAAACAAAAGTCCGATTCCACCATTTGAACAAACGCTAATTCGTTTGAAGGTCACACTTGCTTTTTGCAAACGGGCGGCGATCGCACAACAGCTTGTATCATAATTTCCCCATACTTTCACCTTGATGAAATGCATTTGAATCTGACAATAGCCAGGTAAACTGTCTTTCCGAAATTTTCTTCGAAAACGCACTCGAGGCGTCTAAGTCACTGGATGCCGAATATGAAGAATCGGGAATACCACGCGGCCCACTTCACGGACTACCCGTCTCACTCAAGGATTGCTTCCAAGTTGAAGGAACAGATGCAGCGATTGGTTATACTGCACTGGTGAATAAGCCGACCTCAAAAGAAGATGAATCAGAAATCACGAAGATAATGCGAGACAGCGGTGCTATCCTCTTTTGCAAGACGAATGTCCCAACCGCGTTGATGTCTGGAGAGGTTGGTTGTCCACGAAATTTGACAGCAGATACCGACAAAAAGCTGATGTTTTAGACTTTCAATGCAATCTACGGCTACACCTCGAATCCCTACAATCGCAACCTTTCTAGCGGAGGCTCATCTGGCGGCGAAAGCGCTTTGTTGGCACTTCGCGGGTCTCCTTTGGGAATTGGAACTGACGTGGGAGGATCTGTTCGCATACCCGCTTCATTCTGCGGCCTTTACTCGCTGAAACCATCTTTCGGTCGATTTCCAACCTCAGGCATCCTGGACAGTCTCAACGGCCAAGAAGCGGTGCGAAACACAGTCGGACTTATGGCACACTCCTTGGACGACATTGAGATGTGGTGCAAGACGGTGGTAGACAGCCAACCACATCTACGTGCAGATCCCGATTGCTTGCCTATTCCGTGGCGAACGCCCGACATACCCGAGAAGCTTTGTTTTGGTAAATACGAGCCCGAAAGATATACCCCCACGAAGCTTGAGTGAATGATTTCTGACTCTCCAGGGTTCCTAATCGATGATGGTATTGTGAAGCCACTTCCTCCTGTCACAAGAGCTTTGCTATATGCGAAAGCAGCTCTTGAAGCAGCTGGGCATACAGTTGTGGAGTTCCGCATGTAAGATTTCATAGCAGTGACGCGGTAAAGTCCAATTGAAAAACTGACATAGATCAGTGATGATCCCCTTTTCCTGGATTCTCTCAAATTTGCGCTTTATCGTTCGGCTGCAGCAGATACTTTGCAGGGGGTTCTTGACAAGACAGGAGAACCATGGCCGCAAGGTTATGAGATACTCGGGGATATGGTCAATGACGAGAATTATCCAAAGGCAACGGTTTCTGACTTATGGCGAGCACAAATAAAGCGGACGGAATACTCAAAACAGATATTGCAGAGCTGGGCAGCTTCCAAAAGTTCAACCGGGACAGGAAGAGAAATTGACGCACTGATTATGCCATGCTCGCCGTGGCCGGCATCTTCAAGGTATGCATGCAAATAATCCCTTGGCCCTTCTCGGATATGTGACTGAATGCCACAGACATGGATTCATATACGATAGTTATACCAGCCTCTGGAACGTTCTTGATTACTGCGCAGCTACCGTCCCAGTGACTCAGGTATGTCCAGAAAAGGATAAAGCAACGAACTTTGAATCTCGCAACGCAGTTGAGGATAAAGTTTGGAAATATTGTACGTTGTCCCACCATGTTCGATGTGGATATAGCTCACAGATACAGATACACCAAAGGCTATGGTCGACTCCCCGGTCTCTATACAGGTGGTTGGACAGCGACTTCACGAGGAATATCTACTCGGAGTCACCAGGAGGATGCAAAATTGCTTAAACGTCTGGGATCCAAATTAGTACGAGTCTTCCTTATTGTAGATTTGAGTCTATGTTGTTGAGCGGGCTTCTAACGAATGATTTGGGCAATACGGGGTATAATTATCTCTCAAATACATTATATGATGAATAAAGCACCGAGGTCATGCATCAATTCGATTCTACAACAAGATCTGTGGCCCTATTAAGAGCCATCAGAGTCATCAGAGTCCTCAACCACCCTCACTCGGTCACAGATGAGTTGCACAGTAAGAAGAATCTCGACATCATCTATTTCCAAAGAGACACTAAGCTTGCCCACTTCTTCGTGGTGCGCTGCATCGAAAGGGTCGCGGTGTGAAAGGAATCTGATCATTCGCCTACACCAAAATTCATCAACGGCAGTCTATCGGTGTCGAACTGATTCTCCAATTCAGCCACCAGAACTTCCAGGCTTTTCAGAAGGTCTTTCTCCTCGTCCATAATTTCACGAAGTTCGCATTCCTCTCTGGAATGCTCCCAAGGTCCCCCGGACCAACACTGGCACTCGGTGCAGCAGGTATGGCTGAGACCTAGCCCATCGAAGGTAAGACTTCTGACAATTGCTCGCCATGCTTAAAGGTCAAATTGATTGTACTCGATGAGGAATTAAAAAAGCTTTCGAAACAGGGCTCCTCGCACGGCGATATCATCATCCGGTCCTAATGCTCGACCGTAAACAACGCTGCAATCAAGCACGTCCCTTATAGCTACAGATAATGTAGTGCAGCCGCACACAGAACACAAACAAGAACACTCATCCTTGATTGTCGTCGAAAATATACAATGCTCAATCTGGCGAAACTGTGTCAGATAATAGCAATGGTAGCTGTGAGGACCATGATGTTCAAGTTGCATGTTGCAAAAGATAGACTGGCCGAATTTGGCACTCAGAAGGTGGATGGCTTTTTTTCTTGAGCCTGGAATCTTTTTAAAAGGATCTGCACCTCTTGAAATCATCCAAGCAATTTTCTCTCTGTCACATCCGGTCAGATCGATGTGCAATACTGAGCACATTTCCATCGGTGGCGAATGACCTCCTGGCAGTTCCTGGTCTACGTCTGTGAATCCAACTTTGTGTCCTTCTTTCAGGCTATCGAACTGACTGTATAGATCATATATTGATTTACCTACAAGGCATTTCAGGGAATCATCGATTTCTATTCCCTTCGCCATCAGCGCATCGAAAAATCCATAAGCCTGGGCGTCGGGAAGACCGGCTGTTCATTCTTTCCTTATCTCAGAAAGCTCAGAAGGAGGAATGTGTGCGTCTGATAATTCGAATAACTTCTTTCGTCGTTTGGCAAGTTGGCGTGGAAACAAAACTCTCAGTTTCGATGATGTCATAAGCTGAAAGTGATCCTTCGCGATGGTGCATCCCGCTTCGAGTAGGATGTTGCATGATTCGGCATATTCATCGATTTTAATGTCTTCATCTGTGGTAGTATTCGATTGAAACTCCCAGAATGATCTGTCGTTATTACGAAAATGATAGTTTCCTGGTATCTTGAGTTATGTGTTTGATTCTCCTCTCAGCAGTACTAGTAGCAATCAGAAAACTAAAGAGACTCACTACCTACTCACTCCTTTATTAGGAAGTAGGATATACAATTGACCGAAAATACGCAATGCAATGCACTGAACTATATCTATACTATCTAACCAAGCAACAAACAAGGGAAAGACATTCAATGCAAGGCAATCAGGCCAGGCAACAGTAATGCCCTAAGCAAGACCAAGCTCCTTATAAAAAGCGGTAGTCTCCGGCTCACGGCCCAAGAACTGCGTCAGGGTAGTCATTTCATCCTGCGAACCGCCCTTCTCGAGGACTTGGTATCTGTAGCGGCGACCAGCTGACTTGTTCATAGGGTCGTCCTTGAAGATTGTGTAGAACATATCTGTTGAGTAGACTTGAGAGCTGTCGGGAGTTGTGGTTAGTAATTGTCAACACTGTTCCGAGCAGGTAAACTCACCTCAGATAACCGTAGTAACCGGCATCGTAACCACCGATCAAATGGCCGAATGTAGCTTCGCCGTGACCCCACTCATCGCCTGCGCCAATAGCCTCGGGACCGTCCATTTGGGTGATTTCCTTGCGGAGACGGTTGTAGGTTGCTGAGATGGGCAGGGCCTCGATGGCAGCGTGGCTGGCGGGCTCGTGGACGCTCATGTCGAAAATTCCGAAGTGCAGTTGGCGCAGGTTGAAGAGTGCGTCATTGACGTGCTTGGTGCGGATGAGGTTGTTGATAACTTCGTCCGGGATCTGAGCAGCCGGGGCAGGGGACGAAGCGTCCTTTCCGGCACGCCCTTGCGCTTCTTGCCAGCCCTTGAGGTATTCCGGGGACAGGGTTGCGTAGTGGGTGCTCAGGGCGCGCAGCTGGGACGGTGTCCAGCACCAGTTTTCCAGCATCTGTGAGGGGGCTTCGACGAAATCGCGGACTGTGTTTGTGCCGTGGAAGCGGGAGTAGATTGTCTTTGAGACAAGGTCGTGGATGCCGTGGCCCAGTTCGTGGAAGAGGGTGACGACTTCGTCGTGTTTTAGGAGAGAGGGTTTCTTGGGTGTCGGCTTGGTAAAGTTGCAGACTAGGGCTGTGGCGGGGAAGCGGCGGTTACCGGTGGCGTCGATGAAGCCGGGCTGCAGGTTGAAGTTGGCGGCGTGGCCGTACTTGCCCTCGCGGGGAAGAGATCCAGGTAGAGGTATCCGACGAATCCGCTGCCTTCGCCTTCGTCGTTCCAAACGCTGAAGACTTGCACATCCTCGTGCCAGACGATGTCGTCACCCTTACCGGTGGGTGCGAGAGCTGCGCGGTCCTCGCCGACAATCTCAACGAACTCAAGTCCGAACAGCTCCTCGAAGATCTTCAGCATACCCTGGATGGTAGTCTGTAGAGGGAAGTACTCGGCAATCAGCTGCTGGTCCAACGAGAAGTCTCGCTCCAGCATCAAACGGTCGTAGAAGCGGTGGTCCCAGAGGTAATATTGGCCATCAGAGTTGGGGTCCAGACTCTTCTTCAGCTCCATAAGTGTGTTTATCTCGGACTTTCCGCCGGCTGTCAGGCGGGATCGCAGATCACCAAGGAACTTGTTGACAGTCTCAGGTGTCTTGGCCATCTTGTCTTCAATGCGGAAGGCAGCATGGCTGGGGTAGCCGAGCAGACGGGCAGCCTCATCACGGAGGACGATAGCTTCGCGGAACAGAGGCACATTCTGATTACACTTGTTCTCGTTTGCAATCATGACCTGCTTACGGATCTCGGAGTTCTTGGCGTACTTCATGGTAGGGAAGAGATCGGGGTATTTGAAGGTGAGCCAGACCTTGCCGTCGTTCTCGCCTTCGCCCTTCTTAAGACCGGAGAGAACGTCCTCGGGGACACCATCCAATTGCTCGAGTGTGAACCAGATACCGCCATTCTCCTCATTCAGGTTTTTCTGGAACTCGATGCTCAATTGACTGAGGCGTTTCTTGATCTCCTTGAAACGGGCACGCTCAGGGCCGTCGGGAAGACCCAGACCGTTGCGAATGAAGTCCTTGTGTTCTTTCTCGAGCAAACGGCGGGACTCAGGCTCCAGGGGCTCGTTCTTGTTCAGAGTTTCGGCAACGAGCTTGAAGATGTCCTCGCGCATCGCGGATTCGATGAAGAACTCATCCATTAGCTCTTCGGCCTTGGAAGAGGCATCCCGCAGCTTCTGGTCCACTGATACGGCTTGGTAGAAACCTAGGATGTGCGCTTCCAGTGCCATGACGTTCTCATCTTGAGACAGGGGACCAAGGACACTGGCGAAGGTGGCATTGCTAGCTTGGACGGAGCCGACGACTTGGTCCTGAACACCGCGAGAGGTCTTGATGATGCGCTCTGCGTCGGCGACGACTGATTGAGGGGTAGCTGTGAAGGTGGGCGGGGCCTGCGGCGGACGCCGAAGGTGAGCAGGGGCCATGGTGGAGGTGGTCAGGTATCGGGGATAGCTATAGTTGTTTATTCGAAGGTGGCCCAGCACTGATGAGAGGCGGGTGGGGAGACGGAGGAACGGCGCCACGATGACGGCGACGAGGATGATGAGAAGGTGGTGGCGAGCGGTGAAGGCAATGATGGCGGGGGTGATGAAGAAGTGTGAGTGGCTGTAAAATATGCAAGATGGAGGAGGTCCAACCAACGTGAAGTGACGAAGCCGATGGAAGGTGATGCGGGTCAGGTGATGCCCCGCATGTTGCACGAGGACAGGCAGCATGAATACCCATGGACAGACTATGCATGTTGGATAGGAAGAGTACCAGCCCTGATTCATATACAGCCTACTCTGACTACAGTGTCTACACTTTACAATGGTCAAAGAATGGCATGATAAATGATGGTCGTTTCTAGTTCATGGCAGATTATCTATGTGAGAGCGCTTTTCGAAAAAGACAGACAAAAAATAAATCCAGGAAAAATAACTCCGTGAAAACACCGTCCAGCCACTCGGATGCAAAGCAAAAGAAATCATCGACATAATCAGCACACTCAAGCAGCATCCGCAGTGGGGACGGGCTCGGGGATCTTGGTAACCTGGGCACCAGCCCGGATGATACGCTGACCACTCTCGTCACGAACATACTCGGTGTTCTCCTTGTGAGAACGCTTCCAGATCTCAACCTCACAGCCACCGCGGATCACACCAACACGCATGGTTGAGAGCAGGTTATGGGCAGCGTTGGAGTGGTAGTAGATACCACCGTTGAACATGGCAGTGGCATCCTTGCCAATACCGGAGTTGATCATGGCCTTACCACCGGGGTGGTCCTTGATAAAGTCGGTCACGTCGTGGACAACACCAGCGATGGCAACCAGGCCACGGCCATTCTTGGCCTGCTCAACATAGTCGTCCCACTCCATGACGGGGAGCTGCTCGAGAGGAGTACCCCAGTCCAGCTTGGAGCGCTTCTGATCGATCTTCTTCTGGAGCTGCTGGATACGGCCCTTCTCGATCTCGTTGGCACGGAACTGCTTGAGGTCGTAGGCGAGGCCAAGCTGCTTCCAGGACCAGATGGTCCACTTGGTGGGGTCATACTGGTGCCACTCGATAGCATTACGGTAGTCGGAGGGGAACTCGTGGTGGAAGTTGTGGTATCCCTCACCCAGAGTAACCAGGGCAGTGATAACGTGGTCACGGGGAGAGTTGCGGTCGTCGAAGGGCTGGTCACCGAGCCAGTGAGCGAGAGAGTTGACGCAGAATGTAGCCTGTTGGACGAAGAAGATGCGAAGGATACCAGCGTAGACGAAACCACCGAGCCAGTCACCCCAGCCGAGACCGGCAACGAGCATAGGGAAAATGAGACCCATGCCGAAGACGACCTTCAGGTAGTGACGGTGTTGCCAGATGACGACGGGGTCCTCGTTCAGATCGGAGATGTCGGTACGGCCAATACGCTTGGGGTTCTGCTTCATGACCATCCAGCCAAGGTGAGAGTACCAGAAACCCTTACGAACGGAGTAGGGGTCCTTCTCGGTGTCGGTATAACGGTGGTGAGCACGGTGGCCGCGAGCCCACCAGCGGATGGAGCCCTCAACGGCACCACCGCCAACCAGGGCGAGCCAGATGCGAAGGGGGAGAGTGGCGGAGTAGGAGCAGTGAGCCCAGAGACGGTGATATCCTGTAGAGTGTTGAGTTAGTATCAAATCTTTGTATTGTGAGATTCCCTAATGTGAATCATTGCTTACCTGCTGTGATTCCAAGACCAGTGAAGAAGTAGTACACGACGGCCCAGATGGCAGTCTTCAGGTACAGAGGAGTCCAGAAAGCCTGGACACAGCCCATGGCGGGAATACCGAGAATGAGGTAGACATTCAGCCAGTTGACATGCTTGTACCAGTTGTTGCGAGTCAATGGAGTGTCGGCAATGTGCACCTTCTTGGTGTCAGGGGCCCGAGGGCGAGAGGACTCTGCCTTGGTTGACATGATGTCTCTCTGTGTTCACACTTTTCTCTTCCCTCAGTGATGAAGATGAAAGATGGAAAAGAAGGGAGAGAATAAAAGAAGTATGTGAAGGGAGTGGCGTGGGCCAGGGCCGGGCGATGGCTTTTTTTATATGGGGGGGCCCACTTAGGACCAACGTTGGGGGAAAGGGAGGGTTTGATCGCCAACGGATTATGGGGAAGTCCGGTGCAAGACGAATCAACGCAATGCAAAAGGAGAAAAAGGAGAAGCAGGAATCACAAGATCCCTCGGCAGAGAAACGGAAGTAGTAGACCGGCCGATCAACGAGAAAGAAAGAAGGAAGAAGAAAAGGAAAAATGGAAGATGGACGAATGAGCGCGGCTCTGGCTGTTCCTGAGGGTGGCGTTCCTTCCTTTCTCGTTGAGGCGCCCCAACACTTTTTGCTTAGTCATTACCAGCATGCCATTACTGCTACAGTCCTGTGGTGCAATATTGATATGGTGCCATGTACAGAGTACATCATAGAGACCAATTGTATGATTCAAAGAATATTCCATCAACATTAGCCCAACAATTATTCCAGATGGTGTATACCCTACTCGGTATACTACAGCTACTAGGGTACACTGGTGGGCCTGCAGGAACTGCACGTGACTGGCGCTGCTTATCTTGGCTTCTTATCTTCCTCCGCATTGGGAAGACTTACATACATCCAAGACGGAGTGACTATAGTACTGAGTAACTAGTACTAGATGATGTACTTGTATACAGATATTTCTATATCTCACAGGAATACTCTACCCATACCAGTTCTCCATCTCCCTCGGCCACTTCCCGCTATGTCCCATCCCTTTGGCTTCCGCCCCTGCGTCACCAGCCCTATGGTGGCAAACAAGACGAAAATACCAAACTCAACATCCCTAGCCCTTCCGACTGGGGTATAGACAGTGAGGTCAAGGCTACATATGACCAAAATCCTTCACGGAATGAGGTCATGTCCGAATCATCGTGTATCCCCATGTTGATCGCATGTGCAAGAGACCGTAGCGGGTAGATATGTACGATTCCAGAAGTGGTCCAGTACCAAGTAGGAATAGTAGTTCACTTTCACTGGAAATGTTGGGGTTCGGCCCCGGGTCTGCCGAGGCTGATCTAGGCCAGGTCACCTGTATGCCAGTCACGTTAGAGTCACGTGGGAGGTCTGGGAGCTGCCTCAGGCGATGGTCACGTTTGGAACGGAAGCTGATGTAAGCTAATTAGATAAGCCGGCAGGTGGGGCGAACCGAACCATCGAACCGTACAAGAACAACTCTTTATTGACTTCGTTGGTATACCCATCACCCCACACCGATCTCTGGGCGCCCCCCCCCATCTGTACAACATGGTCTTGACTCTGACCTTCTGGACCATGTTGTTTCTCAGTTGACAAATTCCCTTCTCTTGGATCGCTTCCGACCTTTCCGGTCACTTCACTCTCACCGCGGCGGACCCCTCACACCGCTTCGGCGCGGAGAAAGCTGCCACCTTCGGTTTTCAGCCTCTTACTACACAGCTGAGGGAGAGCTAACAACCATATCGGGTGACCCAAACCAAATCAGCGCTCACATTGCCACTCTCTTGCCTGAAGTTTCAAAGAAGGCAACCGGAGCCGTCAAGCCTCTGCATCCCAGCATCATTCCGCTCTTCTCTATTCGCATCTCTTCCAGCGTTTCAATTTCCAAACGTTTACTGGCTTGTCTCGTTTCGTTTCTCGTTTCTCGTTTCTCGTTTCTCGTTTCTCGTCTACTAAGCAACTGCATCCCCTGATCTTAACATATCTCTGCATTCTCCTGTATCTATTCTCATTGTCTTTCTTGTTATGGCCATGATTACAACCCTGCCATACGCTGCCCGAGCATATATATTCCATCGTCCGAGGAAACCCCACCAAGTTGACAATTAAACGCATATTGCGAGGTTCCTGACATCTCAGACTTGACAATACTACTATCGATACCAACTGTGCATGGAAATCATGCCGTACCGCTCCGTGGATCCATTCCGAGTCCTCCCAGCTGAACTCATGATCGAGATTCTCCATGCGATCGATGATTTCTACGGCCTAGTGAGCCTCACTAAAGTCTCACCTCACGCCGAATCTGTCTGCGCGGCATACGCCCTCCCAATCTTAAATAACCTGACAAAATGGTATCCTCTCTTCTACTGCCCATACAGCTACCGCGATGCAGACCTCCCACTGCCCATTCGTGGGATATTTCGCTGCCTCGCCCTCATCCTAAGCGAACCACCGTCCGATATCGACACTGTGAGAATCCATCTTGGATACACCCGAGACTGCCCCTGGAGCGTGGTCCCAATCAAACTCGGCCCTCAGAGAGCCAACGTGGTTGCATTCCAACTAATCCGTATCGCTGCTCGTATTCAACGTCTCGCATGCATGTGTCTTCTCACTATGGTCGGAAACCTCTACTGTGCAGTTTCCAATTCGAAATACCTCGGTCCGGAACGCGTCGCATCCTTCATCCCCTTCAGCTGGGTCGAAGAATATAGAGTCTACCAAGCACTCTGGAATCTGCAGCTTTTCTCCATATACTTCTATTATACGCAGCTTAAATGGGGCTGGTCGGATGAGGAGGCCCAGGCGCTGAGTATCGAAATCCCCTGGCAGTTCAAGCCAAAATATAAACTGGATGACGAGATTCCCTCCGTGACGAACGTCCTCATTCAGTTGGGGCTGACACCAAAACAAATCTGCCACCTGCCGTTGTTCGACTTCGACGAGATGGAGCAAATCATGGACCACAGTGAATACCCACCGTCATGTGTATGGTCGCCACCGCCCACCCCAGACGCGAACAACAACGAACATTCATTTGTCTGGAACCAAAGACCAGAGGACGCAATTGCAAGAGTATCAAATGGCACACACCAGTGTGAAACGATGCTTGTGCATTCTAATACCACTTTCCCAACCAGAACTTTCCTAGGGATACAATTATTCCATCCGGACGGACCCGAAAGACCATTATTCCAAGAGATGGGCCTGTTCATCTGGGATGCATTGCGCATGTGTTCAGTGGGCCTTTCTATTCCAGATTCTAACCAACACAGACTGGCCGGTTTTGAGATCTTGAGTGCACCACCGGTTCAAGTTCCCTGCTGTTGCCCCGGTGATCGCGCCAAGATGCTCGAGATTCTCATACGCTGGTGGTCCTTACTTGGCAAATATCCGCAGCTTCCGCCTATCATTGCGCCCAGCTTTATCAAAGCTAATGCCCACAACACCTTTTGGATCAATGACCCAGAGTATCAAATGCCTACTGGCCAAAATTTAGGCATAGCTTCCGCAGATGGTCGTCAAATGATGATTCCACTCATGGGTCTGGCACCGACGTTCTTCCCTAGGCAACCATTACCGTAATTTTCATATCACATAGCGAAGCAGTCTTCCTGAATATAGTTTTTAATTGACCCTTGGTATGAGATTGACATAGCTTTTACTTGGAAATTCTCCGACGCCAGTAGACCGCGTGATTGTATGCTTCCAAGGTTCGTAGCATCGCAGCTCTCAATAGACAAGGTCGTATCGCGTTGCAGTCTTGATATTTCTCGATAACCTTGGAATTTAGTAGTTTGTGGGATTATAAGCCACTGGATTGCTCCGCGAGTACGTACTGCCTATGGGCACCATTTGCTCAGCCAGTATTTGAACAAAGACCGCTCAATTGGGAATATTTGTATAGATCTCCAACCTGGGCGTGCCAAATCATGATGTACTACTATCTCGAATTATTTTGCCTTGTGAAACCTGAATGAGTGCATTGTTTATGATATCTCTTTGAATTCTGAATCTTGGAACATCTTAAGGTTGATCCACAGTGCAATATCCATCCACTTCTGCCTTTCTCTAGCCAATCACAACAAAGCAGTAATGTCTTGAATATCGATATGTCTCGTAGTTCTCGGCTTCTTGCACAATGTGGCTCTCGTAATAAATGTTTTCATTGTCTTCCGATAGCATTGTTTGAATCTCCGCATTGAAGATGTTTCGAGTTGATCTTGTCGATGCCTCCATCGGATGCTCAATTGGGACGCCGCGAATATTTCACTTTTTTCAAACAAGGAGATACTGATATTCTTTTTCGAAAATAAAGCCTCATTGTTCATATTCGAGTCTTTTTGTTCTTTATAGGCATCGCGGCTCTTCGAGGCTGTCGAGCGCTCTGGAGGAAACTATATAAGCCTCCATTTCCTCTGCAAACTATACCACCTACCATACTAACAGTACGAGTACTTCTACTACTAAATTGTGACAACTTACTACTACGAGCACATTAATTACTACTAGTACTCCTCATTTGTCTACATCAACATATCAGCCATGTCCACACTTACTGACAACACACAGTCCCTGCTGCACGGCCTCCATGAGCGCTTGCTCAGCCTAGTCGTCACACATGTACGAGTCACCTTCACAGCCCCCGAATATGGGGTGAACGAATTCGCTCATTTGTTTACGCATTCCATTCTATATTTGCTCACAACAGATGGAAAATCTGTTGAAATCAATATGGGCTCCCCCTCCGCGGATACTTATTTGGGACGGCTCATGATACGCCGGCGACACTTTCAGTCGCACCGTCATGCTTTCAAGCACTGGGATTTCCTAGCTAGTACGGGACTCTTGGTTCGTGATGTACTCCATGCCATTAAGGCTAATGGAAGAAACCTTTATAGGTTCCATCGCAGCGGTCTCGGGTGCCGACATTGGGTGCGAACAGTGATATTCGAGTTTTGGGAACTTGGCTTCATTGATCATTCGCAGGTTCATCCGCTGCGGCGGTTCAAGAAGGAGGTTCGATACTCCTATCCTTTTCGACTGCCTCGGGTGAAGACTAACGTTGTGAAGGGGAAGTTTCTGTGGGAGACCTACTACTAGTAGTAGCTTTGGAAATATTTGGGATTGAGGTCCCATATATTTAGGCACTCAGTTCGAGTTGGACATCCTTTCGGGAGAGTATCTAGAATTACCGTTATTTAGTATCAGTCCTTACAATATAAGTCATTTGAAATTTGAGCAGAGTTTATCAGGCATATATGTGGTCCTTGTCGGTTTCTTGTAGGGAAAGTGTTTTATTTAAGTAAATGTTCGCCACCAACGAGGCGTAATTTCGAAATTCATACCAGGAATTATGAAATCCAACAAATTTGCTGGGATCATGAGAAAAACACGTTGAGTGATACGATTACTATCAAGATATCTATCAGGAAACCCGGATAAAGTTCCCCATCCACATCGGTCCGCCATAATATCGAGACATTTTGTGTCAGGAGTTCTCGACCCCGCGGATGCTGGGATTACTCCGGGAGCACTACCTTTAGCATCCTGCCGATCGATAGTCGTCGCGGAGATGGGACTCACGAAACCTGCCAGCTCCGCCTGTCGAGATTGGCCGGCTGTATTATCGTCAAGAATAAGCCAAACCTTGCTACTGAACATATTAGCAGTTGATGGACAGTGGGTGGCTCTGACCTGTCTACCCACGAGAGCGCTTTGCGGAGCGGCAGACAGAGGAGACTGGGGGGATGAGTAAACCCCACAGACTTTGCTGCAGTAGCTGGAGCTGATGCTAGAGCTGCAGCATATTCCTGCATGGCATTTATTGTCTCGTCGATACGTACACGGAGTGAGCGAACTATCTCTCCATGTTTCTTGATATACCACTCAGGGTATTCTGTTGAGTCCGTATCGCTCATACTGCTAGTGCTTGGGGTGGATATAGACATGCTAAGTAAAGGAAATTTTGCGACCACGCTTTCTCGCTCGATAGGTGTAGGAGAGAGAAGTTCGAACGGATTGGGGTTGGAACTGATGATCAAGAGGGCTGCGAGCCTCTGCAGACCTTCGTCGAACTCGACGGGGACGCGGCAGTCATACCCACGACTCGTTTGATCAGCAAGGCTCTGTGCCTCAACATCGGCCGACTTATCGATTGAGGACTCGGAGTCGCTTTCCGCCCTGAAAACAGAGGGCCGCGGCGGATCAAACGAGAAGGAGAACTACGAGCCAGATAAAAAACTCCACCTTCTCCCAGACGCGCGGGCAGTAGTGCTGTTCAGAAAGGCGTCGAGGGCTCCCGAGACATAGGCACACCATCGGCAGGGGAAGGGTTTCATCGGTCATTGTCGCTACCGTGGTGCTATCCCGGAGAGTTGTATTTCATAAGAGATGTTTACCTCCCTCACTTGCCTTTCTGTCATTTTCACTCCCATTTCCTTACATAACCCTAGAATTGCACAAATAAGGAATGTGCCAGTATCCTCATCCTCATCGGGAAGCTATAATCCACATAATCTATATAAATAGGGTCATAATGGAGTCATCCTGAATCAACAGGGGCCAGTCGGAAGGTGCTGTCCTAATATTATGGACTGCTGGGTCACAAGCTTAGATAGGTCGTTTGCTCTTTATCATTGCATTTCCCACTTTCCTGTTTGGTCTTCTCCGTTGGGTGCTAGTAGCTTGGACGAATTATAAAATACTAGACCGCCTGCACCGCCATCTCCTAGAACTTTAGTTGAACACCCTCCTTGTCTTTCTAATAAACTTCTTCAGTCATTATGAGTAATTTTTCTGCTTGCCACAATCGCTTCAATCTTTGTGGCGGCGTGGTTGTAATTTTCTTAAGTTTGTATACTAACTCACTGAATAGTTAGTGGCTATTAACTACCTACGCGTAGCTACTTACTAGTGGTTACCTAGTTACCAACTCTTCGCATATAGAAAAGTCGTACTGAGTAGCCATCAGCCGATCAGGATTTTGCATCAAAAAGGTAGGACCAGGATTCCAAGGTTCTGCCTAGCCGGAATGATTCCGTCCCCCTGGCCGCTATCGGCTGCTATATAAAAGTGCGCAAGCAAACCATGCGTGATATTATTATTGCCAGAATCCATGCCCTTCATTCATATGCCATCGAACGGTTTCCGCTAGACCTTCATCGAAATTGGTTCTTTGTTTCCAACCAAGTGCCTCTAGTTTAGAACCATCAGTCCAATACATACTGTCATTATATGGGCGATCTTCAATATTTTCGACCCAGGAAGTCAGTGAATCTGAAGTATTCTGACCAGCAATGTGCTGGAAGATCTTTTCGGCCACCTGGAGGACTTGCAAATGGGTGTCGGATGAGATATTGTATGTCTCACCGTCGGCCCCCTTGTGGAAGATCGTATCCAGTGCCTCCGCCACATCAGCCGCAAAAATAAATGCGCGGATATTTCGGCCATCGCCCTGGATTGGAATCTTGCCGCCTTTTTGTTGGAGGATGATGAACTTCGAAATCAGCTCTTCAATCCCGTAGATCCTCAAGTTAGCTTTCATTTTTCGCCACCGCGAGACGGGATTGACGCACTTTCAGGGTATTGATAAGGACCAAAGACGTTGTTGCACCTTGTGACAATAGTTGGCATTTGAAAAGACTTGCGATAACTATGGATAATCATTTCCGCTGCTGCTTTGGTTGCAGCATATGGATTGGTAGGTTTCAGAGGGTGTTCCTCCGTGAAAGGAAATAATTCGGTTTCATTCGGACCGTAGACCTCATCGGTGGAGACATATACAAATCTTTTAATTGAATCGTATTTTCGGCATGTCTCAAGCAGGCAATGCGTGCCGAGGATGTTAATCGCCGTGAAAGCGAGCGGGTCCTTGAAGGAGTGATCGACATGAGACTCTGCAGCAAGATGGATGATCGCATCGACATGGTAATCTTTCAGAATTCTCTCAACATGCTGTTGGTCCGAAATATCCCCTTTGATGAAATGGAAGTTTGGAAGGTGCTCAACCTGGGAGAAATTTTTGAAAGAAGCGCAATATTCCAGACTATCAAGGCAGATGATCTCATAGTCATTCCCATAAGTCTTGAGCATGTGACGAATAAACCACCCGCCGCTAATGACTATCAGCTAACTATATTGCACGTTTCGCATTCGAGATGCAAAGATCCCGCTCACATAAAGCCCGCCCCACCCGTTACCAGAATATTCTTAACTGCGGCGTTGATGTTATTGGCATTGTCGGTGCCATCACATTCAGTAGTAGTCTGGTTTCCCACTCCGTTCTCAGCATGTTGGCGCATTGTAGGATTTATCCCAGGTAAATTAAGATTTCCCAACATCATGTAGCGATATGACTGCCTTTTGTTAAATTTTATACCTAGGTATAACTATATTGAACTTGCCCGCCAGATCCTGGGGTGCAGGACCAAGTCATGCTGGTTGGGTTAGGACAGATTATAACCATCCGTGTGAAAGCATCACAAAGTCATTTGCTCATTTGATTGGTCAGTCAGTCAGCATAAAGTCCTACACTTAGATGCATCTAAATCCCGCATGCAGGATATGACTGTGAAGGAAATAACGTATGGGATGCAAAGGAAAGAGTTCTGTCCAACCAAATTCAAGCGACCGAGATGGGAAATGAGATAACCCTTCTTCATAGGTGTGGCTAGAGAGTGTAGGGAAAGATTCCATGTGATAGTTAACCAGTTTGTGATGTAAAACTAAGAAATGATCGCACAAACTCGTTTTGTTCAAAGTCGTGTATAACTCCGGCGTAACACATATAGATCTTGAATTTCAATTGCGGCTAGGTGCTCTCTGTAGTGTCGCTCTACGGATATGAAAATTCGTGCGATATACCGGTTTACATACCAAGGTAATGTCTTTTAACTCTCTGACGTTCGGTTATATTCCATGCTTTCAACGTGAAAGTCATTATCGATGCAAAGCCCCACTATGGCGGAGATCAATATTATTGCAATTCTGCGATCCCTGCCTGGAAAGGAAGACGAGGTAATGACTTGATGATACAGTATTTCTGGCGAAACTTATTAGGGTATTACTAACAGCATCCATAGCTGAGAGAGTTATTGAAGCAGACAGCCGAGCATGTGAGGTTGGAAGAAAAAGGCTGCTCCATGTTTCTTTTGACAGAAACCGACAGCTCTGATGGGAAATTGGAGTTCAAGGTTGTCGAAAGGCAAGGAATCCTTTAATTTCTGTGATTACCGGAAGGAAATAGGTGTGTGCCAAGTTAACTCAAGTAGGTGGACAAGCTTGGATGAACTTGATCGGCATCACGAGCGAGAATGGTTGCAACAAATGTACCTGGACATTGAAGTCCAGCGCCTCCTAGATGGAGAGGAGGAGATCCAGTTCCTTAAAATCATCTCTGGATTTACATGTCGATGTTTTTGAGAACGAATGAGAAAAGTTGTCATAAAAGGGAAGAAATTGATTTTCTAAGGATTGATGATAGGAAGGCAGGCCGAGAAGGATGTTTGTTATGAGCCTCAAGTTGATGACTGGGAAGTTAGTGGTAATACTACTAGTAGTGCAAGGGAACATCTCAAGGCAATCAATAATATCAAACAATTTGGAGCAGGTCCATTGTGGATTGATTTAGAGCAAAATGCAATATCATTCATGACAAAAAATATAAGTCGGATACCATGAGGGGAACGATGCAGGGCTTATCAACTCTACATCCCATTCTCCGCAGACTCGATATTATCCGGAAAGTCCAGTTCATTGTCACTCCGCACTCTATCCATGATCTCCATGATGATCAAACTATCATTCCACGGCATTATTGTGCTTTCCAGTTCGCCGTCACGTATACATCTTGCCACCTCATCCGCTTCGTATGATAAGCCGTAATTACCCTGCGGAATATAATTCTCGAATCTGTTAATGTGAGTACCCTTGCTCCCAAATCCCTGATCTCGTTGAATGACACGCAAGTGCGACGGGCGCCATGGTCTTCCAAAAATCTGGATTTCACCCTTGTCGCCCTGGAATCTCACGACTGGTGTTCGACCATCGTAGTCATCTGCTGCGCGTAGACTGACACTTGCCAAACCAAGTAATTCTGGTTTGGAGCCATCTTCTGCTGAGAATTTCATTGAGATACCTGCAGATTCGTCCACTCCGATATCGTGGCATCTTGAAACCACAGAAAAAACCTTTAACGGGCGGCGTCTCTCTTTGGGCAAAGCTTCTATCACCCACTGGATTGAATAAGGTCCCACTTGTTTTGTTAGTAACACGAATTCCTCATCGACCGTACTATACTCACAGTCAAGAAGTGCTCCCCCAGCCAATATCTTGCTGACCATACGGTCCCCTGCGGGAAAGTCCGTCAGAGGATCCATTCCCAAGCTATTATCCGCAAAGACACGCGTGATCGTCCCAACTGCCGACTCCTCGATCAGCCGACGTATTTCCACACCAATAGGCTGGAATCGTGTCCACATTCCTTCCATGAGAAACAGGTTATTTTTCGTCGCGACCGTGACCAATCTCCTTGCTTGCTCCGCATTTACTGTCAACGGCTTCTCGCAAAGTACATGTCTGCCGGATTGCAAAGCCAACATGGCATTTGAAAAGTGATGAGAGTGCGGGGTTGCGATGTAAACAACGTCGATATTCGTACTCCGGGCCAGATCTTCATAATTTCCAAATGCATCGCATTGTTTCTGAGCATCAACTTTGTTGATGAACTCTTGTGCTTTAGACTTCGAGCTAGAGGAACCAACTCCCGCCAGGATATGCATCACATCAGAGGCTCCGCGACTGGAAGGTTCAACAAGAAGATCCTTGGCAAATTCTATTTTCTTCAATCAACTCATTTTGATACTAGAAGCGAAGTTCAAAAGCGAATCTCGGAAATTCGAAAAGAAAGAGTGAAAGAGAAAGGAAAAGAGATAAAGGTACTTTCTGCTATCTTGCCAGTTCCTGTCGGTTATCAGCTAATTATTTCGATTTATTCTATTCATCGTCGCCATGCACCTACCAACTATACCCCAACGCAACTCAAATACGTCGTCAGGTGTACTATGTAGCTTGGCCATTGCTCAATGACTGTGGGAGTTTATGAAGGAGAATGTCGTGTATGGGCAGTCGCAATATTGTCAAGAAAAAGGAATCTTGTATGTGACTTTGAAGCTTATCACTCTGAGAAGGGAAATTCAAAAATATTGTTCAGGGAACAATTTTTTATCTATTTCCAAGCAGCTGAACTACTAGCCAGGGTTGGTTTGAAGTGTACAAAATGAGTAGCTGGGGCTATGAGAAACGCAGGGTCCGGAGGATCCGGAAGCAATTAAAAGACTCGACCAGGTTTGCGTGATGTACGACTTCCTAGGTCGCACAACGTGTGCCACATGCTTTTATATACAAGTTCTAAACAATTTACTCCCTGTTTCAATATCAAGTCAACAGCCTTTTCTTGGACTCGTGAATACGTTGATTCCAAAAGTTCGCCATCGGTTACAGAAGAAAGCTGGGCTGTTCAATCCAACCCTTCGTGATGAAATCATCAAAGAAAATCACAACAACCTCTACAACCATTGTTGGTACCGAAATTGATAACATCAAGGATGTTATAGAATCTAGGGCCCTCAACGGGAAAGGAAAGTACACTCAATTGTGTGAAAGGTGGCTTCAGTCCTATATGCATGGCGGTCGAGCTATACTCGTCTCTTCCTGTACATCAGCACTGGAGATGACAGCAATCCTGGCGGATATAAAACCGGGCGACGAGATTATAGCACCTAGCTATACCTATGTCACAACTGTTAACTCATTCGCCCTTCATGGGGCTACTCCTGTGTTTGTGGACATCGATGAAACGACGATGAATATTGACCCCGAATGTATCGAGCCAGCAATTACTTCGAAAACTCGTGCAATAGTCGCCGTCCATTACGGTGGAATAGCCTGTGATATGGATTCAATTATGCAAATTGCAAAGAAGCACAATTTATTTGTCTGCGAAGACGCTGCCATGGCCTGTACATCAAAATATCACGGTCGCATGCTCGGTACGATTGGGAATGTCGGCTGCATCAGTTTCCAAGAGAAAAAGAACTTCACCGCGGGAGGTCAAGGTGGTGCGCTTCTATTGAATGACACCAGCTTGATTCAACGAGCGGAGATACTATATGAGCACGGTACTGACCGAGCGAACTTCATGCGTGGAGAGGTCGAGCACTACCAGTGGCAAGATTTGGGGTTGAACGCCACTCTTTCAGAAATTCAGGCTGCATTTCTATATGCGCAGTTGCAGAGAACCGAGATGATCAATAGTCGCCGCCTGGATATATGGCACCGTTATCAGATCGCCTTGGCGCCCTTGGAAGAAAGAGGGAAAATTAAACTGGCACAAGTTCCCGCTAGGACGACACATAATGCCAATGTATTCTGGATAAGACTCACGGATGCGCGTTTACGCTCGAGCTTGATTCGCCATCTTAAAGAAGCCAACGTCCAAGCCTATTCTCAGTTTATGCCTCTGCATTCCTCCCCTTATGGAAAAGTTCATGGATATTTTGCTGGAGAAGACCGAATGACATCAATAGCCGCCTCGCAGATCCTACTTCTACCCATCCATGCGAACTTGCACCATTCTGAGCAAAGTGTAGTCATTCAGGAACTTCTTGCGTTTTGGGGGAAAGCGGCATGTGAAGATTAAACCATATCTACTGAGATAACGGATGATTTTGGGAGGCGTAAACATGCTGAGATCATTCAGCCACCTTTAAGAATGTGACAGCTACCATATTATCACATCAATTGTATTACAAACAAAAACGGGCTTATACCAAGTTCTCTTTGACATGTTTTTGAGTGTGTAACTGTAGCCATGAAGGGGCAGGTCATACAAGTATCTGTTGTATTTGAATCATGCAACCTGCCCTTAAAAATGATAGAGGAAAGAAGTAGGAAATGGTGCATGCATGCAAATATCGAGAGGAGAAAGAGGGAGAGAGTGAGGCTCGAAAAGGGAGATGAGTGCCGGTAATGGTGCCTGAGGCTGTTGAGGGCTTGTGCCTCGGAACCGGCGCCTCAGGCATCACAGGCCGCCCCTTCCATGTCTAGATAGATGCGATTCTCAATCCGAGCATCAACAACAAGACATTAGACAAGACTTATTATCAAATCGTCTTTTACATGTTTCAGCTTTCTCAACTTGAGTTCGCTAGTATCGGGGCCATATCGAGGGACCATGCCTATGGTGTATGGCATGTTTCTGGAAGACCCTTCACATACACCATGAACGAGTTAGCTTGTGTCGCTGGTTACCCTGACAGTAAATTCCCAACTGAACTATTTGGCTGTGCAAGCGAATATCTGAGGTTGATCGCGAATGAGCACTTAACACAACTTTGGACTCAGCGCAGCCTTGTTGAGGATTCGGAAATTGCCCAGCAGCGATTTATTGCCCGTCACCGGTTCGCACAGCTAGTCTCAGAGTACCACCCTGAGGTCTACAGGCTATCTCTACCCTTCTGCGACGATATTCGACCATCATATATGCTTATAGATCTAATGACACTTCAGATCACTGCAGTTCTCGATTTCGAGTTCACAAATGCCATGCCAGCTGAGTTTATGTATGACCCACCCTGGTAGCTGTTGCTCACTGGACCGGAAATGTGGCTTGAGCGATGCGCTATGGTGGAATTTGTAAATCTATATGAGCCTACAATGGAACAATTCTTACGATCTTTGGAGAAAGTAGAGATTGAAATGGCATTAGAGGTCAAACAGCCCGATGAGCTGTAATTTTCTACCCGGATGCGCGATTCATGGAGAACTGGGCGATTCTGGTTTGATTACGCAGCAAGAAAGAGCTTCGATGTAAACACCATCTATTGGGCTGCGTTACATAAAGACAAGCCGGGTATTGAGTTGCTAGATGACGCGGCGTATGCAGAAATGGAGCAATTTACGCAGGTTAAGATGGAGCAGCTGAAGGAATATAAAGGACGAGTGTGCTTCTCGTTTCTCCTCGGATATCTAGAGGACATGTAGCTGTGATTATGATCTTTCAAGGATTCATCCATGCTAGGTATCTTCTACCACTCTTCAACAATCGAGTATGGCGATTTAACTTCGAGACTCCGGGTCGCATGATAGATCGATAGTTTCAAAGAATAGTCATTTGGAGCGGATGTCGCCTTGGAATTTATGGTCGAGCGACAGTCCAAATCTAGGTATCTATAGTATGGCCGCGAATCTGACAGGCGGAAAAGCAATATCTATCGCGATATCCGAAGGCATTGGACATATTATGCTACCACTTGTTATTAGTCATTATAGTCATCGTGTTGTGACTCTTGATCAGAGCGTGGCCGGTAAAATCCCTCTGGTATTCAATTCATCGCTATTTAAAGCATGTAGTGAAAGCCATCTAGCCCCTCAATGATAATTTCTCCACGAGCGGCCCGATTGTTAGCCTTATGGAAGCGGATTATAATTGCAACTGAAATTGCTACAGTCAATGCACAGCATCTATTGATCAAGATAGTCAGCGAAAATAGAAGCGAAAGGGATGAAAATCGGAATAACGAACACTAGACAAGCATAGAAACCAGGCAAATATCTAGGTGCGTCTTGGGAGCGGAAAATAAGCGAGCCTGCGATACCGCCGACGCCCCCCGCCCCTATGATGCTGGCGCTACAAAATGATTGTTTCCACTTTCCGCGAATGTTATTCGTTTGCCACGTAATTATGGCGGGTAGGTTTGAATGTGTTCCTCCTGCTATCAGAAAGATTCCAAAATACTGTACCCAGGGGCTTTTCACCCAAGCCAGAACACAGAGTCCGACTGCGCTTTGAAGCCCGTTGTAAATTACTATCAGACCTCGCGACTTGATTTTCCCGCCAAGCCATCCTTGGAAAGACATCTGGAGACACGCAAAGATGTATGGTGGTGTGTTCAAGGCTTGAGATTGGACGAGACCGAACCCCAACTGTGCCTGTAGGATGATGGGCATAAAGAAGGAGATTGCATATATCACCGTACTCATGCATCTCCAATGTTTATCAGCAGTCGAAATTTTGATATGTTGGAGGTGATGAGATACTTACAAATAGCTGAGCTCAAACGCCCAAATTTTCAGATCCAGAGCAGGCCTGAAAAACTTTTTGAACTCAAATGAGTCATCCTCGTAGCTATCATTTCGTTCATGGCCGATACTTTCTATCACATACTGTGCCTCTCTCTTTGTGAGGAATTTCCACGCATCTTGGGCATCCGTAGGCATATTCACTAATAATGCGAATCCTATGAAAGATATAGCACATGTTAATAGACCTTCCATAATCAATATCCACCGCCACGAATTGAGCCCCCCCGATGCCTTTCATTTGTGAAAATCCGCATGCAAGTAGCCCCGAGAAGGCAGCACCGAGCAAGCTGATAGTATAGAATGAAGAATATCTGGTCTGAATCTCGGCTAGAGAATTGAATTAGTCTCACGCCATAATAAGATCAAAAAATATGTTACCTCTGGTATACCACTGTGATATCGTATAGACCGCACAGGGGAATAGCCCTGCTTCACATGCACCAAGGAGCAACCGAAGAGCGACCATTACTCGCCAGTCATTAACAAAGCCAAAGCACTAAATGGTAGGTCAATAACATTCGAGTCCTTTGTTGTGGTAGCGGGGAGTGAATACCATCATAACTATTCCCCATAGAAGGGTAATAGTGGGAAGAAATATTCGCGGTCCAAATTTGCGCACCACAATCGTCGCAGGCATTTGAAAAATGACGTAGGTAATGAAGAAGACGAGAAGAATAAGGGACTATGATGTCAGTTCCGCATACTTAATCCGTGTCACTGTACTCACAAAGCGCTCGCCCTTGTTCAAATCTAGGTCCTTGGACATGCTTTTTAATGGAATATGAAATTAGAACCCAGATCGGGACTAACTCGAGTAGGAAGCAAAGGGCAATAACCTACCCAGAAATTGCGGCATTCCCCATATTGGCTCTGTCCAAGAAGCTGGCGGCCATCATGAGACCGAGAGGAAAGACAATACGGAAATCGATCTTGCGTGTTATTTTGCGGCGCTCGACACGGGAGTAAACTTCAGCACCCTGATATTCTTCTGGGTCCTCCGAAGAGCCTGCCATAACGACGGATTTGGTCTCGTCATTTTTGCTGTTAAAGAAAGTCTCGGAACGAGCCATGTTAGAAGTATGGCTTTGGGATTCCTTTTCAAGGAATATTTTTCTCGGAATAAGGAAAGCTTCGAGACAATGAGGAATGTAGATGTTTATGCCAGAAAGGAGTCTCCCTTAGATAATGGAGCAAGTGACGAGTGGCGCATTTTCAATATCCAGTCATGACTTCAATCGCCTGCGGGTCATAAGCTTCGGTCGAAAGCTATCTGAGGAAGGTTCGGTAGATAATGCGGGGTACCGAAGGTTCGGCAATGCCGAAGCGCCCTGGACCGAACCCAGAATTCTCCAGCAACACCAGTATCCTCGGTTTAAAAAACAGGAGATCCACTCCACCGAATTCAAGTTGGGTATATAGCATCTTTTCACGCTCCAGATGTAGAAGAATTCTGGGAAGACTTTTCTTTCAAGTTACGAGACATCTATCCCATCATATTCGATCAATACCTCTCGCCAACATGGCCCCTGTCAACAATACCAATTACACTTCATTTTCTAGCGAAGAAGACTTTGAAAATGCTTCTCGAGGGTTTATTGATTCTCTGAAGCCATGCACTATCCGTGCGCGCGACGGAAATGTCATATGGGACAATGACCAATATTCTTTTCTCGAGGACGAGTGCCCCGAGACGGTCAATCCAAGTCTTTGGAGACAGGCCCGACTTTGCTACAAGCAAGGGCTTTTCGAGGTTGCTCGAGGCATATATCAAGTCAGGGGTTTTGATCTTTCGAACATGACCGTGGTAGAGGGCCAGCAAGGGGTCATTGTGATCGATCCACTTATTTCCGCTGAGTGTGCGGCAGCAGCTCTAGAATTATATCGCCAACATCGTGGGAATCGGAAGGTCACTGGTCTGATATATTCACACTCCCATGTGGATCATTTTGGGGGTGCAGCGGGTGTGCTTCCATCTTACGGGCTGTGGAACAACTCATCTAATTTGAATGAGCCCGTGTCCATCCCAATTCTCGCGCCTGAGCACTTTATGGAGGAAGCAATCAGCGAAAACATATTTGCAGGACCAGCGATGCGCCGACGGGCAGCATTGATGTTTGGAAATCGTTTGGTTAAAGGTTCCCAAGGCCAGGTCAGCTCCGGGCTTGGGTTGACCAGCTCCAGTGGCACTATGGGGCTTATCCCGCCAAATGTGGATATCAAACGGACAGGGGAGGAGCATGTCTTGGACGGAGTAAGAATGATCTTTCAAATGGTTCCGAACACAGAAGCACCGGCAGAGATCAATCTTTATCTCCCAGAGCAACGGGCTCTCCTTATCTCGGAATGTGCTACTCATTGTATGCACAACATCGGTACCCTGAGGGGCGCTCAAGTACGGGATGCAAAGGCGTGGTCTAAATACCTCGATGAATCTTTGGCACTGTTTGGAAACAAGTCTGATGTCTTGTTTGCTAGTCATCACTGGCCAACTTGGGGCCAGGAGAAGCTCATGCAGCTCATATCAGAGCAACGTGATCTATACGCCTACCTTCATGACCAGACATGCCGAATGATGAATCTTGGGCTCACAGGAACTCAAATCGCAGAAAGATTGGAGCTGCCTACATCGCTACAGCAGGCCTGGCATATTAAAGGATATTACGGCTCTCTTAACCATAACGTGAAAGCCATATATCAGCGATACATGACTTGGTTCGACGGCAATGCGGCCCATCTGTGGCAGCATCCGCCAGAAAATGAAGCAAAGCGGTACGTTGACTGCATGGGAGGCGTGGAAAATGTTGTTAGAAAGGCCCTAGAGTATCGTGACAACGGCGATCTCCGCTTTGCGGCAACTTTACTTGATCACGCGCTTTTCACGGCGCCTACATCTGCTGTCAGAGAAGCTTCGGCGTCGGTCTTTGAGCAGCTGGGATATGGGGCAGAGAACGCCATATGGCGCAATTTCTATCTTACCCGCGCTCAAGACATCCGCAACAAGGTTGAATTCCAGGTTTCCAAACCCGCAGAAGTTCAGCCAATTAATCCATTGCTCTCTGTGGACGACTGGCTGGATTGTATTTCCATTCAGTTAGATGGTGGCCGGGTAAATGGCGAGAAATTTACGATCGAAATCCTGATGCACGATGAGAAATGTCGCTGGGCATTGTCCTTGAGCAATGGCGCTTTGACTTATCGGAAACAGCCACTTGAGCATGCTTCCCACCAACGGGCAGATTTAATTCTGAATTTGAATAAAGGCCAGCTTGCTGATGTCCTTCAAGGTGATCTTCAGGTTATTGAACAAGCCGAAGGGAATTTAGACGTCCTAACCAAGCTTCTGGGTCTTTTGTCCGTTGGTATCAGAGGACGGCCAAGGTTATAGATGGATATGGATCTTTCAAACTTTGAAAGTTTAATGCTTGAGAATGCCGCGTTCCAAGGTTCCAAGGTCACGGTTACTAACTACTATACCCTTGGAACGTGAATTTCACAACTGCCCACTAGTGCCCACCTGGACTCGGACTCGGAGAGATGGCGAAACATATCCTTGTTAGTAAAATCCTAATCGGAAGCTAATCTTGGAAGAAGTCTCCAACTTGGAGGATACCAACAACCTTTGAAGTTACTACAGATACCTAGGCAATATAAGCTTTCTCAGGAATGTATTTTATTCGTGAATAAGGGTTTTTGATATATTGATTTATAATTTACTGCCTCAATTATGGTATTTCGTGCTGGCCGACTCGCTAGTAAAGCCACGTTAGTACGATGCTAGCCTGGTCTTTGGTAAAAGTACCCTGTAATTCAATTACCAAGTTAGGTAGTATCATTTGTGGAGAATGGATCACTCAACTTGAAATCACTCTAAGGTAGACAGCCTATTACTTAATTTTATGAAGTACTATATTCTTAGATCATAAATTTGAATAAGAGAGTTTGTTATCGTTGAGTTATTAGATTTTAGATGTACTAGTACATACGGCGTCTCCCATATTTTGGCGCTGCCTGACCAAGCTTGAATGGCCGGCTCGCTAACTGGTAAAACACGTTACACGTATTCGCCAAGACAGAGGCTTTATGTAACCCGCCCTTTCCCCACGTTTTCCATGCATGCCCCTTGCCAACATATGCCAACAACTTGCATGGCCTGCAGCCAGTTGCATATCGAAGATTTGTACGTCGAGCTGATCGCATGATGCCTTCTTCGAATGGTCTAGGTAAAAGGGCCCGCGAAAGGGCAAAAATTGTCTGTCTCCACTGTCACACACGAAAGGAATGTCATTCTCCCCTCCTGGCATGTGGCGAAACTAACAGACTGACAGGTACGATGTGATCTTCAAGAACAAGAAGGTGATGCTTGCAGCCATTGCAAAAGACGTGGCCAAGAGTGCAAGTGAGAGTTTACCATGAAACGATTCACAATATTTGTTGAAGGCTTACCTTTTTCTAGGAGGCACGGTAGTTGGACTGGCCGAATGACACGTTCCCAGACTTTACATTCACAGACTACAAGCCCTAACACAGTGGCCTCCTACTCCAATGATGGTTCAAATGAATCATTATGCCCTGATCTGCCTTGTCAGATTAAGTATACCCATCATCAAGCATTCCGACAACATCTCGACCAGCCTGGGTATATAGGAGAGCAATCCCTGATGTCTTCTTCTTCATCTATTTCAGTACCGACAATCTTAGAGTCGGGTTCTTTTTCCGAACACGTTCATGGTCAGATACTGAAAGTCACAAATGCAATTGACCTCCCATCTCGGTCAAAATTCCAGATCTTCACGGAAACATATTTCACTCATCTTTATCACGTGGCACCTGTCATTGATCGTGCAGATCTGGCTGTTGATAAACCATCTGCTTTACTACTATTGGCAATTTGCTTGATCGGGTCCCAGCTCCGATATCCTAGGGACCAATCCCCGACACTTCTGAGCGAGTCGTATTACCTGAAGATCAAGACTCTGATTTATGCGAAACATGAACACGATAAACTTGCTATTCTGAAAACGCTTTGCATTCTATGCTTCTGGATTATCACGCCACCTGTAGTGGTGAGCCTTGATTCCTCCTACCACTGGCTTGGTGTAGCAGTCCGACTCGCATATCAAATGGGTCTTCATCGGGAATCAAGTTATATGAAATTATCTAACCCGGCAGCCGCCCGTCGATTAATGTGGTTCATTTTTGTGAGTTCAATTTGAAATCCGGCGAACTGTTCTAACTTTGCTCTTAGGGTGCAGACAAATTGCAGGCAGCAGCATTTGGACGTCCTATCTTCATATCATCTCAGAGCATTAACCTGCGCCCATTGGAGCTTGGAGATTTCGAGTCTCCAGACGTTAAAGCGGAGATATTTATTCAATTTACGAGCCTTAATAAGATCCTCGAAAAAATTGTGGAATTCCAGGATCGCAAGGCCGAGGCTTCCCATGACCAAGTGCGTACCATCCATTCCACGGGCTTGGGGTCATAGTATGCCTAGTATACTGTTATCCCCCAGTGTAGCTCAAAAGGAAGTGCAACATGCTAATTACAATGCCATACACAGGGGTTGTGGATTCACGCCTCTTTGGAAGAATGGATTTCGAAACTTCCAAGTGACCTAAAACTTCACAATGATTATTGTCGAACAAAATATTGTCGAAAAATTGCTGAATTACATATACAGTACTTTACATGCGTCATCCTTTTCATTCATTTATACGGACATTTCATCAACCCATCCATGATGGCCGATACATCTCTAGTGGCCTCATCCTGTATGGCGTGTTTGTACGATCAAATAGACGACCATGATGAGATCAACTACCTCACGCCAGTTCATAATTGGTCGTTGATGGTGGGGTGTATCCCGCAAATCCACCGACTCGGAGATATCGAACTCTTTCCCGGAGAACATGACTTGTGTAAAACGGAGCTAGAGATCTTCGTCACTGCACTAAGATGTATGCGCTTGAAATGGCCACCTGCAAATAACATTTTATCGACTGTCGACCGTCTCCGCACATCCAACCTCCATCCGATAATACCTGATTCCCCAAAGATTACCAGGCCTCGAGGGATTTTGGAGGGCTTGTTTCCATTTCCCGAGGACATGTGTCCCAGAATGCAAATCGTGAACCAGTATTCGGCCGAAAAAAGTACTCAAGTACAGGGTGTAGTAGCACCTACACTGGATGGATCTATGGACTGGATTTTTGAGGAATTCAACCTAGATTACTTGGATCTTCCTTTTCTCGGTTGAATTTCATGGAGGAAGGATGCGCGAGCGATAGAGGTTCACATTTTGCAATAGGTTCGCACCTAAAGGAACCGTGAGCTACGCCAATGAACAGGATAGCAAAATGAAAATTGATGGAGAAGAGGCTCGAGTTCTTCATTGGCAACGAAGATAGCCATCCGAGAACTCGGTTTTTTTTTCGGTGCTCACCCCTCTCGAGAGTCTAGGGCTATGCAGAGGTGGACAAGAGATCGCCAGGAACCGAAGTGAAATTAATCAGTCTTCGTGTCGAATTAATTTCAAGGGGAGATACAGCCTTTAGGTCTGCTAGAAGCTACAAACTTGGGCACAGGCACGATAAAATGCACGGGTGACAAGAGGTTGAGAGAAAAGACGAGAGACTGAAGCTATGGGACGAAAGGCAGTACTCTGTATCGGCATCTCATGAGGCAAATCTGACTTTGCTTCACATTTTTGTTTTTGGGGCCGAAAAATCGCCCCGTCAATCTGAGCCAATCAATCGACCACAGGCATCAGAATTATTAAATGCATCGGGGCACGATTGGTGATCGACAGTGCTTACTGCTTTGCCCCATTTTTTCAGTCACTACAACGATCACTGCCACCCCATCAGGCTATCCATTTCTTGCAGTAAATTGCTCACTAAAGCTCTTGACAACCAGTTTCCAATCCACGGGAAAGATCCAGAAAATCACCCACATGGATTTGCGAAGCATCGCCAACAAGAACGATCTGCGCTTGGATATTGCGGCCCCTTCAAGCTGGCAATACAGCCCTGGCGACACAATCATTGGGAATGTCGTACGACAATCCCCTATCGTGTCTCCCAATGCCACAGTCAAGATATGGCTAACGGGGATAATGAGAGTGAGAATCTTGCGAGATCTCGGCACCGGATCCAATGATCGCTGGGGAGAGAAAGACGCCTATGTTGATAAATGGACTTTGATTGACTCAACTGAAGAGTTTATCTTTAATGGACCCCTGCATCATCCTGAGAATAATGAACATCCGGTCGCCTGGTCCTTCTCCGCATCCATTCCTAGCAAGCCCAAAGGACAAATTACTCAGGGCCATCTTCCGCAGGCAACCTTCCTGCCTTTTGACAAGGATCACGAGGCCTTTCATGTCTTACCCGGCTCTCTACGTACCACTTGCGATGGCTATTCATCAAAATCGGAAGCCCTAGTTGAGTATAGACTTCATGCTCAGCTCAATTATGAGCGGAGTGGCTCCAGACGAGTCGAATATGCGACCGCACCAATCACACTGAGACATGCCTCAAGGATTCTCGACCTGAAGCCTAGCGAAAATGGAGGTCTTTCATCCCCTACTAAAGTGCAAAGTCATCGTCTGATCCCGGGTAGGGAGGCTACGGAGTTGTCATTCCGACAGAAGACAAAGAAATTTTTTGGCTCCTCGAAGGCCCCTGAGTTCTGGTTTGAAGTTCTTATGAAATCGCCGCCAGTCGTCCAATTCGACAATCCGACACCGTTGCCAGTTGTATTGAGTATCGCAACTCTCAGGGGGGAAGGCCGAACGAGCAGCGCCATTGAAGAAATCGCCCAGCGAATCCAGATAAATTATGTTAAAATCCGGATCCAGAGTTGGACGACAGTTATTGCTTCGGGCAATCTCACCAGCCGAGCGCATACGGACAAACAGAGCTTTGACGTGGATTTCCACTCCGAAGATCTGTTCAAGAATCTTGAAAGTCCTTTGGTGGTTCATTCATATGGGAAAGCAAATGAGCCTATCGACCTTGGCAATATGTTTCAGCTCGTTCTACGAAGGGATGGTCTCTATTCGAATGGAAAGAGGTGCTCATGGACTCTCACATCCACTGTTTTCCCTGATCTTCTTACTTTTGCTATCAAGCACACCCACAAGATTGAGTATAGGATCAACCTCACAGTTGCAGGAGAGACGCTCGAGGTAAAGGTGTTTGCACCGTTGAGGATTATTGAAGCTGCATGAAGTTAAAGTCGTTTATTTTGCGCCATCGTCATGATAGCCTTACTTGATTAGCATGAGATATGCCCTTTTTTAGGTGATTCGTAAAATGAATCAATTTCGACTGATGCCTTATGCCCCATGCAATGACAACTAAAATACCTCAGCCCTAGAACAAGAACCTCAACTTTTGATTTGAAATTAGTAGTTTAAGTAGGGGTATTTGCTTGCTAGGTGATAAGAAAATGGCTGCAGCGCTCAAATAGGCTTGCAGCAATGATGTGGGCCTCTTCACGTCATGATTTTGAATCTCCCGAGGGTCCGGGTCTCATGCAACCATTGGGGGCTAAGGAGGCTTAACAGTGAATTAGGGGCGGAATTATGGGGCGAAAAACGCTTGACAGTGCCCTGACGAAACTTCGAGAGGGCGTGCCTGTAAATCATGACATGATTGGGTGGGGCGAAAGGTGTCAGATGCACTAAAGGGCCCATTGGGGAAAGGATCAAATAGTGCGACATGGCGCCTGCGGCCGGAGGCCTATTTACATACATCGTCATGGAAAATCCGTAACTAATTTCAAAGGATCGCACGTGTTGGGTGATCAATCAATGAGTCAAGGTCCACTATTCTGCCTTGGGGTCCAGGGATATCAAGCAAAAGAGCAGTGATACTATCCAAAGCTAATAGAAATCACAGTCAAGGCAAGCATATCCAGACCCATTTGGAGGTATTCGCATTACTGAATCATTGTAAGAGCTCTGCTTTCATCTTTTAGCGAAATATCTTACATTCATGGGCATTTAAAGCTCAAAAGGCTTTGCTAAATCTTGAAAGGGATACTTTATGATTGGCTAGAGGTTAGTATCAGGTCAGAATCATGATTACTTGGTGTAACCCTATGGCCCCATGATGAGAATTTGTCGGCAGCGATTCAATTCAAGTTGCCGACACATTTCTAGTTCATATCAGATTCGACCGCTTTGATTGGGTGTATTGGTAGTTACTGGCTCCCATAGGATGAGCGAATTAAACTGCAATGAGGCGATTACAATTGTTTTGCCCGACTCGAAGAGGCTTCAAGTTGATTGCAGGACCAGGGGCTACTGTTATATTTAGACTAAGAAGAAACAAAAATATCTCCGGAGCTATCATGTCTTATAAAATGTGCACGTGTTGATATTTTAGATTCAAGTTGACATTATACGACTAATAGTATCGTAGACCTAGATGCATGCACGTTTTTGCCAAATGAAGGATCGAGAAAGTTTGTTGAAAATTTGGGGGCTAACAGATATTCAAGACCTGCGCTAGCTTTGAGCAGCCCTACAACTGGCTAATCAAGAAAGGTACCGTATTGGTATTACAAAACCACCTTACTTTCAAAGCTGCGAGGCATTCAGGTTCCAACTAAGCATTCCCGAAACGGCATGCATTCATATAGCGCAAAGCTTAAGGCTCACCTTCTGTGAAGAAGAAAGACGTCCATATACCGGTAGCAATCCGACATTAATACCATGAATCGAAAAAATACCCTTTGGAATTAGAAATTCTCTATGTGGTCTTCAGGACTTGAATGATTACATTACTGTTTTCGTCACTAGAACGTGCGATATGGGAAACAGGGGGGGTTAATTATTCGGTCTAGAATACTGCTTACTGGGGCCAAATATCCCTTCCTTCCTGGAAGGGACCAAATGTTGTACATCAAATCTCAAACAACAAGGATCATCGTTCTGAAGCCACTTTGATTTCCTCGGAGCCTTGCGACACGGAATTGATATAAATAACGGGCTCGCGACTTGATTCATATAAACTACATCAAGAGATAACTTCAGCTTCTGCTTCTTGAAAGCCATTTCAGTCAAGATGGCTCTCATCGCACGGGAATTCCTCGTTGGTAGGACTTTGAGCAGCGTTGTTGCTAGTAGTATAGCAACCCCCACAGTGACAACTGCTCCGGCAATCACTTCATGCAGTCTTGTTCATCAAGATACCACTACCTTCAAGGACCCGTTGGGCTCGGTGATATCTCTCTCATCAACAATTGCTTGCACGTAAGTTTAATCCTACAAGCGGGCTCGGCGTTATCGGCTTTCCTAGATGAGAACATCTTCTAACTATTGTATCTTGGCAGTTGCAATGACGATTGGATGGCCGGCGTAGGAACCACCGTTGGAAGCGATAAAAGTATCACATACACATGTGAAGTTGGGAAGAGTACAACCATCGCGGTCAGCACCGCAGCACCAAGTGCGGCGCCGGTCCCTACACAATGTGCAAACGGCGCCAATCCTGATGAATCCTGCTTCAACGCATTGGACCTCCCTGATTTCATCACAAACTGGTAAGAATCTGAATGGATGATGCTGCAAGAACAAAAATGGAATTTAATCATCATACTTTAGGTGGAAGGGTAATGAATCCAAGTGTGGAGATTACGACGGATTCGCTGACTGCTGGTACGCGAAGATGACGCCGTACTCACCATCTAAATGCGATCAACTAAATACCGACCCCGCCTGCACTCAGCCATTATGGAAGGACTTCAAGGGATTTAATGATGTACAGAACTTCTATGTGACATGGTGTATCTGGAATACGCAGGGTTTCTTTCTTGACATGTACAACGCGGTCGGCAACGCGGCGGGGCCGGTTTCTAATGCTATCGGAAGCATCGTAAGTCATTATCTTGGGTAGATTCAGGCTCTACCAGTAGGCCATGAACTGACTAGGATCAGGTCACCGCACTTGACCCACCCAACGACTCCACCAGCCCATGGGAATATGTCTTCACTGCACTCACGTTCGGATTGAGCTTGTAAGTCTGTACTTTGGAATCTTCCTCGGAATTGATACTCATTCCTTTTTGTCATTTCAGGTACTCTGAAGGGAGCGTTCTTGTGAAGGCCTTCCTACGATCTATGCCTCAGACATCCACGACGCTTCATAGTGTCATGTTTCCTTCGGGTGACGTTAGTGGAGATGTCACTGCTTGGGCAGATGTTGCAGACGAGCTTGGCAAATTCACAACCAAATGGCAGAAGTCAATCGGAACCGGTCTTCCCATGGTTCAGAATAACATTTCCGCCTTCATTCCGCTGTGAGTCAACATAGCCAGCAATGATCCTAAAACGCATACGCTTTGGGTCTATTGTCGGGCTAGACCATTCGCTGACACTTACCTTATTCGCATTGATTTAGGCATCAAAACACGCCCTTGGCTGGAGTTCGCCCCGCCCTCGACGATCTAACTTCCACTATTCAACAGTCAGTTGCTGGTTATGTTGCATCCGCTTGCCTGAACGACCTTAATTGGGTCGTGACCCGTGGCGAAAATATTGATGTCCGTAGCCTTCAGAAGGCCGGCAATTTGAATTGTGAGTTTCAATCATAGCAATCCATGAAGCGACATACTACATCAAGATTGCCGCTTTTCGGTTTCGCCAAAGATAAACAGTGAACTGATTCTATAACAGGGGATACTGGCTGTGATTCCGATTATGATGGAAATGGTATTTGTGACAGCTACTTTTACGACGGAACAGATACATACAGTATCACGGACCCCCAGAACATGGCCACCGACCAGAAGTCAATTATGGCGAAGCTTATTGGGGGTGAAAGTCCTTTCACGACCGGTAAAATCCTGTTCACTTCTGGTTTGAAATGCACACAGACGTGCGGCAAGAATGGAGGCTGTGCCCCGTCTTTGGATTCGAGTGACCCTTCATCGGCTAGCTGCCTCAGCACTGCTCGTGTCTGTACCTGGACTTGGAGTGATTATGGACCGTTCCAAGCTGGCTGTGCTAACCTACCAGACAAGAATGCTGTCCTGCCTCGCTTTGGCGTAGATCCATGCGTGGGAAGCGACGATATGAGCCGCTCTGTACCTTGGTCCTACCTTGGAGGCGGTATCGTGGACAACGACGCTCCTGGGTGGTGGAATGGTCAAAGTGTCTGCCATAACCACTATTGAGCGAGGTTTCGATACAGCTCATACGATGCGCAATGTCGGATCTCGCCGGGAGATGACGACTGCATCAAGTTTCCCTTTAGTCTCCCTTTCGTCTTATTGGAGATTGCGATCCACATGTTTCACTATGAACTTTTATATTATGCTTTTTCTTTCGTTTGTGAGGCTCTAGAATGAAGAGTCTCATGGTTGCTTTGTTTTTTATAATTAGAAGGATTGTTTCCCCTCGTTTATAAAGAATCCATTCATTTCAATGTTCACTCGGCCAAGTTGATTCTGGTAAATGTGGGTAAATAGGCCCTTGGAAGATTCTTCTCGCATAAGCCACTCATTTGAGAATCAGTAAGGTGAGAATGACTCTTAGACGTAATACTCTGAGCTTGGACTCGGGGGTTGCATGACCCAGGGACGTTATGAAATCCTGGAACGCGGGGAAAGACTAACCCTATTTTATTTGTTTTAAAAAATACTAATTGCCCTAGCGAAATGTGGATCCCTCTGAAGCTATTTTATATGTATTATCTGCCCAGTTCTCGGCATATATCTACTAGTACTATTAATAATCACGGCCCGACTCGGCAGGCCTTCGCAGTCGCTGTACTAGTAATTCTCGGCTTGTTGCAAAACTTCGCGTTATTATCGATGGCAAAGTACAAAGGAGTAGGAGGATCTATTTTGCGGCCCCCGGGGTCCAGCATGCTACCAGTGTTAGGCTTGCCTTTCATTTCGAAATTTGGAGTATTGTACTTGGCGCTCTAGAATACTGCGATCCGTGACACGGAACGAAAACGATTGGTGATTCACCGCTGGATGCTCACAATTCCGAACATCAAGAAGGAATAATTAACCGAGAGAAAGTATTACCAGTACTAGATTAAATCACTCACTTGGAGAGTAAAATCCCTCGCTGGTTCGTATCTCGAACTCTCCGAAATGCCTTTGCAAGACGAAGATGGCCATCCCAGGGTCGCTATGAGTCCACGCCCAGAGAAGGCTGATAAGCCATCGGCGCCTTCCACTGCTTCACGGGGGTCTCCGCCTCTATATAAGCAATCTCATCGTTCAATAGATAACCTCCAGATATGCATGATAGCCGATGTCAAATGGACCTTGGGAATCTAATCGATCCGCGTGCCGGTAAATGCGGGACCCCCGGTGGAAATCGGGATTATCTGGGGATGAGCGAACCAGGATTGAGCTCATTTCTCGAATGGGCGCTCTGACCCACTACTTCGGTTGGATCTCCTGATTTGTATGGCCAATCGGTCGTTGAATTTTTCGGTTATGCCATGTGGCGCCTAAGTACGCAGTACAGAGTACGGGCGACGGGTAGGACATTCCTTATCTTGCCCACTCGGAGTCAGAAATAGTACTAAATCCTTTAGGTTATTTCTATGCCATGTAATTGGTCTCCAGTCAGACCCACCGCCCCACGCAGATAAGCTGGGGGCTACCAATGCGCTTCGAGAAAGGCTCCGTGACCAGGAGTCAATGCAATTCAACACAGGCCCTTGGCCTAGGACAGGCATAGACAAACGGAACAAACAGCTCCCGTTATGCGATGCTCTTGCTAATAGCAATTTGCCCCCCGAGGTTGCGTCGATCCGGTGATGTGATCTTATCACGTCGAGAACGCCCTTCTCCACATTCCTGCTTTAGACTTTGCCAGGTCGGGTGAACTTTCATTAATTTTTCTCTCTCTATTTTTTCGACTTCGCGACTTCCTAGAATTGTTTTTTATCATATATAGCGAGGGCAGATCCACCTGCTCTGGTTTGGATCCAGATCAAGAACTCCTTCGCATCATTACAATATGGATGGACCCGACCAGATCGGACCTGATCGCTCGACCAAACGGACTGTCGCCGACAAGGCAAGACGTCTCGTGAAAACTTTTACCACAAGGTAGCTATACCCTCAAAACTGGCAGGGACTTTCCGCTGTCTCTCTGAGCTTTACTAAATACATTCTTCGCATAGAGAGGGCCTTCTCGGCGATTACGACTATGGCTACCTTTTTACCCCGCGAATCCCCTTCACCAAGCAAGTCCGCAAATCCGCCCCATTTTTCGGCCTCGACGATCGCGTGCCCGTGGTTCTAGCCCTCATTCTGGGATTACAACATGCGCTTGCAATGTTGGCTGGTGGTGAGTTATGCTCAGTGGCGTCGAATTGACCTTGAACCAAGCGAGTCAGGCGAACAAAGCTGATTATCGGTAGTTATTTCACCCCCGATTATGTTGGGTGGTTCAAGTGGCGTTAATTTCGGAGACGAGCTCTACCAATATCTTGTATCAACTTCGTTGGTTGTCTCGGGCCTTCTGTCTGCTGTGCAGATGACTCGCTTCCACGTTTATGGCACAAAATACTACGTCGGCACGGGCCTGCTGTCGGTCGTTGGTATGTTCTAAGCGCCGCAATCGAAACTTGCATTGCATAAAAATGTCTAATGGTGTATAGGAACCTCCTTCTCCACTATTACTGTCGCTCAGGGCGCCTTCAAGCAGATGTATGCTTCTGGATACTGCCCTACCGACGCGAATGGCAATAAGCTGGCCTGCCCCCAAGGCTACGGAGCTCTCCTGGGCACTTCCTGCCTCTGTGCCCTGCTTGAGATTGGTCTCTCTTTCATGAGTAGCCGGATTCTCGCTAAAGTTTTTCCTCCCCTGGTCACCGGACCTACAGTTCTTCTGATAGGTGCTTCCCTCATCAAATCTGCCATGCAAGATTGGGCTGGTGGCTCTGGATGTGGTCCTTCGCCGCGAGCCATGTGTCCCAGCGCTGATGCACCCCATGCATTGATGTGGGGAAGTCCTCAGTTCATCGGACTGGGCTTCTTGGTTTTTGCTACTATTATCTTGTGTGAGCGCTTTGGTCCACCCATCCTCAAGAGCTGCTCCGTTGTTGTCGGTCTGCTGGTTGGATCGATTGTCGCTGCTGCTTGCAATTACTTCGAAGATTCTGGCATTACTGCTGCACCTGTGGTGTCTTTTGCATGGGTGCACACCTTCCCACTCACCATCTATCCACCTCTAATCCTGCCACTTCTCGCGCTTTATATTGTCATCATGATGGAGTCCATTGGTGATATCACGGCGACCTGTGATGTCTCCCGTCTAGAGGTCGAGGGTCCTACATTTGACTCTCGCATTCAGGGTGGTGTTCTGGGCAACGGATTGACATGTTTACTGGCTGGTCTGATGACCATCAGTCCCATGTCTGTATTTGCCCAGAATAACGGTGTCATTGCTCTGACAAAATGCGCGAACCGAACTGCCGGATTCTGTTGCTGCTTCTTCCTGGTTGTCATGGGAGTCTTCTCCAAATTCGCTGCTGCGCTGGTTTCAATCCCCAAGGCTGTTCTTGGTGGAATGACTGCGTTCCTGTTCAGCTCCGTCGCCATCTCGGGTATTAGAATCATTTCAACCATTGACTTCACGCGCCGCAACCGATTCATCATCACTGCCAGCTTCTCTCTTGGAATGGGAATCACTCTTGTCCCTGAATGGTGGACTTATTTCTTCTCTTATTCGGGCAATAACCATGCTCTTGAGGGTCTCCTCAATGCTGTCAACCTAGTCATGGAGAATGGCTTTGCTGTCACAGCTATTCTCGGCGTTATTCTCAATCTGATTATCCCGGAGGAGCCAGATGATCACGACGCTGAGGTTTACACCGCCAACGAGTCTGAGGATGGTCGGGTTGAGCCTGGTCCTTCGCATGGCACTTCGAAGATAGAGAGCGGTCTATAATTTGTTACTGTTTTTACTTCACTGCTGAATGATCTGGATCATGTAATGCTTATAATTTAACACGATGATGCGCTCATTTTATTTCATAATGCCACAATATTTCTACCAAATTTCTCTCTGGTTCGTCGATAGTATTGGGAAATATTAGTTCGTACCCCCAACAGCCTCTTCCAGGGTGGAGACCAGTTCACGCTTGTCGTTCGAGCCACATCGGGCGTAGGGGTCATCGCACAGTATACAGCAGCGCTTGCTGGGCCACTGCGGAGAGCTGACATCATCATTCCACTTAACGCTTCCGAACAAAGCTTCGTGATCTCTATCAACGTCCTCGCGCCTTTCACTCGAGCTTGAGCCACATCGGGCGTAGGGGTTATCGCAATTGATGCAACAGGGCGTGGCAATTTTGAACAAAGCCTCATACTTGGTCTCCACTGCTTCGCGCTTCTCAATCGATCTCGAACCGTACGGTTTACTGTTGTCGCAGAGGATATAGCATCGCTTTGATTGCAATCTGGAAAATGGATATAAATTACTAGACTGGCTTCCCCGTTGAGCCCATATTCGCATCTCATGGACAAACCTCGGTTGCGACACTCAGGGTCGAAGATTCAACAGGGCTAGCAAGGCTAGACACTGCGAACATGGAGCACAGGATTGCGACGGGGGAGAAACGCATGATGAATCGAATTTAAGAGAAGAGCAAGTTAAAAAAGGACGATGTTTGAACTTGAAAGATACCCTTTGATCAATTTATATCCCCGAACACAGTGGCAACGTCCAATACTCATTCAACTGGGTCTACCTGTTTCAGAGAGGGATTTTTGCCAAGTCTCTATTTCACGCAGCCGTTTCCCGGTCTAGCAGAGCCCCCGTTGGGGCGCAGATCGTAACGAACATTCGGAACACCAGACAGTGGGACTTTTTTCGAGCCAAATGGCTATTCAAGGGCGTCTGAATTCTTATTTGAATCATAACATCGCGCGCATATCAATCTTCAATAATTCAATGTGGTCGAGTGCCATCAGAATGTCGGGCCCCCCCGATCATCAATCAGATAAGACCAGGGTTTAACTACCGATCGGCGTCAGTCTCCACTCCACAACCCCCATCAAGAGTTCTTAGCGCTCCTCATCTGAGACATCTATGTCATTAATTTATGCAAGAAGCGGAAAAGTCCCGGTGGGATTCCCTTCTGTGCTTTCTTCAACGTCCCGTCGTTCCAGGATTCACTTTGGTTGGACAATGATGAAGATCCACACGGTGGAATAGATCCGGATATTAATTGCGTAAAATCAGGCCATCGCAACTTGGAAGACATCTGGAGCTGAGATTTATTGAATATTAGCACATATTATACATTGAGCGGAGATTCGACATTCTTCATCATGCGGTGCAATGTCTCGGTTATTCTTCAAGCTTCAAGAATGGATCCTCCAGCAGTTGACGAGCAGTCGCTCGTTCCTCTGGGTCCCAAGTGAGCATCTTCTTCGCGAACGCCAATAGTCCCCTCTTGTCTTCCTCTTCCAGTAAAGGCAATGAGTCCTCGATCCTCCGATCTGGAATCAAATCCTTATGTAAGAATTTGCCTATCAAAAAGATATTAGTTATGGCCCGATATGCCAAGGTTACAAAATTGAAATACCATTTCCATCGAAAAATGGTCCACCAAACATGTCATGAGCATTCCGAGCCAATTCACCGCCATTTACCCGGATCTCCTGTGGCCACTCGAACTTCAGTGTCGAACGCGATTTTTCGATGAACTCGAGCGAAGGCATGCCGAGCAAGGCAATCATCTCTGCAAGATGCGCCCTCGCGGTAGGCCTTCTCTCAGAATCCTGTGCCTGTTGAAAAAGATGTGTTCCCTGGGCCATGTCCCAGATCTGGCTAGTGTTAGGGGATTATTTTTGTTGCGGTAAAGCTTCAATTGATATGAACGCACCAGAGTCCCCAGATTCCAAATATCTGCACTCCTATTCCAAGGAAAGCCAAGTGTGACTTCGGGTGCTCGGTACTGGCTCGGCTGTATTGGCATGATGCCTCGTCCAGTCTCTCCGTGGAGCTGCAGAGCTGAGGAGAAATCAACGATATGTGGGACCATATTCAGTCTCCATGAATCTCTGAGGGGTCCAAAAGTATTATCGCGGCGGAATACCTGCTGTCCAGTGGCGTCAAGCTTGTATTCTGCTGGCTCACTGATTTGTCGATTGATAAATTCGAACATCGCTTCGTCGTCTTCGAATGGCATTACGATATTCTCTAATTTTAAATCTACGCGTTGTGAGCCCGGGAGGCCAGAATGTGGAGTTTTCAAGGAGAGCCAAAATCAACACTTACCAGTATGAACAATGGCACAGTCTTTATGAAGGCAATCTAGGGCCTCTAATAGAAACATGAGGTATAGCTTAACGAGCGGGAATGGAAAAACTTCATTCTCGAATCGTGCTTTGAAATGCCACAGCGGCGCTCCCAGAGGTGGATAGGCCAAACAAATGTGTTTGCCATGGGGGCTGTTGACTTCAAAGTTCTCATGATTTGTTCGAAGAAGATTACGCGCGCGATGCGCCGATCCGGCCTCATCGATACGTTTCTCTATCTCCAGCTCCCTCTCACTGGGGTCCCCGCAGACATTTATTTTCAAGTCCCTGAGGATCTCGCCGTCGGAATTCCTAAAAACATTCAATACACAACTCTTCTTAAATGGCATCGGAGGTCACATACGTATTTCGTAGGTCACGAGCCATCCATGTTGTTGACCCGTTGCTATAACCTCTTTTGACCAGAATCTGAAAACGATCGCCAATGACGTCTCCTGGTTTTCCCGGATAGTATTGTTCGCTTTTATAGCATGGCAGTCCCTCTTCGTCCACAAGATCTGGTGTTGAAATAAGCTTTGGAGTAGGGAGGATCAATGGCTCTCTGTGCAGTGTCGCGAAAGCCCGCCTGGGCATTTGTCGTAAACGCCACATTTTCACGTATATTGGAAAGGCTCGTAGTGAAAACACGTGTGGTCTAGGAAAGGCGAATGCGACTCTGCAATCAAAATATGAGTTCCATGGGAGTCGATTGACGTTAGGGGGGAATGGAATGGGAACTTCTTGCAGCGTTGTTGACGTTTCGCTTTTCAGCCTCAAACAGTCACGGGGCCTGGCCTGTCGATGACTCAGCTTCAGCCCCAATGAGAAAGAAGGCAATTACTGGGGTGATCGTCATTGTAGGATTGTTTTCAGGCCTTTTAATTCGAAATATGCTTGAAAATCATTTGCTCGTTTGAGAAGTTGTGATGAATCATTGGAAAGAGCCCCGCCCTGTATATGTCTAACTTTAGATGCCAGGTATCAACGAGGTAGTTCTAGCTAGAAGTAGAAACAAACAACCCCCCCAAAGCTGTCCAAATTAACAGACTACCTAGGTAGCCTCTATGCGGATAGAAACCTTCATACAACAAACCTCCATTTTGACCAACGTAAACAGACCCATTCCCTCACATTTCAAGTGCGTCTACCTCCGAAGTCGATCTAAGAAACCGATCGAACCACATCATCGATTGCCATCGCAACATATCGAACATTACTCTCATTCACTAGATCATTGTCAGCAAGAATATTCGAGTCCAAAAGAATCTCCTTCGAGCATGAGCTAGTAGCCCTGTACGAATACTCACATCCAGAAATAGAAATCCGCCCCGACTTGAGCATATAAACATGATGTCGTTCCCGAATAGCAAAGACCTGACTCTCTGACAACCCAACGTACGTAAACATCCCAATCTAGATATATCAGTCAAAACCCCTTGCCAAGGTAAACCCAGAAGCAGAAAAGCCCCGTGGAAATTGAAGGTACTCACCTGCTTAAGAATATGCCCCCAATCCCCCGGCGTCCCAAGCGCCACCATCTCCTCAAACAAAGCCGTCCTCATGGACAGAATTCTCGTACTCATCGTATCCAAATCCTCAACCCACTTAGCCCGAAGCCCCTTATTTCCCAAAACAGTCCGGACAATCTCAGCCCCACCCCTCGGCGCCATAGAATACTCCCCGCGAACGAGATGGCAAAGCGTAGCGAGAATATCATCCGTAGCACCACAGGCAGCAGCAGAAGAAACAACATGCAAAGCACCAACCCTCTGCCCATAAAGGCCAAAGTTCTTCGAAAAGCTCTGCGCAACAACGAACTCAATACCACCCTCTTCGAAAAATCTGCGTATAGCCCAGCCGTCCTTGCCCACGTCTCCGGACGCAAAGCCCTGATATGCCAGATCGAAGAATGGAATGAGACCCTTTTCTTTACAAACTGAGAGAATACCTTCCCACTGTTCACGGCTCGGGTCTGCGCCCGTGGGGTTGTGCGCGCAGGCATGTAGGACTAGGATATCATTCTTGGAAGAATGCGTGCGGAGGGTTTGGAGGGTTTCTTCAAAATTGAACTTTCCTGTCAGGGCGTTGTAGTATGGGTATTCTTTTCTAGGTACACCGGCCAGGTCCCAGATTGTGTGATGATTTGCCCATGTTGGTGCTGGAATCCAGACATTGCCTGGGGAGATGTTTCGGGTGAGGAATTCTGCTCCTAGTCTGTTCGCGCCCGTTCCTGAGACGGTTTGGATTGATGTTACCCTGGCATGACTGCTTTGCGGCGTATCTGCCCCGTTTTGTGCGGATTCAAGGTCAAAGACGAGATCTGCTGCTAGTCGGAGGAATTCGCGATCCCCTTGTATGCTGAGGTATTCGTGTCGACTGACGTCTTTAACGTGGTAGATTGCTTTTTCAGCGTCCTCGACGACGCGGAGGGGCCATGGGTCTCCTTTGTTCGTGCGGTAGACACCGATTCCCAGATTTACTTTTTTCGGGTGGGGGTCTTTAATGTAGGAAGCGTTCACGGCGAAGGGTTCGTCCGTTGGGATCTGGGGGAGGTTGGTGAAGTGGGAGGTTGATGGGGGTGGTTCGGAGATTGAACCCATGTTAACTCGGATTTGATGGCGGCTAGTTCCAAGGTGATGAGATAGATGAAAAACGAAATATTTTGGCCTTTTGACCTTTTAATTTCTTTGCGTACATTCTGTTCGAGTTCTCCCGCAATTGGTCATTTTTATAGATGCCGGCTTCTTGGCAATACCCGGCCATAGCCGGGGTCAGCCGTGAACTGCCGCCCAAACAAGGAGGCACGACGTAGGCAAGTATTACAAGGTTTAGCCGAATTCTTGACCCACATCGACGGGGAGAGACCCAGCGCAGCAGCTGGTGTTGAAAAAAGCTAGACAATTTAAAATTCAAGGGTCAATTGATTCAGCGTGTCGCTAGCCGTTGTCTGCAGTACTGGAGTCCGGTGACATTGCCTGGGTACGGCAAGTAATATTAGGATCAATAACATCAATAGGCTCAGATATCTCACTGCTGGCGTGACTGTTGGTTATGATGTTTTGCTAATCGTGAATATCCAGTGTTGTTATTCATCGACACCTTTGAGGGCGCCAACGGTTTGGCGAATGATGTCTTCCTTCTTGGTGGCGAGCATTTTGACAAAATAGGCCTTTTGAAAGGAGAGTCTTGTTGTTGCAAAAAGAGTTTCGGGGACTCAAAGTTACGGAATGGTGAGGACTTTGAATCACTTTTCGCAACCGAATCAGTTGATATTTCAATTCTGCAATCCCGCGATAGACATAGGAGATGCTGAGTAATGCCAGGTCCCCGGATCGGGGTAGCGTCACAAAATGTGGTTCAAACTGTCTCTCAGATCTCAAGTATTCTGCCGAGGACTCTAGATACGTAGTAGTAGTAGGGAGCCATAGAGATGGCAAAAGGTGTGTATTGTGGACTAAGTACTAGATTCATCAGCACCGCGAACCTGAGGGATCCTCAGAACTCTGCCGCAGACCACACGCAGACTCGTACGAGGCTCGGTGGCGCCAGACATCTAACTGGGAGTAGCTGACTCAGTTGCCGCCATACTGGTTCATTTGTCTCCCTCGTGCTGAGGACTGGAAGCTGGGTGATGAAACATGCGACTTAACTGAGCGTGGCGTCTTTCAAGAAAACGATAGTGTGGCGTAAGGGAGTTTTCAGGGGTGCGAGTAGAGTGGAATGGAAAGAAATTGTAGAGAGTTAGGACGGAACAGGGCAGCCCTTGTGTATAGTTAGTAGTAGTCGGGGGTGCAAAACCCACCATGAAAAAGCTGCCTGTCAACGTGGCGCATCGTGATAGCGTCACGGCGCTCCGGAATAGCATGAGAAAGAAGCACTCAATTTCAGACCCAATCCATTCTTCTCCAGGGTTCCCTGGCCGTGGAAAATTCACGCCATATGAAGCTTATCGATCCGTAGAAGTTTGGTCAAATTCAAAATAGATTGACAGAAGTATATAGTGACCCAGTAGCTTGATCCACTTGCTATTGAACATCCACAAGGCTAGAGCCATCATTGCACGAGCATGAGATGCGTCGCCCCAATTAATGGTAGCCTTGTGGCACAACCAGACCAAAAGGAGGTCTCCCAACAGGGCAAACATATTAGTCAGCCTAGTCTCGACGCCCTCCATAATTGCTGGTCCAACGGCGAATTTTGGGGTGTCAGGTTTCTCGGTATGTCTGTTGGTCCTCCTCGGTAGCAAATGAAGAGAAAATTGCTTGTTATATTTGCCTATAGTCAGTATTATTCTGACATTCAATAGATATCCAATAGAATATACTAACCTTATAAAAGAGTACGGCGGAAGAAATCTTGAGATAGCAGCGTGCGCTCGATGTCTCGGTTGTTATCATTATGGGCAGAGCTCGATAGGCGGTAATTGGCTGGTAGTGCCCAATTTCCACTTTATCCACTGGGATGGTGTACCACAAGATCTTCCACTTTCTTCCCTGTGTGTTCCCTGTAGGTGATTTCGCGATGATGCTGGACTTTGTTAGACAGTCTAGTTGCCTTCCAAGGTTTCTTCTTTGACATCGCATACCTCGATTTCCTTGACCTTGCGAGCGCTAAACGGAAACTCGATGTCAATGCATAGTATCTCAGAGGATGGTCTTGGGTCGTTTTCTGCGATCTGCGGGATCTCCAGAATCTAACTTGGTTGATGATACAACTCAATGTCAACTCCGCTGGGTTGTTCTCAAAATCATATCGCATCCATTATATCGTACTCATTTTTCACAAAAATAACTTGAATGTAACTCGCCATCAAAGGATGGCATTGTCCTTTGCAGTGCCCTCGAGCAATATGATCCAGACGATGGCACTACGTTCAAGTTTTTGCTGTTGTCATTTGAATTCTATGTATGTGAGAAAAACCACTGCCGAGATACCGCTTTGTGGAGTCAAGTTTCCACCTCTTCAATCGGCATGATTTTATCAGTGAGATTTCATGGAGTCCATTTCAGGGACGGACAGGGACGTACTGGCCATGGTATACGCACACCGCCATTGTCGGCCAGTGTGCGTATGCCATGGCCAAGGCTCGTCGTCGTTCTCGTCCTCGACGTTATTATCAAAAGGTGGTACTTGTAGCACAGCTTCAGAATCATCCAAACCCGATCGAAGTAAATTTGAATCAAGTCGATTGTCGTTAGGACATCAGCTCTGGCAAAATGCCACATTTGGGCAAGTTCCGTATTATTTGGAAAAATGCTCTTGTAGACTCGAATTTTCCGAGCGACAAACTGCCGCATTGGGCCGTGTTCCTAAGTGTGCTGTTAGTAAAAATATCATCTTTTTCGTAGGCTTAGGAACAGGACATACATTGATATGGGCCCTGATCTTTTCAGCAATATCCTTGGGGGTGAGAATCTTATCTGGGGACTCCTTGGCAACCTCGGGGCAATAGATCTTGTCTATCAACCGTTGCAATATAGCGATCTCCCGATTCTTGTGTGTTCGCGGACCCTGGCCATCTTTAAAGGCTTTCATTCCCACTCTGAGTAAGGTCTCCTTTGTCCAACCGTGATCGATCTTTGGAGCTTGTACAGTGGCCCTTCTACTGACGTTGAACAGGTAGAACTGGAATATTGAGACATGGCCGGCGCTCGGGTGAAGGGGAAGAGGGGGGGGGTTTCAGATCTTTTGCCAGTAGAGAGATAACGTGGTGGCGGTGGCATGTTACATTCGATTTTGAGGGCCATAATCTTTCCGTAGACCCGTGCTGCCTCGTAGGAGCCTCGAACTGGTAATTTAGCGCATTTACTATGTGTATTTAGCTGCGCGGCTCGCTTGGGTGCGCGGTTCGCTTGGAAATTACGTTAATAAAAGGATAGCAAATCTTCAAGAACATTGATATCATAATTGCCCAGCTGTGCATGGGATCGGAGAATAATACAAACTTAATCAAAAGCGGAGAACTTCTATAATACATGTTATACATGCCCAGGTGTTGACTTTTATACACATCATCCCACGCAATCACACGCCCTCAACCACCTCCCCCGGAGCCAACATCTTGATATACCGATGACTCCCCGTCTCAAGCACACCAACCTCATCCCCAACCCGAATCACAAACTCCGGCAATGCAGGCACAAGCTGCATCCCAAGACAAGCATTCGTCCGATCCCCCTCATCAATCTTCCGATAAGACTTCAACGCCCGATCCGGCTCCACCGGATGCCGGAACCCAGTAACAGGATCCACATTCGGCAGTCGACACCGTACAGTCCGACAAGCAGCATGGATCTCCACGCCCGCGATATCGAGTCTTTTCCAGTGATCTTCGGCGAACGCCTCGGGGCCCTGGATGATGATGTTTGCGCGGAAGCGCGAGATGCTGAGACGCGGAATTGCGTACGCGCACCGTGCTGCGAGGTCATGGTGGCTGGACATATTTAGTAGATGGATTGGGTAGGCGTCGGCGAAAGCGGTTGTTGGTTGGAAGCCTATTTCTTCGGCGCGGGGGGCGTTGCGGTAGATTTGGCGAGTGTGGGTTTCGTTGGCGCGGAGGAGGGTTAGTGGGCTTGTTTTTGCGTCGAAGCCGAGGTATTTGTGTAGTTTGGCTGGGAGATGGATGCCGTAGTTGTGGGCTAGTGGTTTGTCTTTCCAGATTTTGACGGGGGTTAGGGGGTAGTTTGACATGCTTTCTGCCGGTGGGTGGAGGGGGACCCGGAATGTATGTCGGGGGGGAGATCATCCCGGTGGACATTGCGATTCGCTTGAAGAGACCGGCTGGACCGGGTGGTGTGATGCGTGGGTATGAGATTAACATCACGCCTTGCGATTTCACCTCTGGGAGGGAGGGATGGTAGTCTGGTGCCGAGGGGCATGGAATCCAGATCTCTGGGTGGATGAGGGCCATTCGTTGGAATCCTGCATTTCGGAGGGTGCGGGTGTTCCATCCTTCTGGGCCATTTTCGGCGAAGACGAATTGGCGGTCGAATTTGAGGCCGGTGGGCACAATATCAGATTGGGAGAGTTCGATGCCTCCGCACGATTTGAGTGGGTAGGTGAACAAGGCTTTCACGCGCCACGAGGGCTGGCCTCCTTCTCGCTGGGTTCTTGGGATTCCTTGGCTGTATTTGAGGTCGAATTCATCGTGTAGGTTGCTCTCTCCATCTGCTAGACCGAGTCGGCGACATCCTCGAGGGGGACTCGGCCGAGGGCGTAGCAGTAACCACAGGGGGAGAGAGCAGAGGAGGAGGATGGAAAGAAGACTGAGAGAGAGTAGGTCCTCCATGGCTGTCCTGGAATCTCTCCTCCAGGAGATCAGATGAGATCAATCAGATCAATCGGATCAGATCAGATTAAAGCAATCCAGAGACCCTGGGGCATAAAAAGCTCGGACTCGGGGCGATCTCTGCAGGGCTTGCGGACCCACAATGCCTTTTTTCCCCGACAACCGTGGAAGTGGGGGACAAGAACAAGAGGAACAGGAACAGTATCAGGAACAGACAGTAACAAAAGGACCAGGATAATCCATTGAATATGCGACAGAGACCGGATGTGGATGGTTCATGATGAGTCTCAATCAGGACCTTCTCGGCTTCGAGCAAGACACTCGTGACTTCCTCCTTTCCTTTCTTCAGCCCATTCACTCCCACTGACACTCCCCAGGGCCAGTCATCTCCATATCTGCATCACAGTCTCTCAATGCATCAACTGTTTCTCCAATTTCCACCGGATTGACGCGTCTCGATGAGGCTCTGGCCCTGGACTCGAGTTGCGGAGGGATCCTACGCGGCAAAGTCACTGAGGTATTTGGCCCACCGGGCGCTGGCAAGACCTCTCTCGCGTGAGTATTGTATTGCAATGCATGATCAAAGCACTCCATCTCCTATTACTCTATCACATCCCAACTCATCTCAACCAAATACTAACATCTCCAGACTAAATGTGACATCCCACGCCCTCCGCGACGGCAAAGTCGTCTGGATCGGTAGGCCTCATCACATCAGAACAACACATATACAACACTTTTATACTCACCCTCACATCCAGACACGGGCCCACCGCTCCCAACCCCCCGTCTACACTCCCTCCCAGAAGAAGACCTGCAAAAAATAATCTACTTCCGAGCCCCAACACTCCCCCACCTCCTCGCCCTACTAACCCGACCACCAACCAACTTCCCCCCCAGAAGGAACAACTCTCATCGTGATAGACTCCGTCTCCTCCCATTTCCCAGCCTACTTCCCCAACGCCGCCGATCTCAAAGACCAACTCGCCACGGGCAAATTATCAGACAAGCAACAGCTACAGTGGCTACTGAATCGAAAATGGAACGTCGCCAGTGACCTCGCCACGCATTTATCCAGACTCGCTACAAGCGGCAATCCTGGCGGTATTGCCGTCCTCGCGCTGAATCAGACACATACTAAAATCAAAAATCAGCCCCGGGCGACCCTTCACCCTATTCTTTCGGGCGGCGCGTGGGAAACGACCGTCCATACAAGATTGGTGGTTTATCGGGATTTACCGGATGCGCGCTTTGTCGAGGTTACTAAGAAGGGTGGGCGGAGCTTGGCGGTTCGGGTTCCGGAGATGATTGTTTCGTTTGAAGTTGGTGCGGTATGTATAGTGAGAGTGAGGGCGAGGAGGTTTAGTGCTAATTTTGTTGTTTAGGGTGGATTGAATGATGTTGGCCCTGGGCGGGAGGTGCAGTCGCCTATTATGACGAGGGTTGACATTGATACGCCGAGTCGGAAGAGGAAGGCTGAGGATGAGATTGCTGATAGTCAGGATGAGGACTCTGAGGCGGAGTTTCAGTGGGATGAGATATTGGAGGCTGAGGGTGAGGATGTGGGTGATGCTGAGCATCAGAGCCAGGGCAAGGACCAGGGACAGGCACAAGAGGATGGGGATACATCCGAACCTTAAGACACTAGTATTATTTCATTCTTTCAATCATATCATGGCACACTATGATGACCTCTTCCCCCAATAACCGTCACATGAACCGGCGCAGCAAGAAAATCCTTCGCAACAGACACACACTGCGCCTCCCCATCCACCCCATCCCGCCCACCAGATTCAATGCCACCCTCATTCTCATCCGTCTGCCTCGTGAACGAACAAAGCGGAAACGTATCAGCAATAGCGATAGAAACAGGATGCCTAGACCCCTGAATCAGATCGACCAAACGGCCCAACACAGCAAATTCAAGCTTCAGCTTCAGCGAATAGATAAACCCCTTCAGCGTGATCTGCACCGCGTACAAATTCGCATACTCAAGACTAAGCAGCAGCATATCCATCGCCATAATCGCGCAGTTTATCCCGATCAGCTCGTACATTATTGAGCGGCTGTCTGGTCGGGTCGCGGCGTCTGCGCCGAGACGGAGGAGTTTCACCGTTTCAATGACGTACAATGTTGAGAGCAGGCCTTCTTGGATCGTGAAGCCGGTTAGTTGGACCTTCTCCATGATGTTGTACCCGATTACCCAGGCCGAATTGTCGGCGTGGACTATATTTGCGCCGTAGGTTAGGACCGTTGTCGGGACGTGCAGGAGGAAGAAGTTTGCGACTATGAGTCTCAGGACGCGGCGGAGGATTCGCTCGTCGCGGAGGACGAGGTGTAGGCGTGAGTATAGGACGATTGATTGGCCTGTTACCATTGTCCACCAGCCGATTGTCAGGACGGTGACGGAGAGGACGCTGTCGGCTTGGGTGAAGAATTTCATTAGGAAGCCCGTTGAGTAAGGGACTACGCCTAGGATGCCGGATATGAGGAGGGACCAAAAGTAGAGGCCTCGCCAGCGGCGGAAGGTGGATGGCACGAGGACGACTAGTTCGGCGATGTTGTACCAGGATAGGCCGATTAGGGTTACCAGTGTCATTTGGAGCATGTCGCCTTCTGAGGCTAGGGCTCCGGATATACCGTTCATGAGGTTTCGCGCTGTGTCGGTCATGGTGGTGGTGATTGGGACCGTTTATTTAGGTGGTGTGGGTTTGGGTAGCTCGTTGAGCTGGTCATCCCGTTTGGTAGAGGTACATTGCTTGTTGGTGGCAGTGGTGGTATGATGGAGGAGTAGGTGAAGAAGAGCAGGTAGAGCCAATGCAGCAAAGAGGGTAGTAGAAAAGAAGAGAAAAGAGCAGTGGTGGAAGGATGCGGTGGAAGGATGCGAGAGGGAGGAGTTGTAGTACAGACCGGTCTTCAGCAAGAAAGATTCAACGCAACGCAACGCAACGCGGCAGCTTAGCCAGGCTTTGCAATCGAGTCATGGTCTAAGCACTGGGATCTGGGCTGGGCTTGTTTTCTCGGCTCGCTGTACATTCAATTTCTCCTTCGCCCCATTGGTATGGATTGGGGCCAAAACCCCGGGTAGCGTGTCGATCCGACGCCAATTTTAATAGTGTGGGAGTGGTACCATTGGAGCGAATAGCGCGAACTCCGGGTGAAACAGGAAAGTCCCAGCCGAGATGTCTAGCGTTGAGACTAGGCTTTAGGAACCGTAGAGTCGGGTGAGTAGTGAGTAGGGAGTAGGGAGTAATGAGTAGTGAGCAGGGGGAGGTGAGGTGCGGTCACAAGCTAGTGGAGGAGGTGAAGGTGAAGGTAAAGGTGAAGCTGAACCTGAAGTGGCAGAAGTGCCTGAGCGTGGAAGTAACACGCTGCCACCCGCGGTGGTCGGCCATACAATAAAGTGAAGCAGTGCAGTGCAGGGGAATTTGAGTCGTTTGGTTTGTCTTGTCTATTTGACTACGGTAAGAAAAGCTGGGTGTGTTGCAGGTCATTCGGTCTAGTCATCTCGTCCTAGTCTCTCATAGATTGGTCAGGTAGTCCTCGATTTGCTCCTTGGTCAACTTTCGGAACCGCGGGCCTTGCGCACCCTCCACTCCCTCGTAGCCCAGCAAGTGATCTGCCGGTGGACCAACAATACCTAAATACAACGGTTAGCATCAATGTTTCTTGTCTCTGAGTCCCGCTCAGTCCAGTCGCACTCACCAATCTCTATTGTGTCCCCATTCATCTCTCCCTCAATGGTCTCCTTCAGCGTCAAAAGCGCAATGTGAATCGCATCTTCCAGCTCCAGACCCTCAGTGTAGCGCTTCTCCAAGAAGGTCTTAGCACTGGTCGCGTGTTTGCCAATGGCAGTCGCCTTCCACGGATAATAGCTGCCGCTAGGATCGACCTGGTACAGACTCGGGCCGCCCTTCAAGATACCGCCCGTCTTGCCGGATGGCTTCTCCTTGTCGTCGGACTCAACTTCGGGCTCGACGCCCTCGTCCCAGCCCGCAACGAGCAGACTGACTCCGTACGGCCGCACACCTCCGGACTGCGTCGCCTCCTGTACGACTCGCGCCACATCCTGCACCAGTATACGTGTGGGCGGGTACTCGTTATACACCCGCTTGTAACCCGTGTGCGAGACCTTGCGCGCCTTGTCGACGAGGACTCGGTAGTCGGGGCCCATGCCGGCGTACACCATCCCGATGTCTGGGGTGATCAGGGAGATCTTGGAGAGGGAGGGCGGGTCGATGAGGGGGAGGAGGATTTCTTTTCGGTGGCGAGGACGATGCCGTTGGTTGCTGGGTTTGGTCAGTAGGTGATGGGGATGAAGGCGAGGGAGAGGTGTAGATAGATACCTTTGATGCCCAGGGCTGTGACACCCTGGTTAACGGCGTTCAACGCATATTCTGATGAGGTTAGCGATGACGATCTCCTGGCGAAAGGTTCGGGATGGCGATGGGAATAGATGGGTTGGGTGCGAGTGGTCGGTGGTTAGGAGCTGTCTTACCGATTTGCACCAGCTTTCCGCTGTTGATGGGTTAGCGGGCGGAGATAGGAATGGCGGGATGGGGATGGGGATGGTGCAAGGGCCATACCTGGGGGAGAAGGTTGTCAGGGAGAATGAATATCGGTCCGCCATGATGTGCAATTGAAGTCAAGACGATACGAGAGGAGGAAGGAGATGGGGGTGAAGGGAGCTGTAGGCAGAACGGGTGACGTTAGCTTGGAGCTCAGAGCAGGGCGGGTAACGTGACCATCTATACTGGCAGTGGCAGGTATATTCAAGTTACAATTTCAGTTAGTACACTATACCCTTTATTTGGATATTACTTGACAGTCACTGTCAAATTTATGTCTTTTGGAATATTGAACTAGCGGAGCCTTTATGAATCAAACTTGAACTTGAAGTGGCACTAGCCCTTGGACAATGGAGATATAAACATAGACTGCCGTAGTAGCATGGATGGAGCATAAAATCTTGAATAGTTCCAAACTTGAATTTCTACCATTTTCACCTTAGATCTGGTACCTCATGATACCACTCATTAATATTAATTATTTAAAATTACTCTAGTTGAACAAATTAAATCATACTAGAAATATTATTTCTGGGATCTAACACTAGTACTAGTTCTACGGCTGTGACTACATCCCACGTGACTAGGCGGTCAAAGCTCGGCTGTCCACTTGTCTTTTCTTTTCTTTCTTCTTCTCTCCTCGCTCTGTCCAGGGCTAACGTTGACACTATGCTCGCTGCCCTCCATGCAGTCCAGCTATGAGTCTGATGAGCCGGATGCTGCTGGTCAGCATCACCCGCAGCACCACCCTCAACCAGAGCCGGAGCCAGAGCCTGAGCTGAAGCCAGAGCCAGAGCCAGAGCCCCAACACAACTATCCTCCCCGCGTGTGCCGCATCTGCCTAGAGACCGTCTTGCCAACATTGCAACCGTCCGAGTTTTTACAAAGACCTCGCGTCGTGTATCTCTCCGAAGACCCGGAACTAGGTCGCCTGCTCCGCCCATGCAAATGCAAAGGCTCCTCGCGTTATGTCCACGAGGGCTGTCTGCAAACATGGCGTCACGCTGACCCCCGGTATGGCCGTCGCAATTTCTGGCAGTGTCCTACCTGCGGCTCCCAGTATCGCTTGGAAAGGTTAACCTGGGCTCGATGGATCAGTAGTACGACAACACAGATTTTCGTGACCATAGCCATCTTGTTTTTGACCGTTTTCATCCTTGGTTTTGTTGCTGACCCCATCATTGATTTCTACCTCGGTCCCCTGGATGATATTCCCCTGGATATTGACATTGACGACGAGAGTGCCTCCTGGCTGGAACATATTGTGAAAGGGATGGCCTCTTTGGGCCTACTGTCGTTTATTCGGGTCGCTTTTACCATGTCACCTTGGTGGGGCGCCCGCAGCATTGCCGGCGGTCGTTCTACCAATGGTCGAGATCGGGTGCGCTCGTTGAACTGGCTTTTCGTTGTGATGGGGATCGTCAGCTTCTTATGGGTACGCAGTGATGCTTGCTAGCTCTGCCCTGGAGTCATTCTTGCTAATATTTTACAGGCTGTCTACAAAGGTGTTCGATCATGGACCAAGCGCTCTCTTGAATGTGCCGGCGAACGTGTCATGGATGTTCCTCTCCCGGATGACGAGGAAGAAGAACCTGGGCCAATGCCCGACGTAAAGTCAGATCCAAATTCAGGTCAAGAACCCGAACCTGCCTCTCAACCTCCCCCTTCACCATTTCATGCTGCAATGGCGCATGAGGCTACTGCCACCTCTTCATTTGTATCAGATCGCACTACTTTAAGTTGCCGTGCTCCTTTCCAATGACGCGTCGATTAGTCACTGTGCGAAGAACGACCCCGATCTTCTTAACTCGCGATGCTGTCTGAGAAACGGCGGGTTGACGCCGGGGACGTCTTGTTCCTTGTTGACCCCTGTTTTATACACCAGACTGACATCGCGGGGAAGGCGGGCCCCATTCCTCGATTCATCAGCTACGTTGGGCCTTAATCGGCTTTTTATATTTTTTATATTATTCACGCAGCTGAGATGTGTTGGACTGGCACATTCCTACTATTCCGTACTCAATTCAGCATGTTCACCCGCGGGGTGCTTTCCAATCCATTCAATTTATACTTAATAATTTTCTTCCTCTTCTCCCTTTCAACCCCAATAATTTTTCCTCAATTCCGTTTGTTCACACCCGCTCTGCTTCCCAATTCACCAAATTCATGCATTCATGCAGGTTCCTTCTTCCACCTCTTCTCTTTTGCTTTGCTTTTTGATGAGTCTCCTTTCCCAGGTGTTTTCCTTTCCTTGTCCTGCTCAGCTCAACTTCTTTCATCTTCCACAAGTTCCTGATCCCACTCCACAATTCGCCATAATGGCTGATCCCCCACCGCTGTCTCTCTATGACCTGATCCGGGAGCACCTGCGCTACGACTCGGACAGCGGGCCTTCCACCCCGCGTCATCCGATGCAGTTGATGTACGCTGATCTACCGGACGAAATCTACTACCCGCTCCCAGAGGCCCGCCTGAGCCCGAACTCAAGCGGCACCACCACCAGCAATGATGGCCCTGTGGCGGGCAACAGCACCGCCAGCGTCAATCGGGGCCCATTCTGTGTCGTGCCCCAAACCGCAGAGCCTTTCCCTACTTTCAATGAGGAAGAGAGCGCCACCCATGCTGCGATGGAGGAATCCTTCCAGGCAGCTTTTACGGCGGCTGCGCGCACCAAAACCCGAAGTATCATCGAGCCGGCCATTCAGGCACCGGCCGCCCTGAATTTTGCCAAGGGAGAGACACTGGAGGGAATGAAAGACCTCCTCTCGAACCAGCAGCTCAGCGAGTCAGCCCGGAAGCGCTTCATGGCGCTGACCAACATGATCCTCAGCCGCGATCGCGTTCTGTTTCACTCAGACAAAATTGCGAGCATGGAGCTGGTCGCTATTGAGATCACAGAAGTCATACTAGTACCTAGAGGAAATGGCTCTCCAAATCCAAGACCTGGTCAAAGTCACGGATCAGGTCAATGCAAATCTCGCCACTATTGTCCAGGCGATAGAGAAGGACAAGGTCATCGCTCTCGTGAACTCGGAAGAGGCGTCAGCTGATCTCATGAAATATTAGATGATGACAAACGTAGTCGAGAAGTACGTTTCTTGTTTACCAATTTCTCTCATGTCAGTGATTCTGGTTCATTTGCTAATCTGCAACAGCAAACCGAACAAGCCGTGCCGCGCCGAATAGTACCTCGTCGTGGAGTTTCCAAAGCTGTTCAAAGTGTTCATTTCGGAGCCTTTCAGTGCAGACGAACTCGCCGGAGCCGGTATGGCGAAGCAAGCTCGTGCGCTTGTTTTCGACCATGTCGGTCGGTACCATTCGGAAAACATTGCAGGGCACAAAAATCGCATACGCCCTTTACCACGAGAAGTTGGGGGTATACAAAGAAATCTACTTCCCCTGTTAAAGAAGTTGATGATATTGAAGCGGAACTCGCCTAATTTAAAGACTGACTCTAAGTTTGGAGCCAGGGATGTTGCCCGGAAGATGTGATGTGGAATTCTATGGATGAGAGAGGGCCGATGAGCAAGTTGTTACTTATGGAAAGATACCCCTAAAGCAGATTGATTTGTTTACTTTTGTAGTTCATTGTATATTGACACACTAAAGCACGCGAACATTCGTTAAGTCACCTACCATGAAGGGCTGATATACCCCGAAGGAAAATTATTATCCTTTCGTTGGTATGCCAGATAGGTCCGATGTCGACACTACACATGTTGATCTAAAACGTTCCAATGTAGTAATTTCATGATTTTATAGTACCTTGTATAATCAAAAATTCTAGGACAGCACTATTCTACAGTGTATGAAACCCTGCTTGTTCCCTTGGAACGCGATATCTTCTTCACCACAATTTTCCCCACTTTACTGCAATCCTGGACGTGAGTTCCACCACAGGGATAACTTCCCAGGCCCTCCATCTCAACGACTCTACCCATCACCTCACCTTCCGGCAACTCAAATGCTTCTGTAACACCGTAGCACTTCTCCCGTAGCTCTTCCATCGACCACCAGTGAATCTTGACAGGAGTAGCCGATCGCACAAACTCATCTGTCTTCGCTTGAATGGCATCTTTGTGCTTTCCCTCGATTGTCCCCTCGAATACAACGCTTGCAGAGTCGGGATAGTGTGATGCTTTCGACTCTTTCAGCGCGGGAATAATGCCCTCGCGGCACAGTGCGTGGATTGCCAGACTCATTATATGCCCGGCGGTATGGAGACGAGAGTGCAGGCTCCGGATTTCGGAATCAACGCTCTGTTGAACTTCTTCCCCAGCATTGAACCCGATGGCCCCGGAAGGAATGAAGCGGCCCAGATGGAGAACTTGACTACCCTGCGCTGGCTGACGGACTGACTTGACTTCGAAAACAGAGTCTGCCTTTGTGGCTGCGTCGGAATTCATGGTTCCGATATCAGCGGGTTGGCCGCCGCCTTGAACGTAGAAGATGGTAGAATCTGTGATCACTGCATGCTCTATTTCTGATGAGTCCTTTGCAAGTGCTTGGTCCGCTACCGGGAGTTCTGGCAATGGGACGATTGAAATGATCCTGGAGGGATGAAGAAGCTTTTCTCCATCATGTTGATATATGAGTTTTGTTGGTTCGGTCATCTAATCGTTGGTCAGATAAGAGTATGAAATTGTCGGAGATGGGGCAAGGATAACTGGGGAATCCTCCACGTACCGTGTCTGGGTTGCGTTGACCTTTTCCGAGACTCTGCTGATGACTGTATGGTGCTTGAAAAAAAGGCAAATTGGAGACGAGATTGTCAAATGTGTACTTGGGGGACCAGGTGCAATGTACTTTGATATAGAGGTAGGAATTTCTAATCTTAAATTGTGGGCATGGCAAGGCTAAATATCTCAATCGATATGGCCCGAGCTCTAGGCTAAGGAAATGCCGGCCTAGGTACGCCCTTGGCTTGACACCTATTCAGCCCCACTGGAGGCTCGCCGGGGCGTTCAAATTTCAATGTTCAAAATTTCTGAAAAAGAATGTGTCATCAATAGAATAAACCCAAAATTTGGTTTCTTCATTTACGGAAAGATCTCGAACGATCTCGGACAATTTGAAAGCTATGTAGTAGAGAGAAGAAAAAACATGAAGAGGAGAATTCGGAAATAGCATTCCCGCTCCATTCCCGCTGGCCAGCCGTACTCGGAAATACGCCGGACTCGATGCTACTTTTGGGGGCGTACAATGACTGCCCCAATTTCTAATCTCGAAATAAGGACTATTTGGATATTTTCGATTTTTCCATGCCTTCTGTTTTACTATATGCGCCCGTCACTTTCCAGATCGATTTCGCCCTTGGACTTTCATACTCCTGGGCATTCTATATCTCCATAACATCCAGTCCCGTCCCTTTCACAGCAAGTTGATTCTGCAAATAGTTAGAACGGCCATTTTACAAGAGATGATTTGATTATAATTACCATCAGCCATGTGGGTATCATGGCTAAAGCAAACTTGACAATTGTTGACTGCGCACCACGCCATATTGTTCCTTCCGCACCGCCGAGGACATCACCCACAACTTTGGTTGCATATAAATTGGCTTCCATTTGCGGGTGGCCCTGTTCTCCTCTTGCATATACACCAATTCTCTCCGCGATAGAAGAGAAGTAAGAGCCCCCCTGGTAGCTCGAATTTTGGATAATTAGAAAACCACCGCGTGCGGATGTTGCCCGTAATCACGATGACTACCGCGACTCCGAGTGGCTTCATTTCCAACGCCAATGTTTCGCTCATGAGCCGCGTCGCAGCTTTGGATCCACAGTACATGCCTGCAGAAATTTACTATGGAAATTCTTTCCTTTGGTTAGGAAATGACAACATACCTTGATATGGTAATCCCATGCAAGAGGCTGTCGATATGTTGTTCACAATTGTCCCTTTGGCACGGACTAGCAGCGGCGCGAAAGTCTGCGTGACACGTACAACACCCCAAACATTGACATCAAACAAGTGCTGTCCCATTTCGATATCAGAGTCCAAGAGTGGCATCACGAACCCTGCACCGGAGTTGTTGACCAGATAGTGTAGCTTGCCGCCAGTTTGATTCTCCACGGTCCTGTACGCTGAAGCAATGCTTTTGGTGGAAGTCACGTCCAGCTCCAGGAATGTAATATTTGTAAGGTCTCGTAATAAACGCATCTTGGAGGTATTTCGTGCTGTGGCGAAGACATGGGGACCCTTATTATGGAATTCTTGGGCTAAAGCCGACCCAATTCCGCCGTCACTGCATCCTGTTATTAGGACAAACTTTGGTCTGGACTCCATAATTAGCCCGATTGCTGTTTCAATCCACTGCGATCTCAATTTAATAATATGAAGAGAACTAGATAGGCTTGACTTATATATTATCTCGCTGGGAGTCTACTCCGCTGCCCTTCGGATAAATTCATGTTGCCGACTCATTTGGCCCCCGAGTTTGCGGGCTGCAATCCTTCCGAGTCCGATCTAAATACATCCTACCGGAACTTGAGGATTACTAGAACTTTCAAACTTGAGGTTGTCAGAAAACAGTCGAAATATCTTAAAGAGACCTTAGGAGAACGCTAATATCTTGTGATGATTCCACGGATTTCTAAAATACTGGCCCTTTGAAGTTGGAGGTTATTGCTAGTAGTAGCGACGACTATTCTCTACTTTCTTACTTCAGCTTAGATCTAACTTAGATGAACCTTCCAACTTGAGCCATCCAAAGGTCGGGACATATCATGATGCTTCCAGATTTGACCTTGTATTACTACCCTGCTAGTAAAGTATCTTTGCCTTCAAGAAATTAGGCTGGATCCAATCTCATTTAACTGAGTGGGATACGTGAAGAAAGTTCTACTTCTTTGGGCTATGAGTTGTCGTGGGAGTTTCTTCCTCTGTCAAGAACGCGTGTTTCTCAACTTAAATTTCCTATAACGCTCTCGAGGTAATTAATCAATGGCCTGGTGGTACCCTTTGGCCGAAGGATGAAGTGGTGAATTCGTCGCGGTCTGCCCTGGCATTTTTCGCGATGGATTGGATACTCAGTGAAGATTAAAGTCATCAATGAGTGCAGTCGATAGCCAGTATAATTCGTGGGTACCTTTTAAGTGGTGGTCTCTTGGAGCAGATACAGTCGAGACCTTTCTCCCCTCCACCAATTTACAGGTCATCTAATTATTAGGGACTCAAGCCAATATTTGTATTGTCTCACCTTTGAGAATCAGAGTCCTTGTAAGTCACAAGGAGGGTGTTCACTTTCATCATTAGATCACGAACTTCGGACTTGCCTTGCCTTTCAACAAAAACAACTTCAATGAACGCCCGCTAATCTAAGAGGACCGCCTCTCTCAGTTTGAGATCTCGTTTATCAGTGATATCAATGCTCGAGCAGAGGCCGCAAGTGCAAGAAAAGCCACGGTCCTCGAATGGGTTCCATTTGGAGGCCTTAAGAAAGCAGTAGTACGTTCGCGATAACGAATGAGAATTTCTGTGCCAGCGGTAATATGCTTTGTCGCCCGCATGATGAGAATATTGCTAATGAAGCTATGCTGCGTATTATGCAAACAGAAGTGATTAACGAAGGATGCCATCCGCCAAATTCGGCAAGGACGGCTTTATGATCGGAGGAGGGAGGAACGGGCTTGGAGGGGGCTCAGGAGGGGGTTTCGGAGTTTGTGAATACCTAGAATTCTGTTGAATTGGTCAGCTGGTGCAGAGAGGACGGTGCAGGCGCAGTATTGCAATTGCACGCAGGCACAGCAAGCTGGTGAAATAGACCTTAGTGATTTAGGGAAGCCGAAGTGGGGAGCGGGTTGAGGAACGAATGAGCTGGGAGTGCGCTTGGGGCGACTGAGAGGGAGTTGATTGGAGTTAGTATGACTCCAAAGTGGTCTAAGTGAGTAGCTGAGGGGTAGCTGGGAGGCCTCGCTATATGGGAGTGGGTGTCTGGAGGTGTTGTCGCATTGTCCTTTTATTTTGAAATATTTTTGTTTTACCTTATGCTTGGGCGATGTTATGCTGCAGTTAGGTGATGCTACTCTGTGTGGCCCCCACTGGCACTGCCTTTCTTTGTGTTATGTGTTATTTAATTTTTGCAGAGTATGTGCTCCCCTTTCTGTATGGTGGTTAGTGCTTGGGTCCTGGGCAGGTATGACCTTAGGCTGCCCACCCTAGCTGCCTTTAGTTTATCGGGCTAGCGAGGTCTTACTGCGGATTTCATGAGATGAAAAGATTGATACTCGGAATATGGGGGTCCTTGTATGTATCTCAAATCTAGAGTCTTGTGCTGCCGAGAACTAACTACTATTTATACAGGCCTGGGAGCCTTTTGAACAGGGACAACTCTTCTACGCCCGCAACTCAAACAGGAATATTTCAGACAGCCACCACCTCGCTGGTATGATAGCAATAATGGGTGCCCCACCAAAAGAAATGCTTCAAAATAGCGAATGTGCAAGGAAATTCTTCGATGGTGACGGTAGGGTTATTTGATTCTTCTTTCATATTGTTTGGACAGTTAATGAATAGAAACTAGTCAATTGGATCGGTTCCGCCGATATTGCCCCTGTAACTCTGGAGAAGCTGGAAGAGAATTTGCAAGATACTCAACAAAATTTGTTTCTCTGCTGCATGCGGAAGATGCTTCAATGGAAAGTAGAAGATCAAGCGTCTGCAAAAGAGTTATTGGCGGACCCTTGGCTAAAATCAATCTAATTCACTGCGGGCATCTGATGATAACTTTTCGTGGTATCTCACCTGTGTGTTTGTTTCATCTGACACGAGTTTCGAATGCAAAAAGACAACAAGGAAAAAGGACAGATGACCCTGCCGACTGCCCTGAACCGTGGAGGCTCTTTGAACCGGCCTTTTCACCCACAGGCATAGTCGGTCGGCTGTAAGATGGGTTTGCGAATGTGGGTCTATACGAGCTAGAGCGATGCAGGCGTGACCTCATGACTGATATCTGATTCTTGGCATGGACTACTAAGGGAGTGTTTTCCAAAACAACGAGAGACTTGTGACGGAGAGAGAGCCGAGGGTCTGGCGGGGTACTGGTACATAGTTCTTCATCACCTTACGGCGCGGTACCTATGCATCGATGTCTTAACCTGTGAGCCAAGCCCGAGCGGGGAAATCGGATGAATCCTCTGAAGACTGATGGATTCCTTGATTGTGGCAGATTACCCACACCGCTGAAGTCATGCCTACCCCATATGGAAAATCATCAACAAAACCCCCGCCGGTGTTCATAAAATAGTGTGATTGTGGGGTGGATGTAACGCTACCCGATGCGATCGATGCCTTCGATGCGGAGAACCTGCAGTGGCGTTAATGCGCATGTCTCACCTACCACACGAGTTGATTGGCCGCGGGTCGGAGCTCTAGGTGGTGGCCTGACAATTCAAGACAGAATGGGTGCAATGTCTTAGATCAAGGGCCTCGTTTATGTCCTCCATTAGTATGAACTGAATAATTGGTAATAGTTGGGCCCGAGCATGAGAACTATTTGAAGCCTGCCAAATCCTGTTCTTTTGGGAGGGTATCATATACTTTAAGCCATCTATTGCAAAGCAAGAACAATATTTCAACTATGAAGACCTCTTTAATCGCATTAGGCGCCGTCCTAGGCCTGGCTTCGGCCCAGAATGCTGTTGTACACAATCACTGTGCTACCACGGTATACATTCAGTCATTCCCTTACGATGGCAGTGCCCCTGGTCCTCTTACCACCGTCGCCAAGGGTGCAACCTTCTCCGAGAAGTTTAGAAAATCTGGCTCGGTGCGTTACTTTGTTCTCTTTGCTCCACGAAATTGGGATAGTTTATAGTATATCAATGGAAACTGACCGGAAATAAAACATAGACCATCAAGATCGCCAAGACAAAGACACTGACTACGCCTCTCTTCTTTGGGTATTCCTTCTCGTCCAATCCGGACTATGCCTACTGTGAGTGGACCGAATATATACAGCCCTCTGAAGGCATTTGCTAAATCTATCGTGCAAAAAGATGAATTAAGCACGGAATGGGGTAATCCCTTCGCGGCGAACCCTAACTCTCTCAGTCCCGGGGACGGCTGTGAGCTCTTCGACTGTGCAGCCAACGATCCCGGCTGCTACAGCACCCCTGCTCATAAGAAGGTTTATGGGTGCCCTCAGCCAGTCACTCTGACGGCGGATCTATGCCAGTAGAGCTTTTGCCTTCGTTCTGAAAGGTTGAAGGGCAATGGTGTATATAACTCAGTTTAATATCGTTACCTAGGTACTCGATTTGTTGCGGTCTGTCTTGAGGATAGTTACGATGAATAACTCGGACATAATTCTTTCGGAGCCCTAATGAAAACAAGCCTTCTTTGAAAATAAACTATCCATCTCAATACATAACTACTTGCCCTATTCTATACTTTAGCATCTGTTCTGTCCTCGCAACACCGCTTGGGCTATTCCAAGTTTGCGGAAATGCCCGTGGGTGATTGAAAAGTTTGAAAATTGAAACTACTCAATTATTTGCGCTAAAAGAACTAGTTGAGTACGCAGTCCAAGATGCTTGCTATATAAATTTCTGATTTCCAGCGTTATTTGCTTCCTGATATTTAGTTGACCTCCCAATGGCTCAATTTGGAGCCCGATTGGATGGCTCATGATGAGTCATAGTGTCCCTGATTGTGATTGGTTCAAGTACGTGGTGCGTTTAGCATTTAGGTTCGGCATGGCTTATAAAGTAGTTATTCAGTCAAATTCTCCTTCTCCCGTGGTCTTGAATCGACTATCCCGATAATATTTTAGCCTGAGGAAGTCACCAATATGACTGAGCATTCGAATCACGCTATCGTCTATGGTGCATCGGGATTAGTGGGTTGGTCTATTGTTGATCAGCTTTTGAAACAGTATCCCGAACATGGTACATTTTCCAAGATCACAGCCATCACAAACCGACCACTCGATCTATCGAGGGCATACTGGCCTGAACGCAGTTTGACGGGTCCCAAATTGGAACTGGTATCAGGTGTTGATCTACGCCAGGGCGATGGACCAACATTTGCCGAGACGCTGAAAAGCAAATTAAAGGATGTGGGCAGTGTTACTCATGTTTACTATTTAGGTCAGTATTCCGTTACGAATTTCACTTGGGCTGGATTCTCACAGATCTTAGTGTTCACGGCAATTAGCGATGACATTGAAGAAGTTGACACCAATCGCCAGATGATGCAAAATGTCATCCACGCCCATGAAAGATTCAGTCCAAACCTCCGGTTTGTCGCTTTTCCCGGTGGGACACGGGTATGGCTGCAGAAAATAGGACCCAATTTCCTTTTCATTTTCTGACTTATCTCTCCAGGGATATGGAATTTATGCGCCCGGTGGCACCTTCACCCCGCCTCTCCAAGAACACATGGTTTCGAATCTTCCACGCGATTATGCCACAACGGTTGTGTACCCAGCATACAGAAAACTTCTCGACGAAGCTAGCAAAGGGAAAAACTGGACATGGTGCGAAGTTTGCCCAGATGCAATTGTATGTGTCCTACAAGTCAACCCCACTGGCACCGCTAACCCATGAAGATCGGATTCACCCCGAACGGATCCCAGTTTAGTTTAGCACTTCACTGGGCGCAGTATCTTTCTCTCTATGCTTATAACAATGGCAAGGGTCCAAATGTTCAATCAGCTGAAGATGGGATCGTGAAGGTCCCTTTCCCCGGCAATACTGCGGGCGCGAGCGCACTCTTCACCCCCGCCTCAAGCCAGACAATCGCTCGATTTATGTTATACGCATCATTGAACCCGGAAAAATGCGGCCAGGGTAATTTGTTCAACATAGCTGATCACCAGGAGCCATGCACGTATGGTCAGCTGTGGCCGAAGTTGGCTGAATGGTTTGGATTGGAGGGTGTCGGGTTTGCCGATGAGTCGGAATCAAACTCACCGAATACTCTCAAGGTCGGCGAGCTTCCCGATTCAACAGCGTCGCTTTTGCCTGGAGAGTATATTTCAAGGCACAAGGAAATATTCTTGCGCCACGGTTGCGAGTATGCGGTCACTGCCGGCGTTGGAGCTGGTCACCGCCAGCTGGATAGTGTGGGCTACTGGTTGACCTTCGATCGACAAATGAGTCTAGACAAGATACGCAAAACAGGCTTCGAAGGAAACAAGGATCCCGTTGCTGGCTGGATTGAGAGCTTTGAAATGTTCCGGAAGGCAGGGTTGATTCTCTAAATTCTGATCTGGAATAGATCTCAATTAGTATACTGCTGGAGCATGGTTCGTTGGTATCTGAATTTCCAATAGTTCAACATTTAGTCATACTAGCATCTAAGCATAAAATTATTCCATGGCGAAATATATAGTCGCTCCATCACGCATTATATCCAACATCCTGCGTTGGCGCGGCATCCTCCCGCTCATATAAAATCTCCGGTCGAACATCCTTCCGAAGCAAATATCTCTTAAAGAAGTAAGGAATTTGACGAAGTCCATACTGTGCATGGAAACGCGTCGGTACACTAAACACCTGATCCAACTCTTCCAGAGTCTTGTTCTTAGTTTCTGGCATGAAGAGCAAAACTAGCCACCATCCGACAATGCACCAGCCAGCATACCACGCGAATCCACCCTGGGCCGTGAAGGCATTTCGCAGAGAGGGCCACGTCACTCCCAAGACGAAGTTGAAGAACCATGTTGTCGCGGTCGCGAGAGCCATCCCGTATGATCGCACGTAGAGTGGGTAGGCCTCCGCGGAGTATGTGAAAGGAACTGGCCCTTCTCCGGGTGAGTAGACGACGCCGAAGAGGTATGTGCCGAGGGCGATGCATCCGGTCCGAGCAGCGTGGCTGGTTTCTGGTATCCAGAAACTGAAACCCGTGAAGAACATTGCTAGCGCCATGAGGGGGAATGTAGTGAGTAGGAGATTTCGTCGACCAAAGGTGTCAATTGTGTAGACTGCTGGTATGGCAAAGAGCCAGTTGATCACGCCCCAGCCGAAGGATGCTGCAAGGGCGGCAGCTGGGGAGAAGTTGGCTTCCTAAACCTCGTTAATGGGAGGATTCGCCAAAGAGAACAAATGAATTCTTTGCGATCGGGAGGAGGCTCACCAGAAAGATCTCGGATGAGTAGTATGCGATAACATTGACACCGCAAAACTAAGCAAGTTAGTATATAGACAAGTTCAGTCGAGACCGCAGACTCACCTGCTGCATGAACATGACAATTTCTGATGCAAGCACAGCCCTACGATTTCGTGGAACAGTGATGAGCTCCAGCAGTTTGTGCTGTCCAAGCTTCATACTGTTCTCAGCTTCGAGAAGGGTATGCATGTAGTACAAATCACGAGCCGCTTGAATCTTATGATGTCTCAAGGTACATATTGACTCATATGCGCGGTAATATTGCTTCTTGCTCATATACCAACGCGGAGATTCGGGGCAAGCAAAGACGAAACAGCACACGACCAGCGCCGGGAACATCGCCGAGGCCATCATCAGACGCCAGTTCAATCCCACAATGCCGACTGGGTCCGCGACCTTGTAGAATATCAGATCCGCCGCATATCCGAGCATAATACCAAACGCTGTCCACATTTGCCACTGCATCACCAATGCTCCACGGATAGCAGGCGGAGCGGTCTCTGCAGCATAAATGGGAACTGTCGCCGACTTTGGGCCTATACCGAAGCCAAGCGCGAAACGCGCGACAAACATGGACCACCAGGTGTTCACGAAGCCTTGCCAGAGACATGCGATCGCACTGAAGCAGCATGTGATGAAAATTGTTCCCCGTCGACCGAACCAGTGGTTAAACGGCACTGTGAGCCAACATCCAACGAATGCGCAGCAAAGGTAGGGGGCCGCATTGACCAAACCCACCAGCCATGTATCTCTGCGAGCTTCAGTAGCGATGCCGAACTGGTGTTTATACCATATTTGTGCTCCGTTGACAACCGTTTCATCTATAGATAGCGCGGGTTAGCGTACATCTCTGGAAAGCATCACTGGTCCCAAGATAGAAATGGAATACTTACCCATTCCCTGAACAGCTGCTGAGAGTGAACAGAGGGCAATAACGGCGTACATCTTCCATGGTTGCGACCAGCGGTGTGTAAACTCATGTCGCAAAATCTCCTTTTCTTGCGGTGTCAGCCCGGCCACATTCTCAAATCGTTCGGGCGATTGAGCAAGTACAGCGCCCAACTCAAAAGCCCTGATGTCGGTCTCATCGCCCATCTCGTGCATCATCGCAAAAGCGCGACCCTGCTTGCGAAGCTCCGAATGACTGTATCCAGCAAGGGGATTTGAGAGCTTAGCGTTCAGATTGCGCCGCGCACGCTCAGCGGCTGTGCCGAGGGTGCGCTGGGGCACGAACTTCTCGCGGGGCGCCTCATCGATATTCTCGTCTTGCTCGACCATCCCGCCGCCTTGCTTGAACATGATGAGAGGCCACGATGAGATTCAAGGGGGCGATTTCGAGTGAACATGAGCATGAAGGATGCAGGTAGACGTCAAAGATGGAAGCGAAGGAGCGAGCACCGGGCGAACATCTGACTGCCTTGGCATATTGGGGAGGTGCCAGAGCCTTGGTGGGTCGAGATTGTCAAAGAAGCGGGCATTTCGGGCATGATACTTGGGTGGCCGGGTTTAGACTGGGGCCAAATGTGAGGTCCAGGGTGATTGGCAGACTAGTGGTCGCGGGGCGAAAAGACCGGGGTGCGCAACTGAATAAGAGGTCATGAAATGATCGACTGTTCGTATTGCTGGATGGGGCGAGGGATGATGGGCTGGCAGTGGCTGGGTGTGCAGCAGGATGCGTCGGATGTGTAAGACGCAGGGCGCAGAGAGAATGCTGACCGGCTTGGTTGAGTACTTTTCTTACTCAAAGTGATAGAAACCTTCAGGATAAATGTGGAGTCCGGGGTCCTGTGGGGTACCAGTTACTAGACTGAGTTGACGTGCAATGAAGCTAGCCCAGGTTAGCGGGTGTTAAAGATCTTGTGTGAGGAAAGATCCAACCGCGAGGTTACTAATTGTAGAAAGAAATATCCCTTAGCCAAGACGGTGAGATGGGGGCCAAAGTCAGATTTGTGTTGAATTAATGAAAGAGTCAGCAACAGCGCGTCATGATCTTCACCCTTCCGTATTGCTTTAGCCGCGGTATACAACATAAATCATGTCTTGTATTGTATCCATTATGCCATTTCGATCATAGCAAAACAAAGTGTATCATGCGGAGTAATTTGGTTCTCAAGGGTCGATAGATTTAGTTTGGGGCTATTCATGAATCTAAGAATGAGAAATAAAATAACGAGCTTCCATTCATCACCAATGAGTTCAATATCATGACTGGGAATTCTTAGCATAATTCGAGGGAATTGATCTCGTAACCCGGCTTAAAGTAGGTATTACCTAGGTAGTTGGGCAATGAAAGCCAGTTCTACTTCCTTGCCAAAACCCCAATAATAATATTTGGAGGCCGTAAAACTTGAAGTCATGCACCATGGATCAGAAGCAAACTATAGTTTGACAGGTCCCCAGACAAAATTGACAAATCCAGCTTTGAAGAATATGAACGTTTAAGAGACGTTGCGAATGTTATCTATCATGTCCAGCTAGCCAGAAAGCACATTCAGATCATTCTAACGCCATCAAAAGCTCCAAAAATAAAATAGTGATGCATGTGTGGGGAATCAATGACTGTCGGAGATAGAGAGAGACCTGGAGAGATGGAGGGGAGGACGAGGGAGGAGAAGGGCTGCAACACCGCGAGGCGATCGTTGGTGCCTGAGGCATACAAGCCCCAACGAGAACCTGGAATTGTTATTTTTCGAGCGAAATCTTTTGATCATGAAAAAACTCCCTGGGAAAGCGATTTTGCTTTTGTTAAAGCATGTAATAGTATAGGTCGTATCCGCCAAGCTCTTACTACCGTGAAAAGGGTCGAAGGGACAGAAAAGATTGGTTCGGTGACTTTTCGAAAGTAGAGATGCAAAAATGCCCAGGTGTTTGAGGTATCATCGTCAGGATCGGAAGGAACTGGAGCAAGATGAGGGACCTAACTAGGTATGTGTTCCCACCCGGCCTAGATTTGCTTTTTGGGATTGGAAGGTCTCCGGACCCATCCGTGGTACTCCTACAGTATTAAGAACGGGTTGGGGAATATTAACGCACTAGACAAAGGCGTTATGGCTCTTCCCCGATTTCCCTTTGCGGAGCATCTTGAAAACTTGGAATGCGTGAGGGCTTTTCAACTTCAAGCCAACCTTGGAAGTAGGCAGCCCCGACATGAATGGTACCCGGATGTGGTAGTTTTGATTTTGTTGGGGATGGAAAGCATCATGATGTTCATCATGAACGCCACTCGGTTATATTTATGCGAGACCGAGACAGTTATGCGAGACCGAGACAATTCTGAGCCGGACGCATTACTAGTAGGCACTAAAATAACTCCAGACAACTTTACATCGAACACACGAGAGGAACGGCTCGAGCGGTTGTTAAGGCCATCCAATTGTCATCAGAAGATCTCATGGAGCAGGGTGTGAACTAAGTACTTTCCGCAGTCCAAAGAGGTTGAATATTTGTGTGTAGGGTTGAAATTACGATCTTTGAAGACGGGGGCTGGCCTCGGAGTGCACGGGAGGGGCTTGATTAGCCGGCGGGATGATATGGAAGGTCACCAACTTCAACCTTGGTGCAATCATGTGCAACAGTCATTGATCAAAAGCAATTTGATCCTTATAGGATGGAACTGATCCGACCGTTGGAATTCGAGTAATGGAAAGAACGGGTGCTGAGAATATATCCACCTGGTCAGCCAATTGCCTACTCACTTATGCTCGGGTGGAGACTAAATTGATTCAGAATAACCTTGGAAAAGTTACCCCTAACTTTAAATGGTTGGTTTTGAAACTCCCTAGCTCTATGACAAGACTAGGATTTCCTTGTTTACGCATACAGTATGATCGAGACCAGACAATGATCATAACATTCAAGATCGAATCCAAGCCAGAAACCAGCGATCGGCCGATCGAAGCACAAATTCGGCCAATCTGGGCCGGCAAAATGAAGTTTGGTTGAACCCACCATCCTTCACGCGGATACCCCGAAAATGAAATTGACTTTATTCACAATACAATTTTCCTAGGCATTGAATTTCTGGGGTAAGAATTTTGTGTAGAGCCTTAAATTTACTTGCGGCTGTGGCCACCGACCTAGATCTATCAGAATCTAAGAAGCTGTTTGCAGGCAAGGCGGCCTCTCTTTCAAGGATCGACGACGTCATTCCATCAGGAGACCAGCCTTCAACTTTGTTGGGTCTAGAAGACTTTGAGCAAGAGAATCTGAAGCATAATGGTTTTTTGAATGAATCCTATCCTTTTTTTTTCGCCTGCATCAAATATTTAAAGCAGAGTGATTCCATGCAAGTGTCGGTCTGAAATCATCCAATTCGAACGTTCACACTTCTCTCAAACGTTCTTCGATTTACTTTGACACACTTCTTGAAGTCATTTACCTTCAATCACCATGAAGATGCATTTCACTTCGTTGGCTGCCCTAGCAGTTATGATCACCTCGTCGCTTGCCAAAAGCACCACGTGTGAGAGTAACCAAATTGTCGTTTGCAAAGGAAATGGCAATGGCGGTCTTTTGTCCCTGGGAAACATCGCACCAGGACTTCTCGGTGACAATTGTTCCGGAGGAGATGTTTATTGTTGTTCCGAGGAAGATGTTGAACAGGTAAAGTGCTATGGAATTCTTATGGAACCTGACATTTGATACTGATGAGCATTCTGTAGGTCGGTTTGATCAACCTCGATCTGAACGCGCAATGCAGTCTCAACCGACTTCTTTAAGAAGTTCAGCGAAAACCCGCCGACCTCCTCATCGTTCATCAATAATACTAGCAATATCTAGCTCCACTCACTGAATTTATTGTTAAATTAATTGCAGAAATAATATCATTAACGCCGAGTAAACAATTGAATATGATTGATCACGATGTATAACCAGTGCCCTAGCGTGTGTTGAGTATTTGAGAAAGGGTCTTTGAAGTCCTAAGTTAAATTAGTAAAAAAAAGAAATCTTGACTAGCTTAACACTAACGAGTTTGGCTAAAGTTAGGTGTTAAGAGATATACGCCTGGCCATCTCAGGCTATCACGGCATACATACTCCTAGTATTTATTCTCTGAGATGATGGGCGAGTAGCAATAGTAGTTGATGCTATGGAGCAAGCGGAAGTGCGATTGAGTGAGTGAGCGACTAAGTGGGAGGAGAATGGAAAAGGAGGTAACAGTGGCGTAGGTAATGGGCAGTTTTAGTCGTCGCAGCCGGGGCCAAATTTGTGCAGGGATCGCGAGGCATTTTCCGCCAGCCGAAACTGCTCCTAACACCAGTATAATTTAGGCGTCTCGACCACAATTAGGCAATGTATAGGTTGGTGATCGCTATCTAACATGTTCTATTTTACTGTTAGAAGAATAATTAGGTGCTGGCTACTAGACAGGAGTAGTTAATAGTTAGTGAGTATTGACTTTTATATAGAAATTGTTGATAAAGAAATAACTGGCTACTAAACCCTACATGATTCGTCAAAAGAGCAACTAGGCGATTGCCAACTAGCAACCTTGGAAATAAAAATATCCATCAAGGACACACAGACTCGGACCATTCATGAAATTCTAACTATGATAAGGGCTAGGGTTATGACACGAAATACTCGCAATATACTTAAAGTTCTACAGTAGCACCAGAATCGACGACACCATAAACTCAACAAAATGGCAGATAGTGGTAAGAACTTGCACGCGAATATTTTATGTTGCCTATTGAGCGTTATCGTCCCTGTTTACCTACACGGTCGGCAAGGATCAATCAGGCCAGTAGGAGAGGTCTCTTATCGCCTTCTAACCGAGGAAAATGTATTCGTGAAACTCAAGAGCCCTGGAGAGTGAATCGACGGCTTCTTGTGGGCAAATTGAATTGACTAACAGTCTGGAGCAATATGTGCTAGTCCTCTTATATTCTTAGCATGAGATTTGGTACTTGGACTACCCATCGGGCGTTATAGAGCTTGAATAACACTCGATTTCAAGCGATGACTTTTGGAATCCATCAGATTTGACGAACAATGAAAAAAAGTTAATATGACGCCCGGCGACTAGGTGAATTTTCCCACGCCGTTATACTCCCGGGCGCTAGAAGTACTACTGCATTCCCACCGTGCTATCTCGGAAGAGGAATCTTGAATGCTCAGCGCCCAGAGGTAACCAACTGGAGTTGAATAGGACAGATCGTATTTAGTTCTGTTGACAGATGGCCGTATCCATCCGGCAAAATTACAAGACCACTGTATGAAGCAGGAATGGTAAGATGTATTACCAAACAGAACGCTATTGTGGATGGGCTGGTGTTGTTGTGGAGAAACTAGATCACAAGCAAACATTGCGGCTATCACATTGCACGGGTAGCGGCATTGTGGCGTTAAGGCACTACATATGACCCCTTAGTGCTAAAGTACGGATTACGGGGAACAGGCATTGCTGTACGGAGTACGGAGCTGCGCAGCCTTGCGCTTAAACGTGCGAGTTCATCAAACTGCCGATCACACGTTGCCAGCACCAAATGCTCTAGCAGAATTGGACGTTTTCTAGTTTTAGAATGAAAGAGGCGTAGTTCTCTCTCCGACCTTTTGCTCCAAATTTCGTCTAAAATGTCATTTTCTCAACGTACTGATATCTGGTATGTTCGTGGTGGCGAAAGGGCATCATTGCTGCTCTCTTTTGGATTGATCGAGCCAACACCTCTCTTCATATTGGGCGCCCGTGTTTAGTATCGGCAATTTGTAACAGGCAGATAGGCATTCGGCCTCAGAACAAGAATGGAGGCTGACCGTGTTAGAGTTTTCATCTAATTGCGGCCCTTTAGATACGACGAAACTGTAATATGGATTGGTGGATTCGTATGTAACCAGGGGAAATAAGGCCTACTCACTCCTAATCCGTCGTTCAAATGCCCGGGTATGAGTCCTTGACGTGTCTTAGGAATGAGCAGGGATTGTATTTTTTATTTTTATCTTTATTTTTTCGCTTGGAGCCCGGAGGTCAATTTTCTACCTTTATTGCTTTTCGTGGTCTAGATTATACTTCTTGCCTGATAAAGTCAAATCGCTTCCCTTTGTTGAATATTGTTCTCTGTGTCCAGGCTCGCAGTACCGCTTTCCCGATGAATTCCCACTTGTCTCAAGGAAAAACGATTGAAAGCAGAATGGCATCTGCCGGCATGTGCTCCGCAGCTCAATTCTTGAGACCGGAATGTTTTCCACCATGTATCACCAATCTGACTCGGACCGGGTGACACGCCCAACAGGAAAACCACTTTGAGACATTCAGGACGTGGCGGACGCGTTTGCCAAAATCATTAAATGGTCGATAAATCAGCTCGGTGTGATCAACGCTTCTATAGGTAATTCGACGGGAATGTAGAACGGCAGGAGGTAAGCATACAGGTAAGGCCAATACGAAAGGATCGAAAAGATTACCGCTAAGCATAATTTGCCATAATGGACTGACATTGCTGTTTCTTCCAAGGTTCGCATTTAGATCCCCTGATTTCTGACTCGGATATATGCAGCAGACCCGGGTCATTTGGGGCTGGCTGCTATGATTGGACAGTATGGGAAAAGACCTTTAAACAAATAAAAACAAAAGCGAGGCGAAATACCCGACGGACTCTTGAGTCCCCATCGTTCTTTACATACTTCAAGGCGACCTGACTCAACACCCAGGACGTTACTGCTGAAATTCCAGCGCACATGGATTTTGAGTACGACAAAGATGCGGCTCCCAGGCCATTCATCGGTTCATTCGGGGGTCAACAAGATTGGGTCACTAGGGGGGAACTGCTAGGACAGGTCAAGGATTTGTGGAATCAACCTGACTTGCTTGTTGATTTTGCGAACAGGTTTCACGACCATATTCGGTCCAAGAAATGTTTTTCTCTCCTCGACCCCGATCGGCAAACCGATATCATGGTCAAGAATGAAATGATGAGCGGGTTTACCAAGAAAGCTGCACCTACAGTTCTGAATACCATGGAACAGACAGAGGGTGAATCTCCGCCAGATTGGTCACGGGCCCTGCGGGCTTTTCAGAATGGTCGCTTGCGTGCTGTTGAGAATGACGACACCCATTGCCAATTCAAAGGTCTGCTTGGTCCGCATGAAGTTGGAATATTCGAAAGTGAGGTCAGAGCTTTCCGACAATTGACGAACAAACCGTTACCATCCAGCGAGGATTGGAAGGTTGAGCTGAAATCTCGGAACGCTACAAAAGTCGACATTGACGCTGCTTTACTGCAAGTCACCGAAGGTCAGAGGTTCTCGTTTTCTAGCTCCAGTATTCCGACATACTAACTTCGTGGCACTTGAAGAAATGAGGAAGCTACAGCGCAGCGCCCGGCTTCTGAGAGAGCTATCCGACCAGGTTGGAGAATGTATAAAGATTTTTGAAAAGGAGTGGGGACAGGGTATTCTGATCAAGATAGAGGAGCAGAGTCAAGATGTGATCATGATTGACGGATCACAGACTGGGATTCTGCCCGGGGAAAGTGTTAATGGTCAGTAGTTATCGCTCTGTTTTGAATGATCCTGATACGTATCTGCGTTATGAGTCGCTTTATCAGTATCGCTTACCGGGTATTATAGACACCGATGCTACATCGAACAGTTTGAATCCACATGGGGAAGCCATTGAGGATGCTATGGCTGACCTTGAAGCATTGAACGATTTGAACGAATCCGAGGAGGCGATGGACGATATTATGGAAGACACCGAGGATATTGGAATGTTAATGAACGACAACAACTCGGCTCAGGGGGTTACCATGGAAGAATCCGAGCATAATCGAGTGTTGCGAAGTAAACTCCTAGACACTGTGACAAACCATTTCGGAAGATCTGATGGAATGTTCAAAAGCGAAGATGGTTCCTCTAATGGGGATAACATGGAACAGTCTGAGAACATTCTAACGTCGACAGGCGATACCAGCGCCTCTGGAGATACACACTTTCAAGAATGCCAAGATGTCATCCTCTTTTCAAGTGATGAAGAGCCGTCAGAGAATGGAGATCACTCAGGGGAGAATCGAATTGAGCCTGCTGAGCAGAACAATACCCCTGTCACCAATTCCGGGGCAATAGAAACCCCACTGGAGCCTTCAAATGATTCAACGACATTCATCGTCGGAACATCGACTGATTATGTGCATTATCCGAAACCTGTTGGTAATACCATCGACCAAGTGGGTAAATTCATATGCTGCGAATTCATGGCAAGGTATCGTCAAGGAGAAAGATCCCACACCATGACCTTGTGCAGAAAAGGAAGGCCTTATGCGAGAACGCATAGAGACAAGGACGAACGCCTCCATGCATTTAAATTTGTGGAGCGGCTTCGTTTACAGGGAATCGCGGTCGAAGATATGGAGGAGGTGTATTGTCAGCGATTTGGTAAACACCGCACTGCGAGGTCATTGAAAAGATACCAAACAGGCAAACGCTCTACACTACGACTGAGCGGCCTTCTGGTATGAAAGTCGTCCCATTCTGATTTTCAGATCCATCAGAGGCCAGTAGTATCAATCTGACTTTATATTTGCAGGATAATACAATCGCAAACATCTGGCCCAAGGACCATCCCAGCTTCTGCCCCGGCCCGGCATGGCAACGCCAGCTGGAAGCAACCGCCCTCTTACCCGCAAGGCAACCAATCTACCCCATAGGCGTGAGTACGAGGAGTACTGCACGGGGATATCAGCCGTCAAAATCTGGTCTTCCGCCGATACCAACATCCAACCATCGGGATTAACCAGCCAACACAGGGCTCCTCGGAACCCGAAAAGACGTTGTAAAGACTGGTGATGCGCATAGAAGTGGTGACAAATATGTGGAGCTAGAGGCTTGCGGTTTTGAACTTGATCCTGGCGCCTTGTGGGCGAAGCGGTTCATCCAGCCTCGGAGCTCAGCTGAAAGCAAATAGACAGAAAGCCTTACAAACACCGTGGACCTCATAACCAGACAACTAGGGTACATTAAGAATAAATAACCGAGCCAGGTAATTCGTAGCAATAGAAATTGGTCCAGAGTGCGAGCATAGTGAAGTCGTACTGCCCGGCTGACACCTGGGCATCCTGGGATGCTGGAATGCAATGTGGGGCTGGTAAATAATGACCCTCGAAGCTCTCCATCCGTCAGGCATCAAGGCACCAAGGAATCAAACACTTTCGGCGTCCGAGTCAAGGTAGTCCTAGTTGTAAATTCGATTGCAAATCTGGTTTGAAGTTGATGTTAAAATACTCAAGACATCGCAACTCGATACATTATTGCAGCGAGACGACAGTCTATTATGTTTCTCGAGCCATCATGAGTCATGGTGATTATTGACTGACGCTAGTCCCAAAGTGGGTTACATGGCACAGATAACTTGTATACTCCCATGAGCATATAAAACTGCCATTCCCTTTAATCGATCACTTGAATGCAAGTCAAAGTCGTCAATATTCCCAAACAATGGATGTGAAAAGTCCCATCGAGGACCTCCGGGCACCAGAGGTGGACAGCGCATCGATTAGCAATACCGGCAGCGACTCCGAAGCAGATGATGCAAACAACTACGAGCTGACCGGAATTCCACTGGTCGTGGTCATCACAGGACTCGGTCTCTCTATCTTTCTTCTGTCACTGGATTCGTCGATAATTGCCACGGCCATTCCTAGGATCACTTCAGAGTTCAACAGCACAGGTGACATAGGCTGGTATGGAAGTGCATACTCATTTGCGATGTGTGCTTGCCAGCCTATCGCAGGTAAACTCTATACAAGTTTTGCCATGAAGGTAAGATTATGCAGAGCTCCAGTTAAACGTGAAATCCCCGTTGACGTTTGAGCTTTAGGGCATGTTCCTCGGATGTCTCGGTGTCTTCGAGCTTGGCTCATTGCTGTGCGCGCTTGCTGTCAATAGCCCTATGCTAATCATCGGTCGTGCCATTGCTGGAGTTGGGGCGGCGGGATGCTTCACAGGGGCATTCTGCATTGTCGCGGTTTCCATCCCGCTGGTGAAGAGGCCGTTCTATATCGGAATTCTTCAATCAACATTTGGCATCGCCACCATCATCGGACCCGTGCTAGGTGGTGCATTCACAGAGCATGTAACGTGGCGGTGGTGTTTTTGGATAAACCTTCCCATCGGAGCTGTTACGATCGTTGCATTAGTCTTCTTCTTCAAACCGCCTACAGGCGACGAAAACGAACTCTCCATCTGTGCTTCGCAGATTGGGAAGCTTGGACTGGCTGGGCGCTTCTCTGTTCGCTCCAGCCACTATCATGGTATTTTTAGCTCTTCAATGGGGAGGCACTGAGCACGCTTGGAAAAGTGCTACCATAATCGGTCTCTTCATCGGAGGGGCGGGTCTTGGTTTCGTCTTCGCTCTCTGGCAAAAACGAAAGGGTGACAACGCTATGATCCCACCGCGTTTGATCACCGAGCGAACGATGCTCTTCTCCTGCTTGAGCGAATTCTTCGCCATGGGTGCCGTTTACACCTCCATCTACTACCTGCCCGAATGGTTCCAGGTGATAAAAAACGCTTCGCCCACGAAGTCCGGACTCATGTATCTGCCCCTGGCGCTGTCAGATGTCCTCTCCGCAACACTGACAGGCGCATCACTCAAATACCTCGGATATCCGAATCCATACATGCTCCTCGGGACGGCTCTCATGAGCATAGCGACTGGGCTCTTCTCTACCTTCTCCGAAACCACACCGCACGAGCAGTGGATCCCATTCCAAGTCCTTCAGGGCTTTGGTGTTGGAATGACACTCTCAATGCCCTATGTTGCTACGCAAACAGTGCTCAAGCCTGAGGATATTCCTGTCGGCACCTCCCTGCTGCAATGCTTCCAGTTCTTCGGGGCTTCGGTGAACCTCGCTATCGCGGAGGCTATCTTCGAGAACAAACTTGTTTCGCGACTTCACAGCTATGGATTTGAAACCCACGAAGTAGAGAGTATTCTCACTGCTGGCTCTGCGGATGCGAGAAATGTGGTTTCTGCGGCGCATTTGCCAGGCGTGTTAGATGCGTATAACCACGCTATCACCAGCACGTTCTATCTCGCAACCAGTGTCGCGGCCGTTGCGTTCTTTCTCTCACTGGGGATTCGATGGAGGAGCGTCAAGCCGAAGCCCCAGGCTGTTTCTGGTATGGAGGCTGGATCGTCAAGTCCATAGGATTCAGCTGGTTCTGATTCAGTCGGTACTCATTCGCCCCGGAAAAGAATTGAAGACAGATAATCTTGGAATACGAATTTGTGAATGTTTCGGATATCAATGTTTAGTATGGGGGAATAGATTTGTAGTGATTAGGATCATAATGCATAGCCAGCAATGTTTCGATACAATATATGACAGTTTTTCTCATTAGAGAGGCGTTGAGACCTCCTATGTCCTTAAATGATTTGGAGGGCCTCTGGTGTCGACGTATCGGGCATGATGCTGCGTGGTAGGTTTGTTGCTTCCCCGAAAGTCTTCTAGCCGGTTTCGATATTTCGAAACATAACTTCATTCTTTTTCAGCAGGTGTATCATTTGCCCGAACCCATTGTGAAGCTTTCCAGTCGTAGCCGGCTCGACGAATACTTCTGAGAATAGTATGGTTGCTCGCGTCTATGCCGGTTGCGATTCGTATATCGTTGCATGACATAGAGGGACCACGTTGAAGAGCGGCTATTATCGCACGTAGATCGTCTCCTGATATTTTTGAAGGTCTCCCTGTCCGTACAACTGTCTGGCCCTCGTTTCGTTTCGCTTGCATTTTGAGAGTGTATTGGACGGTGGATTTTGAGATTCCATGGTAGTTGGCAATGGTAGTGAGTGACGCCCCTGCCATGCTCGCGCCGGCAATATGACCACGTATATAAGGGGTTAGCTCCTTACCACGCATGGGTTTGTCATTTGTTGATTGTTCTGGCGTTGGTGGCGGCATTTTCGCGTGGTTCAAAGTGGGAGATTTCGTGGTACGTCTGGACGCGTCGTGCAAAGTTTAGTGGGGTGACGAAAGTTTGCGTATGGCAGGGTGCTGACAGAATATTCTGCCGGCCAACAACAAGCAGGGATCATGTTCAATACTAGTACTAGTTAGTACCCACCTGGGCACCATCTATTATGGACCAGAGAATATACTGACTTAATATGAGAAAGATTATCACTTTGATATTTTTGTTCCTGATATCTCTAAATTCTGTGTATATTTTGAATACACTATACTACACGATCGTGTGGTGTCTCAACGCGCACTAGCGCAGGCGGTCAGGCTACACAACGTTAGTCATGTGCAAACTTTTGTTAGAACGGAACTTTTTAGTTCCAAAACAATCCCATTTGTCGATGTGACCTCCGGTAAAGGCTTGGTTTAATTTGGTGGGGTCTGCTCTTCTCTAAGAAATTCGATGGAGGTGTCGTAGATTACTGATTCTTACGCCCCTCTGCCATCGCCTTCCGCAATCGTACTACTGGCATTATTTCCATGATATTAACTATTCCTGCTTCTGGTGTTAGGCGGAAAGTTCAACGTCACAGAATTTTTATCCTATATAGATGATACACCCATAATCTCGGGAGAAGGAATACGTCTTCCCCCCACCCATAATGGCTGGGCCCACCTAGTGGGATTCTTGCCTTGGCCCATAGGGAGACAGCTGCCCCAGCACAGCTTCCTCTGGCAACTAGCACAATTTCTTTGACACCTTCAACCTTTCGTTGGGCTATTTTTATCTTGAATTCCCGATTTGGCTCACGATATCATGATTATACGCAGGTCCTGAAGATTGCAAGCTGGCATCTTGAGTCTGAGCCAACTTGGAACGCTGAGGAACGAGGCAGCGGGAAAGTCCCGGAGGCAGGTAGGTGGCAGCCTGGAGATCTCAACTCCGGAGGATGTAGCAGTTGCGCAAGCTGTTACCTGAATGGGCAGAAATGCCATTTAGAACATTCTCCAGCTGGTCTAGGTGAATTCTTTCTCCCCAAAATACTTGTGCATCACCCTCACCCTCCAGTCGACCTTGGATCAGCGTCAGCTGTATTTGATAGGCCTAGCCTTCAATTTCAAGTCCGGGCACCTAACGAGAACCGAATGTTCCGTCTTGAACAACATGCACCTGGTTGGGTCTTTGGCCCCAAGAGTCGACATATGAGGGCTCTCGACTAGAAACGCACCGGCGGGCGACACGGATACAACGTCATCTTAGTGAGATGAGCAGAGGCCATCGCCATCAGTCAGGCGAAAAGGAAATCGAAGACGCATTTCGCTACGTCAAGAACTTTTCTTGCTTGAGGAGCAACTAGGAGAGAAATCTCCTTGCCGGAATACAGCCCGAACACCGTTTCACCTTTATCTCCTTCCCGCTATCTCCTTCTCTCCTTCTAATATTTCCCCCCTCCCTCTGCCTGATGGTTCTCTCTTTCCGAATAGGAAATAAGTCGGGCGCTCCGATGTGAGCAGACGGCGTAGATGTCATTCTTTTTTTTTGTTTCCGTGCGGTACATTATCTAAACCTATTCAAAAGATTTCTATGCTTCTATAAGTTTTCCTAGTCCGCGAGAGGAGACAAGGACTTTTGAAACCTAGTAAAGCTGGGTAGTATAATAGCAACATTATGAGAAACTGTAGGGCGATGACTTCAATTTTGGAATCACCGACTGCCCCGAGAGAATTTATTAATATAAAATAGGATAGTAAACTTAAATTTCAGAAAGTTTCAGGAGCCATGATATCAGCCTCTCGACTACTTAAACAGATCAAGCCAGTCGTACACGTAGCTCTCAGCACCTGGGTTGCCGATATGATATGCACCCTCGATAAATCTAAGCGGAAAAAATGAATTATAATAGGTAGGAAGGGTTACGAAGTCGTTTACCTACCTGACATCTTTGACTCGCCCGTGCTGGAATGGAATCATTGAGTCTTCGATCGGAAAGATCTCATCTTTCGTGCCCTTGAAACCAATTCATGAGAAACTTCCGTATCTTAGTCTGTGTCTTCATATGGTCACTTACATTGATAAGAAATAGTCGACAACATGGGTTGTCAAAAATACCACTCTCTAGAAGTGAGAATCTTCTCTGAGAATCTTCACTGTATGCTTCCACTGAATCGTAGCCGAACTTGTGCGCCAGAGCTTCCGCGAGGCTGTTTTCGAGTCAGAGTAGCGTTCTAACAATGATGAAATTCGCCACTCACGCATATGGATATTCCATTTTGTCTTGTGCCTTAATCCAGTCCTTGTCAAACATCCGATGACAACCACCGCCCTGGCTAACAACCGCCAACAAGCGATCGGCGTGAGTATGCGCCATACGCATGCCGTAGTATCCTCCGGTGCTCATGGACCGAGCGCATAATTTCTTTGGGTCAAACACATCCTGCGAGTCGATCCAGTCCAAAACACTTGGCCACTGCCTGTCGGGACTGAGAGGGTCCTGCTTTGAAGCAGGCGAGTCCCCTGTTCCCGGAATCTCAACACTCACAACGGCGAATCCTCGGCGAATATGTTCATCAATTCGACTTGTGAAATCAGTGCGATAAGCATCAAGGCCACACACAAATAGCACGACAGGAACAGGGGATGATTTGGAGGCATGCTCTGGGATGCGCACGTAAGCTTGGATTGTGTTCCCGTCGGATGCTGAGGCATGAGTGTGAGGAATTGAAAATTCCTCGTTTGGGGGTGTCAAGTACTTCCCGCCTTTGGAATAGGCTGCCTTTCCTCGCTCCCAAGCTTCAAATGTTTTGGCCGATCGGATGACGGGGAAACGGGAAATTCGGTATAGAGCGACCGCACGCCTAGAGAATTGTCAACTCGGTACAGCTGGTATTGAGCTACAGCCAATTCTTACAGATAGAGGCTCGAAGCCAGTACTGACTCCTGCTTAGCTTCAGCCGCAGATGCCGCTGCTTCGAGCTGTTCGGCGACAGGAAAGAAAGCGGCAGCGTAGGTATCTGGGTCATATGGCTCTCTCATGTTCATCTAGTCGCATAAGTTATCATCACTATGGTGTCCGTAGAGTCTTCCATTCGACTTCACGGCTCGTTACTTACCTCAATAAGTTTCTTGAATACTTGGTCAAAGTCCTGGATGTCGCCATCTGGAAATGGGTATATTCCCATTGCACACTAATTCAATTATCGATCAACGAGTGGTTTCTGTCAGCTTTTGTGGTAGACAACATACTGGAGCTCTCCATTTGCCTTCCCACAGAGCTTGGATAGAGGTATGATGCGGTGCCAATTTGTCAAAGCTCTCACGAGCCCAAAATTTTGAGGTAGCTGCCATATCAAATGAATTCGTGGCTTTTCGGTTGTTCAAACAAGCTCTTTTGAAAAGCAGGATATTGTTCTGAAGGACCTTCTTGGCAGACTCTTAAATCATTTATATAGTATCTTTGCAGTTGATTATGCATCACCCCCACTAGGTAGCATGATCCTTAGCTAGACAAACTTTCGGAGCTACCCCGGGGTGGGGCTAGAATAAGCGCCTGCATATCCAATACCTCTACATGGAGTAATCTCACCGGGGGATCCCTACAGGATTGCTGCATAATGAGAACCTAATTCTTCTTGATTCCATCCAATAACATCGAACTCCGTATTTACCAACACATCAGACCCATGCAGTCAGATCTCGGAGGGGGAAGAACGGGGGAACGGGGAACGAAAATGAACTACTAGCCCAACACGGAGCTAGACTAAACAATAGCCACAAGTTCAAGGCAGGATAAATGGAACATCAACCAGAGAATTCAATATATTTGACTTCGGTACAACTTCAAAGATTTGGAATCATCCCATGCAGCTTATTCTTCCTGTTCAGGGCCCGTGCTGGATCGAGCCTACAATTTGTCATGCTACAGCTTTCTCAGAGTCCTCATCGACTTGCACGATGATCAGACTTGATATTTATACTATATTGTTTTCCAACAAACTTTCTTGACCTTCAATCGTTCTACTTTCAATTTCTAAAGACCTGGATTTGTCAATATGTCCCAACCCATTGTCGTCGTTTTCGGTGCAACTGGCAAGCAAGGTGGCTCCGTTGTCAGCAGCCTCTTGTCAGGTGGGTCAGTTAGCAAATATCGTGTCAGAGCAATTACGCGCGATGTCAAAAAGCCCAGTGCCAAAGCCTTGAGTTTGAAGGGTGCTGAGGTTATTGCGGTATGTTTTGTTTCAATTCTAATTCCACTTTAACGCCGACTGATTTCAAAATTCGAAAAAAAGGCCGACTTGAGTGATAAGGGGTCAATCGTCAAGGCGCTGAAGGACGCTTACGCAGTATATGCTGTGACCAATTATTGGGACCACCATAGTGCCGACGTGGAATTTGCTCAAGGGAAGAATATTGCCGATGCTTGCAAGGTGAGAGGTCTCATCCATTATCTGATATTCCGCATCGTTTTTCTGAATTAGTCGATAATCTAATAGTCTAAAATTAGGAAGAGGGTATTCAGCACTTGGTGTGGAGCAGTCTACTAAATGTCACGGAACGTACGTGTTGTCTAACTCCCCCGGCTCGCATGTATGTCTCACGCTGAGACTTTGCTTGGAACCATGTTGACGAACCTTGAAGTGTCTGGCGGTGTCCTCTCCCAGGTCCATCACTTCGACAGTAAGGCAAAGGTCGAAGAATACATCCGCAAGGAAGGGATTCCCGCCACATTCATGCTTCCAGGCTTCTACATGTCGAATATCCCTGGAGGTAATTTGCGGAAAACGCCAGAAGGTATATGGAAACTCGCTCTTCCAATTCCTGGCGACAGTCCGGTACCTCTATTCGCGTCTGAATATGATACGGGAACGTTTGTTAAGAGCATACTGCTTAAGAGAGATGAGACTCTGGGAAAGCGCATCTATGCTGCGACAAAGTACTATACGCCTCTTGAAATTTTGGCGACTTTCAAACAGCAGTACCCCGACGCGGGCAAGGATGCTGTCTTTTCGGAGCTACCACATGCGGTATTCAAGGGTATTCTCGCCGCTGCGGGGATGCCTGATGTTGTTCAGGAAGAACTACTCGAAAATATGCGTCTCATGCCAGAATTTGGATACTATGGCGGAGAGGCACTCGAGTCAAGCACAGAGGTAGCTCTCGCTCTTCCCAAATGAGACATTTTACGGGTATGAAGTAGTTCGCTAACATCACTTTTAGATTTTGGATGAGCCCCTCACGACATGGAGTGAATATATGAAAAAGACGTCGGCTTTCGCTGATCTGGATTAATGGACATGGTTGACCTCGGGAAGGAACCTTCTCCCTAGTGCAAATCGCAAATTTATCTATTGAATATTATTTTGCCGCGTTAGGTTGTACACGCAAGGCGGGATCTCCATGCGTTAGAAATCGTTCGAAATACAACGGAGTATAGAAGTGAGTCCAATAATGAAATCACATATCTCATCGTCCGCCCGACCACGCTCATTCGTCGTTTAAGTTTATCGAACTGACCTCCCGTTCGAGCGGCTCTGCTCCTTGCAGATCGCCAACACCCGGGGCACACTAAAACATCAGTAATCGGCATGGTTCCTCAGCTCTGTAGGTATTATCAAGATTCCAGTCAATCACCCAACCTGATTCAACTCTGAATTGATACCAGAACCATGAACTAAATATGAACTTCCAATACTATTAGCCCTCGGCCACATTCCGATGCAATTCAAATCCACATCCCCATAAAATAAGATAGCAGCGACCACACAGAGACAACGTCCAAAATCGAAAATATGGGGGAAATTGGCACGAGACTGGGGTAATTCCCAGTACCATTCCCCCGCAAACCCTAATTCCTCTCTGTGGCCACATTATTCGACGAGGGCTCCGGTGACGTGGGATACTTGGGCGGTGGCGGGCTATCTGGCCTCCACCTAAACCAACTATTGGAAAAAGTGACTCCAATCCGATCGAATTAGCCTTTCTATAACTATTTTAGGCCTGACGCGAAAACGCCTTAACTCTGACGCGCTCCTATTATCCCCGCCTCCGCATCCCCTATATACAGAAGGAAATGTCGCCCCCCCCCCCGGACCCTCGTGAGTGAACACGACGACATCGCCATGCACCCAGCTCTTGCCCTCCTCACCGGCCTCACCTGTGCACCTCGGATGCCTTGTTCACGATGGTAGCAGTTGAGGAAGACGCGCCATCGTTTTTCACGCCTGGCAGTGGAAACATCGCGCTCGGAATCGCTATCGTAGTCTTCATGACTATCGCCCTGTACAACGCGCTGGAGTTATCCCTCCTGATCCCTCTTAGCTTCCGCCGCTATCGCAGCCTCTATTTTTGGTCGCTTCTTACATCCGCTACGCTTGGCGTAATACCCGCGACTATTGGGCCGGTGCTTCAGTTTTTCAGCCTTGCACCACTATGGTTGAGTCTGTTCTTGTCGAATCTGGGGTTTGTCATGATGGTTCCGAATCAATCGGTGGTTCTCTACTCCCGCCTTCACTTGGTCTCGCAAGACACGAATATACTGCGCGCTGTGCGGTGGCTTATTTTCGCAAGTCTTTTTGTTATTATCCCGACCATCACCACGAACGTGGGCGACGCGTACTTGCCACACAACAGGAAGTGGTCACGCAGCTTCCAGGTGCTCGAGCGATTCCAGGTTACCTGGTTCGCTGTGCAAGAAATGATCATATCGAGTATCTACATCTATGATACTATCCGAATGATGAGGCTGAGTCCCGAAACCGATAAACGGCGGAACAAGATCCTATACGAACTGTTGGCGGTCAACGTGACGGCAATTTTGATGGATTTGACGTTGGTTGTCCTGGAATACGTCGGATTCTATTTCACGCAAGTTATTCTCAAGGCTGCTGTCTACAGTATCAAGCTGAAGCTTGAATTTGCCGTCTTGGGCATGCTGGTGTCCATTGTACATTCCCGTGGATCGTGGCAGGCGGACTGTGACACTTCTATGCTCTCATGATAAAAAGGAAAAGAAGAATAAAATCAGACATAAATAAGCGTAGATATAAATTGTAACTGAGATCCATTCTAATCGAATCATTTGAGTCAGCGCTTATCAAGAACATGATCTTCTTCCTCATCCGCCGCCGTCGGATCGGCCTCGCGGCTCGGCACTTTTGACCCGCCCCGCATTCTTCGTCTTTTGCGGGGAAGAGCGGACCGCGCGTCGGAAGTGAACCGACTCTTCGGAACAGCTGCCAGTTACACAGTAGCTGCAAGTGAAGGTTGCAGTTGATGTCCGAAACTCTTAGTGATCACTACTAGCACCTAATGCTGGTTGTTTTGGCGATGCCGTGTTCCGAACGTGCGGGGCTACCCCGCGACACTTTGGTTATATATCGCATTACATTCCACCCCAATTCATGTTTTCCTCAATTTTCCCCTCCAAATCATAAACGAAAGTAAAAATGTTGGGAAAGATCGCACTTGAAGAAGCTTTCGCGCTGCCGCGCTTCAAGGAGAAGACGAGATGGTGGGCTGGTCTGTTCGCCACTGACGTCGACAAGCACGTCGCAGAGATCAACGACGTCGACTCTATTCGACTGAACTTCGCCGAGAAGCACGGTGTCGGTCTACAAATCCTTTCATACACTGCGCCCGGTGTGCAAGATATCTGGGACCCCAAGGATGCCCAGGCTTTGGCTGTTGAGATTAACGACTATATTGCCGAGCGCGTCAAGGCGCATCCTGATCGTTTCGCCGCATTCGCGTAAGCACTTCCAAAACTGCAGGCTACGAGCTGAACTGACAATATGATAGTACACTTTCCATGCACGATCCCCAAGAAGCTGCTGCCGAGCTTCGCCGTTGTGTAACACAGTACGGGTTCCTCGGTGCCTTAGTCAACGATACGCAAAGGGCCGGCCCCGATGGCGATGACATGATCTTCTACGATAACGAGAAATGGGATGTCTTCTGGTCAACATGCGAGGAGCTCGATGTCCCTCTATACCTACACCCGCGCAACCCGACTGGAACAATTTACGATAAGCTCTGGGCCGACCGCAAATGGCTCGTTGGGCCTCCCCTCTCGTTCGCACAGGGTGTCTCGCTCCACGCACTGGGTATGGTGACCAACGGTGTCTTCGATCGTCACCCCAAGCTTCAGATTATTCTCGGCCACTTAGGCGAGCACATCCCATTCGATATGTGGCGCATCAATCACTGGTTTGAGGATCGCAAGAAGCTTCTTGGTCTGGCGGAGACTTGCAAGAAGACTATTCGCGAGTACTTTGCTCAGAATCTGTGGATCACTACCTCCGGTCACTTCTCAACTACTACCCTTAACTTCTGTATGGCGGAGGTTGGGGCTGATCGTATTCTGTTCAGTATTGATTATCCCTTCGAGACATTTGAGGATGGCTGCGACTGGTTTGATAATGCGGAGCTGAACGAGACTGATCGGTATAAGATTGGGCGGGAGAATGCCAAGAGGCTGTTCAAGCTGGGTGCTTACAAGGATAGCACCGCCTAAATGTATTGATATGAATTAGAGTCTTCTGATAATCTGAACTGGAGACAACTTTTGGATTTTACATTTTGTAATAAATCCCTGCGACTCAAATATGCCCTCTTGGCGCTGTAATCTCAATGAACTGTCTGCCTAATACACACCTCTCAAATGATGGTCTGCTTACAAAATGATGAATCTAGAAGATTCTGTTTGAGACGAAATAGTCCGGATATAGCGTGAATATTGAGGGGGTATCTCCGATATAGAAGCTGCTAGTCTAGTCACTCTCTGGGTGATGGGACGGAGGTGGTTGGTCTTTTCGGTCCGGCAAAGCCCCGAAGAACCGAATCCCGCAAATGAAACACCGATCTGGTAACCCAACCAGGCATAGTGCACACAACTAACCCTTGAACACTTTTGATAGATACCAAGGATTGCATTGCAGCTCACCATGCAGCAAATAACAACATGACACAGTTACAGGTTCCTAAAAGGCGCGTGTTGTCTTGGACCCCGATCACCCAGCAACTTTGGGAACACGCTTATAAGACGACCGACGAACTCACCTATGACCGAAAAGATATTCCGATTCTCAATCCGAATACAATCAAACAAAATGATCGCTTATCTGAAAGTTGCCTCGATCGCTCTTCTGGCGCTGCTTGATCTTACCGTCGCACGCCCGTCAGACTGTCGCCCGAACACATGGCTAAATCTCAAGCCCATCCCAGTTCCACGACAAGAGCACTCTACTGTCGCTCTCAATGAAACCACTATCGCCGTCATCGGAGGTGTTCATATAGAAGGAGCTTCCGCCAGCAGTACTGACCTGGTGCAGTTCTACGACATCCCATCCGACACCTGGCGCAACGGAACCTCCATCCCGTATGGTATCAATCATCCCAATGCCGCGGCGGTGAATGGCAGGATATATCTATTGGGTGGCCTCACGGACGGAGCGCTATCTCCTGGGGAGTATATCAACTGGGTCGCTACAACGGGGTCGTTCCTCTATGACCCCGCAACCGAGACGTGGTCAGAATTGGCCCCCCATGCCGAACGGAACCGAAAGAGGCAGTGCGATTGTCGGCGTACACAACGACATAATTTATCTCGCGGGCGGCATGACCGTGCTTCAGAATTACCAAGACTCGCTCACAACGGTCAACGCTTTCAACACAACCTCCGGGTCATGGATTCGACTTCCCCCGCAGCAGCGAACATTCCGGAAGGCCGTCAGCACGGCACGGGAGGTGTGATCGGGAATAAGTTCTATGTCGTTGGGGGCCGTTGGTTCGGCCAGATGAACGTCCGAGGAACTGTTTACGAGCTTGACTTGACAAACCAAGAGGCGGGATGGAAGACGAGCCCATTCCACATGCCAGTTCCACGTGGCGGGCTTGCCGGCGGCATCGTCGGAGAGAGGATCTATACTTTTGGCGGCGAGGGAGATCCAAACACTATAACCGGCGTGTTCAATCAGTCTGAGTCTTACGATGTTAAGTCTAGGCGTTGGTCTGAGCTTAAAGACATGGCGGTGCCCCGTCATGGAACTTCTGCTGTCGCCATCGGCAACAAGGTCTATATCCCTGGAGGTGGCTTGCAACAGGATGGGAAGGTAGTGGATTATAATGGTACATTGAAAATCAGCAATCAGTCAAATCGGCTCGATGCGTACTGTGTCTAGTGGCCCAATGAAATCATGGCCCCAGAGCGGTCGTTTAGCCTGAAACAAGTTTGTGCCCAGGTGGTGGGCGTTCGACGACGGGCTTTGTGCCATTACTATCTGATGGTGCAGATTAGTCTTCCAGCCTCTTATGATGCAGTAAAGAACCGGTGCAATGTATTATCTACCATGTTCCTTCAAGCTACTGAGCTAGAACGTATAAGTTCGAATTCCAAAGTTCATTCCCGAGGTCACGACATTTACTAGTACTATAAGTAGTAGTGAGGCTTCTCCAGGGCTGGTCTAGCAGCGTCACTGCCAGTGATAATATCAGTGACAAGCGCGGCAAATGATATACATCTTCAAGCTGGGGTCTCCTGCCGATGTGACCTGTTGCGTAGTATTTCCGTCAACTCTGTAACTCGATCCAAAGAGCATGTCTTGCCGGGCGCATTTCCAACTCAAAGGACTTTCAGTCCCAGGTGGAAGAAGTGAGGTTCATCTTTTTGCCACGACGGGAAAAGCGCGGGAAAGACACATCATGTACTCGCCACCCATCCCTCCCTTTGGCTGCCCCATGCTCATTCCAAAACTCGTCTTCCAGGTCTGTAACAAGAACCTTCAGTCTAGCGTCTAGATGAAGAAGCCGCTTTGCAAAGTCATTCGCGTGGGGTACGAATCTCTTCAGAACAGCCTGTTCGTCCTCCTCTGTTGGAGTCCGAAATCCGACTTGAAGCTCACGTAGTAATTGATACAGGGCGTTCACGGTGGCTACCTCCCTCACATATGCGTCGAGTAGCGTGATAACTCTTTCTAGCGTTCCGACGGAGAGCCCCTCGAACAGCCTTAGACTCGCGAGGCCTTCCTTGGTGAGAGCTGTCCACAGAGGGTCTAGTACGCGGGTTTCCGCCCTCGTTTTCAATCTTCCTCGATTGTCCCTGTGATGGTCACTGGACTCTTCTTCGGGCTTGTCGACATAAGAAGACATCCCCGCACCGAAGAAGAGCTCACCTAGTCGAGAGGCGTGTGTTCGTCCGTCTTTGTCATGGGCTTGATAGACTCCAAGCCAGGCCACCTGATAAAGGGAGTAAATATTGTCTTCTAATCTCTTCTCCTCGGTCATTATCTCATGAGAATCTGATGGGCCTTTGTTCAGACTCGCACGAGAGTCAATACTATCTCCAGGCCCCGTGCTGACCCTGTCCTTTCCCGAGCGGAAGCTAAACATTTCAAGCAGTTTTCTGTAAGATGGTGTTGATCAAAGAGAGTTCGGAGAAAGTAGAATTATCAGGAGGGCAGAAAATGAAATGCGCAACTTTGAAACTAAGAGGCAACGGGCAGGTCATATAAGCATTCGCTGTGAGGGTGCCTTGCCGTTCTTGGCACCTGCTAATCAAGGTCTAAGCCACATAAGCCGCATGGCTGCTACCTACCTAGGTAGCTCTACGTATGGGATTTCCTATGACGGGTGGGGCTTCCCCCCCAGCTTCGATGAGGACGCTCAGACTCAGGCTCACCGATTAAAACTCAGTCCGGGCTCAGAAACCAGTATCGCACTGGTTCGGTATATCAAGTATTTCTGAATTGATTTCAATCATGCCTTGATTGGTGCAGCATGTCTCTTGCCGAAATGGAGTTTATTCTCTCATGAGCCCATTGAAGTCGTTTTTCACAATTTGCTGCTGTGATTTGAGGATTTTGTGCTGTTGGATGGTTGAGTATCACGTTGCGAACGTTGAAGTGGGGCTCGCCAATTTAACAGCGCAGATTGGTGCTTATTTCTCTAATCTTTGGAGAACGAGCGGAGGGTCAGCATGAAGCCGTTTGACCCTCGAGGGGCCCAAGTATGGTCCCAGTCAACCCCGAGGCTGTGGGTTTTGTTAGCGTTCTTGTTCTTTTCTCTTTGCCTTGTGATCTTCTCTTCTCGCCCATGTCCGTTTTGCGTATGGTACCTATTGGCCTAGCCCCAATAATTGATAATAGCCTACGAGTAGGCAGAACTTGAATCGTTCATTGTCATGCTTTATTGAGATATTTCGTAGAGGAAGGAGTAGATGGGATACCTGGCACTGTACCCATTACTAATCGGTCACCTGGTCACCTGGCCCTATGCTGTATGTAAATGCATAAGAAGGAAGGTACGGCCCATGTCCATTTGAGGAATTCAGTTTGGGTAACTGCCCAACAGTGAATGTTTACTTCTTCCCGCTTCATCTCTTCCTTCTTCCTTCATCTCCCAACACTTTAACCCTTTCAAACTTCTAGTTCCCCGATTGAAGACTTCAATATCCGACCTTTTCTTCGAGTTCATAGAAGCTCTCGTCCGGTGAAAGACTTCAAGTCCTTATGAGCAGGCAGTGATCCGACCTCTACGACGCAAATTCATTATCCTCCAACACCGCATGGCTCTGCAGGAGAATGTGGCACGCAGATCTGGGAATTTTCCTGATCGAGACGAAAAAACCGCTTCCAAAGAGACCAACCAGAATGCTCTGACTCCCCATATCGATTCTGGAATGTTCAGCGCCCATTTCAATATTCATTCGCAGCAGGATCGACTCCAAGCTCATCCTGAAGACGATGCAAGTCCCAATCGGCATCAACGTGGACATACACATACTTCAGCCTATTGTCAAGACAAAGCCGAACCATTTGTGAATATTGCAAAGGAATACGACCAAGAAGATGGCAATCGCATCGGAAATCAAATTGAAAAGGTGATCGAAATACAGCTGGGAGGGAAGTTCAACACGGCGCTTCCAAAAATGATTGAAACAGACTTCACAGAAGAAAAGGCTTTGTTGGCTGTTGACATCAAAGATATCGGCATTAGCTCGAGTCAAGTGATTAACCAATTTCAAACGGAAATTCCGACCACACTTCCAATCCCAATCAATATGGTCGAAGGCAATGAACCTCTTCAGGTGGCAGTCATGGCTACAGCAGATATCAGTCCCAACACTACGGCAGATAATGTGCTTGTCATCGCAAACGACACCGAGCAATTTCCAATCTTATCCGGCAGATTGACGACTTATTCCCTGATCCCTGGAGAACCAGCGGGGGCTCAGGTTGAACAGGCCGAAGAATCGCGTGGCCCGAGGACACCCCAGTTGCAACCTGGAGGTTATGGGTTTCATGTCCCTGTCAACCCAAACGACGCCTTGGAAGCTGCGCGTTTCTTAAATCTAATCGCGCTCAAATCTTTTCGTTGCAACGTCGTTACAGAGGCGATTGATGGGCAGCAAGAGCGTCTGCAGGTAACTGAGGAGCGGCTCAATTATCATGATGACCTGCTCGAGTACGCCAATGACTTCATTGACGCTTCCGGCCATGATGCCAATTTTGACCGTTTCTCTCATGTGTCATTACAAGCTCGCATTTCCGCTCGACAAGGGGGCACGCATTTTCTTGAATCGGGCCTTCACCCTAACTCGTCTATCCACCACGAAGCAACAAAATCCAACACACGAACCTCTCAGGCTGTCAGCAGTAAGCAACTTCAACCCCATAACGAAAGGGATATGCTAATGAATTAGACGAATCAAGCTCCCGAACCAATGACCCCGCCAAACATGATGTCAATTCCGAGTCGATCTATGAAGATGGCGAGAGTCCTCTTAGCAGTAGATAACGTGGCTCCGAATCCGAACGATGTATACTAATAGCTTTATTAGAGGGAATTCTGAAAGACCCGGCGAACCTTGCCAGCGACTCCCAGCAAGGGCCTATCACCCCGTTTCAGACCCCGGTCCGATCTACCATCTTTGCCACCCATTGCCCTCTCAGCGACGACCCATCCGAACGCATCCAAGCACTTGAGACCAACATCGAAAGTCTCCGCCGCCATATGCACGGCCTTGAGGGCCAGCTGGAAGTCCAGGCATCACGTATCTGTGTTCTGGAATCCTCTCCTCTTTCCCCGGAAGAATTCCTCAAATTTCCAGACCCCTCCATCGACCCCGACGTCTCTCCCTATCGATCCCGTGTTGAATCCCGGGAATCGCCTAAGGGGCTTCTTCCAACCTGCAAATATGTTGAATATGCCAGGTCTTCTGGGCAAGTGTCACAACCCTGTCTCGGTCCTGCCTCACGAGAAGTCGCTGTCGCCCCTGCAGAAGCCTTGCCTGGAAATACAGCATTCCCGATTAATTCAGAGATGACGCCTCTGGAACTGCACTCTGACCCTCTCGGATTTGAAGCTTCATCTGGGAATTCCTGCTGGTCAGAACAAGTACGACCTGATCTATTTCCTGATTCCATCTGCAGTAATAGCAGTGTGACTGCTGGGGGCAAATCAATCGCCACAGAAAGTGCATTCAACAACTCTGCGGAAGTGATAAAAGGGCTTACTGTGACTCCCATCAAGTCCAAATCTCAACCTTCGAAATCGCTCGCCGAATCTACCTTTTCAAATACCAACTTCCACAAATCCCACGTTGAGCCTCTCGAATCCGGTGCACAATCTGGGTATGCTCTTGGCTTTCAAGAACCCCGTCTACTTCCATGTTCTTCATCCCTCATCGGCCCTGTCACTGTCACAAACACGACCCTCAAGACCTCCGCGGAAGTAGCAGGCACGTCAGATCCAAAAGAGCAGGAAACCATTTTCACTTTGGCAGACAGAAGACCAAACCTCGCGGATGCTACAATGGCAAGATACTGGGAAGATAAACTACCGCTTGGCCAGGTTGATCACTGCAGACAACATGAAGCTTTAAGTGACTCAAATCCACAACCAACTTCGGCAAACGTTCCGGCTCTGAGGTTGTTAAAGGAAAAGGAGAAGATATATGAGGGCATGTTTACTTCAATGGATGGATCCTTTACAGCGAAGACTTCCGCCTGCCAGGATGACATGGTCCTCTCTACACATTTTTCGCCCTCCAATCCAACAAAGGCTTTTCGCAGCCAAAGCCCGGGCCAGAAGATTGGCAGAGTGTTAAAAAGTCAGCAAGTGGAAGAAACTACGGAGGCTTCGGTGAACACATCCTTGCAGGAGGAATTACGCGAATTGCATCGTGAAATCGACCTTCTGAACTCCCGTATCGATCTGTCCGGATCCGCTGCTCGAGCCGGAACTGTTACGAAATCCGCCAGTCCTCAAAGCCCTGCAGCCTCTGTGGAAGTCGTCGACAATTTTCCAGTCTTCCCGGTTGAGTCTCAAAGTGTACCTCAATTCCAACTTGAATCCTCCCAGTTGCCCCTTTGGAACTTGACTGAGCCGCCTGCGGGTTTCGGATCGGGCGCCGATTCTGCCAGTTGCGATAGTTCAGCCTCTGACGCGAAGGCCTTCATTGAGGCAGAGGTCGAACGGGCTCTAGGCGCGGAATTCTTCAAAATGCGCAACGCGATTATTGACCTCAACTCCCGCGTAGATCTGCTTGAATCTCTACCGCAATCAGTCCGTATCCCTGGCCATGCTCGCTCTTCTTCCAGCGCTTTCAGAGGAATTCCAGCAACCCCCATGAATCTCAGCATGGTAGCTCCTCCGTATCTTCCCGATGATCCGGAGCTTCTCAGACGTTACATAGAGCTCGAGCTTGATAAGATTCTTGACGTTCGCCTGGCCCTTTTCGAAACGCGCTTGACTTCGAGAATGGAACGTCTCGAATACCGCGTCTACAATCTTTCACTGACCGTCACTGCTCTGTGGCAGAGCCTATGGAACCTTGGCTGGGCTGTCGGTGGTTGGGGTATCTGGAATTTTAGCTAGGGCGTGTTGAATGAGGTATGACGCGTGGAGTTCAGCAGCATCGACTGTACCATCACCAAAGGCAAAGGTTCTTCTACAACGATCTGGTCAATCTTCTGGGTCAATACACCCGGAGGTTCGTGGTGGCTCTGTTTTGACTCCTGCGGAGTTGTTATTATTCCTCGCATAAAGATGTTTGACCCCGGCGGGTTCTGCTGTTTAGTTCGACTTTCCTGTACAATAGTGATACTCTTACCTCTTCTTTCTTTTTCTTAATACCTATGATGGTTGAGCCGAATGCCCCAGGGTGTACAAGTCGGGTTGGAGCGGCTTGTTTGTCATTTATGTTTTTCACCATGTCTTTTCCATTGTTTCTTTTACCCGCTGTTTTCATAGAGGTTTAGATCTGGTGTATATCCATGATGGCCCCGTAAGGACGGGCCCTTTACTTTCCACTCTTATACTTGAAGGTATTGCTAATGGAGTAAGGTTGACGTTAGTCCCTCGGTACTACTAGTATTCGTGGGTATACTACTATTACTACTAGGCTTTGGAGCCAGATACCCAGGCACTGTATAGTACTATGTAGTATCTTTATATGGCACAATAATTCCAAGGTGAGCCTATCCTTTTTACTGTGCTACCGATAAAATTTCCGATAGTATTACTATTATTCGATCAAGCTCTACACTGTCTATAGTACAGGCTGAGCCCAACAGTCAACGAGGGTGACTAATAGACGCATACCTTCCTTCTCCCCTTTGATTCTCCTAACATCCATCCGATCTCGTTGATCTTTCATCTCGCGTACATCACAGCAATATCCACTACATCCTCGGATCCAATTCTGAAAATGACCAATAGTTGAGTATACTAGAAAGTCTCCACTCAATCTGATATGACTATCTTTCAGGGAAACACGAGTGAAGATTTTAGTGGTTCAAGCTGTCTTGAATTGTTCTTTTTACTGTTCTTCGATCTATCATGTGATCAACCTTTACTACTAGAGTGCTGGTAACGTGTTTCACCACCGAACCGCCACCACCACCGAGCCGCCACCACCTCAAAAAAATCGCGTCGCGTGTAGCACCCCCATCTTTAAACCACCACTATGCCACCAATTCGTACCGGACGAACGCGCAAACTCATTGAGCAAGAAGGCAGGATCGAACTTGCTATACAGGCGCTAAGAAACAAGAAAATAGCTTCTATTACTGAAGCTGCGCGTGTTTATGAGGTACCTCGTACAACATTACGCGACCGCGTCAAGGGGATCGGTTATCGTAACACCACTCGCGCAAATTGCTCAAAATTGGATAAAATCGAAGAGGATTCGCTTGAGCGATGGATATTGGATCTAGATATGCGTGGCAAGGCCCCTACCTTAGCTATGGCAAAAGAGATGGCCAATATTCTACTTGCTCAGCGCTCTGTCAATACCCCTCCCTTACCACTCGGCAAAAACTGGATATCTCGGTTTGTTGCACGCCGTGAGAAGCTAAAAACCCGGTTTTCACGTCGTTACGCCGCTCAGCGTGCATTATGTGAAGATCCGGAGCTTATTCGCGAGTGGTTCGATCAGTATCGCAACATCATTGCTGAATATGGCATCCTTGACAACGACATCTATAACTTTGATGAAACTGGCTTCGCAATGGGGATCACTAGTACTTCAAAAGTGATCACTAGTCGGGAGTGGCAGGGAAAAAGAAAAGTCGTGCAGCCTGGTAACCGGGAGTGGGTTACTGCAATTGAGTGTATCCATTTGGATGGTGTTCTACCTCCAACGATCATTTTTAAAGCTAAGGTTTTTATATCTGCTTGGTGCAGTATTGTCCCAGACAACTGGCGCTTCGAGGTCAGTAATAATGGATGGACTACTGATCAAATTGGTATTTCATGGCTCGAAAATTCTTTCATCCCATACGTTAAGAAGCGTCAACATGGTGCCTGGTCTCTCCTAGTCATGGATGGCCATGGGAGTCATCTTACCCCTCAATTTGATACTCTATGCATGGAAAACAATATTGTGCCAATCTGCATGCCATCTCATTCATCGCATCTATTACAACCTCTTGATGTAGGTTGTTTTGGTGTATTGAAGCACTTCTATGGTCAGGCTGTGCAAGATCTTGCCCGCATAGGCTCTACAGATATTAAAAAGCTCGATTTCCTTCATCTGTACCCTACAACACGTGCAGCAACATACACAACCTCTACAATTGCTAGCAGTTTTATGGCATCAGGTATCATTCCATATGCGCCTGAGGTAGTACTTTCAAAACTTGAGGTTCATCCCCCGTCACCTACACTACCACCATCACGTGGTAGTGCTAGTAGTCATGAATTTATACCTCATACACCATCAAAAGCTATCAATTTCCGACGCCAGGCAGCATCAATCAAGCGATTACTAGAATATCGAGATATTTCACCCAATAGCGATATATATCAGCAATTGGAGCAGACTACCAAAGGTGCACAATTACTTGCTAATCAGCTTGTAATGCTGACGACTACATATGAGCGTGTAATGGCAGAGAATGGACGAAAGCAGCGAAAAAAGGCCTTACCTAATAAGCAATTGGTATACGAAGGTGGAATGACTGCCGAAGAGATGCAATTACGTCTACAAATTGAGCATGAGCACCAAATGGCAATACCCCCGGTGCCACGGCGTGCTCCGGCAGCTACAGAGACGACGATTAGGAGGCCTGTACAGCGCTGTACTAATTGCAGAGAGCCAGGGCACAAGCGGAATAGGTGCCCGGTTGTGAATAGTGCTTAGTTTTTGCAATATATTATATGGTGGTTGTGTAATATTCAATATATATCGTTGTAATGTAGGTGGGGTGGCGGCTCGGTGGTGGTGGCGGTTCGGTGGTGAAACACGTTATCACATTGACTCTGTATACTAAACCTTAGGTAACACTAGTGACGGTGCAGTAAATAGTCGTGCCTTCCCTCAACTTCTTCTCCTCCTCTCTTCATCCACATTATTTTCTTCTCTTTTCTTTTTTCCTCCAACGCATCTCTTCTCATCTATTCCTCGCACCCAAATCTCGGATCTCGTCCCAAGCTCTCCCGACACCAGCTCTGCCAGAGTGGTGCGAGCAGTGTTTACCAACTTCGGATCTCCGTCCAGGTGCCAAAAATCACCTGCCTCAAAGCTCACCTCAATTCATCCAGTTCTTTGAAACTTCCGGCCTGCCTCATTCCGAGGCGCCGATTGCACGCTGCACACGCAACAGTCCCACGGGCTACGACGGTGATAAAGAAGCATACTCGGGGGTTTTGACTAAAATCATTGCTGCACACATCCACTCAGGTCAGTCCGCCCATCTTCTCTTCCCCTTTGAACTTTGCCACCTGAGCCCAACATCCGATCTTGTGGGGAGTCTAATTTCGGGAGTGGACATCACAACAATCACAATCACATCCATCCTCGATCCCATATCTCCGCAATGACCAAGTGTTATTTGAAGGATGCCTCGGATCCTCCACGTGGTAGGGCGAACAAAAGGGGAAGAAATACACCTGCGAATGAGGCACCCGAGCCATCGGCTGATAGGGAAGAAGACCCGGCACCCAACACAGGAGAAAATCCAGGAACGTCTCCCTCGACCGGTCATGAACCGCAATCTGTGACCTCTGCAAGCCCCCAGACCCAACCGACAGACACCACGGCCAGTCAGCCACGAACAATTGAAGAACTCAAAGAGATAATAGATCGTGACATCACGGAGCTGGTGACCAAGTGGTTAACTTTACCCCTAGACCAGCCGTATGACGCGCGCTATGATTAAGTCATTGACAAGTTCATGCAATTCCATATGAGAGAGATTTATGGGAAGGAAAGGGGTACGATGACTGACAAGGCTTTCAGAGACTGGACCCTGGAGAAACTCAAGGAAAGATATCAGGTCATTCTCGAAAGAATTTTGTAAGGTAAGCACGTTGGTTCCCATTGCAGTATCCTGTACTGATGACTTTGAAGAAGAGGATCGAAATGCCGACGCGGCAAAACGCGGCAAGAAGTGATTCTAGAGGATTGGAGTCTCCACGCACTTTGAGTTGAAAAGTAGGCTGTGGTCGAGAGTTCCAGGTTGCAGGCCTCGGGGTTGTGAGCGAGTTCTCGAGAATATTGATAGCGGCTAGCGATCGGTGAATATTATCGAGGTGGACGAGCTTGTCTGCTCCGGCGACAATTGTATTTGTCTGTGGGAGGAGCCTGTTTATGTGGCCACTGAGTCAGAACGAGTTGACAAGCACTACCAACTTTCAAGGAACTGATGGGATGAGCTGTTCGAAATTTATATGTTCTTACTTTATTCTCTTTCTCTCGTTGGGAGCTCTGGTTTATGACTCTTTTATCGATTGGTTCGAGAGGATGGTTTTCTAGTACATGTACCGAATCCATCCTGCGTCCCTATTCTCAACTCCTAATACCGACTTGCCTGTATGCAGCGTAAATTTCCCTTTTAGATCTCAAGTGTTTCCGACAATGGCACACGCGAATTCTGCATCGCCGGGGATTAAACCCTGACCATAGCCCTCTTTTATGGAATGGTGAACTTTCCAAACGCCACGTCCCAGAAAGAGGGGATTGGTGTATCTCCACGGACATTAGATGAATGAGCAAAATGCCACACACTGCCAGTGAAGCACGGCGTCTAATCTCCCCTTTCACCTCCTCTCGCATCTTTACTCCTTCTTGATCAAATGGAATGCTCCGATTGAAATGAGATCTATTAGTATTACAAGCGATGGTAACGTGCATCATAATTGGCCCAGTTTCCATTGCACTATCCAAGAGTCGAAAAGGCATTCATTCTATTCCGGCTCTCCAGCACGTCCGAAAGCCTACGGTGACAAAATACAAGACACTGCAAACCCCCAGGTCATCAATGGGCTCCTTCGAAAACCGGAAGATTTCACCGGGATGCTTGATGGCATAGCTGGACTCGGTCATGACGAGGGATAGGATCAGGATAGCCAGTTCTACTCTCGGAGATCTCATCAAGAGAACCCGCAGCCCGGATTCAGAGCGACCCTGGCAATGAATGGACTAATCAAGAGACGGACCAACGTAGATCGCAGAAAAGCATTCGTCTCCTCGTAAGATGAATCCAGCAGATGGAGATTTCTCGTATTGCCAGGCAGTATCGTTTGTAGGTCTTAAGGCAACTTCCGGTCCTGGTCCACTACCACCGATAGCTCCAGTGACTTGGCGAGGTATGTTTCGGATATTACAGATGGGAAGAATGGTTTGAAGGAAATATTCATTATCATTATCATTATCATTATGCGTATCTAGTATGCAGCGATGCTGACAAAGGACCTGTGAATCTTGTAAATGTTAGCGCGATGCTATCACTTGGCATGGGATGACAGAAAAGGAGTAAAGGAGCTCAGTCAGATAGCAGTTGGACAAGTTTTATCAACAAAGAAGTTCAGAACAGGTCTGTGTGAAATGGTTTTCTCATCATAAGAGCGGGCGGGGGCGGCGTGGTGGGCAGAGAAGAAGAAAAGTGGAAAGATGACGAAGGATTGCGACATACCGAGTTAGTAGGAGCAGCTGGGACAATTAGAGACGCTTGTCTTGTCAAGGCCCAGCTGCAATGGATGTTTTGAGGCGACATTGCGAAACTGCATCAAGTTTGCATTGTGCCAGTGTTGGGATGCGACTTTGGCTAAGACGGCGATTGACGCAGGCCTGGTTGGAATAAATCCAAGACCCGGAACTTCCGCTCAAAATATTGCCATTGGCAAATTCCAGAGGGAATTGTGTTGAAGGGATGAAGAAAAGAGAAAATTTGCGGCGGAGCAAGAGAATTAAATATGCGGTGGTGGATCCAGTTTGCATTGTTTGCACAAAAAAAAAAGATGGGCGAGGGAGACTCGCGTTGGCGTGGCGGGGTGAGTCGATTCTCATTTGGTATTTTGCGGGAAAGAAAAAAAGTGAACCGAAGATTATTCTCCAAGAATATTTCCAGTGAGTCGAGGTCGTGGTGTGTATATCTTGTCCACGAACTAACCATAGCAGATGGCCGAGACCGAGATCACCAACCCGAGCGAGCAATGTGCGTACCTCCGTCAAAACAATCGTGCTGCACACATGACAGGATCAATGCTTACAATATTTCACGGTTCACAGCGCCTAGCTCGCCTTTCCAGAATGTCCGCACGAATGGTCGTGCCTTTGAGTCGCCCAACTGGCGTATGAAGGGCGAAGGTGGTGCCCCCGCGTCCCCCTCCCCTCGCGCCAGCACTTCTCGCCCTTCATTCGGTCAACGAGGACAGACCCCACAGGCGATCACTGACGGTCGCCGCTTATACGTCGGAAATATGCCATATACGGCGAAGGCGGAGGATGTGGAGGCGTTGTTCACGGCGGCCGAGTTTTCCATGTATGTTTGTGTTTGCTGGCGAGCATTGGGGAAGACGAAGATCACCACCCTCCTTTTTGGATTGGTTTGAATGTCGCTGATGATGATTGATCTGCAGTGAGCGTGTCGATATCGCCGTTGACCCTTTCACTGGCCGGAACCCGTCGTACTGCTTCGTCGACGTGGGAACTAAAGAAGAGGCAGCCCGCGCGATGGCTGAGTTGGATGGGAAGGAGTTGCTGGGACGCATGGTGAGAATTAAGCCTGGTGTGCAACGATCTTCGGCAAACCCGGGGTCACCTTCGCCTTCGACTTCAAGTGGTATGGGAATGATGGGAACATCTGGGGTAGCATCTCCCAGCATGGACCGTTGGCGCCGTCCGGACCAAAGCGCCACCGCTGGCAGCTCCAGCTCCAGCCTCAGCACTCCTAAGACGCAAGGTGATTCCAGCCGAAGGGTTTATGTGGGTGGACTGCCACGAGTGGCGGATCAGGAGGAGTTGCAGAGCAAAGTGACAGGGTTCTTCCAGGGATATGAAGTGTAAGTATTAGTGGGGGAGACAGGGTCAGAGACAAGTGTACTAACAGTGGATGTGTATAGGCAAGAAGTGAGTAAGCTGTTTGCACCACACCCGGCCAAGCGATTCGAGCCCGGTGAGCACAACTATCTCTTTGTGGAGTTGGCGAGTGTGGAAGAAGCCCAACGGGCAATGGACAGCCTTAATGGGGTGGATGGACCGTGGGGAGGGCCATTGCGAGTGCAACGGGCCCGAGGAGAGCAGGTGGCGAAGTAATGTGTATGATAAAGATGTATAGACTGAATAGATGTATAGATCGGCAGAGTATCAAGAGTATCGACAGAGTATCGACAGAGTATGAAGTATCAAAAGTATCAAGTAGTAGAAGAAGTCAAGTGATGACGTTAGTGGATCCGCTTCACCGCATTCTCCCTCAACTTCATCAACTTCTCATCTTCTTAATCTCCCCCCATTCGTTCTCTCTTTGTCTTTGTCTTTGTTCTATTTCCTATTTTCAATTTCCATTGACGGCTTGGCTAATTGCTGATTGCTGATTTGCTGCCCTCCCTCCCCGGCTGTACTTGGGCTTGTCTTCAAGTTGTCTTCCTATTCTTCCCGACTCTTCCACTTTCACCCATTTTCGCCATGTCGACAGGAAGTGTTATTCGGAGCCAGGAGCAGCACAAGGTGTTTGTCGCAAGTGTAAGTTCTCTTCCCCTTTATGGGATTCCTTTCTATCATCTCCCCCCTGTCTATTTTCCTATTCTGCCCCTCAATGAGGGGTATCGCGGGGTTGCGCCCCTCTCACCTCGGTCCGTTCCCCGCGGGGAGACGAGCGTGAATGGCTAGGTCAATGAGCCAAATTCTTAGCTGCAATCGCTTCCGTCGATCCGACGTTAGTTTGAGATCTTTTGTTCCGTCTGACTGCAGGTGTGATCCTTCAGTTGAACTCCGCTGCAGTCCACCAGTCCCATCAACATCACCCGATCCCAGTTATATTCCCACCTGCACCAACCATGCTCTCCACCACTACATATCACAAAACGTCTCCCAGCGGCTCATCGGCTTTTAACTTACAATCTATCCAGTCCGATGAATCCAGAATATGCGTTGTGATGGTCGGCTTGCCGGCCCGAGGCAAGAGTCTGATCGCCGGCAAAGGTATGTTCACATCGGAACCGCCAATCAGCCCATATGCCTGTGATATACCACTATGAACCACCGCTGATACATATTCCTCCTCAGCCATGCGATACCTCGCCTGGGTCGGAATCCCCGCAAAGGTCTTCAACGTCGGTACCTATCGTCGCAGTAACACCCCGCAGCCCCAGGCCACCTTCTTCGACCCACACAATGAAGAAGGCGAGCGCATGCGTCGCGCCGCCGCCGAAATGGCCGTCGCCGACATGATCAACTGGTTCCACGACGACACGCAAAAGGGCGTTGTCGCTATCCTCGACGCAACCAACTCAACCAAGGACCGCCGCAAGTGGATCTACGAAAGGTGTCGCGATGCCGATATCGAAACCCTTTTCGTAGAATCCATCTGTGACGACGAAGATCTCATCATGAACAATATCCTCGAAGTCAAGACCGATTCTCCTGATTACAAGGGGCAGGACCCTGAGCTGGCGGCGCTGGACTTCCGCAAGCGTATTCGTAATTATGAGAAGGTTTATGAGACTATTGATGACCATGAGAAGCAGTATACTTATGTTAAGCTGATCAATGTTGGCTCTACGGTGATCATCAACCAGATCAAGGATTACTTGTCCAGTCGTCTTGTCTACTATATCCAAAACCTTCACATCAAGCCTCGATCTATCTGGCTATCACGAGTGAGTTGACCTAATCTCCACCAGCGCCCTTTCCGAGTCCGTCAGCACATCAAAAGCTAACAAACGACGCAACCCAGCACGGCGAGTCCGAATACAACCTCACCGGCAAAATCGGCGGCGACTCCAACATCTCCGAGCGAGGCGAAGCCTACGCCCGCGCCTTACCCTCCCTCCTCCGCAAATCCGGCGTACCCCCCCAACACAAAGATCGTAATCTGGACCTCGACGCTAAAACGCACCATCCAAACCGCCCGCCACCTAAAAGCAGAAACAGGGTTCGAAAAGCTAGAATGGAAAGCCCTGGACGAACTCGACTCAGGTGTCTGCGACGGTCTGACCTACGAGGAGATCGCCGACAAGTACCCGGAAGACTTCAAGGCCCGCGACGACGATAAATACAACTACCGCTACCGTGGCGGCGAGTCGTATCGGGATGTGGTTATCCGTCTTGAGCCTATTATCATGGAACTGGAGCGCAGTGAGAACGTCATTATCGTTACGCACCAGGCTGTGCTTCGGTGCATCTATTCTTATTTCTTGAATGTTCCTCAGGAGAAGAGTCCATGGATGGAGGTGCCCTTGCATACGCTGATCAAGTTGACGCCTCGTGCTTATGGCACCGAGGAGAAGCGCTTCAAGGCGGATATTCCGGCTGTTTCGACTTGGAGGGGCAAAGGGACTTCGGCGAAGCATCAGGAGTTTCCGGCTGAGAATGAGAAGGGTGCTTGATGGGTTGGTTGCATTCGTTGGCGTTGGTGTTTGTGGATTGGATTGGATTGATTGTTGATTCTTGGTGATTCATCGATACCAAAATATTGTAATTTTGAGCTGTGAGCTGGAGCTGCGAGGCTTGAATGTACATTTGCAGCAATTGTGTGTTTGTAATAGATCTAAATGTAGATGTAAATGCAAATGTAGGTATTTCTGCTGGAGTAGACTGTTTCTGCCTCAGGCACGCTGACTAACAAGACGTCACTCCAACCACCGCAATAGCTCCATCTCCAACTCCCCAACCAGTCAAGCTGCAACAGCTCTAACAGCTCTACGCGCGGCGCGATGTTATCCGCCTTCACCGCGCGAGCCCTGGTGGACCTCAAACCCCGCGATCGCTCCCGAATAGACTCCGTCCTCGCCTACGGAGACAGAATCCTCGCCGGCCTAAACAACGGCACTCTCCGCATCTATCGCGTCACCGATACCCTGAGCGAGGAAGCTCACGACAGGAATGACAATGACCACAACAATGACAATGACGATGGCGGCGATGGTGGTGGTGGTGGCAGCAAGACCGAACTCCTGCGCGAACTGGACAAATTCGCCCGCTACAAGATCGAACAACTCGCCCTGGTGAAAGAAGCGAAGGTCCTGGTCAGTCTGAGCGGGGGTGTCGTCAGTCTGCACGATTCGCAGGATTATGGGCTCTTGCAAACGTTGGCCCAGGCGAAGGGTGCTTCTGTTTTTGCCATTACGTCGAATGTTGTGAATGATCCTGATACGAATGTTCCGGCCATTGTGTCGAGATTGGTCGTTGCTGTTAAAAGGAGGATTCTTATGTGGGTTTGGAGAGATATGGAGCTTGAAGATGAGGGCCCCGTTAGTGAGTTGAGTCTTCCTGCTGCTGTTAAGACGTTGGAGTGGGTGTCTGCGACGAAGATTGTTGTCGGTCTTTCGTCCGGTTTTGTTATGGTTGATGTTGTTTCCGCTGTTGTGGAGGAGTTATCTGGGGGGTCCGGGGAGTATGGAGGAGTCTTCTTCTGCTGCTGGGAGGTTTACCGGCGTTGGTGCGGCGAGTATGAGTTACATTGGGATGGGTGGGATGGTGCCGAGGCCGTTGGCGACGAGGTTGAGGGAGGGCCAGATTCTCCTGGCGAAGGATATCAATACGCATTTTATCGATTTGCAGGGCCACTCGCTTGGGAGGAGGCAGATTACTTGGTCGCATGCGCCGGTGGAAGTCGGGTATTCTTATCCGTTTTTGCTAGCTTTGCATGATTCTTCCAAGGGGGTGCTGGAGGTGCGGAATCCCGAGACTCTTTCGTTGCTGCAGTCTATTCCGTTGCCGGCTGCGAGTATTTTGCATATTCCGCAGCCGAATATTAGTCTTGCGCATGCGGGGAAGGGATTTCTTGTTGCGAGTGATCGCACTATTTGGCGCATGGAGGCTTTGAGTTATGATACGCAGATTGATGCGCTGGTTGAAAAGGGTTATCTTGATGAGGCTATCAGTCTCCTTGGTATGCTTGAGGATGCTCTGGTCAAGGATAAGGCTAGCCGACTTCGCTCGGCGCAGTTGGAGAAGGCTCAGAGTCTCTTTGCTTTGCACAAGTTCCGTCATTCTTTGGATCTGTTTACTGAAGTTTCTGCTCCGCCCGAGACTGTTATTCGCCTCTATCCGAAGCTCATTGCTGGTGAGCTCTCGGCAGTTCCGGTTCAGGATCCCGAAGAAGCTGCCGCCAACGTCAATGCCAATGAGTCGGATACAAAACCCAGCGGTTCGGATGGTTCGTCTGAGCCTCCAGTTGGACAGTCCATGTATGCAACCTCGGTGCTGTCTCTACTTCGCAGGACCGAAGAAGGCAGCGATACGAGCAGCGTTCGGGGTGAAGACAAGGATAAAGAGAAGGACAAGGACAAGGAGCTTAAGATGGCTGTTCGAGAGCTGCAAGGATATTTGGCAGATGTTCGACGACGTTTCCAGCGTTTCCTCGGACCCGATGGAACCCTCAAGCTCCCTGTCCCTACAGCTAGTACGGATGAAGCCAGCGCTTCTGTTCTGAAATTACTCGACTTTCCCTCGGAAGATGAGTTTCTGGATACCATCCGTGACAAGGCTCGACTGGTCGACACCACGCTTTTCCGCGCTCATATGTACGCTACACCATCGCTTGCAGGATCTCTCTTCCGAATTGCCAATTTCTGCGACCCAGAGGTCGTGATGGAGCGATTGGAAGAAACGGGTCGATACAACGACCTCATTGACTTTCTCTACGGGAAGAAGCTGCATCGACAAGCTCTGGAGTTGCTTCATCGATTTGGGCAGGAAGAATCGGGTCTGCTCAGCGGTCCGATGCGTACTGTTGGATATCTTCAGAATCTACCCCCCAGATCAAATAGACCTGATCCTTGAGTTTGCAGATTGGCCTGTTCGCACCCAGCCCGAACTGGGGATGGAAATTTTCCTCGCTGAAACTGAGAATGCTGAGACGCTGTCTCGCCCGCGTGTACTCTCGTTCCTCGAGGGTATTGATGCGAAGCTTGCCATTCGGTATCTCGAGCATGTCATTCAGGAATGGAATGACCTGACACCGGACCTGCATCAGCGCCTGGTGGTCTTGTACCTGGATCAGATTACTGCGCACAAGGACAGCGATGCGGACACAGACACAGCCACGGAGTATAGTTCCAAGTTCCTGGCCATGCTCAAAGACAGCGAGCAGTATTCTCCCGCAAAGACCCTGGACCGACTTGACCGCGACGACCCCAATTTCTACGAGGCCCGAGCTATTCTATTCAGCAAGATGGGGCAGCATCGCCAGGTACTGGAGATCTACGTGTTCAAGCTGGAAGATCACGAAAAGGCAGAAGAGTGAGTATTTGATGAATCTCCTAACTATTCGGCCATTTCTCGCCAACTAACCTTATTTTTTTCTAGATACTGCAACCACGTCCACCTCTCAGAAGAACAAGACCAAGAAGACACCATCTACCTCACCCTCTTATCCCTCTATCTCACACCACCCCACAACCAGAAAATCCAGAATGGGCCCGCCCTCGCCATCCTCGCCAAACACGGTTCCAGACTCCCGGCCGACGCCGCACTAGGTCTGATCCCAGCCGAGCTGGAAGTGCGCGAACTAGAATTCTACTTCAAGGGCCGCATGCGCGCGGCCAATTCGGTCTTCAATGAAGCTCGCATTGTGACTCAGCTTCGGAAGGCGCGGGATCTTCAGATCCAGGCCCAGCTTGCTCTTGGCGATGGGGTTATCAGCGGTGGGACACGCGCTCGACATGTCACGGTCACGGAGGAACGCATTTGTGGGGTTTGTCATAAGCGGTTGGGTGGGAGTGTGATTAATGTTTTTCCTGAGTATGTTTCCTTCCCCTTCTCTGTTGTGTGGTGTGGTGCAGTGTGGTGCAGTTCAGTGCTAACCAACCCTTCTCTCCCAGCAACTCCGTCGTGCACCTTGGCTGTGCGAATCGAGTTTCCAGTGTTCGGGGGTAGGTGGCTTGATTTTTGCGATTTGGTTGGTTTGGTTTGGTTTCGTCTCCTCTTTTTGATACCCAGTAGTTATAGCATTGGCCAATTCAAGCATCCTCTTCCACTAGTTCTTCTCCGTAGTAGTCCTCCTCCTTGGCTTCCTTCTCGGAGACAGTGCCTTGAGCCTTCTTGTCTTCTTCCATGCGGGCTGTCAGGTAGACATTGATTTCGTCCTGAATTTTGGGGACTAGTGATTGTAGAGCTGTTAGGTGGGCGGTTTTGCTGGCGAGGGAACCATCGGTGGAGGGGAATTCGTGGGAGAAAGTTTTGGGGTCGGTGTCTGGGGCAGTGTAGACTGCGTGGAGGTTTGCTTGAGATGACATTGAGGAGTGGAGTAGTGGGTGTTATGGAGTGTAGAGAGTGTAAAGTGAAGAATTGAAGGGAAAAGTTGGCGGGGAAGGCAGATCGACCTGACTAAACCCGAAGCAGGCAGCTTGTTTTCCTCAACACCCAACCACATCACTCATTCTACTCTACACATCTACATCTACACCTACACAGAGTACAATTACACTTCTACTCTTACTCTACATTGCATCTACCTGCTGAAGTTGACAGAGTACTACTCCTACTCTACCCTCACCCTGCATGGCCCACTATGAATCGTCCTCCGCAACAGCAACACCCTCATCACCGCCCTCCCTCCGATGATGATGACGACTCCGACGACGAATTGCGACGTCCCGGCTCCTCCGGCAGTGATGCCTCTTCCAATGTGACCAGACTTTCCGCCACTCCCATCACTCCCATAGATCGTCCACCGGGAGCCGGCTACTTCTCCCCAAACCCACGATCGAACTCAGCCACTTCATCGCCTCAACACCAACACACCGCACGCCCAATGCCGGACTCCTCACGTCGCCCGTCGGGTCGGGGCCCGTCTATTGAACTGCAGCGACATCGCTCAAGACATCACTCCCAGGGCTTCTTTGAACCTTCCCTCCCCACTGCCTCCTCCGAGCAGATGCCGCCGCAGGTCTCGGCGTCTCGGATCGCCGCCCAGGCAGCCATGCATCAACAAATGTTACAGCAGCAGCAGTTACAAGTCTCACAACAACAGTCAAGACGCCCGCAACATCCAGTCTCCCCCATGGAAGATAGTGGCTCGCGCCGGAGCGTTAGTGCCTCTCCGCCATTGGTCCCTCTTCCACTACGAATCAACCAGCCAACACCGTCGCTTCCACCGCCGACAGCAGGCAACGTCGCAACAACCGCCGCCAACGTCGTCTTCCCTCGCGCAGGCTCCCAGCCCCCCCGAACCTCAACCCGAGAAACAAAAGAAAAAGAAGCTCTTTTCCAAACCAAAACATATCGGCATTAGCAGAGATAAAGATGTCTTCAAGGATCGCGGTCTTCCTTCGCCGAGCAAGCTACCCAGTTTGTCGCGCATGGTCAGCTCCTCCAACACGAGTATGGCCGATCTCCCTTCCAATAACTCATCCATGTACAATCTCTCCAATGCATCGGTCAGCACGGTTGTTCCTGCGGATCGCCCACCCGCCCCGCCAGAGAAGGATAAGGATAAGGAAAAGGACAAGGACAAGCATAAGCACCATTTCTTGTCGCGGCAGAAGCTCAAATTGAAGGACCGTGGTGACGATCACTTTAACCTGCCTCTTTCTTCTGCCTCGAGTAATTCTCGACCGACCGACCCCAATGCTCCACAATCGCTTTACTCGTTTACCAACCCGGCCTCGCCAGCGCCTGGGGCTACCTTTGGCAAGTCAGTCAGCGGCTTAGACCTGTTGCACGGTGGCCGAGCAAAAAAGAAGGAGAAAGAGGCGATACTCGAAAGCGAACAATTGGAATGGCTGGCCAGTTCCAATAGTGCCACAGGTCCCGCCGCGGGTCCTTCTTCCCTTAACAGCACCACCGGACCTCTCGGGGAAGCCATGCTGCGCGAGACACTGCAAGGCTTTGGCCTGAACAATATGTCCCCCGAAGACGCATGGGAGTTCCTCAAAGCAAAACTCATGGTCATATTTGACGGCGAGGATGTCCGCATCGCCATTGAAGACCTCAACAAGCTGGTCATCGTGCATCTCCAGCGCTGCGTGCACAAACGCACACCCACAACCATCATCGCCGACCTCCAAGACCTTCTCGAAACCGGCTTTGCCAATCTCAATGCTAGCTCCCTCATCGGCATCCCCGATGAAAAGGTCGTCCCGCACCTCGTACAAATCTGGCTCCTATTCTTCGGCACCATCCTCCCATTCATTCAAGCTGCTTTCCTCCCCTTGGACCATGAATTCAAGGGCGTTGGCTCAATAATGACCGGTCGCGAGGCGCGCGAATTCTGGGGCGACATGCCCGCAGGCGGGAGTCTTGATGTTCGCAATCTCGTCCTCATCGCGTTCCGCGATCGCATCATTCTGAACCGCTACGATGCTCTCAAGGCTACATTCTCCCGCCTCAGTCTCGACAGCATCAATGCGGGATTCCCAACGCTCAGCGTAACGGCCAAGACAACTGGTACAGGACACGGCGGCCGGCCTGGGACAGCGGCTTCACTGGACGCAGGATTCGGAAGCTTCAATTCCCAATCTTCGACTCTGCTCAGCACTGTCGCGGATAGTTACTCTTCCGACTCGGTGAGTGCGTTGGCCGCGGCGAATTTGCCCCGTCCGTCGAGTAGTGATTCTCGCAGTCGCGCTGCGTCGAATACGTCTTCGAACCCGGACGCGGCTGCTTTTTCGGCTATTTCCCCGCCTTCGACGAGGCCTCCGGTTATGCATCGCGCTAACTCGGCTGATTCTTCCCATGTCATTACGGAGACTGTTGGTCGGATGCTTCAGTGCGTGAGTGTGTTGGCCAGCGTCCAGACTGACGACGCGGCGCAGGAGAAGATTGAAATCCTCGGGAAAACTCTCAAGCATAACTGGCTTGGTCGAGGACGGACGGGTCGAGATCGGAGGGGTTTTGTCGGGGCGAAGATTCGCCCTGTTATGGTTGGGGTTGGTGCTGGGACGCCGATGCTAGATGATAATGAGTCTCTTACGACGGCGGGGATTAGTATTGGTGCTAGTACTAGTACCACGAGTATGAGTGGTTCCAGAGCGAGGGGAGATTCGTCTTCTTCGGATTGGAGTCAGGGGCTTGGGGGGGAGTATGAGGAGTGCTGGGAGGAGGGAGTTGAGTGTTCTTTAGGGGCTATGATATGATATGGCGATGTTTCGGGTTAGAACTTGATGATTTATGATGGAGTTTGTCGGATTGGATTGGATGGATACAGGGTTTCCATGGACTTGGTGAATCAAATGATATCTTTTTTCTGTGTTTTCTGTGTTGTTCCAGTAGTGAATGTCATTCCAGTAGGCAGCCACCTCGTCCCTCAATACTTCTTCGTCTCCGCCCTCTCCTTCTCTCCCTCTTCTTCTTCTTCTCCCTACACCCCGTGTCATGGTAACTGGGGGAATTGAGGACGGGATTGAGTCTCGGAATACTAGTACCCAAGCCTTCTTCCAATCCGAAGATGCCTCTCTCATGATTGCGCGGGAATAGGAATACTAATCTGTTCATATTGGAGATTGGCTCCTGTGCCTTTTCTCTACGCTATACAGAGTACATTCTTTCTTTCTCTTGCTTTTGTGTTTCTATTTGATTTTTTTTCTGAGTATGCATAGAGGTCCCATCTTCTTAATGGTAGCACATTCTCCCTCTTTCTTATGGCTGTCTAGGAGAAGAAGTAGAAATAGAAATACTACGAGAGCAGTTTAGACTGAGATTATCGGTGAATGAAAGGGAAAAAACGAGTTCTACTACTAGTAGTGATATGTTGCACCTTCCAGACCAGAAAAACTTCACCTTCTTCCCACTCAACTCGTCACTTCACTCCCTCTCGCTTCACAATCATGGATGCATTCGAGAGAACCATCGCTGCCCTGCAACTACTGGGTCTAGGCAGGTGGCCTCGGCTGATTTCCGAATATCTGCTAACACCCAGGCCGAAAGAGTCTTCGCGCCTGTCCGCCTCTCGCGATGAGACCATTCCTCCTCTGGAACTAGTCATGCCAAGCAAGTAGCCAGGCACTCCTTTTCTCTCGTCTCGTTTCATATCTCACTCTTGCGCTAACTAACCCCCGGCGTGACAGATCTCGAACCTACTCCATTTACTCGTGATAGCGCGGATGGTCCCTCCTCCACTCACGGCTCTGGAAAACCTCACAATGTCCACCGTGGTGATGACCGAAGCTCCGGGGGCGTTACTAGCTACTCGCAGCCATTCGTCACAAATAGATCCAAGGACTTGGAATCAACCGACTCGCCAACACCCACCGGTACGTCCATCGCGAATGACCCCCATGGCACTGTACCATCAAAGTATGCCGCCGTCACGGTGGTAACTAACCTCATCATTCAACCCAGCACCATCCCGCAGTTTCATTCCCACCCATCTTCCGGCCGCAGATCACATCGTCGTCGTCCTTCGAGAGGACATCCAGGCTGGCCGTTTGCCCATATCTCCACCCCCAATGCTCCGCCACATTGTCTACGTCCCGGATCCGCGGGTCTCGTTCGTTATGATATTCTCTGAGACGGATTTCCAGCTGTGGAAGTCGACGGCTGAGTTTCCCGTACTCCATCCGTATCAATCATCTGCGAATAAAATTATTAGAGAGCAGAAGGATACGAAGAAACCGCCGAGCGGAGAGGAGAAGCAAGATGTTGCGAAAGCTACCAATGGAGAGAACCCGCCTGCAAACCTTGCTGGGCCTGGCAAGCTGGCGAACAAGCCTCTTCAAACTACGACTACCCGCGTCCATAAGATTTCTCGACGGATTGCTTTTGAGCAAGGTTTGTGGCATATGGAACTCGAGGATGGAAATGGAAACGGAAATGGAAACGAACCTGGGCAATCTCGTCCGGGTGACAAGATCAATGATGCTCGCGGCGACAAGAACGCTACGGAGCGCGATACAAACACAAACAAGCCTGTCATTGATGGGATTCGAAGTCCTGCTGGCTCTCATCGTGCATCGAGTCTGGATCCAATTCCTGAGGAGAATTCTGTGTTCAAGCCATCTAATTACCCGCAGAGAAAGGTTGTGCGACGATTCATTATCAAGCGGTTTATCAATGAGAATCGTCGGACCCCAATTCACCGAGAAAGAGGAATGCATTCGGTGCAATAATTCGTTTCGTCGGCGATTCTTTCTATCTTGTTGCATCTACTGCAGTGTTTGCTTGCCGTTTACTCCAGTTAGCATCTTGACGATTTTCTCGCTGTTCTTTCGGTAGGTACTGTGGCCATCTAATGCTGTTCAGCTCTGTCGTGGCGGAATTGAGATTAGGGTTAGCTTTTAATTTCCATTTCTTTCTCTCCAATACCATCTCTACACCTCATTTGAGATAGTTTTGTTTGTAGTTGTAGTTGTAGTTCCCAGTTGGCGTGTGACCTTGGTATCACCTGATCCGCGAAACCCTGGAAAGCAGCGAAAATACACTTGAATGGCTGTTATACTGACGACGCAACACCGATCGCAGAATTCATCAGTAAGCTTCTACTATAATTGCACTATTTAATTGGTCTGCCCTTTATGAAAATAATTCCATGTCCACTCGCTGACGACTGATCGGGGTAAATTCATTTCTTGTGGGTGTATTTATTATTTGGTAATCTAAGCCCTCTTCAAGCTGGAAAAATTAACTAAAGATTGATCAACTTTCGTTCAATTATAGTGATTATCGTTATCCAAAGATCTCCTATGCCCAGGTGAGTGTTTAAGTTCTAAATTTTTGAAGTTGATGTCAAACTCTTTCAATATATATATGGTGATGTATACTTGTCAAAAAGTACCTCCATATTCTTCCTAATCCGGAAATTTTAGCTCCGCCGCGGAGTCCCAGGCTCACCCTTTCCGTCCTGATGAGCATCATGTTAATTTACCACTACTCCATGCCACACTATCCCATACCAAATGAATAAAAGCATACTTCCTACTCCTTATACTATCATACACCCAAGCTCACCAAGCCTCCGTTCGACCCTCATGATTCACTTCGGCCCCACATTCCGACCCACCAAGAACTGGGAACTTCCTATAGCAACGCGCAAGGAAGAAATTTCAAGTGATCGACGCCTATTCTACGGACAATCTGTTGGGGATACCTTACGGAGCAGTCTATGAATCTGTCGATAATTGAAGAATGGCGCTGTTCCTGGCGCAAGGCCGACGCGATGTGGTTCCTATTCCTGTTCCTGCAGCACAATCGGGACCACCTGGGCTGTCCCCTGCAGCGTGATGAGTACAGTATGTTTTGTTTTTCTTCGCGTTTCACAAGGTCTGAGAATCGCGCGTTTTCCATGCATTATTTGCTGTTGTCTACTCCGTACTATGTAGTACTGTACTACTTTTTTTCTAAATAATTGTCTCCCGCAAGGAAAGACGCAGATTTGAGGTGGAAAATTATCGCGCCTCATTTACGCCCCCACCCTGCCCAGCTGGGCATTGGAAATCTGCCAACGGAGTACGGAGAAGCTCCGGAACAAAAAAGCATTGGCAGTGGCTGAAAAACAGGGTGCGACAATATGAGACGAACTGGTTCGAGTTGAAGGATTTTTGGGGCTTTGGCCGAGACTTTTGTAGAGCCGCTATGAGTAGTACGAGTATTGTGTCGCGACATGGACGCCGTACTCCGAGCTTCGTGCCTGAGTCTTATCTTGTTAGATTAGACAAGCAATGGGTCTGGACGTCTTCCCCTTTTCTTGTTTTTATTGAGCCTACTAATGGCCCACCTAGGCATGTGGAGACCGCCTTTGTGGATGCAAGATTGGAAGAAATCGGCCGTCATGCAGCTCATTTGGGACTGGTCAGTGTCGGGCGATAGTGATAGCTCATGTCGGGCATCCGATCTCATTTGGCGGAGAGCTGCGGTCTGGGCACACAGGCCAAGAAGGATCTTGGGGGCGAAAACGCGATCGTTTAGATCTTAGTGCTACCTTCGTAGTGCTACCTTCGGTTACGGATGGACTATGAGGGACTTTGCGATGTGGGATATGACGAATGTTGCAAGGCAAAGGCCAAGAATCACGAGCGTACCGAGTACTCGATCCCATTGAAAGTATATGCTATGCCCATAGCGAGATGAGCAGGGCGATGATGGGGCAATTCTTCAATTTAAGGTCGTTTCAACGATCGACGAGAAGATTGGCCTGGATGAAAATGAAGCAACTAGAGCTAGAGCATGGGAGAAGGAAAAAGGAGATGCACAATGGAGCGATGGCTCGTGCACTGAAAATCCTGCTGGCGTCACTTGACGAGATCCTTCCGCACCTCGCCTATGTAAATATGTCAGCGGCGGTTGATTTTTCCTCGTTTACAGTTTACAGTTTAGCCTCGTGGGAAGTAAGGTAAGACATCGCGAGCGACAGTGAAATGGGGACTCGGGGTGGCTTGAATTTCCGCCATGACGCCATTTAGTCGATTGGCAGAGAGAAGGGAAATAAGGATGGACATGTCTTATGAGTCCTGCACGACCGGGGAATATCCAGAGCCAATGAGAATCATCGTGACCAACGGGAAACAATGACTGACTCAATCATTGCAAAGGAAGGAAAAATGTCTTCAAACGGCTCGGGTTTGCAGCGCCACTCGCGGAGGCGGAGTCTAAGCTGTCGCCGATCAATTGGGATCCGTTATGGGATCCCGTTATGGGGAATCGATTATGGGGATCGATTATGGGCTCCGGGGATTTTCGAAAATAAATTAAAAAATCATGTGGAAGAGGAGAAGAGCGAGGCTCAATTTCCCGAGCCATTTGCATATTGCATCAGGGACTGTTCCTGGGCTTACAAGCTCTCAGTCAGCTCGTTCCTCTGGAATTCAGTCATTCTGTGTTCCTGGGGAAATGATCATCGCAAGTTACATTAGCCCGTATAATGGGCGTATTCATTTACCAATCATCGTGTAGAATTATCAATAATTCCCCACATTTCGTGGGTGGTCCGGGGTAGGTCACCTTTCCTATTTGGGCGCTTTGACCGAACCCCCTCATTTTGTTCACTCTGTTCATTTTGCTTGACCAGGTTCTGCTTAACTTTTGGTGGAGTCAATCCCCGCCTTTGTTGGCGATTTGAGCTCGTTTAGGGTTAGGTGAATGCCCACATCGCGCTCGGAACCCCATGGGCAGCCGGCTTGGATTGCAAATTTAATCAATTCTT